AGCTGGGAGCTTAGGTGAGACATCAGCATGTCGCATTAAGGGGCTTCTTGGAACAATAGATGCCGTACTACGAACGGCGATCAGGGCTATCTTGCCAGTCTGGAAAACACACCCTGGACATATCTTACACTTTGAATCGCAGATTCCCCCAGCAGGAGTTCTTGCAGAGTCAATAAGACGACGTCACGGCCTCCGACTAGGACGAATAGATCAGAGACACCCTCTGGTTGGCAGGCTCCAAATACAAGCTCGCAAGGATCCAACAAGGCTACAAAGGAGCTTCCAGCTAGTCCCTGACTTCCAGAGACCAATACTTACCAGGCCATCATGGAAGAAGCGCCCAATCCGTAAAGACAAAGATAAAGAAACAGAGCTCTTTAAGCAATGGTTACAAGAGAGAAACGTGAACACTAACCTTGTCATCTACTCAGATGGATCACAGTTGGATGACCAAGGCACAATCCGCACTGGATGGGGTTATACCATCAGGAAAGGCGGCACTACACAAGAAGTATACCGGGGAAGGGGCAGACTTCTACAAGCAGAAGTAGTAGATGCTGAAGTCCATGGTGCTCTCCAAGGTCTTGTAGCAGCCAGAGCAATTGGACACGGAAAACAGCTATATGTCTGCCTGGACAACACATCAGTGGTAGATGGGCTCAATGGGACTCCACCCGAGACATCACAAAACATTTTTTTACGATTTCAAGAACTTGCCACAGCACACACTCCTGGAGTGACCGTCAAATGGATTCCTGGACACAGAGATATTGATGGCAACGAAGCTGCCGACACACTAGCAAAAGAGGGTGCCATGCTAGAAACAGACACAACAAATCTTCCTACAATCTCTTGGGTCAAGAGAGATCTCAAAAAACAGGGCAAGAAAGAGTTCAACCAATGGTGGAAAGACCAATCAGAATCTAGGTATCAAGAAGTATACTCACATGCAGTAACTGAAAGAGACCTTATATCTTTTAAGAGGAGTACTTTACACAGACTTCTAGCGGCCAGATCTGGACATGGCGACTTTGCCAGATACCATGAACGCTTTGGGCACACAGATTCAAATGATCACTGCAGCTGTGGTGAGAAGAAAACACCACAACACATTTTCTTTTGTAAGAGGCTGGGGAAAAATCGGCTACTGCCTAGGCATTCGCCTAGGGCAGCTTGTTTACAATACTTAGGGGAGAGGAGCACAGAATGGGCAAAATTCGTGGAGAAGAGCAAGTTCTTTTCAACAATCTGCCCCCGATAGATAGCCTTCCTTGAAGGACCAGATGGATGACCCCAAGGTCATACCGCCGCAACAACGGGGATGGGCCCGTGAGCGGGACTGACTGTACTTATTATCTTGAGACCTCCACAACCCTGCGATGCAGAGGCTCTGGGAGGCGTGGTTTGCACTACTGAGGAGCTACCCCCACGTTAAATACAAAACAAACAAACAAACATTCGCTTGCAATATACAAACTCGGCGAGACGCTGTTCTACATGCGAAGTCGACTCGCCGATGATATCGTTCCTATCATGCGATACGTCATCGCGAATACGAGACCGAAAAGGATGATCTCCGACGAATTTTGGCCCAGTACGTGGTATGCTTGACTCGAGAAGTCCGACAGGGACAGGATAATGCAAGACTCGATGACTTCGTGGAGGAGTGCCCTGAATTCGCAGTCGAGATCTATCGCGTGGTCAAGGACTTTGCCAAACCGGCGTAAGCTACAACATCTTCGCCACGGCTTGTGCGACTGTATCTGCTTTATTACACGAAGCTAGTTAGAGTAGGTCTACTAGACGAACACTGAGATGTCAGGCATTCCTGCCATGCATAACATCCGTGCCATGTGCGCTACCAATGAAGACTTTACTCTCACTAAGTGCCTGCGAAGCTACACTGAACCTTTAAAAGCCTCCGTATACCCCTTATTATGCAAGCACGAGTATGTTTCTCATAAGTGGAACGATCGCTGTACAGTAAGGATCAAGAATAACTTATTTTAAGATATTCGTTCTATTAATATAAATACAGCATAGAGATATAAAACCCAATAGAGGCATACTGGACGGAGACTTATGAAGACCGAGTGTACCTATTCACGGACCGTGGACCGTATCGTTCACGCCCGTTCCACGCCCCCGCCCTCTGCCCGCACCTTGTATGTTGGTATGATACCTCCGTACTCGGGATCAGCCTGGTTCTCTCCCTCCATATCACCCATTCTGGGCTTCCAGTATAGTACGACCATTCTGAAGCCGAATGGGGCAAAGTTAGAACAGGACGGAGAAGGGAATGGTGCCGACGTCGACGACTATCCCTTTAATCAATACATTTAGAGCATGTCCCTGGATCTCTTGTGTGTTCACCCTACTTTTTGCAGAATCGTCATAATATTATTCTCTGCGCGCCCGCGTTCACTGGCGAAGCCGGGATAATTGGCCTCTAGTCTGCCACCGACGCCTCGTAAGTACCTGTTCATTACCAACTTCGACATGTTCACAAACGTCATTTGCACAGCTTTAGGTGGACATCGGTCAAGGTTTGAGATAATCTACATTCAGCGGCATGCTATATTTGTAGAGGCAAAACACACTGCAAGAATAGTGAATAAAGGATGAATGTAGCATGCAACTATATTTAAAAGAGAGACCCACGCTCTTTACATGGGGCCCACCTCTGGACATCATTAACTGACGAAGGATCCGTGCTCATCATGACCCAAAACGCCTCAGGGTTATGATCCTTGTACCCACCTTACGTGTAAAGTGATCCTTCCCCTTGCTGTGGCGATCAGTCGTAAACGGAACCCTTGAGCCTCGTCATTAGCGTGATGCTATATCGAGGGAAACTAGATCCTTCAGGTTCCTGTATTTAGAAAAGAACACATAGGGAAGCAAAAAAGGCAAGCTATCTATGTAGGAACAGGGGAGGCTGACTAGGTAGTTATGTTTTCCCCATTATTTAGTAAGGGTAGACCGACGTGACCCAGGGTGGCACTGGGCCAAGCCCGGCTGCCCCGACAAAATAAGGGCAACAGTCAGAGGTACGGGAAGAATAAGTTTATATAGATGCGATTTGGACTCCCTAAATACGTGACCAAAAAAAACCATCACATCACGCCTTTTCCTCTTACATCCGTACCCGCTGCAAAACACCCGATCGATTTGCCTGACGATATACCTCATCCATTTCCACCGACCACTTTCTGCTCAACTATAGCTATCCACTGCATCATCATGCGTGCCTCTGCGACTCTTGTGGGCCTCATGGCCTTGGCTACGACTGGCATCGCCGATGGGCTTACGACCATGCCAGTCAAGAGAAACACCGCAACTACAGCCACGAATAGCGGGACCAATGACCAGGACGGTTCTATAACCAAGCGAACTGGACTTTATGCAACGCCGGAGCAATGGGATGAGGCTTTTGGTAAAATCACCGATCTACCCTTCTTCATTGTCTGCCTCAATACATTCAAAACATCTGAAAAGAAGACCCATAGGGACAAGGAGGCGGTCCAACAGGCATTTAGTCAATGCCAAGTGAGTATCGGGGGACCTTCGACGGATATTCTCATTAAGGAGTACAAGAAACGAGTTAACTCAACCATTGAGTTCCCGATGAAGTGGTTGGTGGAGAAGGCCGTGGCTTGGATATCTGCTCATCCCAATGCTGTGCCTACCACCGAGCTGGGTGGTGGGCAGGTTGATGACGGTTTTGAATCGAGCTTGAGAGCGGCGTTATTGAAGTGGTTTAAGGAAAACCCATAAGGGGGAAACGGTGACTTGTTCCGCAGGGAGCTGCAGTACCAAATGGGGGTGGAATCTTTGTATACATATATGGCGTAAGGAATGGTGGCTTTGGTGGCCACGTCGGGTCAAAGGATGCAGTGTTCCTTCCATGCTTCCTGACAGTATTAGAATCTGGCAGCCAGCCAGGAGAACAGCCACTCTCTAGTATTGTTACCAATACCAACCGATTCAGAGCTGAAAGCCACCAGAGCATGCATGCCAAGCCGTTCCGAAACAGCAATTCTCAGTGACAGCAAACATTCGCGCGAGGGCCAAAGGGCATACCTTATGTGTTCTCGCTCTTCTGCTACTCGTTGTGTAAACCAATATGACAGCCAATGTTCTCTACATTTTCACTCCGGTTTTGGATACGGTTTTGGATACAAGAAACCAGAGCAGTTGCAGATTGGCAACACTCCTGACCCGACAGCTCGTCGTAGGTGTAGGTCCTTGGAGATGCTTGAAATCATAATGCCTGTGGAATTGGTCCACGCTTCCTGGCGAATATCTCTCCGTGTTCGAGACTCCAGCAGAGTGAGTGAGGTTTTGGTATTGTTGAAAGCTACTAGGTAGGTACGTAGGAAGTGACTGTGGTTGTTTAGTTTCGAGGCTCCTCGGACGGCTCCCCTAGGCATCGACACGTACCGAGGTACCCATGGAGTAGAGAATGACTAAAAGCAATAGAGCCTATGATAGCAATTGCTATGATACTCATTATCATCTCCTTGTCTGTTCAGGTTGAATGTTTACTGTAGATTGCATCTGGATCTCAAGGAGCATGTTCTGGCCGAGGGTGCTGACCACTGACATCCTCCCTTTTCATCCCGTAGCACCTACCAGTTGGCCCTTTCAGCTTCACCGCCTTGAGACAAGGGCACTCTGGAGAGACTATGAATGATTGTTACTCTGCCCACCATGCTGCACGACACGGAGTCCCGCCGCAACCACCAGTCATTTAGGGGGGAGAACGCACCTGGTGTTAGTGGGGACACGGGCTGTAGTCTTGGCGGGGTGACAGCTGGATTTGGAGCGTTGCCTGACCTCGAGTCACCGGACCTCACAGCAAGCAAACATATGCCAGCTGCCCATATAAATTATCATTTCAACCGCTTGCAGGCAAACACCACCACCGCCACCATTACCACCAACGCCTCGAGGACCTCGACGCATCTTACAAGCACAAAGACAAAGACACACCAACAATGGCGACTCCAAAGCTCATTAGCGCTGCGGACGAGTCCGGCATCATCTGCGTGTACAAGGACGGCAATCCCAAGATCAAGAGCCGCAGCTACTTCCGCACCGTGCTCGACGTGTTCCTCCCAGCTGGCTACCCGCACACGGTTACACGTGATTACAAGACCTACCAAATCTACGTTTGTCTCTCCCTTGCACATTACTCCAGAAAGACACGTGGGTACCTAGACATTCAAAGATTCCTTTGGATTGGTAGTATGGGTTACCCTGACTAACGGGCGGTTTCACTACCACAGGACTCGCTCCAGGCCTTTTCTAGCACCATAGCCGGACTGCTGTCGTCGCGGGCCGTCCTCCAGGGCTTCGGTGTAGGCGACGCGGCGTCGTCGGCCACGGCGGCGGTGCTGCTGACGGTGCTGCAGGAGTCGACGGGCCGGCTGGCTACGATCCTGTTCGCCCACCGGCTGGGGCAGGCCATCGAGCCCGAGTGCAAGTTCTACCGCTTCCTGGCCGACATCTTCAACGACGCCGGGCTGTTCCTCGAGGTGCTGTCACCGGCCCTGCCGCACTACGCCAAGGTGCTCGCCCTGTGCGCGTCGGGCGTCCTACGCGCCCTATGCGGCGTCTCGGGCATGAGCGCCAAGGCCTCGCTCAGCGCCCACTTCGCCCGCAACGGCAACCTGGCCGAGCTCAACGCCAAGGACGGCAGCCAGGAGACCGTCGTCAGCCTGCTGGGCATGCTGGTCGGCAGCCTCTTCGTCCGCTACGTCGAGAGCCCGCTGGCCGTCTGGGCCTGGATGCTGGCGCTCGTCGGCGCCCATCTGTGGACCAACTACCTGGCCGTGCGCGGCGTGCAGATGCGCTCCCTCAACAAGCAGCGCGCCACCGTGGTCGTCACCGAGTTCCTGCGCACCGGACGCGTGCTGCGCCCCGACCAGGTCGCGGCCAAGGAGAAGATTCTCAGCTGGAAGGCGCCGCGCGTCGACTTTGCCTGCACGTACCCCCGGCTCGGCGAGATCAGTCCCAGTGACCTGCAGGCGTTCGACAAGATGGAGTATGTCATCGTCAGCGGCACCGGCGGTCAACGAATCTACCTCAAGAACGGCGCCTCCACCATCGACGCCCTGGAGGCGTGGATCACGGCTCTCAAGGGCCCGAGATCGGTCGTGGATGAGGATTTCTGGAAGGCCATTGCGAGTGCGGGATGGGATCTGGAGACGAATGCCATGGAGACGGGTCCCGCGGTTCGGATCGTGGTGGCATAGGATGGCGAGATCTGCTGCCGAAGAAAAGATTTGCTGAATGAGGAGTGGATTTGCTTCTGTGTACGCGTAGCTAAAATAGCGATGTCTTCATCATAGAGCAACCAAGACGCCTTGAGTCATGACACACACACAGAGAAACCCCTGAAATGCCTTACAATTCATGATACAGAAATATACAATAGGTATACACGTACATCACTCACCAGCCCGTCCCCAGCCACCACCCCTGCATGGTGAACACATTACCTACGCTGATACCGTACGCAGATAGCCTACAGCGAGGAGACTACGCCAGACCGGCCGCGCGGAAAGCGCGCATCTTGACGCCCTCCCACGAGTTCAGCTTGGGCCGCACGTCGAGGTAGAAGGACAGCTTGCCGGCGGCGTCGCGGGCGCCGCTGCTGTTGCGCCCGGCGTAGAAGTCGATGACGTACTCGATCTCCTTGCCGCAGCGGTCGACGACCCAGTCGTGCCGGTCGAAGGGCGCCTGGTAGCCCAGCAGCATGTTGAAGCGCGCGCGGGGGGACAGCGACGTGCTGAGACCGGAGAAGGAGTGCAAGCGGGGGCCGCCGCAGCTGTAGCGTCAAGGTGTGTCAGTCAGCATGCATGCCATTGCGCTTGAATGTTGTAGATTCGCCCCTTTCCCGTTCTGTTCTCATCTTGTTTTTGCCGAAATAGACACAGACACATGATGGCGGAAACTCGAAACAAACGGAGGGAATGGATAGGACAGGACCTACCTCGATCCCTCGACCCACGGCCCCTCCCACGCCTTGATCTCGGCCCACGCGCGCTCGTTGACGGCGTTGTGGATCGGCACCACGGTGCGCATGTCGGCCGTCCGCGGGTCGTGGCCCTTGCGCTTCATGGCCTCGAAGAACATCTTCTCGGACGGGTAGATCCAGTTGCCTGACGCCGCGTCCGCGCCCGTCTCCTGCTCCATGTTTGCGGGACGGGGCCAGGGCCGCGTCGGCACGTCGCCCGGTGTGGTTGCTGCTGCTGCTCCTGTCGTGGAGGGTTCTGTCGGGAGCGAGGACCGCGGGATCGTGGAGATTTCGCGGTCGGTGCCTAGTGATTGGGCGGTGCGTGGCGGCTGTTGGGCGTTTGGTGTGGATGTGGAAGTCGGAGAGGTAGAGGAGGAGGAGGAGCTGGAGAAGAACGGTATTCGTGGGATATAGGATGTCCACGACGCACTCGAGATTTGCGCTTGCGATGACGAAGCTGATGGGCCCGGCTGTTGTGAGGGCGCTGGTGCGCTGCCGGCTGCTGCCGCGCGAGCTTGCTGCATCCACACCTCCCGCGCTCCGTGGTCGACGGGACAACTTTCCGCGTCGCCTTGCGTTGTCGTCCTTGTCGTCGTCGCTACTGGCGGATGCGACGGTGGTAATGAGGAGCTTGAGTTCGCTTCCCGCCCTTGCTGTAGCCAGGCCTCCCTGCTCTTGTGGTCCACGGGACAGGCGTCCTGCCCCTGCTTCGGGTCCGACATCGTGATTGTGTGTTGTTGGCCAGTAACCGCCGGTAGCTATTTCTTTGCGATGGTTGGGGATATTGTGATGAATGAAGCTCGAGACAAAGGTAGGTGTGTCTTCGTTGCAGGTGGTGGCAGTCTGGGCCGAGCGGCGCGGTCGGTCGCGTGGGCACTTTTCCGAGCAACTTTTTAATGGGGCCGGAATGAGCCGCTCAGGCGTCTGCTCCCGGGTAAATAATAATAAACCGAGCTGTATCTATATTCTTCAACCTCCTCGCAGCTACACCACAACGACCCGTAGGAATCTTTGACTGCGCTCTGCACATAGGTTTAGACATAGGCGAGATAATTTCGGTAGAAAGCTTTGACTAACAAATGAACACACTGTCCCTTGGCACTCACATGTTTTACTGCCTCACCGTCCATGCCATGTGTTGAATTTTAACATTATGGCCGATGTACAGGAGTCACCAGTGGTCTAGTTCAACGGGAGGCTTTATCAAGGTTCGACCACGTCTTGTTCCGGCACTCCGTGGCGGGTATGACTGCCTAATAATCGCCTGTAGAGTCATCCCTCGTGAGTGGAACTCTTGCTTCTCACCTTCATCATCCCCATCGCAAACACGGCAACTTCTCTTCTCATGTAAGCGCCCGAAAAAGACCCACCGGCTAGGTATCGACGAAACAGGATGGAGTACTCCCGGGAACAGCGTGCCGAGCAGCGCGCGCGGCAGCAACAAGCGAGCGACCCAGATACGACGACCATCGCACAGGACTGTCAGGACCATAACACGAGTACGAAGAACCCTACGGCTTCCTCAGTCAGTGGTATCTTTCCGACTTCGCGGACCCGGAAGTACATCCAACGCACATCTTTAATTGCGCCGAGCAGTATATGATGTACCGGAAAGCTCTCGTCATTGCCACGCCAGACCCGGAGCCTGATCCAGCAGCACCCACGCAGATAGGTAATTATAAGAGCAAGAAAAAGGCCGGCGGAAAGGAAAAGGCAGCTTCCAGTCGACCTCGACCTCGACCAAGTAACGACGCAGCCCTTTTGCCAGACAAGATCCTCGCAGAGGCCAAGCCAGGCGATCAAAAGGGGTTCGCGCGCAGCATCGGCATGACACCGACTCAATTGAAGGTGTGTGAGCGCATCAAGTTCGACGTCGTGGTGCAGGGGAGCTGGTGCAAATACAGCCAGAACGCCGGCCTCAAGGCCAAGTTGGTGGCGACGCGGAGTCGGGAGCTGGTGGAGGCAAGTCCGCGGGACAGGGTGTGGGGGGTTGGCATCGCGGCCGAGTTCGCGGAGGGCAGAAGGGCGGAGTGGGGGAGCAACCTGCTTGGGAAGGCGCTGATGAGTGTCAGGGAGAGGTTGAGAACGGAAACGGAAGATGAGGATCTGGGAGGGGAGATCAGATTACGTTGACTACGTTGACTACATTTCTTTCCCGGACACCTTCTGTAAAGATGTCCTCCCCGAGCTTGCCTTCTTTGTGGCGCGGACATTCAACGATCGCTGCCGTACCTCTGGCAAAGACGAAGGTTACGATGGTCCGAGGATGCTGGATGGGATGATCGAGGACAAGCTGGCCGAGGTCACGAAGTTCGGGAATTTGTTGGAGAGGGAGATGGCGAGGTTAACTGAGACTGTGCAGTCAGCCGCTACGGGCGAAGACGAAGACGCAGAAGAGGAGAGTGTGAGTAGGGTGTTTGTGGTGGAGCAGATGTTGCATATGCCACCTCAGGGGATGATTTAGGCTATCTTCCTCAATATTGACACCTTCATACCTTAAGCCTGTGTCAGTAAAGGCACCAGAAGGAGACGTGTTAGTGTAGAGGAAGCACAGCGTGGTCCTGGGCCACAGAAAGTTTCAAGCGCATCGACTTTCTGTAAACCACACTCAAGGGCATATTGAATATGTCATGCGTATTCTTGATGTGCACATCGTCTAGAAGTCTTGCAACAAGAAGGTATTTCGAACATGCCAAAAAGGGAAATCTGGTAAACTGGGTGGACAAAAGTCTCCGCCCGACCCACCACAATCTCCTTCAGATCAAAACAACGCATCAATCACCCTTCGACTTCACCACTCTCTCAACACCGCAATTGATAATGGATTTATGATCTTTTGGGGACGAATTAAGCGGTAATCGCGTCGCTAACGGCGAATTCACTTCAGAAGCTCGCTCGGCAATCGTGGCGGCGCGAATCGACGGCAGAACGCGTAGGGATGTTGCAACCGCGTTTAAAACGAAGCGCTTGAAAACCATCTCCGATATTACCACCAACTTTGAGGCCACTTCTACACCGAAATCTGCCCCAAGGAGCGGTCGCCCACCCGTTTTGAATACTCGCGAACGCGCTCATGTGATCGAAAAGGCGAGAGAGCTCACCAGGGCGACGTGGCAGAAGATTCGAAACGAAGCCTGCGTTTCGTGCTCTCCCAAGACTATCAAGAGGATATGTCACGCACACGGCCTCCAGAAGTGGCGCGCAGCGAAACGAATCAAGCTCACAGATGAGGACGCTCAGAAGAGGCTCGCTTTTGCCAATTATTATAGCACACCAGAGCGCCTGGAGGAGTTGTTGCAAGCTATGTTCTCAGACGAATGTACGGTCCAAAACTCATCCGATAATCCAGGCGATTGGGCCATCCGATTCTCTTCAGAGCGGTACCGTTATGATCTCGTGAACGAGACGGATCACGGCAAATCTCGTATTTTAATAATGGTGTGGTCTATGATCTGGCTACGCGGCAGAGAAGGAGGACTAGGCAAGTTGGTCTTCTGCCCACTCGATCCGGATGCTCCGCGCGGAGGAGTATCCGCAGAGTCATACAAATGGGTTCTTGAGGAAGACCTGCTTCCGTTCTACGAGGCTGGAGATCCTTTTGTTCAAAATAACGCGAAAATTCACCTCACTGGCGGTGTTCCGGAGTGGATGGAGGAGCACGGCATCCACTGTATCGACTGGCCTCCTCACAGCCCCGATATGAACCCAATCGAGCATGTTTGGCGACTTCTGAAGAAGAACATACGTGAAATCGAGCCTGAATTTTCTGAATTGAAGGATAATATCCCCTATTATCGCTACGCACACGAGTTAATTGAGCAGGCGTGGTCAGAGATCGATCCGGAGCAGGTTCGGGCCTTGATGGAGTCACTGGAGGACCGAATAGCTGCAGTGAGGCGTGCCGGTGGTTGGTATACACACTATTGACTTAGTTATTAAATACAATTTATTTGAGAATTCTATCACCAGAATTGGATGCGTTATGGTTCAATTGAGTTGGAGGGTATAGTAGATGGAAGGGGTAAAATTGGGGATCGGGCGGAGACTTTTGTCCACGCATTGTATCAATATCTCACTCATGCCAAATGCTGCTCCGTCTTCGTCGGTCCCTCTCCCACGCCCGTCATTATGATCCGGCTGACGCCCCCCTTAACGATGCTCGAGACCGCCTCATCCAGCTGTATGCTCGAAGAGCTATAGCTCTTCGCCTCGTCCTTCCAGCCCTCAGTCCCTCGCAGCAAACCGTAAAACGTGCCAACCACCGGTCCGCTGTTTTCCTCCAAGTAGTAGATCACAGCATTGGGGCCCGCGTCAAAGGTGTACGCCGCAATCGTCTTGCCCGCGGCCTCATTGATGGCCTCGACGGCGCGCACGGCGGCCCGCGACACGTCGTTCATGTAGTAGATGGGCGGGTAGGTGTCGGCGCAGCAGGCGTGGAACGAGTTGGAGTCCTTCATCGAGACCTCGGCGAAGCTGGCGAAGTCGCGCGCCGCGACGGCCGCCTCCATGGCGTCCATGTGCTTGGGGACGACGCGGGCGACGCGCTCGCCGAACAGGTCCGAGGTGCCGACCGTCTGCTGCATGCCGCTCGTGGAGCTGACGCCCTTCTTGGCCGCCGACACGACCAGCACCAGCGCCCGCATCTGCGGCCAGTGCGACGCGGGCGCCACCTGCTCCGCCCGGCTGTCGAGCCCGTCGGCCTGCGTCCCGTGCCGCCACGCCACGTAGCCACCGAACAGGCTACGGCACGCCGACCCGGAGCCCTGCCGCGCGATGAGCGAGAGGTCCGTCGGCAAGGAGCGCAGCTCGTACAGGTCGGCGACAGCGCGCACGAGGGCCGCGAAGCCCGCCGCCGACGACGCCAGCCCCGCGGCCGTGGGGAAGTTGTTCTCGGAGACGAGGCGCAGCGGCATGGCCGAGAGCTTGGGCAGCGCGGCGTCGGCGTCCTCCAGGGCTTGGCGCAGCGAGCGCAGCTCCCGCAGGCACGCCTGGGTGCGGGCGCCGGTGATGTCCGAGGGCGCGCCGTTGAGGGTCAGGCTGTCGTCGCCCGTGTAGCTGCTCGAGCAGGTGGCGGTCGTCAGCGTGCGCAGGTCGTCCTGCGAGAGCGTCACCGAGAGCGACGAGTTGGTGGCCAGGTTCAGCTTTGCGTCCCGCTTGCCCCAGTACTTGACGACGGCGATGTTGACGGGCGCCGTCGTGCTGGCGCGGTAGATCTTCTCGGCGGCCATCGCGACGGTTTTCCGGTTTGGGTCGGGTCGAGGAGACGGGCGAGCAGGCGTGCTTGTACTGGGCTGCAGTGGCTGGCAATGAGGTTGACTGGGCCGTGTATAGAGGAGTAATTCGAGGGCGGCGGTCAGGAAGCAATTCGGAGGCAACAATACGATGGCGGGGTCTTCTGTGGTGGGGTTGACAATTCAGGGGTTGGCGGGGGGCGCCGATCAGGGACTTTTCCGTGTGCGCTAGTGAATGCGCGTTGATGAGGATGGAGGCAGCCTCATTGGATGCAGATTCTCCTATTCGGGACACTTCCCTTTTAGGACATGTTCCAACTGCACGAGCTCTTCGGGCATACTGTCCAGCAAGTTGATGGTCAATCTGTCTCAAGGCTGCACCGCGTCACAGTACCTCGATGATAGGCGGCACGATCACGCGATTACAAGTTCACCCAAGGCCGAAATGCAGACACGCCTGCTGGCTCCTATACAGGGCAACGGATCACGAAATCACAGGCACGGTTACTACGATAGAGTGGTGGTGATGGAGGGAAGGACTTCAATAAAGGTAAGAATACGGTACCCAATGCTCCCCGAAACCCGGCGAGGAGCAGATCCGACTCCGAGAGACCAAACTGGGACGAATCACGGGCTCTGTGAAGCATCCCGTCGCCTGTCCAGGAGTCGCCAGCATCCAACCCTGTGATTTTTCCTTTTCTCCTCCTTTCGATTCATGTGAGTCCCTTCCCTTCCTCGGACCGTGAGTCCCTCGCTCATTTCTATCAATTCGTCAAATATGTCGCTGTGCAGTGCTTTCAAAGCGCTTGCTAAAATCCAGTGTTGTTCCTCGCGAAATATCTCCGTATCGCTCATGCCGTGTCAAATGGTATCTGTACAGTACGCTGTTCGATTCTGAGCCACATATGCTCTTTTCAGCGTTTCAAATCTCTTAATTCTCTTCAATTCCCCTTTTCCTCCCTTTCCCCCATGTGTTATGTGAGATCAAGTCGCTCATCTGGAGAAATGCTGATGCGGTCCATGGATGCTGAGCACCCGCTCGAGCCGTCGGGCATATTCGTCCCCCTCGAGCGACGGCGTCGGCGTTGTAAACGGCTCGTCCAGGATCTCGTCGACAAGAGCCGTCTCCATGATGTTGCAATAGGGCCCGCGGCGCCGTTGATCTCGTCTGCGTTTTTGCCACTCCAGTGGCATACAGTATTCCCACATCTCCTGGAGCGGCACCGGAGCCCTAGTTTCCGTGTGCGTCGCACCCTCCGTGAAGTGCAGCTGGAGGTGTGCCAGAATGTGGTTGGTGACCGCCTCCTCGTCGCCGTCTGCTGTGGTGGTCCGGCCGTCGTCCGCGTCCGCCCCCACCCGGTTGCGCAGCTCCTCCCACCAGTATTCGAACCCGGAGCGCGCTGTTTCGAGAAAGGAGGCCATGTCGTGTTCGTTGGCCCGGCTGTTCGCCACCTTGATGCGCATCCAGCCGACGGCGACGTTGATTTCGCGGATGGTGTGGCATAGTGGGCAGCTTCCTGGTGGTTGAATGAGAGGTTCATAGTCGTCGATGTCGTCGGGCGATTCATAGCCGCTGTCGTCGGACGATTCATCGTCGCTGTCGTGTGACATTCTTTGCAACATATCTATGTCGCTGGACATTTTCTGCAACGTGTCTATGTCGCTAGGACCTGGGTAGTGCTCGGTGATCCTCACCAGGAAGTTTCGTGCCGCTGTGTACCGAGATGTCATCGGTGTGCGGGACGGTGATCTCTGCTGCTGTCGGCTGGGGATATGTTTTTCGAACCAACCGGGGAGCCCATAGCTCGCCTGGGTGCTATATGGCAGGTCGTCTTGGACATGGCGGCTCATGATCCTCTCGACTCCGTCATCCAGCTGGAGGTGCTGGTGGGCGGTGATGTGGCTCCATCGAAAGGGGGTCTGGGGTCGCAAGGTGTCCGTGAGCCGGCTGGTGATCCTCTCCAAGCCCGGCGCTTGATTTGCAGGTGATTAGGGTTGTCTGAGAGTAGGAGTAGGATATCGGCGAATGAATCAACGCGGCGGTGGAGCTGACGGAGGAGTTGTCTCCAGCTTCCTGAAAGCACACGCCTCCGTTGGATGCGGCCTTCTGGGTAGTAGATGCGTCGTAGGAATACGTGGTTCTGATTGAGGAGGTCCAGGGCCTGTGCGAGTCTTTCGCCGCTCAGATACATCTTGACTGGTTTGTTGGTGTGGATGGGTGGTGACGAAGGCAGTTCTCTTTGTGCTAGTCGTCAGATATCTGGTATGATCCTTTCCCGAAGCCGAGACAGGCGGGTTTGGACGTTGTTGGAACCCGCTGAGGAGCGCAGACAGTATCGAGTATTACAGTATGCTCTTCGTATGACCAATGGTGATTAAAATGATGGTGTGGGTTTTTATGAAAGATAGAGGGTGGTTGCTTGAGCGAGTGTCTATGACTGAAGACACGGTGAAGTAGTCTGCAGTGTGGTTTTGTGTAGGCAGAGGAGATGGTGTGTGAATGGGAAAGGACAGGAACACGGGTCGGAAGGGGACTATTTAAAAATTATCTTGCTTCTTTCTCCGGTGTGTAGGTTGAGGGGGAAGAAGAACAGAGTTCAGCCATGTGCCAAAGTAAAAATTTCGTTGATTTGCTCAAGGTTACGGCTGAGCCTGGATTGATTCCACCACATCGATACCCATCTCTTAATCTGCTGGGTTGGGAATCCGAAGTCTCCGGCGCGCAATCATACCTAGTTATGCCCCAAAATACAGAGTTGTCAGCACGGAGTTACCTTGATATTATGCAGTTGAGCTGATTACTTCCAGTTCATGGGTAAGTGGTCCAAAAAATTATGTATGCTTTCTGTGGCTGAGAGCCAACCACACAGCTGTACTCGGATCTAGTTGGCAGCTGAAGAGGCTATAGGGCTGGAACCAGCTATGTAAATGAGAGTCTATATCGATTTTGAGTTTGATCCGTAGCAAGCAGTATGCGTGCTGAGACATAGGCCTGTATAGGCTGCGCTCACCCCACAGACGGTCTATAGAGTTCGTCAGACTTCGTGTTCCCAACCCAGCAGATTGAGATGATACCGATGTTGTGGAATCAATTTAGGCTCTGCTACAACCTTGAGCAAATAAACAATGTTTTTTTTGGTGGCGGCTGAAATATGTTCGTCTTTTCCTTCAACCTCAACGCCACTAGCGAAACCTTCGTCTTCATCCGGTGAGTCACGAGAGCCCTATATGAGGACGGATCCTCGCACGGGAATCTCGCAAAGATCTTCTCCACGCACCACACACAATCACATCAATCAGATGGCTCCCACCATACGCAGCGAAGTCATCCGGCAACTGCCGGTCCACCGGAAGTGGACAAAGACCCCAACGGCGGCATCGATCACAGCGTTAGAGTTCGTCAGAACAGGGGTCAACGTGAACCTGCGTATGCCACGTTGAAACTTTAATATCGTTCAAGTGAAGAGGGTCCTGCTGCCATGATGTATTCCTCACACTACGCTATGCTGGCCGCTCAAAGGCGTCTCATCAATCAAATGGAATCTTCTCCGATCTAGCACTAATAATCTACACGATACCTTCAAAGTCGGGTAGGAGGTGAGTAGTGAGTAAGGGCAGGAACATATGCCCATACGACCCATACAAAGACAATTCTCTAAGACCGCCGGGACACAACCGTGGGCGGTTGACAGTCGGCCGTCAGAGGATAGTGTGCATTGCCACGAGACGCCTTTACTGAAGGACACTTCATAGCGAAGCTCTTGATCGCTTTCCCAGCGCTCCGCCTCTTCGGCCACAGCGCCGGCATGTGGCCCGGAACCAACCGTATGTTACTATCGTCCTACCTACCACCCTTTGTGGATTACCGTGGCCTTGCCCCGGGGCCTCGCCAGTGCATTTCGCATTGGTACAGGATCGATTTGTTTGTCTGTCTGAGCCAACCAATTGTGTGAATGAAGCTCGGGGCAGTCGACGGAGCTCGTATCGTACGGTGTTACGGGTGTAACAAGATGCCGAGAGTTACCCGGGCGGGATCCACTTGGCGCGTGGTGGGGTTGTAGGGCTGAAGGAGACAGACAGCTTCAAAGTTGGAGCTTTTGTAATTGTTGACGACAGCTGCTACCCAAATTGCACATTTCCCACGACAAGGGATGGCAATGTGCAACACCCACATGCCAACATGACCGACAACACAAAGGCCAAGAAGGCCCAGAGCAAGACCATCGTCTTTCTGCACCCGGACCTTGGCATTGGCGGAGCTGAGAGGCTGGTCGTCGATGCCGCAGTCGGCTTGCAAAACAGAGGACACAAGGTTGTCGTCTTCACAAGCCACTGCGATCCGGCACACTGCTTCGACGAAGCTCGAGATGGTATGTACAAAGTTAGGGTACCAGACTATAGCTCAACTGACACTGCCTACAACTAGGCACTCTCGATGTCCGCGTTCGCGGCAACACCATCGTCCCTCCCTCCATCCTGTCCCGCTTCAGCATCCTCTGCGCCATCCTACGCCAACTCCACCTGATCATCCAGATATACCTCACCTCGGAGCTGAAGCAACTAAATCCCGACATCTACTTCGTCGACCAGCTCAGCGCCGGCCTCCCCCTCCTCCAGCTGCTACACCCGAATGGCCGCATATTCTTCTACTGCCACTTCCCCGACCTCCTGCTAGCACAGGGCCGACAGAAATGGTGGAAGCGAGCCTACCGAATCCCCTTTGACATGTGGGAGCATTGGAGCATGATGTTCGCCGACACCATCGCCGTAAACTCGAACTTCACAAAGGGCGTGGTCCGACGGACGTGGCCGGCACTGGCCCGACGCAAAGACCTGCAGACCGTCTACCCCTGCGTCGACACCAACCCCAAGGACAGAGAATCGGACGGCGTGCCGCTGTGGCGGGGCATGAGGTTTCTGCTGAGCATCAACCGCTTCGAGCGCAAGAAGGACATCGCCCTGGCCATCAAGGCCTTCGCCGGCCTGAGTAAGGAGGGGCGCAAGGGCGTCCGGCTCGCTGTGGCCGGAGGCTACGATCCGCGCGTCGCCGAGAACGTCAGCTACCACAGGGAGCTCGTGGAGCTGGCTGAGTCGCTGGGTCTAAGCAACATGACCGTCAAGACGCCGTCCACGGCACAAGCTGTCCCCGCTGACGTCGAGGTGGTGTTTCTCCAGAATGTGGCGAACGTGTTGAAGGAGATGCTGCTATCTTCGGCGCGGCTGCTCGTCTACACGCCCTCCAACGAGCACTTTGGCATCGTGCCCCTCGAGGCCATGCTGGCGGGTGTCCCCGTTCTTGCCGCGAACACGGGCGGGCCCACCGAGACGGTCGTCGAGGGAGAGACGGGCTGGCTGCGCAGCCCGGATGCGGTGCAGGAGTGGACCGACGTCATGGACAGGGTTCTCAACCAGATTAGCCCTGCGGATCTAGCCAAGATGTCCCACGAGGGCGTCGCGAGGGTCAAGAACGGCTTTGGCGGGGTGCAAATGGCGGAGCGACTGGATTCGATCCTAGACGACATGCTACGGGCGCATAAGTCGCGGTCGAAGAGGGCGGTCCTGCTCCCCTTCATGGGGTTCTTGGGTGTGATTGCTGCGGCGTTGGCTGTTGTGCTCCAGGTCCTGCGATGATAGACGAGCGGGTGTGAATGGTGAATGCTGATAGGGGATGATGATGAGGCTACTTCGTCCATGCGATACCCATTTGATGTACGTCTGACTTTGCTTTCTCTGTTAATAGCAGACCACTTACTCACCTAAATTGCTTCCGTGATCACAGTCTGCACCTCTACCCTCTATTAATGGGCCAAGTTGCCCGACCCTTTCCACTCCAAACACTTCCACACCACACATTCCAGGAAACCTCCCAACCCAACAACATCCACAACAGCATCTCATATACCACAGAATCCAGCAACATGTCAGGCGACAGGAACCAATATGGCGGCAGTCACTATCCCATGAACCCCCCCCCCCCCCTCTCGTAATTACGCGCAAGAGGTACAGACCGCCAGGGCGCCTCCCGGAGGCGAGGCTATAAAGAAGGCCAATGATACCGCGAGAAAGATAGAAGCAGCCAGGTCCGAACAACAAGCAGCGCGAGGCTTTGATAAGTCTGACGATGATACATTCATTCCTAACATTAAGTATTGAGGAGGTAGTAAATACGTTTACGGTGTTGGGATTAGGAGGACTAAGGGGGGTGGGAGGAGATGTTGGTAGGTAAATTTCGGCCCCTTGCGGGAAGGAGGGAACCTTCTCCCCTAATTGATTGATCTATTTTATTATGTGATCAATTTATTGCAAAGATCTTCCTGAATGACAACAAAGATCGTGAGTATTGGTCATCGCATCAAGCGCCCTCATATTACCCACCATGTTGTATTTCTTTCAAAATGAAGATCAAGCCGTTGGTTGCGTTCATCACCTCAAAGCCGCAGGGACTGGATGCGACATCTTGTGGCCACGGGGCAAAGAGCAAATCAATGTCAAGGCAGTACGAGTAGAATCCTACCCTCAAAGCATACAGTTGTAAGCGTATAACTACCTAACTACCTTGATTGATTTAGAAGCTACGGGGATCTGGCCCGAGGCCCGGACCTGGGGTGGTTTCTTGTGAGGATGAACGTCGTTGCAATACACGAGCACGAGGAGAACGGGACGAGATCATCATCAGGCCGTGTATAGGTAGTTAAAATCATACTTCCATGGTACACTTCGTAGGGTGCTCTGGAGGTCGGCATGCGGTTCTACTCATTAACGTCTGTGGCCGGGTTCGGGGCGTAGCTCTGTGACAATCAAGTAATTGGAACAGCAGTTTGCATAATCAGTGATCAGTTGGCATGAGGACATTACCGGCTCAATTGATTGGGAAGGCTGACTAGCAGCTCACTGCTTATTCACCGCGAAATACTATTCGACCGCTTGGGGTAACGGCGTCAGCGCGAGTAAGCTTCACCGTAGGGCGTGCGTCCGGTCCGTAACATTCATTTTCATACCTTATTTATCACGTCTTGGGAACTCCAGAAAACGTCAAGCATACCTACCTACGTAGGCAGCCTTAGAATTAGATAAGACAGTCTTGAAATGTTATCAATATTGAACGTGTGTCGGTGTCGAATCTAAGGTTGTTGATGATGCAGGTGGTGACAGCTCAATAAGGCTCGACTCCTGACTCCTGAGAAGGATTTGAGTTCTCCCCGCTTTCGGACCCTGCTGCAGCTACGAACCCCCACTATGAAAACTTTTGCTGACTCTTGGGCCTGGCCTGGCCTGAGCTGACTTGGGGCCCCAGCCAGCAAACAAGCGTGGGCGACCCCTCTCCTGATCTTCACCCCCCACCATGGCACGCTATTGGATCATCCAGCCAGGGTTGATGTGTTGCTGGAAGACCCCTCCACCCCTCCTCACCGCTAACAATAAGTCTGCACCCAACGGAGCACTTCCTCATCCTCCTCGACTTCTGCCCTTCATTTTTCTTCTTCTCCCTCTCCCCTCACAAAACTCCCCAACCTGTCCTCTCCTTCCCTCGACAGTTGTTGTTGACACTTTCTTCCAATTCACGGTACTGCAGAGGTTTGGAAGCGGCAATCTGTTTCTCTCGTAAGCCCCTCCATTTGACCCCCTCTCCCCTCTCCCCTCCTTCAGGACCCTCGAATAAAAGAACTAATCGCTGCTACCATAGAAAACCCCTCTTCTCCCACATACCACAAACCGCCCTCAGGATGGTTCAGTCAGCCGTTTTGGGTTTCCCCCGCATGGGTGTAAACCGTGACCTGAAGAAGGCCACCGAAGCCTGTGAGTACCTACTCTACAACGACTATAGTGCACATCGCTGACCCGAGACTCGAAGACTGGGCTGGCAAGCTGTCCCAGGATGACCTCCTCGCCGAGGCCAAGCGCCTCCGTCTCGCACACTGGAAGATCCAGAAGGATGCTGGTGTCGACATCATCCCGAGCAACGACTTTGCTCTGTACGACCACGTCCTTTCCCACATTCAGGACTTCGGTGTAAGTCAACTCAACCTCTAGCCCCCTTGCAATTCGACCTCGTGCTGACATTAGCTTCTGCACAGGCTGCTCCCGAGCGTTACACAAGCTCCAACCTGAACCCTGTCGATGAATACTTCGCCATGGGCCGTGGCCACCAGAAGGGTGGCGTCGATGTCCCCAGTTTGGAGATGGTGAAGTGGTTTGACTCAAACTACCACTACGTCAAGCCCACTCTGCAAGACAGCCAGACCTTCAAGCTCAGCTCCAGCCCCAAGGCTGTTGCCGACTTTGTCGAGGCCAAGGAGGCTGGCATCAGCACCCGACCCGTCCTGGTTGGCCCCGTGTCATTCCTCACCCTGGGCAAAGCCGACCGTGGCCAGAGCGTCGACCCCATTGACCTCCTCGAGAAGCTGCTGCCTGTCTACGAGGAGCTCCTCGTCAAGCTGAAAGAGGCTGGTGCCGAGACCGTCCAGATTGACGAGCCTATTCTCGTCTTCGATCTTCCCTCCAAGAGCAAGGATGCTTTCAAGCCTACCTACCAGAAGTTTGCCAGCCTCGGTGACAAGATCCCGAAGCTCGTCTTCACCACTTACTTTGGTGATATCGTTCACAACCTCGACCTTGTGCCCAAGGATATCTACGCCGTCCACGTTGACCTGGTCCGCAACCCAGAGCAGCTGGACACCGTGCTGGGCTCTCTTGGCCCCAATACCATCCTCTCTGCTGGTGTTGTTGATGGCCGCAACATCTGGAAGACCAACATGAAGCGTGCTATCGAGACCGTCGAGGCCGCCGTCCAGAAGCTGGGCAAGGAGCGCGTTGTCGTCGCCACCTCCAGCTCTCTCCTCCACACTCCCCACACGCTTGCCAGCGAGAAGAAGCTGGATGCCGAGATCGCCGACTGGTTCTCGTTTGCCTCTGAGAAGGCTGTCGAGATTGCTATCATTGCCAAGGCCGTGACTGAGGGTCCTGCGGCTGTCCGGGAAGCTCTCGAGGCTAACGCCAAGTCCATGAACGCTCGTGCAACCTCGAAGCGCACCAACAACCCTCAGGTCAAGGACAGACAGTCCAAGATCCAAGCCTCAGATTACAACCGCAAATCCGAGTTCCCCACGAGAATCTCCCAGCAAGAGCAGAAGCTCAAGCTTCCCCTCTTCCCTACCACCACCATCGGTTCTTTCCCCCAGACCAAGGAGATCCGGATACAGCGGAGCAAGTTCACCAAAGGTGAGATCACCGAGGCCCAGTACGACAAGTTCATTGAGCAGGAGATCGACATGAACGTCAAGATCCAAGACGAGCTTGACCTCGATGTCTACGTCCACGGTGAGCCTGAGCGTAACGACATGGTGCAGTACTTCGGTGAGCGCCTGGACGGCTATGCATTCACCACTCATGCCTGGGTTCAGAGTTACGGCTCTCGCTGTGTCCGACCCCCCATCGTCGTCGGTGACATCTCTCGCCCGGCCCCCATGACTGTCAAGGAGTCCAAGTACGCCGTGTCCGTGTCCAAGAAGCCCATGAAGGGTATGTTGACTGGCCCGGTCACCTGCCTCCGATGGTCGTTCCCTCGTGACGATGTCCACCAGTCCGTCCAGGCTGAGCAGCTTGCTCTCGCTCTGCGTGACGAGGTCGTCGACCTTGAGAAGGCCGGTGTCGACGTTATCCAGGTCGATGAGCCCGCGCTCCGTGAGGGTCTGCCCCTACGAGCGGGCAAGGATCGAGACGCGTATCTTGACTGGGCCGTTAAGGCCTTCAAGCTCTCGACCGTCGGTGTTGAGGACTCGACTCAGATCCACTCGCATTTCTGCTACTCGGAATTCCAGGACTTCTTCCACGCCATTGCCGCTCTTGACGCCGACGTGCTGTCCATTGAGAACAGCAAGTCTGACGCCAAGCTGTTGAGCGTCTTCGTGGACTCTGCCTACCCGCGCCACATCGGCCCTGGTGTCTACGACATCCACTCCCCGCGTGTTCCCAGCGAGCAGGAGATTAAGGACCGCATCGAGGAGATGCTGCAGTACCTCAAGCCCGAGCAGCTCTGGATTGACCCCGACTGCGGTCTCAAGACACGACAGTGGAAGGAGACCAAGGAGGCTTTGGTCAACATGGTCAACGCCGCCAAGTTCTTCCGCGCCAAGTACGCCAAATAAAAGGCGTTAGTGATACCATGACTTCGACGATGGTGGGGTGTGTGCGGGTGAAGTAGGGGACGTATTTCCTTACAGTCTGCTTTTCTTCATATAATCTGTTGCATGATGGCCCCGGGCATGGCATCTGGCATCGATTTCAACATCGGCGTTTCTCGCAGGCGTGGGTTTCATGAAAAAGGGGATCTATACCAAAATGTGCTACAAGCAGGCGGGAAACAGGAGCATTCAACACAGCATACAAAGGGGCAGGGAAAGACACTTGATACCACGGTCCATCAACCGGACCTGGGGAGCGAACAGGCGTTTACTGGAATTTGATTCGCATCTTCCGTATGGCAGCCGACTGGTCGCCATCCATGTAGAAGTAGTAGTAGCAGCAGCAGCAGCAGAGCCCTTCAACCGGGCGTTGATCATGAAGGAGAATGAATCTTTTTGGAAATGGTTACCTTCGAGGTGGCCAATCCATACGAGAACCTGCGTTCCGAGCATTATGATTGTGAGATTTGCATGCGTACGAGGGTGACTTGAGTCTAATGAAGCGTCCGCCGAGGTTTTGTGCAATTCCATCTCCGTGGTTCGTGTAGAATGGGACGATTCCACGGGCCCGACAACGGGTAGACCCATTCTCTCGGGACCATAGGTATTGCATCGGGGCGCACACGAGATCCTAATGGAAGGCCTCAATTAAAGTAATCAGGGTATGTCATGCTTCCTTCGAATTCACACAATTGTTCGGCTATTCGGCTGCAGGAGGGAGGCTCTGGAAAATAGCAAGCCGAGCTACCTAATCTTGGTCGGACATTCTATGCGCCGGCCGTAAATTGGAAGATGAACTCAATTATATAAATACTCCCCAGGATCTATTATGGACCATGGTGAGACGAGATGGATGAACGATGCGAGGTCTGGACCATTGCAATCATTGTGAAACGAACGAGCAAGGCTCTGGCGGCGTTATATTTGCGTTTGCAAGGAGGGGGGGTGGCTGTTCCTTTTGATGAAACAGGGTTTGGCCAGGTTTGTGTTCTCAGTTCTGGATGGTGGCTCGGTGGACTGTCAGACTGTAATCTTCTGCAAATTGATGGGACTACTTGCTTTCCTTTGGCTTTACTTGGATTACGAGCTTGGCTCATAAAGTAATAATAAGGTATTTGCTTTCCGAGGACTTGCCTTGCTTTCCGAGGGTCGCCCAGTCGGCCAGCGGCTGCGGTCCCTGATTTCTTCTACGAGGTAGGATTCCTGACGAATGAGAAGCGGGCGCTACGGGATAGTGAAACCCCGACGTCCGCGCGGGAGCCCCCTTCTGTCAGTTCTGCCCATTGCCTGATTTCCCGCTCTAGCGCCGTCTTGTCTCTACTTTAATTTTCGGTGCCAGGAATTGCAGGCGGGGAAAAGCCAGGCTCGGTCGGTCGCCAGGGCCGCCAACTAACCTCGACAGCTCGACTCCTTGCTCTTGGCCCTTGGGGTGATATTATCGCTGCATTAATTTCCATGACCGCTCTTCGACGAGACATCCTGGTTTCATTCACCCCCGTCTCCCTGCTGGCTGGGACAGATCGGACGACCATTCATGCCTTTTGGCAAGTGTCAGATTGCGAGAACTGATGGGTCGAGCAATCGCCTACCTACCTAGAGCTACTTGCCTATCCACACTTCATGGTGTCAGGATCAAGTGAATGAATGATACTACCGTCACGGTCTATCGACTCTCGTTGGGCTCAACCTCACCGCCAGGAAACGAGGCGAGGCAAGGGCGAGACACGACGGGAGGCGGACATGTGGCAGGCGGTGCCACACGAATGTCCGTTGGCACGAGAACGTGGGCGCCGAGTGATTTTGTATGACAGGGCGAGACAGAGTTCAATTCGCTCAACTGGAACAGACGTCCAGTGCGACGCGACAGGACAGCTTCTGACGCCTGAGCTGAAAAAAAACAAAAAAACACCTCATTCATGGTGAATTTCCGACGAACCAGACTTCATGACGCTTCCAACAAGACGGACCCGACTTGCGACGATGCCCTCAGACGGGTCTACATGCTTCCGAGGACGGCCTTTTTATTATTCGCGCATCTGGGACGCAAGCGCGACCGAGATGCCGACGGCGGTCTTCCTTTCTTTTCAGCTGGCGGAGTCGCGCATTCCAACCGATCGATTCCACCACAGCTGCACAGCTGCAGTCAGCCCCGAGAACAGGGCTACGAAAATTGAAAATTGAAAATCTGTGCGTCCTGAGTCCTGAGTCCTGAGCCCTGACCGCTGATGGGATAAGTACGGTACCTACGTTACGAGAAGCCTACTACTGGCACGGCTCTGTGCATTTATCTCCTGCAATCTGCATTCCCACTCCTCCAGGAGCCTACTTGCCTGGCTAGCCTGGGCCAGAGGAGCATTTGACATTGGACGATCCATCGTCGTGTGGACAAGGCGAGCCGCTTCCCCAGTTGACAGTTCTACTTTCACAGTATGGCTCATCCTGATCTGTAATAAACTTTCGTCCCTAGCTTTCGGGCCTTGCCGTTTGGGTACGACAGGACAGACGCTTATGTACGGCGGCAAGCGGTACGAAGCCAGCGCAAACGACGGCGGGCGACCATGTCCTCGTCGGCGTGCTAATGGCGTGGTGTGCAATCTCACTGGCCGGGAGAACTGTTGTGACAGTCTGGCAGATCCTGTTTAGCCACCGCCAATTCCCCATTGGCCGGCGTTGTCGTTTCACGGCGCTGTACCTGCATCGACCCGACAGGGGCCCGCGCTCGCGTTGAATTGAGGCGTGGGGCTCAGGGGCTGCCGTCTGGCCCGTCTCTCGCCTGGTCCTCGTCGTCTTCTTCCCAGTTCGGCCTGGTCCCCCGGCAGGGTGCCAGCTCTCACACCCACATCCCCGGTGAGAACCCATCAGGAAGTCGACGGTGGAGTCACAGCACTCCTGCGATTAGATTATTGCCATGGTTCTCTCTGCTGGTGGAGGCTGTGCCCAACAAGCAGACCCCCGCCTCCCCCGACCTGTAAAAGGGCTCGTCCTCCAAGCTGCGAAGCCTCTCTTTTCCCCTTTCCCTCTCACCTCTTGCGTGTCACCCTCTTTTCGAGTCTATCTCACAGTCCCTCTTTTTCTTCGACCTCGTCGTCCTCCACATTCCTGCATTGCTAGCAGTGTTCAATTCTACACACATCCTTCTTTACCAACGGCAACTGTGTCTGCTCAGCCTTCGCGGAATCGACTTTCGCTCACTCACCAACACTGTATTGCATCTTGCAACCGTCCACTCTTTCGACGACAAACGAAGTACCTTCTCCATCCGAGATCAGACCATCAGGAAAAGAAACCGCAGACTTGATCACGAGTCTAACGTTCAGCAACTTGCCAATTATACCGAGACCTTGTCCAAATAAACCATCAAAATGAAGTCCGCTACCGTTGCCTTCGGCCTTTTCGCCGGCCTAGCTTCCGCGAACTCCTTCCACCCCCGCCACTTCCACGGACCCTACGTGCGACGCAATGAGACCGCTACCGCTTCTGCCGCTGCTCAGACCACCCTGACCGTCGACATCACCCAAGTCGTGACCATCACCTCGTGCGCCCCTACCGTCACCAACTGCCCGGCGCGCGCCACCGGTGTCAACGGCACTGCCGCTGCTACCGCCCCGGCCGTTGTCACTGAGGTTGTTCATCTGACCACCACCGTCTGCCCCGTCAGCGAGGTTGCTGCCATCTCCAGCTCCATGGTGGCTGCCCACAGCAGCGGCCTGCTCCCCGGCTCAACCGAAACTGCCCCCGCTACCTCCGACAGCCCTGTCCAGACTGGCGTCTCCGTCGTCCCCTCGTACAGCACCGGTGAATCTACCCTCACCATGACCGTTGGCCCTGAGAGCTCCCGCACCGTGATCACCACCACCATGCAATCCACCTACACTGAGATGATCACCGTCACCGCTGTTCCTGTCTCTGCGGGCAGCGACGTCACCACTGGGTCGGGCACCACTACCACCACCATGACCTCCACTGGCACCCGTACTATCACCATTGCTGGGTCCGGATCTACCACCTCGGTCAGCCCCGCTGGTACCGAATCCGGTTCCCCCGCTGGCTCATCTGACTCTCCCTCTGTGTCTGACGCAGCTGTATCTGATGCCGCTGTCTCAGGCTCCTCTGGCGCGGACTCCGGCGACTGTGTCGCTACCACCGTCACTGTCACGGAGACTGCTCCTGCCAGCACTGTCTACATCACTGCCGCTGCACCCACTGCCACTGGCATCAACGAAGTTGCGTCTTCCACCGCTGTCGCCGCTGAGCCCACTGCCACCGGCGAGGGCGATGAGAGTGATGATGAGGATGACTGCCCCCCTGAGGAGACTGGCGACGTCACCGTCACCGCCACTGCCTCCGTTGTCCCCTACCCCAGCGGCAACGGCACCGTCTCTGCCCTCCCTGCAGGCACTGGCGCTCCCCTGCGCAAGTACAGCCTCAACTACTAAGGCATATCTATCCACTCGGAACACTGAAACTTCTCTTCTGTACTATACCCCGACTGCCACGTAGCATAAAGACCACGACTGCCATGATTCTCTCTACGACAAGCACAAACACACCGCGAGCCAGCAAGCAAGCATGAACATACTTATACCCCCAAAAGCAAGCGAGCGAAGCACACATCATCATCGATCATTTGCACTTTTCGGTGGGCGGCCAGGGGCCTGGGCCGGAGTTGTTGGATAGACCAATCGAAGATTCAATCTGATAGGGGAGGGAGGGGACAGTCAGCCTAGCCGTGCAGCACCAGCTTAGAACAAAACATATTTTTTGGCTTTTTTTTATTCTTCTACTTCAAGCGTCTTTGCATTTGCCCAACCTCTTCTTTCCCTCTACTCTGCCACATCCCTTGGCTGGTGCTGGACCCTTCCCTTTCTGGCTCCCATTTGGGTAGCAACTCACTGCTTCGCCTGCTGAGTGAGATGTGGCCTGGGAAGGAGTTCGATAGCTGGATATGATGGGGCTAATGAGATGGGAAATGCTGTGGGTGGGCTGGTTCGTGTGATTGTCGTATACCTTCGATTCTTAGTGTATGTAGGCAGGGGTTTTGGTGAATGGATATTTTGACTGGTGCTACTGTAATTGCTTGATGCTATGTGTGTGTGACTGTCTCAACCCGCCTATTTCTCATGCCCTCATGAAGCCTTTTTGCTATCTAATACCCTGTAACCATTACCAACCCAAGCTACCTGAGGCGAAGACCCTGAACGGGAAGTAACTTGCTTCTATGTCGCCACCGCATGATACTGCGCTTCGGGTACGGCCCTGTGCCCGACCTCTACTCGGTACGTGAGCGCTGAGACTTGAACCATTGAGGTTATTGCCTCGAAGGAGTCTGCCTGTCTTGATGTATGTGAAAGATACCAAAGTACCATCGTCTTTGACCGAAATCCCGGGGAAGCGGGTAGCTTAGTGCCACTTTTGATCTGAGGGTTGATACATATACCCGGCATACACACGGCAACAGGTTTGGGTTTCTGTCAGCGGTTGCTTTTGCCCAAACTACCGTACCTTGGTCCTACAAGAGGAACGGGAGATGCGTGACCAAGTCACGTCAAAGACATGGCGAAACCCGCCACTTTGCTGTGTCGTCGCCCCCACGGAGCAGGACTTCAAGAATGGAGGTTCTGGCTGGAAGGTGAATACTCCTCTTTTCGTTCGCGTTCAATCAAAAAACACAGCCGATGAAGATGGTTGTAGGCGTTGACTGCCGGCAACCCCGTGCTTGGAGGCATCATCAAATCACTCCAGGAGAGATCTGATGTCTGGGGAGGTGCGAAGATTGACAAGGTCAAAGCCATTGTCTCGAAGTACGCGTTCAGTAAACAGGCGGATATTAAATACGTGACGTACCTCAAGCGATGAGCGTAAATTTGTTCGATGTGTTGGTTAGCTGGAAGGGTCCAAAGACCGTTGAGAGTGTCGTGTTGAATAGCCAGCCGTCGAGATAGATGTTGGACGTGAATTTAATGACTAGAGGATCTCCAAGACCCGGGTATGCAATATACCATCGTCTATCCCCGTTACTGTAAAAATAATACAACTAACTCCAAGGCCCTTGAACACTACGAGACCTCAAGAGGAGATACCGGAATGAACGGCTGTGTTAGATGACACTCCCATAGAGATACGTTTGACTCTCCGGCAGCACCTTACGTTGCAATGACTCCAGTCAGGACTATATACAATGTTTAGATTTCTTCTTACCACCTATCTGCTGGGGCGGTCGAGAATTAAGGCGCAACATTTTTTCGTCTCAGTACCCTCAGATACGTTGTCAAGGCTCCTCCTCTCTAGCCGAAGGCTGCTCGAGTGCAAGCATGCGGTCTGCGGATTTGATAGCAAGTTCTCTCACATCCCAAGGAAGCTGGTCATTATGAGCTTCCTGGTCGAATCGTCGGCGCCAGAAGTTCCATTGGACCAGGGCAATGGGATCGCCCTGGCGGAACCAAGGCAGTTGTTCCCCTCTGGAGCTCACGTCGACCGCTTTCACGTGGTGACCCCCATCAGAGTCGCCATTGTCCTTACACTCCTTGTACATGCACTCCCCCGCCAGGAGCATCCATACTGCAGCAACAGTCACATAAAGTTCCAGTTTCAGCGGGTAGGGAGCGTTGTGGTGTAGATTGTGGTCTTCATTCTCGCCATACTCGAGCGCCTGGCACGCGGCGCGAACCCCGTATGATCGAAAATCAGCAAGTCCATTCGCAGTCACGCGGGCGATGAAGGCATTGACGTTGGTCCAAGCGTGCTGCTCCGGGACTGTCCAGCCGGCGGCAACGCCGCAGCAGTCGTTCCACGCCTCACAGGCACTCGGGCCCAGCATCAGGAGGTCAGACCACACCTTGCCCGTTTCCCAAATCCAGTCCCTCCGCAATGCGACTGTCACGCGAGGCGGCTGAGGTGGATCCGGCCGGGCCTTGAGGGCTTTGACGAGGTCGAGCAGCTTTCCCTCCCGAGCGGTGTCGGTCCATGGGATGCGCTTTGCCGCGTGCAAGACGCCGTACCAGAGCTCCCACAGCTGCCCTTCCGTGCTCGGCAAGTTGCGGATCTCTTCACTGGGCTCGGGGAAGTCTTCTTCTGGTCCCCACATCTGGAGGGCCTTCTCTGGGTCGTGGTATTTGCGTTGATTACGGGCGCTGCGCTCGGCGGCGTGCAGTTGACGTCCGTGGTTCGCGGTGGAGTAGGCCTCGTCGATAGGATCGGCCAACTTGGCCACAGTTGCTTCAACGCTCGCATGGCCGGCCAGATATGCGTCGATAGCTGTCGTGTCAGCCTTGAAGTTGTGCCGCACATCGGCGATGGCATCGATCTTGGCTAGCTCGTCCAACTGGTCGTCTTTGACGATCAGGTCCACCTTCTCTTCCTCTTCCTTGGCCAGCCGTTGCCTTCTGGTCAGGCCATCGGATCCGACTTCTTCAACGAATGAAGACTCCGAGTCTGAGTCCGAGTCTGAGTCGATGCTCGACGCCGGGTTGCTGGCGTGCGCTTCGTCCGTCATTCTCGCTCCACTGCAGCGTGACTACACACGGTGGAGGCGTGTTTTCAGACCTAAGACGACAAGGGAGGTGACGCGAAGAGGCCTAGCGACCGGAAAGAACGTGGTATGAATTAACCAGAGAAAATGTAGATATTCCACTTTGACGACGCATCCCAAGCGCGAGTAAAATATAAAGTCCGTCAGGCCAAGGCTAATAGGGACACCGGATGACTCAAGTCGAGCAATATTGTGTGAGTCTCGAGGCGCAGTCGTCGATCCCGCCGACCCACCGGCAGGGACCAGGTACCTTTTCAGCGGCGACTTTACGACGCCGTTTGAGGGCTTGGGGGGTTGTTAATCAGCACGCTGTTGCCCAAAGAATCTCACAATCTCCATCAAGGGTATGCATTCAGAGTCCTGGTCAAGCACGCAAGACATGTAGGCACAGAGCCATCTACTGAAGCTTATAGAACCCCTCTTTCTTCTGGGTGATTTGCTCGGTCACGGCCGCCTGTACAGCGCTTTCGGGGACCCAGGGCATGATGGCGAACAAGAGCTCGTGCTTCCAGTATGGATTCAGCTGCACCATCCCCCGACGGACGGCCGAGTCGACGCGCTCAAGCGCCATGCGCGCGTAGTCTTTCGCCAGTATGGAACCCTCAGGCGCCAGTCCTAGCCGATTGCCTTGCGAGACCACGTCCCCGTCGACGGCGAGGAGCAGACAATCCACGTCCGTCCGTCCAGCGGCGCGCAGCTCCCGACACACACTCGTGCTGAAGCCGGCGTTGTAGGCCTTGGTTGCGCTGTACAGCGACAGCCACGGCATGCCGACGCGGGCGGCCGACGTAACATTCAGGGTCAGCGAGCGCGAGCTCCGTGACAGCGTGGGCAGCATCAGGCGCGTCATGTGCGTCATGTGCGTCATGAAGCTTGCATTGAGCGCGATGCACCGGTCGATGTCCTCGCCGTCGTAGGCCGAGAACTCCTTGAACGGGTCGCCGCTGATCGGGATGCTGCCCACGTTGTTGATGAGGATGGCGACGGGCAGCCCGGCCGTGACGGCCTCGACGCGCTCTGCGAGCTCCGCTGCCGTGAACGTAACGGCGTCGTAGTGCAGCGTGCGGACCTGGGCGCCCGGACGCAGACGCCGCAGCTCGGCGGCGGATGCCTCGAGCTCCGGCGCGACGTGCGAGTGGATGATCACGTCGAAGCCGAGGTGCATGAGCTCGGCCGCGTAGGCGTAGCCGATACCGGCCGAGGAGCCCGTGACGAAGGCCCAATTCGGGGCCGATGGGGATTTGCTCTTGTAGGCGTCCAGCGGATGCGCCGGCAGCCAGAAGTGGAAGGTCAGGAAGCGCGTTATGTGCCATGTCGCCCACGTGATGGTTGCGGCCCCGACCAGTGAAGGGATCACGAGGTGAAGAGGTGGCGCCATTGCGACGCTGGTTGTACTTTGCTGAAGGTGCTGCGATGCGCCTGTAGGTTTACTGAGCCTGGTATGGCTTGCGAATGTTGATCAATTCGTTCGACAGCGGCTGATGGCACATGATTTGTAGGTTTCCGTCTGCTGACTATGCGTTAATATGCAATAAGCAGGATGTCCGCTAAAGGAATAATAGGGTCAGCGCCTTGGTTTCAAGTAACATGTGTTAGTTGCTTTTACGACACGCAAATTCATCAGAGGTCACAACATATTAGTATGAAGCCCGATAATACACTGAAATTTCCCATCCATAACAGTCAATCAACTATCAAGTAGTGGCGCGGGGGAGAAGTAGAAAGAAAGAGAACGATATGAGCTTAAGGACTGCGGCGGCAGGAGCAGCAATAAATAGGAAGAGATATATGAACGGCAAGGCCCTATGCATGTTGCAGAAATCTGTCACCTCTGCTCCATGTATCATCCTCCCCAGCACGGCCAGTCGTCAGGTTACTGTTGAATACTGTCGTGTACCTGTGCCGGGTTAGTCTTGATCGTCTTAATTATAGTGTTGGACCTAGAAAACCCACCAGTTTGCCAGATCCCAAGGCCACAACCCTAGTTTCTATGTGACTGAGGGACCTGCCATTGGCTCGTCGAGCCAAGCGATCCATTGAGCGTACGCGGGTAGTGCACTTCAATCTCGCCATATGTGTGGTTCTGTGCCTTCTGGCAGGGGTCCAGAATCGGGGGTGATGATCTGTATTCTGGATGTTCTGCTTGCTGTCTAGAAGGATGGGAGCTCGGCCCATCCAGTAGGTCACTTAAGTACTAAAATACACCACAAAGGTACCTTGCCCCTTGGGCAACAATCCCAGGCAACCGACATCATACCAGACAGCTGGAATCAGCTGGATCCACAGTTCTAAGTCCATCGAGTGGCACTCAGCCCCTTGAGGTTGTATCTCTTCATGCCCCGGATGAATTCCTCCTTATCGACGATCAATCGGGGTCCCTCAAATTTCTCGTAGAAGGTTCGCTGGGCAGATCGGAACTCTTTGGCTTCAGGGCGAAGCTTGAATTTGGATGCGACATTCGCATTCTTGGTCTGGCTGGCAAAGCGATCAAACGGAGCCTTCGCCTTGTGCGCGAGACTATTGTCGGTGGTGGGGTTTCCGGGGTCCGCGGGGACTTGCTCGCTGGTTGACACGGTGAGCTTTCTTTGAAGCATTGCAGAATCTGTTTAGGAATCTGTTTAAGAGATAAGTAAGTCAAAATTTCAGAACGAGTCGTCTGGTAAGCACCGACCCACTGAACTTACCTTTCTTGGCAGCCATGATGCCACGTCGTGGATGAAGCAAGGCGTTAGACGCGGTTGATAGCAGACGATGCGTCGTCGGGGTACAGACTCTTCAGCACAACTATGTACCATATTCCGGGGTTTCAAAGATGATATTCTGCTGACAAACTTCAAAGAACGGTCCAAATGGTTAGTATGGAAGTGTGAATTAGCAACATGCTATTGCAATGTACAAATTAACGTTTTCTTGACTATTATCTTTGGTATATAACAGTAGCCACCTTCTTGTCACTAATGACGGAGCTGCCAGCGCTACTCTTGGTGGTGGTGGTCATCTCGACATTGACATGGGCGGTCCCCTTCGTGACTTGATACTGATCCTTCTGGAGGATGATAGAAGTTGAACATGGGCCTGGCCAGTGAATTTCCAGATCAAGTGAGTGGGCAATTAACCCTAAAGGGCGAGGTGGGCGTACCGTTGGTGGCACCCATTTTGTCGAGCTGTCGATCATGTACTATGTGGTGGGATTGAAGGGGTACTGGTGGCCATTACAGACTTCAGCGAGCAGGTGCGCAGAGGAGGGAGGTATAAATTCTTTAGCTTCAGGGCGAAGCTCGAACTTAGGTGCAACAGCCACATTCTTGGTCTGGTTGAGACATGACGTAAAAGTGAACGGTGATGGTACGATACGAGTATTGGGGAATTTATAGTGCATACACGAGGGCAGCTAGTGCTCTCTCTTCGTTACGCAAGTCCATTGATGTAGCCTGAGAATCGAGCTGCACTATAACGAGGGAGGCAGCCCAACCAATATGTCATTCCATTTTTACCCCCGTTCTCTCCTTACGCCCAACGCGATGCGCTTAGGCCTTTCATGCCGAATCGTTCCATATCCCTGGCGAACTCCTCTCGATCTACAATCAGGTGCGGTCCTTCGAATCTTTCGACTATCTGTGGTTTGGAGACATGGGGGCGCGCCGGGCCCGGAGTGAATGTTTCCCGAGTGTCGCCAGTGGAAGTGTAAGACTTGCTGTTGTAATTTCCGGCATAATCACCAGCAGAAGACATCGGGAAGAACTCATTCGCCTGGGGGCGGAGCGTGCAATTGGGCATGGTAGCAGCCTTCTTTCCACCGATGACAGCGCTGTCAGGGGAATTCTTGGTGGTGGTGGCTGAATAAGGGCCTGGTCAGTGAATGTTCCTGAACCCAAAGGGATAGGTGGGCGTACCGTTGGCGACATCCATTTTGTCGTGCTGTCGAGAATATTGGTGACGGGGTGATGTGTGTGAAGGGATGGATGGAAGAATGGATTCCCGCTTGAGGGCGAACGCGTCTCAAATAATACCTACAGTGGTAATTACCACCAGCAAACAATGGTTACCACTGTGCTCATTGTGCGGTTGCTGGGTGACGCCCGCGTGGAAGAACAATGAGGCACTGTGGGTGGGACCGTGACAACATGCTTCATGGAGCACACGCTCCTGCATTCATGAAAAGCGGCCTTACCATCCCGTATCACGGGTTTGCGGTTGACAAGCTATATATGAATATATTTATGCACGCTTGGAGGATGTTTCGACGCTCATACATCGTGACCTGGATCTGCTGTTTCATGGGAGACCATCAGGCATCAGATTAGATCTTCGCGTACTTGGATACGAAAGATCAACGATGAATTGCAGCCTAGCAACACATCATGGCAGTATTACTATCAACCGCTTCACGTTTGCTTGCTCCTCATAGTGCACTACAAGCCTATAAACCATGAAGTTGGTTATACGACACCCACCACATGACCATGTTTGATTGCTACAAGTCCACCCTTCCTGTTTATCCTGTGTTCATTTGTCATCCACGGCCAAATTTGTGTCTCCAGTCACCTGTGAAAATCTCCTCCTACTGGTTTGATAGAGCTATGGATCGGATATTATCAGAGAGGAAGAGTCGTGGAAGGTATCAGCAATAGATCAGGACGACATGATGCTTTAAGAACAAGTGTGGACGACTTGGAAGAGCATGTAGGGGCATCATAACTACGCTGGGAGCATGCTTCGTAGACAAACAACTGGTTGAGGGCTATACGTGGGGCAGTGTGTAGCTGTCTATTATGACGCGTGGTCAGTCTCCACGCTGATCTAGAGAACGGCATTGGAAATCTTGCCAAAGTCAGGATGCCTGGAATTATACATTGGATTTAGAGACGCGCACTCAGAATTAGAAGGATTGCCTTGTACACACGTCTATTGCTTCTTCTGCCCTCTTGTTTCATGCAAGCTAGTCCGTGGGCCTTTGGACAATAACCAAGTCGAACCTGTTGGAGAGGAGCGGGCTACCGAGAAGAAGTTCATTGACAGCAACGAGATCAACGAGGTCAACGGTGGCACGAAGTCTGACAGGAGATCAGTCCGGACCACAAGCAAGAGGGTGTCGAGCAAGTCGGGGCCATCACCACAGTATGGACATTGCACCCTGTTGAATGGCGCGCAAGCCACCGTGGCGTTCAGGGAGGTGACAGTGCACCAACAAGGCCAATAGGGCATTTTTGGGCCACTTAGCCCACAGAAGGATTTTCACAGAGGTACAAGAAGAACACGGATTACACCAGAATATACGTTTTCACCCCACACAACCAAACAAAAACAACTATTTTTCTTGGCGCCCCGCTGTTAGGGCGCAACCTCGATATCTGCACTAAAGTAGGCACTTCTCTCAGTAACTGACTATCTTTGCCAAGATACAAGAGAATTTTTCTCACAAGTCGGATGGCACCCTTCCACGACGGGCCCCCAAACACGCCCGTGGCCGTCCCAAAAACGACCACCGGCGGCGTGCTCAAATTCCCGGCCCCCAGAAAGACATACGGCCCGGCAACTCCGAGCAGGCTCCGCCAGGCGCTGCTTGACGAAATCAGCAGCAGCCCGTCACAGGTCTTTGAGGCTGACTTTATCATTATTTCCCCTCTAAAAGGGAAATCCTGAAATATCAATGACAACAGCACCACTGGAATGAAACGACCTTAATTGAACGAAATCTCTACAGACCAAGCCATTGCACGCGATATAGGGAATAAAGCCTCTTCCTCAGAGTGCCAGGACCAAATTACAAAAATACTGAATAAAGGCAGGCACCTTTACGAAACCAAGATAATAATGTTTTAAGAGTGTGCTGCAGCAGTTGACAAGACACTTGAAAAAGCCAGAACCAAATTACACTCACATGCTAAGGAGTTTAGCGCCTTCTTCTCTAAATGCCTGAGCGAGTGGCTGGAAACCCGAGATTCAACCATAAGGAGGGCCACTTCCAGGGGGATGGTGATGGGGAAGCCTACCATGACTTTCGCCCAAGCTGTCTCTTTTAACCACCGACAGCATCCACTGACAGTCAATACCACCATAAAGAAAACATAGCCTGGCACCCTTACTGCTACCAATCAATTAAAAAAGAAACAGGATGATCTCCGGGTCTTTGTCCGTATGGACAATAGCCACTTAGTGTGACGGCCTGCACAGACCTTCCCACATGACAAGTGGATACTTCCTAATAGGGGAAGGATCTGACCAAAGGATCCCCTTAAAGGGGCAACCTCCCACTGTACCTATCTCTCTCTCTCTTCCTTTCCTCTCTAGTCTTGATATTTTCGTCAATAGAGTAATAGCTACTTGCTGCCGGCCATGTCCCAGCTCCTCAGTACGCTCGCCGTGACAGGAGCGGATAGCGATCCTTCTGAATGATAGCATTCAGCTTGCGGTAATCAATGCAGAGTCGGAGGCCTCCATTAGCCTTCCGCGCAAAGAGGATATGGGCAGCCCATGGAGCAGACGATGGCTCGATGAAGCCTTTCTTCAGGTTGTCAATGATCCACTTCTGGCACGCTTCCATCTCTTCAAGAGATATCTTATACAGTGACGAATAACCCAAACTCTTAGGGTCAGCAGTAAGGTCAATCTTGTGATCTATTCCAGGCCGATGAGGAGAGAGCTTGTCGGATTGGATCTTACTAAAGACATCAAGGTGTTCATAGTGCTGCTTCGGTACCAGCTCGTGTGCCTGGCGTCTGAGATCATTATTATCTTCTGTTAGCATCGTTTGCTTATGATTAATAATGCGATTGATCTCGAATAAGGTAGTGACACCATCCTCAGTACCCTCTTCAGCCTTAACTCGGTCGAAGAGCACGGAACCGACCATGGCCACCTTGAGGGGGCGATGACGGTACCAGCTGATTCCGTTTCTTCTCATTATATATGGACCCTGAGCGTCATATTGAACTTGTTCCGATATAGATGGCTCATGACGATCTCGGACAGGTATGTACGGTGTTGTTGGTGAGGGCTGTCGCGACTCGTCGTTATGGAAATCGAAGTCAAGCAATTCGTTCATCCGATCTGTAGCTGTAAGGACTCTGCGATGGTCGTTACGCCGGGGCTGAAGGATAACCAGAGTAACAACCTTTCCAGAAGGGGAATCATCAGTCACCTGATCTCTCAAAGTTCCGCGATCCGTCATGGCTGGATGATTGTGAATTAGGTGCTCGATTCAAGCGCGTATAAGGCTCAGATCAACTCTTTCCAAGAGGGTTTCTATTCCTTTATAATTAGAATGGTCAGGGCATTTGGGGATCTTTTCCACTGTTGGAGCGCGGTAGTCAGACGGGATCACTGTGACTGGACCGAAGCGCACGCGTCGGGAATCGCGGCGGCATTTATCGTCGGTTTCCATCAGTTCGTCACGTCTGGCGGCATCCTGATCGTATGCGGGATCTTTGAGCAGGGATCCTGCCGAGTTCATAGGAATCTCAGGCAACGCGTAATAGTCAGGTGCCCATTCGCCTGGAAATAACAAGCGTTTCCAGAGAGAGTCGACCAGAACGTCGTGTCTGTCAAAGAACTTCTTGCCGACTATTACGTTGTGTTTCATATTAATTACCAGCAAGGGTACATTGTATACCATCCGGCCTTGTATACGGACATGGGCTCAGAGGGCCACATTGATGGTCTATGTGGACCTGCCATCGTATCCAGTTACTGGAGCGGGTTTGAATCCCTGGATCTTCTCCGCACAGAGGTGCTTAGAGACTTTAGAAACGAATGGCAAGTTTATCAGTATATATGCACCCACACTTGTGTCAGCAAGACATTGTGTTGTTAGGGAAACTCCATTATTAACTATGATGCAATCCAGTAATAAAGGGTCTCCCCCCAGAATCTGGGAAAAGAAATCAGTGGGTATCTTCCTGCAAGTATCAATGTCCAGCGCTGAAATCAGATGTGGTCCCCTGGGACGGGTGTCAGGTTGATCCAGGGTTAGACTTTTCCCTCCGTGGCAGGCAGGGCGGCAGCGGTAGTGTGACAATCAGGCCTGCAGCTGCGCTGGTCAGGGCTGATAGGATGAAATATCTAGATTCAACGATATCTAAGGAAGAAGAGACAAGGTAAGAAAAAGAAAGAGAAAGATAGGGTATATATATACAAAGATATGTGGAGGTATTACGTAATACCGTAACAGGTGGAACCTCCAGTCGTAGGATCGAACAACTTTGCGGAGATAGCGTTAATACGAGCCTCGTTTTGCTTCTCGAAGTCGTCTTTGACGGGACACTCGGACCTCCGGTGGCCGTATTCATGACAAATAAAGCACTGTCCCTTCGCGATCAGAGCCTTGATTTGCTCGAGCTGAGGCTTGTATATCTTGCGGCCATCAAAAGCAGTACCAAGGACTGAGAGTTTATAATGCTCGACCGTTCTAGAGGCAGGGCGACGATTAGGGAAACCTCCAGAGGCAGGGTTCGGAGTCTGGTTGCGAGGGGGGTACGAATTGCCTCCTCTGCCACTATTGTTCTTCGGGGGATTGGTGTTCTGCGGTTGACCTTGAGAGGTGTCGTTCTTTCGCATTTGGACAATCAGGAAATTCTTGCGTTATTAATAATTATGTCGCTGGACATATGAATAGAGGTCATTGTAGCTGACCGTCTCGTCGTGATACTTGTCTAGGCAAGCGGTGTTGAGACGACCCGGGAGTCGCTTGAACAACTTCTCTTTCCAAGTCGACTTCTCCTTCTTGGCCATCCTAGCCAGTCTCACGAACTCAAGTTGGAAATCTTTGAAGTCCATGCTGGTAGTCATTTCAAGCTTGTTGAACTTCTTCTTAGCTTTGTCTTGTTCGTTAAGATCTTTGTACTGCTCGTGTAGGTAATCCAGAACCTCCTTACTGGTCTTAAAGACGGATTCTCCAGTGACGTTGTCCGGGTTGACAAAGGGCATCAAGCGGGACGACGCAGTGCCACCCAGATGAGTGAGGATATACATGATCTTGTCATTATCAGCAGGGAAGTGATCAGCGTTACTCACGAGCTTCTTTCTGAGGATCAAGAACCACTGATCAAACTTGACAACAGGCTTGTCCTTCTTGATAAGGGGGTCACCAGTGAAAATAGGAGGATCTTTCTGCTTAGGCGAAAGGCGAGGACCTCCTCCTGGTCGAGTCGAGTCAGGGGTTCCTTCTCAACCGGCCATGTTAATGACTTTGCTTTGGAGAACTTGTATCATTTTGTCCTTCTCCTGGATCACGCTGCTCCATTGGTCATTGATTGAGTTGGTCAGCCGCGCTAGGAGTGGGCGAACCAGGCCTAGGACATAATATAACAAGACCCAAAAGTACAAGGACGGTATCTATGTAACAGGTTTGTAGCGGACTCCTCGAGACTCCTAAAGGCTCTGATTGGTATTTCTACACAGAGAAGCTATAACACTCTGGGCGTCCCAACGGATTTAACCAAGTATAACACCCTCCATTTGCCCCTGATCCAGATGCGGCTGAAGCGTTGCCCTGAGCAAGGCCTGGCTATTAGCAATGGCTGGTACCACACCCTCGATTTGCTGCAGGTTCCCACGCATGCTCTCCATATGATTTCCAATCTGGCCCGCGAGTCCCAGCAGATCCCCGTCCTCCAGGTCCGCAAAGACCTTCCCGGGGCCCCTATCTGCCGGTAGGGTATCGAGGACGCCGCGCGCCGTAATCGACGACGAGTCGTGCAGCTTCTTCGGAATCAAGACGTGCATCTTGCGCATCTGGTCGCGCTTCTCACGTGCTTCAGCGCGCGCATTGGCACTCAACTGGTTCAGCATTCGGTACTCCTGCTCAAGCTCTCCCTCCACGCGCTCCTTCTCGCGTTTGAGAAGCTCGACGCTATGCTCGAGGGGTTCGAGCTGGGCTTGAAGCGCTTGCACCCCGGAAACGGTGCGCTCATATTCCAGCTCATCGTCACGTCGAGAAGAATTCCCGGCAGGTGGGAATGGGATGCGGCTGACTTTTCTGCGCGTACGGTTCGCCACGGCATTCAGGGCGGCTGTTGCGTACCCGTTTTTCTGCACGTTGTTGAGACGCAGCAGAACAGGCCGTGAGGCAGAGTGCAGTAGGTCCGTCACGATGGAGATTGAGAATGGATCCAAGGGTGAAAATGTTTCCTCGATGACGTGGCGCGGCACATAGCGCTTGCGTGCTGTGAGACGCCGGTATGGCGCTGGGGATCCCGCGGAGTCAGGGGACTGAGAACGGGCTGGGGATGCTTCGACATCTTGAGAAGATGGTTTAGGTTTCTTGGATTGTGGAGGACCATCAGATCGACGCTTCTGACCCTTTCGCGAGGCTTCTTCTTGAATATCATCTTGGGCTGATGTCTCATTTTCTGAAGATGGCTGTCTTCGTCGTCTCGCCTTCTGCTCAGCGGGTGCTCCAGCTTCACCGGGGTTGCCAGTCAATGATGGACGACCTCGCTTCTTTGGCTGTTTTAGCTGAGGGTCATGTTCGCCTTCCGCATCTGATAGAGGGCGGTCTTCCAGAGAAGGACGACCTCGCTTCTTCTTCTTCTTCTTTCCTTGAGGTTGTGAAGCTTGTGTGCCCTCTGCATTATCATCAGGAGATCTGTGGGGCGACGGCCGACGCGCCACATTCTTCCCCTTCGTGGCCCTTTTCTTAATATTCTCCTCCTCTTGTTGATGGGTTTCTTCTGGGCTGTCTTGCGTTCCCTTGTACCACGGACCAACAGATCGGCGATCTCGACAGCTACGGCGAAGAAAGCTAGAGTCGCCTTCATTTTCGTCATCTGCCTCCTCTGCCTCGACTTCCATTCCCTTGGGAGTTGCTGGCTGCTTCCGCGGTCGACCCTTTCTTTGGGGTTGTCTGTTCTCTGATGAGAGAGCTTCTTCTGGTATCTGTTCTGTGTGATCGTTTGCTTGTACCGGCGGGCGTCCCCTCTTTTTAGATAGTATGATCTCTGGTGCTCCAGCCTCTCCTTGTTCTATTTCTGCATCGTTGCTCACTCGGGTCGGTAGGCGTCCCCGTCTCTTTGGTAGTATTGTTTCGGATACACCTGCATCTTCCTTCGTTTGGGCCGGCAGCTGTCCTCTCCTCCCAGACGATACTTTCTCGGGAGCGACAGCCTCTTCGTTCGGCTGATTTGCATCGTCATTGGCTCGCGACAATGATGGCAGGCCGCGTTTCCTCTTGGTGCCCTGCGTCTCTGTCGCCTCGCGGCCGGCTTCGGGTTCGGGTTCGGGTTCGGGCTCTGGCTCAGGGAGAAGCTCGACTCTGGCAGGTCGACCACGCTTCTTGGGACGCGCACTCTCATCCATATCAGTGATATTGTCGTTCTCCGGAGCTTTGACGATTTTGCCTTGTTTCGTGAGGGTGAGCTGGTTACTCGACGCGTCCTGATGGCCGTCGTCGCGTGACGCGTTTGCTGGACGACCGCGTTTACGCTTCTGGTTGGCAGCTTCGGGAGCCTGCGAAACGTCGTTAGCTATTGTATGACGGTGCATTCGACAGTCGACCTACCATCTTGACGAGAGCTCACTGAGTAAGGTATAACGCGCAGGTCTCACCAGCTGCTTCAGAAAGTCTACCAGTTCAGCAGTCGCGGTGATGGACGTGTCGTCAAATGTGGCTGGTGCAATCAATCAATCTGTCAAGTCAATGTTCTGCCTGTGCCACAAGCAGTGGGGAATCTCCACTCCAGCACCGACGAATCACGGGGCTTGGATGAAACCCTGATAACGATAGCGTGGTCCATCGTTCGGTGACTTGCAGGGCTAGCAGGGCTAGCAGGGATGTGGCAAAGCTTCCCGGCCAAGGAAATGGCGCTGATTACAGGTGGGGACTCGCGGGGCTTGGCAATGGAACTGCAACTTCCCAGCGAGCGCAGGCTGGCAGGGCCGAGCATTCAGCTGTGCAGTGTGAGAGAGCCCTGTGGACAGATGGGCGGACGAGGGATCCTCCTCTTCGTCCAGGTCCCCTAATTTCATTCTCTTCTCCTCGTCACCAACTTTGTTGCTTCATCACTCTTCAAGAAGTTCGTAGGAGTAGTCATCCTGAGGTTTGCTGTCAGTCGTCACTCCCTTATATACGTTCTGTTCCCCATCTTGGTGCAGTCCTTCATCTATTCCTGATTGAGTTCGGCTTGTCTCACTTTAGCGACCCGACACTTACATCATCCTGCCCCAGATCTGAGACCCTAGATTTGCGCCTGGCCTGAACTTGTCTGAGCTCCTCTTCAAACCGAACTTGAGCTCTCTGCGAGCTCTCTTCACCATCTATACGCACCTCACGTCGCCGCAACAATGCGCTTCTCCGCAGCCTCAGCTCTCCTCAGCTTGCCGCTACTGGCTGCTGCAGATGGACCTGAATATCAGGCCCAGTTCCAGCAGTACTTGGGCCAGGCGCAAGGCTACTTCGACAAGGTCGCTTCCAAGATCCCTCACCCCAACAAGTTCGATCCCGTTGCTGCTGCCGAGGCCAAGGCAGGCTCTATGAACATCGACGTCCTCGGCCTGAACAACTGGAAGGACACGCTCTACGGGCCCGTCAAGCCCGACACCACCACGCCGGAGGAGTGGTGGGTCCTGCTCACGGGTGGAAACAAGACCTGCTTTGGTAAGCTTTGGCTTGATTGCTTTGCACTTGCGCTGCTATGACTTAGCTAACTGGTCGTTACCCAAAGGTCACTGCGGCAAGGTTGAAACCGCCTTCAACGAGACGGCTGGCAAGTTCGCACTTACCCCCGGGTCTCCCCATACCGCTATCCTGAACTGCGATGACCAGCCCGTGCTGTGTAACTCGTGGTCCGCCCCGGTCGGCACTCTATGGATCTTCGAGATGCTCCCAGAGCCAGCCTCTATCAACATCTGGGCTAAGCGATTGAACCTTACCACCACCTCCTCCGATGATCTCATCCAGTTTCAGAAGAATGGTTACAAGTCCGAGGCCACGCTGCACGATGGCACCTTCCACCCCTTCAATGGCCCACTTGCGCAGAACCACGTTGCGGTTCCCATCGGCTGGGCCCTTTGGTTCTTCAACCTCCTTCCTAGCTGGGCCTTCATGATCTTGATCTCGATGGCGAGCCGGACTATGATGTGAGACACGTTTGCAAACTAATCAACGAGAATCTCACTAACCGGTTCTCCAGGTCCAACCGAATGAACAACCAAGCGAATGCCGCCCCTCGTCCGGCTGCCACTGGCCAAGCTGCCGCACGATAGATATTGGTTCAAGTCGGTGGAGTGATTACCGATAATACCGGTAGCTCGTGCATACGTGTGTGATATGCCATTTGCCGTGCCATTTGGGTTGCCATTTAGGAACCGAGGAATCGGCGGCATTTGGTCGCGCTCCGCACAGGCACACTAGTAGTTGTAATGAACCAGGTCACTCGGGCTTTTCTGGCGTCTTTTGCTTGCACACTTCTTGTATACCTTGTAGACCATCCAGGACTTCAGCTCTGAGCTTGGAATTGGCGAGTCGCCCATAGCGGAGGTCGCTCATGTTCCCAGCAGTTTGCTTCACAGTATCCAGAAGGGCAGCTTCCTCCTCTTCCAATTGCTGTACTTCGCGCTCCATGTCGGTGGCTGCCTCGTCCATGTCGGGTGTGATGCTTAACAAAGAGTGTTTCTTCGGCTGGTTCGTACTCGAGGTAGATCCGAACAACTAGAAGACACATGATTAGACGACAAGGCGCAAGCAATTTCATTCGCTGCACATGCACTCGAGCGCCAATTGTGACGTACCGCTCTTTCAATCTCGACTTCGTCATCCAGCTCCTCCACGTCCGCCTCTCTCTTCGCCTTGATTACTGCCCGCCGCAGCGCCTTCCCGGATTTGACCTCCCTGTCGATGTTCGCGGCCACACCGTCGACGAGTGCATTGCGCTGTTGCTGGAGGTCGCGGTACAGTGCACGTATCTGGGGGGACGCCTGTTGCGACTTCGGAAAGAACGAGGTGAACTCTTGCAGCGATATGATTGTCGGCAGGCGGGAGGGGAGGAGGAGGTAGTTGCGCAGGATGGTAGCTTCGCTTGGTGCCATGGTGAAAGTGCAGACCGGGAGAGCGGCATGTGCAATTGAGGGAAGCAGCAGTAGGTATAAGACACGAATCGAATGAGCAGCTTTCAAGAGACCGTGAAGTGCACCTTATGTGGTTTGCAGGAAGTTGTATACCTACATGTAGGTACGTACCTAACATTGGATGGAGGGAGATGTTCATTCATATACGCACCCCAGGCGTCTACCGGGGAAATGCACTTAGAGAAAGCGCGTTGGCACGTTGAGGAATCGCGTCCGAGCGCCTTCCTTGCCAACCACAACTGCCACAGTGAACGGACTGTGGCTCGTGGGTTGGTTGGACTTCGTATCTCAACGACGAACAAATCCGGGCAACCGCCAACTTCGCCAACCCGCCATCTGCAACATCTCTCGTCGTAACTCCGATACTCTGTCAACTGCAGTCACCGATCGGCGAACCTGAATGATCAACAGGGCTCGGCTAGTATATCATCGGCCATATCTTACTCTGAATACACTCATCGTGCATCTTTGAACCAAGTGCTGCACCACCAGCCCTGAGCTTTGAACCCAGGCATATCAAGCCTCATCCCACCTATCCCGCCACCAAGCACACCACCGCCCACGCAAACAAGCAGCAGCAAAGGCCCCTGTGGGTACCTTCGCACTAGCACTAGCCATGGCACCTTCCAAGCAGGAGAAGGCGCCCCCCTACAGCAAGGATGAGAAGGTGCTCTGCTTCCATGGGGACCTGATGTACGAGGCCAAGGTCACCGAGGTCAAGGTCGAGGCCGGAAAGAAGGCCGAGGACGCCCAGTACCGCATCCACTACAAGGGTTGGAAGGCAAGCTGGGACGACTGGGTTTCGCACGATCGAATTCGCAAGTTCACCGACGACAACAAGCAGCTGGCCACCCAGCTGCAGGCCCAAGCCCGCATGCGAACCCAAGGCCCCAAGGGCGGCAAGAAGAGTGGTGTCAAGCCGAACGGCTCCGAGATGAGTTCCGCTCGCGGCAGTGAGGAGCGCGCCGCCGGATCATTGAGTTTTGCCGGAAGAGGTCCACGACGGGGACGGGACTACGAGTTAGAGAATGTGAGTGCTCCCCCATTTCTCTCTTTTCCCTCTCTTTCTTTCCCGAAGCTGCATTGCTCTGCTTCGTATGTGTTCCGTATGGCTTTGAAGACCGTGTGCGCCGCCGCGTGAAGTGAATGAGGGGAGCGTCTGCCCCGATCTACGAGATATATCGTCAATAAATTCGAAGCACCTCCTCCGAGGAGCATGGATGAAGAAGAAGAATCAGTGGTACCTACCTGCATGACCAATAGCGGCTGTCGATTCTTGCCAGTGAATTCTGACCGTTGCTGCGGTCACTCAATCTGCATGGTCAGCCACTTGGCTGCGAGCTTCCCTCGACCAACACTGCATCATCCGGATAGTCGTGGCTAGGAGCGTGCAGTCAGATACCATCTGACCGTGGTTATCATTTGAGGTTGTGTGTTTGCACTAGGTCTGAACCAGGAAGCACAACTTTCGAGGGGAGAGGAGTGTGACAACCCGATCCGCAATTTTCCAGCTGCGCAGGAGGAGGACAACACCAGCCTGCCCTCACAAAACACAACAGCGGCAACCTTCCCATTTCTCCAGAACCAACAACCAGGGATCGGCCAACACTAGCACCCTCAAAGATGCTTCCAGTGTGAGCTCTGCCCTACAACTGCCCACCAACACGAGGGGTCGTCGACTATCTCTTCCTCGCGCCAACACCTGCACACACACACACACAAACCTCGATTGGTACTCTCACGTTTGGCCAATATCCTCCCCTCGTGGTCAACGAATCTTCTCGTGTACCAATTCTTGGACCAATTCCTCTAAGGATTTGCCATCATTTCCTCCACCTCTACACAGCTGCAATTATTCGCCTTCTCCTCCCCCGATCCAGTCTTCGACCTCCAACCTCCAAGCACTGATCCCTGATCTATCCGACTCGATGTCCGATAAACCAGCATCTCCAGAGGCCATGTCGGCAATGGATTCTTCTCCAGAGACCACCTCGGTAATGGATTCTTCTCCGCCGGTGGAACTTAGGCGATCTCAGCGCGAGCGGAAGCGTGTGATCTCTTTGGCAGATTTCGAGATGCCTCAGAAGCGAACTCGCAGCAACACGACCAAGCACCTGGAAGCTTTCGCATTTTCGCACCTCTCTCCCCATCGCCCTGTCAAGAAGCCCGATGCGGTCAGCTTCCCTAACCTTGCTGCCGACGGCCCTGTCAAGAAGTTCGAGGGTGTCGCTTTTCCCAATCTTGCTCCCGGCGGCGCATCTCTGGCGCAGGCCGAGTCTTCGCGCTCGTCTCCTACTGCACCCACCTCCCATGGCACCAGCTTCCAAGCGTCACCGGCAGCGACGCATGCACGCACGCTGCTACCGCCGCTGAGACCCGCACGCACGCCGCTACCGCCGCTGAGTTTCGCGCGTATGAAGCTACCGACACTGGATACCGCGTCCAGTAAGCCTGCACCAAAGGAGACTGCGTTGAAGAAGCCATCGCAAAAGAAGTCATCGCACAAGTCGTCGCACCAGACTTTGTTGCACCAGACCTCCTCGCACAAGAAGTCTCACCACAAGAAGTCAGCGTCCACTCAGGCACCACTCAATGAACCAACTGGCCGCAAGAAGACTGCAAAGCACACCCGCTTTCAACAGGGGACCGAACTGTTGTCTGCAGAAACTGTTGCTTTTCGCCAGAAGGAGGCCGAGTGCAATAGAGCGCAGACATGCAAAGACCACCTCATCGCACTGCCGCCTTCCGGCCTTGTCTATGTGGACAACAAGCAGCGACTCGTCTTCGATGAGAAGCGCTTCCAGCCTGAGAAGGTCATCTCCGTCCCAAAGCAGCACCCGAAAGCAAAGGCGGCGGCTCGACTTGGGCTTCTGCATGCGGCACTAGAGCGCTATTACGAAGGAATGCCGGCTAACGTGACTATTCCCATCGCGGGAATTCCGTCTTTAAAGCCATACGCCCCTCTCTATGCAGCTGCTATGCCTTTTATTTGGCGTGCCGTTCGAGCAGCCTTGACTGACGAGATCACTGACTTTTCACCGCCTGACGAGATCATTCACTTTTCACTGCCTGACGAGATCACTGACTCTTCACTGCCTGATGAGATCACTGACTTTCCACTGCAGGAAGAGGCATTCCATGCCAGACCCTCTGTCAAGCTTCTCATCCCGGATATGCTGAAGGCATTGATGGTGGATGATTGGGAGAACATCACCAAGAACATGCAACTTGTGCCGCTTCCGCGCCCCAAACCGGTCAACAAGATCCTTGAGGATTATCTTGCGTATGAGCGTCCGCGACGACAGGATGGCTCTTCACATGTGGCCATTCTCGACGAGACCTTGGCTGGCTTGAAGGAGTACTTTGACAAGGCTCTCGGTCGCATTCTCCTGTACCGGTAAGTGCTCTCCTCGCCTTCCATATCCCCGCCGTTCTCTTCTTGTTTGCCCACTCATTCGCTTTTCCATGCTGCCCTGCCATCCCTAGTATTATCATACTGACAGGCACAAGATTCGAGCGAGCCCAGTATGCTGAAATGCACAAGAAGTGGAACTCGGCTGATCCTGAGTTCTCTGGCAAGACCGCAAGCGACACTTATGGTGCAGAGCACTTGACTCGTCTTATGAGTAAGTCATACCTGAATACGTGTCATCTTATAGATTTGTACGGTTACTAACAATATCCAGCGTCCCTGCCGGAGCTTATTGCCCAGACAAACATGGATCAGCAATCTGTCAATCGTCTTCAAGAGGAACTGCTCAAGTTCTGTGGGTGGCTGTCCAGAAACCATACCGATTACTTTCTCAGCAATTATGAGTCTCCCAACTCTGACTACGCCGAGAAAATCAAGAACTAGTTTTCACACGGCTATCGGTGAGCCTTCAGACAATTGGCGATGCTCCACACAATCGGCGATGCTTCACACAATCGGCGATGCTTCAACAATCGGCGATGCTTCACACAACCGGCAACACACAACTGGCAAGGCTTCACAATTTGCGAGTGACTCCGAACGACGGCGAATGATTGGTGGACTACACCTTCGATAATGAACTTCACGACTTCCCGTGGGCTACCGTTCATGATCTCCTAGAGTCAAAAGCCTTTGATTTCCACGGACCTGAACACAAATACCATCATCACTTTACACCCGTTTTCCACAATACAAAAACTCCTAGTTTCCTAATTGGCCCGAAAAGACGGCACTTCACTTCCACAGATACTGGAGGTGACTCGTCAGCAGTAAGACCGTACCTCAAAGAGAGTCAGTGTCTTCGCCTTGCAGTATGGACAACACCCCAGAACTACAGAATGAGAATGGACTGTGTGGCAGACAGTTTCTTTGATACATTCGCGATCTGGCTTCTATTCGGCTGTAGGGACACAATACCTGTGCTCAGCTGTAGCATGGAACGAATAGTAACTGCAGAAAGAACACAGAACCTGCAACTAGATGGTCTGTTTGACAATTTCCCGTTGCGTTTCTACTGGTCTCTGCCTTGTCCTTGTCTAGGACAATTAGGCATAGCAGAAGGACTTCTTCATGGCACATTGCCACTTGTACGATTAGATCAGAAAACCAGGAACATAGAGAATTAAGTACATATGTCTCCTAACTTGACTCGCGTATATGGTGTGACATTTCTTCTTGTGCTGCTTACAGTCCCTGTCCTAAAGGCAAGACCTGGCTTTGACAACTTGGTTTGGATAGCACTTGCTTGTCACTTGTACCTCGCAGCTGATTGAGCTGATTTGCTTAGTCAAAGCCTTCCGATCCTGCTTTGTTGACTTGCGAGATAGTCCAACTGCTGCTATCTGCTAGCAGTCTTCCTAGGACGTCACTTGAGTCCATCGTCGTTCTCTATACACTATGCGATCTCTTTCTGTATTGATGTGCAATGTAGACACTTGCTGTACGATGAAAAGAGAGAGATAGAGGTAGCGGGTGTGTGAATTTTCTCGTTCATTGTCAGTAACTCCAAATCAGAGCTGTTTCTGTCTTTGTCTATAAGTAGGCTTCCGGTGATAGTGGGTTCTTCACCCCAATATGAGGCATTGTGACTATGTTGGTTAAGCTCTGCGGTTGTCGCTAGTCTTTGTACAGAGCAGGAATAGATCTGGCTTTCCTGTTGTTGTAGTCATTGTAGTGGTGGGCCCAGGTCTGCTCTTGGGGAATATCTGCTGCTGATATTGCTTGACAGGAATACGATCAACCTGAACTAAAGGACTGTGCACCGCTATCGTGATCTAGGGCACCTGCCCTTCTGTGTATGGTGAGGGTGGTCATGTAAATGGTTCGTGCTTTTATTGAAAAGGGGAGAGATGGGAATAGTACTGTCCTAGAGAGATGGCGATAGTACTATTTTGATGCAGATAGCGATGATGCTGTGTCAAGGCAGGGTATGGTATCTGAAGAGATAGCGTGACATGTTGAAAGTAGCTGGTGTGCTACTATTCTCCTGTTCTCGTGATTTATTCGGTGATCTGACAGTTGCTGCTGCCTGCATGGTGTTGTTTGGAGTTGGTCCTCACAAGGTCAACAGATCAGGTCCTGAAGGTAGCCAGCCGTGTATAGCAGATGAGCCTTTCTCATGATTTAGGGGAATGATGATGCTTTTAGAAGTGCCGTAATAGGCACTCTCTTTGTAGGAGTTACATGTACTGTTTCTAACAGCACTATGGCGATATACTGGCGCAACAAAGCAATTCTGGTGGGCTGTTTGTATTAGATATACCGCTGCTTGACTACATCACTGAGACATGGCTTTCTGTTGCCTTGGGTATTGTTTGCCTGAGTGGAGTGGGAGAGTCCCGTGCTTACTGGTTGTTCCTGTGACTATTTGGTAACTCCATCCTCAGAGCAGTATGCGTCTGTCCATGACGTTTCTTAGCTTCGACCTGGCCAGCAGATGCACGCCTTCTACTCACACATTGAAACAAGCCTGTGTATGGCCTGGCTTATGACATGGAGCTGGTGGCCAATACACACCAGGTACTTTCGTACAGTGGTTCCATGCTTACCAGCAGGCACATCTCAGTTCAGTAGAAGAAAACAATGAAGAAAGCAAGTGAGAAGTGTCCTTGTTTAACGTGATAGGAATGCCAAGCCTCATCAATGTACATGCCGCCAATGGTGACAGTGTACAGCGTTCATCTAGGTGTTACAAACATCGTACATCTTGTCTCTCTTCCATATGTCGGTCGGCCGCCAGAAGCCAGTATGTCCTGGTGCCTCTCCCCAGCCCAGCCCAGCCCAAGAACACGCTTAGTATTGCTCCAGGGGCGTCAAGCAAGCACCTCCTTGTTCACACAGAGCTGTCGCAAGTCCTCGTCAGGAACCCAAGTCATCCCATCCGCCTCCTCCTCCACGCCCTACCCCTACCTCGGCACAGCCTTCTCAATAAAAAACCCGGGCTCGGGGCTCCGCTCGGCGCGCAGCTCCTTGCTGTCGAGCGCGCGGTCGACCTCCTGCACGCTGACCAGCTCCTTGACCTTGAGGATCATACCCGCGAACTGGGCCTCGACCGGGTGGAAGACGGTCTGGGACCGCTTGCGCAGGCCCAGCGCCATGAGCACGCCGCGCGTGCGCTTGGGCAGGCCGATGGCCGAGCGCTGAAGCTGTATGCGGAAGAATGACATTGCCGATTCGGTTTCGTTTGGTTTGGTATTGTTTGTGTGGTATCTGGACTGTTGGAGAGAAGGGTGGGAGCTCGTTCGCTCGCGTCGCAGGCTAGGAGATCAAGTCGCACACGGCTCGATCGATCTGCCAGAGGAAAGAGCCACGGGAAAGAGCCACAATCCTCCAAACCGGCAGGTGCGTCTATCTTCCCAACCTCAAACTAACAGGGAAGGTGGCGATCTAGGTAGCCAGCCAATTCGTTATCGGGGAGGAATCGAAGCTGAGCGGATCCAGGGTTGATAGATCTAGGCAGGCAGAGTTAGTTTGAGCAGATCGCAAGTAGCTTAAGCGGAAGTCACAGAGGCAACAAGCAAAGCAGTGACATACCTCGTAAAACTAAATCGCTGTCAAGGCCAGTGGCACCGAATGGCTATTTCCATGGACATGCGGTCGTGAAGCAGGGGTGGGCTTTGGTGTTGAGGTTGAACTTTAAAGTGGATACACCAGCCGAGGTTTTGCCTTCAATCTCCAACATGAGGCCGTGTCTCGTGTCTGCGCTCTCTCCGACCTAATGTACGTACGTAAGTTACCTGTTCTCACAGTACCTACTTCTATCAAATTTCATGTCACTCACACATTGTTGATATTTCCTGTAGGAACGAACTGGATACATGTACATACATTCTCTGGAGAGCGGGGCGTAAGTGAATATGTCAAGGCATAAGCAGAAGAGGAATTCGTATTAAGGCCTTCTTCTATTACTCTCGAAACATGACCCGACCAGGTCGTCTGCATTGGATATGCTGTATCTTCTCGTACAGACCGCCCACCATAGTTGAGTGCCAACTGCAATATCGCCTTTACACCGGTCCGAATATGAAAGTAGAGCTCTAAGCATCCATCAAAGTCGCAATCGCATACCTCGAACCCATTCCCCGTTTCTCTATATCCTTTTCGTCTATTTTACGGAAACCTCCACTCTGCTCTCACCCACCGGTCCATTGTTGGCCAGAGTGGGGAGCAGGTAGGTGATGTCATCCCAAGGATGTCTGTACAAGCTGGTACGCAGACGCTTCTGGTCGAGGTAGTGGGCAATCAGACCGATGCTTCGTCCCAGGACGAAGAGACCGTTCAAGACACCCATCTTCATGTAATCCTCAGCCTCCTCCGTGTTGAAAGCACCGCAGCTTCGCATCAGGTCAACGAAGCAGACGGCAACGCAACCATCAACGTTGAGAATCAGGTTGTCCTTCTTCGACGTAGTCACTGACTCGACAGCCAGAGCGTAGTCTAGCAGCTTGTGGCTGGGGAACTTGGCCATGACGTACTCCTTAACAAGCTCAACACGGAGATCGGGGTTGTTCCGCGACTTGATGCGGTGGCCGATACCGGGAATGAGCTTGTTCTGCTTCCGCATTGTGTCGACAAACTCACGGGGGCTGAGGCCGTTGTCGGCAGCCTTGGAGAACTCCTCAGCAGCGCCGTCGAGGGCACCACCGAATCGCGAACCAATTGTGAGGAGACCAGCAACCAGGGAGCTGATCAGATCCTTACCGGCACGGGTGGTGATGATGGTGTTCATGGCACCGGACACGGCAGGACCATGATCGGCAGTAAGCATAAGAACCATCTCCAAGAATTTGGCAGCGTAGTCGGGCAGACGACGGCGGAACCACAGCAGGGACATGACACCACCAATACCAATGTCATCCCTGAAAACGTCAGAGATGGGCATACCGGCATACAGGAGTTCTTGACCACGGTCATCTGAGATAGTGGAGATGAAGGCAGCAGGCTTTCGGATAAGGCCAAGCTCCTGAGCCCACGAGTAGTCCATAGGGATTTTGGGCACGACGGGCTCTTTGGCGGGGACAATGGTCTTGTCCGTAACCAGTTTCTCGTAAACGGCCTTGACGACCTTGGGGAGGTCCTCAAAAGTGTCTGGGACGTGGATGCCAGCCTCCTTCATCATCTTGTTCTTCATGGCAGCAGTCTCGAGCTGAGAGTTGGCGAAAGAACCAGCGTGCCCGAACTGAACCTCGGTCTTGAACATGCTGGCGCAGGTACCGATTGCCCACGCAACAATAGGCTTGGTAATCACACCCTGCTTGACGGCATCGATAACCTTGTACTCTTCGACACCACCAACTTCACCGAGCAACACAAGGATCTTGCAGTCGGGATCTTTCTGGTATCGCAGCAGGTGGTCAATGAAGGTGGTTCCGGGATATCTGTCACCACCAATGGCAATACCCTCGTAGACACCGTCTGTGTTGGCAGCAATGATGTTGTTCAGCTCGTTCGACATTCCACCAGACTTGGAGACGTAGCCAACCGATCCCTTGCGGTACAGCTTCGATGCGACAATGTTGTCCATCATACCACCGGTGTTGCCGATCTTGAAGCTGCCGGGCTTGATACCACCGACAGTGGCGGGTCCAATGATGGTGACTCCCTTCTTGCGCGCGACGTGGGCAATCTCTCGTGCACGCTGTTGGAACTTCGTGTCAGAATACATGTCGCCTGTAGGGAAGCAATAAGTGCGGTTAACTTACACGTTCAGGCACACCCTCTGCAATGATAGCAATGGTCTTGATCTGGGGGAATTGCATCAACTCCATAGTTGAGCTGTACACACTTCGCGAGGAAGCGAAGTTGACGACAACGTCAACGTCTGGGTGCTTGGCCATGGCCTTCGCCGACTCCTGGTACACGGGCAAGAGAGTTTCGCTGGTACCCCAGTACATCTTGCTGACGAACTGGCCACCGAATGTGTAGATGATACCGGCAACCGAGGGCGTCGCTCGCTTGCAGATGAAGTCGAAGTCGAGCATACCCTGTACAGCGCGGTTCTGCAGACCGTAGACCAAGCATCTCGTCTTGTCGTTGAACAGGGCGTGTGCGGGAAGGGGGCTCAAAGGTCGGCTGGGAGCGGCGAAACGGGTGATCTTGTCGTTAGCAGACAGTCCACCCGTCGGCGCGGTGCCATTCACACCGTTAGTGGTAGCTGGTGACATGTTGGGCGTGGTAGATTCTTATTTTGCAATTGGGGATGGAAAGTAACTGCGAAGGTCACAAACAAGGTCAGCTCAAGAGTTGTGGTAAAGTCCGAGGTAGAAGCAGCAGAAATGGCGGAAGAGCTGGTCTTGAGCCTGAAGCAAGAGACAATGAGAACAATTGAATCAATGAGAATTTGGAGTGGCTCTGTCAGACATTCACAGAGGCGAAGGTGCGGTGTTCCCTGCCGAAGGCGGCATAGAACGGCTTCGGGGTCCGAAAGCTGAACAAAAGCCAGTCGCACCCAGGGGACCATAGAACCGACGTGGCTAACATGGTCCACGGGAAGCTCTGAAGGGCAATACAACGAAGCCCGTCGCAAAGGGACTGGTGAAATCTGACATACCGTGCTCGAGCTCGATGGCTGTATGTGGAAATGAGTCTTGGTCAGATCTTTGACTGCACACTTGAACCCAGTAGACGAAGCAATCCCAATTGCAGCTCTCAGGGAGAAAACAGATCGTCGGTAGTGGTGATTTTGGAGGAAAGGAGTGGATTGGGGGAGGAGACTCGGGATAGGTATGGGAAACGGAGAGGAAGGAGTTTGGTGAGCTTTGGCTTTGGCAACGGTCCTTGGGTGGATATTTTCGTTTCCTCTCGAGCTGGAGCCGTTCAAGAGAACAAAGTGACTTCCACTTGCCAGGTTCCTTCCTGTCGAGCCAGTGGCAGCCAGCCCGCCAAACTGGAAGCTGCAGGGCCCGCCTGGGATAGTGGGCTAGGCTGAAGTTGGCTTAGCGTTGATTGTGTTTTCGGGTTGAATAAAGTTGGCCTGTAACCCTGTCAAATTGACAATCACTCACACGCTCCCTTACCTCCTGTTCTGTTCGATTGCACTTCGAGTAAACAGCCTCGCAACTTGGTGAAAGGACTGAATGCACGTACGGTCGGTACAGTGATGTGCTATGGCGATACAACGTGTCACGTAATGTTTGTTTTGTTTCGTTGCTGTGGTGTCATGCAACGCAGAGTTCCAGAAATGTCCGGTGGGAAGCTGGAGCCTCGATCGGAATAGTTGGGGTAAAAAGGTTGAATGTCCACTGGACCCCTTTTCGTCTTTGCAAGCTCGCAACGGTGTGCAGATCTAAAAGGTACGGTGCTGTTGCATATTGCGACGGTGCGGACCTGTTGACCTCTCACAACTTTTACGGGCTTTTGCTGAGTTAAGGTAGGTGCAGCTGGGGTGTCAAAAAGGGGGGTCGAATTCAGGAATGTCAGGGGTGGCCGTGGTACTTGTCCAGTACCTGTCAAGACCGCCTTTCCGGGCTTGCAGGGCTGCGCCGCCCCGTCGGTGGGATCTCCACGCTCAAGTACCGGTACCAGGCTTCATAACATCCGATCCCCGACATTGAACATTGAACTACAGCGGCCCGCGTCTGCGATGTCAGCATGTCAGCGTGTGTGAGGGACGGGAGTGAGAGGAGGTTAGGAAGTATGCGCGCGCAGGTAAGCGTGCATGCCATTCTTCTCCTTACCTATCAGCAGCAAATGGCTTCATGCTGCCTGCTGCATCTCACTCCAACGCCATCCTTCTCGACGCTTCTTAGCGAAGCGAACGAATGAGAACGAGTGGTGGCATCAATTGCGGCTTACGCCTCCCTTCTCTAGTCCGTCAGCGAACCTCCGCCACCGGGCACCGGCGCGTTGATGGATGTCAGACATAGATATCAACTCAAGTTGTGCACCTACCACAGAGTTCGGTATTGAGTGGTTTCGTTGGCCTTCACTCGAACGCCGACGGAACACAAAAGGCGAGTCCGGTCTTTGCACGCATCTCCGTTCGTCAGGGTCTCATTCAACAGCCCGCCAGCGTTGGGCGAGTCCCCGTTGCCTTCAACGGTCAACGGTCAACGGTCAACGAAGGATGAACAAGGCATGTTGCCGGATAACCCCCAACAGCCACACCCGAGCGAGCATTGGTTCTAGCCGAAGCTTGGTGGCACATAGTCTGATGGTCCGACTCATTGGAGGATTGGAGGATTGGCATCAACCCCCTTTCGGTAACTCCGGCTGTTCTTTGTTCGGTATTGATACAGCTCCGTAGATATACCCGAAGTAGCCATGTGAGATGCGGGAGCGAGGTAAGCCATTGTGGGAAAGCCTCCGGTGGTTCATATGCGTATAGCACACACATACTATACCTATCAACATGAAGGACGGCATGGTAAGCATGTAGCGTTCGGTCCGGTGAGATAAGAAAGGCGGGCGACTGGAGTGATGGATCATGGGTTGACGACGTGCTTGCTGCCATCAGTAAGCCCTTATGCCAAGGTGTGACAGCGGTCACTGTAAGACCACCGCCATAATAATGAAGCTCCGGACCGAGTAATTTCTGCAGCCTCGTGGAATTAGAAACGGGTGCAAATAATAATTAATTGTCTTGGTGTTGGGTGTCGGTGACGGTGTTGTTGGTGTTGGGGTACCGGTACATGCGCCCTGATGAGCTGGCGGCAGGGCGCATTGGCGGCATGCGGCCCACAGGATCTCCCCAAAGGTTTTGAGGGAGTAGCGGCCGGGTACCCTCCCAAGCTCTGCTAGCATCTACTAGCCGTAACAGCGCTGGCCGGCAGTGGACTGTGAGCAGTAAACAGTGAGCGGTACAGTGCGTTGGGGCCCAGCTTTCCAGGGGTCTGCGCAAAACTGCACAGGGCATGCAGGCAGGAGACGGGGACGGGCCCGTAGCCCGACATTTGCAGGTGGTGGGAACCTTGGGAGCTTCGCTCGCACCTGGCCATTTTTTCGAATGCACTGCAGCTCCAGCAGCTCCGTCCTCGACTGCCAGTGCCTGCCGCTTCTCTGCTAGTAAACAGCCACCGCCATCCACCGTCTTTTCCACTTGGACAGTCCCCGATCCAAACCCGACCTGCTTCACAACTTCCCCTGTCCGCATCGTGACTTCACATTCTACCTCCCACTTGAGAGAAGAGCGATTCAATTGCGATCAAAGGTAAGCAAAGAGAAACATTGTACGCGTGTGGTGGTTGACGGCTGCGCTGGGCGGTGCATTGGGGATTCGCCCGGGCTCTTCAGCTGTTGCAGCCGAATCCCGCGGCTGGCTACCCTGATGTTTTTTGTTCTCCTTGTTGACCGGTTGTCTGCACTTGCACTTTGCATGCCATCAGACAGACAAGGGGAAATCATTTGCTGACTTCTTGCTTCTTCTCAGATATCGGCAAATAGACCATTGAACGAGATAGAACTGCCGACGTACCTCTTCTGCGAATAGCTCCCCTTCTCTCGTCACAATGTCCGCCAAAGCAATCTTCGAGGCCGACGGCAAGGCTATTGTCAACTACCACCTCACTCGTGCGCCCGTCATCAAGCCTAGTCCGCTGACGAAGCCCACCAAGCACAACGCTGCCCCTAGACTGGCATCGCTCTACTTCCCTGAAGACGCCGAAGTCAACGATGTGCTGAACCAGGCCGAGGTCACCTACCCGTGGCTGCTTCAGAGCGGCGTCAAGCTCGTTGCAAAGCCCGATCAATTGATCAAGCGACGAGGCAAGAGTGGCCTCCTGGCTCTGAACAAGACCTGGCCCGAAGCGAAGGCCTGGGTTGCTGAGCGTGCGGGCAAGAAGCAGAAGGTCGAGCATGTCGAAGGTGTCCTGCGCCACTTCCTCGTTGAGCCTTTTGTGCCTCACCCAGAGGGAACCGAGTATTACATCAACATCAACTCAGTCCGAGATGTGAGTGACCCCTTATTTGATGCTGTGCATTCTTTCGTAACACCCTTGACTTTCTTCGCCGGGGAACCATCGAAACCGTCAGCAAGCGCGTGGCGAGGAGAAAACGAGGAGAAAACAAGGAGGCCCGGTTGTGCAGTTGTGCATAAGTCTGGTGCGCGCAACTTGGCGGAAACGATCTGTTATGACACACAGGAGTTGAGAGGAATATGTGATCGCGAAGGGAAAAGCTTTCGGTGGTGTCGCCGTGTTTATATGAGCAATTGGGGAATGCTGGGCCCAAGTGGTCTGTACGGACGAACGGAACATGCACCTGGTTCTCGCATCCACTCCACCGACACCCACCCACTTGCCGAAATGGCTACCCTGCGCGACATACATGCAACGCGCCTTTCTTATCACATGTCAAGCCTGAGGCAATGTACTCCAAGGCGTACACGCGCGTCTCACGAATCAAAAGGCTGACTCTTTGTGTCACAGGGCGACTGGATTCTCTTCACCCACGAGGGTGGTGTGGATGTTGGTGATGTCGATGAGAAGGCCGAAAAGCTCCTTATCCCCGTTGACCTGTCAGAATATCCCTCGAATGAGGAGATCGCGAAGACGCTGTTGAAGAAGGTCCCCAAAGGTGTTCATAACGTCCTGGTCGACTTTATTACCCGTCTATACGCTGTCTACGTGGACTGCCAGTTCACCTACCTCGAGATCAACCCCTTGGTCGTCATTCCCAACGCAGATGCCACCTCAGCTGATGTTCACTTCCTCGACTTGGCCGCTAAGCTGGATCAGACTGCTGATTTCGAATGCGGTGTGAAATGGGCAATTGCACGATCTCCCACCGCCTTGGGCATCACCGCTGCCTCGTCAGCAGGTGACAAGATTAGCGTGGATGCTGGCCCTCCCATGGAGTTCCCCGCCCCCTTCGGTCGTGAGCTGACCAAGGAGGAGGCTTACATCGCGGAGCTCGACGCCAAGACGGGTGCTTCTCTCAAGCTCACCGTTCTGAACCCCAACGGTCGAGTCTGGACTCTGGTCGCCGGTGGTGGTGCCTCTGTCGTCTACGCCGATGCCATTGCTTCCTCTGGTTTCGCCGACGACTTGGCCAACTATGGCGAGTACTCTGGTGCCCCCACCGAGTCGCAGACGTTCTACTACGCCCGAACCGTCTTGGACCTGATGCTGCGCTCGCCCATTGACTCCAAGGGCAAGGTCCTGTTCATCGGTGGTGGTATTGCCAACTTCACAAACGTCGCCTCCACCTTCAAGGGTGTCATCCGGGCGCTGCGCGAATACTCTAAGCAACTCATTGAGCATAACGTGCAGATCTGGGTGCGACGTGCCGGTCCCAACTGGCAAGAAGGCCTGAAGAACATGAAGGCTGCAACTCAGGAGCTTGGCCTGACTGCCCATATCTTTGGCCCGGACATGCACGTCTCTGGTATTGTACCCCTTGCACTTGTTCCCGGGCGATGGGAGGAGAGCGATGCACAGGAGTTCCAGGGTTAGGTGTCATTACCAAAAGCGTTGTTTGGGACTGAAGTGGCTGAGGCATCTGAATGATCAGAGAAGATGCATGATTTGACGGGCTGCTAAGGCTATAGTTATGTACGTTGAAGACTAGATATCCGGATCTGTTGGTTCAGTTCTAGGGAAAGGAACGGCTCGTATAGGTGGTTCTAGAGGCATGGTTGCCAACAAAACAGAGAATAAAATGCCTATAATATGACCTGCATGTATGTGTGGCACTAGTGAGTCTCAAATTTGTAAATGGCACTGGAAAGACGTCTCTCCAAATGCATAAGCATTTCTACCAATGTTCCACGTCGAACGACTCTAGTATGAAATGTTTATGAGGCTTCAGTGGATGTGAGCTAAGAACTTACGGGAGGATCTTCTCGTAGGCACGACATGTGGCAGTGGTGGAAAAACATGTCGAAAGCGCAAGTGGATCTCATCACTACTGTCTCTCACTTCGTACATTGGCAGACACAGCAACAGGGCACTGTACCTTAAATGAACTGAGCGAACGGCTTCCATTGCATGGTATGGGTGGCAGACTAAACTGTAGAGGTTTAATGAGGGCCGTTCGACTAGGGCGACTGGTGATGCATTTGGGCTGGTGGATTGGGGAATTTGATACTGAAGTCTGTGGATCACTGGCCTGAGAAATGATATCAGATCGTCCAGGGGCACAGAGGTAAGCGTGGGTACTCGGGATGATAAGTTGGGGGGTCATGGCTTGTTGGATGTTGCAGAGAGACGGCGTCTCTGGTAGGGACTCTATATCAGAAAGACTCAAGTTTAATAGATGTAAGAAAGGGGTAACACAAGAGCCACTGGAGACACATTATAAGTTAAGCCGACTGTTTGTAAGGTTGATAAGAGATATCGTAATTATCTGGCTGTTTATGGGATCATTATATCCGCCAGTTGCTAAATGTTGATACGACCGTGATGTGGTGGTGTAGTCTTTACGGGCTGGAGATAAGATTATCATGTAAATAAGTTCATAAGTGCGTATAAGGGATGCTTATAATTAATCAATTACAGTCTTCAACGTCTAGCTACCTAGGTATTGGCCACCACTCGGGCGATAGGACGTGACAAGCAGTCCACCCGTACATACATACGTACATACACGTAGCTTCCAAAGCCAATTCATGGCTCCTTAATTCCAAAGCGTATAATGTCGTAGCCACGCCTTCACTCCTTTTAAAACTTCGTGCCTGGTAGTTCGGGCTTCGTAAAGCGATACGAAGCTTTTAGCCTCCCATACGGTCGGCATCGAGACTCTTTTGTACGTGGGTCGAGGCCGTCGACGTCGCGTCGCTACAGAACGACACGCGCCGTGATCCTCGTCTACCAGGTCCTGCGGCAACGAGCGGCATGTCTCGTTTCCCTAAGGTCTAGAGCCGTCGCGACGATAACGACGACGTCGTCGTCACCGAGACTACCACTAAGCCGGAGCTCCCATATTTTCCTTCTACAGCCAAAAACAAGTGCTGTTAATTCACGAAATAATTTCACATACAAATTATATGCTTTATTTTCTAAAACACTAACAACAGGTACAATCTGTTCGTGCCATGCCATGCCAAAACAGCAAACCTATCAAAAGTCTTTTCTATCGGACTTGCAGAAAGTATCCTCTGCAACCACATCTGAAAGCCAAACACACCCTCTGCGCACTAGTGTACATTCCCTCCCTCCCTCCCATTCATCATCTCATATTAAAGCATGTCACATGATTGAGGATGATGTAGCTCTATAACGCCATCAACAGCAAGGTGACTGCCAGGGAAATCACCACGAGGACCACCGCGTACGACATCTGCGGCCGCGTGAACTTGACCCCGGCAACGCTCCTCTGGGGATTCGTGTCTGCATTCCCCCAAGCCGCCGTTGACGAAGACGCTGCTGACGAAGATGCTGCTGACGAAGATGACGACGAGGATGGTGCTGCGGCGCTGGCTGTGGCCACTACACCAGGGATGGCTCCTACTGGGGACTTGTTTGCGGCTGCCGCTGCGCAGGCGGCCGTGTTGTCTGTGTCTAGAGCTGCGCCGATCCTGCGCCCGAGCGTGCCGACTACAACCTGCGTGTCGCGAACCGGGAAGCTGGCGCTTCCATCTCCCGCAACCTGGACCGTGACATCGTCGCTCGAGACCGTGGTCGGAATGCCCGTGCCGCTTTGCTCGAAGCTGATGCCATTCCAGGTCGTCCCCTCCGTCGCGTCAGCGCCGGGGCCCGTCAGGTACGAGAAATACATCGTCTGGCCGGCCAAGGCCGCCGGCAGCTGGACCTGGACCGTCAGGGCCGGCTTCTGCGCCTCGGGCACCGACTGGTTGGCCATCCTGCCGTTGAGCACGACCACGGACGACAGCTGGCCGCCCTGGTAGACGGCGTACGCCTTGACGAAGCCGTCATAGGCCGAGGACGCGGTGGCCGGGATGGCGAGCTGCTGGATCTGCGCTGTGCACGAGGGCCCGATGACCTGGTCGAAGGCGACGATGCCGTAGTAGACGGGCCGAACGAAGGGCGCCCGGCCGTACAGCTCGATGGGCTGCCAGGCGCTGGCGTTGCTGTTGTCTGTCATGTGAAGCTGCACTGAGGAGATGCCGAGGGAGGCTGCGTAGAGCAGGAAGTTCACTTTTGATACGCTGTCAGTCAGTCATCCATCTACACTCACACATCCACACTCTCATATAAACACATGCTTGGGATGGACTCCGGATTCTCGACTCACTCGTCCACAGCGCGGTGCCAAAGACGTCCGTCACGCCCTGCATCCCAATCGGCCCCACGATGCCCATCTCGCGCAGCGCATACGGGAACGGCGTCTGGGCCGCCTGCTGCACCTGCTGTAGCCACGACGCGAACTGCACCTCGGTCGTCTGCAGCTGCATGAGGTGCTCCAGCGTGAGCCCGTACGACGACACGCCGATGTAGAAGTAGTAGTCGTGCTGGTTCCAGCTGCTCAGGTACGCCGCGCCCGTCCCGGAGTCGGCCGCGATCCCGGCGTCCGTCAGGTCCCTGATCTGGAAGCTGGTGCCGATCGTGGAGGCCGTGGCGGCCGCCTCGAAGAAGCTTGCCGGGAGCCCGTTGGCTTGGAGTACGGTGGCGAAGAGGTGCGCTGCGCGCTGCTGCCATTGCTGTATGTAGACGCTGCCGCTCCAGACGCCGGTACGGAACCCGTTCTGCAGGTACAGGTCTGGCTCGTTGCCGATCTCGAAGGAGGTAATTTTGATGTTGGGGCATTGGGTTATGGCCTGGGTTGCCATGGTGGCCAGTTGTGTGAGGAAGTCTGGCTCTTGGTATGCCACTGCGGTCCGAGGTCAGCGATGTTGTTTTTTCTTCCAGAAGATCATGGAACGCCAGCGGAGCCTGAGATCGTAAGTCTGGCTTGAGATGAGCCGTGGGTTCATACTTACTGTTCAGACCCCAGGTCACAGGAGTGCCCTGAGGAAGTCGGTTTGCAGCCTCGAAGAAGCGCGGTCCGATGAGCATGCTGTCCGACTTGACCGCCCCTTGGCCAACGGGGTTTGGGTTCCAGACTGTAGACATACGGGTATTAGCCAACGAACGACCAGTAGGATGGAAACAAGTCCATGGGCGACCACCCAATACTCACTCCAATACCACTGGTCCATGTCCGGCGCGAAGATCATATTGTCAGCGGTGTTACCGCCGAGCCGAATATGAGGAGGCTGTCCGGTATAACTCTTCAGGTTGTTCAGCAGGTTCATGCTGAGGGTGTTTGGCTGGTCATTTCCCATGAACGAGAACAGGTTGGACGGCTCGATTCCGAAGCCTGCGAAGGACGGATTCAGAGGGTCAGCTACGCCTTCTGGAACGCTGGCCGAAGACAGCGACAGCGTGATCAAGTCCGCTGCAGCTGCTGTTGCGACCGCAACGAGATGGCAAATCGCCAGCGCAATGCCGAGGAAGCCGGCCATTGTGGTGTCCTTGTCGCGCAAATGAGCAGATCGTGTGGGCGGCTCTGATTTTCGAGGGTAGAGGTGTGAGGACTTGTGCAGCCGCGCCAAAACTCCAAAAGGGTCGCGTCGCGGGGTGCGACGCGATGCTTTGAGAGAATGTGTGGCGGTGAAAGAAGCGGGAAGGAGGTGCAGAACAAATGGCACGCGCACAAGCACACCTCTGTGCCAAAAGTTGTAGCCGCGACCGTTGACAAAGAGGACGCTGGCCCGGTGCGCGGAAATGCAGACAGAAACAAAACAGAGTGAATGAACCGAAAGGGTGTTATCCCAAACAGGGGTTTCCAACTTTATTGGGAATGTACCTTACGTGGCCGGTGAATGCATGCACACGTAGGTTTTCACCGGCTTGCTAGTGACTGTTCCAAGAACCGAGAGCATGGGACCCCGATCCCGTTGCTGTTTATGGTTTCATGGGCTCATAGACTTTGGCGCCATGCCCCTCTCGTCTTGTTTGCTGCCCGAGCGGCCCGGATTCGCATACAGGAGATGCTAATATGAGAGTTTCTGCATAATCATATCTCCGTTGCACGCAAGCTTCCCCCCTATTGAGTAATGCTTACACCGCCTATTTGACGCCCGGACCACCGTGGACTTGAGATAGTCAATCTTCAAGGGAAGGGACCAGATGATAGCTACTGGCAATCACACCATCACTCTCTAGGTACTGCTATAAACTCTTCGGAACAGTTGAATCCTCGAATCAATCTGGATAAGGCAGAAAAGCAGAGCAACTATAATATGCCGAAATTGTGAGCACAACTAGGGACCGAGCCTTTAGATGCCGCATGCAGCTATGCTGGGTCACTGCTTCAGGCTTCAGCATCGCATAGACCGCCTCTTCGAACTTCCTCCCGAGTCCATGGCAAACGGGGTCGCCCCAAGGCTTCAGATGGAAAGCTCAGAGGGAGCAGATACCCGCCTCTCGGTCGACATTCTGCCAAGATGTCGCGTCAGTTTCACCCGGGACAATTTCCACGTTCTAAGTGAACTTACCCAGATAATGTTCGGCAGCCCACCCCACGACGAATTGCCCTTCCTATGCCACCGATCCCCATCACAGTCCTCGAGGGTCAACAACCCGCCGACACTGTGGGACTTCTTTACCTCGACTGGAATCGGCGAGCCCGGCACCCAGTCCCTGAACTTCTGGCAGTAGTCGTTCAGGTCCTTCTCCGCTAGCGGCGTCAAAGCGGGCTCGAAGAGCAGGTCGCACGTTCGGGCTTCAGGATTCTCCCGTCGTTGGCCAGATGCTCCAGAGTACCTTCTTGTACGCCACGGGAGTGGTGTAGATGCCCTGCCCGCCGTGCGGCTCATTGTCTTTGTGCCAGTACTCCTCGTCGCGGTACTCGAGGCTTGCTGCGGTGCCGTCTTTGGCATCAACACGGAACGTCATGTCACCCCGGCGAGCCTGCGTGTTGGGGTGCTTCTGCAGCTCGAAAGTCATGTCGTCGGTGTTGATCCCGAGAGGCCCTGCTAGGTTCTTCTGCATGAACTCCTCCGTCGGCATCCCGCTGGCCCTCAGGATTAGCCGTGCGGACCAGTCTAGACCGGGCCCATACGCCCAGTCCGTGCCCGGATCGAAGAACAGAGGAAACCCGAAGTTCTTGTCCAGCGTGTCGTAGCCTTGATCGATTTCGAGCCCCTGATTTTGGCGGTACTGTAGCAGCAGGGGGAAGGTGACAGTACGCAACGCCTGAGCTGTGCGAAAGTAGATGTCTGACATCTTTGGTCAGTTCTTATCGATTTACGAAGTGCGTCTTGGGTGATTAACATACCTCAACAGGACCGGAGACTTCGGGTCTCTCTCGATGGACTTGCCTGCCTAGTCGAAACCCGTAAGGACCTTTAGATTAGCGACTTCAGGAAGTAACTTCTCGAGGCCCTCATCAAGGCTCGCAAGACCCCTCTCGACGCATTGCAAGACCATGATGGCGGTCAGGAGCTTGGACGCGGAAGCAATGCGCATGGGCGTGTCTGGAGTCACAGGGGGTCGCTTCTCCGGAGCTTCTCCGGAGCTTCCTCGCGGAGACTGCGAACTCCATAGCTTCGTGAGATGTCGACCTTGCCTTCGTGGATTAGCTTCTACAGTAATGTGTGTTTGGGAAGGGAGAGGGGGCTCGCGGATCGGCTTACCGGTGAGGTCCTCGACGAGTAGAGCGGCGCCTTGGATCCGGCCATCCGCAGCTGCTGCGTTGAATGTCTTGTCAATGTCTTCCATTGTTGTTGATGAGGAAGAAGACTTCAGTAGGTGATCCTGAGGGTCTTGAACAAAGAAGAACTTGCGTCAAAGGAGAGAAGTATAAGGGGTGTTGGTTTCCGAGGTCTGTTGGTCGTGGGAACGGCGGGGCGGTGCTGACAGAAAAAGTGGCCGGGCTTCCGTCCCTTGCCCATACATGTAAGATTCGTGCAACACAGACATTACATCGAACATGGTATAATACAATTCGGGCCTGAGATGTCCCTGAGATGTCGCTTTAGAGTCACATAAGTCATACAGTGTTATCCCAGCTTGCCCATTGTGTTTATTAAGGGCGGACGATGAGAACGAAAACGTGCGATGTGCATAGTATTACAAGAGTTAGATCTGTCTTAATACACATGTCCGCATCTGAGACGGTCGAAATGTGCTTACATCAACTCCATTTTTTCCGGCGTCACAGTCCATCTCCAAGGGCCAAGGCCTCACTGTCGCATATGTTCAGTCCTTGGTCTCCGCCTCCGGAGCGATTATTGTGTTAAGAGTGCGTATCTAGATGGTTCATGTGGTTGTTATTCGTGCATTTGGTGCTGATCTTGACGATTGTGTTATTCTGAAGTCTCTGTCGGCTAGGTGGCCCCGAAATGCCCCAATGGCCCCTGAACAGTGCACTGCCACCTCCCTGACGCCACGGTGGCTTACGTGCCATTCATAAACCATTCAACACCTGTTTGGTTGTCTGCTCGAGCTTCTTCAAAGTTTCAATGCAGATCGGGCGGCACTGTCCTCTCAGGCAGGCTTCGGGAAAAAACATACCATAACCTAAGTAGCCACATTACCAACAATATTTATTCGTCCATTCTTTAACAGTGATATTGATAATATCTACTCTGCTCCATGTTAATTAATACAATATTATAATTGCTTTCTTTGGAAACTAATTTCCGCTATAATTATAAAAAGAAGGATAAATAAATATATAAGACTTCGTGTTTTTAACCTGTGACGGCCTGCACAGACCTTCCCACATGACAAGCGGATACTTCCCAATAGGGGAAGGATCTGACCAGAGGATCCCCTTAAAGGGGCAACCTCCCACTGTACCTATCTCTCTCTCTCTCTTCCTTTCCTCTCTAGTCTTGATATTCTCGTCAATAGAGTAATAGCTGCTTGCTGCCGGCCATGTCCCAGCTCCTCAGTACGCTCGCCGTGACAAGAAGGATCTGCAGCACCAGCCAATTCTGGTGGGCTGATAGATCCCAAATCCCGACCCACAATTATCTATCAATATGTGTGCAATGGGGCAACGCGTCCACCCCACTAACAACCCTAGTCGCCTGATGGATGTCAGATCCATCACAGACTTAATCGATAGTAAAAGCTTAAAAGCTTAAAAAGGCGCGATTAAAAGCGGTAGCAAAAATATAGATTAGATTAAACAGTAGTCCGTATGTTATAAGGTTATATCAGTTAGAAATCAATAATAAATGACTTGTTGGAACAGGCTTGAACGATCAATCATAATACTCGAGTATGGGGTCAAGGTCATGATGTTGCTGATGGTTGGATTGGGAGGTCTAGCTGGACCTGAAGGTCTGGCTAAGTGACCTCGCAATCCGGTATCTAATCACTTATCTAATCATACATGTGGGTCCTGGTATAGATGGTTTGCAGGCTGGATCGCATGGATCCAACATGACTGGTATTGACGTATATTTAAGATCCCGGCGGGACGATGGAGACATGGGAGCTACTGCAAAAGTAAGCGCTGACAGGTTTCAAATCTGTCCCCATACATATGTCCATGTGTGTCTGCCACGCGGTACCTACTCCGGGGGGACAACCAAGCGACTCCGGCGCGTTCATGACGACTTGAACTGAAAACCTTCGTGTACTCAAACCTTTCTGGCTCTCGTCCTCCGGCATGAACTCAACGGCTGCCTACGTTTCCATGGAGAACCATCCTCCGTACCGACCATCCATTCCAAAGGACAGTTCGGGCGAAAATACCGAGAAAGGAGAAACGGAGACAGGGGAGCTACTGCAAGAGCAAGCGCTGGCAGGGTTCAAGCCTGTTCCCATACATATGTCCATGTGTGTCTATCGTGCCGTACCTCATAGGTGCTGATCCAGGCGAGACTCGCTACGAGTCTCCCCGGTGGACTCTGGTAGGTTTTTTCTGCGGCCTGCCTGCCTCTTCTGATCCGTCGACGGGTTCGTCAGGCTTGCGCTTGTTGCCTTCTCCTCGGAGCTCCGAGCCAAGGGACCACTCGGAGCCCGAGTTCATCGAGGCCTCGTCTTCGCTCAAAACTCCATCGTCGTCAGCAGAGTGCCCGTACCTCTCGGGCACGCGCTCGCGGTCGGACATGAGTCTCTGATCCTCTGGCAGTACGTCTTCCTGGCCTATGTCCAGGCAATCGTCTATCTCTGCCGGTTCATCAGGAACGTCCTTTCCCATCCTCGCAAAAGCCCACCGCTTGACGGCGTTGTGGGTAGTGCTGACCACTACAAAGCGACGTCCAGTCCATTTTGTAATGGAATGTCGAAGTTCTCTTCCGCGGAGAAGCTGTAAACATCCCGGTCGGCTCTCAATCTGAAGCCCTAGTTCCCGAGTGAGGAGGTCTCCACCTTGATAGTCGCCCATGGGCACAAGGGCGGCGAAGCCGTGATGCCAGTCCATTCTGTCGACGTGCTCGTAGGTCATGAGGTTGATCAGTATAGCGCGTAAGCAGAAGACTTCATTTTCTCGGCGAGTCACGAATGGCTGCTGATATACGATACCGCCCACCTCCTTCGCTACCTTGGTGTAGTCATCCAGCAAGTTCGGGTCAAGGAGCCCGAAAACAAGGCGTATCATCTCTGTACAGGCCCCAAGGGCTCCATAACGGAGATGGTATAGGTGTTTCATCACAGTGTTTGTTTCGACTTCAGGGAATTGCGAACCTAGGTCCCTGGTGAGTCTCGGTTCGTGTTTCCCTTGGGGGTCAATGAGGCCGCAACGATGGCCAAAATGATAGGCCCCGGATTTTGCCTTCCTCAGATCGCTTTCTGGGCGACGGAAGTCAAATTCCGGGTGTTCAACCAGCCACTCCATATAGTGTAGGCCGTGACGTGTCATGTCGGGCAGGGGAACGGGGTGTAATGTGCTGTACGTCTCCAGCGCTTGGACCGTAGCCTGCTGAACCTGTTCCGTGAGGAGCTTCGTGAAGGCGCTCGACAGCTGGAAGAGGATTACCTCGTCATCCTGATCGAGTACCATTACTAAAGCCATGTTAGCGCGATTCGCATTAAGCGCGGTAGCGTAAAGTTATCTGATGGATGTATACTCACCGATATCTGTGTCTTCGATTCTGTAGAATACGCCATTCGAAACGCCGTACTCATCGCGTTTTGCTTGGTGGTATGGGTTGAACGCGTTGACTTTGATTCCCTGCTTTGCGATCTCCAACATCTCCGTGAACGCAACGTCGCCTGTAGTGTCCTTCTCCATCTGTTGCTGCACTTCGGCTTCAAGATCCGGGTTGATGTAGAGCTGCTGATGGGCCAGGTTCCGGGCGTGCTTCCAATAGTCTTGACTCCGCCCACCAATCTGGCCACTGCGAGCGAGGAGGACGTGTGCGGTGACCCATTGCACAACCGCCACCGTGGGTTTCGCACCATTTGCCTTCGTGATGATCGTCTCAGTCGCTTTAGAGATGCCACATCCCGAATACGTGTTGTTAGAGATCTTGCAGTCGGAAAGTTTGACCTTGCACACGGTTTGACCGTGCAAGCTGAATCTCTCTATAGTCCGATTGTGCTCAGTCTGGGTATCAACATTCCCGCCATCAGTGATCTCGTCGGAAGCTTGGGCCTTGATACTTGCGATATCTTCGGAGAGACGAACGATGGAGGGCTTCTCATGATCAATGTGTGTCGATTGCTCTATGTCCGGAACAATCAGGGATTCGTCCCCAGGGAAACCGATGTTTGCCCACGAGTTGTGTTTCCCACCAAATGCCAGACCTCTGTGTCTTGGCCAGGCTCCCGTTCCATCGTACATGGATTTCAGAGGCAGCATGAAGTCTGGAATATCACCAAATAGGTGCCCATCCGATCTCGGCGTGGCCATGTCGATGCTCTCTGGGGCTGCTTGCTCACGGAGCTCGGGCGAGGCCTGAGTGGCGAGGCTTATGGTAGGGACTGCTTCGCAGGAGTTGCTCTCGGCTCTCTGTCTTGGTGAATTGCGACGGGCAGCATCCTTGACGTGCTGGTCGACCAGGCCATGCAATGCAAGCCTTGCTAGCCTGAGCGCTGCTACGTCGTTCTCGGTAGACCTTTCTTGGAGAGGGCCTTCGTTGGGATACCGCGGGGGGCGCATTGCCTGAGCTGCTGGTTCCATTGTTGACATGGTTCGTAACTGATCCACGACGTCAAGGGAATGCGGTGGGCTGATGAGTGAAGATAGATAGATGCAGGATCAATGAATGAGGGCGAGTGTTAGGGCAAAAGAGCCAAGATGATTTCTGAGATGCCACAAGTTGAATCTCGCAGTGGTCAATTCGGGAACGATTGACGGCAAGATAGATATCGCGTAGTACCGATCAAGTTGAGGTTGGAGGGAATTGGTAGAATGGCACTCGTGAAGAACAGAAGTGGGACTTGTGTGTGGTGTATTGGCAATGCTGTGTTTGGTTACATGGCAACCAAATTCAGCCTCACTGCGTTTGCTTGTCTCCTCAGGGACCCGCGCCTGCTTGACCTTAGATTAGGTCCCTACTTACCTACACTACCTACTTAGGTATGCATGTTTCTGACTTTAATCTTTGAAGTGCCTGAGCTCCCTGGTTTGTTTTGTTTGTTTGTTTGTTTGTTTTGTATTTAACGTGGGGGATTGCTCCTCAGTAGTGCAAACCACGCCTCCCAGAGCCTCTGCATCGCAGGGTTGTGGAGGTATCAAGATAATAAGTACAGTCAGTCCCGCTCACGAGCCCATCCCCGTTGTTGCGGCGGTATGACCTTGGGTCATCCATCTGGTCCTTCAAGAACAGCTATCTATCGTCTGAGCTCCCTGGTATTACCTGCGCATCAGCACATTCGGACCTGCTCCCCTCCACCGGCTCCGAATCCTCTCGATCTGTGAAACCATAGCGATGCAAGCCCCGTATGGTCATGTTTATCTTCGACGAGCATTATGCTCCTATGGTTTTCTCAACACCGTCAAGGTTTGCATGTGGTTCTAGGCTTGTTGTCGGGAGCTGTTTGCGTCGCTGTAAATGAAAGGAAGGATCCGGGGGACCTCGTTTTCCCAGGTACGTACGGAGCATATCTACCAGACCAGTTGAAGGTTGTTGTTTCCTATTCTTCCCACGGCCCAAGGATGTATTCAAGTTAGGTGATGCGCTGGGACCTAGTCATCATTGATTCGTTGCATTACAGCATGCACCGGTAAGGCGCACGATTGTGGCATCACTTGATCAACGCTTCGCCCACGTGCTGGTGCTGAAACACTTGCAAGTTGATCTTCTAATTGAGAGAGTGCGTTATGTGGACTTTCAATCCGCATGACCCTTACACACGAGACAATTACTCAGTCATCCGGACTAACCATAACCCCAACCCGGAACCACTAACCCGTATATTACCCAACCTTAACCGTTTGTACCCCGGAAGGCTAACTCTACGACGATATTTTCTTTGAATTATTTGAACACGGTATATTCTAGCTATGTATACCTACATCAAAATCCTGGCGATGGAAGGTTACAATCGAACGGTAACGCGTCATACCGAGCATTATGCGGCTAGTCCGTGGTACCGTCGGATTAAGGACTGTACCGTCGGCATAAAGATTCCGGGATGCGGAGATCTAGTTGGGGGCGAAAGCTGCCAACCAAAATGCCTCCCGTGATGGTACGAGCCACCAGTATTGATACCTACCGAATTGCCCTGACAAACATTCGTCAAGTTCTTCATTACAGACCGCCACGAATTCATAACTCCACCATGGCTTACGCGAACCAGCCCAACACGGCTTACGCGAACCAGCCGGTCCATGCCGGCCCAGATGACTCTTGGCACGGATTTGTGGCGCCAGGTACACGATTCGCCCCGGAGGTCGGGCGTTATCATCTGTACATCGGCTTGTTCTGCCCCTTTGCGCACCGGGTGAACCTAGTGCGCGTGCTCAACGGACTCGAATCGGCTCTCCCGCTTTCAATTGTGAAGGCATACCCAAAGGGCGACGAGAAGGGCTGGCCCGGTTGGCAATTCCCCGGTGCCAACGGCCCAGATGACACTTATGAGGGGTCAACGCCGGACAACCTGTTCCTCTCCAAGTATCTCCACGAGGTCTACTTCCGGGCCGATAAGGACTACAAGGGGAGGTACAGCGTTCCCGTGCTGTGGGATGCGACCGAACAGACCATCGTGAACAACGAGAGCTTGGAGATGATGCGATGGATGCAAACGGGCTTCAACGAGGTCTTGCCACAGGGCAGCGCCGAGAGGAACTTGACTCTGTACCCAGAGCACCTTCGGGCCAAGATCGATGAGGTCAGCGAGTGGATGATGCGAGACCTCAACACCGGCGTCTACAAGACTGGATTCGCTCAGGATCAGGCATCGTACGAGAAGAATGTCATCCCGGTGTTCGCGGCGCTGAATCAGCTGGAGAAGCTCATTCACTTTTACGGCGGTCCGTACATCCTTGGGAAGGAGATGACTGAGCTCGACATCCTCGCGTATGTTACCATCGTCCGGTTCGATGTTGTCTACGTGCAGCACTTCAAATGCAACCTCGGGACCGTCCGTGGCAGCTATCCGGTCATACATGAGTGGTTGAAGAATCTGCACTGGAATGTCAAGGGTTTCCGGGAGACCACCAACTTCAAACACATCAAGGAAAACGTGAGTGTTGCCTCCTTGGTGAGGACATTCTTGCAGTCCACTGACTTCCATCCAGTACACGAAGAGCCACCAGAAGATCAACCCCTTGGCGATCACGCCGTTGGGTCCCTTTCCGGACATCGAGAGTAGCGTCAACCTTGACTTCAGAGGGATTGACCCGGGTGCTGTGACACACCCAGATGTGCTGGAGCGACAACAGATCTTCCCAAAGGTTTGGGCGGAGTTGGTGGGCGAAGAATGATTGAGCATTGATGGATTGTGAAGCTGTCATCGCTGCCAAACTCCGATAGCAAACACCTTATCATAGTGAGGATAAACACTGGATGAATGACTCTTCGAGAATAGCGGTGAAATGGAGCCTGTTGGTTCCAGGGATGCTGCGGGTGCAGCCAACATGCCATGCTGTCATGCGGAGAAGCTGGCCTAGACTGACGTCGAACTGTCGAACCTGAGGCCACTCACCTGTGATCTCCATACGCTGCGCATGCTAATCATCACCGATCCTATCAATGAACATGTTTTCAGGTAGTCGCTTTGGCGACTATCTCAAATTACTCTTCAGTGGCAGATTGAGCTCACTCCTAGCGTTCGTCGTCATCGTATGCGGTGTCGCACGCCTCGTCTCCTTCGCAATTCGACGAGCTCGCGAGTACAAGGTTGTGCAACACACAGGAATGACTTCACCTCATAGTACTCGACTGACGATGATTAGGTCGACAGCACATTGGGGCGTTTGCATGGATGTCAGCTGCCCCCTGAGCTGCCAAAGCGGTGGCCACTAGGCATTGACAGGATCAAGGAACTTTGGGACTCCGATGCCGGAGGTCCGCTGCTCGCTTTCCTCTGCTCGATCGCGAAGGACTACGAGCCTCGTAACAACTTGTCACAGTATCTGCTGTTTGGCCCTCGAGCTTTTCACGTCTTAAATCCGAAGAATCTAGAGGCTGTCCTGTCCACCAACTTGAAAGGTATCAACTTACCTTGCACTGACGACTGAAAGTATGTTGATAGGGGCTGATCGATGCGATACAGACTACGGGTTCGGATGCCGTCCAGCGGTCTTCGCTCCCTTACTGGGAAACGGCATCTTCCCCCAAGAAGGTCCAGCATGGAAGCATTCGAGGGAGCTCCTCAGAAAGCAGTTCGCTCGTACACAGTACCAGAAGCTCGACCACTTCAAAGAGCATGTGGACAACCTGATAGCGTGCATTCCATCAAACGGTGAGGTCGACCTCCAACCGCTCTTCTTCAATTTGACCTTAGACACCACGACTGCATTGTTATTCGGACGCTCTGTGTATAGCCTCAGAGCCGGCATCGGCCAGGCAGCCGAGAACTTGGATTTTGCGGAGAGTTTCACATCGCTCAGGAAGGACTGGCGAAGCGCTTTCGCATCGCGCCATTCCACTTTCTCTACAGCCCTGCGAGATTTCGGCGGGCTTGTCATGCTGTTCATAGCTTCGTCGAGAAGTACATTGATGAACGGCAACTGAGCCGGGCTAAGAAATCAGATGGTCTTCCATCCGGCTTCGTTGACCAACTTGCTAAAGAATCGGAGAGCTTGACAGAAGTGCGAGATCAGCTCCTCAACATCCTCCTCGCTGGGAGGGACACGACTGCTTGCTGCCTGTCCTGGACCTTGTACGAGAGTGACACCCCCATGACTTCGTGACGCTAACTCATCATACAGCCGAATTCTTGTTCGACACCCGCGGGTGATGGATCGATTGCGACGTGAAGTGGCTGAGGTTCTGGGAGACTCTACGAGCCCGACTCGAGAGTAAGTTCGAAGAATGCCTATCCTCTCCTGCGTCGTCAGAGAGTGTACGTGCTGTCCTCGAAGCTCCCTACTTATCACTCGCTTACCGTAGCCATGAAAGCCCTCCGTCTATACGCCCCAGTACCCCTCAACAACCGCGAAGCCGTCCGAACCACCATCCTCCCCACAGGCGGAGGACCAGACGGCAGCTCCCCGATGCTCGTACGAAAAGGCGAGCTCGTCGTCTTCTCGCAGTACGTAAACTCGAGGATGAAGAGCATATACGGACCAGACGCAGACGACTTCCGCCCCGAACGGTGGGAGACCGGGGAACTTGCAGATATCGGCTGGGCGTACTTTCCCTTCAATGGTGGTCCGAGGCAGTGTCTGGGCGAGGACTTCGCGCTCATGGAGGTCTACTACACGACTGTGCGGCTGCTGCAGACGTTTCCGGTCATCAGATTGCCGGATGGGGAGGGCGTGGAGCCGGTTGGGATGGAGAGGCAGCGGTTGACGCTGGTTTTGTCAAGTCCTGATGGGTGTAGCGTTTCTACTGCGCAGGGTGATACCCATATACCTCAGTAATCATGGGTTAGTGCCTGTTCGGGTCTATATACTACCTCGCTCTCTCGTCATTACAGAAAGTGTGTTCGTTTGGTCAAGTTGAAATGGATGTTGACTCCTCCAAGTGGCAGCTGGATTCAACAAGGTGCTCCATGGTTCCGGGACCCCGCCCCAAAGTAGCTCCTTCCTTCTACTACCTGCAGGTGGGTGACACTGTTGTTTCGGTGGTAAACTGGCAGCTACCTGCTTTAAGGTAGGTGGTGCCTGCCTGGGATGACTTTGAGGTACGGTGTACCTCCACTAGACGTCCACTGGCATTGAGAACATCTTCTCGCAAAACTCATCTGAGTCATCTCATCCTCTCAGCACAGCTTCGGTAGAACTCAACCGCAGCAAGCCTCCCGACCTTCTCTAGAGGTAGAGGCGCAACCTCGCGTGGAGCTCTGCGCATATTATCCATCTTGACGCAAGGAGACACCTCGTTATCGATTTCGCCTCGTCTTTCGCCTCCCACCTTCCACATATCCGCCACCTCTCGGATCCTCACATGCACTTCGCGCCGACCTGTGACGAGCCCCAACGATGGTGGAAGAACCACCCCCGGGAGATTTGTACGTCACTGTCATACTCTATCACGATACATCGCTGACCCGAACATAGGCTCTTCACAACAGGCACCTTCTTCGATTCCACTCTGACCTGCAACGAGAAAACATGGAAGCTACACAAGGCCATCTTGTGCCAGAAGTCCTCATACTTCCACAAGATGCTTACTGAGAACTCGGATGTCAGTCAGCAAGAACTTGCCGAGCGTTTGGATTGCTGACGTTCGCTCATGTAGGAAGCGAACACTGGCTCGTTGCACGTTGAGGATCAAGAACCTTACATCGTAGATGAGGTCCTCTATGCCATGTACACCGGCGAGCGTGCGTCACAGTATTCGATAAGCTATATATTGAGACTAACTTCATGATAGTGCAACCCCGGGGCCGTATGTTACATGACGGCCACCGCATAAAGATCCTCGTGAAGGTTGTCAAATGCGCGCATTACTTCGGTTGCCCCATGGCCAAACACAAAGCAATTCGACAGATTGAAAGTTCTCTCCAACTTATTGCGGTGGACTGGTGCGCTGGAAGTTATGGTCACTGCAGCGAGATCATCGACCTTGCCAAGACTGCCTACCGGTACAATGATACCACAGCCCACCCGTCCCTGCAGGAAGTATTCCTTAATTTCATGACAGCGTCGAACTACAAGGCATATAGCTATCCTCGATTTCGGGAACTTCTGGCAAGCTCGCCCAAGCTTGCTCAAGACCTTCTTCTTCAGATGCTGCCGACAAATCAGAACAACAACTGCAGTGTGGTCCTGGTTGGACTCAGTAAGGGAACCTGCGCTAATTGTGAAGCCGACGAGAGTATGGACCTGATGGACACGTGGTTTGAGAAGTCTGATGAGGAGAGCACCACTGAAATGGCTATTCGAGGATACTGCGCGGGCTGTTGGAAAGAGAATCATCGACCTTCTGTGGATCTGGACGAGGAATAGAGAGTACCCAGCCATAAGGAGCATCGATAGTGCATGGAACACATTACATAGAGCTTCCGTATAGCTGAAGCATACTTCGGTCAATATGAACGCGATGCCATTATCGTAACTTGGTGCTCTTTGTTTCTACAATTTGGATTACGCTTCTGAAGTTCCTACAACATGGACTGAGCAAACTACGGTCACGATTGGATATCTCTAATCACTAGGCAAGCTGTCGTCAACTTGGAAGATACCTGCTACTGTTGAATTGACAAACCCGCTCACACGTTGTGACAAAATGCTTTGCTCTCAAGAAAATATGGCTCACTCTCGCTCAACTATATTTGGACCCAGACCTGGACGAATGAACACGTTTTAGTCGACCACAACAGGAAGAATGTACAAGTAGGAGTCAGGAAAGTACGGGCACTGACACTCCAGAATCCACCACCAACGACTGCCCGTTGACGAAGCTGGCCCCAGGGCTCGCCAGGAAATGGATCACATGCGCGATCTCTTCCGGCGTCGCAACGCGTCCAAGTGGCATCGACTTTCTGATCAACTCGCCCACATCCGGCTGCTTTTCGATGCCGCGTCTCAGCATGGGCGTGTCCGTGAAGCCCGGGCACACCTCGTTGATTCGGAGACCCGTGCTCCGATTGTCGAGAACTGACAACACCGTGGTCAGTACAATACTTCTCCATCAGTGGTGATTATCCGATTTGGCAGCATACCAGCACACTTGATGATCCCTCGCGCAGCAAATTTGCTTGCAGTGTATGTAATGGAGTTGGCAGATCCGGTGACGGCAGACAAGGAGGTGACGTTAATGATGGAGCCAGGCCCGACACTGCGACGACCACTGCGTCCTTTGACGTACAGCGGTTCCTGGCCCCTCATGGCGCTGATCTCTTCCTGGAGGCAGTGGAGGATGCCCTTGGCATTGACATCGTGTAGGAATTCATACTCTTCCTCATTGACGCTCGCGGTGTCGGCTTCGGTTTGCCGGGGTACCTAGTTTACGATTGATCAGGCCCTAATCAAGCTCGTCTTGGTGGACGCTTACTCCGGCAGAGTTGACGGCATAGTCGAGCCTCCCGAACCGCTTTTTGACTTCCGCGACAATTGCGGCCACGGATGCTCGATCTCTGACGTCGACGGCAATGGCAAGGGTCTCATTGTCCTTACTAGTTACGACTGATTTGCTCTTCGCAGATCCTGTGGACGCTGTGTCGGACGCCTGGTCCGCAAACACGACGGCTCGAGCGCCTCTTTCTGCAAATGTCAATGCTGTCTCGAGACCAATCCCACTACCTGTTGATTCATGTCAGCGGCGGAGGAAGAGGACAACGAGGGAGATATGTTCTTACCGGCGCCGACAACTAAAGCTACACCGTTGACATCCATAATGGGAAGAAGGAGAATGGAGTACGTATAAAAGGTCGTCTTTGTGATGGGATATGGTGGAAGAGAGGACTGGATACGTTCCATCATCCGACCGGAGGAGATGTTGGACAGTGTTGGTGTGGCACAGCACAGCCCCATGGAGATGAGAAAAACCCTACGCCATTCCAGCCCCCCTTGAATGGTAGTCATGCAGGTTTCTCAATGTTGGGCCGAATATGGCAGGTTCAATGGTTTGTGTAAGTGAGGATGGAAAGAACATTGCAGAGAGGAGGCTCTCAGAATATTCATGTCTATATTCCTGCAGGCAATGTGTATGAGCCTTCTAGTCACTAGGAATTACTCTCCACCGCGATCGTTCTTCCATGTGCCAGCATAGTGGTGTGTGACCAGCGGCGGGCCCGGCTCGCCTTTCTCGCTAATCTCTTCGTACTTATTCATCGACAAAGCGAACGAATAGCCGGGAAGAACGAGGACGTCACCAACCGTCCTCGGTTCCAAGATCTGGTAGAGGCCGTCGTGGTCGACCGCCCCGTTCAGCGCCCACTGATGCCGCTCGAGGCTCTTCATGACGCCCCGAGTGAATCTCCTGGGACCCGTGAAGTCGACGACGTCTCCAACCATGGAGAGCTCGAGGTCCGGGATACTGCCGAGCTGGTGCTCCGCCATCTTGTCTCGGACTCCTTGCAAGATGTCCTGAATGACCACCATCATATGAGGCGAATGCGGCCTGGCCATGATAGTCCAGCTTGCGAACTGGTGCTGGAACTCGCCGTCCTTGCCCCAGCCTACGTCGAACTCCCACCCCACAACCAGCCCGGCCTTCTGTCGATATAGCTCGGGTACCCAATTCGCTATGGGTGTGCCCTCGCACGACACGTCGAGGTCGAACCACACGCCCCCATCGGCATAGAGTAGGAGATACCGCAGCAGGTCGGCCTTGAGTATGGGCACCGAGAGGCCAAGGTAGATCTCCACGATGTCCGGACTGTGGGCGAACGTCTCCCGGACGTACGCATCGCCGGGGTCATCGGTCAGGAAATGGGCCTCGTAACTCGGGTTCTTCTCGATGCATGTCTGCATCCAGGTGGCGACCTCCTCGGTCATGCCCTTTGGGCCCAGCTTGTACCATATCTTCTCAGGTATTGTTTGCGGAGGCTTTTGTGCACGGAACTGCCCCAAAGCTGAAGAAGGATCCACGAGATAGGTTCTGCGAAGGCTGTGCAGGGTGAGGAAGAAGAAAGCGAGGGCGCAAGAGATATAAATGAACGTGGTAAGGCGCGAGAACCTGTTCTTCGAAGACGACAGCATGATTACTATAGTGAAAGTAAAAACGAGAAAAGGCAACAGGGAGGACGGTCAGCGCCTGCCAGTCGTGGATGCAGACGAGAGAAAGTCTGATCCCAAGAAGTGGTGAGAGCGCAACATTTTGTCTTGTGGCACGATGCATTCCTTGTTGCCCTTGCAATCACTGCTGTTGGTTCTTTGCCGCCCATCGAGAGGAAGGCCCATGAGCCCCGGAAGGTCGGCCTAGACGTCGTCCAATGGCAGAAAGTAGACGCGCCATCGAAGGACACCTCGCAGCGCCGTCGCTTGAGTGAAACTGGTGATGAGTGTGTCCTTATAGAGGTACTCACAGTACCTAGGTCCCTTATAGGTACGCATGCAGGGGTCTTATTGGCTCCCTGTTGGTGTTCGGCGCTTATAGCCACGTAACACGCTGGTCCCTCTGATTGGTTACCGTGTGGTCGGGTGGGCGCTTAGCCCTGTGACACGCTGTTCCATGTGTACCGAGTAGTTGGGTCGAATCCCGGGCGACTTGAAACGCAACGTGGACCATGTCATTGCTTGAAAAGTTGCAAGCGTGCCGATATGACTTCAGCAGCGATGGAGATACAGGATTCTAGGCCCAACATGCAGCAACATGGCACCGCGCCTCCTGCCCGCAGCTAACAGCGCGGCTGGCTTTCACTACGGCCCGTACTGTACGGGCCGAAAGGCTGCATCGGATGTCATAACGGCGGGGGCCCCCAAGTGGGACACCCCCCCCCCCCCCCCAGTGGGACAGCTTCCACACCAAAAGGCCACACTTGCACCGACACATAACCCCATCGATATTGAGGCTATAAAAATGTATATACAGCAAAAGACTCGCCTTTTCTTAGAGTTTTCATAAATATCAGTTGTTCTCGCGGTAGCGCGCGGGCTGGCGGATTGTGCGGCGTGAAGATCGAGCCACAATGGGCTCTTCGGCTTCATCATCTGAGTCATCCTCCCCATCATCAACAGCAACCCCTTCATCCTCTTCAGAGGGCAGGAATCCCTCCAGTTCCTCTAAATCTGTTAATTCAGGCTCCTTGGACAACTTAGAGAGTGATTTCTCTGATTCATTAGTACCAAGGTTCTGCAATTCAGCCAGAACTTGTCGTCTTTCTGTCCGCTGCTCAATCACGGCTCGTGCAGCCGCTGTATGCTCGATCTGCTCCTGAATAATGTCCCCAACCCTCCATAGCCATTGATTAGGATCTCCCTGAGGAGCCTTACAGCGCTTTTTTGGCTATAAATGCTCAATTTTGGCGTCTTTTGTCTCTATCTGTGCCTTTAGAAGCGCTAGTTCAACCACCATCTCATTGTACGCCTTTACAACCAAACGGATTCCTGCTCGCTGCTCAAGGGTTTCAGCAATTATTGATAGCATCAGGGCCATGTCCTGCCCTGATTGAGGGATTTCTAGTGCTTTAGGGGTGATCTCTGGGTTTATTATAGCAGTTGCTGCTACTTGGATCTCCGCAGCCTTTAACACATGCTCGTTTGCCAGTATTTTTCGCCGGTTTACAGGCCAAAGCCCAGCAGCACGGCATCCCGAACGCACGATAGCCGACGTAGCTTCTTCGCGAGCTTTCGCCAGGCAATTAAGGAACTTAATCTTGCCAATAGGGGCCAAATCAGTGAGCTGGCCAAGCTGGCCAATCAGGCGGCGGTAGGCAGCTTTAACAACCGAGAATACGGTTAAATCTAGCGGCTGAAAGATATGAGACTACCCCTATTAGCGAAATAATTACTAATTAGCATATAGCTTACCATATGGGCAGGAAAAAAGCACATCTAAATAGTGGCTACCATGGCCATCAAGCACTAATAGGCGAAAATCATCCGGATCTTCGGGAGCAGTATCAGATAGATATATCTATGGCTTAATTAGTACATAGTTAACGCCAACTACACGTAATTAACTCGCCTTTTTGAGCCATTGCAGCGCGATCTCGTTTGAGGACCAGTGATTAATGGAGTATGTTACTATCCAGTCTGCCATTGGCGGATGCTCTTCAATGAGCTGCTCCTTGAACCACTGTGTCTGTATCAACTTTGCCTTAAAGATAATGAGCGGCCGGAGGTTCTTCCAAATGGCGGTGATCAATTCTATCACTGTAGTCCATGTGCGGTTGTCGTTGGACTTGACATTAGCCCCTTTTGAGCCAGAACTGCTTATTACAAGGTCATTAGACCTATGATTTCCTGGTCAGCCGTCTAAAAACCACTTAGATTGGACATTTCATGTACTACTGCCGGCCCTGCATAATGCCGTACTTATCGATATTTGCCCGGTTCTCAAGTTAGATGAAAGCAAACTCCTCATAGAGGTCGTGAAAGCCATTGATATTCTTGGGCGAGGCAGCGTTAATACGCTTATAGTCAAGCTTTTGGCCCATCTTAGTCTTGATTTCATGGTGCCTGTGGATGAAGTTTTGTATGTAATGGCTCCCTAAGTGATCTGATTTTCCCTCAGATTTGAGGATCTGGCGGATGATAAACTTCATATTGTGACGGCCTGCACAGACCTTCCCACATGACAAGTGGATACTTCCCAATAGGGGAAGGATCTGACCAGAGGATCCCCTTAAAGGGGCAACCTCCCACTGTACCTATCTCTCTCTTTCTTTCTTTCCTCTCTAGTCTTGATATTCTCGTCAATAGAGTAATAGCTGCTTGCTGCCGGCCATGTCCCAGCTCCTCAGTATGCTCGCCGTGACACATATTGCCGTGAGTTGGCGCGTGGCTAGCCTTCTTTTGGTACAAAATCTATGAAACCACCTTGATTTCTTGCCCAGGGCTTAACTTCTGCATATGGGCAGCGCCTTCACGGCGACTCTGGGTTGGGCGCATCGTGGTGCCGTCTACCTTGCGAGAGAGGGTTGATTTCGGTACTCCGTAGCGGAGGCGGGCCTTACGAAGGGACATGCCATCATTCACAGTGGCAATTGCCTTTCCGAGGTCTTCTTCAGTGTACAAAGGAGGCATTTCGATGTACTGAAGCCGCTGTTACTTACAGAAAAAAAAGAAAAAAGAATAGCAAGACTTCTGCTAGATGGGAGGTAATAAGGGGGTACGGGAGCCAGGGCCCCTCAAATTAGGCCCGGAAGTACTAATTTCCGGCCCCCATCACGCCATTCCGCAGCGGCAGACCTGATGAAATTCACACTGGAAGAAACACCAAGAAAAGAAGATTTCAATGTATTATTTACCATATTTACAGCTTCATTCCTGACAGAGATGTGGGTGGGTGAAAGTGTGGCCTTTTGGTGTGGAAGCTGTCCCACGGGGGGGGGTGTCCCACTTGGGGGCCCCGCCGTTATAGAGAGCTTCCCCATTCCTGGAGCCTTCTTGAACTTTAAAGGGAGGTCGTGTGTTACTTTCACTAGTTCTCGTGTTCCTTGCATGGGCCTCATTGACTTCCTCTCGTGGGTTTTATGCTTCCCCTACCATCCGTCCATTCGTTCATGGATATAATTACATTATTAGCATGTTTTTCCATATCGTGAAGAAGTCCCTGGGAGCAGTGGCCGCTTTGGCTAATGTCGGGTCCTGTCTCCTGAGGTTCGTCACCTCACCGTCGTTTGACTTCCTCGCGCTGGCTGATTACACCAGAGATGCCGTCTTCATTGAGGGCTCGACGTTGACAGTGTCTGTGTCTGGACTGACTCCCGGTAAAGCAACATCGATGGTCCTGTTCCAAACGAACATAACAAACGATCAGGTGGATCCCCAAGCCCGCTTCCTGGGGTACCAGCAAGTATTTGGTGAGTGAGGCTCACACCGTGCTCCTCTCATGAGCCATCTAGACTAAAAGGAAGAGTCGCTGATGTATCACAGAAGGTGTCGTGAAACGTCTCGGTTTACAGATGGCTCATTGCTGTGGACCACAACGTATTCGATCTCTCATTTTCGAACGTTTTCATCCTCTCACTCTACAAGACGGGCTCCCTCGCTGCCGACACGAACAGCCATTACTTCAATATATCGACCGCCGATGCTGCTGTTGGCACGGCTACGACTACCAGCAGTGCTGGTCGGCCTACCTCCGCCACCGTCGCTTCCAGTACCGCACTGTCATCTCACATCACTTCATCAACATCAGCCGCTGCTACACCGGCCAATCAGCCCATGGGCTTGGGGACAGGAGCCAAGGTCGGCGTTGGAGTCGCGATCGTGGTGGCAGCTCTTGCAGGCCTCGGCGCCGGCTGCTTCCTGGTCAGAAGACGGCAACGACGCGAGGGTTCTCTTGCCTCTGCCGCTACACTGTACACAGTGCAGGAGGGCAGTGGAGATGAGGGTTATCTAGAAGCGGGTTCCACGGGAAAACCACATTCTACGGTACATTTGACAACCGATACCTACCCCGGATCGAATAGGTATGATCAACGTGCGCACGAGATGGGTGGTCTTGAAGTCAAGAAGAGCTATACGTACGAGCTGTCTGCTTCATCTATGAGATAGTTTAGCGATAATGGAATATACATTCATTCCCAACATCATCTTGCCCCCTTCCGTTCCTCGCCGACAGTGGCAAGGATCATCATTTTGGACGTCGCAGAGCACCATCTAGAGTGTACAAATGGCGCTTTCGACGACACAAATGATGGATCGGGACCTCATCTGATGGGCTGCCTATACGTAAGCACTCAACACCGCGGACTGCAGTTCAATACTCCTAGTCAGTGGCATAGCCTCATACTCAGTGGCATTGGCGACCTTGGTTGGGGAGTCCCTGCGTCGACTACCCCTCAGTGTCACGCATAAATGCTCTCAGTAACTATAGTGAAGAAGCCTTGGTGGACACCCTTCCTCATGTTGAGCATCACTCAATGGGGCCGGGATTATCACGTGCAAGAGTAAAGGTGAATTCGGCGTGTAATTGAGAAGCCTAGAGTTACCTCATCGTGTATCTCGGTGAGCTATCTCCAGTATTGTAGAACAAGCCATTGCTTGAGCCGTCTACTATGAAAGCATCCGCGAAACTTCTCAAACCTGTGTGTGCATGAGATGATACTGGTACCGTATTCCATGAAAGAAGCGAGCTTCATTGGAAGATCTAAGCGTCATCGTCCTTGACACCCTGCTCGACATCCTGCTCGACATCCTGCTCGACATCCTGCTCGACATCCTGGGCCTTCTTGAAGCTGAGCTTGACTTTCTTGGCGATAGGCTCGTCGTCGGAGTCAGAGTCGTCCGCAAGAGTCTTGTTTCTCTTCAGAGTAGAACGACTGGTGGGAGTCTTCTGGGCCGCGGTGTGGCCGGGGGTGGCGGGCACACTGCTGCCTCCTGCACGGGTGTCTGCACGCCAGCCGTACTTCTTCGAGATCTGGCAAAAGCGATCTCGGGCAATCTTGTCGTCCTTGTAGCCCATTTCGACCGTGACGGCATCCCAGTTGACAGTAGGGCGAGCCTGTTAAGTACAAGTATTAGCATGTGTGATCGTTTGACATCGTGGTTTAACTGGGAAAGAGGCCTCTGGCTGAACCGGAGAGGGAACATTGTCATTGCGCCACTTACTTGCATGTTCTTGTGCAGAGATTGAAGGAACTTCTGTTCGGTCTCAGAGAAGCCCGGACCGGAGCCAGCGGTCGAGTCAGCAGCGACGGAGGCAGTCTTCTTGGGAGGCATCTTGCTATGCGACGAGGCTGCTTGAGACGAGCTTGCTTGAGACCAGGTTGCTTGAGACGGAGTTGCTTGGGACCAGGTTGCTTGAGACGAGGTTGCTTTGGGCTGCACAGAGAGTGGTTAGTTGAATGCAGCTCGAGAGGCCTATGCTCGTGGTCAAGGAAGCTCTGCGGCTGATATAGGTACAAATTGCGGAAAGAAGTTGGCATGGAGGCAGGGACCTAAGTACGCCGCGACCGTGGGAGTATGACGGGAGCGATGACTGTGTCTGTGATGATGATGTTGTTGGGTGGGAAGGAGGAAGGGCGCCGCGAACTGGGATGAGGATGGTCTTCTTCATACCTTGAGAGAGTTGATTGGTGTGGCAGCAGAAAATGCGAAGTTGCGAGGCGGTGTTTGCTTGCCAATCTTGATGGTGATGTTAGTTGGTCAAAGTCTGGTGGACAGTGTAAGAGTCAAGAGAGGGAAGGTACCTACTGAAGGATGGGAGAGAGATGTGCTCAGGGTTTCCCACGCTTAAGCTCTGGCTCGATCTCTTCAGGCAATCGAAACGAAAGAAGGCCAGGCCGAGGGTGACACGGAAGCCTGCGGAATATCAGTAGGCAGTCGAAACAGGCTCCGTATTTCGATCGCCTCATTGGCCGGTGGCTTCATTTTCGAGGAGCCCATGTGCCCGTCAGGTAGGCTTTGGCACACCCCGGTTCAGTCTCTTTCCACTTCTGGCTGATTCCGCAGTAGGACCGAGCAAAGCAGTAGAGGTTAAGAATCATATCGAGGGCGTGGTATGGAAAGATGCTGAATATAAACAGTCAATGGAGCAATTTGTTAGGAACGGAAGTTTTGTGTAACGTGAATTCATAAAGGCTAACTCAACGTTGACGTTATACGGCTACTCGAAGGCACTTGTTAAATCTTGCCACGGCAGTGCCGTTGTACCTTCTGTCTTGAACGTCGGTAGACCTACTCGTCTGGGCGTGGTGGCCACCTCTAGACTAACGGATTGAAAGGGGGGGACAATCCATGGATGCTTAGTCAGGGGCCGACGTTAAACCTAGACAAGTAGTTATTAACTGTGCAAAGCGTCATAAGGAAAAGACAACAAATCTATAGTCGGCAATAACTTAAGCTCACCAGCCGCAACTATTTCGTTTGGAGATGTAAAGATTTACACCTACCAACTTGCCCAATCTTCACCCACTTGTCTAGACCGCTGGGGAACTAACGTTATGTGTGACTTTCAATCACCTTGGAGTAGGGAATGAGCTTTACGAAAGGAGTCATAGTCCAAAGCGCTGTTAAAGGGGCTGGTGTGACAACGGGACTCAAGCCCTAGCAAACTTCTACAGTGCGTCCTTCCCGGTGGCAGGGGTGTTATGAGTTATAGATGCTTGCCATATAGTCTGCATTGCAACTAGCACTGTTCGTCCTGTGTCTGGAAGCTAGAACAGCCATACCCTTTCCTGAAGCATCGTCAGCGGCTTGGATATTTTGGAGCAGTTCTTGATCCATCACCTAGTAAGCCAGTGAACCCGGGGATTATAAGACTGCCACGTTTCGACTGCTGGTAACTCTAGAAATGACTTCGTTGACGTACGTGGAAAAGGAAACTATGAAGCTAGCTGGGGAACATGATCTGATATATATAGGGGTTGACCCCTGTAGTTTTGATTGATTGTATTTATCGTGGATGCAGTCCCTCCATAGGGCAAACCACGCCTCCCAGAGCCATTGCATCGCAAGGTTGTAGAGGTGTCAGTCTAGATACATTCAGATCCGCGCACGAGCCTATCCTCGCTGTAGCGGTACCAACCTGGAGTGACCAGATGGTTTTAGTCAATACCCAAACATGATTCTGTCAGAAAAACCTCCTGTTCAGTGACTAAGCGACCCAGTGAACCTCAGTCCTCCGGTATACACATCGTTCCAGTAGCCGTTCGATATATGTCGCATTGGTGGGTGAAGTAGGTGTTTGTTATCTGCTGGCGAGGGAAACCACAAGGGGGAAACCTCGCAGGAGTGGGTATTGTGGAGACAAGCTGTTTGGCTATCGGGCTCTGCGATAAGGGGCCTCTTCACTGTCGTGTGCTGGTTGTCGACTCGCACAAGCCGGGTCAGAAGGGGGCCATAGCAGGATTCGAACCCACTTGTTCTCGTCGCCCACCGCACAAACGAGAACACAACCAGGCGCATTTGACCATTGCGCCATACGGCCAAGGTTGACCCCTGTAGTTGTGTGGTTGTCTTCTAGTGCCGTGACAGACACCGGTTTGATTCTTCGGTACTGGCTGTTTTGAGAGTTTCGCTGCAAGACCAAGAGGATCATCCACAGTACTGCTGGACCAAAGCCCTCGACCAAGGAGACACCCGTAGTATATCTGACATGCCAGAACCACCAGTCAAGAACAAGCCCAAATCAGAGAGAATGATCCATCATCAACCAAGCTGTTCCGTCTCCGTCAAGATCTTCACGTGCGGACTTGCCAGGCAACTGAGCAATCTCATGCAAAGGTCGGAATAACCAAATTCATTACATCATATTAGGACGCTCGAGAGTTATCGTTCTGAGAGTTACGGCCTGGCGATATCCCTCCCACCAATCCACACAAACACCCAACTGATGAAGATCGAGATTCTCCTCCTCCAGCTCCGTGTCCACGCCAGACTCCCAGACCTCCAGGCCAACCAAGCACTAATCCCGGTCCAGTCTTCCCGGCCGGCAATGATACCATCGTGCCTCCCAAGATAAGCCAGCAGAGCCCTCTGCTTGTGCTCAAATGGCTTGGCTGCCGTGGTTCCATCATGGGCATTCAGTGCATTGGAGAGGTACTCGCCCTTCTGCAGAGCCACTTCAGCAAGAGTGGGTAAAGACTCTCCTTCTATATCCGCGGCGTCACCGAGCCCATACACATCCTCCATGGGGCTTCCATCGGGCCTCAGGACCCTCAGACAACGATCCGTCAGGATCCGAGGGAGTCCTTTCTCCGGTTTCTTGACATCAAGCTGCTCGACCAACGAGCTAGCCTTGTTTCCGGTCGCCCAAATCAGCAGCCCAGCAGGCAACTTCCCATCCTCCTTAGTCACTATCCCGTCAGCCTCGACCTTCTCGATATGCGAGCTCGTCTTGAGCTCGATGTGTCTGCCCTTGAGGCTCTGCGTAGCGTACTCGGCAAGCCGGCTGTCAAATGTAGTCAAGATGGCCGGTGCAATGTCATGGATAGTAACGGTGAGTTTCCCGTCCAGTTGCGGGCACAAGAAGCGCATCTCTTCGTGCCACAGATCGTACAGCTCAGCCGCGGCCTCGATGCCGATGGCGCCGCCGCCCACGATGCGGATACTCAGGATAGCGCGCTGCTCGGCCTCGCTGACGTTTGGCAATGATGCCTTATCGAGCATCTCCAGCAGCCTTTGCTGGATCAGACGCGCATCGTTCGTCGTCCGCAGGAACAGCGCGTGGTCCTTGGCGCCGGGCGTGCCGAAGTCCTGGATGTCGCATCCGGGCGCGATCGCGACCTTGTCGTACGCCACCTCGAAATCCTGCGGCTTCTCGTCGCCAATCTGCGTCGCATCCTTGCAGTACACAATCCGTTTGTCGAAGTCGATGCTCGTGGCGACGGCCTTGTAATACTGCAATCCAGGAGCCCGCTTCTTGCGCCGAACAGGCTCCTCGGCCAGCCGGAAGTTGTAGAGCCCGCAGGCGGCGCTGGCAAGCAGGGGTGTGTATTGTATGGTCCGGACGGGGGAGATGACCGTGATGTTGTATTTCTCCAGGGAGACGCGCTGCGAGAGGGTGAAGCCGGCCCAGCCGGAACCGATGATGGCGAGTGTTGGCTTTGACATGTTGGCTGTGAGTTGAGTGTAACGATACAGTCAAACGCGCCGAACACGCTGCTTGATATATTTATGCTTGCGGCATTGCGTAGGTATGATACAGCCTTGATGCCGAGCTGCTTGACAGGTCTCGGCGTTGGTTCGGTGTTGTGACGCGTGAACGCACACACCGAACGTCATCCATTTGCGCGTTACATGGGACCCCCTAGTAGTACCACTTGTTTCACTACGATAGCTGACTGAGTGCGTGGTCTGTGGTGTGAATTGGCTCATCAGGTCCTCCTTCTGTGCTTCCGCTTCGCTTCCGTACCTAGGAAGCAATGACTTGTGCTTGTTTCATGGCGTATGTGCGTGGATTGCGGCTCGTGCTGTGATTTGACCGACAGACGCGCTCTCCTACTTCACGAGGCGCAATGCAGCATGTCCGTGATGATGGAGATGAGGGAGCTGATGAAGCTGACGACGGCTACGAGCATAGCGCAGCTCGATGGCATTTTCTGCTGCCCTAGGTGTGTTCCCTTACCAATCTCGGAGGCCTGTAAATGGCAACCGGCTTACGCAGAAACGCATAGTGGCATGACGTTCTCCGGCGACCTGAACAGTAACTCCTGCGGGGCGACAATGACAGAGGCGGTTATCACGGCTATCATTTACGTGCAATCAGATTGCGCCTCGCAGCTCCCGACGTTCACTGTCGGTCCGGGGCGGTCAGGAACGTATATGTTGGGCACCGATATCATCTCACAAAACGCCACGAACGTCGTACAAGCCACGCTTATCTTGTTTTGGAGCCAGCGGAATGCCGCTGCGGTCTCGTCCCTTACCATCAGCGCATCAACGTCATCAACCGGCAAATCACAGTCAGTGCCCACCTTTGGCGGAAACGGCCCGGCGATAGGAGAACAACAAGGCCAAGGCCTACCGCAGACTGCCAAGATCGGTATCGGTGTGGGCATCTCAGCAGTTGTCCTCCTCCTTTCATGCGTGGTATTTTTCGTTATCAGACGACATCGCAGGAAAAGGTTCAGCGACGCGGGGCACGACGACACCCCAGTCAGCCACAGCCGCCACTCTGCATTCGAGGGAAAAGCCGAGCTCGATGCCGCGGCGACCCGTGCAGAGCTTGAAGGGTCCCTGGGAGACGAGGGTGGAGCGGGCGTGTATGAGCTGAAGCCGGAGCTCGGGGGAACCCTTGGCGAACATGGCGTAGGCTGGACGGGTCTACGTGAAAAAGAAGTCTGAGTTAGAAGCTGGGCACGTGACAAGTAGACAGGTTGGTGCTGAAATTGCTGAGTTGGGAGATACCAGCCCCATTTTGTGAGGCACCGGTCCGTTGTGTTCGCCGACGAGGAGATTAAAGGACCACGTTTCCTTTGGCAAAGACCCCCAATTCACATTGTATAATAGGCATTTTGTTCCAATTATTCCATCGAGCAGATTGGCATTTGGATTGTCATTTGCCGATAGATGGAGTCATACGTCCCTAGGCAGGATCATAATTCTTGTAAGACTGGATAGCTGCTGACAACTAAGTTACAGAGCAAGTGCTGAATGTACAACCAGAATCATCACATTGTTAGGCACATGGACGCCCAGTGCTTACGTGCAGGTTGCTGCGGGCTGTAAGTGTGGTTACACCGTGTCGGCCTTACCTGTCATACGCGGCAGTTCAATCCGTGGCGATTCTGCCGTCCGGACGGAGGCAAAAGGGGGAACAGTCTCATCCAATTCTTGAGTTTCGGGCGCAGCAGGCATATCGTACGGCCCCGAGCGAGATGGCACACTGCCTGAAGGTCTGAAACAGCGTTGCTGATAATTATTTTAGTGTATCTCGTTGATTCCAGAGTAGTTGTGCTGTTTTGAAAAGTCTGCCCCTGCGACGGTGCACTGCCACCCCCTGGAGCCCACTGTGGCTCAATCCAGTGCATGATATCGTCTAGGAAGGAGGCTTGTATCCATCAACGTCGGTGCTGTTGCTCAGCTTCTCAAACTTCTTGACGTTCTCTCTGTAAGTATCAAGCTTGCCGTTGATAGCAGCATACGCATCAGTGCCGATGACGCATCTGATAGGCGGGTCCTTCATGACCGCGAGCTCATACATGGCCTTAGCACCTTTGGCCGGATCACCGGCTTGGCTGCCGTGCTTCTCGCCCATAGTCTTCTCTGCGTCCAAGTGGTCGTAAGCCGGGTTTTTCTTCTCGCCGAATGCCATGGACCGGCCAGCCCAGTCGGTTCGGAAACCGCCGGGCTCGACGCAGGTGAGTTTGATGCCCCATTCGGACTTGACCTCGTGTGAGAGGGCCTCGGTGAAGCCTTCGACCGCCCATTTTGATGCGCAGTAGATGGAGAAGAGAGGCACGCCGCGCTGACCACCGATGGAGGTGATTTGCTGGATGACGCCACCAGACGGCTTTTGGTCGCGCATCGTCTCGAGTGCCTTGCGGGTTACGTCTAGCAGGCCGAAGAAGTTGACTTCTATCTATCGCGACTGGTCAGCCATTCAAGCTATGCAAAAAATGCAGAGAGCAAAGAGCACATACCTGAGTTCTGATCTGGTTCTCGCTCAAACTCTCGAACTCGCCTCCGAGGCCGTAGCCGGCATTGTTGACCACGACGTCAATTCTTCCGAACTTCTTGAGCGCAGACGAGAAGGCGGCATTGATGGATTCCTTCTTTGTGACGTCGAGGTCTACGGCCAGGTAGTTGGAGTCTGAAGCGCCGGATGGCTTCTCCAGCTTGCTGCTGTTGCGAGCGGTAGCGACGACATGGTCGCCTTCGGCAATGACTTTCTTGACCAGCTCGTTACCAAAGCCAGTCGAAGTGCCTGTTATTAGGAAAGTACGGGGCGCCATAATTGACGATTGATAATTGATCAGTGGGATGATTGATATGTGATTTTGGTCTGACGAGCTTACGGTTGCGGGGTGTTCAATGTTGGAATCGGTACTTATATATGGAGGTACTCTAGGCTCTAGTAGATAACCCGAGGGCTGGATGGTCGTTTCCTCGCGGTGTACGTCATACAATTCTTAGCAGCTTCAGAAAGTTAAGGTACGTAGGACGTGACGCCATAACTACGAGCGGCAGTGGCACACAAGCGTCGACGAATGCCGGCAGCCGCAGTAGGTTGCCGGCCCATTTCCGGATCGGTTCATCACTGGGGATACAATCAATCAAGCGTGAAAGAGCAAAGAGGATGAGCATTTTCCACCACCTGACACCTCTCCCAGCGAGAGCCCCTCCATTCCAGAAGAAGGTCCCCTCCACAGACATGCCACTGATGTAGCTAATAAGCGTGGGAAGATCGAATTTGAGACTCGCGGGGGAATCGTTGACGTAAAGGGCTAATCGCTAGTCCCGCTATCATGCGTGATGTAGGAACGTGGAGAACAAAGGAAGTGTATTGACTCGCACGGATATACCGGAGACAAGGTGAAAGGGGGAGATGGGAATACAGACGGGATTCAGTACTGATAGGAGATACAGACACACCATGAGTTCCAATCACAGTTCAACGCAAGGCCACGCGCATCGTTGATCCGGGGTAGGAGGGTTAAGCTTCAATCTATTCATAACCCCAAGCTCTCCCAGACGCCCTGATAACTCCTCCACGACCCCTAGTCCCCCTGGCCACCCTCATGAAGCCCGCATAGAACGCCATCCCGGTCCTACCCCCAATAGCACGAAAGCATCCGGGTCACTATCATCCCGAAATACTGACGGCTGACCCGGCAACCCAGCGAGTTCAATTGTGGCAAGACCAGCCACTTCATCAGCCCCACGAAGTGCGTCCACACGAGGATCCGCGAGGGACGTCGGACCCAGAGACAAGCCAGAGGGCCTCGATCTTACGAAGATATCTGGTCGAGGTTTGATATCGGTACCGGTCGTCTCTGGAACCTTGACGGTGATGATGGCGGCGGTGCTTCGGGACACTGAGTACCGGTAGTGAAAATTGCCTCATTATTCGCCGCGGTGGGAGCACATTACGGCGCAGCGTTGTCATTGAAGCGCCGGTTCTCCTCGATCAACGCCCTGGTCTGCCGATTCGCGGCTTCCTGACGACCGCCGCCACCGCGAAGACATTGGAAACCGCGACCGCGGCGGGCGGTGGCGATGATTTCACACGAGGACGAGTGCGTCGGCGGCGGTGGTGACGACGACCACGGAGGAAGACCTTGAGGAGGAGGAGGTTGAGGCGGGTCAGGAGTTAGGTCACCGAGGACAAGAGGATGAAGAAGGACATGTCAGGAGGTAGATGCTTGTCCAAGTTGGCCGTACCAACGACCTTGGGAAGCACAGCGCGCTTCCACTGGTCGTACGTCATGCGCTCAAACACCAAATCCTGAACAACGCCGTTAGCAACCTGCTAAGCCATGAAGTCCTGTTGATCTCACCTCAGGAACCATGGCGGCGTCCACAACTCCGCGGATGGGCGGCATGGATCCGCGCACACGTTTGAGAAGCACGATGAGGCCTTTCTCTGATGCAATATCGCAGTTCTGAATCTGAAGATTGCAGCCCTCTCGTTCGGCCCTCTATAGAAGCGCCAACGCGTCTGCATGTTTATCGGCGTTACGAGAGACGATGAGTGTGGTCCTGGCTCCATTGTCCATCATCCAGGATACAATCGCCCGACTGAGGCCACCAGATCTGAACACCCTTCTCCATCGCACCCCGAAAGGCGCGGCCGTTGTATTCGGCCACCTCCACCACGTCCGCGCGCGCGTACGTTGTGCTTTGCCCCAGGAATGTCTCGTTCCATGCTTGGCCGGTGTGTGCACTGGCAGCCCCAGTCTGGACTAACCGACCGAACCGGGCAATGCAATTCTGCACAGCGCCGAGATACAAGCTCGATGATGAGCCGAGGACAACGTCAACGCCCTTTTGCCTCGTCTGGGCTTTCAGAGTCGCGCTTATACTCATGTCATGACTGGAGATGACCCGATCTGTTGGGAGGTTGTACTTGTCGAGCAATATAGCTCGTTCCGAGTCACTGCATGTGCCTGGCCCGCCGTGACGAGACCCCGTTAGCAGCACTTGCAGCCTTCATGTTGGTAAGCCAATGATCATGCAATGTGATCAGTTCATGCTACCTACCTTAGCGAGGGGGACAAAGCAGGTGCAGATGCGCGGCGCTGGTGATGGTGTTGGTGATAGAGGTGACATGGCCGCGTGGTTGGCATTTGTAAGCGCCCATGCACAGCGAGAGCAGGCGTTGCTTGCATTTTGCATTTGTAAGCCGTAGGCCAGGCTCTGTCTTATATCCCTTTTCACAAATAAGTGTCATGCTCAAGCCTCGCACGTCGAATCCGCTCCGTGCCTCTATACCTCTCTACTTCTCCACCTTCCTAACCACTTCTCGCTTTAACCCACATTCTCACACACTCCAAACATGTCCACCATTGTGTTGATTACCGGGGCCAATCGGGGCCTCGGCAAGGGCATGCTTGAGCGCTACCTCAAGCTGCCGAACCACATCCTCATTGCAGCCAACCGCAATCCAGATCACCCTTCGTCCAAGGAGCTTTCCAAGCTGCCGACCGCTTCGGGCACCAGGTTGATCGTAATCAAGATCGATGCCAAGGTCTGGCAAGATCCCTTCGATGCCGTCAAGATGCTCGAGGGTCAGGGCATTGACCACGTCGACGTCATCATCGCCAATGCCGGCGTCAGCTACATCTGGCCCAAGGTCGTGGATGTCAAGCTGGAAGACATCGAGGCTAACATGTGGCCTAACGCCTACGGCGGTGTGTCGCTGTACCAGGCTTTCCGACCGCTACTGAAGAAGTCCAAGAAGGAGCCCGTCTTGACCAACATGGGCAGCACCGCTGGCAGCTTAAAGTACGTGAAAGCCATCCCGATCCCTCCCTTTGCCTCCATATCGTACACATGCTTACGACAACCTCACAGCTCCCCGCTCCCGTCACCCAACGCCGCCTATGGCCCCTCCAAGAGTGTCTCGGCATGGTACACTATCAAGATCCACTTGGAGGATGACTGGCTCAACTCGTTCTCTTTGGGCCCTGGCTGGGTGCACACCGACTTGGGCGATGCGGGCGCCATCGGCCTCGGCGCCGACGAGGACACGCAGGCCAAGTTCATGATCAGCTGCGACGACTCGTGCGACGGCATGTTCAAGGTGTTTTGTTTGTTTGTTTGTTTTGTTTGTTTTGTATTTAACGTGGGGGATTGCTCCTCAGTAGTGCAAACCACGCCTCCCAGAGCCTCTGCATCACAGGGTTGTGGAGGTATCAAGATAATAAGTACAGTCAGTCCCGCTCACGAGCCCATCCCCATTGTTGCGGCGGTATGACCTTGGGTCATCCATTTGGTCCTTTAAGAACAGCTATCTATTGAGGGCAGATTGATGAAAAAAATTTGCTCTTCTCCATGAATTTTGCCTATTCTGTGCTCCTCTCCCCTAAGTATTGTAAACAAGCTGTCCTAGGCGAGTACCTGGGCAGCAGCCGGTTTTTCCCCAGCTTCTTACAAAAGAAAATATGTTGTGATGTTTTCTTCTCACCACAACTGCAGTGGTTGTTCGAGTCTGTATGCCCAAAGCGTTCGTGGTATCTGGCAAAGTCGCCATGTCCAGATCTGGCCGCTAGAAGTCTGTGTAGAGTGCTCCTCTTAAAGGATATAAGGCCTCTTTCAGTTATTGTATGTGAGTATACTTCTTGATACTTAGGTTCTGATTGGTCTTTTTACCATTGGTTGAACTCTTTCTTGCCCTTTCTTTTGAGATCTCTCTTGGCCCAAGAGATTATAGGAAGGTTTGTTGTGTCTGTTTCTAGCATAGCACCCTCTTTTGCTAATATATTGGCAGCTTTGTTACCATCAATATCTCTGTGTCCAGGAATCCACTTGACGGTCACTCCAGGAGTGTGTGCTGTGGCGAGTTCTTGGAATCGCAGAAAATTTTTCTGTGATGTCTCGGGTGGAGTCCCATTGAGCCCATCCACCACTGATGTGTTGTCCAGGCAGACATATAGCTGTTTTCCGTGTCCAATTGCCCTGGCTGCTGCAAGCCTTTGGAGAGCGCCATAGACTTCAGTATCTATTACTTCTGTTTAGAAAAGTCTGCCCTTTTCCTGGTATACTTCTTGTGTAGTGTTGCCTTTCCTGATGGTATAGCCCCATCCAGTGCGGGTTGTGCCTTTGTTATCTAACTATGATCCATCTGTGTAGATAACAAGGTCAGTGTTTGTATTTCTCTCTTATAACCATTCCTTAAAGAGCTCTGTCTTTTTGTCTTTGTCCTTTCAGATTGGGGGCTTTTTTTATAATGGCTTAGTGAGTATTGGTCTCTAAAAGTCAGGGATTAGCTAGAAGTTCCTTTATAGCCTTATTGGTTCTTTGCGAGCTTATACTTGGAGCCTGCCAACAAGAGGGTGTCTTTGGTCTAAATGTCCGAGTCGTAGGCCGTGACGCCGTCTTATTGCCTCTGCAAGAACTCCTGCTGGAGGAATCTGTGATTCAAAGTGTAGGATATGTCCAGGGTGTGTTTTCCAGACCGGCAGGATAGCCCTGATCGCTGTTCGTAGTACAGCATCTATCATTCCAAGAAGCCCCTTAATGCGACATGCTAATGTCTCACCTGAGCTCCTGATTTTTTTGATTCCTAGGTACCAGGCCTCTAAGCCATGTGTAAGAATAGGAATAATACAAGCTTTCACAGCCCTCCTGGTTGACTTTACTGGGAGTCCTTTGACTGTGTTGCATAGTCCTCAAAGGTGATTTGCTACCTTACTAGCTTTCTTAGCCTAGTGAGAAACATGATCTTTAAAGTTTAGTTTTCTATTCAGAAGGACACCTAGCCATCGCATAGAAACCTGGGTTATTTTGTTCATTATCCCGTGGCAGACTGGAGGGTTGTCTGAATTTTTTTTCCTTAAGAAGTGCATGATCTTAATTTTATTGGGGTCAAATTCAATAGCGTTATTATGTCCCTATTGATTAAGTAAATGAAGATTTTTAGAAGCCTTTGTAGCTGTTTCCTTAAGGTTCTTTCTAATACAGAGAGTTGCTAGGTCGTCTGTATATCCAAAGCGTCTCTTTTTCATACCAAGTCGGGCACAGATTGGCTCTGTATACAGCATATAAAGGATTGGAGAGGCTGGTGAGCCTTGTAATAGCCCACAAGTGAGAGCTTTTATATCAGTCACGATACCTTCAAACCGAACCCTTGCGGACCGCTCGGACATGAATGACTGGACCCATCTTATAAAAAAGCCCGGCCAGCCCTGTTCTCTCATGCGAACCACCAGCCGTCCCATTGGGGCAGCATTAAAGGCCCCTTTCACATTTGACGTGACTACCGTTACAACGAGGCCTTGGTCGAGGGCCTGCTCAATATCGTGTATGAGTGCGGCTACCAAGTCGGTGGCAGAGCGCTTTGGTAGAGCTCCAAAATGTTGTGGAGCTAGAATTCCAAGTTTAACAATAAATTAGGTAATTCTTTTTGTGATGAGTCGTTCTAGGCCTTTGCCAAGACATAACAATAGCGATATTGGTCTGTAGGCCCGGGGATTGGAGTAGTCTGTCTTGTCTGGTTTTGGGATCATTACCACTTCAGCTATTTTGAATGGTTTAGGGTGATGTCTGATCTGTAGACAGGGCTGGAAGAGGGCTCTGATATGTTCCCCAATGACTGGCCAGCAAGCTTTCAGAATCCGTACTGTGAGGGTGTCTACTCCCAGGGAGTTGCTCTTGGTCCCTAAAGTGCACCCTTCAGCCTCTTCCAGTCCGACATAGTATTCAAGGGGGATGTGTGGCTTGGGTTGTGTGATCTGAGCGGACCGAGGGTCGATGATATCGTTGTCTGAGGTACTTCGTTCAAGTCTGGCTGAGCGTAGTGCATTTGCCTTGCTCTCTTATGACTCAAATATTTGGTCTCTTATGATGATTAGAGGGGAACGCAATCCTGCTGACAGCTTGTGCCAAGAAACGATTCTGTACAGGTCCTTTGGCTCAGTCGCTGAATCAATTAGAGTCTGCTAGTACTCTCTCCTAGCTTTCTGAATCACGTAGCAAAATTCCCGTCGGGCTGAATTCCGCCCTTCTTGGCTTATAGTCTGTTTGGAAAGGGCCCTGTATGTCTGAACAGCTGCTTTGCAGTCATCATTCCACCAAGCAGTGGGCCTAGATTGTCGGGGCTTTTTGCCCACTGTCTTGATACAGCCTTGGATCATGTTGATCAAGCTCTGTGTAAAGGCATCCACCTGGCCAGGGGATACACCTAGCCGGGGGAGCTCATGAATCCTGGTTTGGACATTATCTGCCAGCTCTTGTAGTTTATTGTCTGGTACTATCTAATGATTGGCCTTGGGGATTTGGTCCAGATCTCCCTGAATTGGAATAACTATTCGTAATGTCTCATGATCTGAGGTGCACTGAAGTGCATCATTGACTGAGGCTTCAGCCATAGGCACATCTGAGAACACCAGATCTAGTACATTTCTGTCATTATGTGTTGGGACATCTGGTTCAGAAATCAGATCCAGTCTGTGGTCTGCCATAGTCTGTTCAAGTATAATACCACTATGATATCCTGGATTGCTCGAGTCCCAGGATATGTCGCCAGCATTAAAATCTCCAGCTATAACGCAGCCAAAAGGTGGAGCCCATACTTCCAGAATGTCATCCACTTCCTGTGGGTTGTCATATGGCCGGTAGACACTGACAAATGTAATGCCTTGTACCTTGACCCAAGTGATGTCTCGTGTAGCATAAGGCCAAAGTTGATCCGCTTAAAGATGTTTTCTCATATAGATGAGAGATCTGGGCCGTGTAATGTCGCTGTCCCAGGAATCCACTGGGGAGTATATATCGTAATTGGGTGTGTCTTTACTCTCATTCTCCTGCCTGGTGGTATGCCAACCCAGGGCTCTTACATCAGAATGATGTCTGCTTGTTCTCCTTTGTAGTCAGCCAGGTTGATAGCTAACTCTGTAGGGCCTGCACTCTTTTGTCCTCCTGCTGTATTCACAGAATGGATGACTAGATGCCCGTGTTAATGTGTTTTGTTTGATGTATCTAGCATTGACTGACGACAATGGTGTTGGCATCTTTGGGATGAGCTGTATCTATTGTGTCGATTTGCATTGTGGTGTCTTCATTATTATTGCTAGGTGTTGACCCAGCTTGGTTTCTGCCTGTTTTATTGAAGGCCTTGGATCTGGCTCTTTCTCCGGCCAGCCTTATTTCCTGGATTTGCTCTCATGTGTGCTTATGGATGATACCTTTCACGACCTTGGGGGGCGTGCAGGGCATTTATCGAAGTTGGTAGCATGAGGTCCTTTGCAGTTGACATACTTTGGGATTGGTTTTTCGCAATCCCCCTGGTGTACTGCGCTGGCGCAACGTGCACATACTTGCTTTTCACATCGGTAGTTCCTACCATGGTATCTGAAGCAGCTCGCACACTGGTGAACCTTTGGGGGGGTATTGAATGTGCCTTGAGGTCATTGAGTGAGCAAAAAGCGTGAATGGTTTCTTTGCTGCACGGGGCAGAGAGATCACTCATGTAGTCTCTGGATCAGAATCAACTGTGTTCCCTGAGAGTATGCACCTTAAAGGTCTGTCACCTGTTTGGGCTTTAACTTCATCAGCAACAGCAATGTCAGTAATATCGATTGTCAACCCTTCCGCACTGATGACCTTTCTTGGGCATCCATTGACCTTGTAGTGATGCCAGACCGTGTGGGTCTCGATCTTTTCTGCCTTGAGAATGTTGGTAATTTCTTCTTGGAAGGCCAGGAGCTTAGCCTGAGTTGGCTTGTCCCTTGGGTGTAAGGTAAATCCGGAGGGGCACTGGGTCACTTCTCTAAGCTTTTAGGGGTGGAGCTTAAGTCTTCTGTTTAGTATAGACTTTATTTTATAAGGCTCTAGGTGGCTATTATCCATGCAAATAAAGACCTGGAGATCATCCTGCTTCTTCTTCAGTTGGTTGGCAGTGATGTGGGCGCCAGGCTGTGTTTTTTTCATGGTAGTGTTGACTGTCTGTGGATGCTGTCGCTGGCTAGAGGAGACAGCTTGGGCGAAGGTCATGGTAGGCTTTACCATCCTTATCCCCCCAGGAATAGTCTTCCTTTTGGGCGGATCTCTGGTTTCCAACCACTTGTTCAGACATTTAGAAAAGAAAATGCTGAACTCTTTAGCATGAGAGTATAATTTGGTTCCAGCTTTCTCAAGTGTCTTATTAACTACTATAGCACATTCCTGAAATATTATCATCCTGGCTTCATAGAGGTGCTTCTTTTTAGCCAGTATTTTGGCAACTTAGTCCTGGCACTCTGAGGAGGAGGCTTTATTCCTTATATCGCGTATAATGGCTTGGTCTGTAGAGATTTTGTTCAATTAAGGTTGTTTCATTTTAATGGTGCTGTTGTCATTAAATTTCAGGATTCTTCTTTCAGAGAGGAAATGTTTGTTTGTTTTGTTTGTTTGTTTTGTATTTAACGTGGGGGGTAGCTCCACAGTAGTGCAAACCACGCCTCCCAGAGCCATTGCATCGCAAGGTTGTAGAGGTGTCAAATTAGATACATTCAGATCCGCGCACGAGCCTATCCTCGCTGTAGCGGTACCAATCTGGAGTGTTCAGATGGTTTTAGTCAATACCCAAGCACGATTCTGTCAGAAAAACCTCCTATCTAGTGACAAAGCGACCCAGTGAACCTCAGTTCTCTGGTGTACATATCGTTCCAGTAGCCGTTCGATATATGTCGCATTGGTGGGTGGAGTAGGTGTTTGTTATCTGCTGGCGAGGGAAACCACAAGGGGGAAAACCTCGCAGGAGTGGGTATTGTGGAGACAAGCTGCTTGGCTATCGGGCTCTGCAATAAAATGGGGCCTCTCCACTGTCGTGTGCTGGTTATCGACTCGCACAAGCCGGGTCAGAAAGGGGGCCATAGCAGGATTCGAACCCACTTGTTCTCGTCGCCCACCGCACAAACGAGAACACAACCAGGCGCATTTGACCATTGCGCCATACGGCCTTCAGAGAGGAAATAATAGTAAAATCAGCCTCAGAGACCTGTGACGGGCTGCTGTTAATGTCGTCAAGCAGCGCCTGGCGGAGCCTGCTCGGAGTTGCCGGGCTGTATGCCTTTCTAGGGGCCGGGGATTTGAGCACACCGCCAGTGGTCGTCTTTGGGACGGCCACGGGCGTGTTTGGGGGCCGTCGTGGAAGGGTGCCATCCGGCTTGTGAGAAAAATTCTCTTGTGCCTTGGCAAAGATAGTCAATTACTGAGAGAAGTGCCTGCTTTAGTGCAGATATCGAGGTTGCGCCCTAACAGCGGGGCGCCAAGAAAAATAGTTGTTTTTGTTTGGCATGTTCAAGGTCATGACCGAGACTAGTCGGGAGAAGCACGGCGGCAAGCTTGTGCTTATAACGGCGACGTGACACCTTGGTAAACTGTCAGGCTGAACGATAACGAGGTCGTTAATATTGTTAACTTTAATTTACAAGAGCCTCGTATTGATGTTGGTGGAGTTGGTCGGGTCCTTGAGCAGATCTCAGCACGGGCGTCGTGAGAAGGTGTGTCATCCGTCAATCCATACTGGTATACTTTAGCCACCAATTCTCTCCACTGGTGATTGATGGAGCTTCTGGTTCAGTATCACAACTGTAGGTATGTACGCGATTGTAAAGTAATCATTGCACGTGAAAGGGGCGCAGCTGTACGGGATATGCCCTTGGCATCCTACATACATTAGGTAGACGACGCCCTCATCTACCAAATCCCAGCCGTTCAAGCCCATCAATCACAGAAGTATATAGGTTACGCTCTTATTCGCAGCATAGAGTGAAAGAAGGATATAAGTACACGATTAGCTAGTTAAATGCGAAGTTTGACGTCTTCAATTTCTTCCCAAGGTTCAACAAGCCCCTGCAAAATAGTGTCATTTGACAAGACCGAGAACATGCTAACATGAAAAGTAGGGGGTTGTAGTATTTTCGGAACCAGCTTCGGATATAAATACCTCTTTACCACCATCGCATGCCCCAAAGAGTCCGGTCGAGGGTGTCACGTGCTTCCTGCAGGTTCCGTATAGCAAATGTACTATCTTGGCAATAGACCCGGTCGAGAGTCAGGTATAGCGCGGGGTCCCCGGTAGCTGGAGATAAGAGAGAGACGGCACACCACCACCGCCGCATTGTGTGGCTTCTGCTGACTCTAAAAGTACGATGTGACGTAGATAGGATAGTCGAAAGATAAGGTCGGCACCAATCTGCATGATTCAATCACTCAAAGGGATGTTATACCCGCATCAATTGGCCTCTCGGTTGAGCTCGTTTATCATTCAGATCGACACCATTGAGCCACAGGTTGTACTGAAAATTGATTATAATTCGAGCATGGCGATCACCGACGAGAAAGTATTACCCGGTGGGCTGGCTCCAGCTGTCGATTTCGGACATGGCAAGTCTCAGTTGGGAGACGTTCACGATGTCCAGAACCTCACGTTGTTGGGCTACAAGCCCGAGCTGCGGCGCAATAGGTCAATGTTCACCCTCCTATTTCAGTCGCTTGCTATCGCCGCGGTGAGTAGACTCGTACTGACCACTTCTCACGAACATTTACTAATGCTCTATGCTAGATCCCGTATGGCTTCGGCGGCCCTTTGATCAGTGCTATCTATGGCGGCGGTAAGCTGATGATCATCGCCTGTTCGACTAGTCTAGCGTATTGACATCTGTCAGGACAGCTTCCTATGTTCCTGGGCTGGATCGTGGTCCTCATCCTCGATGAATGCATCGCCCTGTCCCTAAGCGAGCTGGCCTCGAGGTATCCAACGTCCGCCGGTCCCTATTACTGGTCATTCCAGCTCGCCAGCCCGAAGTACCGCACCATTCTCTCGTTCATCACTGGGTGGACTTGGCTCATCGGGAACTGGACCATCACGCTCTCCGTCAACTTCGGCTTCGCTTCCATGGTAGCCGGCACCGTGTCCTTGTTCCATCCCGACTTCGCGGATGTCGAGGCCTGGCAGCTGCTCCTGATCTTCTATGCCATGTGCTTCCTCACCTTCTTCGTCGTGGCGTTTGGAAACAAGGTGTTGCCTATGGTTGACACGATATGTGCGGTGTTTACTGCGATAAGCATTATTGTAACGTGCATCTGCCTCTCGGTCAAAGCAGACGCTGGTAGACACTCGCCCAGTTATACATTGGTATTTCCGCGTCCTCCGAGTAAGACTGGATGAAGACTTACCTTCGAATAGGGCCATTACGACACAAGCTTGTCGGGATGGGGCAACTTTTCGTTCTGGATCGGTATTCTACCTTCAGCATATACGTAAGAACAGCATATGAACGATCACTACTGGTCATCCATTAGCTAACGACTCGACAGCTTTTCTGCCATTGGTATGATAATTTCTATGGCAGAGGAATGCGACAAGCCAACCATCAAGTTGCCCAATGCGTTATCACTATGTGTGCCTATCGGTGGGATCGCGGGTCTCTTCTTCGTAAGTGGCCACCATGCCCGCCCCTTTTCCTGTTGGCCGATGGCAAGGGCTTCTGGATTATTGGCTCGCCAATGGAACGAGACACGGGTGAACTGACCGTAAGCGCATGTTTTCAAACCCAGATCATTCCCCTCTGCGCAACACTGCCCGAACTAGCAGATGTCTTGGACGCACCAGTTGGGCAAGCCCTGCCATACATCTTCGGCCGCGTGACGGGCTCTGCCGGAGGCGGATTGGGTCTGACGGTTCTCGTGCTTATCATCACCTTCTTCTGCTCGGTCTCGATAACCGTCGCGGCATCGCGGTGCACCTGGGCCTTCGCCCGCGACAATGCCATCCCGCTGGCACATGTCTGGGCCAAGGTAGACGAGCGCCACGGTACCCCTATCTGGGCACTTGCGCTGACCACGCTCGTTCAACTGCTGCTGGGGCTGATCAATCTCGGATCGTCATCGGCGTTCCTTGCTTTCGTGTCTGTGGGCGTCATATCCCTTGCTGTGTCCTACGGCATACCCATCTCCATCTCGTTGTACCAGAAGCGGAAAGAGGTCAATGCAGCGCGATGGACGATGGGGAGGATGATCGGGCCCGCTGTGAACACGCTGGCCGTCGCGTGGATCGCGTTTGAGGTCGTCCTGTTCTCAATGCCCACGGCGCTCCCTGTAACTGCGGACAGCATGAACTACGCCATTGTGGTTTTCGCCGGCTTCATGGTGATCAGTGCGATTTGGTATGGGGTTCATGCTCGTAAAGGTAAGTTCCTTGTCGCCATAACTACGGTGTATCATGGCAGATCTATGACTGACCAGAACAATCTCTGCAATTAGTGTATGAAGGGCCACCTGAATCAGACGGGATCGTTGTCGATACTTAGCGGAATGCAGACGAATACCTACCCCGTATAAGAGCCTATGATGCGTGGTGGCAGGGTCTACCTACTCCTGGGAGATGTAGATGCGGCAGGTAGCATTAACCAACATCGTCGACAAAGATCGGGATCACGCTACACACGAACATATGAAGTCGGGCACTTGGTATCAGTAATGGTTATTCCATAGGTACATTCAGCCCTCATAGGTCTCCGTCAAGCATGCCTTCATTCAGTCTTTGGATCTCAATGCTATATTCATGTCGATGGAATAACCACCCTGGAACAAGCAGGTATAATCTAATAAGCCATCCTCAATGCTTATTGAAGCAGGCTTATTCCATTTTCAATAAACCTACCCTTCGCTTTTTCACAAGGGGCATGCGGACTCTTGGAGGTTCAACGTAATGTAATAAGTGTGTATGGTGTTTAAGGCGAGCGACTACTTAAGTGTTGAAAGAACGTAGTCTACCAACAGGGGCTGTGACAGGCTGATACTGGGCCATCATGGTCTCCTCCAGACCTATGTTGATATTGCTTCAGGGGTAGTGGGGTAGTGTGCATCCCCTGGGTGTGAATAGGGGGGCCATGGAGCTGTTGGGGCAATCAAGTGCAGCGTTGCCCGTCCCTAGATACCTAGCAAGTAGCTGAACCAGCACCTGGACAGTTGAATCATGGCCTAACCTTAAACCTCTGCACCTAGGCAGTGATCAGAAGTGGGATAGGGGAGTGTTGCTGGGATACCGACGGTGCAGTATCGTGGAGCCCCACCACTGCGTTGCTGTGTAGCGAACAATCTGGGATTTGGATATAAATTCCATTGCGGATTCCGTCCCAACCGTTTCTTCCTTTCTTCAACCGCACCACCACCTCCCCGGGATCGCAACACTCTCCGACGTTGTCGATCTGTTCTGTATTCTCTTTCTCTCCATCTGTCAATATTCTTCCATCTCCATTCCGAATGTAAGTGCTCTGATCTCTCCCTTTCCCGTCCCGGGCTCCCTGTCGCTGGCACAGTCGTTTGCCGCCTACGCACAGCCTTATTGTATCCCTAATTGCACCCTCTATGACGTCCTCTGTCGCTTCCTCTGTCGCTCCCTCTGTGAATGCTGCCTCCATCCATTCCAACCTTTGTGGAATAAGCAGTCGAAGGGACTGGCATAATCTGCTCCAACTTGCTAATTCTGCTTATTCTAGCCCGATTATACGACAATTTGTGAGATTTCAAAGTGTTCTATGAAGGAGAGGAATTCCAGCTACTCTGGAGCGGCCAGAGTGGCCCTATGTATATCCAAGATACTAAAGGAAAGGATGCGTGGCCTTATATTGGCCATGTATGTGACAGAGTCACGAATGGGGATGGTGATCCTGAAGGATGACTATAGATGGGCTAACATAGCCCATAATCCAACACAATTTCAAGATGCCCTTCCGTGGGACCGACGACGAGACCTTCGGCAATGCTCTTCGCTGGTGGATGTTCGAGCTCCTGAAGAGGTCAGTCAATGGCATATCCCTATTCCAGATAACCACACAAGGCACCCGCTGACCTCTCTGTTTATCATAGGGTACTCTACTTATTGGAGTTCGCTGTCCTTAATGGAACCCGTCTTTGGGTGATCGCCTATGCCGCCATGTCTCTCTACGCGATCAACTATCACTTGTGCTGGCTGTCCCTGATGACTCCCGCCGAGACGACTTCGCGCTCGTCGTGGTGGGTAGTCAGGTGACTGGCGTCGCGCTGATGATCGTGTCCTCGATTCTCAAGGTCTGTTTGATCGACCCCTGGGTCCAGTGCGTTGTTGTGAGTACCTAGCTACACTGAACCTTCACCCCGTCTTCGAAGTCTGGAATAATCACTCTGGAATAAGCATGAAGCGAGGCATATTAAAGTCTACCTGCTTATTCCATGGTGCTTATTCCACTGTTAAGTTTATCCATACGTTGTGAGGTGAATCTCTAACTGACGCTTTCTACCACAATCGCCTTGGCTTTTCGATCGCAACTCGAACTCCGCTCCAGTGGCCAAGAGAATCAGTAAGTATACACCTTCACTTCTTACCTCTTTTGGCGCCCCCCTCCCCCTTTTCCCATTCTGCCCCGCCCTCCTTTTCCCCACATCTCCCTTTCCCCACCCCCACCGCGCCCCCCTTTTTCATTCCCCATTCCTCCTTCTTCACCCCTTTCCCCATTTTCTTGTCCTCTTTTCTCAATCATGCCACGTTTCCTTTTGCTGACCGAACCACTCTCTAGTACAAGCTGATGAGGACATCGAAGAGCATGGTCTTAGAGACTCTCAAGGAAGACTACGTTGGGATGTCTTCTACCGCCCTCGCCAGTGTCAGAAGCAGAACTGTGACAAGAAGCAGTCAGACAGGGTGTTCCATTGCACGCGGTTCCGCCGGGACCTCCCTGTCTACGATCAATTCTGCACCTACACTGGTACCTTCGTTTACCTCCGCACCAGTACGTCTTCACACGCCCCCACGGACACCCAGAGAGAGATAGGGGGGGTGAAGAGAGAGCCTTGCCGCTCTCCCCTTTCTCCCCCTTCGTCCTCCTTCCTCCCCTTCCTCCATTGCTTCTTCGCTTCCGTGTTACCGAGCAAGACACTGACACACCACTGCAGTCAAGCCGTACCTGTACATGCTGTTCTTCCTTGTGGTTGACGCACTATCCACTCTCAGCGTCTGCATAGTCGCCATGACCAAGTACTCTGTTTGGAGTCTCGCTCCCTTCATTGGAAGCGTGATTGTAACAGCAGTGGTCTTGGTGAAGTATGTCTTCAGTTCGATGTGGATCCAATGATACCGCCTGGCTTGGTCAAATGTGGTGAATGCGGAGGTAAAGAAGAGAATGGGCGGTATGAAGACAACGCGTAAGTAACCACGACCCAGGTACACTGACCCGCCATAAGTCTCCGAGCATCCCAGCATTTACACCAAAATGCCCTACATTTACGCTTTTATAACTAAAGGCTTAAAGCTTTTTAAAATGAGATATTATAAGAAACTAATATTTGAAAATGCTGAAGTTTTCGAAACTAATTTCTGAATATTTATTTTCTTAGCGACTAAATTATTAAGAAATAGATATATAAAAGTAAAGTTTAAAATCTTAAATCTTACATCTTAATAAAGCTATAAAAAATGTTTAAAAAATCGTATAAGTCGTAATAAAGTTATATAATATTAAATGACATGTAATACACGTATAAGACAAAAAACCTTATGTGATAGATTTTCAAAAAAATAGATATGTTAGAAAGTTATTTTTATCGAAAATTTAACCTTTAATAAAGTAACATTTACGACTTTTATCTTTAAGATGTCAAAGTTTTTAAATAACCCATTTTAATATTTCAGTAAATTTAACTATATGTACTATAAGTACTTAAGTTGTCTCTATTTTACTCGATTTATCACGATCGCGTAAAGTTGGGGTGTTTTGGTGTAAAACAGGGATGCTCGGAGACTTATGGCCGGGGAGTGTAACACATTCTGATGTGCTGACTCCAAGCAGTGATGTTCATGGTCAAGGATGCTGACGGCATACCCTACTCTCAATGCCACAAGTTCGACGAGAATCCGTGGAATTTGGGAGTCAAGAGGAACCGTAAGTCTTGATGCTACTCCAATTTTGTTCCTTGTGTGTGATTTGAGCCTCTCCCCATGCCCCGCGTGCTACTTGGGGGAGCAATGCCCGTTGGATGGTTTCGGTATAAGCAGCTGTGAAGTGCTTATTCCACCGGACTTTCGCTGTCATAATCACCACAACCGTGTGCTTATACGCTTTTTCTTTTTCGCCAGCCCCGTGGCGAACATTGCTAATCTATTGGTGCGCAGTCCTTCAAGTCTTCGGACGTTCGCCCTGGGAGTGGATCTTCTTCTTCCTGCAGCCAGAACGCGTTCATTCCTACGGCAATGAGGAAGTTTCAGACCTTCCATTCAATGACGCTGTTCTGGCTTTCTACGAGAGGATTCTCGTCCCGGACGTTGGTGCGCAACTGGAGTCGCTCGAACCTGCCCTGATTGACCCTCGGGGTCAGCAGCAGCATCGTGAGAGTTCGGAGCGACCAAGCCAGGCACAGACGGCAGCTGCTACTTCTTCAACCCACGGAGAAGTGTTGCACAGCAAGAAGGCCAAGAGGTTGCATATCTGCTGTATTGGTGTTGTTGTTGTGGAAGGTCTGGAGGTGGTGCGGAGTGGATGTGGGCAATATGCCAACCCAAGTGGGTCACGTGACCACGCAACAAGAAGGAACCGTCGGTCATCTGCGCCACCGTACGGGTCGCTCGAGCCCTGACGCAGGCGGCTCCAGCCATTGAGAGGGCCAACCAAGAACACCAGGCCAAGCACATCCCAATGTGTCTGTCGCAAAGGACATCGCCGTACCAGAGAGAGACAGAAGATAAAGATGTGCCAGGTCGTTCACGGACCGTTCCTCCCCCCTTTTCCCCTTTTCCCCTTTCCCCTTTCCTTCACCCCATCTCTTTCCTTGACAATAACACCGCAGCTGTCCCGGTTAAGTATCTGGTCTCAGGTCGGGCTCATCATCATGTGTCGTCTCACTGGTCCGGACCAGTATAATCGGATTTGGGAGGTTGATGGAACTGGATGGAGGTCAAGGGCTTGGAGGAGGAGGATGGTGGTCTAGATAGTCTTCCCTTCTTGTCATTCGTTGACGTTATTTAGTGTGTGTTGCTTTAGCTAGTTTTCTTTTTGTCATTCATCTGCAGGGTTCGTTCAGGGATTAGGGTCACTCATTTTGCCGGCGTTTGTCTCGTAGGTAGGTAGTTTACTGATATCTCCCGGTTAGGAGTTCAGACACCGTTAGGGTGTGAAAAGTTTGTTGTTCTTGCTGCGTTCTCTGGTCCGGTTTGCATTCTTTTTGCGCGAAAGTAAGAAACATTGTAATTAGAATAAGCAGGCTGGAATAAACACTACATGTGGCCAAGTGGATTGAGTCTGCTTATTCCATGGTTCTTATTCTAGAAAGCCGAGTTTAATATAGATCTACAACATCAAAGATCAGGAATTACGGTCGTGTCGCGATACCGAGTATGGTGGTGTGGTTGAAGGAAGAGAGAACCGGTTGGGAGGGATCCGCAATGAAAATTTCTCACCCAGTCTCCCAGATTGTTTGCTACTCAGTCAGACAGTGCGGTTTTCACGGCACGGGACCTACGCGCGGTTGTAGGTACCTAGCATTAGCCCCTTTTTATCCTGGCTCCTGCAGCCTGAATTACCCCTATTCACCCGCGTGGCAGCAGCTATTCCCCTATCTCACCGCTAGTGGAGGCACTTGCCCACTTGAAGCAATACTGCTACGGCTTCTCACTACTAAAAGCATATCCATGACGGTCATCTAATGTAGTCCATGTCACAGGGAAACCCCCTATTTCACCGCTAGCGGAGGCACTTACCCATTTGAAGCAATACCTTTATGGCTTCTGACTACCAAGATCATATTCTTGACGGTCATCTGATGTTGTCTATGTCACACGGCACCTAAATGGAGACATAACCACAGGGCCAGTGGGCCGAGATGCTAGATGAAGTGGCATATAAGAGGACCGAAGGCCTGTGTGTCTTCATTAGTGGGTATTCCGTATTTCCCATCATCATACTCGGAAGACCTATTAGATGCTCGCTGATACGGACAAGAAGCGTATAGAACATAGTAATGTTTAAAAATTGACAGAAACATAAAGAACGGAGATTTATGAGGATGACTATTAATAACCGCTCGGGATTTCGTTAAGTGTCGATAGTAAGGCCGTCTGGCTCGGGTGGCCCTTTGTACACTGATAGCAGCAGTTTTCTTGTTCAGCCATAGTTTTACCAATCGATAATCGAGGAGCACTCACCTTTACGGGCATGAACTCGTGCCATATCGCACTGATCGCCATGAAGCCGACGAAAACTACAATGGCGTAGTTCATGCTATCCGCCGTGACAGGAAGCTCCGTGTCCGTGCTTCAATCATTCAAGACAGATCCGTATAAGAGATTCCGCAATATCCTGTTGGGCGTATAAGGGTGCCTTCGTTCAGATGGCTCCGCGAAGTCTAAGTCCTACCTTGATAACATACCCGCAATTGAACTGATAAAAGATGTACCCATCCACGGCGACTTGAAAGTACGCAGCTTCGGTATACCGAAAAAAAAACGAAAAATAGAGGGTGATCTCCTCATCTATCAGGGCCTGTATAGAGTTGTCTCCGGTTGTCGCCAGCAAATTTCAATCCAGCTGGTCGAACTACGTCAAGCTAATAATATGCTGATCAGTATGATTCAATCGAAAAGCTCACGTCTCTTGATGGGTTGCGGGGACCTTCATCCCCAGAGGAAGAAGACCCCGCTGCGAAGGTGGGGAAAAGGGGGGAGGGGGGTATTCCATGCACGCTATGATGTCTCCTAGCATCGTCACCATTTTTCCACGGGATAATTGATTTGTTTGCCATGCTAGGATTCTAATTGGATCTCCTCTCCGATTCAGTCATTGGGTCGTTTTGATTATAGTTCCTACTAGAGGGACGCCGTCTCTCGAAGGTGCACAGTCTGGACCTCAGTGGACATGTGGTGTGATGTCGCGATTCATCAACGCGTATACACGCCTTGACACCGCGGCTCGCTCTCGATTGATTCAATCATCTGGGACTCTCACAACGCGTCATTTTCGTGTACTTGGTGTTTGTCTTACCCGTGGCGTTTTGTTTTGATAGACTTAGTGTACAGCACGGGGGCTCTGCTTTTTGTTATCTTTTGGGGTATTTGGGTTTGGCTCCTCCTTTCCGGTCGAAGAGCTTAAAAATAAAAATAAATTGACCTTTCGGGTCACACGTTCAGCATCATTCCGGGCTACGGGGTTAACGCTTTTTCTCAGGAAGTCAGTCATCGTGACGTCTGATATCCGAGGTTAAGAGACATGTGCTCCTTGTTGATGAGCTAGACTTGCCATATTGAATAACATTGGTAACACGTGACGAAAGATGGTCAAGCGTGAGGCAAGCAGTCAACAAACGCACCCCCACGCAGTAGCACACAAAAAGAACAGCCGGGTCGTCCGTCTTCATCATGGATCTCCCTTATCTCTGTCAACTCTTCCTGACCAATTACGACACTCGCAGATCCACGCAGCTCTCCGCAGACGTTAAACACTCAAGCAACCACCAACCAACCACCAACCAACCAACCAACCAACCAACCAGTTCCTCCCCAAACCTACAAGATGCGTCAGCAAATTGCCTACGCTGTCTTTGCAGTCCTTGCTAGCACTGTCATCGCGGATACCGCCGAAGACGATGCCCCTTCCTGGTACGAGATGACCGGAGAGTTAGACGGAAGCATGTCTAAGCCCATATACGCACCTGGTGACAAACTGCCCATCGATGCACTGCCAACCTGCTACGCTGAATGCTTCTACGCCAATGTCCACAATGGCAGTAAGTCATCTCCCAATCACCAGGCTATTCTTCCAAGTCTATCTCGTTCTCGAATCCTGCTTCTGCTTTCCCTTTGGTTGCCGATTGTTTCACTTGTTTCACTGGGCCCTCGAGAGTCTTCATCCCACTGACCCTAGCCCCTTTCCACCCCTCCCCCACCGAAAAGAGCATTCAAGTGGCTTGTTCCAGGGTGCGTATTCCAGCCTCATGAAAGACTAGTCGTCCTGGAATCGGGTGCGCGGACGCAGACTTGAGGGGTGACTGTACTTACATGTACACCGATCAATGTTGATCCGTGGAACCGCCGTGGGAAGCTTCGGCGACATTCGCACCTACACTTGCCACCGATACTGCGAGGAGAATAAATTTTGGGTTCATGCTTGGCTCGCCGACCACGTCCAATGGTGTGTGAAGGATGCGTGCAGACCGTGCCGCCATTCGTGCTCGAAGGCAGCCAAGCAGTGGACCAGAGACGTCTGTGGCCGTGACTATATCTAAGTGAGTTCAAGCATCCGCACTTGTCAAGGACATTGTCGGAAATGGTTTCGACTTTTTGTCTTGGAGATTAGTGTCGGATAAATGACCGAGCCGGGCCGTTTGAGCGAGACACCAAGTTTTTGAATTGTGTTGCCCGTTTTGAGGTTGCCAACATCGGCCGTCTGTTGATCTTTTTCGGGCGTGATATGGCTGGACTCCTATTTGTTTTCAAAATAACAAGAGCTGATCAAGAACACAGTGGGAAACTTCGGACTACACTTGCCACAAATTCTGCGACGGGAACAAGATCTGGGTCCACGCCTGGCTCATCGACCACGTCCAATTCTGCGTGAGGGATGCCTGTCGGGCAGTTCGCCACGAGGCGTCTAAGGCAGCCAGACAGTGGATGTGGGACGTCTGTGGTCGTTCCCATATTGGAGTGGCATTCACAGCACACACTCCTGGAGTGACCGTCAAGTGGATTCCTGGACACAGAGATATTGATGGCAACGAAGCTGCTGACACACTAGCAAAAGAGGGTGCCATGCTAGAAACAGACACAACAAACCTTCCCACAATCTCTTGGGTTAAGAGAGATTTCAAAAGAAAGGGCAAGAAAGAGTTCAATTAATGGTAGAAAGACCAATCAGAACTAAGTATCAAGAAGTATACTCACATACAGTAACTAAAAGAGACCTTATATCTTTTAAGAGGAGTACTTTACAGACTTCTAGCAGCCATATCTGGACATGGCGACTTTGCCAGATACCATGAACGCTTTGGGCATACAGACTCGAATGATCACTGCAGCTGTGGTGAGAAAAAAACATCACAACACATTTTTTTTTGTAAGAGGCTGGGGAAAAACCGGCTGCTGCCTAGGTACTCGCCTAGGACAGCTTGTTTATAATACTTAGGGGAGAGGAGCACAGAATGGGCAAAATTCGTAGAGAAGAGCAAGTTCTTTTCAACAATCTGCCCCCGATAGATAGCTTTTCTTGAAGGACCAGATGGATGACCCCAAGGTCATACCGCCGCAACAACGGGGATGGGCCCGTGAGCGGGACTGGCTGTACTTATTATCTTGAGACCTCCACAACCCTGCGATACAGAGGCTCTGGGAGGCGTGGTTTGCACTACTGAGGAGCAATCCCCCACGTTAAATACAAAACAAACAAAAACAAACAATTGGAGTGGCATTCTGGGCCCATGCGTGTGCGCGCGCAGGTGCTGGGGCATTGTCGGAGATGGGTTTGGCTCATTGTCTTGGAGATCGGTGTCGGATGGATGATTGAGACGGGTTATTTCGTTGGTTATAGGGAGATGTAACGTGGATGATGGCTATCGAGGCGATAGATCAGAATCAGGATAACTTATCATTCTTCCTTGAGACAGTTGTCCTGATCACAGTAGATACAGCTCGACATCCGGTACCAGAGTTCCGACGCTGTTTTCTGCGGATCTCACACCAGCGGGTCGAAGGATGGTTGTTATAATCCGCGGACTTGGCGGGCCGAGTGTACCATCGGGCCCGATCTGAGCGACCGGTGTCACGAGAAGCGGAACCACGGACCGGCAGTTTGCCTCTGCCTCCCTCTGCCGCTCTTCCCTCTGCAGCTCGTGCCGCACCGATTTGAAATTGCAATTGCCGTCGTGATATTTCACTTCGCTATTTGTCATTCCTCCAGGCTCCAGGAAAGGCAAGCCGCCCTCAGGGCCGCCGGCCCAGATCTTTAAGAGCCTTCCAGATCCGGGGTTCCGCTAAATTGCAAGTGCTTGCCAGATCAAGCCTGTGTTTCGCAAGCGAGCGACGATGCGACGAGTGTGCATATCGAGCCTGTGCCGTATATCCGGCCAGCGCCTACTTCGACCCGTCAGACAGCCAGCCAGCACACATGAGAACACAGGACTAGAACATGGGGTATTCACCGAGCGTCGCACGACAGCAGTAACGGGCGCGGAGGGTACACGGAGTGCCAACAGTTACGCCTCGGCGGGGGTCAGAGGCTCAGAATGAGGAAAGGAGAAGGAGGTACAGCAGCGATAAGTATGCATACTACCCATGCTGAGACCGACCTGCATCGCGTGAATGAATTGCGGGGGTGGGTGGGAACACAATCCCACCGGCCTACACACTTCGTTTGAAGACGTACGTCCGTCGTGTCCAGTAGTAACCAGTTGCGAGCACCGAGCGAGCGAGCCAGCCTCTTATAAGCCGGCGCTCGCCCCCCCCTCCCCCCCGTCGGCTTGGCAGGACGAGGAAGCGAAGCGCCCAACCGCAACCGAACTCCCTCTTCGGCACCACTCCGATGGGCTGGTACGACGCTGCTGTAGTAATGCAATAGGTGCGGCTGCGCTGGCTTACGCGGCGGGCATACAAGCTTTTCGATCATCGCAACGTTCAGTCTATTGGTCCAATCACTGTTGCCTCGGGGGTTGTCGGGCTGGGGATCTCGCAGGGAGCTCGCGGCCTGCGGAGGTGGTAGTTGTCGTGCTGGATACCGTCAGGGCGCCGTCCGACGAAGGTCGAGGCGGCTCTTCACATCATGATCCTCAACAGCAACCTAGGCGGCTTTCCCTACCATGCGGCCAGCCATCCGCCACGTGGCAGACTACCCCGGGCGCTCAAAGAAGGTTGAACTCAGCACGACGGTCACTCAAGGGTCAACGGCAGTTGGTGGTAGTATGAATTATTATCTCGACTGAATGAACTGATGTTGCCAGCCGACGGGTACCGATGCATCCTTCCCTATTGAATTTTGCCGTTAGAAAGATGTGAGCTTGGGATAAAGACAGGAGACATCTGCGGAATGAATCTGGTGGGTCATGAACGAACCTGATTGATTGTTCCTATTAGAGAGACGCCGTCTTTCAAACGGGTACACTGGTCAATTTGCTCAAGGTTGCGCCGGAGCCTGAATTGATTCCAAGATCGATACCTTCTCTCAATCTGCTGGGTTGGGAACATGAAGTCTCGGATGATGTCCTTCAATGAGGGTTATCGATATAGTCGATCGTTGGCGACCTGTTGCCGTCCATTTCTGAATATCCGGAGCTCGAGACATGCCTTGTAAAGACATCGACTTGAGCCGATTCGGAGCTTTTCTTTGGCCTTGTTGGAGGTCAGGTGAGGTATCGATGAAGTTGGGGTAGATAAAAGTAGGTGGTGACGCCAGCTTGGAGTTGGAAGTGCTAGCTCACAGCGACCGAGGAAGCATCTGCTTGACCGCCCATCCCTAATTACCCCATCGTTGGTGCGCCGACATCCAAGAGTTGTAAGAGTGCGGTGAAAAGTTATCACCCGTAGCAGGCGACGATGGACCAGCAATCGAAGGTCGCAAGGACGGGTCTACCATATCTTGTTCGGCACCTGGATCAAAGTAAGGGCTCCCCCATTCCGCCGGTAAGCTGCCAGTGGCTGAGTAGTTCGAGTATCCCGTGTAGCTATCAAAGCCCGAGTATTCTTGACCTGCTCAATTGTTAGCAGGCACTGGGGACAGTCCGTCCCGGATGGACTATGTGGTGTGGCAAATGTAAAGGGGACTGACCATGATTGTAGAAGTCCTGCCCTGGAGGGAGCTGACCATACGGCTGGCTAGCGGCAGTATGAGAATTACCAAAGGCACGGCTCGAAGCCAGATATGGGGACTGTTGAATGCCCTGGTCTGTACTCATGCTCCGGGAAGGCGATATGAGAGAATCGCCAGCTGATTCTGCATCAGCTCCGGCTTGCTGACCCTCCTCAGACAAGGGAGCATCAGGAGACCCCGAGGCAGTGTCTTGGGCATCGTGTGAGATGCGCTGGTGGCGAGTCAAGAGGTCGCGGCGGGCGAAGGCCGATCCACATCGACAGATGTAGGGCTTCTCCTTGGTATCTGTCGCCAGGGTTAGCTCACGCTGAGTCCAGACCGGTGAGTCCATGACACCACGAATCGACGGTTGGGGTAGATGACTGACGCGTTCGCACGTGGCGCTCCAAGTGCTCGGACCGCTTGAAGCTTCGCCCGCAATGCGAACAAAGGCGCTGCTGAACATTGGCAGTGGAGTCACGGCGACGGCGGCGGGCTTGGGACTGATCCATCTGCTTATCGGCCATCAAACGGTAATAGGAGTAGCAGCTGCAGGTGAAGCACTAACACCGAACCTTGGCCGCTTGGCGTCGTGTGGATGAGGAGCAAAATCTGGGTGAGATGTTGAGCCGTTGGTGTGCTGGAGAAGAGAGCCAGGGCAAAGCTTTCAACGTTGAATTGTGGGGGGCAAGGTACTAGGTTACTACTAGGGGTAGGCACTGGAGTCTGGAGTCTGGGGTCTGGAGAATGAGACTAGTAGAATCGAGACTCTGGAGACTTCAGACCGGAGACTGGAGACAAGACTGGAGACAAGACTGGATGGAGTCGTTGGAAGGGTTCAAGGTTGCCAAGTAGCCAAGTAGCCAAGGGAGAGACGACGACGCGAACAGGGGGGGCCAACATCTTTTTTGTAGTACCAGACATCACCTTGGCCAGATCACGTACATATGCGCAGACGCCGGTGCTCCACTAATCGTCTGCACAGGGATCATGTTGGCTTGTTTCATTATACTCGCTTCTCTGCATCTCGTAAGCCAGAGGGTGCCTATTTCGACCCCTTTGAGGGGGGGTTCCGTTGTGGGGTACCACCCTGCTGCCGACATATCCCGTCCTCGCCGGCCCGCGAGGCCAATGACAGCCCGTCTCAGGGGCTGCATCACCACCGACAGCCGTTTCCGTCGCCGAAACCCTCCTTGACGTCAAGTCACTGGTTCTGGCCCCTTCACGACGTGGCCACGATCGTCAGTCGCTTATGTGTTCTCGTGGATAGTAACTTCATTATGATGAATCACGGTCATACAGTATACCACGGTCAACCGACACGAAATCATATCACCTGTCGACGAAGCGGTAGTTCTAGGATGACATCAAAAGATGGGAACAGCATCGGAATTCTTCTATTGAATATGGTCTCACATGTCAACAGTCGGGTTCGTATCCAACGACATGGCCCTCTCCACCATTCATCCAATACCAACTTCCAAACCCAGCGGGCCGGAACAATCCCAGGCAATGACTGAGCATGGACCTGCGAATATGCACGAGCCCAAGGTTCGTGGTCCTGGGATACCGGAAACCCCCGGACCCGGGTCACTCAAATATGATTACGACCACAGACGTCCAACAGCCACTGTCTGGCTGCTCTGGCCGCTTCATGGCGATTCGACTGGCACGCATCCTTCACACACCATTGGACCGAGGTAACGTGGAATGAGATAGAGCAGTAAGACGCACCCGGAGATTGAAATCGGTTCATGGATATGATTCGCAATGTTTGTTTATCTAACAGACCACGCGTGTTAAACTAGCGTCTAGAGGTGCTGTGATTGAGTTTCTTGAGACAGGAAAACCTCGAGCTAGCATATGATGAACCATTCACCCTTCCACTAGGGGCTTGTGACGTCGGGCTCCTATTTGAGAGACAGCGCCTTTCGAACAGGCAGATTTCCCTACGTTTACTCACCACCGGGGGCTCACTGCGCATCATTGTCTTGACACTCGGCCACGTTGCCCGAAAAGGTGGTATGCGGGTATGTGAATGACCAATGTAATCTGTACCGCGGACAGAGGAGAATTATCCGGTGAAGTTTGAGGTCTGTGATGAGGTAGGGTGTCCTTGTCGTGGTGAACCTGGTGTGGTATTCTCACGAGAACTTTTGGTGTTTTGGGGAAATGAGGGATCTTGGCTAGCGGAAGCATACTTGTGCCCTTCATGATTGCCAGATGCTCACAAATTCATTGCAAATCCGTATTATCCCTACTAATGAGATCGGAGCGGACAGAACCAGGTGTTCCTAAATATTTATTGATGTCATCGCATGGTCCACAAGAATAGTTGAGAAAAGGTGACCACCGGGTACATTTCGAGTTCATCCATCGCGTTGCACCTTTACCCCCTGCTCAAGGCAATTCGCCTCTTGAGTAGATGAATGACTTGGGTAGTTACAAGACGAACAGGTAGACTAGGCACTCGAGTGCTCATTATCTCACTCGGCCCTGGGCTTTCAACTGCCCACGAGGTTGCAGCCTTTCGCAGCTCGTCCCACTGGCTCAAAGCGAGTCAAAGACCATGCTGGGTAGATTGGTAAGGAGCGGAGTCTCCTTCTCTGCGCTGCTTTCCCAGTCGACGGAACAGTCCCGATGGAGTTGGTGAGAAGTCAGAACTTGGGGAACGGTCAGCCTTCTGTTTGATGAAGGCTACGGGCACGTGGTTCTGGAAGCATGGTGGCCCTTCAGCTTGGGGAGATGACTTCTTGAAAAAGCGATCGAGGATGAAATCTAGGACCCAGAGCCGCTGTAAACCACCACCACTACGTTAATAACACTATGTATCTCTTGCAACAGGCTTAGCCATCAGCTCTTATTCGTAATAAAAGTCATACGAAGCCCCAAACCAGCTGTGCAAATGGCCTGAGTCGACCAGTGTGGTTACTCCGTATATATATGATCTGGCTACCTTGGCGTTCGTGTTCGGTTGGTGAGTTCTTAGTTGACATGGCCTCTCGCTCCTACGCTTGAGAGACAGAGCCAGGAGGTGCTCGTTTTGGTCTTGTCCACATGCTTCTTTAACATCTCACCCCCCCCTGCGGACCACCCCCCCACGGACCACTCCACACCACACCACTCTCATTCAGATGAAGCCATCTACAACCACCACAGTTGCTAAATACACTAAGGTCGTGGTGTTCTAACCATAATACAGCTCCCAGAATCCGATTCCGACCCTAAATCTTCACCAGGGACCTCTTGTGGGACCTCTTCGCCTGCAGCGGAGTCCCTATAGACCCTCCTGTTCCTTAGCTCCATTTTGGTCTCCCTTATGTTAGCCATTGTGACGAATCGTTCCCCTGGTGTTGGTTTGACTGCTTTTTGAGTGGTATTAGCCTTTTTAGCCACTTGAGCCTCAAGCAGCTCACATTTGGCCCGTAGATTTGTAATGGTAGCAGCCTGAACATCCATGGCCTTGCCAGCCTTCCGCACCAACAAGCGCTCAAAGGGCCCCCCAAAGGAAGGGTCCTTTCTTTCGAGCTTTCGAGCACTCTCCCGCAAAGCCCGGCTTCCAGAGGGTGTTGTGACAATGGTTTTAGCTACCAGCTCGAGAAAATCTGGTGTTGTGGCTCGCTCGGAAGCCTTAGGGTCCCTCTGGCGTGCCCTGGCCACCCCCTTATCCTCCAGAATCACATATTTCGACTTCAATGCCACCGCTCTGTTGCGAGGAACAATCCCAGTCTTTTTCCAGGCAATTCTGATGTTAAGGAGCGTCATTGTGTCCTTCCGGGCCTGCTCGTAGCACTCCAAAACCTCCTCCTTAGATGGCCTGAGTCCCAGACGGCCGCTGGGCGTCTCCTTGAGTAAGGTCTTCAACCTTTTCTTCACCAAATTGAAGACTCCCATATCTAACACCTGGACTACATGGGAGCAGTGAGGTTCATAAAAGATCAACCATACTTTGTTTCTTAAGCAGGTGGCTAGGAACTCGTCATTCGTGTGGGAGTCATGGCCATCACACACCAAAACCACCCATGTGTTGCCGTGGACCTCCTGAATGTGAGGAATAAAGATACGTTGAAGCCATTCTAACACAATGGGATTCGAGGTCCATCCATTGGGCGACGTAATAAACCTCCAGTCGGTGAATTTGCCCTTATTTTGGTTGCTAAATTACTGGGCTTGTACATTAACCCCCTTGAGAATCACCAGTGGCAGCAAGGTCTTACCAGATCCGCTCACACACTCTAGGGCAGTTATCCATTCACCCTTCTCGACCCCTTTCTTCATAGCCACGTTGCCGGAGGCCTCGGAGACCACCCAATGGGAGTCCCTAACCCCCTGGGCGATTCCTATTTCGTCGACGTTGTACCAGCGTGCTGGCATGAGGTTAACCACGTCAGGGGCGTCACACCAATCGAAAAAAATATTGATATTTACCGCTGTAGCACCATTCACTCGGTTATAGTCGATAATACGAGACTTTATTATCTTAACTTCCGGGTTTCGAAACAGGAATTTGGATGCCCAATTTTCCCCTAATTCTCGAGCATCCCCGGTGGCATAGAGCATCCGCTGGGCCATGAGACGGAACTTAGAGACCGCCGGAGAATACCCTAGCCGTGCTTGCCCCAGTGCCCAGCTTGCCAGCTTATGTTCGAGATACGGTGAGAGAGCCTGTTGGAGAGTGCTGGTCTCATTCCGCGTTGGGGTGCCAGAGATTCGTCGGTTGACGTACGAGCGACTGATTTGCCATTCGAGGGCTGACAAACGGACTGGAGCTCCGCGTTGGATGGCCAAAATGGCGGCTTCAGCTTTTATTTGACAGTCGTAAAATGACATCATGAGATTCAGCAGTGGATAAGGATTCAAATAGTGTGCTTTGTGAAAAAAAAGATGCAAAAGTGATGGTGTAGATGGTGGATCACCATAATCCTGGTGGTTGGTGAATTACGCGTTTGTGGGTCAGAACGCGCTGGTCCGCGGGGGGGTGGTCCGCAGGGGGGTGGGAGATGTTACTACCCATCAGTATCGTTTTCGCGATACGCCACTGGGATAAAGGTATGTACCCTTTATGGCGTGCCCGTATTGATTGCGGCATCACCAATATTCGAGAGGTTTCTCTACGAGTCTGGTACTAACCTGAGTGTCTATGTAAATGTAGCCAGCCCCGTATGTTTCAAAACCACGGTGAACCATTGGGGCAAGAATGACCTGGTCTTCCTTTGACCTCCTGGGGAGCACCAAGGATTGTTCCCCGGACGATCTAGAAGCCCCGATCCTGCCTAAAAGGCACAGGAAGGATCAGGTTCTCTGTGGTATATGTCATAAAACCTCATATATGGTTTCAAGGTCGAGGCACATCAAAAGGTCCGAAGTATAAAACTATCCACTTCATCACCTGGGAGCACTTGAGTAAGAGAGCACGGTTTCCAGACCTCACCACGGTACTCAAGATACATAGCCCTACTTACGCCCTCCGAGTTCAACCTAAGCGTTAACAACAAGACCAGCAGCAACCACACATCGCCTCTAATAGATGGTGCAAGACCATTCTTCAAGCATGCAAATCTTTGTCAAAGGTACGTCTCCTTTCATTTCCGTCATCAATCAAGTAGCAAAAGCTAACTTCTAAACAGTTCTTAGGAATCAGACGATTACTTTCGAAGTGACCGAGTACACTTGCGTCGCGGAGTTGAAGAATTTGATTCAGGGGAAAACTGGCGTCCCTGCCGACAGTCAACGATTGATATTCGCCGGAAAGCAATTAGAGGACCTTAGGATGCTTTGCGACCACGGGATCCACAGCCTGAGTACCGTTCATCAACTCCTCAGATTGAGCGGTGGCAAGCCCGCAATCTACCTCATGTCTCCAACCCCGCTGAGTGCAATTACTGTCTCCATCGCCCTCAGCCAGGAGTGGGAATTCTCAATGTTGTACCCTCTCACCACCATTTTCATTGACGACAACGACCAGCCCGAGAAACAGTCAACTTCTTGGACTGTCTCAGTCTCACCGAATGGGACCATTTTCAACGAAGAGACGGGTAGAGAGTCATCTTACCTTTTCTGGGAGGCGACGACCGTCGTAAACGCTTCCAACCCGATTACCACTCCGAAGTCGCTTCTCGAGTCGGCCCATGACGATTCTGCCTTCATCTTCAACCCAGCCAACCCGATGGCCTTCTTCGGCGGAGCCCACATCACGATTTCGCTACCCTTCGACCGACTCGAGCCGTACCTTGACAGTGTCCTCAAGGGTCTCACCTTGACTCCAGCCATGCGAACCGAGTTCATGGTATACTGGCTGCCCTCCTTCCAACGCATTCGCGACCGTGACCAACATATCAAGTTCACCCTCGTACCCCAAGACGCCTTCAACAAGGCGGCCGAACTGACCGTCGATGGGGCAACCCCGAAAACGGTCGCTCGAATCTTCATGCTCTTTGGTGGAGCTAAGAAGCCCTACTACGGTAGTACGGGTAGTCACAGCGATGAAGAACTTGGTCAGATCGATTGGGCCGCCACGGTCGGCCTCGACGTCCAAGGCATGAGAAATGAGTCGGCATTCCGAGTACTAGAATGGGGCGGCATGGAGGTTCCGACGTCGATGGCCGGCGGAGCCTGAATTGATTCCACAACATCGATACCATCCTCAACCTGCTGGGTTGGGAACACGAAGTCCCACCTCTATGGCCAGGTAGGATGAGATTCGAACATTGTTCTTTTGCGCCGGTGACTGCTGAGCACCAAGATCTGCATTCATTGCTTTGCATAATGTCGGCACCGTGTCATGACAGCACGACACGGCTCGTCGATCTCACATACGGCTCGTGTATTTTACTTGCGAATGGTTGTTCGGATGCAACTTGTTGACTTCACCCATGAGTTAGGTGGCTGTCCGTAGCTGATAGGACAAAAATGGCGTAAACAAATTGACCACAGCCATGAACCTTTTCTATTCCCTTCCCAAACAATGGCATCATCTTGTGAGCTAATGACCAGCGTGTGTCCTGCATTATCTGTACTTGTTGGTGATCTGATTGCCTCCTCCCGTCTGCTAGTGGTCAGGAAGAACTATGACCTTGGCCGTGCCCGGCAGTGAGCATGCAGGCGAGGCCATGTTTCCGTCCATCTGGTAACGTTTCTCCGTATGTACGAACTTGGCACAGAACGCCTGTTGGAACTGCGAATGCGGCGAGGAGAAGGGAGATGCGCCCTATCAGTGACTCACCCAACGGCGAAGGATGCCAGTCTAGCCGTCTTGGTACAGCAGCAGACCCTGTGATTGGGTAGACTGACTATGCCATGCAACAGGGGTAACGCTCCCCTCTCCCCTTCTTAGCACACCTTGGAAATTCCCTTCTTCCTTCTGTCCCTATAAGTTCAACGACAAACCAGATCGTCAAGAAGCCTATCACTTTCACACCTGTCGGTATCAACCTCTTCAGCCAGAAGAGTTCGTGAGCATCGGGCAAGAGCTCAGAACAACAGTGAGAAGACGTCGGCCAACTGCTCATCCGTGACCGCAATCGCAGATGCGACCCCTATCCTCGAGATCACAAGGCCGTATTCCGTCACGCCCACAAGCTCTACATACCCAAGTCAACACAATGGCCTCCAACCTCTCAGCCCCAGCCCTGGTAGCACCAGTCCAACCCAGCACCCCGTCCATCTCCCTCCAGACAGCCCGCCTAGAAAAAGCCAGCGCGCCCACCGACCTGCCGCCCGTGACCACGGGCACATCCGAAGCCCACATCCGAAGCCCACATCTAAGGCCTAGCCACAGCCGTGATGCGCACCTCCTCCACCGACCCGCTAACAGTCCTCTTCCAGCGGGAGAAGCTCCCAGCCGCCTCCCCGGCCCCAGACCTCGCCACCCTCCGCCAGCTCACGCACGCCTCGGCCCTAGTAAGTGACTCCAGTCATCCTCCATGTCCCGATCCGGGCATGCCCTGCGATTAGATACCCTACATTAGCCCGTCCCTGCGACTCTTCGCTCCCTGACACACTCCCAAATCCCCCATTCCACGCCAAACTGTCCACAAAGGTTCTTCCCTAACCCAACCCCCAACTCCCAAAGACCCGCATCCGCGCCAAGATCCAGCACGGCGCCTTCGTAGCCGAAGCCGGCAATTTCGCAGCCGTGGCATGCTGGGAGCCGCTATCGGTGCAGAAACCACTCGTCACAGATTTGAACGAAGGGGACACGTCGCGGCCGCTATTCGCAGGTTTCGCGCGCGCCATCGAGGGGATGGTGGCCGAGCACCTGCGGCCTGTAGCGGAGCGCGTGAGTGAGGGGCGGTATTGGCATCTGAGCCTAATGGCGCGGGATCCGGAGGTCGAGTATGTGCCGGGGGCGGTGAGGGCGGTGCTGGCGCCGTTTATGCGGCGGTTTGTGGAAAGGGAGATTGAGGTTGAGGGTGGGATGGCTATCGGGCCGGCGCCGGTGTGGCTGGAGGCGGGTAGCGAGAGGGCGAGGGATGTTTATGCGCATTTTGGGTTTCGGGTCGTGGATGCTGTTGAGACGGCGGGAGTTAAGACTTGGGGTATGATTTACACGGGAGACTCGAGGGTGGAGGACGATGGTGTCGCGTAGGGAAGTCACATGCGGCTGGATCTGGTCATGGAGACTATCGAGGAGCGGCATAGATATGGTAGATTTTGCATGGCGTCTTTATGGTTTACTTGAGTCAACGCCGTATTCGGGGCAATGTCCATAAATTGGATGGGAGACTTAGGGGAGGATATCGTTGGCACTCACTATACATTTCGAGTGCTCCCAGTAGCCCCTTTTTCATACTGTCAATGAGGCTCACGGTAACAATCCACAGCGGCGCATTGTCGTCTGAAGAATGCAAGACGTAGAGAGGTACCAATTGCTGGTAACCCGATTCAGCAGGAGATGTGACCTAGATCTTAAAATCAGAGGACGATTTCCTCAGTTAGCTTTAACCACTTTATGTTGTCATTCATGACCACATGTCTCCCAAGTCGAGTTGAGAAGTAGGCATCGGCGTCAGACTTCAAACATTTCGGGCCATGTCTGGTAAGTCCACGAGTTACTGGACCTTCGGGAAGGAGACGCCTTTTCCAGCCAAGCCGAGCTTGGTCAAGATCCGAGGACATGGAGGTAAGGGCAAGTGGTGCTCATCGATCAATGGTGTGTGTCTTGGAGAGGTCTGCTGAATTAATTCTTCATTGATCCCTAGCAGCAAATCAAGCCAACGTGCGTGAGCATGGCGCGACTAATTGTCAACAAGAAGTGTCGTGGTGCCATACAGACCACATATGCCAAAGCTCATTTTCCGATTCCCCTCTCTGAACGCCAGTACATACCAAGCAAATGCCATCCGCAAGTCTCATCCATCATCAATCGCCCGATGTTCCTACGCACCCGTAGCCTCGCGGTAGAAGGTAAGACTCCGATTCGCGCCGGCCGTGACGAACATCTCGTTGCGCGCCGTCTTGGGCAGCCACTTGACGGCCCACAGTGCCTTGTCGGTCTCGCTGTGGGTGGCGACGCAGGCGGACTGGTCGATGGACCACACCTTGACCTTGCCGTCGAAGGCGCCGCTGAGCAGGTACTCGCCCGTGTCGCTCCAATCGATCGACGTGATCCACGCCGCGTGGCCCGTTAGGTTGCTCACGTGCTCGCCGTGCTTGGTGTCGTAGATGGCGATGACGCCCGAGTCGCCCGCTGCGGCTAGACGCGTGCCGGCTGGCGAGAAGGCGACGGCGCGGACGGGTTTGACGAGTCCTGTGTACTCAGTCAGCTGAGTTCGCTTTCACTGTCCTCCCAGCAGCACCCCATCATCGGAGTCTGCGGAACATACCAGGTAACGAGTACTGTAAGCGCCCAGTGTCGTTATTAAAGACGTACACCGCGCCGCTCTGGTGCCCACTCGCCGTGAACTTGCCATCACGGCTCAGATCCACGCACAGTCCAAAGCTACCCGCGCCCGCGCTGCCGGTCTCGTACTCGCGTAATCTCGTGCTGCGGTCCCCGAGCAGGTCCCACACATTGATGCGGCCATCGTACGTCGTAGCAGCCAGGTACTGGCCATCCTCGCTCAGCGCAACAGCCCAAACCTCGCCCGCGCCCTTGCTGTTGTTGCTATTGCCATTACCACTGCCATTGACCGCGCCGCCGTTGTTGTTCCTGCCGGAGGGATCGAGCTCGCCAAACGGCTCCCAGTCGCCCGTGCCCGAGTCGGCAACCTTCCAGATCTTGACGTCGCCGGCGAAGCCCGCCGACGCGGCGACCTTGCCGTCGTTGGAGGCGGCGATGTGGTGGCAGCCCAGCTTGTGCGCGCCGCTTATGGACTGCGCGAGCGGGATGCTGGGCTGGGCTGTCGCGTGGATGTGCAGCGTCGAGGAGCCGCTGGCCGAGAGGAGGGCCGTGGGCGTCGCGGCCAGGGAGAAGATGTCGGTTATGTGGGCTGGTGATCACGGTGGTTTCAGCCAGGTCAAACTACGTGTACGCCGGTACGAGGCAGGCGTGCAGGAAGCTGCCGAGAGCTTCCCAATCTTGGGTAGCTGGTGGGGTGGAGGAGCGAGCTCACCATTGTCCACGGTGTGCGTGGTGAGGTATTGCTTAGACTATAACGACGAGTCAGCTGGAGGATGTTTTATCGCCGTTTTGTTCGTCTGGGGTTCAAACCATGGTTACCGGTCCATTTGCGCATTCGCGAAGCTTGACAAAGTCGAGGTGTGGACGTGGTGTTGGTGTGAAGTGAGGAAGGCAGGCAAGCTGTGGTGGGGTCTGTCGAAAATTGGGACCTGCATCGTTCTGGCAGTAGATTGCATCGCCACCATCATCATCACCCTAGGTTCGTCTACGGGATAACGAATACTTTTATACTGCATTCTAGGTATTTCGACCTTTTGTTTTTACAAGATATACATATGTTACAAAGGAACTCGTTCTAAGTAACTTTCGTATTGCAAATGTCCAACGCCGTCCAATGCATAAGCCGAGTTTCTCCTACACTCGCGCAACCACCTCTACAGCCCCTTCAGAAATGCCCATGTTTGTTCCATTGAAGAGGACGGACTAGTGGGCTAGCTGGCGACGGGTATGCAGATTGCACAATTTGTGGTCGTTGAATTGGTATTGTACAGCGGGCAGGCCATATCAGCGGTGGTATGAGCAGATGCTCATTTACCCTTGAAGTCTCGATCGAGCATTCCTGATATTTCTGCAACTTATTAGCCTCAGTCATACAGACGGGTGAAGACGAGTGGGAAACTCACGACCCATGCAGGTGGGACATAGCGTATGCATCTTCTTGGTCTTTCCGCACGCCGGGCACTTGTTCAGATTCGTCACGTCCTGCAGGGCCTTGCCTGCCATCTGTCTGTGTCTCTTCTTCATGTGTGACGTCTTCTTCTTAGGTACCGCTCTAAGTATTCCGTCCCATATATCTCCTAGCAAGGAAGGGATGCTCGAGATGGCAGCGGGTATCGCAATGGATAGTGATGGTATAGATGGGAATCGGCTCTCTTGGGCCTGGTGCGTGTACAAGACGGTCGATCTGAAGGAATTGGTGAACGTCGTCGAGAATATGCGCGGAAAGAGGGCAGAAATGGCCGAGGCCATTCGTAGTTGCTGTATGGCGGCCATTGTGACTCCGGCTTAGTCGATGGTGATTTCGAAGTGTGTCGTCGGGCCTTGGGGGTCGCGACAGTTCCGGAAGGGGTTCGATTGACCCGAGTGAACTAGCAGCTGCAGCTGAAGCTGAATGCGCCCTCCTCCTCGACCGGACTCGAGTATGATTAGTGGTGATTTGCGACTGCTATGTGTTTGCGTCCGACGGCAGTAGGTAAGGAGCGTGGCTTCGGTGGTGTTGGCTTGAGATGCCGAACATGAAGTCTCAAGCGCGAAGCCGAAAATTAGCGGTCGAAGAAGCTCTGGCCACTCGAGTCGCGAATGCCACCACCTCATGCAGCCATGCAGCCGGCAAATGGGAGCTGCAGCCCGGGTCCAGTTATGCACGGACATGACTCTGGCCAATCACTGCTGGCCATTTCCGGTCCCCTATTCCCCCTTCCCCTGCGGAAGGCGCCCCAACCCAATTGACCCCAGCCAGTCTGCCAGTCCGCCAGTTCGTTTTGCTGCTGCACCTGCCTCGGGAAATTATTGGTATGGCAGTCACTGTCCAGTGTGCAAGGAGAAGCCGCGACACCAGATCCCTTCACGAACAGAAAACCCAACCTCATCTCTTCCCTTCTCCCGTCCCCGATCCCCCCAACCGTCACTCGGCATCACCTCTCTCCAACGCAACGCACGCTCCCAGCCCAGCCGCCCTTCCGTTCGTTTGATCGTCCGTTCCTCCAATTGCCCCTGGGCTATTTCTTGGAATAGGAACAGCACCAATACACCCCATATTTATCCATTCTTCACGAGACCCGGGCAAGTCAGAAGCAATGGCAGCCAACACCGTCTACCCCAACAGCCACGTCGGTTTCGACAGCATCACCTCCCAGATCGAGCGTAAGCTCCTGAAGAGAGGCTTCCAGTTCAACGTCATCTGCGTCGGTACATCTCCCCCGTCTTCTCCAACCGGCCTCCCCCTGTGTAATCATCGCACTACAAGACGCGAAACTGACGTGTCCCGTGTCGCTCTATAGGCCAGACTGGCTTGGGCAAGTCGACTCTGATCAACACCATCTTCGCCTCCCACCTTATCGACTCGAAAGGTAGACTGGTCCCCGACGAGCAGATCCGCTCCACCACTGAGATTCACCCCGTGTCGCACATCATCGAGGAGAACGGAGTCCGTCTGCGACTGAACATCGTCGACACCCCGGGATACGGTGATCTGGTTAACAACGACCGATGCTGGGACCCTATCGTCAAGTACATCAAGGATCAGCACTCCGCGTATCTACGAAAGGAACTCACAGCACAGCGAGAGCGCTACATACAGGACACCCGCATTCACTGCTGCCTGTTCTTCATCCAGCCCTCGGGACACTCACTGAAGCCTATTGACATAGTGGTCCTGAAGAAGCTGTCGGATGTCGTCAACGTCGTACCAGTCATTGCCAAGGCCGACTCCCTGACCCTGGAGGAGAGACAGGCCTTCAAGGAGCGCATCAAGGAGGAGTTCGCCTTCCACAACCTGAAGATGTACCCCTACGACAATGACGAGCTCGATGACGAGGAGCGTTCCATCAACAATCAAGTCAAGGTGCGTCCGATGCCAAGAATCAGTGCTTACTGTCCAGACTAACCATGTGCAGAGTCTTGTCCCTTTCGCTGTTGTCGGTTCCGAGAAGTCGATCATTGTTAACGGCAAGCAAGTTCGCGGACGTCAAAACCGATGGGGTGTCATCAACGTCGAGGATGAGAACCACTGCGAATTCGTCTACCTCCGGAACTTCCTGCTTCGAACCCATCTCCAGGATCTCATCGAGACCACTTCGCAGATCCACTACGAGACCTTCCGTGCCAAGCAATTGTTGGCGCTCAAGGAGAGCAGCGCACAAGGCCACGGTAGCAGACCGATCAGTCCTTCCGCAGATCGGGAACTTAGCAGGAACTCTCAGCGAATGACCATGAACGGCTACAACTAAGCCTTACCATGTTTTTGGTTGTGCTTTCTGCGAGGCGTATTCGGGGTTCAGGCCTCTCTGTTCTCGCGCGAGATCCTCAATCGCCTCCCTACTTAATGGCTACCAAACCTGGGTATCTTCCCGGGTGGTTCGCGTCCAGGGGTATTGATGGATCGGAGCTGATTTTACGAATCCCACGGAAACAGAAAAGTCATTTTATTTGCGACGGTATACCAAACAGCTATGTCTGGGATAGAGGCACTGTACGTCGTGAAGGCGAGATCTGCATGATTCATGGTCAAAACACATTGACCTTACTCGAGGTGTTCATCATGCCTCGTTATGTGTGGGATTGTGGCCGAGTATGCAGTATTTCCGCCCAGATAGTCTGGCGACTCCGACTTGCTATTGTCTTTATTATTCCCCCGAGCTTTCTTCATCTTCTTCCAGCTTTAGAGTCTAATCCATGACCGAGCCTGTACTGCACTCTAGCGGAGTCGGTCTTTATACCTATGTAATGGAATGCGAATGAGACTTATGCCCGATCCTCCCATCTTTACTGTCGCACCGTGAATGTGATCCTCGTGTATTTGAAGCTGGTTTGTCTTGGGACACGCACCCACAACTACGTGAACCAGGGGTGATGTGCTTGATCACATGTGTATGATGAGGTTTATGACCCTTTGAGGCGGTGTCCCTTTAGGAGGAACTCTAATCAAAAGACTCAAGGATCAACAATTGAATACCCTCAGGGTCATGTGTAGCATGGAGGTGACTTCGACGCTGACTCGGCATATTCTCTATGACGTTTGATCGTCGAGAGTCTGGCGCAGGTGAAGATTCATATGCTTGCTGGTTGAGGCCAGGCCGAGAGGAGAGGCCTCCGTCACCAATTGAGCGCAAGCAGCAGGCTGTACTGAAATGGAACTGCATCGAGAGTGACCCACGCCACCGGCCGGCCCCTTACATGATAGGTAAAGGGGCTGTAGGCTATAGACTGCCCCTATGGGACGGGTTGCAGCTGTGCAGGTACAGACACGCGGGTAATTAGCTGAGGTATGGTGATCTGAGGTTGGGTAGGGAATGGGTCGACGTCTCCAGGCGAGGGTCGTGGAGATCCTGGTGGGTGGCGATGTGAGTTTTCTCGTTATAGTCCTCAATGGGTAATGGTGGATTCTATGCTTGGAAAGGTGTCTTGATCGTTCTACGAGATGCTCATTTCTTATAGAAACGCTTCCAGTGGGCCATTGGGATTTCTCCATGAGTGAAAGTCGTTCTCCGAACGCTTTCCAATTACTGGCTGGGACATCTATGGGTCACTTATGGAGCGAATGTCATGGTTCCATTCCAGCATCCCGTCTAGCCGATCAGACCTGAAGGTCCCCAGAGCTCATAAGCAGCTGTGTATTCCATGGCTATGACGTCTCCCAAGTTCAGAGAGTTTGGTGAGTCTTGGCGTACAAACAGCGGTATAGAAGATGATCAAGATTGTCACAACAGCAAGTTAGGTAGCCCCGTAGGACTGAGCCCTATGTGTACCGGACCATGTCTTCTAGAGGTAGCTTCATATTTTCTTTTCGTCCTCAATTGCAACGTCAAAAAGTCGTTCTGGAGTCACTAGCAGTCGAACTGCGACAGAGATCCAGGTCTGCTGTGAGGCTGGGTCAGCGACAATATGGTTGTTTGTCAAGTCAGTCAATACGCCGCAATAATTCAATTTCTTCACATAGCCGCTGGTCTACTTTGCAAGCAGCCGGCACAGAGAGAGAAATGGATGGACACACACACAAAGCATGCCCGAAGAGGAAACCTCGAAGGGCTGCAAATGGAGCTCGCATCGGCCACGGAGAGATTGAACGCAATTACCGATACGAAGCATAACGTTGAAGCCAACAATAATGAGAACGACGAGACACGAGAAGAAAGCAGCTCGGCGACGGAACAATGGGTTCTACGCCAGCATGTGGTTGATATTTAGGGCCAGACTGTTGCCCATCATACAGCGAAGGAGGGTCGTACCCGTGGGTTTTGATTGTCCAGTACAGCTTGAAGCTTTATTAACAACACCATCTCAACATATATATTCTCAACTTCCTATACTCCAAGGAAATCTTCGCCGTTGCCGAGCAAGTCACTTCACTTCCTGCTTTCTTGAACCGCAAGGACACAATGGGAGAGACTGCGTTCCATGTTGCCGTTCGAGCAGGACAAATGGTGGCAATGCATAGACTATACGGCAAGGGTGCGCAGCTGGAGACGCGAAACCACTTAGGGTGGACCGTTATACACATTGCATTCGCCGAGGAGAAGCTTGCAATCGCAACTTGGCTGATTCAGAAAGGTGCTCTCGTTAACGCCCAAACTAACCAGGGAAATACGGCTTTGCACCTTGTAGCTAAGCGAGACTGGCACCAAGGCTGTAAGTCCCTATGCAAAGCCGGGGCCGACCCCAATATCCGCAATCGATTCGGACTCCAGCCCCGGTACGTTGCCGATATCCTGTGCAGTGAAGCAAATCTCGGTGCCGCTGATGGATATGGGGTTCGGTTTTAAGCTTCCATACCCGGATTACGACTACGATCAGATGGAGAACGAGAGTATATAGTGCTTCGAGTATTGGCGAAGCAGGCTTGCTTCCGCCAAAGACTAGGGATCAGGCAAAGGATATGAATGGACACCAGTAACATGCAACCTGACAAGTGATACATACTGCAGCGAAATTTGGCCTTGTAGACGAAGACATAATGTGAAAATGCACTCTACTCCTGAGTCGTAAAAGCTCGTTTTATTTCAAACCGCTTGTCTGTGCTGCCTCTTGAGGATGAATTCGTCTCCCTAAAGCCGTAAGTATTGATGCGAGTCCGTTTTGGCGCTCCTGAATTGGGACGATTGGAACTGAAGTCGAAGAGACCAATATAGCCCGGGGCTTCTATTTGGCCGGCTGAACGCATACAACCCAAAGTCACGACGCCGCAGCGCACAGGCTACCACGACGGGCCGCCGTTACCAAATACCAACTCAGAAGATGTCTTCCGCACCTGCCATCCAGAAGCTGCATGCGTTCATGACTTCACAATAACCAAACAGCAAAGGAGAGTACTTGGGGATTGTAGTTGCCGTGAACGAGAATAATAGACTTGGTCGTCAACCCAGTTCGGGGATGGTCTTGGCTGGAGGCCATCTCACAGACCGCATATCCACAAGCGGGCGTAGGCTCCACTCGAAAGACATATTTGGTACTGAAGCATCGGGGATGCACCCAGATGAGCAAGGGACTTGGTCCTTCAGTTACTTAGGCAAGCTCTTGACGATAGCAAGACTTGGGATTGAAGGTTTCTCTTCATGAGCCGTGTGCATGTGCTTACTTCTTCCAAGCTTACCGTGACGCCAGCGCAACGAGGCTCTTGGACTAACGAGAGTGGCCACTGGGCGGTGAATGATGTGGCGTACCTAATGTCACGTGTCAAGCGGCCCTCACATTGCACTGTTTTAACGCCGTTTCGCACGACGGGCCAGAACGGCAAGAACGGGTTGAACGGGGACCAACCCAGCCATTTTTAGGCTCTCGCTGTATCTTCAAAAACTAAAAACTCTATTCGCACATCCACCCTTCAAATCTCAGGGGAAGCGCGAATTGCGATTGTCACCGGCTCACGCACAAAGATGGACCGTGTTTCAAACTCTTCCACCGCTCCTGCGAAGTCCAAACCAGCACTTCCGGCCCCGGTCGGTTTCCATGGCTGTGTGATCCTGACACCTGTCTCGCCCTGTGACGTCGCTTGTGTAATGCTCGCAGAATCTGTGCCGACACCAGCAGTCAAATCATCAGCGAGAGAGATTACGCTTGGCGGACATTGCGTCCCGTTACGACTCACGAGGGGCTGCAAATATGCGGGCTACTCAGCCGCCCATCTCGTCATTCCGCGGGCCGACGGACTAGGTGTCGGTCTGAGGTCAGTGGAATCTCACATGGGCAGTGACAAAAGAAAGGGTTCATCGGGCTTTGAAGTCTGCCTCCATCCCTCTCCTATCATTCACATTATTAGGTTTCATCAGCATGCAATTGCCGGCTTTGAATCTGCGAATGAAAACTGGGGGAGCAGTATCGTGACTATCGTTGGCTAGGTCCCTCAGGGGAACTTGGCAAGCACCGACCAGCTGGGTCTGCAGGAAGCCATTGAACCTTCCCTTCTGCGACTCCCAAAGCGAATCATAATAATAAACATGGAAGTCGCATGAACAGCCAAGCTGGATGGTGGTTCCAGGAAGCAGCTAGGCGCATAGTTACAGAGTAACGCTGGCGATTCTACACAAGTGGCTTCTTGGATGAAACGGATTGTTGACTTCTTGGGAGTGGGAGAAAGGAAGCCTCCCACGCTCCTCCAAGGATGATCGATGATCTCACTGCACACTGCACACGGGAGTCCAAAAGGGGTCTACAGTGTGACCGTAACAGATTGGCAGGTAACACACTGTAAAGTCCCTCCAACAATGGCTTCGCAGATGCCTCCAAGCACAGTGAAACGGAGTGGCTGGGGTGGATCTGCATCAGATTAGATGCCCCGCCAGGGCCCGCCAGCGGATCCATCCTTTGCCAGATTTGAATGGGACAGACTGCTGCAGGAGGAGGGAGATCGGCGAATCTAGTGTGGTCGACCCGCTGAACCCGCCAGCGTGGTCCACTGATCCCAGCAGGGCCGAGAGACCGCCAAGTCTGGCTGTCTGGAAGACAGTAGCTTGGCAGCCATTGTGCACGCTCAGCCAATGGAGGTCCCCTCCGTCAATGGCCCTTCCAGTAACCAGTAACCTAAGGTTACTACTTTTACGACCTGCTGTCCGCCCACACCTTCCATTGCCACACCTCCACTGCTTCCTTCACTGCTTCCTTCACCTTCCTCTTGCCCAGTCACTCTTTTCTGGTGTTTTATCGCTTCTTCCGCTCTTTAGGCACACGGTCGTTTGCCTCTTTCTTGTCACTCCCTCGCAAAGTTTACGGCATCCGAAATCAAGAACCGAAAGTAAGACGGCCGTCCGTTTGCAGTGTTATCAGCGGCAGCAGCATCGCCCAGGTGGAATACTCGTGTGTTTGTCATAAAACCCCCACCATCCACGAGCCAGCACACCGGCGACCGACGATAGACCTCCTCCCGCCGTCACTCGCCACAGCAAGAACAGCAGTACCATCCTCATCGCCAGCATCACAAAACCCACAATGCTGATCCAATCCGCGCTCGTCGCCGCGCTCGGCGCAACGCTGGCCAATGCCGTCACCACTCTGGAAGTGAAGGGACGGCAGTTCGTCAACAGCAAGACAGGCGATGCCTTCCAGATCGTGGGCGCAGCCTACCAGATTGGTGGAAGCTCGGGATACGACCCCAGCCATGGCAAAGACCCGCTGTCAGATGGTGACATCTGCCGACGGGACGCTGCTCTGATGCAGACCCTTGGCGTCAACACCATCCGAGTCTATAACTTGAGCCCCGACCTGAACCACGACGAATGCGCCAGCATCTTCAATGCCGTGAGTATCACCTGTAGCATTCGAGGAGCACCGAGCTAACCCCCGCACCAGGCTGGCATGTACATGCTGATCGATGTCAACTCTCCTCTGAGCGGCGAGTCGCTGAACAGCTTGAAGCCGTGGGAATCCTACTACGCCGGCTACCTCAACCGGACCTTCGCCATCGTCGATAACTTCAAGAACTACCCCAACCTGCTCGGGTTCTTCTCCGGCAACGAAGTTATCGATGCTGTCAAGACTGGTGCCGAAGCCCCTCCTTACATCCGCGCCGTCACCCGTGACCTGAAGACCTACATCAAGGCCCACGCCGACCGCCAGATTCCCGTTGGATACTCGGCTGCTGATGTCCGTGATGTTTTGGAAGATTCCTGGAACTTTTTCCAGTGCGCCATCGATGGTGACGATAATGACATGTCTCGTGCCGACATGTTCGCCCTGAACAGCTACTCTTGGTGCGGTGAAAGCTCCTTTACAGAGTCAGGCTACGACCAACTGGTTGCCATGTTCAAGACCACCTCCATTCCCGTCTTCTACTCCGAGTTCGGCTGCAACACCCCCTCGCCACGTGTCTTCACCGAGATCGGTACCATTTACGGCACCCAGATGACCGGCGTCTTCTCTGGCGGTGTCGTCTACGAATACGCCCAGGAGCCCAACAACTACGGTCTTGCTACAGTCAACAGTGATAACAGCGTCGATCTCCTTGACGACTTCCGCACCCTGCAGAAGCAATACAATGGTGTTGATTTCAAATCGGTTCAGAACGTCAAGGCCGCAACCAGCTCCATCACCATTCCCGAGTGCAAGGCAAGCCTCATCCAAGAGGACGGCTTCAATAACAACTTCACCTTGCCGGTCCTTCCTCCTGGAGCCCAGAAGATCATTAGCAATGGTGTAGGCGGACTGGTGGGCAAGATCGTCGATATCAGCGATTGGACTGTCAACCACGTCGTCAAGGACATTGACGGCACTAAGCTCTCCAACCTGGCCGTGACACCACTTTCCGACGACGAATCCAACACCCCTGGTAGCAACACGGGTGGCAGCAGCAGCAGCAGTGGCAACACCACAACAACAGGCGCTAACTCCGGCTCAAGTGGCAGCGCGGCACCGCAACTCGCACCAACAAAATTGTCCACTGCCGCCATGGCTGTGCCCATGGTCATCGCCTTGTCATTCGCTGCTGGCTTCTCGATGATCTAGGTGGTCAGTTGAAAAAGGTGCCGTCGTAAGCATATTTGTTCATTGCGCTTGAAGGAACGGGATAGACGGTGTTGGAAGTACCTATTGTATATTTAAGTAGGTCTATGGTCAATGTGGTCATTTGGGCCCATGGGCAGGCTTCTTTGTATTTTAGGATTATTGTACTTCTCGTGCAGTACATAGGCGCAATTGGCAAAAACTTGATACCCAAAACGTCTTCTTACCTGCTGAGTAATGCTGTCTAACTTGCCACTTTCTGTGCGGATCTGATGTACGGATACACTGGCAGACTGGCTGGCTTCATTGGACAGCGAGATCAACCGACCCTTTGGGTGTCATGTCCTCGGCGACAGTCTCCCGGGGAACATTTTGGGGGACAGTGGCGCAATCCAGTTGGTTGTTCATTGCCGCGGCTGCGGCTCAGCGTCGATGATGAAGCCTTGACCGGTCCGCCTCGCCGTCGAGAGAACGACGGTGAGGACGGGGATACATGTAGGGAATGACAAGGGACGAACCAGCGCGGTCCTGGGCCCGGTAACGCGCCTATTGCGCGGAGCTGGGTGGCCTCCATCTGGTGGCCTCCAGGTCCTCATGCCGTCATATCAAGGTAGAAGCAGGCAGCAGTTATGAGAGCGGTCGATTTGATTGAGTCTTTGAACCCTCTCGCGGCTTGATGATGTCGGTTTCGAGGCTGGTAAGGGTAGGAAGGGTTGGATGACTGAGCCGCAGCCACGCGGGTTGCGGTCGTCCCGTGATGGCTGGGTGACCTGGGTCAAAAGGTACATTTCATGACGTAGGCAGGTATGGAACGATCCATAGGTAGTTCTCCCGGAGGTCGTTAAGGTCTGTGATGAGTGGGCAGGCAGTCTTTGTTCATTCACGTCCGGCATCTTGCCGGAGGAGAGAGGGTGGGATATACCGGCTGTCGTTCTGCTTGTGAACTGGTTGCTTTGGCCCCTAACCCTCCAATGTTTCCCACGTGGGGATGTTTACGCGTATGTATGCATGCTTGCGGCAATGTTACTACTTGTTTGTTATATGCCGCTATAGCCAGTCCTACAGCCTGTCCCACGCCCGAGAAGACATTGGGGACACCGCTGTTGATAATCGCTACGTTATGAGTCCGACTTACACGGCCTCTTATTCTAATCGGCTCCGACTGTCTTCAGAGGGCATGCGGCATGCCGTCGCTTGTGCTTCTTGCACTGCGCTAGTGTAGCTACTATTCATGTCAGAAGATCGTCTGCTCTACACGGTGCCTAAACTAGAGTAGGTTCGCTGTACGCTCTTCTTCGTATGCGTGAGCTGCCCGTGAGCCACCTCCGTCGTGAGGCTGGCTCGATGCTGTAGCGGCGAACGTGTGCCTGCCCCTTGAAACTTCCAAGCCCCCTTGCAGCTAATCAATCTGAGCTTTCTGGTAAAGCCCTTGCTGTTGGGGGGCGATCGTGTGAGATAGGGGTACGTTCAAGCCGGAGTTGAACAGGTCGAATCTTCAAGCTTACCGTGAAAACGGCGTTTCTCAACGCCCCCGGAAATGATCAAAAGAATCGTAGCAGAAGTACGCTCAGCGATTCCGCCATCCAACGATGTCGAGGGAAGGGCTGCCGCAGCTCGCGGTCGGCCAATTCCTCCCGACTTTTGTACCCGCTGAATAGTTTCTGCGCGTGTGCCTGCCAGTATCATGCAGACTAACCTATGGCGTCAAGCGGTATCTAGCGACCACAGACAGCTCATCTTCATCCAGTACGTCATGCATTGCGGCACCCAAACTGCAGTGAGTATCCGTCACATTCTCCTCGGAGTGCTGGCTCGAACGCCTGAGCGGGTGGCAGCAAGGTAGGTGATGAACAGTGCCTTCACTGCATCCTCCATCTGGTCTCGTGGAGATGTTCGGAAGCCCATACCGCACATGGAGGCCAATCAGGCTCTAGCCGGGACGCTTTGGTATCTTCAACTTTGGGTAGGCTGGACGGAATAGGGGCTGGGATGAAGGGAAAGGGGGGTGGACACGTAGCAAAGGTTATCTCGACTTATGTCACTAGAACCGAATCATGTCCTTGGCTGATGTGTGATGGGACGTTTGGGATTCTATATCTCGTATTGAATTGAGAGTTTTCTTCCACGTAACATAGCATGAAATGGCGAGCGTGTCCTCAAATCGTATCCTACTCTGCGTGCCCTTCGTACTCATTATTCGCTGCTCGACTCTCCCCTCTAGTGAGCCATGTCTCAATGACAGCTGTTGGGGACTCGGGCCTCAATTGGGGTTCAGCTGTTGATTTCTCAGCTGTTGGGGATTCAGGCCTGGGTTGAGAGTCAGCTATCGATGACTCGGAATCTGACCAGGTTGAGGCTTGAGATTCGGCTTGTAGCGACGGAGGCCCTGGTCACGGAAAAAATATTATTAATTATTGTGACGGCCTGCACAGACCTTCCCACATGACAAGCGGATACTTCCCAATAGGGGAAGGATCTGACCAAAGGATCCCCTTAAAGGGGCAACCTCCCACTGTACCTATCTCTTTCTCTCTCTCTTCCTTTCCTCTCTAGTCTTGATATTCTCGTCAATAGAGTAATAGCTGCTTGCTGCCGGCCATGTCCCAGCTCCTCAGTACGCTCGCCGTGACAATTATAATATTTAGTATTATAAGCTTACGACGTAATATTCTACTATTAATGCGAAATTTTTAAGCTGTATAATATTTTATACGATACTAAGCTTATTAATAAATAAATTAATGTTGAATTAATTATAAAATATATAATTTCTCTTATAAGAATTTTGATTTTTAAAAGGATAATTTTTTAAAAGAATCGTAATTAAAACGATTAACTAAATTACAATATATAACGTGTAATGAAGTTGTTCACAGCGCCATTTATATTTATATTTGGTCCTCGAAGGCAGGTCTGGAGCCAACAACCACGGCGAGGCCTTCGCAACAATGTATTAGCTGATCGAAGCTAGCAGAATAGCCTCAATCGTGTACTTACTTTCAGTCAAGTGTGATTGCAGCTGCTGCAGTAGCTTCGACAAGTTGGCTTGCATTACGGTCGAGTCCCTCAACCTATAGTCTATGGAACCCGGGCCTTGCTGGAGCGCGCCCAGGTTTCCGCACCATACGCTGAATTTCCCTCTCTGGTCTTGAACCTCTGATAGCGGCATCAGGTCTAGGGTACCTTGGCTCGATTCCCGGAACTTAGAGCATAAATGTTCAAATGCTCTAAAACATCGCGAAGCAGAGGTAAATATAAGCGGCATAGCGTTGAATCAGCTCGTCGATCGAAAGTGGTTGAGTTCGGTAACGCGCAGGAAGCTCCGGCGACGATGTGAGAAACGCCTTGGACATAGCAGTCTCTTGAACCATCCGGATCTTCCGGAGCGTCAGCGAGTCTGCCTTCTGAGCAATGTAGGACGCGGGGGACTGTAAGTCCTATTGGCTATACCCCACAAAGTTGCGGCTTATTTGCCACTCGACCACAGCCGAGGCCGGGTTTTACGAACAAGCCAGTCCCACTGGGAAGTCGCCGCCTCACAAAACATATTCGTCTTCATGTATAGGAATAAACCGACGACCACGCGTCTTGCCTAAACGCACCATGTGCTTACCAGGCGACACAGGCAAACAGATCGGTCGCGGCGTATGTTAGGTGAATAAGCATGTCAGGGTTGGAAGTAGCCGGCCTGGTTCTCGGGGCCTTGCCCTTGGTCATCACCGCCCTGGAACACTACGAGTCGAGTATCGACCATGCCAAAGCCTTCTACAAGTACGAATATGAATTGGAGAGGACCATGAGCGAGCTATGGATGGAACACCTGAACTACGACATGACCTTGAAGACGCTTCTGATGGGCATTACGAGTCCGCTTGAACTCGAAGAGATGATGAACCAGCCCGACAGCCCCCTGTGGAAAAGCAACGAATTGGCTGCTGAACTGCAAGACAAGCTTGGTGTGGCGTACAATGCGTACCTTCATATCATTAAACAGATGGAAAAGCAAGTTAAGGACTTGTTCAATGCTTTGAGCATTGATCGACAACCTGTGAGTCTCGTCTAAAATCACCGAGGAAATTTGATGCTGATACTCCGTCAGTTGAATGCGGACGATCTCGAATCCCTCATTAAAGCTGTCGGTCAACCGGCCGTGAACCGAAACAGCATCTCCAAGTTCGAGTTCCGGCGGCGCGTCAAGTTCACCTGGAACAAAAAGAAAATCACGAGGCTACTTGGGGAGGTTGAAGACTGCAATAAGCGACTGGAGTTGTTCATTGAGAAGGCCGAGAAAATGAACCAGTCCACAGCTACTACAGGCAAAAGCGGACCTAAATCAACTTTGGCTATCCCTTTACAGATGATCCACGATTACGCAGGACGACTACATGACGTTTTCTCCAGAGCCTTGAATGGCTGCACGCAGCATTCACATCATGCCAGTCTACTGCTAGAACATCGCATGATCCGCGCTCAGAAGAAAAAGGGGTTGAAACACGTCGCAAAGGACGAGGATCAAACCTTTCTAGTATCTTTCCAAAGTCCCTCTAACCCAAAAGCCTGGCATAACGCGGAAATCCAGATATCCAAGGGCGACAACTCTCAAGCTAACCTACTAGGGTAAGTCAAGTTTAGCTGGTAGTGCAACCATGTTGATGATTTAGCTGACATTATTCAGACCGAGAGCTACACAACCCAAGGTCAAATTCGCAATGCCACCCTCAGTGGGAGGCAATGTCGTCGCCACCCTTAGCACTCCGCCAGTGCCACTGCCACTGGCCCAAGCTCATATCATCAGTGATCTCTGCTCCACTTTGCAGAGCCGAGAGAAGCAGCTTACGTGCTCCGGGTTCTGGCTTGACATCCAAGGCATTCTTCGGGGGACCTACCAAGCCCCGGATCGCCCGTCCCGTCCTACGGGTGCTATCATCACACTCGAGGATCTGCTCGTGGCTTCCAAATCGGCAGAGTGGAAACCGCTGACGCAAGAAGACCGACACGTGCTCGCAATCACGCTATCTTCGTCCTTCCTGCAACTACATAAGACACCCTGGCTCGGAAATAAATGGGACAAGAAAGCCATATTCTTCTCAAGGACGGCAAACGACCAGCACCGCATCGACGTGCGCCACCCGTTCATCACCAAGACCTATGCCGCTCCTACTCATTTGACCACTTCGGCCACGATACCACTTAGTACGGCAACCCCAGCTGCACCCCGCGACAACACCAACCTCCTCACCTTAGCCCAGATACTGCTGGAGGTCCATTTAAAAGACCGTTTAGAGAACAAGCGGCGAGATGATGACCTGGGTCCCGATGACGTCCCCAACGCAGCAGGCGACTTGCAGACGCTGCAACGGTGGATTATGGAGCAGCAGGAGAACCTGTCGTTCGAGCTCAAGGATGCCGTGCTGTACTGCATGAAATGCTCTATAGACCCCACGACCGACCTGGGGGATCTCGGCGTCAGACAGGGTGTTGTGGATAGCGTGGTCGCACCGTTGCTGGAAGAGCTTTATACGTTCCGGGAGGGTCATGACAGATAGGCCTGATGGGGTTGGGGGGTTCGTCACGATTTGGTTTCATGGTTAGTCTCCTTAAATGCAAGGGAAGAGCCAAACCCAATACCCAAATACCCAGATGCCCTTGGTTTATTTAAGAAACATTTGGAGAGATCGGAGGCGGATGCAAGTAAGTTTGCAAGGGTATATCATGTCTATTCCAACTCATACGTGATGTATCCAAGGTTCTAAGTCATATGTGGTGTATCTGAGGACCGTGCTTCTCTGACATCCCTCAAGTATGGTTTGCAGAAACGTGCACTTGCCAGTACTTCCGCCAGTCCCACCACAGGCCTCCCTGCTTCTCTGACATCCCTCAAGTATGGTTTGCAGAAACGTGCACTTGCCAGTACTTCCGCCAGTCCCACCACAGGCCTCCCTGCTTCTCATTATCGTCCTGTCCCGGATTCCACATGCCAAAGCCCTTGCCCTGATCATACTCCAGAAACTCGGCCTTCTCTGCGAGCAGGTTGCGCTTCTCGCCCCCCTCCAGGAACCGCAGGAAGTCTTCAGACACGTGGACGTATTGTCTCAAACCCTCGTAGACATCGATCTTGGCGCCGGTCGTCCAGCTGAGCAGCAGCGGCTCAAGAAGCGGCGCATCGGTCACCGAGGGATGCGACGTTCCGAGCGAGGTTATGAACCACGACGGATTGCCACGCTCGTTGTTGTCTTCGACGAGCCCGCGGACGACGTCGAAGTGGGCCCGGCCGTAGAAAATACTGCGCTTGCTGCTCCACGAGTTGCTGTGGACAACCAAGACTGGCACATTGACATCCTCGTTTAGTCGGCCGCTCTGCTTCCCCGGGTCCAAAATAATAGCTCCTCTGAAGGGACGCTCCTCATTAGGACCACCTTTCAGGGCCTGAAGTGCACCAGTGGCACCATAGCTGTGCCCCGCCACGATCATCTCGTCCGTATTGAATCGGCCCGCCCAAGCAGCCAACTCGGCACCCTCGTTGCGCGAGTTCTGCTCGAATACGTCATCGCCTTTTCCAGAGTTGATCAACTTCAGCACGCGGACTGTCTCCTCGATCTCGGCCTCGCGGAAGTCGAGTTGCGCCTTCTTGAAGTCATCCACCTCCAGTTCCTTGCCGTTGGCAGATTCGACTTCGGACATCCGGAAAGTCAACTTCGTCTGGTCCAGCTCGCCGACTCTCTGGATGACCGAGCCGGGGCAGGACCCGTCGCGGTGTTCAAGCAGGGCGACCACATAGCCTCGCGACGCCAGCTCTCCCGCGTAATGCGTGTAGTCGGTCCGGCTGGAAGCCATGCCGTGCGAGAAGACGACGACTGGGTAGCCGTGCTTCTCGGCCGCCATCACCTTCTCTGTGTGCTGCTTCGGGTGCGACATCTCGGAGACCGGCACGACCGGATGAGCTGGCTCGGCCAGGGGTGCGTCGACCTTGGCGGGAATCCGAATGCCCCCCACAAGGCCGCGGATGGCGCCCGAGAAGATGGCATTGGTGACGAAGTTGCTGATGTGCGCAAACTTGGCGTAGCCCTCGGCGGTCACCGAGACGGGCTTCGGTATCCAGTGGTGCTGTGGCTTATGGCGGACGGCCTTCCCTGCAGGATAGTATAATGTGAAGAGGACCGTCTGCAGTTCGAACGCGTTCTCCTTTGTGTCCTTGAACCGCGCCGTGTCGACGACTCGCGGCGATGAGACTGGCGTCTCGATGTCGATGGCGCCCACGGCGTAGGTCCCGCTGTACTTGGGCAGGGGATTGGCAAAGAGTGGTAATGAGAAGACGAAGCAGTACAGCACGTATATTGTGGCGAACGAGCAGGCGGCGTATCGCCATGTCAGCCGCGGCCGGAAGACTGGCGGGATCCTCCGGCGCATGGAGCTCCCAACTGCGTGGGGAGCTTCGGGAAACGGACGCATCGTGGAGTTGCAAATATCGGCAGATGCCTATAGAAAGTTTAACTTGTGTTGAGCAAGTTGATGGATGGTTGCGGCTTCCAGTTTATGTCTTAAAGACAAGGAAGTTGCAACGGGGTGGTTGTTCAGCTGGCGATGATGTAATCGGTCTTGATCGGGTCTTGGTGGTGGCAATCACAGCCTTGGCAGCTGCCAAACACTTGGCAATTTTAACGAACAGGTCTCGAGCTGACTAAGGTTGACCAAGCAGACAAGACACCAGCGACAGAGATGCAGCATACCTGGTGCCTGGATGGCATACTACTTGTCTTTACTTGAACTCTGTGCCTTCAAACATATCACGGCGTTTGTCGCAACATTGACTTTGTTGCTGCCTAGTACTCGTCTCGATACAGCTCAGATTCACGACGCCATGGAAGATATATGCAATGGTGCTGTGGGTATCCTGAATTTACTTGGATTCTTTCAGGTACTTTTGGCTGTGTGAGTATTGCGCAATTGGTGCCAAATTCATGAATAGACCACAGTCTCCTCAGAGGTTTGAGACCTCAGAGCAGATAGGATTTGCCAACTCGAACAGCGTTCATCACTGTCAAAATATGTGCTCAGGCTAGATACGCCACTGAGCAGTATTTTGGTCGTCTTGTGGGATCGCATGAACCTAATTAGATGGCTGTCTGAGGTCTATTTGACGGTTATTTAAGTAGGAAGATACCCCCTCCAGCTATCCTTCTTCTTCCTCCAACACGGCCCATTCTGAAATCTGATAATCACGAGCTCTGCACAGAGCCACGACCAAGAATCAAGAAGCCAAGATGTCGGTACCGTCACAAACAGTCGGTTTCCCTCAGTTCGGGAAGCCCCCCCAAGAGCTACAGGATACCGTATGGGACTTCGCCGCATGCGACAAAAGCCGCCTACAATGCTTGGACTTCGGCTACCATCGTCGTCGCTACCATGGCAAGAAGAAGTCCGAACAGCGCCTGACCGAGCAGCGCGCGGTTCGACTGCCTGGACCACCGGCATCTGATCTCACCCAGGCCTGCCATGCAGCGCGCTTATAAGTCGCAAAAGGCTTGACTTTCGTCATCCTCAGTCCGTTCATCGAGAAAAAGATAGTCCGAACCCCAGCGTTCCGCGACTTTTGCAAGTCTGCCCGCACGGTCGCCATCGACTCACGTATCCTCGAACGCGCATGCGGAGTGAAGTGCTTGCTGCAAAACCGGGCCTTATTTCCCCGAGTAAAACAGATATATGACATCGAGGACATTTTCGAAACAGGTCCGTTCGGCGGGTTCGACTCTCGGTTCCACGACGCAATTGGGTGGTCAAATCTGGTGCACCCTGATGTCGTCCTGGACGTCGGCACCCAGCTCATGCCGGATGCGGTTAGGTGCCCGACCTGCACGCTCTGCACGGAGGGATATGACTTGTTAGTCCATGATATCAAGGTACGACGCAAGCACGTGGACCCAAGTTTGGTGGACCCGGGTTCAGACGAGGAACAGTTGGCGAAATCCTGGCAGGACGCGTACGAGAACCCCTGTGACGGCAACAACCGCCGTGCAATTGCGAAAGCGGGCTTAGCTTTTGCGAAGGAACCGCAGTTGGAACGGCAGTCATCTGCGGCGACGGCCCGACCCCGACTTGATCCGGTCATACTCTTTAATATTGGATCTAGAGCCGAGGAGGTTGCATCTGAGGCCGAGCGGATAGCCACGCTGTACTCTGACGACGACTCGTAAGACGACGGCGACGACGATTGGGAAGACTCCCTACCATTGCTGCTAGAAAACTTTCTTTGCGGATCGCAAGGACAGTAAGTCTCGCGTTGGGAGTGACCACGACTTTTACTTGGAATCGCACGAGGTGCCGAGTACCCATCGGGTATCCTACATGCTTGATAGGCTTACATGCGCTTTCCAAGCATTTGTCATTATGGTTCCGACTCCTCCGAGTCACGGCGCGTGGTCAGAGATATGGGTTGCCAACAAATATGATGATCTGGAGTAGGTATTCAGTATACAGTTGTCTCACCAGATGGGAGTTGGTGGCGACCACAATGTGCGTGATACCATGTAACAAGTAGCAATTGCCAATTAAAACTGCTTGATAGCTCTGCGGTGTCCATGTATGGTCTGTAGCGATTATCTTGATCATTGTAATGCCGATGTATTGGGTTGATCCTCAGCTCACTGGCTAGAAGGGGCTATTCCGTGGTGCTTGCGCACTTTTAATTACGAACACCCGTAAAATGTCGAGGACTCACATGATTACCTTGATACACCACTGCGTGGTCAAGTAGGTGAATGCCAGTTCGCTCACGTGGGCAGAGGTTTCGCAATCAAGCGGAGTGAAAGGGGTGACGGAAATGGTCACGTGATTGCGCATCCCTTTCGTGTTGCCCCGCCAATTAAGACGGGAAGCAGCGATACCAGATTGGATGGGTTTGAGATCCCCACGTCATTCCCCATCTGCAGGCAGTTTCGCAAATCGCACTTCCCGTAATTCAAGGCCTCACTTAACCCACACAAAGCGCAATCAATCTAGGCACCCGACCCAATTGCGACCAACATACTTTAGGTACTTCTCTATCCTGCCAACGACGACACTACGTGATCCGGCAACCGCAATCCCGTCTACAGAAACCACCGCCCCAATGCCCGCACCCAAACGCCCAACAAGCGGCACCAGCCGCCCCTCGTCGACCAGCAAGCAACAAGCCACGCTCTCCTTCAACCACCGAGTCACGAAATCCGTGCCCAAGTCCGCCAAGAAGGGCCTCGCGACGCCTCCCTCCACGGCGCCGTCCAAGCAGAGCCCGCTCGCCAAGCACGTCGCCTCAACAAGCGACCAACAAGACCCAGCCGACATTGATGTTGAGGACGAGGATGTTGATGTGACCAAAGCGCAAGTTGAAGAGGCAGAGGCGCCCGAGAAGACCGAAGCGGAGCTGCGCGCCGAGAAGGTCAGCGACCGCCAGATCGACCAGTACTGGCGGCAGCTGGAGCGCGAGCGCAAGACCAAGCGCGTGCACCAGGGCGACCTGGCGCTGGCGGAGAAGGTGCTCCGGTATTGGGATGTCAGCTCGCAGTACGGGGTATGTTTACATCTTTACCTCCCTACCTCCCAACCTCCCAACCTCCCAGTCCCCTTTCGAAGCCTGCATATGATAGGTGTGTATACTCTGCGGAATACGATAGCTAACAAGTTGCGCGCAGCCTTGTGTCGGCATCTCCCGCATGAAGCGCTGGCAGCGTGCCGAGCGACTGGGCTTGAACCCGCCGGTCGAGGTCCTGGCTGTGCTGATGAAGGAGGAGAGCAGGGGCGCGCAGGGCTTTGAGAAGGCGCATATGGATGAGATCCTCAACTCGACGGCTGTTGGATCTACTTGATTGCCTGAGTGGGAGGATGACTGCCCGGGACTACGTCCGGGTCTGTGTACGATGAGTACCACAATGCGCATCGCGAGAATATGCTCGCGGGCGTCTTCTTTGAGAACTTCTGCGTTGGCGTTGGGGACATGGAATTCGCTACGGCTATGTACTGGATTTGCCGAAGCGGTTGGCTTACAATCCTCACGCTTTTATCACATGAGATCCGGTGGTCTCATTCGTCATATTCGTCTGATTGACTAGGATGCACCGAACAGCTATTAATGGAGTTGCGCATATCGCGAGAAAAGACCGATCCAACTGGTCAATACCAAATACTCCTCGTCCGATGATGGGGTATCGTCTCCTTCCCCTGGGCCTCCAGCTGCTTCATGGTATCATACAAGAAAAAGTCGATCAATATCGCATTCACCTCCGCTTCCGGGTGTTCCCGTTTGATCTCACGTCTGATGAGCTCCACACACCAGATGCTGCATGCTAATTCCCGGGACATCAGTTGGGAAATGACTGCAATGTGAACGTCATGGGACAAACATACCTCTAAGCTGCATCTCATACTTGCTCCCACTGTCAATGATTTCTTTATGGGCCACCACCGCGTGCAGCGGCGGGCTGTATCCTATACAGCCCAGCGTGGCCAAGATCTGCGGCACGCGGTAGTCGGCAAACATGGTGATCTTGTCGATGTCCCGGAACTCCCCGTAGCCCTCGCCGTTGAAACATGCCCATAGATCTGCCACGAGGATCTGGGCTCGTTTGAGGAAACGGATCGGTTTGCGCCGCCCTTCGTATTTGAACTCATCCTGGAAGGCGGTGAAGTCCCGCGCGAGCAGGTTCACCAGCCCCGCGGCGGACTTGTCGGCGGCTTCTATGCACTTGGTGAAGCTGCAGTTGTATTTCTGCAGGGTGCCGCGTGGGCCTTGTGGTTGGCGGATGCGTTCATGGAGCGTCCGGTGCGGTGATTCCCCTTTGAGTTTCGACTTACTTCGTATAGGACCCGTCCAGCCTCCCTCAGACACGCGAGTCGGGACTCCAGCAGCGGTATCTCCTCCTCGGTACACGACCGGAAGACGTATCGCAGGGACTCCAGGTTGCACTCTTCCTCGTTTTGCCAGTAGTGGGGATCGGTGATGGGGATATCTTGAGCGAGTTTCCTAATTAACCACAACCATCTTCATCGATGTGAGAAATCTGAAGTAGATGGGGATAAGGTGTGGTAGTCTCGGTGGTGCGGGATGGTTCACCAACCTTCTTCCAGTGCCCGTTGCAGTGAAGCCACCAGGCTCCAGTAGCCGGTCCAGGTCTTGTCTCGGTAGGAGACGGCGAAGCGTTCGCCTTCGGGGCGCATCGACCAGAATGAGAAGTTTAGAAGGTCCATGGTGAAGATGAAGGCTACTGTCGACTCGTCTTTGGCTTTTGGATGCAGCTCGTGCTCCGACCAGCTCTCGGTGGAGAACTGCTTCTGCTGCATCTGGTTGTAGATGATGGCTGCTGCGTTCTTGGTCGCTCTCATGTCCAGTGCCACGTCGATCGCGTTGTCGTAGACATGCTCGGCCCCTTCCAGAACGCCAGTCTCGGGCTCTTCATTCAGATTCAGCTTCCCCTGGAAATGCTGTCTGAGCAGAGCAAGGAGCTCCGGGTCTGCTTCGTCATCAGACATGGCAGAGACTCGGGTTGAGTTCTGATTCTTTGATGATCTCAGAGTTGTCCGGCGGATAATCGTCCACAGCTCCCTTAGCTTAGCTCAACTCGAGAGTTCGGCTTCCGATTTTGCGATGAGATTCAAGGGGTCAAGCCAAAAAGCCGCCCACCTGTCCGTAAAGTGAACAAACAAGTCAGGTATGGAAATGAAGCGTATTATATTGAAGTGAACATGCCAATCACAGGTCAATGGTATGATGATATATCGTGTCAATCGTGCCAATCGTGTCAAGAATGCCTCCTCGCTGCTTGCTTCGAGGCCGGGATTTGCGACTTGACACTTGAGTTGCTCCCCACCGCCACTGCCACGGCCAGGAGTCCAGCACAGGCCACCCAATGATGTCTCGTTTGCAAAGCTGCCAACCAATGGCGTCGCATGCCGAAAGCCCCCTGTCCATAGGCCCACTAAATTTCCAGGGCGAAACGGGCAGCTAGCCGCTTCCTCGTGCCCGCCCCGTGTAGCAGTACTGTGCACTGTGCAGCGCCCTGTACGTGCCTGTGCACAGTGACCTCAACGGCCCGGCAATGTCACCAAGTCATCATCCGTCACTTCAGGTCGTCTCCAGTTCCACCCGCCGACGGAGCTGCGATCCTCCTCAGGGCTGACTTGACGGCGTCGTTACCAGCTACCTCTCCCAGCTGCCACCCCACAACCTTCTTTTCTTCGCACTTCAGGTTTCCTCCGCGAACTTCTAGGTTTCCTTTGACCTCGGTATTAATCTAATCTTGAAAAGAAGCCCGAGTCCCTCCGTTTCTTCTTCCTCACCCTCTACGCGCACGCGCATCGTACATGCATCCACGAACCGCCCGCCCGTGACAACACCCGGACAATTGTTGGCCATGGCATTGGATCGCGATAGCTTCAACCGCCAGTCACTTGGCCCTTCGCTCAATGCGAATGTCAAGGAGGTAAGTCGTGCTACTTCATGCGCCCTCGTTTGTATTGCGCATGAAGCTGCAGCCTCAAACCGCTGAAGGTCCAACCTTTGCGATCCTCCGCCTTTACTTTGCACGCGCATCCAGCTGCCACTTCGCCCTTCCACGTCCTTCTTACCAGATATGCGCCATAACCTTTCAAGTACCATAACATCGAAATGGAGTTGCGTCATGTCGACGAGCTTAGGTTCATACTGACCCGTGTTTTGCAGGCGCGCGTCTTGATGGTTGGTGCCGGTGGTATTGGATGCGAACTACTCAAGAACCTCGTCCTCACCGGCTTTGGTGAAGTTCATATCGTCGACCTCGATACCATCGACCTTAGCAATCTGAACCGCCAATTCCTCTTCCGACACGAACATATCAAGAAATCGAAAGCTCTGGTACGGCGCGATCGATCCACCATCGACCATCAATACACCTAGGGCAGAATACTGATCGCACGGCAGGTTGCGAAAGAGGCAGCGCACCGGTTCAACCCTAACGTAACTATCGTTGCGCACCACGCGAATATCAAGGATGCGCGATTCAACGTCGAGTGGTTTCGGGGATTCAAGCTTGTATTCAATGCCTTGGATAACCTGGAGGCCAGACGTCACGTTAACCGAATGTGCCTGGCAGCCGATGTTCCCTTGATCGAGAGTGGGACGACAGGCTTCAATGGTCAGGTTCAGGTCATCAAGAAGGGTGTAACGGCTTGCTACGACTGCACAGCCAAGGAAGCACCGAAATCTTTCCCCGTTTGCACGATCCGAAGCACCCCCAGCCAGCCGATTCATTGCATCGTTTGGGGCAAGAGTTATCTTCTGAACGAGATTTTCGGTACCAGCGAAGACCAATCCGTTTTCGATCATTCCGCAGACAGGGACAATGCGGAGGAAATAGCGGAACTGCAAAAGGAGTCCGAGGCGCTGAGAAAAATTCGAGCGTCAGCCGGCACAGAGCAGTTCTCCCAAATGCTGTTTGACAAGGTCTTCAACGCAGACGTCACGCGATTGCTCTCAATGAAGGAGATGTGGAAGCACAGAAAGCCTCCTCAGCCTTTGAAATACGAGGATCTTCTGGCTCAGTCATTAGTAGCTGCTGCCGCGAAGGACGCCGTCGTCGGGGATGACCAGAAGGTCTGGTCTTTGGAAGAAAACTTGGTCGTTTTTAATGACAGCCTAGATCGTCTCAGCAAGCGTGTGTTGGAGCTAAGGAAGCAGCATGGCGCAAACTCACCGCAGTCCACGATTACGTTCGACAAAGACGACCAAGATACGCTGGATTTCGTCACCGCGAGTGCCAACATTCGATCCCATCTTTTTGGCATTGATCGCAAGTCGCGCTTTGATATCAAGCAGATGGCTGGCAACATCATTCCCGCCATAGCTACTACCAACGCTATCGTGGCTGGTCTGTGTGTCCTCGAGGCCTTCAAAGTCCTTAGAGGGGAGTTTGATAAGGCACAAGAGGTAAGAGATGAGAGAGACGGTGCCTGGGCAAATGCTGACTGTACAGGTTTACTTGACTCCGTTCGCGAACCAGAGACTATTGGCACCAGATCGACCTTGTGCACCCAATCCTGACTGCCCGGTGTGTGGCAACTACCAGAGCAGCATCTATGTTGACCTTGAACGGGCAACCCTCAACGACTTCGTGGAGGACTTTGTCCGGTTACAATTGGGCTACGGCGACCGAGAATTCGCAGTGAACAGCGAGGCCGGTCTGCTTTACGACCCTGGCGAGACCGACAATTTGGAGAAGAAACTCAGTGAACTTGGTATGGGTTTTGTGCTGACGGCTGCTTGAATATATATCTAATGGTATACAGGTGTCATACAAGACAGCTTCGTCACCATCGTCGATGAGGAAGATGAGGACACGTTCGTCAACGTGGTTCTGAACGTCCAGGGGTATGCTCTCTTCTACCCACCTAGCCGCCTTGATCCCCTAGTACTGATCTGTGGTGTAGTCAGCAGTCTCCCGCAGACAAGCCTATCAAGGGTATTGGGCCGGACAAGGCGCCTAGCATCCCTCGCAAGCCCAAAAAGGAGCCTGTCCTGGAAAGTAACGGAGTCGTCCAGACTAATGGCAAGCGCGTCGCTGATGCTGAAACTCCTGCAACCAATATGAAGCGACCCAGAGCAGGCGATTCCGGCGAACCGCAGGCCAAAAAGGCCAAGACGGTTACAGCCGCCAACGACGATGATGTTCTCATCGTAGAAGATGATGCTGGAACCGGGGCCATTATTATCGACGATGATTAGTTTCGGGGCCCGGAACCAAGTGGCTTTGTGCGTGTCGCGGATGATTCCCTATCTGGATCACGTTGCGCTTAAGCCGCCATCTATATTGAGCACACAGTTGTGTGCATATGAATTCGTGGCGAGGAAGACGGCAGCCTGCGCGACTTCTTCAGCCAAACCCAGACGGCCCAAAGGAATAAGAGCAGAAAGCTCGCCCTTGTCGTCGGTGCCTACCAGGTGTGTATATTAGTAAGATTGTACTGTACGGGGAGGCAGACTTGGGTTGGGAACTGGCTGGGGGGCCATGGAGCAATATGGCCGGAGTTGACTGGTGCACACCTCGTGTCATATCGGTCTGGATATATCCGGGAAGCAGGACGTTTGCCCGGATGCCAAATCTTCCCACTTCCCATGCGAGAGATCGGGTTAGACCTAGACGGGGCAGATTAGATACCCCTGCGATCTGGATCGAGTTTTGCAGATGCTTCATACCAACAATACCCGCTTTTGTGGCGGCATATACCGATGCGCCTCGCCCCCCGTGCGTTGCCAGGAGGCTTGACACGTTGACTATGCATCCTAAAGTGACTTGTGAGCAGGAGGTTATGCGGAAGCTGGAGCAAGTGCGCCAACACACCACTTTTCTGCTTCATCATCTTAGGGATGACGGTCTGGCAACCCCAGATTGCGCCCTTTAGGTTGGTGTCTATGAGCTTTTCGACGTCCTGCCTCCTCGTCTTGAACAGGAACGAGTTCTGGGAGATGCCAGCAGCGTTCACCAGCACGTCGATTCTTCCCTACAATTTAGCAACCCGTCGCATCAGCCAACCATATTATCTCATCTACCTAGCTCGGACGACTGTGCTCAAACAGAGCCAGCCATTCGACCGAATATTCACCAATCAAGCACGCGTAATTTAATGGAACTTGTCGTGCGGACAAACTTACGCTCTTCACAACGTCGCGCACAAATTCCTCCCAGCGCTCGCCCGAGGCCACGTCAAAAGCATGCGTCTTGTGTCCCTGAGCCGCCGCCGACTCTGTTCCGTGCGGTAGGGGTAGGGGCAGCGACTTGGCCGCGGCGCTCAGCCGGGCGGTATCGCGCCCGATCAGCGTGCAGGATGCGCCCGCCGACGCGAAGAGCTGCGCTATGGCGAGGCCGATGCCCCGGCTGCCGCCGGTGATTATGCAATGCTTGTTGGCGAGGGAGAACATTGCTTTCGCTTCTTTTGGGTGCGTGGGGGTGGTGTGGTGTGCGCTGGATTGAGAGACTAGTGATAGAGACTGGATGACTTGATGACTTGATTGGGTTTGTAATATCGAAAAGATTGGCGGCCAATTGCAGACTGCCTATCTCAGTGCCGCTCCCAAAATATTATGATAGTGGTGAGCCGTTTACGTGTAGGGACGCGTTTCTAGGTTATCGATGAGGTCAGCGACGGTGTCCGCGGACCCCCTATCCGCAGGCTGCCAGGGCTGCTGTCTGGAAGTGAGGCTGGGGCTAGCGGGTGGCTTGGCGGCCTCTTGTTTGGAGTTTGAAGTTTGGACGGAGGACCCTTGGGGCATCGGGGACGGGGCCCAGTGGGACCGCGGCAGTCCTAGCGAGGAGGGGAATTTCCCATTTCCCATTTCCCATTTCCCATTTCCCATTTCCCATAGGTTTGCGGGATGCGAGCTGCATCCAAATTCGGCAACCTGACGACGACAACTGACAACCGACAATCGCAGTTCAATCCAGTCCAATCGATCCCAAACCTGCCGAAATTGTGTACGAACAACCTCTGCATTGTGCCACGGCGAAGGATTCCGCCCTTATCTTGTTTCTTGAGGAGCAGAACGTGGCGGCGCAAATTGCCTCGACCAACAGATACGCGAACCTGCGAACCTAGAACTCCCTCTCCCAACCCAGTGGTCATAACATCAGCCACCTGGGACGGAGGACGGAGACGGTGCACCAAGCGTCAAGGAACTTACACGAGTCACGTACTTATAAGCGACCGAATTCTGCAAGCAGCCACGATTCGATGCGCCGCTTGCCTGACCATCCACTACCTCCCCCTCGACGAAGCTCTCTCCGTTGATGCTACCAGCGCGGCACACGAGAATACCGGTAGACCCTCGAGCCCGATGACTACGACCGAGTTTCCCCCGTTCGTCAACGGCGCCAGCTCTGGCGCCGACCTGGTGAACAATGCCGTTACCAATGCCAGCGCCAAGTCCAAGGCCATTACGGTCGACACCGCGTTTGTCAATGGCGCTGAGAAGAAGCCTGTGATCGACGCCGGACTGAGGAGTCTTGATCATTGTACGTGCTACCTCCCGTAGCTTTTCTGCGACCACTACCTGTGAGGAGGGACCTCTCTCGGGCATCGATTCACACTGCTACTACACAGTCCATTGGCGATCTTGTCTCATGTGAGGTGCTGACTCAATCGTCGACAGACAAGCGCGCTCTCCCGAAATGGCGATACGACATGCGACAGCGCGCATTGCCCCTGGTCAGATGGGAGACACCCTACCTGGCATGGCTACAGGCCAAATTGCGCTTTCCGGCGCTCGATAGCTACTTTGCCATCACGGCGAACCTCGGCACGCATACATTCTTCATGATATTCTTGCCGATAATGTTCTGGTGCGGGAATGCTTCTTTCGGCAAAGGGTATGACTCGACCACAGAGCGCGCAAGAGTTGTCCCCGTCGGACGAGTGGCTGACTGATTATGCGGCAGACTCGTACACATCCTCGCCATTGGCGTCTTCCTTTCCGGCTTCATCAAGGACTTCTTCTCCTTGCCGCGGCCCCTATCCCCGCCATTGCACCGAATCACAATGTCCGGCTCGGTCGCCCTCGAATATGGCTTCCCCTCGACGCACTCGGCGAACGCTGTGTCCGTCGCTGTCTACGGGATTCTATGTCTGCGGTCGCCAGATAATGCCTTTCAGCCCAGCACGAAACTTGCGCTCGAAGCGCTGGCCTACTTCTATACTATCAGCATCATATTCGGCCGTCTGTACTGTGGCATGCACGGCTTCGTAGATGTTATTTCAGGATCGATTTTGGGGGCCGTCATCTCTCTCATCGAATTCTACTATGGGTCGGCTTTGGAGCTGTACCTAGACGGCAGCGGCTGGACGGGTATCGTTGCTATCGTGCTGCTAATCATTGTTCTGGTGAGGGTGCACCCCGAGCCTGCGGATGACTGCCCCTGTTTCGATGACAGTGTCGCCTTTGCTGGGGTCATGATTGGTCTAGAGCTTGGAACCTGGCATTTCGGACGTTCGACTTTCTCGGCTATTCCCTTCGATCTCCATGCGCTGGGATGGGCGGCTGTCGTTCTGCGGATTTTATTCGGTGTTTTCATGATCTTCGTCTGGCGTGAGTTGGCCAAGCCGTCGCTGCTTGAAGGGCTGCCGCACTTGTTCCGCCTCATCGAAACATGGGGCCTCGACTTGCCGCGGCGTTTCTTCATGCCCGCATCCGAGTACAAGAACATCCCGCCGAGATTAAAAGTCGACAATGTGATGCCCAGCATGAGTGACCTGCCGGGGCTGATCACAGCCGTCCGCCACCCTGGACGCGGTAGGTCCGTGTCCATCGGCCCGCAGAGCGCGGCAGACGCGTACGAGACGCTCGCATACCGCGAGCGGCGGCGCAAGGAGAGCATTGGCGACAATGGTAACAAGAACAGCATTCAGGAGCTCGCCGGCCCGGACCAGTCGGGCTGCAGTTCGGCCGTCAGCCCGGCGCAGGGGAGACCCAGCGACTACGAGAAGATGATGGGCGAGGGCACGGTCTTCGTCTCCCCCGTCAACTCGAAGGGTGACGACGGCGAGCCGGAGATGTACATCGGCAGCCAGGATGAGCTCGGTGAGAAGGAGGTGTTTTCTAAACTGACCAAGCCTCGCGTCCGTTATGATGTCGAGGTCGTGGCTAAGTTGGTCGTTTATGCTGGTATGTTTTCTTGCCTCTCCTCGCCTGCCCGGACTCGCACCAGCTATCGACTTGTTTACTAACTCGCCATTGTAGGCATCGGATGGATAGCTGTAGAAGGCGTACCCATTCTATTCGAGTTCATTCCTGGCCTTGGCGCCGGCCATCTCCAGCTGAGATGAGACAGGTCCCACGGGCGACATGCACATGGGTCTCGGAGATGAGGGCTTGTATACAATAATCGATCTCATGACAGCCCTTCCGCATGGTGTTGGTGGTGTCGTCACTTCTGTCAATCGTATCTCTCTTCCTCTTCCCACCAAGGGAACTGGAAGCGACCTTCTTGTATATAGGTATAGTGATTGATATTTTCTCTTCTGTTCTGTTCTTCTCTTCGTGTCTATATATTGCCATAGGACGAATAGCTTCCACTTCACTCGACTCCCTTGTTGGTTTTATATGGATGTCTCTTAGGTGGGAATTACTTGGTCGCTTTGATCATCGCCTCGGTCTGTCGTTCGCTCTTCCTGCCCGGCGAGTGCAGTACTATACTGTAAACTATCTTTTGCGTAAAGACTGACGAATTGCTCGGATAACCTAGGAAATTTGTTGGACACCTAATGCGAGCAAGAGCAGCCCTAACGTCGTGGCACCATAGAAGGCCGGTAACATGTACTCTAGGCCCTGGGCACGATCTACATTGGTAGATAACTGGCAGAGGTAGATAAACGTCACAAAAGTCGCTCCGAGGGCGGCAACCATGGGTACGTGGATGACGGGATGCTTCCATTTGGCCTCGATCAGAGAGCACAGGAGCATTAAGACCTGGACGTTCGCCCCTTAGGCAACGACGGACCAAACCATCAAGACCTGTGCCCGGTTGAACGTATTGGCCGCCTCGAAAGTATATCTGTCTGGGTCGCGCTGCAGTTTGGGAGCCAACAGGGATACGGTCAGGTATACCAACTGGGCATGGCACATGACGACCGCCCAGGACGTCCAGGCGCTGTCGCTGTAGTACTCCTGAAGGAGTTCGGGTTCAATGATGCAAGCTGCGTTTGTCCGGGCCGTCACGGATTGGAGGGCGTCGAAGGGGGTAGAGAGCCTCGGATCAGCAGAGTGTCTAGTGGCGGCAAATAACGGATTTCCTCCGATTCAAATGTCAGTGCTAGTCTTGTTTCGCTAGTATAGACTAACGCACCACCTTCCAGTGTCGCAACGTTGCCAGTGGGTCTTTCGTCTCCTTGAGATGAAAGAACAGACTCTAGGAAGTGTTCAAACAGGCCAATAAGGGGACTGGCTAGGAGTATAGCAGGAAGGACCTGGCCAAATGACCAAGAACTCCTTCCAAATGTAGTTGGAATCAGTGTTAGCAAGTTTAGAATCTTTAGAGTCCCCTAAGCTGATGGCACCACGAGCCAATAGATCTCGTAGAGAGTCAGCGCAAATTGCTCAAATTTTTAGATACGGTTTTTTCTTACATTTGATGCCATGGAGGTAACGATATCTATCCAGATGCATACGACAATATGACTAGCCACAATCATGTTAGAGACTAGGCGGCTGTCAAGCTTCCTCGTACCCATTTTTTCTCTGGAGGAAAGAAGCGCTAGCCAGGAGTTTCTGTACTATGAAGCGAGGGAGGGAGTCGAGTCTGAGGCGAAGGAAGTTTTCGTGGAGTTGAAAGAGTCGTGCGATGAATCCCAGGGCCAGGAGAAGAACAGATATTAGCATAGACTTGGTTCCATTGGGAGATTTGGGCCCAGCAGTGGTGTTGAAGTAATCGCTAACATTGGCGACTGGGGAAACATCCATTGGGGGGGATATTTCGCAAAGGTATCGGAACTCCTCATCGTCCCCATCAATCAGCAAATATATCAATGAATCCCAGTCGAAGTAGCGCGTCGGTATCATTGCTGTATCAAGAAAGAGCAGGAGGGTAAACATAGCTGTCAGTCGCCAAATCCGTTGAGCAGGATGGTTTACGAGATAGTTTCGAAGGAACAGAAGTGCCGATAGGTGAGTCGCGCATGAGAACCACGATAGACAGACTAGCATTAGTGAAACGCTGAAAGCTGGGACCCGGAAAGGACGTATCCAGCGGTCAAGATTGCGAGGCCGGTGACTACCTGGATATCCGCCATGTTTAGGACGCACTTGCGCTGTGTTAGAACGCTCATGGGCGGCGGCAGCAGCAGCAGCTGGCAACAAGCCAAGAGTTCCCACACCTTGTTGAAAGCCTGTTCAAGAACGTGAGACACGGTGTTGTCTCAAGTCTGGCGACTTGATCCATGACACCTTTTTCAGAACCCTCAACACCAGCTGGTCGATTGGATTAGGGCGGGCGCAATGCTTGGCTTGATCGTGAGGGCACCGGAAGGGACCCAGTGATGGCTGGTATGATATTACATGGTAGATACAGACGACCAGTAACAGGATATAAGCAGGCGCGATGAAGCTAATTATGACCTGCGCCGTATCTCAGCCATGTCATTTGAGTTGTGCAGCGGTTAGATTCCATACCCCAATCCCGGCAATGTCTGGAATGGAAGGTATCGCGGAGTAGTTAAATTTCTCGATGATAGTACAGCCGGTCGTCGGATCAGTCATCCCGCCGACGGGGCAGGCCTAGAAAGACAGACGAGTGGACTTTTCGATCGACCCTATTGGCGTGGATTATGGATAAGGCAGGCAACTGGTGAGGGCGAGGAAGGATAAGATGGGAAGACAAGACATATTTGGACTTCGAATTATGTTCGCATGGATGCCGACAAGTGATGCTCAAGTTGGGGGCGGAAGCTACCTTGGAGAGGCATGTAGCCATCTGCAAATCAACAACTCGGCTGAAACGCATTCGACATAGCGACGACAGCTTGTGACGGCTTGACTGCGGTGTCCATCCATGCGCGCCTAAAGACCCCCTGGGAGCACGTAGTATTAACATGTGGCAATCTAGACTGAAACAATATCGGGGGTATTGCATGGCCCACGAGGCGTTTTTTGAGACAGCCTGGTTTTGCAACGCAGTAGCATCCAGTCGTATATCTCGTATTTAGATTTGTCTAAAAGAACCCAGTAAGAAGTGCCTGGGACGGTTACGTTAAAAAAGGTGAGACTGGCAATGTCGTACGGGCCAAAAGAACGTTGTGACTGGGGCGGCTTGGTTATGTTCGACCCTATTAATCAGACACGACTGCCTCGAAACATAGTCACGTCTGACATACGCTACATGGAGCGGCATGAGAACTGTTAGACTCGCCTCGGAGACGTAATATAGGGTCTCTCCGAACAAAAGCGAAGTTCACGCGACATAGTTAAGAATGAATGGAGGACGGACTTACGACCAGTGGATTAGGGATGATAGTGAAGTTTCAATGGAGGGTTTTCGATTTTATGTAGCGCAACATGTCTTCTAATGGGGTATGAATGGAAAGTAGCTGGTTCCAAGCATGCTCCATATGTCTATCAAACATCGACTCGCCGTATTCTCGCGGTGCTATCCTTTTCAACCCGAACCCCTTTCTCTATACGAAAGATAATTTCCACCTCCTAGCATAGAAAGCAGTAAACTAAGAGTACCGTAGGACCACCAAGATACTGACACTCATACACACCTCATCTAATCAGAACTAATGAATATATCCCTCGCTTCTTGAACGAGGGGTGTACGAAGACTCGTGGAGGTTTAGTGTAGCAAGACTAATATCTTTTTGTTCGGAGCATGTCATCATGTTTTTGACTGGCGCAGCTGGATGTCGCACGGTTTGCTCAGCGGATTCTTCGTGGTCTATCACATTAGAGGGTATAAGGCAATGGGGCGCCTTTGGCGGTTGGCATCCCTCGGAAAGGGGGAGTCGTTGAGGCACGGGTAAGAAGCCAACTCTACTCCACTACAAATATAATGTGACACATTCTCAGTATAAAACTGATGTCACTTCCCAGTGCCATTCTTTCCGATTACGTTAAGGGGTTTTCTTCGTCTCTGGAGCCCGAATCAACCCAACTTTCCGGATCTGGCTGTCTTTGTCCGGCGTGGACGTCGCTCTCACACAGCCACCGTGAAACGCTCATTCCCTCGTGGGACATTTAACGCAAGATAAAAATCGCGGAAAGCGCTTGGAAGTGATGGTGGCTCCGGCTTCGAAAACATATCGCCAGCTTGGGATAGTGCTGCCGTGCCGGACTTGAAGCCGAGGGTATCGACGCCGCCTTAGATTGATTGGTAGCTGTGCAGTGGTGATTGATGTTTTGTTAAGGATAGTATTGTAAGGTTATATAGCCCGCACTTCTGCTTTCTCGTCCTCAGTCGATATATACAAGCACTTTTTTAACTTATGGAGCCTTGAGTCCAAAACAGCGAGCTGATCAGAGGCACCGCTGTGCTCACCATTGGCAGAGAGTACTTCAACTAAATCAACTAAAATGGGTCACCAAACTGGGCGACACTTAGAGATGGCGGCGAGAGCCTGAAGTTCAAGATGGCACGAGTCCTGAAATGGAATGATATAAGTAGATATAAGATACGAGGTTGGTGTTCACACGTAAGGGCTTGGTATGAACCATACACCCTCTTGCTAGAACAAGGCGATCATCATGCGGTCAACTTGGTCCTACACTGAGCCTAACAGCCCTTGGCCCCGAAGGGACCATCAATGTTCTGTTTGGTTCCCCACGAGGCCACATGGATAGAGTACCAGCAACGTGATGTGCATTGATAGTCATCCGCTGTTAGAGTCTGCCTCACCACGCCACATGATCACTGCATGAGTTCGCTGAGTGGATGAGCCATGCTTAGATATCATCTACTACAAGTTAGGCCATCCTGTCAAGCATTGAAGTAGTAATTTGTATAAGCATCTGGCACAAGTAGTCATACTAGGGGCAATCGACTGGAATAACCGCTAAACCGCTGCTTATTCTACTGGTGAATTATTATTTTACTCGCGAGGCCAGCACTACATAAGTAGTGAGCAGGTGCTGGTTCCTTATTCTACACATCCTCGGGGACTTTGAGAAATCGACATCCACGTAGTATTCCAACTCAGGCTTTAATCTGCGCTGTTTGCTCTGTAGCATCCAATAGATAGCGCATTTACAGGCTCATGATCCTACGCGAGAAAAGCTCAAGGCAACTCTCACTTATCTACTCGGTTGACTGAAATCTGGGTTTCACATGATACGCTCAGCAGTAGCACCCGGTAATCTCATCTTGTTGGGCGACGTCAATACAGGATATACGTATTGACAATTGAGTCGTTTCCATCCCTGTAGATGTTGTGTCAAACAGCGTGTATTATGGTTTATTTGGTTGATAACGTGTGTTCTGGTGATTCTTATTAGAGTGTGTGTTTCTGAAGGATCTGCTGTCGTAAGCTGCACGGCCCGAAATTGCCCCAGAGGCCCTGTTGGTGCACTGCCACCTCCCTGAACGCCGCTCGCAGAATTTCTTTCCGTGTTGCTTGTCACCAAGCGAAGGTCAGAGTCAGAGCAACGCCTTCCCGGCTCGGCTCACTCAGGGGGTAGCCTCGAGATCAAAGAACTTGGCCCGGAGACCACTTCGACTCAAAACGTGGCCTTCCGAGGCCTTCAAGTGAAGTTATGGGTTTCTGCGTGTCGATACATCCTCCAAACACTGTCGACTTGGTCTACTACTAACTAGGCCAAGAGCTGGCCCCGTAGACTGACGGAAATCAACAGTCCCTGCAACCGAGAACTTCTAGCCCGTCACGACGGATGGACGTCGTGACTCGTCTTCCCTGAACGCTGGTGGGCTGGTTTCCTCAGGACCTTCTCTCTCCATTCCTCGCCTCGAGTGGTTATCGTCTTCCCTATACGATGGCAGGCTGATTTCGTCCGGATCTCTCCCCGATACCCGCTCCGGATGGTTGTCATCTTCCTCGTACGACGGCAAGCTGATCCCCTCCGGCGCTCCCTTCCTGCTCCGTCGCCATCTTTTATACGCTGGGTAGTATATAATTGCCAGCATGCAGCATGCGCCAAGGCCGATGCATGAGGCAAACACCATTAAGAAGATGTATCCGCCATACCAGGGGTCACCCTCGCTGGGTGGTAGGGCCGGCCTGGGGCATACATGCAGTGTGCAGTTTGCAGAGATGTAGTCCTGGATATACCTCGGCAGGCACCGCAGACAGGAGTCCACCCAATCATATCTACGGCAGGCGTTAGTATTGAGTCTTCGGCGCTCTTCGGCGCTTTCGGGTCATTGGGGGACTGACTCGTGGCAGAGGACCTTGTGCGTCATCAGACAGCATGCTTCGGGGGACATGCGGACTTCGCAGGTCGTGTTGGTGTAAGTTTCTGGGACCGGAAGGCTGTCGTTTGAAGAAGACATCGTGCAAGCGAAATGTGGGTTGCAGGGGTGATGATGAGTCCGGAAACGAGATAATCGGAGACGACGAGGTAGTTCAAGATCTTCTTTTGTATACCTTTACGGAGAGAGATCATGTAAAGAGGTGTCAGGCGAGGGTTTTTGTTCTTCCCCAGCCATACGCCTGTAAGGTTTCGTGGCGTTAGTAAGGCTCAAGGGTAATTAAGGGCAGACACATGGGGAGGAAACCATGAGCAAGATGATGGTAATTTCACAAGCCAGCCATTAGCGAGGCTATCTAGCGATCAGCCGATATGTGATCGGAGGTACTAGAGACTTGCGTAACTAACTGACTGGACGCGTGGCTGACAGTAGAAGCTGGCTAATATAAACCGTCTTGCGTCTATATATCATAGCCCCGAAAGGAGCTCGCACAGTCGTGTCGTGGACCGGCAGCAAAGCAGGCAAGGTCCCTTGGAAGGGCGGGTCTCCTGTGTAGCGTCACGAGAGTCTCTTCGGTATTTCTGCAGGAGCAGGCGAGAATAAGACAAGACCATGATTCAACTTTTATTATCAGGCGCTTCGACCGCGAGGGAAGAGCACTCCCATATGAAATAATACAAGACCAGCCCACACATGAGCAAATCCGCCTCCGACGAAGATAACAGCGCGAAATTATTTGCATCAGGTAAAGCCATTAAGTACCTGTGCCTATCCTACACCGCTCTCCACGAACCAGACACTCAGGCGCCACCGCATCCCTAGCCGATGAGCAGGCGGATATGAGTGATTAGTAAATAGGCAGTCAACTAGGCCTAAGTCAGAAATTCAGCCGAAGGGTGGCAGGCACACCACCTTCAGTCATAGGTATGCGAAAATGAAACGCAAAACGCTAACCGGTTCACCCGAAATCTCGAGTCAATAAGAGCAAACCCCTCGCTAGGGATATGGTAGCCGTCAAACATGTGGTATATCTCCCTTTCCTTATCCATTCCCGCCGCAAAACGCCGAATCCTCGTACGCCGTGTTGTGTTCCTACTTAGAACCGGCAATCTTGACTCCGCTGATTGACCATCCCGCGCCTCATATTTTGCGGCGTATTCCTTGTCAGCGTATCAATGGGTTGTGTATGTCTGCCATGGTTGCTACCCCCTCAATAGGGCCGGCTTGAGCGCGCTCTTCCGTGCTGGGGCGATTGGAGAAGGGTTGGCCCGCTCGCCTTAAGGAAGTTATCCCACAGAGAGTAGTCTAGTCGTCCGTCAAGTCAATGACTTCACGACCAGATTGAAGCCGTGATAGCTTCGCGGGCCGCAGGGGTGTGGCATCGTCCGTCAGATCAAACACCTCGCCGTACTCGCGTTTGATGAACGAGCTGCGGCCTGGTTCATTCTTGACCTTGTTCTTGGGGGTGGTAAGCAGGCTGGAGCGCAATGTCGGGATAGAAAGGGGTGCGGAAGGGGTATTAGAAATAGGGGGATGACATACGCGAAGCTGGTCTAGGCGCTCACGGGCCAATCTGTCGCGTTCTGCTGGTGACAGGGTCTCAAGTGTCGGGGACCTTGTCGGACTGCGAGGAATAATGATCTCGCGCTTCAGCGCCTCTGCATTGGCGCTGTCAGCATTCGCTTTCGCCTGTTTCTGCCATATCGGCGGTCGTCTCTCTTACCTCTGGACCGGTACAGAAATCTGAAGACGGCGATGGGGCCGGCATCTTCAACGAGGTCACGGGCGTCAATGAAGTTGGGGTGTGAGACTCTCTCGGCTGCCGTGTACCTGCGCGAGGTCAGTTCCCACCATGGCGATCAATGTTGTTAGACGGAGAAGTACGTACGAGGTCCCATGCGAGATGGCTTTTCCTTTCAGCGACTTCTCGGTCAGCTCGAAGCCGCCAGACTTCGGGTCATTCGTCGAGTAGTGTTGACTAGGCCCAAACTCGATGATGCGAGAGAAGCGGACCTCGATGACACCAAGGTCCTTGGCGATCTTGAGGTCACTTGCCACGCGCTCCTTCTGGGCTTCATCAACTGCGAAAGCGATTAGAGACCTTCGCCCTTTTGTCTCGGGTTCTTTCTCCCCAGGAGGAACATAATCAAACAGGCAGAGGAATGAGAGAAACGGGAGGAACGGGCTCGGAGATCATACCGGTATCGACAACGGCGAACTTGAACCGCCGCAAGCTCCAGAGCCCACTCAGATTCGAGTAGACCTCCTGACCCAAGACGTTGCGAACGGCGGGCACGTACTGCGTGTCGACAGCGCGCATGACCTCGCCGCGGATGCGCTTGCCGTCGACGTAAGTGCGCGCGACCAGCGAGTGGTTGCGGTAGCCCCACTCGTAGTCGGGATGGACCCGGATGTGCACATGAAACTCGGCGTCGTCGGCGCACTCGAGGTACTTGCAGACGGCAGGGGCGCTGTTGGCGGCGGCGCTCTCGATCTCCTGGCCGTGCGGGTCGTCGTGCTCTGGCAGGTCGGCGCCGGCGACGCGCACTGTGACCTCGAGGCCGGGGACGTCCTCAAGGATGGCCATTGTGAAGGAAGTGGGTGCTCTTTACCGTCCTCGGCGTATGCGCGGTTTGTGTTGTTTGCGCCCTTGAGAGTTGTGTTAGAGTTGTGTTTGCGTCAATGGCCGAGGCTGCAATGAATGCGGGCGCAGGAGTCCGGTCTGGTGCATGAGGCTTGAGTTCAGCTTGGCGAACGCCGAATGGGTACTTCTGCAGGATACCCCGATGACCGTGCGTGAGATAATGCGCAGTCCACGACGTCGGGACACAGGAGAGGCGAATGGGGTTTTATCGCCAGTTTGAGATCCCTAGGCAGTATCTAATCACGGTCCTCGATTGGGGGGAACTGCTGGAGGCTGTGAGGTGTGAGGTGCGAGGGGAAGGGCTGGGGAGTCGAGCGGACGGCCAGGGTTTGCGAGCCTCCTCTGGTGGTTGGTTATTCCCTTAGAGGCGGCGGTGGGCGACGCAGAACACCAGAAAGTTGACGCGAGGCAGCCAGGCAACCAGAGGACATGGACTCATGGAGAGCTGGACATGGAGCGGACCGGCGTTGTGTGATGTGTCGGTTGGCGGGTTGGCAGGTTGGCAACCCCTCCAGCTCTGCCCCAACTGCCAGACTGCCCCTCCAACCGAAGTTAAATAGTAAGCCACGGCCAATCAGCCCAATCAGCCCGTGGGCTTTCTAGCCACAGCGCAACTGGCCCACAGTACCTAAGGAGCATTCACTATCGTACACCCCATGTCCAGCTGCTGTTTGTGTATTTGAATCATTCTGTTTATTCTGGCGGTGGGGTGAGCTCATGTGAATGCTATCCAGAACATTACCTGTCGACTTGCCTTGGCCGACAGTGGCAGGGCTGAGAACTTCCAGACACGCAGCCTCCTCCAAGCCCAGCGACTGAGACGGTTTCTGGCTTTTCTGTTTCACTCCTGCTCCCTGCGACAACCCGAGGCAAACACGGTACACGACCCAGCACAGACCATCCAGCTCGATGGCTTCCAAACTTTGCTATCATCATCAACGTCGCTCGAGTAGCAAACCGTCCAAGTATACAGCCACCCACCAAAGCATAGTCAGGGGTGACTCTATTTCCCCATTGGTCTTGTCCCATAGTCAAAGACAGAGCTGTATAGCTGAGAGAGGTAGCGTGCGCTTTCGAAGGCTCTCATTTCACCCACAGGAAGCCTTACTTGACGTATTCGCTTAAGGTGTGGGGGGAGGCCCCAGGTGGTAAGAAGGCAACGTATGCCACAAAGGGGCCACAAGCCTGAGCCAGATATATGGTATACTGGCTTCCCAATGCCCCTAGTCGCATGCCCCTGCTCTCGTACATCAGAGCTAGCGGGCGACTTCAGATAGCCAGCGACTGGGTACGTGTGCCTGGCCATTCTCGAGATTCACGAAGCAATCAGATGCCTCCCGCTCGAGTGTTCCGGTTTATAGTTGGGGCACGATGCGCGGCATGAAGCTCAACCAGAAACGGGATTGGCATGGATCGTGACCTTGTCAATGACCACCTTCTCCTTGGGCCTGCTCTTCTTATCGACCTCGATGGCCTCGAGCTTCGCCAGCGTCCGCAGGCTGTCGTCCCCGAGCAGCTTGCCGAACACGGTGTTCAGGCCGTCGAGGTGGGGCGCCTTGTCGAACAGGATGAAGAACTGCGAGCCGTTGGTGCCGGGGCCCTTGTTGGCCATGGACACGATGCCGCGCGCGTTGTGCTTCAGCGTCGGGCGCACCTCGTCCTCGAAGGTGCCGCCCCAGATCGACTGGCCGCCCTTGGGGTTCTCGGGCGTCGGGTGCGCGGGCCCGCCCGTCTGCACCATGAAGCTGGGGATTAGGCGGTGGAAGGGCGACTCGTCGTAGTAGTTGGACGCGCATAGGGCGAGGAAGTTCTGCGAGGTGTGTGTCAGGTGTCTTTCTGTTGGAAGATGGGACGCGGGCGACGAACCTCGGCGGTCTTCGGCACGCTCTCGCAAAAGACCTCGATCTTCAGGTCGCCCTGGTTGGTGTGTAGAGTCACGGACATGGTATAGCGAAGCTGTGAGGGGACATAACAGGGAACACGACGGCGCGCAGTGATTACAAGACTAGGTCGCGTACGGCAAATCTATGCCATGAGGCCTTGCTATTGCAGCGCGGGACGAGATGGCGGGTAACTGGGTGAAAGTTAAAGTTGTCGTCGAAGAAAAGCTGGAGTAAACAAAGATTGTGGAGTCGGTACCTTACGCAGAGCGGCAGCCGATCAGCTTGCAAGACCCCGCTGCCACTGTAACCTTTAGGCAAGCTTCCCGAGGCGGGGTTCAAGCTTCATCTTCCTACTTGTATCTTATTGACCTGCTCTTCACGACTATGAGCTCGGATAATGTTTCGATATCCCACTTCAATACCTTCTCAAGCTGGCGGCAAAGTCGACAAGCTGTGTGGTATTTGAACCGCCGCAAGAGGCTGAGATGATGACAGCCGAACAGACAAGGGTAATAAACTGGCCTCGGTTCGGTGCTCAGCTCTGCCCTACGAGATTCACACATACAGGGTATGTCATCCTCCAGGAAAGTCATATTGATAGGTACATGTATCACCGTGAATGCCTCCAAACAGCCCATGCTCATCCGCATGTTCACCAATCAGTACGTTAGTCCCCAAGTATATCTCGGGCCGTGTTGGAGATTGACCGAATTAATTCCCTGTTTGGGTTTCCGGGCGTCTAGCTGGACCCTGCCGATATGTACCGGTATGGCTGCGGTCAGCGTGGCCCCCAGGTCGAGAACAAGTCCTAGACTATGAAGGTGAGAAGATCGGGGGAAGGATCAACAAACGCCGGCACACCTCCCTTCAGTGACAGTCTGCTAGGCTGTCCCCAGAATCCCAGATGTCGGTCCCCAAGCTCCACGTGTATTCAATGCGAGGATCTTCAAGTCGTGGAACAGAAGCCCAGAACATGAGCATGAAAAATGTTGAAAAGGCAAAGGGCAGGTTATTAGGTCCCTGTTCACCACGCCACATTCAAGAGTAAACGTGGTCAGCCCCTGGGGTTCGCAGCAGCAGGTTGGCACTTGTGACGAATCAGGTAAACTTAATGGCAGCTGTGAGAGGTGTCAGTTCGATCTGTAAGGGTCCCAAGTTTCTTTGTGCCACTGGAGACTTTGAACCTTTGTCGTCATGGATTGCGACTCACCTCAACGCGGCCGGCGCTCAACCAATACGCTTGACATGCTTGTAAGGTAACCTTGGAACGTAGAGGTCAAAGAAGCCCTCTCCGGAACATCAAAGTGCTTCAAGATGCAAGGTGGAAGAAAGAAATACATGCTCCGCTCAGGAAAGAGGGGAACGCTGAACAAGGCAATTCAACATTGGTAAAGAAGCGATTCCCATTGCAACCATCTTCTGGTTCCCTCTGCACAAATTGATTTGACAACAATATTGAACCTGACTGTCGGGTTTAGTAAGTGGGAGTACCATACTTTCTTCCCGTCGATCTAACAATTAAACATCCCGCTCGCTCATTCATCCTCACCCGAGATCCTACAGTGCATCTCCACCTCCACCTCCACCTCCGCCTACAATTTCAGCTGCTTACAGCTTCCGCCTGAACCTGGCTGCTCTTCGACAATTGATTCCTCCCGTTCATCAGCTGCAATCCTCCGACTCATTCTCGAACAGTGAAGCCAACTACCTTACAGAACACCTGCTTAATACGGTGGGGCATCGGTGAATCTCGCTGAATTCGGATCGCGGATCTATCCAGAAGCTCCCCATTGATTCGCCAACCAAACCCAGCCTTCCCTGTCAACAGTGTCAAGTATCACACGCCGACAACGCATCCTCACTATTAGTTGGGGCTGCTATCACAGTGGTCACCAACATACTATTCGCTGCAACTGAGGTCCAACAGCATCAGCACCAGCAACAACCCCGAGTCAGCAGCGCTCCGAGATTGGCCACCCTTCGTCTGCCTCTGCCTCTGCGTCTGCGGGCCAACAGTCAAGCTGGCGGCTGCGAGCCTGCAGGTGGTTATTGAAGAGACAGAACTGCAGCTTGGTGACAGCTGACTGTACGTTGACGAGATTCAGGTTCAGATAGTTGCACAGCTCTATCACTAACCTTAGCTTAAACCTTACATCAGCCCCTCCGTGGTTTTCCCCGTCAACCCAGACCAGGAAACAAATTGAACCCAGGAGCCTGGACCCGACTCGTGGAGCCAGCCTTGCAACTCTTACAACCTAGGTATTGCTGACAACCGACAATCGACAATCTCCTCTTCATCTGCAATATCCATCATCATCACCATCATCACCACCGCCGCCGCCACCACTACCGGCTCCGCGACACCAAAGAAGACCAAGACCTCCGCCCCTAGCTTGTGCTCTCAGTCCACCCTTGACGATAGACCTGCGACAACAGCAAAGTGCGGAATTGTACCGATTTATCGGCGGCGGGTCATTGTCACTGACCGAAGTCCTAGGACGTAATGGAATGACCTCGACCTTCACCTCTCGACTGTCCGACCATCGCACCCCGCCACCACGTGTCGGCGCAAAGCCGTCAACGACACGAAATCAATGCAGTCCGGCATAGCACTCCCATCACATCACTTGACGCCCTCATCGCGACACCTAGAAGGAAAACATGTCAGACCGAGTGGCTGCTTTCGTGCGGGTCTCAGGCCCGCCGAATAGCAGCTTTCTAGTTGGATACCCCGGCATATCGGCCACACTGGTGAGTTGCATCGTGCTTGCCCGCCTATGTTTGCGTCGTCGTCGCTGCTGCTGCTGCTTGTTGCCCGCCCGCCCGCGCTTCCATGCGGGGGGCCGAGCCTCTGAGTCCGGAGCCTCACGATGCTGCATAGACACCCCCAATTGCCCCAAAAGCAACGAAACTGACCAAATGTATGCAGCCGCGCATCGAGGGCAAAGTCGAGATAAGACCACAGCAAGGATACTCCGCCCCCGTCGCCATCTCCCTGGTCCGAATATGCCTGCAGCGAAGAGAAACAATCCACCCGACCGCGGAAAACATGGCCAAGCGACATCTAGGGACCCCTCGACGCGAAGCAACCGATGTTGTTGGCAAAGAGCTCCTCTTATATCGATGCGCATCCGGTCGGGAAGCCGAGAATGTTATGGCCATGGACCTACCATTCGTGCTGTTCATCCCATTCGGACGAGGCGGCGAGGAGACAAATCGGAGGATACCGCCGGCGTCATTGCAGCTTCCTAGTAGGACGGCAGAGACGTATTACGAGCTGGTAGTCACGGTGCAGCAAGGACAGAGCGTGCAGAACAAATATGCTTTCCCCGTCCCCCTGCAGAGATACGACACCCTGTCGACCTTTGGAATGTACAACCGGCCCGAGACCAAGATTGCGACCGCCGACAACATAGTGACGCTGGGCATTTCGCTACCGAGATGGAGCTACGGCCCTATGGACCCTATAACAGTATATATAAAGCTAGCGCCGAATCTCGACTGGATGGCCAAGGCGAGGAAGGTCACCATACAGAAAATCACACTTGCGATTGAGGAGGAGATCACCTATAACCCTGAAGGCGACGAGCCAACCAAGAAGATAAACAGGCTGCAGAAACACGTCCAAAGTGTCCAGAGCAAACTACCAGAAGCTGGCTATGTGACAAACATGGGCGTCATATTCCCGCACAAAGATCTGCGCGATGCAAACGGAATCATTCGAAGAGGGCAGCCGGCGTTCCCCAATTACGAGGTCACATCCTTCACGACATCTTCGACACTTTACAAAATCGAGTTCTTCCTTAGTATAAAGGTACTTCTTCTCACATGTTCTACGCGACTACCATGCTTTTCTCACTGCGGATGATTGCTGACATTGTTTCCCATAGGCCTCCATGACCAACGCGCGCGATATTACCCTCCGACAACCCATCGTTATCTGCCCCATAGACCACCAAGCCTGCAAAGAGGAGATGGATGCTATTGAGCAGTCGGCGAAAGACGCCTCATCGGTGGACCAGACCAACCCGATGTTGCCCGCTAGGAATATTGTGCTGGCCAATGACCCCAATGCCCTGGCAACATTAGGGCTATGTCTGGTAGGTGGGCAGAAGAAACCACTGATCGAATGAGGCACATCTATTTGGCAGGCTGCCAAAACGAGACATTTGCTCACATTAAGTACGTTCGCCGTTCCGGACGCACCAAGTTACCAGACGGCCAGTGGGGTCCCCATCGATCTATTCGGTTTTCTTTCGAGTCAAATATCAGCGGTCCAGACAGAAGCCCAGCAAGTTGGCGACGGATCAGCTCGGGCCCCTATGCGCATTCACGATCCGATACGAGCGCGAATTGAGGCAACCTTATGGGCAAACGTCATGACGTCCAAGACTGTCACTTCTGGAACTCAACAGCTCGAAGCACGAGCTCCAATGGGACGTCAAGGGAGCTGGTGATGGCTATGGTTCCTGGTTGCCAAAGCGAAGGGCTGCTCGGCAAGCAGGATACGACTGATGTTCGGTGGAAGGGACATAGCAACTTGTAGCTGGTGCTTTACCCAGGACGATACCCAACCATCTGCGGACGGACCATGATTTTAGGGATTGGAGTAATACAGGACTATGAAACATCGACCATCGAATGGAGATGGGTATGGCCATCCACATAAAGGGCTCGCGGCGTTATAAGGACGGAGGTCACTCCAGCAGGCACGACATGGGATGATATCAGTGCATTTGGATTTCGGGCGTTCAAGGGAAGGCTTTGACTTTGAGCGATCTCAGTTGCAACTGGAGGATCTACGGAGGCGCCTTGTCCTTTGACTGGGTCTCACTCAGTCCAAATTTCTGCTCCGAAGACGACACGACGCAATGCACTGGCTGGCGTATAGGAAGTGCACCTTCAGAGATACCTGTTGATCATTTCGTGGGCAAGGGACTACCGCGATTGCGCGCACCTGTATATATCCTGTACCTCTACGCTTTTCGGTCCTGTATGGGCTGGCGACATGATTGGAAAGATGATTTCATCAACATGATGCAAATGAGGTGACATTAATCAACAAAGCTGCGATCTACTGAACGTGATCCATAGATTTTCCAACGAAGATGTCGTCGCTTGCTGTTGGTCTGAACCAGATTCACCAAGTCGGCTAGGCCTACTACATAAGTTTCGAATCCACTTGCGCGTGATCCTTCGGGACATCTGGATGTGAAGAATTCGGAGACGAAAAAAAAAAAAAAAAAAAGGATTTGGGTAAATTTGCAACAGATACACACATACATGTATATATATCTTGGTATCGAAAAAGCAAAAGAATAAATTGAGAGCCGCAGGATTCGAACCTGCGCGGTTTCCCATTGCGGTTCTGGGGTAATTCTTTTGGAATTGACCTAAACACAACGCCTTAACCACTCGGCCAGACTCCCTTATCATGCAATGGATGAGGAGTTTTCCTTGTATAAGGTACTATATACAGAATGTGAGATAAAGAGGGCGAGGAGGGCCGGAAAGACTGCCGGTTGGCTTTGCTAAGTTTCCACTGGTTGGTGCGATGGATTTTAATTTTGGGGCTGAATTTTACATCGGACCGAGCAAAGTTGAGAGGGGGATCTGCAAGGCTGATTATGCAGGTGCAGGTGCCCGGTAGGGAGTGGGGCAGCGGGAAGAGTGTGCTAGCCTTGCTTGAAACTTTATATTTTGTCAAGTATTCATTCTGTTTGACTCATTGACGAACCCATATTCTCGTCGGCTTCATGCAGATATGCATCTCGACCTTGTTTACAATACGGACCTCCAGCTTACGGTCTTGTCGCAATAGTTGTCACTCGTTTGCGCGCGCATGTCAACACTTTCATCAGTCGATCGTTACATCGTCTCGCTGTTTCGGGAGTGCGACTGACACATCTCCATCTGCATACCTCCACATACCTCCCAGCTCGAAACTTGGAGGATACCACCGTTGAGTGACTGCCAGAATGGCTTTCGACGACGATGACCCCACGGCCATCGCGCCCGGTTTCACGAACACCAGCACCCCAAGCTCCTTCGAGGATGTCCCTACCGCCGCACCGATCACCGACGATGACGGCGCCGATGGCGAGGACGGCGACAAGATGCAGGACTTCCGCCACTTCGCCTCACTCCTCCCCAATAAGAATGGCGGCGGCGGCAGTTACAAGACCAAGCAGCAGGCCTCGGGCCGATCGATCCGCCGCGGCGAAAAGGACTTCGAGGCTCACGGCACGCGCGCGCAGGACGGCGTACTGGAGGACAGCCGCGGCGCCATGCACGAGGTGCTGAGCTACACGCGATACCATAAAAAAGACGTCCTGCGCGGGTGGTATTTCCCCGACCGGTGGACGGATATGCCTGCCGAGCCTGAGGACGGCGCTACGGAGAGCGGAGGGGAGATTTGTGAGGGAAAGGGAGAAGGAGAGGGGACGGGGCTGGCGCTGGGACTGTTTGCGAGGGAAAGGGTTGTGGTGCTCGATGCGGACAGGGGCAACTTCCTCACGACGATGGGGAGGGTCGTCACGGGCGTCGGGGCTGTGGCGGAGCGGAATCGCAATACGCCCGGCTGGCTTCGGACCTGGCTGCTGCCTGAGGAGGCGCTGTATCTGGTCGAGCGTGGGTCGCTGGACTTGTGGTGGCCGTCGCGCGGGATCGAGGAGGTGATGCCCGTTCCGGCTCAGAAGGAGGAGGGAAGAGAGGACAAGGGTGGTGATGATGTGGAAGAGAAGGAGCAGCTCGTGGACTACGACCTTGGGGTTCCGATCAGTCTGCAGGCGGCATACGCTCTGTTCATAGGGCAAGACGGCGAGAGGGGCAAGGTCAGCCTCGAGAAGTACCAGGTCTATGCGAATCTGCGGCGGACGGGATACAAGGTACTGCGCGCATCGGCACTATCGCCACTGCCTCCCATACCAGAATCGCAACCGCCACCCACCTCGCTGTGGCAATGGTTGTTCTCGCTGCTGCACAAGGACAACGACGAGCCCGCAGAGATCACCCCACCAGCGACACATCCCCGTCCATACGGGCCCCTCGTCCAACCAGGCTTCTACCGCTCCTACTGCCCCATCTTCACCCAACTCGCCCTCATCCCGCGCCACAAACCCGGCCCCGTCCTCCCCGACCTCTCCTCCCGCCAGCCGCCGCAGGAGCCCTTCAAGATCCACTACCACATCTGGAACAACAGCTCGGTCTTCACCAAGACGCGACCCTCGCCGCCCGACTTCCGCATCGCCGTCGTCGACGCCCGCGGCTCCGCCGTGCCCGACCTCGAGCAGATGGCCGGCATGCTCGAGTCCACACCCTGGGACCCGCCCGCTGTTGGATCCCAACAAGACCAGAAGAATCAGAACCCGACGAATGCGAATGTGGGGCTCATGTATCGAAGGCTGAAGCATGCGTGGCGTAATGCCGTCGTGGCCGTCGTGGACCGCGGGCTGATTAGCTATCTAAGGTTTGGCGAGATGGCGTTTGGGGAGGAGAGGCTGTATGAGCGGATTGGGGGCGGGAGGGGTGGGAAGGGGGGTAGGGGTGGGAGGGGAGGACGTGGGGGTAGGGGTGGTAGGGGGAGAAGGAGAGGGACGGGACGGGGAGGATGAGGGTTATCGATGTGATGATCCTGGACTTGGTGGTTCTGGATTTGATGATTCTGGATGCTGGTTATCGATCGATACATCGTGCCGTCCTCTGGTTGGCTCGAATCAGCCGTTTCGACCTTTCACCTTGGGATGGCCTGCGGGCAGTCCCAGGTCCGTCCCTTCGACGGGTGCTCAAGCACCCTTTGCCCCTTAGTCCTTGGAGCCCAGGCATTTGGCTTATGCGGACCCTCGTGGGAAATGGGCGTCAGCGGAAGTTGATGCGAGACGCGAGTGGTGCCGGTCGTCCCACCCAGATGAGAGCGTGCCTTGTTGAGTGCGCCAGGTGCGGAAGGGGGCTGGGTAGAGTCATCTAGGCCGATCCTAGTCCATGGCTAGTATCGCTCGCAGTGTGCTGCGTGGCTACCCTCTTATGTGCTATATATGTCGGGGGCTGTGTGTATATAGCATCATGTGTGCATATGTAGCTCCGAGATGTACAGGTCGTCGAGTTACTCAAAGTAAAATCCAGAACTGCTTGATCGGTTGGTCTTTTACGTGCCATATGTCTCCTGGTTGGGTAGAATAACGAGGATCGAGTTATTTTGTTTTGTGACCACTGGTCATTCCGGTATGGTGGGACCAGAGGTCCAGTAACAAGGAAGAAGAGTAAACAGTTCAAAAGGCCACACCCTCAAGCCTGAAACAGTAACCAGGAAGTTGCTGATACAGCCTTCAGCTTCAGCCTGGCTCACTGCCAGCCACCACTAGTCACGTAGTTAAGAAAGCTTCTCCCAACCCGCGCAGCTCCAACACAAGCGTGAACTCTAGTAGTGATAGGGTTCACGGCCTTGCGCCACGAGAAGTCACTCTGCTACCATGAGTCATTGAAGAAAATAATGATAATTACCTCGCGTGTGTTCTTTCCTGCAAGTCTAACAGGAGAGCAATGTTGTCATCAAGTCCCAATCAAAACCTAACGACTTCACTTGAGCCTTGAAGACAACTTCAAAACGGCTATGCTCTTGCTCTGGCTGTCACATATAGTGAAATATAATAGGTGGGTGTAGTATGGTGATCCCTGTCCCATAGGCTACCATATCAGGTACCTGTTAGTGGTATTCCTCCCTCAGAGTTCGTGGTTTAATAATGAGACTGAGCTTCTCAGTTTTTACAAGGAAACTGCTTCCAGAAAAGCCACTGGGCGTAGACAAGTACACGAGGTCTCAGCTCAGTGATGAGGATGTGAACTGGCCTAGGTGTTGTGTTGGGGTGCGGCACCCACCGAGCCTGTCTGACGTGTGGCAGCTGGAAAGAAACACTGGGAACTCCAGACATCACGAGAAATGTCGGTGGTGGCCAGTGGTCTATCCCTGCTATTCTGCTATTCTGCTGCTCGACGCATCTACACGACAGGGCCGGGCTTCGTAAGTAGCTTTGGTGATTCTTTCCTGATCTGGATGGACTAAATCTGGGGCGTGCTTCTTTTGCTAGATTCCAAACGTCCCTTACGCCGTTGAAGCCTGACGAGACCTTGGAGGAAGATACGGCGCACATTCGCACCGGCGGCCTGGGCGTCTTGGCTCGTCGATAGTCCTCCCCGTGCGGAAGGTTTCATGTTGGCCAATACAGCTTTTGCCACAATATAGGGAGTTCAACATGGAATTATCTGCTTGTGGTTTCAATGTTGGTAGCGGATGGGTTTCCCGAAGAGAAAACCACCTCGCAGGTAGGACGTGCGCTTTGCCGCCATGCATTAATCATGTAGGCCGTCTTGTTCGACTACTCCAACATATCGTAGTGATTTACTACTTCGCACTTCGAGTCCTGGTATGCCTTTGATTGATATATGCGTTGCAGCCATGAAGCACCTCCGCAGGCGCCTTTCCTAGGACACGAGACCCGTGCTGCTGGCTTTCCCATGATGGACATCTTGCGAAGAAACCCATGGGACCCTTTCTGCCGCGATCCAGCCCCATGCGCCACTTCATGCGAGTCATTTACTATACGCAACTATCAGGAGATACCGTTTCCCATAAACGTTTCGTGATAAGACCACATCATTCTATACGGAGCGCCACTCAGTAGTGTATATAAAGTAAGTTACTGTTACTGAGAACCGACTATCCACTAGGTAGTTACTTTAAGTGAGGCAACGCCTTATGCGGTGTTGCGTTCTGGAGAAACTCCTGCTCAAGGGTCTTCCTGTTGATCCAAGCAGTGCTGTCGTTCTTTGCTGTCAGAAGTAAGCTGTTCGGCACTGGTACGGTATGATATTATTAAGCTTTTTGACCGCAAGGATAGAGCCAAACCCAGACGCCCTAAACAGTAAACTACTACGAAAAGCAAAGCCCCCGTGCTGTACGCAAAGCCTAACATGATAAAACGCCACAAATCATCATCTCCATCCACAAAAACCTTAAACCATGGCACTCTATTGGTATTGCTTTCCTCAAATTCCCGGAGCGAGGAGCGCAAGCTGCCCTCGTTGGAGGCTCTTGAGCATGATAAACAAGCAGACGACCTTGGAGGCCCAGATTACAGTACGAGGAAGATGATGATTTGAAGCTTGTTATTAGTAATCACGAGCTTCGTGCTTTCTTGGGTGTGGTATTAAACACATTTCCAGCGAGCACGTCCTCCCGGTGTAGCCGAGAGAGTTACATGATGCATTCCGGATGACCTGCACACGTCTTGAGAGCGAAGAGGGAATGTTCCTCAAAACGACTCTTTCTAGGACTGTAAGCACAACGTACGGCGAAGCGGCCAACACAGCCTCAGCCACCGCCCAGAACCTTTCGCTTACTGTTGTTAGCTGAGCCAGCCTTTGTCACTGGTCAAATCCAATATGTGGCATTCCAATCTACCTTACCGCCAATGCTCGGTGGACCAAGTCCCCCCCGGAGTGTCGCACATCTGGAGTTCCACAGCATAGATTACGGTGAAGATCAAATGAAAGTAACAAGATGCGATAGCGCGTTGCAGGCTCGTGGAATGTGGTACCACATCAGACGCAAGCGATGTCGGCAGAGCAGCAAGCCCAGGACAGAGGCCCAACGTTGCACGGAGGGCCCCCTTGTGTTACTCGTTTGCTGGTCAGGAGCGTCTGGAGATGATCGCGCCCAATACCGGAGACGAAGTTTGATTGAGCTCTTGGGGTTTCTCTGAATCATGGCCCAGATCTGGGATCGGGATTGCGATCGGAGTCTCGTCAAACAAGTTGGGATTGGCACTTATAGGATGTTGGGTTACTGAAGTTTGATTGAGGTATTTACACTGTTAATTCATTTAGAGTTCTGGCTTGAGGGACGGCGTCTCTTCAAATGAACAGGCACAAAACCCTGTTGAGCTGTTTCTGTCTTGGGACAGCCGAGGTCATGATGTGATGACTCATGAGTTTGTGCGAACTTAGAGACGAGACGCTTCGCTGACCGATGATGTGACAACCTGAAATAAGCACATGATGTGTGATTGATTGATTGATTGATTGAACGATTGCCTGCAGTTGGAGTCGATATCGGGTGGCGGGGGCATTCCTTCTGCTAAGGTACTTCCTACTCCTGAATGAGGTCCAAGTTTGCAGGGGTTACTCGTACAGGAACTTATCATGTGGAACTTGGCAGACGGGAGAATGGACACATGTTTGCCAACACCGACCGGCCCCCGATCCTACATCGGTCTTTGTCCATTCCGCCCTTTAAGTTCTTCCATCCAACATCATGAACAGAGGGCCCGACATGCCAAACATACCATGGCGGCCCGCGACAAATGGGATCGAGTCCCGGCCCCTCCATTCCTAACCTGATGTTAAGGTAGTTGGTGTGAGAGTCGGAGAGTCGGAGAATCCTACTATACATGCCATTGACGCGACAGTGGACATGGAACAGTTTGCACTTTTGGCTATGGCGCGCGCATTGGGTTGGATTGGTGAATGATGCCATCGGTCAGAGTCAGTCAGATATGCAGGGTTACCTTCACCATCCACTTGTCATCTCTCAGCTGACGTTGCGGCGTTGCGCCCCCTTCGCCGCCAATCCTTTCGGTGTCTGATAACTTTAGACAATACTCAAAACGGAAGTAAATCCCAATCAGTGAGCAGTCAGCCAGCCCCCACCTATCAGGCTGATTCACGGAGAGACGGAGCAATGGTCCAGGGCTAAATAGATCCTCAGGGCTATATAAGGTATACAACATTGTACTAATATACCAGATGGTCTTTCAACTCTGCCGGGGATTCCTCGTCGTGTTGGCCCGTTCGCTATTCAGGGTCAGTCAGGGTGTTGCAGGAGTTTACCCCCTTGTCACATACCGACTCCATCAGTAGCTACTTTGGTACATGCCAGGCACCCACCGCCTATGTCATCTCAGAGCTAAATATGCGGCGAAGCAAACCAACAGGAGCACATCACTTGAACTGATAATTCAATTGACATTGGTTCATAGAGTATTGTTAGACTGGGAATGATGATTGTTGTAGCCTGGCGACAACCCAATCACCCCAATCACCCCAATCACCCCAATCACCCCGCATGTCGCACTCGGGGTACCTATGGTACGGCACCACCGCTCCGCTATCAACCTATGAAAACTTAAAACATGCCCCAAGGATTTAAACATGACAATAGCGCTATGTTGCTAAACTGTATGTCACCTCTAACATGAAGCATCTATAAATTGTAAACCTGCCCACGTGATAATAAGTCGCCGATGCATCCATGGTGCTTTCTCATGATAGGTAGTGGGCCACGGATCACGGACCACGGGTACCGGTAGTTGGCTTGCTCCGTGTCCACTGTCCACTGATCTGACCGGTCGCCTTCCATTCCTCCCAACTCCTTCAGATCGCAATGCTAGTTGACGCCCACGGACTGCCTTCATACCTACGTTGCCAGTGCGTCGGGTACAGCTCGTGAGTCGTCATTGCTACAACACGAACGGGGACACGCTGTTTCGTAAGACATGGGGCGAAATGCCCCATGCCCCGCTGCTTTGCGTTTGGAGGAGAACGGCGCAGCTGCGGCGCACAAAGGCACAGTTGATAAGGCCTCTAGACAGATATGAACTACCTAATAGCAGACTTGGGCAAAAGGTTAGTTGATACTTGATTCATCAACTAGATTATGACTCCCGAATAGAGAAAAAAGGCGCGTGATGGCGTCGCACCTACCCAGGTACTTAATTCGTATGTACACACCCCTAATAGGGTTCCACCTTAAGACCCAAAGCGGAACCACCAAGAGTCAAGGGTGGTCGGTAAACTGGAACTTCTGCCAATCAGGTCAACCCCTGGCGCCCCGACTGCCGACGGGTCTCTCCCTGAGAAGAAGTTCTGAAGTTGACCGGGTGCTTGAGTGGCCAGACTGCCAGACTCTGGAGAGCAATTACCTATTAGGTAGGCACAGCACCCACACCCCCTGTTTGGGTTTCCTCTCGTCACTGATCAGACTCTGTGGCGGCAAAGTTTCTTCTTATTAACTTCAGCCGGGTCGCCACCTCTTATGTCCTCACTTCGCAACCTTCTCTCTCTCTCTCTCTCTCTCTTGATTACATCTCGATATCCGCGACACGTCTAACGTCTTATAACTAGTTGACATCTACGACGCGTCATGGCTTTCAAAACTTTACCCCTCTCACTCGCACTTTCATAAGTTAAGAACATCAGCATCACAACCAGGTATGTTCCACAACTTCGTCCCCTCGGCCTCAAATTTTGCATACGGCCTTTTGAACCCATTTCCTTCGGTCGCCTCGTCTATCCGACCGTATAAACATGTCTCTGGTGTGGGTGGGCTCGCGGCTTCAGAATGGAAGTCCACCGTTGGCAGTGTGGTTCTTGTGCGTGCGGAGGTCCAAGCGCCAATTCCCTCCAGGCATCAGGATTCAGCTTCACTGCGTGTGTGTTGATGCCTGAGGTTGAGATTGTGCCTTTGGCCTCCGTCACGTCACGCCTTGTCTTGACTGCCTCTGGTGTTGAGAAACCCCCCCACTTTAACTTTAAGTCCGGGTCGTCTCGAGTCGCCTCCTGTTCAACTGAGGCTGCACCTGCATCCTATTCATTCAGCAAGCCATAGTTCTGTGCCCCTACTCTGGTACTTTGGACAATCACCTTGTGCCAATGAACGGTCACTCTTATTTTTGACGCATGATGCAACCATCCTCATCATCTTTCCTCACTCTACAACCCACCCGATTTGTCACAACACCCAACCCCGACCCCCACATCCCGAGTTATATTTCGGCCTTGCTGACTCTCTGTCATTCAGTCCCTTTTTCGCATAGTCCGTTAGCCTACAAGCAAACTTGAGAGTATTCACAGGCCAACACGCAACTTGACTGGACCGCACTTGCAGGCCGCATTTGCAGACCGCATATTCAATATCGGGTGAGTGCAAATCTGACACGTAGGTTCTGTACACAACTCATACAACTCATTCACAACCGACTACAACACACCGCACATCTACCATTAACCGGTTTGTTACTGACTTTGGGAAGGGCTTCGTCGCGTTGAAGGCTGGCGGGAGGAGACTGGCGCTGCAGGCAACTTGTTCTGCTTTCGCATACACTTGAGCAATGCTGCCCGTAAGTATCCACCTCTCACCTCAACCCCCCAACGACCTCTTCCCATTCCTCTCTCACTACCCGGTCACTCTTTTCGCGTCCCACCATCATTTCTTTCGATTGCACAATTGTATGCGTGCGCGAAAACATCCTCCTTACATACAGTGGCACGACGACTACTCCTACGTGGGGCTTCCTGTACACAAACACCTATCCCTTCTCCCCACCACCACCACCATACCACCACTTGACCACATCACCTGACACTAATTGCAAGCAGGCACCACTTCCAATCACCCTATCTTGTCTATTGGCATCTCTTCTACCACACTTCTTCAGTATCAGTGTGATCTTGCCCCTCTCGCCATCCCACTTGGCATACAGGCTCCGCGACATCTACATCACCACCCGATTACCATACAGTTGCTGCGCACCTCGCTTCAGCATCTGTACTTCACTTCAGCAAAGTGGATTCCCTCCCGGAAAACCAGACTGCTGGCTTGCAGAATTCTCCTGTTGACTCCATGAATTCTGGTCAGCTGACTGTGTTGCCGCCTGCGGACGGTGAGCACCACGAGGACCAGCCTCCCCTTGAAAAGTAAGTGGCGCATTGCACTTGGCGCCATTACATCCACTGGATCATACCTCATTCTCTACTTCCTTTCCATTCCCACCTTCGTCTGGTTTGTCTTCACTATGCGGCAACGGGCTCTTGCAATTTGGATGCCGCAACGTCACCGCCGACTTCTGCCCAACCCTGCATGTTCACATCTCCTACATCACCACGCTCAACTCCTCAGTGTTTCCATTGGTTAGGCCAACATATCTGCTTCCATCTCGTATCACTGCCTTTCATTCCATTGCCTCATTTATCACACATACGTTCTCATTGGGGAAGCCTGGTATGCTATTCACCTTAATCCACCTTACATTCACCCCCAATTCAGCAACTTCAACAAACAACAACCCTTGGATATCCTTCAACCTACACTTTACCACACGCGCACAAACACACTCACACCCTCCACCCTCCTCGACTTCAACCATGGAGGAACCCGGAAGACGCTACTTCCTCCGCCGGTAAGGTCGCAGGCACCAGCTCAGAGACTCCAATCCTACCCCATCATCACTGGAACACTATCGACTACCGGTTGCTGCATCAGGCTTTCGCAGTTCGGGTCTCATCCATTACCATGACCCTCACTTCACCAAGGCAGCACATCCCATGGTTGAATCACTTCTACCTTCTCGTACTCCCATCCTGTCATCCATTCGTGAGTGAGACAGCTCACACTTCTTCTCCGCGAGTCTCATGCTCGCTACTCGGCACAGTCCGTGTCGATGGCGCCCCAGAGCATAGTCGAGGCATCAACCTGCCACAGACACATTCCGTTTCTCGATGTATGCACGCCAGACTTCCCGCGTCCCATCACATCTCTAGTCCCTCAAACCTCCGCAAGTCTAGGATTGCATCTTGATCAGAAGTGCATCATGTGTCTACTGCCTGCGCCCGGACGCCTGTTTCTTTACTCTGCGCTTTCTTGACACACTGTCGTTTTTGGACGTACACTCACTAACAAAACACCCTAGTCGCCCCGAGAGCATTGTGCACAACCAGCCCGAAGATGACGATACGGCCAACGAGGCTGAACTCACCACTCCGCCCGACTCGAGTACAGATGCTAGTGTCAATGCAGACATGCCCGGTGATGAAATCGTCGTTGGTACTCATTCCAATGGTGATAAGCCCTCGCCCCTCCGTGTTGTGTCGGATGCGGAGCCGGAGCTTGAGGCTGAGGACGAAGATGATCGCCATGTTGTTGCCAAACAGCACAAGCGAAAGCGTGCATCTCACTTCGATGAGCTGAACGAGGCGAAGTTGGAGACGGATTCGGTGGTAAATCAGGAGGTGTCCCGCTCTCGAGGCGTAGTCCGGTACGGACTTTTGAACACCCCCCATCACGTCACCTTGGGCTACTGGCGTGATACGAACGCTCCGAGCGAGCAGGCAGCCCATGCGGTAATTGGCTTCATGGACATCCGAGATCGACTCCGTACTAGGATACAGGGCGTGACGCGCAGTAACGAGCCGATCAACACGAGGCTGTTCCCCATTCCCCCTGGTCCTGGTGGCAGTTGGGTCACCTTTGAACGCGTCGTCTTCGAGCCCCATCTTGTGGGTCTGGACCACAACGAAATCAAGGAATTTGTCAAGGTGCTCACCGAGGCCATTCTCGCGGGTGACGTCGTTATCAACGCACTATCCGATGCTGACGCTATCACTGAAGCTAAACGTCGACTTGCTGCCAATCCGCCGGCTGATTCGCCCCAAATGGCCCAAATAGCATGGGGGCCGGTGATCCCGGATAACGCTGTCGGCCGCCCTGAGGTAAAGCGTCGCCGCGTTACCAATGGAGTAACTACTATCGCCGATACAGCTCGCTCCCAGGCAGGCTCTCAGGCCATTCCTCCGTCTCCTGCGATGTCCCAAATGATGCTGCCGCCTCACCCGCAGTCCCAACCTCAAGCGGCGTTGCTCGGTACGAGACCGACCCGTATTCTCGTTGGGTGCTGGACGAGGTCAGCTGTAGAGAATGACAGAGACCGGCATGCAGTGTACGGCATACTCGGCGCCAATGACATGTTCCGAGTAAAGTTGGTGCGTGAGACCATGGACGGTAACTACATGGATGGCAACTTCCCAGTTGGAGCAGGTGCTCTCTGGATCAGCTACGACGAAGTCAAGTTTCTGCCTCACATTGAAGGCCTGAGTCGACCCGAGATGAAGGAGTACGTCCGAGTGCGCCAAAGCCAGCTTGATGCTGGCGAGACAGAGGCAGAACGAACGGCAAACGAGACCAAGGCGGTATACGAGGCCCAAATTCGTGCTGCTGTCATGCCCAAAGGTCCGAACGGTGGAAATGTGTCCTCCCGACACTCAATCGGCCTTGGTCTGGAGCGCGAAGATCACCACGAGGGACACAAGCAGGAGCTTAACAATGGTATCCATGAGTCGAGACATGGTCGCCGCGAGATGTTGCCACGCAACGTACACTCGGCACCTCAACATGGTATGGCCGAGCCCGATCTGCGACAGGTTTCCCGGCATCCTAGCATCGAGTCCATCGAGCGTGTGCAGGACCTTGCTGCCCGTGAAGTTGCCCGAATGGAAGCAGTCCAGATGCGCAATGAGCGTCACATCCAGAGCCGCGGTGTGATGCCTAATCCCAACATGATGGTCGACCCCATGGAACACCACCGAAATTTCCAGGAAAACCGCGACCGCATGCAGAGGGTTTGGGCCGCCCAGGAGCAGAACCGCATACAACAAGCTATTGTGGAGGATGCCAAGATGCATCAGGGTGTGAAGTACGAACGAAAACAGACTGGTCATTTCGCGGGCAAGCTTGTAAGCCAAGGCACCATCATCAGCATCGATGGGGAGGACTACGTCGAGTACCGCGTGCTCACGAAGCCGTCATTCTTCTAGTCCACCTTCTGATGACGTGGATGGTTTGGATGATTGCGGCCAAAGACGACCAACACGTCCTCAGGAGCAGCAGTGGATCGATGAGCTGATCTGATGGCGACTCTTTGAGATGGCGTTCATCCAACCTTGATTGCCTATATGAGGACGGTCCGTTTTTCAGTTGGGGTGTTTGGCATCGGATTGGTTTCGTCTACATATACCCCTTTCGACTCTCAACCCCTGATTCCAACGGCATCTAACGAGCTTTTCTTCAAGAGCATGACTCGGAAATGAGTTATCTATAGAAATCTCCTTGACGGAACGAGCAGTCGATTACGAATCACCTTTCAGACTCCGGCCTGCATTGCGACATACAACGAACAACGGAGACCGGAGCGCCTCAGGAGCTGTCGTGATGGCACATACCCACTGGCCATCCAACAATGTGTACGCATACAAAGCAATGACAAGACAGAGACACGCAATACTGAACTCGCTATAGCACAAAATTGTACGAGAAAAGATACGGCGGCAGCGGAAGGGCGATTGATCACGGGAGGTTATTCAATGGTTGATTGTCCTCTTGAGATGGTCCGTCTAGCTTGCCGGTAGAGAGGAAAAGGCGCATGTATAGTCTGGCACCCGGCCTAGATAGGGATAAATTTTTTTTTGCGGAAATGTCTTTCTTCTCGTGCTGTGATAGATGTGGTATGAACGGGGCCAAGTGGTCTACATGGCCCTGGGAGTTGAAATCGGTGGGTATTCAATGCAAGTCACGCGCGTCATGCTCCAAGCCAACAACCTGGACAGTGGAAGTTGGAGAAGCCGCCAAGAACTGCCAGACCCTTGCGAAGATGCCAGCCCCCAAAGTTGGTGTATCTCGTCAGCGGGATGTGGCAGTTTCACATTCGCCAGCTTCCGTCTATGGTGGTATCATGTGTGTCGTACTGGGCCCCCGCTACCCTCATTTTCATTTGCCGGCATGCATGCAACTATCCAGGCCTATCGCGAGCCACGGACAATGACCCTTTGGGGCCGCGCTCTCCAAGGGTGTGTTGTGGGTGTTTGTCTCCAAAAATCAGGTGTCAGGACTCAGCGGTATCAGCGGCGAGACCGATAATCAATAATCACGCGCTGCGCATTGAGATGCCGATGCGACGTAGCTTATCGGGTGCGGTCCGCACCCCTACACATCTGCACATCTGCACATCTACATATTGAAACTACATACATAATGCGTCATCCCCCCCCAGATCATAGATGCCCTTCAGTTGCCAGTGAATCAGTGATCAATGGCAGAGTAAGTGCAAGCCATTCACTGCAACGGAATACTAAAAACCCCCAAGTCGGAGGCATTGTTTCCAAGCGTTGAGCCATTTGGTCATTTTCAATTGGAGTTTTTGATTTAAGGTTCCCCTCTCAGCCTCTTGGGCAAGGAAGTCTTTTGAACGCGCACAAGCACAAGCCCAACACAAGTATACACACAAATACACACACCGTCGCGCCGCCAAGATAATCGAGTAGCACCGGCGATGCCGACCTCACTCTTCCTCTCCGCCCTGCTCCTCAGCAGCTGGAGCCACGCCGCCTTCACCTCCGCCTCCCGCTCCGCCTCCACCTACACGTCCGGCTCGGCCTCCCGGTCCCCTCCTCAACTCCCTTCCCTGCACCGTCGCGCCTCCTTCCCCGGCTGTAACAAATCGCCTCCCACTGCGCTTGCCACGCGCACCAACGCCACACTCTCCAGCAGCGGCCGGACGTACATGTACCACCTCCCCGCAACCTATAACGCCTCCTCGCCGACGCCACTGATCCTATCCTTCCACGGCTCGACCCGCACGCCGGACTGGCAGGCCGACCTCGACTTACTAACAGACGAGTTCTTCAACCCTGACTGGATAGTCGCGTATCCGGCATCCCAAACGTACGGCGGCGCCGCGAACCGCTTCTGGCAGGGCGCGCCCGGCGTCCCCGCCGACGTCGACGACGTGGGATACGTGCTGGAGGTCCTGCAGGCGCTGGACGAGTCCCTGTGCGTGGATCCCGAGCGCGTGTACGCGACGGGCAAGAGCCAGGGCGGCATGATGGTGAACAACCTCGCGTGCTCGCCCGAGGCGTCGGCGCGCATAGCTGGGTTTGCGCCGGTGTCGGGGTCTTATTATGTTGATCTGGAAGACGGGAAGCATCGGCATCGGAAGCATCGGTATCATCGGAAGGAAAAGAGGGATGGTGGGAAAGAGGAGGATGAGGATGAGGATGAAGGGAATGGGGAAAAAGAAGAAGACGACAAGAAATGCGACCCCGGCACAGTTCCCCTCCCCTGCAGCCCCTCCCGCACCACCATCCCGCTCCTCGCCTTCCACGGCGGCAACGACACGACTATTGCTTATGATGGCGGGGAGCGCGGCGGCAAGTGCCTGCCCGCAGTGCAGCGTATGTACATTTTAGAGCTCCTTATTGCCCCTTCTGCCCATGTCTTAGGGGCGAATTCCCCCTTCTGGCCTGTGTCAAGAGCCGTTGCTCCCGAGACACGCATTCCTACTCTTTGTTTCTCGTCCACAAGGAGTAATTACTGATTCTAATTTGCTACCAGACTGGGTCGCCGAGTGGGTGGCGCGCGACAACCTGCCGGCCGCTCGCTCGGAGATGAGCCGGGTCGGCAGCGCGGGCGACGGCGGCGCTATGAGGTATGTGTACGGCACGGGCACGGAGCAGGGGCTCGTGTCGTTCGTGTATGATGGCGACCGCGTGAACCACGACTGGCCGGCCACTGTGAACAATTCGGATAGTGTCGCCCATGGGTCCGGGCCGGCCGGGTTTAATGCCAGTTCGATGATCATGGACTTCTTTGGGGGGCTTGTGTTGGCGTGAGTTGGGCCCTTCTGATCAATATATTGCTCCCCCGGTTTTTGGTCTTTTGGTTTTTTTGCGCTTTGCTTTTTGGGTTATGTTTTCTGACACGTTTGAGCAGCGGAGATGATGGTGATGGTGATGGCAACTCCTCGGTCCAGACCGGCAGCGATAATGTCGGTGCCACGCCTACGGCGACGAGTACGGGGACTTCCACGGCATCGGCTGGTGCTGCACATCTTGGGGGCTCTGGCGTGGTCGAGAAGAGCGTTCTCGGGTTTGTGGGAGCATTACTGGCTCTTGTGGTATGAGAAAACGGCCAATACGTCTAAAAGAGACACCTTAAGATGAGCGCAAATACGATTAAAAATATATAACACTCTAGTTTGGATTGGTTGCTCTACTCGCTCATCCAACGCATTTGGTGGCAAACGTATGGGCGTCTTCCCAGTCGCACCAACAACTCCAAAAGAGATCAGGTCCTCTGCACGAACATGTATCTAGCTGCCGCGAAGTTGTTGGCAGCTTGGGCCTCCTTGTGTGGCTGAGCGGTCAGTCATGGTAACCGAACGCTGTCATATCAGGACATGAAGGCTTCAAGCGTACCCTATGATGGTCCTCAAGCCTCCGTTCAGTTCCGATACATAGTTCCCTCCAGCTACCACAGTGCATTGAGGGCACCCGAAGCACACGCGGCTGAACTTCTTATCAGCTCCAGCCAAGAACACGGTCCATGGCGTGTTGTTTTCCACTTGAACGTAGATGTGATGCTTCGGGTCCCGGTCCAGTGGGCTTCGAGGTGTAAATCCGGGTTCCTTGCAGAAAGTCGTGGCCGACATGTTATACATCTTATCCGCGGTGGGGGTTGATGGGCTCGTAAATGCGCTCGTAGCCGCTCCCGGGTGGTGGCGGCCGCAATCCGAACATACTTGAAGGGGGTCTCTACCATTGTTCCAGCTCAAATCCAGCGTCGCGAGAACATTCTGTACCCCAATGTGTCCCAACGTCTCGCCGTCCAGTCGGCCACACAGAGACATATCTGGCCCCTCATCCCCTGATTCGATCGGCGACCGCTCAATGTTTATGTACAGTGGCTTTTTCTGGAGTCTGGCTTTCAGGGGACCGAGGACGATGGGGCTGTAGTCGCACGCGGCGAGACTTTGTCCCTGCTCATTTTCCGACATTTGTACCTTTTCTAGGAATCCAGAAGTGAATTTCAATGGACCGTGGAGTGCGATCGTGCTGTGAACTGATCCATTGCGTCGAACTGGAAGATTTGCCACAAACTCGTCAACGCAGCGAAGTTGAAGAACCGCAGGGCTCAGAGGCTTTTACAGTGAGAACAGCAGACTGGGCAGCACGGCATTGCGCCCTTTTCCCCAGCCTGTAACGACAGAGTTTTCAAATTCCTCATCAGCACCGATCCCCACCTTGGTCTTTGCATAGGGTATCTGCATGGCACAATGAATGGCGGCTAGGACGGCGACGACGCGGGAAACTTTGCAACCGCCAGCGAGGATGTCAGAAACGGTCTTGCAGAGGGTCTTTAAATGGTCCATGGAGGAGAGATCGAGCATCGCCGAATGTTGCACATCCCAAAATTTATCACCGCCTATTTTCCCGAGGACTCCCAAGCAGATGGCTGCTGACACTATTTGGAACCGCTGGAAGTCTTTCGGAAATTCATTCACCTCACCTCGAGATTTAGTGAATTCAAGAACCTCTTTGAGATATTTTTCGCTCGCAATACTCTCGTAGTACTCAGCAAGTTCGTGTCCGGTGTCGCCGAAAAACACTGTTGCAAGTCGAACTGCCATAGGGTTTCGTTTGCCCTTCGTATCCGATGGCTGCCATGAGGCGTACGCCTGGATTTCCTTGCCTTCTCCATCCATGTATGCCCAGGAGAACGACAAGTGGTTCGCGATATGGCCCTGGATCTTCTCGAAGTCTTGTTGGAACAGTTCCGCCGGATGCTCAGAGCCAGAGGTCAGAGAGTTGTAGAGCATCGCACCGACAGTAGGGTGGCGATAGTGAGTGACGAGGTCGACTACGGTGCTTTGAGACGTTTCAAACGCCAGGTTATCCGTCGGGGAGGAACCTCCGGTGACCAATACGAGCGTTCTGTGGCCCGAAGTCTGCGACCCATCACCGTCCCATACTCGCACCTGGTCAATCAAATACCCAATCTCCCGGAGACAGACTGCTAGTCGGGCGACTACCGCGCTTCTTGTATGATAAGTGCCACTTGTACCCGAAACTAGCCAGGTCAAGAAACCTGCTATGAAGAGGTTTCCCGGTCGATGGCCGTACGTGGAGATCCTTGCTGTGTGCGAGTTCGCTTGGCGGTGGTCAGGCGGCAGTTCGAGATAGCTTGATCGAATCGGTCGGAAAGTTGGCGAACGGTTCCATCATTCAGAATGATCAAGTGCTGATCCATCAGGAATGTCCGCAAAGCCTCTCTGGACCCGGGGTATTTCGATAGGCCCTCCTTCAGCAAGTTGTCTGCGAAATGTACATAAACAGCTTGATGGCAGACTGAGGTGCCATGTTGTGAGCCAGGGCACAGATGGTTAAGCCAACCAATTTCGATGCAGTGCTGTCACCAAAGGCATCCTTTGGCGCATATGTGACAGTGCTCAAGCCTTGCTGGTCCAAGATCCGGCATGAACCTCTACCCGGCTCGACGGCTTCAAAGACCATCTTGATAGCCTCGTCTGGGATGGTGTGGTGCATATCTTCAGGAGACTCGAGATTCCTAGGACGCCGTCGATCCAGCCCCATCCGTCGTATGCTGAGGTCACGAGTGCCACTACATCAGCAGGACCGATTTGAATTGTCTGCAGAGCGCCAGAACGAGTTTTGAATACTAGTGTCGCCATTTCATCCTCCTCGGAAGAAGGCTCGTGAGTTGATGTTGTCACACTTTGACTGCTGGTGACCCATAAATGACTTTGGTGATGTGTGTGAAGAAGAAAGGAAACTATGAAGCTAGCTGGGAGACATGATTTGGTATATATAGGGGCTGGCCCCTGACACCATAAGGCTGTCTTCTAGTGCCGTGACAGATGTCCTGCTGTTCCCGATTGTGGGCGGCATATTGTCTTGAGTCACTCAACTTGAGTAGCGCAAGCCGAGGTGCAATGTTAGGCATTCCCGAGTCTGACAACAAGGCATACAGAGTGGACAAGGCATGCCCTGATGCTTGGTGTCTTAAAGTTACGCAAGGTGGAAGCTATCTCATTTTGGTATGAACTCGGAAATGCAATTTCGCAAACGTTCGTCCCTAATCTAAGAGTACACCAATCATGATGACGGTGTGACCACCTTGAACATGCCGTGAAAATTACCGATTGGGCCCACGTGTTTTACCAGCGTTGAAGATGGCGTGATGGAAAGTCGCGCAGCCAGTCGCTTACCATAAGCGACAGCGCGGTATCTTTCAGGAAGGTGACAAGGAATCATCGGCAGACCGGCGGGCCCTTCGTGTTTACACAGCCTTGGTGGTGCTCATTCACATGCCCCCAGCTGTTGCAGACACCGCTGTCGTGAGGACATCTCAGCAGGGAATTGCCCATTACCACAGGAAGGTGAAGTCGTCATGATGCTATGATGGCCTGCGAGAGAGCAGCAATGGGTCATCGAGGCGGCAGCTGGCGCGTGTTTGTGAGCCCAACAATAACGCCCGAGAGACCAGCTAACACTGCCACCGGAACTGCTTTTCCTCGACTGGAGAGAATTGTTCAAGCCAGGCCTGCCAATACAGGACCTACTCAGTCATCGTGATTTTGTGACCCTCCGCATAGTCCCCACCCTCTCCGTCACAACCCCCCAAGATGGGTTTTCTCGCAATGCTGCTAACCTCAGCCCGCCCTGCCTTCGAGGGTCGTGAAGATATGTGTAAGTAAATATAATAAGATTTGGTGGGAAAACTGTCCCACTGGGGGCTGTCCCAATTCTATGCCGCCGCCGTTGCCGAGTCAAGAACGCGTCTTGCCATCCTCGGCGATGTCGCTAACATCCCGTCACAGACATCGTCGACTCCGCCTGCGATCTCCGCTCACGGCAGGGAATCGCAGCAACGGTGGCGGACAGGCTCCATCACCAAGTGATGATACCCGTACACAATCAGGAGCAATTATCCACCTATGAGGGAAGTCAAGGCTTTTCTGAGCTCTGGTGACGAGAAAGGGTCTTGAATGTCCACAACCGATCTGAGAGTCCATAACTAGGAGCGCGAAGGAATTAACCAAATCTATCCACACAAAACAATCGGCCCTACGCTTAGTATAGGAACTCTTAGCTATGGAGCTATCCACAGTTCGTCGTTACTTTAATCCTCGGTGTCTCCTGTTGAAGGAACGAGAAGCTTAAGGTCTCTTGGGCTGGCGAGTGGACATGAATAGTAGCAAGTCTTCTTGAACAATAGACACACGATAGTCGAATCGGAAAGAAAACCTCCATGAACTCATGTGACCTTTTCTCAAAGACCAGAGTAAGTAAGGGTGTCAACCCCTGCCTGTCCTCTAAATCTCGATCCACTCTCTCGGTTTGAAGGAGCGATTCTATCACACCGTCATGGCCTTGACCAGATGCCCAAGACAATGCTGTGCGGTCCTGGCAGTCCTTGTCCAAGGCCTCCAGCGATGTCTTTGAGGAAACCGGCCGGCTTGACTTCGTCTTCGCCAATGCCGGCGTGCTATCCACAACCGAGTTCTTTACCGATATGACGGGCAACACCATCGAGCCTATTGACATGTCGCCGGTCGGCGTAAACCTACAGGGTGTCATACACACCTCACAGCTCGCTTGTCACTATTTTAGCCTCAGTTCTCGCTCTTGGTGACCTCCAGATGATGCCGCCTGTAGCGCCGTCCCGTAATGTCCACCTAGAACGTTGACGTCGGCCCCGTTGCTGAGCAGCAGTTCCATAATCTCCTTGTGACCTCCAGATGATGCTGCCTGTAGCGCTGTCCCATAATCTCCACCTTGAGTGTTGACGTCGGCCCCGTTGCTGAGCAGCAGTTCCACGATCTCCTTGTGACCTCTAAACGATGCTGCCTGTAGCGCCGTCCCGTAATATCCACCTAGAACATTGACATCGGCCCCATTACTGAGCAGCAGTTCCACGATCTCCTTGTGACCTCTAGATGATGCCGCCTGTAGCGCCGTCCCGTAATATCCACCTTGAGCGTTGACGTTGGCCCCGTTGCTGAGCAGCAGTTCCACGATCTCCTTGTGACCTCTAAACGATGCTGCCTGTAGCGCTGTCCCGTAATATCCACCTTGAGTGTTAACGTCGGCCCCGTTGCTGAGCAGCAGTTCCATAATCTCCTTGTGACCTCCAGATGATGCCGCCTGTAACGCTGTCCCATAATCTCCACCTTGAGCGTTGATGTCGGCCCCGTTACTGAGCAGCAATTCCACAATCTCCTTGTGACCTCTAGATGATGCCGCCTGTAGCGCCGTCCCGTAATATCCACCTTGAGCGTTGACGTTGGCCCCGTTGCTGAGCAGCAGTTCCACGATCTCCTTGTGACCTCTAAACGATGCTGCCTGTAGCGCTGTCCCGTAATATCCACCTTGAGCGTTGACGTTGGCCCCGTTGCTGAGCAGCAGTTCCACGGTTTCCTTGTGGCCTCCAGATGACGCCGCCTGTAACGCTGTCCCATAATCTCCACCTTGAGCGTTGATGTCGGCCCCGTTGCTGAGCAGCAGTTCCACGGTTTCCTTGTGGCCTCCAGATGACGCCGCCTGGAGTGCCGTCCCGTAACGTCCACCTGGAGCGTTAACATCGGCCTTTTGGTTAAGTAGCTCCCCAAGAACTCCTGTCAGCCCTAAGTAGGAAGCGTAATAGATGGATGAGGGTATCCGCGAGTAGCTCAACTCGCCATGTGATTCGTCAATATTCCATATATTCACCCAATTACTAAAGGAGTCCTGCGTGTCTTGAAACAGCTGTAGGATTTGCCTTTCAGTCTTGTCCCTGGAGGTCCCATTTGCGTTATGTTCAGGCCAATAGCGGGCAGCATATTCAGCTAATGGATAACTCTTCTTGATCGAACGAGAATCTTGCAGCTCTATTGTCCGAGGCTCGAGCAGCAAGGCCAAGCAGACCGTTACCATGTCAATGTGGGCGACTGGCTTCCGAACATGGAATAGAGCAAGATCCTGATAGTGGAGGACTCTTTCAGATTCAAGGTATTCCTGTACAGAGAAGTGTGCAATACGGACTGTTGTTTGCATTTCAAGATCCATGCTGGTTTCGATGAACCCTGGACAGAGAGCTTCAAGATCATGGACGTCTTCAAACCTGCGTGTAATATCGAACCTAGGCTGGTCACCAAGCTCGACCGCAAGCGCATCGATCAGCTCTAAGTCCGTGAGGGGTCTTATAGCACAGCATAATATGGTTAACATTTGCTGAGCATACTCCCGCAATTCGGGTGCGATATTCCTAAGCATCCGGGCATAGGTGTCATCTAGCGATTGTGGCAGGGACTGTAATAGTCGATTGAGAAGATGCTGGTTTGCTGGGCAAGCTGCCAGCGCTTTGAATTGGCATTCTACCCAGCGGAAACTGAGAGTTTGTTAGTCACCACATATACACGTTGCAGGAGCACTCACACTCCATTTGCTCGTTCTGTTAGTGCTTTTTCGATCCGGTCGGAGTATTGCTGCCATTTCCGATATCGTCTGTTGTTTTGGAGGTTCTGCGCAACGAAAATGGCTATATCGCGGTCCACTTCGATATTCTTCATCTCAATGGTCTCTTTCGGCTTTGCTTCCAGCTCTTCCCGTATATCGACTTCATTTCGGCTTGTTACTAGGAGGTGCAGGCCTGATTCTTTCCACCGACGCATGTCTTTGATGACCTGAAGTATTACTTCTCGATGCTTGTTCCGCGGGCTTTCGTCTAGCGCATCAACGAGTATGTAAACGTCTTGAAACGCTTTTATCAGCTGATGGAGGCAGCCCAGGAGCGCTTCGTCAGGCGGACTAGCATGACGGTAGCTCCCATGCAGGCGGGATAGGTCATTGTGGTTATCTAGCTGCATCGACAACTGGAGAATAAGGGCCCGGAATAAAGCAGAGGCGTCCTGCTTGCTCTCGTCGTTAAAAGCGAAGAAAAAGAAAGCAATACCAGTTCGCGGATGTGATCTGCGATGTCGAAAGGCGTACTGAATGGCAGTGGAACACAGTACCGATTTGCCGCACCCGGCAAAGCCTCTTAGCCATAGGAAAGACCGGGCAGTACGAAGCCAGTCGTGGAAGACATTGCCGTGGACAAGCCAGAGCCCAGTACGCGGATGTTTCTTTTTACAGGCTTCGTTAAAGTTGATGGTGGCGTCGGGAGCCTTGAGCCAACTCTGGAGCTCAGAAGACAGTTGCGAGGACCTGACGAGCTCTACCAGTGCTTTGATATCGCGCACATCATCCTGAACCCGGTCAATGACCTTGTGCTGCAATACTTGTATAGCCAGCTTGAGACGGTCGGTGACTTCGGTAATATCCTCGTCCAGCTTCTCTAACGTGCTCCTGCGGAATGGGTATGCAGCACGGCGGGCTGTTGCTTTGACGGCGGACTGGATGGTGGTGACTGGAGTCTTCTTGAACTTGTCTGCCTCGCCCTGGAGCTCCTGAATACATTCTTCGCATTCTTGAATCAGCGATTCAATCTTTCTGATTGATTCTTCTTCGTCAGCTTGGAATCTGCGGTCTTGAATGTGGTTGCGCAAGAGTTCGAGGAGTTCTAAAAGACTTTCCAGTCTTTCTGCCGTGTAGGATATGTCGGAGTGTTGCGATTTCACGGCGGTGTAATAATCGAATAATGACTGCGTCACTTGAATGCCAAGGGAGATGATCCCGACCGCACTTCCGGCGACCGATAATGGGTCGGCCATGGCTGCGATTGCCGCTTTCGATATAGAAGTATAAGTCGACAAGGCGGTCGGACTTCGTGGGGCAATGTTCTAGTAGAACGCTAAGATATTCCTCGACTTGAAGTTCTGCCCGAAGAGAGCCTGCCCAGAGTCTGCCTTGCTCGGCTGTGCAAATGAGGGGTTGGCTGAGCTAGCCCCACTGTGGCGGTGAAAGGTATCAGGCATATTTAACGCAGAGCGGACGGGATGCCAAGTTCTCCTAATCCTATGGTCGTATGTGACAGAATTTCCTCCTGAGAGGCTCTATATACATAACTGAGAGCATTATCCGTGAAACGATAAGTGCAGTATGAGCGTGACAGCGTTGTTGTTTTCAGGAAAAGGTCTATGGACTGTTTGTTGGTGGTAGAATACACTTAGATGCCCTGTGGGTCCCTGTACGACCCGACAGCGTGGCTGATCCCCACATACCGCTTACATATACAGATGGGTACTGCTCACAATAACCGTATGCATCAACCGCGCAATCTCACTCACTCACTCATTCTACCAATCGACATACGCGTACGACCCATCAGCCTTGCGCACGAAATGACACGCGTAGCAGCTCCCACAAACCTCGACGAAGCGCTCCGACGGCGGTAGGTTGGCGAAGTCCATGCCGTTCCGGCGGGCGCCGTTACAGCGGCCCATCGCGCGGCAAGGGATGTGCGTCGGGGCGCTGAGGTGCTTGCACTCGCGGTAGTAGATGAAGCCTGTGGTGCACATGGCTTGGGAGGCTTGCGATGGTAGTGGTCTTGGTTGTTGTGCGTTGGGATATATGTGAAGGTTTAGGACTGCGCGTGGGGTTCTCTTTGGTGTTGTCGAATTCGGGTGGGCGGGTTGGAAAGAGGGAATGAGCAATTAGGATATGTGGTTATATATTGTTTCAAGAAGAGCAGGGTGGAATCACGACAGACAGAGTTAAGTCAAGTCATACGTGGGTGACATCAGTGTATGGTCCGTATGTTCAGTAGGTTTACTCTGTTGTCATGAACCAGAAGTTCTCATGGCCGTGACTATCATAGCGACTATCGTGGTGATGATCACGGTGACTACGCCCCGTTGATTCACCCCTTCAAGGTAAACACCATCCGATATGCACCTATCCTGTAGGCCATCACGCTGGATGCCCGGAAAGTAGCTCCTGAAGTACCTAGGAAGCATTACTACGCACCGACACGCCCTCGAATGCGAAGCGTTCTATCAACAGACCAGAATCTAGTGAAGCTGTAAGGGGATCCAGCCAAGTGGACATGTATATAAAGCTTCGACACCACACTACGTACGTGAATCTGCCCTTAAACGGGTGTATTCACCACGCAAAGCTGGGCCGCGGTGGTGCCGAAGGATACCTGGCCCCGGGCCTTGACGCATACGAGACGCGGCTCGGCTATAATGTCCGCAATCTGGCTTAATCTACTACGCGTCGACTCATAATAGAAGTCCATAATATTCAATATGGCGTGGCCGCTGCTGTTGCCAGCAGCAGCAACGTGGAAATCTACCAGGACGAACGTCGGCATAAAATGTACTTTTCATCTCAACTACGCTAGTATCGACCAGTGACGCAAACATAAATCGACCCCTCGCTAATGCAGTGTCCTTGATTGTTTCATTTGACCCATAAACAAGAGCATAGGTTCATCAAAGTGGACATGAATGGTGAGTGTAAGTAGTTGTCAGAATTGCGAAATCTCTCTTCTTCGTAAACATCTAGTGACGTGGGTGGAAAGTCGAGAAAATTTTACCAAGGCATTCATTCATTCGCCTGCATTCGCCTGCATTCGCCATGGCTGCCTCAGAAGGTACCTTATAGGGTACGGTTTGCGGAAAAGTCCTACTATTTACACGTTGTTCTCACACCCTACCTGCCAGTCAGCTGCAATATAGCCCTACCTGCCAGTCAGCTGCAATACAGCCCTTCATCTCAGCACGCTTGCACTAACAACTGTACTAACAATTACACCGACAACTGCACCGACAGCTGCACCGACATCTTCACCGAAAACCTCTATCTTATGGTAAGCCGTGAGCTTTGTGGCTAGCCCGCTACCGACTGCCTGGGGAGGTAGAGGTAGAAACAATCTGTAAATGTTGAGTTCAGGGGTCAAGATGGGTCAGGAATGGGATGATGATTGGTCTGTGTCCTGGCTATGGATCCATGGGGGATATTCGCACCTAAATACAGGTGTGAGAGCCCTTTCGTCCCCGGCTGCCTGACGTGACAACGGATCTGCCCCCCTTTCACCCCTTTCAGCCCCTTTCAGCCCTTTCACCTGCTGCCGGCTGCAGCCTGCACCTGACAGGCACCACAATTCTCACAGGAAATAAAAAATTCTAACAAGGTGCAAATAGCAGAACTCTTGCAGAAATGAGGTTGAGGGAGAAGACGAACAGAGTTCAGCCATGAGCCACCAAAAAAAAACATTGTTTATTTGCTCAAGGTTGTGGCAGAGACTGAATTGATTCCACAACATCGATATCATCTCAATCTGCTGGGTTGGGAACACGAAGTCTAAAACTCTTGCAGAAACCCCCTCATTATCTTCGAAGCTGATGACAAGATCGGGGATCTTATCAATGAAATCTCCGCACACAAAATCTCGAAAATTGTCGAGAACTCAACTCAGGCCACATGGTCCATGGCGATACCAGCGGATTCCCCAGCCGAGCGTCACATCGTGCATCACAAATCACTTTTGTCCGCCGTCACCGAAACCGACGAACCCGAAGAGTCTCAAGACAAACCTGAGCCCGAGCCCGAGCCCCCGTCCAAGTCGCAACCCGAGCACCGCCCCCAGCTTCAATTCAGCACCATGGCTCATAACGAAGCCGCCTTCATCATGGATGTCAAGCGATCCGAGGGCGTGCATGTTGAGATGTACAGCAAGATCGAGGGATTCCCTGTGGGCGGCTGGGCCAATTAACACATTCGTACGTGAATAAAGAGAAGCACGCAAGAAAAACCGCGGAGCGGTCTACCCGCCGTGCCAGGGTCTACGAGACAAAGGAAGCAGATTTATCTGCAGTACGGAGCCAGGCCGAAAGACAGGCGCAACGACGGTAGCAAGCCTAGCAGAGTAAAAAGGAAAGGAAATCTAAAAGGGTATCCAAAAGAAAGAAGCAGAAGCAACAAGCCGAGAAGAGACGGAGAGGAAGAAGGAAGACGGGCGGTCGACCCGACCGCGCTCGCTCTGTTCGCGGAATCGGCGCGAGCCCGAGAGGCGCTACGGCAACCCCGGCAGTGACAGCGAGCGCCGCAGTCATCGTGTCAGAGGCCACGGCCATGAGGGAGGCGATCGAGACGGCAGTACGGTATCATTCAGAGTTCTATTGGACATCGCTGCAATCGGGGTCGGTATAATTGGTATCGCGGGTATGGTGTGGATGTACTGGAAGAGTCATCGAGGCAGGCGGCGATGGTAGGCAAAGGAATCATGTTCGATGCCAATTTGAGTACAACATAGTATGCAATGCAAGCTCTGATCGACCTCATACCGAGCCTTTGGTCCATCACCCATGAACTACACGAACGCGCTCCAGGGCGTCCCAAGCACTCTCCCCTTCTCGTCAATCCTGACGCCCTCCTTCCTGAGTAGCTTCTTCTTCTCGTCGATAGTGATTCCCTCGCCATCCTTGGGCCATTGTCCCTTGAAGCCGCCCAGCAGTCCGCCCGTAGCCACTACGCGATGGCACGGCACCTGCGGCGCGAACGAATTCCGGCGAAGGGCATTGCCGACAGCTCTGGGCGACGAGCCCATGTGTGCGGCCATGAGGCCGTATGTAGAGACGTGGCCCGGTGGGACCTGGCAGAGCAGACTCCAGACTTTCTTCTCGTAGGGGGTGCGGGTTGAGGTAGCTATGCGCTGGAGTTGGGTGTCCATGCCTGTTGGTAGGGCGATGATTTCTGTGGTGATATCACGGTCCGTTTCGAACTTTGAGACCTTGGAGACTGCGGTAGGAATAGCGTCTGGTTCACCAGTGCGCTTGCGTTTGAGTCCTGCGGCCATCATGTGCTTCTAGACGGGCCAGACAGGTGACCGGCCGATACGGAGGTTGCAGGTATGTCTGAACGAGAACAGTTGGCGCAGGCAATGATGAGCTTGTATGAGAGTTTTACGGCTTCCAGGTTGTGGGTTCCTCTGATTGCGCAGTCTTAAATAAGATTGTAACGAACGGATGGGATCAACCGGCGATGTAATGCGAAGGGCGCGTTTTTGTCGTCGAATCACGCGGCAACGTCACGACGCGAGATCACGTGACTGTTTTCGAAGTGACCAATCTTGGCCAACATCGCTGCATTGACCCCAGTCCCCTCCTCGTCAGATATTGCTACCATGCATGAAAGAGGTCGAACGGACCTTGTGCCGCTGATCGAAGAACATGACATACCTGGTTTCATCTGGAAGACACTCAAACGTAACGAGTTTGAGTTGTTAAAAGGGGTTCTCAATCCTCTGAGCCAAGAAGTGGGATCTCGTTTGCAACGTGCACAAAACATGCATAAGGGGATAAAGTCATGTGATGTGATCGGCGCCCGTCACAACACAGGAGCCATGGCAAAACACAGGAGCCACTCTCCATTATATACTCAACGCATCAAAACCCGCAAGTTAAGAACCACTGCCTCTTCAGAAACTCTCAAGTAACTCCTCCATCGTTTTGTAACTTTCCAACTCACTCGGGTCATTAAAATGCCACTAAGTAACAATCTCTCGGAGCATCCCACACCGGCGCAGGTTCACGAACTCGCTGTCAAGCACGCCACATTACTCCGACATCTGTACGGCAACCCAGAAGTCAAGTGGTACGTATGAAGACTACCTGAGTATCTAGCGTCATGTCGACTGTGATATTTTCCTAAGAGACAGTGTCATGGCTTCATCGACTAACCTCCTGGCAGTGAGCCCACCAACCGGTTTCATGCCACTCGCCATATTGTTCAAGACCCAGCCCATGTGTTCCAGAAAGCAAGTCCGTCCTAACGCAGCCTCTTACCCGCCAGACCTCCAGCCCCCAACAGCCGAGGTCTCCGCGATAGACCTAGCGCGCACAAACAGGTACCTATTCTGGATGGCCGACTTCATGCAGAACACCTACATCCAAAACGTGCTGCCTTTCCTGCCCGCTGGTGCCACGCGCAAGTGCAAGGACTTCGCCAACCCCTGGGCCCAAGCGACCCCAACTACCGCTGGGAGTGGACATGGGACGCCGCTACCAGCGCCCTCAAGGACAACGCGAGCGGGAACGTGGTTGAGTTTCCTCGACTCCCCGAGGCCCAGGTTAAGGAGAAGATCAGCGACGTGCTGTGACGTTCCGTATATGTGAATAGGACATAGAAGCCCTTGTTTACTATGTACGTATAACTATCTCTGGCTGAAGAGGAAAAAGAAGATCGAGCGGCACAGCCAAATCTGGTGGGCAACTAGATAAGTGTGTCCGCCCCACAATTCAGAGCCCTAGTGGGTCTGGGACAACCAGTCGTCCAGGAGGTCACGTGCTTTCACGTGATCCCAGGACCATCACCGATGGCAGCGACGTAGCAACCATCACACGTGCTCTTGCGGGGCATGATGGCTAAGAACCTGATTGTGGAAGATGAGACTGACATCAAGGCCCGCCTGATGATGGGTGGGCTGACGTTTGATTTTGGGGTGGATGCTCGGCGTGCGGCTCGGGAGTTGGTTCCATTGAGCTTCGGAAACGGTGCTTAGATTGGCCGAAGTGTAGAGACAGGTTCACATATAGTCATCGTGACTCGGAGACGGAAATTGTGAGACATTACCCGAGAGCTTCCCATGAAACATAATACACCACTGAACGGGTCACGTCGGTGACTGCTTATATCCACAATTTCATGCCTAAGCACTACTTTCATCTATGTATAGAGCTTCCAGCTCACAAGTCTTCCCTTCAGTTTCTTTTTTGATGGATTGATTGATCTAGAGGCCCTGTACATAGTGTTGGTAGTATTCCGTCAGATTGTACTGTCTGTGATGCTGTCTGTGATGCTGTCTGTGATGCTGTCTGTGATGCCGTCTGTTATGCTGTATTTGATGCTCTCTGTGCATCAATGACAGTAGCGATGGTGGCGCTGATGACAAGAACGAAGGCCTTATTTCATCTCAACACTTGTGTGCTCAATGCAAACCTACCTAGCCTACAAAGGGCCTCATGAAACCAGTGCGTTGGACCAGCCGCGTCCAGCACAGCGACCAAACCCAAGCATATTTCATACCCCAGCCCGCTGGTTCCCTCAAAAGACCCATGGAATATACCGTGCTGTCCTAGCATGCCATCCCTCCCACTCGGCCCCGAACCGCGCCCTCATCATACTCTCCTCCTGCATCGTCCGCTTCCACACCATGAATAGAAACCCGGGAAATACCGCCCACTGAAGCGCGGCCAAATCGTCGCGCCACCCCGGCGGTACGATGCAGCTGATGGCCCCGTCCATCCTCCCCAGCAGGGCGACATTGGAGATCACGAGGATGACCAACCCTGTGTAGCTCGGGTGCTGCACGTAGCGGTAGATGCCCGTGGTGGTGAGCCGGTCAGGCTCTTTCAGCGCAAAGGTGAAATTGGTGCCCAGCGAGGCGTACGCAACCATGCGCAGCGGCACGCCGGCGCACAGGATGAGCGCCAGCGGGACGGCCGTGGCTGCAGACCAAGTGATGCGGTCGGGGTTGAGCCCGTTCTGTGCGCCGTACCCCAGGATGGACGGAGGGATGTTGGGGTGCAGGAGGGCCAGGGTCACAGTGTGCAGGGAAAACAGGCCGAGCGGGGCCATCAGAGTAAGCCGGATGCTGCGTTTGTTGGTGATGAGCAGCGACCGGACCGTGTCGCCGGACGCCGGGATGGTGTGGGTGGCTTCCGCGTCGGGGTTGGGAGGGGTGGCGCCGATGTAGGTCCCGACGGCGGCCAGCAGTATGGTGGCTGCGAGAGAGCCTTGGGCTAGTGATATCGCAGGGAGCGGCATCCTGCTTGCACTTGGGACGCGATGCTGTGGCACAAGCTCACCGACAATGGAAGTGACAGGTCAAGTCAGCAGGTCAGGGTGCAGGTGCTCAAGGAGTCAAGGTTGCGGCGCTGCTGGTTGGCTAGTGGCGGCGGCTCGGGGCGGGTATCGGACGATGCGTAACACATAACACGACGGGGTATGCATGCAATTCGGCAGCTATGGTGGGGCACAAGGTCGGAGAGACTGCTACTGGCCGTCCATATCGTGTTGAAGTCCTTAAGAGAGAAAGAGGGGTCAGACAGGCAGACAGTCAGTCGTGACACGCCGATAGCCAGACAGGAGGTTGGGCTGGTTGGGCAGGTCGCCAGTGATTGGCTGTGTTCGACAGGTGCACGGACGAGATTGCATGCTGCAGCGAGGGCTCCCACAGTGCCACTGCCCAGTGCCTGCCGGGTCGTCTGGTTGTGCAGCGGAAGGAAGCGATAAGCTGCAAACTCGTAACCCACCTCTAGTACAGTCTGGTAATAATAAGGTCAATGGTAGCGAGCGTGCAGTACGTTACTACGTAATAACAACAGGTGGGAAATGAGGGCGTCAGATTCTGCACACTGCAGGCAGGGCTGTCCACACACACAGTGCTATCACATGGGATGGGGGATGGGGTGTTGCTGACACTTGAAGCTGTCATCTCGACTGCTCGACTGCTCGACTGCGGTGCCATGTTGTCTTGTCGGACTCACTCACACTTGAGTCGAAGCGACAGAATGGCGTGAAATAGATGTTTGGACACCAGTAGCCACAACGCGATTGGAAAGTTAAGTTATTAGTGGGTTTGCTCGCAGTCACAGATTGACAGTGTCCATCCGGATGCAACAGGACTGTCAGATGTCTCCCCGTCGGGCGGAGTGCAGAGCGGAGTGCAGAATGTTCGAGTTTCCAGAGTCGCAGGCGCCCGAGTTGCGAACTTGCAGGGTGGAGCTGCAGAGACTCAGAGACTTGGGCCGATGTTGTGATCTGGTTGCAGAGTGACGTCACAACTACCACACAGTATATAGGATCGGGGCTGCAGACGGACACCGACTCCGCAGCTTGACGGGACCGGGACCATGAGGCTGTTATTATAATGATAATAAATCTTCTCAGCGCACGTCGAACCGCCCCAAGCCGTTCCTCATCTTTGCAACTTGCCGATGACTCGCCTGGCAGGACAAGGGGAAGAAGGGGACGTCAACAACAAACAAAACCCAACCAATCCGGCCAAGTGACTCAAGTCGCATACTACCTATATTATTGTCTTCCCCACTAGCCGGGAGCTAACAACCTTGACAACTTCTTAATCTGCCTCTTATTCCTCATCCGGGCACCGCTAGGGCCGCCGGTCCCTTTAGCCGCCGCATACATCCTTCCAACGAAAACTCTCACGCGACTCACGACTCGTTCCTCCACGCCCATCCATCCATCCCTGAGGTCTGAGGTCTGAAGCTTGGAGTCTGGAATCTGATCGCGACGCTCAATGTCTCTCGCCCAGCACGTTACTGCTACCGAGGGTGTCGATCGCGAAGTCGCCGACGACGACTCTCTGAGCAGGGGACTCTGGCGCCCCTTGAGTTATGATCCCGTAGCACCAACAGAGGGGCCCTCATCCCAGGACCTGGAACCTCTGCCGCATATACCTGCCTACAAAGTTCCAAACACCAAGAGAATCGGTAAGTATATACCAACCACATCTCAGCACCCGTCTCATAGAAAGTCCGCTTACACATATACCAGCTCAGGTAGTTTTTGGCACAGTTCTCTGCTGCCTCGCCTCGGGCATTGTCTTTGGGTTTGCGAGTCTCAAGCCCGTTTTGATAAGCGAGGGCGTCTATGGCGAACTATGCGATGCCAAAGGCAGCGGCCATGCAGACGGTGACGAGGTCCCCTGCCCCGAGCAGGACATGCGGCTGAACCTCTTCTTCATCTCTGCGTCCATCATGACCAACGCATCGTCGCTTCTCGCCGGTTATGGGTTGGACCGCTTCGGAAGACGCGCATGCTACACGGCATCGGCTTTCTTCCTTGCAGCGGGTTGCCTCTTGCTCGGCTACGCCTTTGCCATCCCCGAGTTCGACGGGTACGTCTCTGGCAACGTTTTGTTGGCCCTAGGCGGCACCTTCCTCTTCGTCCCGTCCTTTGAGCTCGCGAACGCGTTCCCGAAGTACTCTGGTATCATCGTCGCGACCATAACCGGCGCCTTCGACGCTTCGGCCGCCGTCTTCCTCTTCTACCGGCTCGCCTGGGAGGCGACGGGCGGCGCCTTCGCGCCGAATCAATTCTTCTTCTGCTACCTGATCGTGCCGCTGATCCTCATCGTCGGCGAGTGGACCCTCATGCCGCGCGGGGCCTACTACACGACGCCCGAGCTCGAGCACAAGATCGAGAAGGCCCTGGACGTGACGGCCGACGTGCACAGCTCCGACGACGAGATCGACAGCCCGCGCGAGCTGCGTCGCGTGCGTAGCTCACGGGCTGATCTCCGTGCCGCGAGGCTCGACCAGATTGAGGAGGTCATCGGCGACGCCGACCACCGCGAGGAGCGCGCCATCAAGGAAGAGGAGCGCCAGCTCAACAGTGGTGTCTGGGGAGTCCTGCACGGCCAACCTGCCCACCGGCAGATGATGACGGCCTGGTTCGTGCTCATCCTGCTGCTCACGGTGCTGCAGATGCTCCGGATGAACTACTTCATCGCCACCATTCGCTCCCAGTACCGCTACCTGCTGCAGTCGGAAGAGGCTGCCGAGGCCATCAACGACTTCTTCGACGTGGCGCTGCCTGTCGGCGGTGTTATCGCTACGCCGTTTATTGGACTGCTTCTCGATAACATGAGCGTCGCCACGACCCTCGCTATACTTACGGGGTATATCGCGGTGATCGGCGTGCTCAACTGCCTGCCGTTCGTCTGGGCGGGCTACGCGACGGTCGTTGCCTTCGTGTTGTTCCGCCCTCTGTACTACTCCACCATCTCGTAAGTCTCTCCCACCGTCGCTTGTCCTCGTATCATTTTCTTCAATGCTGACGTATCCATCTAGTGACTACGCGACCAAGGTCTTCGGCTTCGCCACCTTCGGCCGCGTATACGGGACTATCACGTGTCTTTCGGGCCTCGTCAACTTCTCGCAGGCGGCCCTCGACGCGCTGACCCACGGCCCGCTCAATGGCGACCCGACGCCTATCAACATCGCTATGGGCGTTGCGGGTACGGCTATTGGCATTGCCCTGACGGTCTACGTCATGATCAAGGGCCGGAACTTCCGCAGGGCGCTTGAGAGAGATGATCCTAAGGGGAGGGACGAGCGGATCGGGCTGATACGCGAGGAACAGGAGGAATATGGGACTATGGGATGAATCATCCTCTACTAAGCTCGGAGGGTCATCCTTGGAGCACTAAGGCACAGGACTTATGAGTATTCATGATAATCACACGCGGTGCATTACTTACATAGCGATATAATTAGCCAGTATTTCTAACCCTTAAGGTTTGGTCACAGCCGGAGTTAATAACACACTGAACCCTCATAAGTCCAAGTCCCCGTACACCACCCGTCTAGGAAACAACGGTATATATATCTATCGAATCGGATAAGTGCACAAGAATAAGCATTGGGAATGGCGTATCAAACCAGAGCTGCTTATTCCAGATTCCGAAATTTATTCGGGTGGCGTCTGGTGGAATCTTATCAACATAACACGCACGAAACCTTCGTAGAATATGTGAGGCAAATCACCCAGGAAGCGACCCAAAGACAAGTGAAAGCACCCAAGAATCAACTGGGTCGCTTGGAAAGGCTACGACCGACAAAGTGTTGACTTCTCTCAATGCATATGAGGGTCGCCTAGAAGAGATGACTGACATCAAGGAGTCGCTTGGGGGTCTGACCGACATCAAGGAGTCCCTCGAGGACCTGGTCGACATCAAGCCGTGGCTTGGGGACCTGGCTGACATCAAGGAGTCGCTTGAGGATCTGGATGATGGCGTGTGGTTCAGAAGGTTGCGTATTCTTTCTCTTCTGGAAGACCGATGGTCTTCCAGAATATGCCTATGTATCTGGTCTGGTACTGTGCTAGCTACTGTGTGTCACTGTGTATGGTCACCGTATGACCTAACAACCCGAAAAATGACGACGTCCTCGTCATCTATCGTCCCTCATCTTGCCCATGGTCTCGACAAAGAGATACATATGGGAAGGTTGTGGAAAAGTGCTTATTTTGCCTATGGTCTCAACGTAGAGACATATATGGAGAAGTTGGGCATGATGGTGGTAATCAAGTAGTTTTGCCCGCTTTGCCATTCACCGTTCGCTTTGGCGTCTCCTTCGCTTCGGCTGTAACTTAGCAACTGTTTTTCGTGCCTTCGTACCTGGCTTGGTAGGAGTCCTCATGCCAGTCTCGGTGGATGCCGTGGTAGGGGTCTTGGGCAACAGATGTCTTCGAAATCGAAGTTTGGTGAGCCGTTGACCGGGCTCCCTCCGACTCCCGGTGGTCGGATGAACTTTGCTGTCCTGTCACATCCATGGTGCTCATTCCAAGAAGAGTCTCGAGGCCCCGGCGTAAGCAGCTGCGACTTGACCAGTCGCCATCGTTGCTCATTCTAGAGTGCTTATTCCATGGATACATGATGTAGCACACCCGGCGCACCGAATCCCCTTGCAACCATCCAACCTGGGTCTGTGATGAGATCTTCAAGTCGTCGTTTGATTTCAGACTGATCCCCTGTCCGTCTAGTTCGATACGAAGAACCGTGCGATCGGATGATCCAAATGGGTCTGTTCCATCTAGGCGCTTTCCTTCAGTCGAAGTCACCCCGAAACGTTCCTTCCCCGAGATGGCCACGGTCATCGATATGAGATCCAGAAGTCCAGACCACATGGCCATCGTTCATGAGCAGCAGCATGAATCCGTCGTGACTTGAACCTACCTTCCCTACCTGAGAGGCTTCGGAGCGGAACAACCGACTGAAGCTGACTCTGGTCAGCACAAGGGGTCATAAATGATACATGATTCGGCTCAACCACACAGTCGATAGCCGTGAACTGAGCATGTATCTAATCAATGTATAAGTAGCCTCTGGCATGATCGCAGTTTTGAAAGCAGCCAACGAGCTGCTTGGGCGGAAACCTGACCAGCTGTTGGAACACCAGCGACCTCTCAAAGATAGAATGAATCAGAGGGGTAACTTGGCATCCTGTCTGGTCTGCGAGATATGATCAAGTCACTGAGAAGCCGATTTTGCAACGATGTCAGTATTATATGCGTGTCACGTACCAAGTAGGGAACTTTTGGATCCAGTGGAAGGGTATCTTGTGCATTTCCTTGCTTTTCGAGACGCGTAGGCTATCGCATTCACATCAACCTCAACAGCCGCAGCTTAGCTCGTCGCCACCAGCACCACCAACCTCCAAGCGTAAGCGCCTGTTCCTCTTTAGTCGCCCGTGTCGACCTCCAGGTCCAGCTGCACCCCGTTGCTGATCTCGTAGTCGGCCAGCGAGAGCATGTCCTTGAAGGGCCGCTGTCCCTGCCGCTTCAGCAGGATCTCGTGCGGCTCCCGCCCAATCCGCGCCGCCACCATCGTCTTGAACTCCTTGATCTTGTCCGACGCGAAGCACGGGATCGCCGCCTTGGTCCCCAGACGGTCGTTGATGTGCACGATGATCATCTCCTCACCGCCGCTGGAGGGGGCAGCAGCTGCTGCAGGTGCTCGGGTGGGGGGCTTGGTGGTATCGTCGTCGGCAGACTTCTTCTTGGGTTTCTTGGATGATGAGGAAGGACCGTTATCGCGATCCCGCTCCCGATCTCGGCGGCGTGGGGAAGGCGAGCGGTTGCGGTAACCTCTGTGCGAGCCGCCGCGCCTGTCATCCTCCGCATCGTCTCGACTCTTGTCCTTGTATTTGAAGCCGCCAAAGCCCTTCTTCGGCCTCGGTCGGTCTCGGTCTCGGTCTCGATCTCTATCTCTGCCCTGGTCTCGGTCTGCGTATCCCCGATCTGATTCATCTCTGGCACCATCTCGCGCGCCTGATCGGTCTTCCTCTCGTTCTCTTCTGTCTCGGCCTGAGCCTCGATATGCGTCGTCGCCTCGAGATCGATAGCTGTCGCGGCCGCCGTAGCTATCTCTATCTCCGTCCCTTCTGTCGCGATTGCGACGCGGCGATTGACTGCGGTGGTCACTTCTGCTGCGTTTGTGCGGAGGTGGCGCATCGTCTCGCGCAAGGCTCGTCGGTTCGGCCTTGTCCGACATCTCGACAGAATTGTCAGAAGCGGCAAGGCTGTTGATGTTGAGGAGAGGGTATTGTGTGAAAGGAAGGTGGAAGAGTGCAGCTACATGGAAAGCTTCAAAGTGAAGCCATGTCGTTCAAAACGTCACAAGTTCCATGCCCCGGTTGCCAGGCTGCCAGGTGGCCGGTAGGAACACAGCTGGCAAACTTGCTGACACCTGGCACCAAGCCACCGTCCAACTTCAACGTCAAGTCAACGGCTGTTGCACGCTCCCTTAGGTTACCTCTGCGAGGAATACTTCTACATACCTTTACGAGGTATTCTTTTACAGGGGATACTTCCGCAAGGGACGCCTCTATAAGGGATCCCTCTGCAAGGAATGCCTCTACAACTGCAAGGGATGCCTTTACGAGGGATACCTTTACGAGGTGTGCTTTTCCACGAGTAGTAAACTTCCCCTTACTTATTGACAACCTTACGGCCGCATACGAAAGTGTCGGCGATGATGGAACAAGGTGGCAGCTGGTAGTTGGCAGAGCGGTGGCACATGCAGCTTGCAGGGATATGTTAGCCGGCAGTGGGATACTATTGAAATAACAATTCTCCTGAATATACCTACCATCTCTGGAAGTATCGTGGAAGTGAGGACTAGCGCGTCTTCTTGCTATCCTGTACCAGTGAGGCTGTATCTCCCGCCGCCTACTCCCTGTCTTTTTCAAGGGACGTTGAACGTGCAGTGATCATGGTGAACCCAGCACTTCCAAATCGCCTTCATTGGAGCGAAGATAACTACCTCCATGATAAAGCAAGACTGAGTGCGTGACCTCAAGATTAAAGGGACTACAGAGCCCTAGAACTGGAACGAATGTGGATGGCAACAGGTCCGATGATAGAATATACTGACGGCATGTCACCAGATGTGACACAACGAGCAATGCGGCCTGCTGCCTGCTAATATATCTCCATGCCAGGGGTGTGCAATGAAAGGCCCAGGCCAGTGCCATCTGTGATGGCAATGGAAGCCCGCATGACTTGGAGTGTTTGCCATCAGGCTTGGCTCTCAAAGCATTTCCAGATTGAGAAATAGGTGCAGTATCATTGAAGTCATAATAGGCCGATAGGTCTAGTCTACCATTGCAATACAACCAAGTAGCTAGCATGTGATATGAAGTTGCACGCCTCTGGTTTATGGACATTACTCATCGGATGTGGGTAGACTATCTCCTACCAGTAGAGGTACGATAATGGCCGTTTAGTACACTTTATGCCCATTCATAGTGGCAGTAGGTAGCTATTGAATGCACGCCGTCGCCACTTGATAGGGTCCCAATGGCCATTGTTAGCAAGATGGGATGGAAAAGGTGCTCCTGAATGGCATCATGCCCGAAGTAGGCAGCCATTGAATACACTCCCTGGTCAGTCGGACCTCACAATGGGGTTTGGATGCCAATCAGCTGGAGGAGAATAGACGCTCCAGGGGGCACGGTACCAGTAACCAGGCCTGTAGCCATTGTCAAGGCCCTCAGGGGGCATGCTACCAGGCCTTCAGGGGGCATGCTACCAGGCCTGTAGCCATTGTCAGGCCTACCACCCAGACCCATTGTGATGGACAATGCTTTTTTACAATCAGTAATAGCGGAGCCTCGAAATCAGAGGGACTTTTTTTCTATAAAGTGGTGGGCAATTCACCTACCAAGGACCTCTCCTCCACAACCACACAACAATCTTCTCATCCGCCTCATCCTCCTCCACCACATCCATTGCTCACTCGCAACAACCAACACCTGCTTTGCAGTATCAACTTGCTTCCTCAATCACCATCACCAACAACAACCACTTAAGACTCTCAACCGCAACAATGATCTGCTCAATCACCATCATCCTCGCCTCTCTGGCCGCCTTCGCCATGGGCGCTGCCATGCCCATCCTCCCTGACTCGGCTAGCATCACTCAGCCCGGCTCGGCTATCGACTCTACCCATCGCCTGGGTCACAGCCAGGTGGTATCGCTTACTGCTGGTGTCGAGAAGCCTGAGATCGCGAATGCTACCACGACCGTCGAGCAGCCCGAGCCCTTCGCTACCACAACCGTCGAGCAGTCCGAACCGACTCCCTCTGCCCTGACTGAGGTATCCCCCTCATCTACCCATCTCCTAACGGCTCAGAATTGCTACTGCGACAGTAAAAACTGCAAATACACTTGCTGCGGCTGGACCGGTTGTTTCCCGCAGACTGATTGCTGCGAATGGGGTTGCAAGTGTTGAAGCTAAAGCGCTAATTGTGGAAGATCAAGAACCACATGGCATGAGGAACTGAACCTGAAGCGATGGTAAGTCGATCTCTTCCCTGTGGCGGGGTCCTGAAACCGTCGAAATCATGCTGACCAAGTCTTTTACACTGCAGGATGAACGGACAGGAGAAGGAAAGCCGGGGGTTGTTTACTAGATAGTCGTCGCGTCTGCTTTCGGACACCAGCACGTTCCGATAACACACCGATAGACAATACAGCACCGTCCCCCCCCCCCCCCCCCCCCAATTTGCTTCATATTATGACATGTCTTCGCTGCAATCACATGCTCTTGACATACCTCCAGGAATATTCGAGCCTCAAACCTCGGTGAGGAACAAAAAATTCAATGATTCAACTGCTGTGGCAGAGTTCAGGGCAGAAGAGCACTGCCTAACCAGGCCCATTCTTGAAGACCGCATCCTTCAGTTACATTGGCCAGGTAGCCCGCAATCCATATTTCTTTCTAGGTTTACATCCGGCTTGTAGCCTCTACGGCTAGTCGAGCATGGCATCAACTCAACACACGGAGGTATCAGGCTGCTCGTCCCACCCCATCAGCCTGGCCAATTGAGACAAAACTGACAACCCTTACCCAAGTGATGCTGTGATGATGACCCCTTTCCTGTCCATCAAGCCCCAGGACGTGCGACGATAGCGGCATGCAAGCCGCTAAGTTGAACACAGGCTGGATAATCAGCATTCCAAGAGGAACACAGACTCCGGGCGGGCCGCAATTCTGTGAGTGGGATCGATGATGCTGGATATTGCGTTAGGACTTCACCCCTATTCGCTCCCTATTAACCCCTATCCAGCCGCCCCTCCCTTTTTACCCCTCATCACCATCACGAGGACAAGGCAGAGCCCATACTCCATCTCAGCAACTTAGCCTTCTTCTTCACAATCAGTAGTCTCCCTCCTTCTAACACTCCGATGAGGTGGCACGTGGCACGCTTGGAGTTTGGGGGGGTTAATCGCTGTCCTGATCATCTCGGCTGTCGCCGTCACCGTGTTCATAGCGTTCAAACCCCCGATGCAAGACCGCGCGACGCTTGCCACGACCGTCGTATGCAATGAAACTGCGGCTCTAAGCCTCACCTGCGCTGTCTGCAACACTGCTGGGACGTTAAGTATTATCGAGTTCTACGTAACGTAAGTCTCGCCACCTTTACCTTGCCATTCCTGGGCGAGCAACCCGAAGCTGGAGGAAGGGATAATGGTTTTCGAGCTGCCCATAGGGTTCCAAGCTATAAAGGGCACGCCGGCTGCTGCAATCACCCCCCATAATTATCCGTTCGGCATGTCTCTATCCATTCTTGGATATCAATGCTATATTCATTTTGAGTATTGCTATTTGCACCTAATAAGATCGGCAGCACGGCCCGCGACCGCGTACACCATCGTTATCATGTTCCCTCTTGGTATGATGGGCATGATACTCGCATCAATTACTCTCAGATTCTTAACACCTTTCACGCTCAAGCGACTGTCCACCACAGCGCCCAAAGCGCATGTGCCACACGGATGGTAGTTGGTCGATGCAGAAGCTCGCGCCAAATCTTTAGCACCGTCGATCGTATCTGTAGGGTATCTTTTAGGAAGCCTCTTTCCCTCAGCTTTAAGGTAGGATGCCGATGGCTCTGTCTTTGCCAGTTTATCCAGCACCTGAATCTGTCGAGCATGTACAGTATCTCCACATCAAGTGGGTGCGAGTAGTACTTGAAGTCAACGCTGGGCTTGATTTGAGCATCTGCAGACGTGATGTGGACAGACCCGGCAGAGAAAGGATGAGATAGCATGCAGTGCAAGGTGTCAAAGTTGCCACCCTCCTCGTCGGTAAGAGGTTTACGAGAGAGGAATGTGACGGCGGTTGCTTCATCGGCTGACTCAACGACCTTGCGAATGAAAGCGTCACGCTTGCGTATGAATGGTGACCAGCTCCCATCATCTTGCATATGCCGATCGAGCAGAGTCTCCAGCTTCTCGCTCTCGTCTGGATCCAGGAACGGCACAAGCGGCGTGTAAGCGAACGCAAAGGTGCCCTGCTCCGCCCAGGGCCCATATCTGTCCTTCTCATACAGTCTGCGAGCTTCCTCAACAGGCAGTGTTGTCCGCGGCGGAGCGTCGTCATTGAGCTCGAATGAGATGCCTGACCGTATGTGATCTTGCAGATTCTCCCCAACAGCCGGGTTGGCGTAGACGACGTCAATGCCGTGCTGCTCAAGGATAGCCGGGTCTCCAATACCAGACAAATCTAGGATCTGTGGCGTGTTGAATGTACCCACCGCAATTATGACTTCCCTCTTCGCTCGAACTTCTTTCAAGACACCGTCTCGTGAGTAAACAACACCACGGACTATCGGCTCCGGGCCGTCCTTTTCGATCGCTAATCTCTGTACCCAGGCATTGGTAATGTCCGTCAAGTTCGTCCGCTCGAGTACCGGATCTAAATACGCGACTCCTGCATGACTGCGCTCATGCGTATCGCCAGTGATGTGGCAAGTCGATGTGTGCCCGCCGATCGCGTGTCCAGTCAGCGGATCACTCACACACTCCAGGTCCAAGGTGCGGAAAGTGTCAACCCAAGCTTTCTGAAACTCGGTCACTCGTAATGGAAACGAAGCTTGAATTGGTCCATTCGATTTGCGGATGTTCTCATCACTGTGCATGATATTCAGTTGCTCCTTGACTTCCCGACTCGGCGGCACAATAGTCTGGAACTTGAGGAAGTACGGCGCAAGAGTGTCCCAATCCCACCCTTCATTCCCAAGCTCCGCCCAAGCATCAATCCCGGCAGCAGAAGGATAGATGAGCGCAAAAGAGTTGATCGCGCTGGTGCCACCTATAACTCGCCCGCGAGGGTGCTTGATGCGTCTGTTGTTCATGCCAGGAGCGGGCTCTGAAACATATTGCCAATCGAATTCGGGGTTTTCCCACATGCTGCCCGCCAGGCCAGGTGTGTAGATACGTTCGTCATGACTGCGATCCTCGCCAGCCTCTAGCACGAACACTGACACGTTCGGGTCTTCTGACAAGCGGTTCGCTAGAACGCAGCCTGAAGTGCCGGCGCCGACGATGATGAGATCATACTCCGATATTCCCTGCTGTGCCATGTCGCGAGGTTGATTCTGAGGGCCTAGAGTGTGTCATCGAAACCCCGTCTGTATAAGTATGTGTATATCGATGCGAATCTGGAACGTCTGCCTTTTGAAAAGGAGGCACGGTGCAGTGGAAGATGCTGAAGACTGTGCAGAGGAGCGACGCAGTGCAGGCGAACAGTGTGACGCAGGGAAGAACATTGAAATGCAGTGCAGGGGAGCAGCAAGATGACAGCCGATATGGCTGCGTCCTGCTCCTGGCTGTCGGGCTGTATGCGCTGTCGCCGGCGGCTTCTTAGCGTAGGAGCACTTCACGATTTACCTTCCTATTTGGGACAGCGTCTTCAAAGGGGGGCCGGGCACAACCCTCTACAACCTCATACCACCCCTCACAGCCCCAATACACTTCATCAAAACTCTTCGAGCCACTATCTCCCCCCTTTCTTCGCTCTTCCCGAATCTTTGCTCACCAAGTAGGTATGCAGACCAAGCCGCATCAACAACCGACCAAACGAGTGTACCCTGCAGAACAGTCCGCCGATATCAGTGAAGCATACGCCACGTTGCTCGGGCTGACACGTTGCTCGGGCTGACACGTTGCTCGGGCTGACTAAAGTCCTTGATCGAGATTTGAGAGTAGGCGAAACGCGTCTGGACACAGCACGTAGGTGGAAATGTCAGTCTTGAGGTCTGCGCAGTAGAAACAGCAACTCCGGTCATGTCAATTCGATCAGGGCGAGAGGATGTATTTGGGCTTCTTGTGGCACGTGGCAGTATAGAGACGATTGCGACTCAGTTCCCCCACGACACGCAGCAGGGGAATGGCGATGAACTCGTCGCTTTACTTGTAGACCCTTGAAGGTTTAGAAACCATCGCCTTTGCCGCTCGGAAAGTCTTACAGGCGTTTTGGCACCTTGTCGCTAATTTTCTGTCCGACGAACAGATTGGCTCTTCTCAATCTGAGTGTCCTTTCTTCCTGCTTTAGCCCTTTACTTACGAACTGGATTGCATTCTTCACTCTGGCGCGGACAGTACCCCTTCTCGTTGTCGGCTGCTTCTCTGCAGGTGACGACTGATATCTTTCATTTGAACGGGTTCTTACATGCACTAGACCCTGTCCAATATAACGACTACATCGGTAGACGAGAGCGGTATCCGCCAGCCCATACGCGACTGACTGACTCCAGGCGCCGAGACATCATAAGCCACAGAATCCGAGTTCGTCTCAGCCCACATCACAGCAGCCGCAGCCACGGGACCACCCTCCATCTGGGCCAAGGTGACCGAGATCGCGGCCCCCTCAGCATCAAACCTAAAGCTCTGGATACTCCCAGCATCGATCGTGATCAGCACGCCCAAAGGCCCAACGAAGACCCGGCGCCTCACCGGCCCCTGAACAGGGACGCTGACACCGCCATTGGTGTTGGACTCCAGCACACCACCATAGGCCACCAGTCCAAAGGTCGCGTGCTCAGCAACGTAGGTCCCGGACCCCAGCACCATGCCCAGGAACCCGGGCCCGTAGTCGCCACTGTAGCCGTCCCACTTTAAGGTGTCAGGCCAGGAATGGAACGACGCTGCCGCGAAGCCGTCGGTGTTGATGTTGGATAGGGGCCCGCTGGTGCCGCCGTAGCCGGCTTGTAGAAGATAGGTGTCGGAGGGGTCGCTGCGGAATGCCGAGAGGAGCACGAGGGCGTTGAGTCCGGAGCCGTAGTGGTGGATCTGGCGCTCTATTCTTTGGAGCTTGCCTGCGTACTGGTCGAGGTCGTGTTAGACAATGGTTGGTAGAACAGGGGAGAGGTGGCTGAAATGCGGTTGTGCTTACGATGTTGTCCCAGTATCTGCGCGCATTGCCATTCCAGCCCCAGTGTGGGATTGTGGGCATGTATCCCAGTACGCTGTTCACTGTCTTGGTTGCCGTGGTCGTCATCCCGAAGTGTCTGACAGTTCCCATTAGCAGATAACCTTTGGATAGTCAAATTGTCGGGATAGAGATCCCTGGTGGTTGCGAGGAGCAGTGGTACTCACTTTGTCCAGTAATAGACTCCCTCCTGTCCCGTCGAATCCCAGGCCATCTCGCTACCATAGGGGACCTCTTCAGAGTCCCACTGAACGGCTCGAGACATCATTGCCTGTGTCAAATTGTCCGCCTGCGAAGTCTGGCCCTCGCGCGTAAGATCCACCAGGACTTCTCCAAAGATCGTCTCGCCCATCAGCCCAACCCGGTTATATCCAACATCCGACTCCATGGCACGCATAATAGTGCCATAAGCCTGATTCAAATACCAATCCCAAGTACGACTTCCCACGAGCTCGGGATACGCCCTTGCAACTCGATAGAGGGACCAATAGGCCGCCGCAACATGCACATAATCATACGCCCGATCAATCGCATACGCCGCGTCGACATTCCAAGACGTCCAGCTACTCCAGACAAAGGCCTCGTTGTACGCATACCCCGGAACGGCATCCGGCTCGTAAAAAAAGATGCTCTTGCGAACAGCAAAGTCCGCCGTCTGGACGGTACCCCAAAGCACCTCATCCACGAACATCTCCAGCTTCGCGACCTCCCCAGCATCCGGCTGGATCGCCTGCTTTGTCACGGCGGCCAGGTACGCGCCCACGCCCCCTTCGTCGCTGAGCCCCGCGATCCAGACGCGCGGGTCCTGCGTCACGATCGAGCGGGCCTCGTAGTCGTATGTCATGACCGAAGGGGCGCGGCCGAACGGGTCGGACGTCTCGTTGAACCACTGCTCCGTCGTCAGGAAGCGGCCGAGGTCGGCTAGGACTTCTGTACCGGGCTTGGTGACGTGGTAGTGGATCGTCTGGACCTTCCCATCTTCGTACTCGATGGTAAGCCGCGTGCGACCCCATGCGCTAGAGGAAGGCGTAATGCTGTAAGAGCCGGCGGATATCTCCTCGATTATTAAGGAGTCGGCGGGCTTACTGGTCATGGAGCTCACGTTCGAGGAAGTCTGGATGAAGAGCTGCGAGGGTGAGTCCCTGGGTATGATATATCCCGGCACGCCCATCGCCACCGGGGTACCAGTTCCCCTGATCGCAACATCGATGCCGCGAACACCATCCTTCGCAACCGAGAACCGCACGCCGAACTGCAACGTCTCACCCGGCTGTAATGTTCTCGACGAGGGCTTATTCCACGGCTGCGTGTTCGCCCACTCGTTCTCGGCCCAGGCCTTGGTCAGGACTTGCCACTCGTAGAAGCCCTCGAACGTCTGGCTGCCGTAGTTCGTGTCTGGATAGGAGGGCTCCACGAGTTTGCAATAGGCTTCCAGTGGTGTGCCGTTAAGGGGCGTCACGACGAGGGCTGCGCCGGTTCCTCGCACGGGATTGGCTCGGATGTAGCCGGCGTCCATGCCGATGTACGGGTCTGATAGCGAACGCAAGCGCTGTATGTCAACGGCGGCGCGGTTGGTGAAAATGCTGTTGAACTCGGCAGGAAATCCTAGGCTGCCGATCTCTACGGGACCCTCGCCGGTGTTTGTGACGTTGAAACGAAGCCCTAGGTCCCCTGAGATGTCGAGCCATTCTCGGATTACGTTCAGGGGCCCTGTAGGAAGCGTTGGTGACAGGTCTGATGCAGCTAGTGCGTCAGTCGCAATGGGGATGACAGTTTGACGCATCGTGGATGAATCGACGTCCATCCAGTCGGTGCTCCCTTCTTCACGATACCGGTAGGTGATATCGCCCCAGTGATACTGGCCATTGCCCGCGCGGACGGATATCAGATCAAAGGGGAGGAAGTCAAAAGTCTCGCCGGCGGGCGCCAGGGATACGAGGACCTGGGCATCGCGGACGATCTGGGCATTGAAATTGGTGGTGTTGAGGGTGATGTAGCCATTTCCGAGACCGAGATTCTCGTCCTGGCACAGAACACAGGAGACGAGGAAGGCAAGGGTCGAGAGCACCCTGTAAAATGCCATCGCTGTTATTGAGTAATGGTTGGAAGATTCGACTCCATGAGGGAGAGGTTCTGAAGGCCGTTTCTCCCATATGCTCTCCTTGTTACATACTCATAGGGCCACCCGACCCCGTATGCACCGGTACCAGAGAAAAGGCCTTCTTTCAATATGTACTATGTAGATAGTCTTCACTCGCTCCGAGATCGACAACACTGCGGGGTATAGCCGAAGTTCAGGGTGCCATTGTAGACTTGGTAGATGGGAAATCAGGTGAGGTTGCATCGATCCCCAACAGCGCACGATGGATGGGTCTACCAGCATATGCAACTACCTTCCCCTCCTGGATCACTCCTGAGGATGCCAGAACTAATGACGTCCACGTCACTGCAGAATGAGCCTCATGCACGAAATAGGACAGCTCAGCTTTCTGTTGCCCTACCACTTCAGCACTACTAGGCCCCTATTTGAGCCTCTCGAAGCTTTCAGCCCAAAAGCAGACGCTTGAGCATCAGTGGTTACTGTTATCGGGCCCAAGACAATATTAAATTCACCATCAGTACTTCCGCTGACAGCATCACCCCAGCAGCTTAGCCGCTGGGCACCACGAGCCCCATTGACAGGCGCTCAGATCAGATGGACGGCCCAATCCAAGCATTCCCAGGTTACTTAATAAGGAGGCAAACTCCCTCCGGACTCAGTGTGATCACCGTTATGGGTAAAGCCTGCCATGCATTGAGATTGGAGACTCAGGGGCATCCAGCTTACCTGTCTGGGTGTGATGGCGGTGATTGCTTAGTCTAGAGTCGACATTAGATTTGGAGGGGCAGTAGATCGGCCAAGTTCCTTGTGCCAACAAGATGAATTGGGTGCCGAAGTCAGCTTGAATGTGCGGACGGAGACCTATGAGAACTGCAACCGTGGCAACTTCGATCACACGTAGGAGTCAGCATCGAGCATGCCAGTGTGGAAGACGCATGACAACCTCGCAATGGCGGAGGGCATCACGTGAAGTGGTGAAAACAATGACTCGCACGAGCAACTGAAATCAGCAGGAAAAGCCACCCATTAGATTCAATAGGCCTGTCCCAGGGGGCTCATCCCAACACAGCAAACCCGGGAGATGCAAGCATTGCTTCCATTAAACTAGACAGCTATGCAAGCGAAGTAGAACAAAACAGTGAGCCTTGCTGGTATGACCGAACCGGAACGCCGCCATTCCATGGACCTGACAGAAACCATCGCGCTTTTCTATGATACAGATGAAGCGTATGAACAATGTCTACGAAGACTTCTCCTTCTTGGACTTCTTCTTACTCTTCTTCTCTGTATCATCATCTGCAAGCTTCCGCTTCTTGCTGGACGACGCATCCTCGCCGGCAGCAGCCTTGGCTTCTTCCTTGGCCGCCTTCTTCTTGTCCTTCTTGCTGATGACTTGCGGCGTACCATCAGTGTTCAGCTTGACGTCACCACGCTCAAACTTCCGCATGAACTTCTTGACAGAGATGCCAGCTTCATCTGCCAGTCGGGCATAGTCTGCCTCGGACAGTTTGCTGCCAGGCGTCACAGGTGTTATCGGCGCTGAAGCAGCTTCTCCAGCAGATGCTCTCCGCTTCTCTTGCTCCTTCTTGGCCCATCGCTTCTCTTCACGCGCTGTCCTCCGTGCCTCCTTTTCTTTCTTCCCCTTCCGCTTTGCTGCTCGTTCGTCAGCTAATGCGAGATTGCGTTGGTGCCTCTCCTTCTTGCGTGCTTTCTTCGCTTCTCGAGTAGCACCTTCAATGGAAGATTGCCACTGCTCCCGGGGAGGTGAAGGAACAGACTCGGTATCGTCTGACGCGGTGGAGATGGTCGGAGACCGAGGCGGAAAGGAGGAGACTTTACCATTCTCTGTGCCGTTCATCTCGGCGTCTGATCCCTCCTCCTCTGATCCATAATCTTCGCTGTCGTCGTCTCCCATCGGTGTATCTTCAACCTCTTGTATCAGGGGCTTCGATGGTGTCTCGGTGGCTGTGGCGGGAGCGTCCGCATCGGCATTGTAATTGCGGGACGGCTTGATCTCAAACTTGGCAGGGGTGGCACCATTTGGACCAATCTTGGTCCCCTTGGACAGCATTGGTCTTCCCTCCAGTTTGCGCAGTTTGTCCTCCAGGTTCGCTCGGTACCGAATGCCCATTTCGGCTCTCTCGTCGTCGTCCATATTTATATCAACCCCATCGATGCCTTCGGTACTGAGTTCTGAGAGGGCGTCCACACGAATGCACAGGGCAGCCTTAGCTGACAGCATACGAGCGATCTTGCCCTTATTCTTGCCGGTCGCCTGTCCCACAAGGGACGAATGATAGATCAGACCATACTTGGGTGTATCGTGCTTTGTCTTCAAGGCTCGGAACAGTGCCTTCTCAGCACCCAAGATCTGGATGGTGCTACCAGGACTCTTGGCGAGCTTCATGAGAGATCCGCTGTGAGCAATGAGACGAGCACCGACCAGCTCGCCAATGACCTCGGTCAAGTTGGGGGCAATGGCTTTCATCCGAGATGACAGGTACTGGGAGAGCTGCTGGCGGTATTCGGTGAAGCTAATAACCTGCTCAGCCAGCATCTTGATGTTGTCGAGGTCGAACTCCCCAATTTCGGTACCCATGCTGACTTCGGCGCCTGCCTTAAGACGGGTCTCAATATCCTCAGGAAGAATCTCAGAGAGGTCGGTGTTGGCGGCGTTCTCTCGCATGCCCATGGTCATGATGATGCGAGCGTATGCGAGGTTGTCGTTGACGATTCGGTCCATCTCAGGAAAGTGCCATCCGTACCACTCCTTGACCCTCATTGCGTAGTTGTTCAGTTCCTTGTCCAGGTCGTCCAGAAGCTTGATGGCCTGTACAATCATGACATCGACCTTGTCTGGGGAGAACTTGAGCTTGTGGCGTGAGATGGAGTGGGACAGCGCCAGAGCCATGTTGCCCAAGAAATCCTTCTCCAGCTCTGGAAACAGCTCAGGAAGGTAGGTCTTCACTGCTCGGAAAAGCTCGTTCGTGCTCGAGTCGGAGACGGGAGAGATCTGTAGCTCGGGTAGAATGTTGATCGCAGCACCGAGCTTGGGGTCGGCGACAGCCAGGGATGCCTTTCTCTCTTCCTTGATATCGTCGAGGAGGCTCTGGAGCATGGGGGTGACCTTGCCCTCGGTGAGGGACGTGTATTCGCCGAGCGCCTGGGCCGAGTCCTCGAACTTGACCATCTTCTTCAACGAGAGCCTAGGAGTCCAGTAAGCGACCGCAACCTTCATCCCAACTTAATCGGAGACTTACATCGAGTTGATCGCCTCGGCGCTGTTCAACTGCTTGGAGATGTCATCGCGCGACAGCAGCTTCTTGTCCTTGGCCTTAAACAGGCCGTAGCCCGCAGGCGTCTCGGCAAGCACGAATAGAGGCATTGCTGCAGGATACGGATACTATATAGTATTGCGTTGTGCGTTACCCTGCGCAGCTTCCTTCGTGGTTGTCAAGGTACTGGAGTTTTTCAATTGGTTTGGTGCAGAGGAAGCTTGGGGTGGGAGCTTGTCCAGTCGAACTTTTTTTTCCTCTTGAGAACGAAAATTTCTAGCTGCGGTGTGGCGCAAAGCTGCAGAGATGATAAGGTTTGCATAACCTGGTGGCTTAAAACACTTATTCAAGGTCCAATCGACTGGCATAAGCTCCAATCGCTGCTTATTCCACTGCATGTCATTTTGTGCAAGATCCGCTTGAGGCTTGTGGAGGTGGGGATATATGTGGCTGGTGTGGAAGGCGCGCTAATCTTACTTGGGTTAGACCCAGTTGTGGTCCTCTTTCCTTGGCTGGCGGGCTGGTCGAGTTGGTGTCAACGTCAACCTCCGAACTGAGAGCAGAGCATCTGCAAGCTTTCATCAGTTGGCAGTGGATGCAGCAGGCATCAAGCATACGAAGGCAACATCTCGCACGGGGAACCCATTTACCAACGCATCCACCACGCCAGCCACGATGGAGGGTCTCTTCTTCAATGTGAACAACGGGTTAGTCTGCTCTGCTGCTCATTCCCTGGTGGAACCCTGAGAGCTAATGCGCAGTCAACCAGCTATATCGAGGGCATCGTTCGTGGATATCGCAATGGCCTTCTTACAGGCGCCAACTACTCCAACCTGACGCAGTGCGAGACCATCGATGGTATACCAGCTCCTTTGTTGGATGACAACTTATGATGGTCAATACTAACCAGCCCAGATCTCAAGCTCCAACTTGGCCCTGCTTACGGGGACTTCCTCGGCTCCCTGCCGCCGAACCCATCCACCTCCAGTCTCGCCACCAAGACAACCGACAAGCTGGTATCCGAGTTTCGATATGTCCGCGCGAACGCAGTGGGATCACTTGCACAGTTCCTCGACTACCTCACATACGGCTACATGATCGACAACGTAGCACTCCTCATCACCGGCACCCTGCACGAGCGCGATACCCGCGAGCTGCTGGAACGATGTCATCCTCTGGGCTGGTTCGAGACCATGCCTGTGCTTTGTGTGGCCACCAATATCGAGGAGTTGTACAACAGCGTATTGATTGAGACGCCACTGGCTCCCTACTTCAAGGGCAGTCTCAGCCATCAGGACCTCGACGAGCTGAACATCGAGATCGTGCGAAACACGCTGTACAAGAACTACCTCGAGGATTTCCACAACTTCGTTAACACCCACCCCGATATGGCAGGCACTCCCACGTCTGAGGTCATGAGCGAAATCTTGGAGTTCGAGGCGGACAGACGAGCAATCAACATCACCTTGAACTCGTTCGGTACGGAGCTGAACAAGGGAGATCGTAAGAAGTTGTACCCGAGCTTCGGCAAACTGTACCCAGAGGGCACCTTGATGCTGTCAAGGGCGGACGACTTCGAGGGCGTGCGATTAGCAGTCGAGGGTGTGGGCGACTACAAGAACTTCTTTGATGCTGCGGGCTTGGGTGGTGGACCGTCAGGACCTGGCAACATGGCCGGGGGTTCAGGCGGCAACGACAGAAGTCTTGAAGATATGTTTTACCAGAAGGAGATGGAGATCTCGAAGAACGCGTTCACAAGACAATTCACATACGCCATCGTGTATGCGTGGGTGAAGCTGAGAGAGCAGGTAAGTAGTAGCTCCTCCGACTGTCTAGAGCTTCGTGTTCCAGTGCTGACTTCGATCACAGGAAATTCGCAATATCACGTGGATTGCCGAGTGTATAGCACAGAACCAAAAGGAGAGGATCGGCAACTACATTAGCGTATTCTGATGCTGCATAGCTGTCACTTTTCTGTCACGATTCGCTCGTTTCCAAATTCTGTAGAACTAATGCATGGGGATACCAACGGCTGGGCTTCAAGCTGCGATCATGGTGGCAAGAATCAAAGATGGCGGCACTGGGCTGGTTGAGCATAGATAAGGCACTCGCAACGAGAATGAAGTGCTGGGACGTTTCGATGCCGGGCGTTGTATATTACATAGCAGATGGTATTACACTCGTATGACTTTATCGAACCACCTGTGATATGTACACTCCATAATCTCGTACATGACATCCTACAAGGTGATTTGGTTCTTCCACGTGGCGTCGCTCAAGCCGAGCGTCTCCATCATGTGCTGCCATCTGTCACTGCCTCTCTCCTTGCGGTCCATGTACCGTAGGAGCCTCTGCCGTCTGTGGACCATGAGCCTCAAGTCCCGCTTGCCCACCTTGTCCCTGTACCCTCTGCCCTTCTCCAGCTCGTTGGCCAGAGCGCGTATCTTGGCCGTCAGGATGGCGATCTGCACCTCGCTGCTGCCCGTGTCGAGACCACCGCGCACCGGCTGCTCCTCCCGCTCCTGACCCCTGGAAAGGGCCTTCGGTCGGAGGGTCAAGTCAGTCTCGTGCCTTCCAAACGTCTCGACACATCTGCGGATATTGGCATGGCGTCTGTCCTTTGCGGACCCCTTGTCCAGATGCGTGATGCGCTGCAGAGCCTCGATGGCCTTGGCGTGCTGCTGGTCATGTTCCTCGCGGGCCTTCTGCAAAAGCTGGGGGTCTACGTCGGTCATGGCCGTCTCCAGCGGCTGCGTCAGCACGTAGGCGTTCTCGACCGCCGAGTCCATCTCGGCCTTGTGGATCAGGTTGTTGAGGATGTGCGGCGAAGTGGGCAGCTCGTGCGGCTCCTCCAGCGGGTTGCCGTCGTCATCGACCGGCGGCTTCGACAGCGGCGCCTGCCCGGCCGAATCGAAGGACTCGACGAAGGGCGTCGTGAGGCCGCGGACCGGGTCACCTGCCTGTGCTGTCCGGACGCTGTCGATCTCTTCGCGGCGCTTCAGGTGGGCGTTCTTGCGCTGCTGCATCTGCGCCCATCGATAGGGGTCCTGCTTGGCTAGGCGCTTCTTCTCCTTTTGCGACAGGGACGCGGTCTGGGTTTTGGGGAGGAGAGACGGAGTCGCTGGTTTAATCGCCGGTCGTAGACATACTGGTTCCCAGCAATTAGATCAGTATCATCAAATGGCAGACTTAATTATACATACATGAGAAGGTACCGAGGCGTTGGACGCCTGGTATTCGGGGCGGCATGGCGAGTATCTTGAACGAAGCCAACACGATGAGGTGAGCTCTCGATGCTATCTGCCCATGAACTTTTTCTCCTGATGTGTTTGAGACCCAGAAAATCATCCCAGCTGCCAGCTGCCACCCGTGCATCGGAGGTGGGCCCCGGTCGGGTGCAGGAGTGGAGATAAGGTTGTTGGTCGGAGCAGAAAGGCTCCGGCTTCCGTGGTCTTCATCTGAGAATCCACAGTACTTAGGTACTTACCTGTACTATCGATAGCAGCACAGACCACATCTGCTACCCCTACTGTTTTTGCGGCTCGCTGCTCGCTTAGAGCCCACCAAACTGCAAGCCCCAAAATTCCCAGGATTTGCGCAAAGGGCATCGAGAACTTTTCTTTCCCTCGCACACATCGCAGACGTCCGCGCAAAGCAATCCCCCAACAACCTCACCCTCACCCTTCTTCCACCATCCGGATAGAACTGCAAGCTCCTATTCACGATGGCGCCTGCTAACTTCCCTGCGTCGATGCACGCGACGTCCCAGGACATTGAGATGCTCCTGGCCGCCCAGAGCCACCTCGGCTCCAAGAACCTCCAGGTTCACATGGAGCCCTACCTCTGGAAGACCCGAGCTGATGGTGTCAACGTCCTGAACATCGGCAAGACCTGGTACGCCCTTCATGAGTTCGGAAAGACGCGCGCAATTGGAACTGTGTCTGACTGATCTCTTTTTCTTCCGTTTAGGGAGAAGATCGTCCTTGCCGCCCGTGTCATCGCAGCCGTCGACAACCCCGCCGACATCTGTGTCATCTCCGCCCGTCCCTACGGTCAGCGTGCCGTCCTGAAGTTCGCCCACCACACCGGTGCCGTTGCCATTGCCGGTCGATTCACTCCTGGTTCCTTCACCAACTACATCACCCGATCATTCAAGGAGCCCCGCTTGATTGTTGTCACCGACCCCCGCACAGACGCCCAGGCCATCAAGGAGGCTTCCTACGTCAACATTCCCGTCATCGCCCTCTGCGATACCGACTCTCCCACCGAGTACGTCGATGTTGCCATCCCCACCAACAACAAGGGTCGTCACGCTATTGGCTGCGTCTGGTGGATGTTGGCTCGGGAAGTCCTCCGTATCCGTGGTACCATCGCCAGCCGTGAGACTCCTTGGGATGTCATGGTCGATCTTTACTTCTGTATGTGAAACACCTCGGCAGTGCTCTTGAAAACCGTGCTAATAACCTTACCCTATAGACCGCGACCCTGAGGCCGAAGCAGAGGAGAAGGTTGAGGAGGAGAAGCTGCCCGGCGCCGATGAGGTTGGTCCCCAGGCTATCGAGACTGGCACCTTTGCTGCCGGCGGCGAGTGGGAGGCTGCCCCGGCTGGCTTCGCTGGTGCCGCTGGTGCCACTGCTACCACCGGTGGTGCCCAGCCCGGCTGGGATGGCCAGGCCGACGAGTGGGCTGGTGCCACTGGTGCGCCGGCTGGCGAGTGGGGAGCTACGGATGCCAAGGAGAACAACTGGTAGGACCAGAAGCCCGACACCGAAAAGCAACCCGGAGGCGAGGAAGGAGCTGAACCCACCAAGGCGGAGGCTACGGCCGAGTGGGTTGGCAACGTGCATGATGAGATCCATTGGTAATTGCTTCGCAACTACATCACAACACTTGACACCAGCATGGCCACGGTGTTACGGGTCAACTTGACGGTACTAATGAGGGAAAGAGATCGGCTTTAGTTGAGTAGTCTCGGTCTAGTTGACTAGGTAGTTGGCTGTCCATTGACTATTCATCTGAAGACGGGGAATGCCCTGTACGGTCAAAGGGGTGGACTTGATCGTGATCCCGCCCGTCCCCTAGGTAGCTGAAATCAACCAAAATCTCTGCGTCTGGGTCCCAAAACATGATCCTTTCGTGCTCATAAGTCGATTGTGGTCATTCTCATGGTTGCACCGTTTGCTTTTGCGTGATTGATCTCTTGACCCAATCCAGTGCCTGCGACTCTCGGAATGGTTGATCCTCAGTATTACGCCTCAGGTTTCCAAGGCTAGAGTAGGACTATGTCTGACTGGAAGGTCTTACGGATTCCTATTCATGTCACATTGTACTGATGAACTGGACGGCAGTGCCAAATTGGGATGTTCATCGCTTTGGTTTAGTGTTGCGATCGTCCGTCCACAGAAGCCCCTGAAGTTTATAATGTCTGCGACCACATCCGCGTTGCATTTCCAATGAAGTGATGCTCTCGAGCAACCTGGTAGATGGATGACTGATCATGCTCACCCAGGCCAATATGGTACACGGGTCCGTCAGATTTGCCCCCTACTACGGATGGACCTGGACACGGTTTGCTCACACCATCGGTGTGCCTCCACATCGCCAGACTCTGCTTGGCTGAATCATGATTCGGCCCATGCGCATGAGGTGTCTGGTGTAGTCTACAAGCTTCACAGGGCTGTGGTAGAGGTACCAACAACATCGCAACATCAACACCAGCAACTCCAGTGACAGGATAATGCAACAAGGAATAGTACATGTACATGTATAGAGTCACCAGTGGAGCCAAACCCAATACCTCATACCTCATACCTCATACCTTTTACAGCCCCATTGCTAAAGAGCAAAGCATGATATAACTAACTGGCACTCTTGTGGTAGGATTTGGCTAGGGGCAAGGGGCAAGGGGGAACGGGACTGTGGTCCACGAACCCGCCTAGCCTTCTCCGGCATGTTCTCCAGCGCCACTCAACCGATATGTTGATCATCAACGGCGCGCAACTACTCGGCAGGTCCTCATCTGCATATACATACCATACCAATAAGACTTCTCGCCTCGTCTCTTTGGACTGCAAACTGCCCGCTAACGCGCTGCAGAGTGCACCCGAGAGCCCCGCATGTTCCCAATCTTCTGGAGTAAGTACTGCGAGGTCAAAACCACCCCTTCTCTTAATCTCATAATGGAGCCCCAGTGCATGAAGGCGAGGGTCATCTGAAAGTTCCCCAGTTGTCTCATTCCGGCAGGCATGAAACCATGCGCGCGCACTTTCTCGGTAGACACTTAAGTTGCTGATATAGCTCAGGGAAGGGCCCGAAAATCGACTCGCCATCCATTAGCCCGTAGAGAAAGCTTTCCCCTACAACCTGGAACCTGCTTGCTGTCGTTGGGCGTGAAACCACAAGATTGCCGCCGCCGCCAAGCAAGGCGCAAACTACGTCGCCCTCAAGTGCAGAGGTCGGAGCCATCCCGATGTAGCCTTCTCCGGTAGAGATAAAGCTCCTTCCTCTGGCATGGTTAAAAAACGAGCCAAAGAGAGATTCAAGCGCTTGATCATGATTTTTACCTTCTGCGCGAAGGAAAATCGAACGGGCACCGTCCATAAACGGCTTCTTCATCGTTGGCACACCAAATCTTGGGGGATCCTGATGCAGGAAGGTCGTGCAGGCGATCGCGCCGCAGAAAGCCTCCAGCAAGCTGCACCCATTTGTGTACCTGGCCGTCAATAAATCTGGCGGCATTAGCCTGAGGACCTCGTATTTGATGTCCGTTTCCGTCTCTATTGACACCTTATCAGCCCTAATAACAGTTGCGCAGATGACGCCCGCCACGCGGAGAATCCCGTCTCCAGGAAACACCGCATTCGATACCGTGGCGCCTGCAGCATTGGTCTCAAGAAAGGTCATAGCCAGCTTCGGCACAGACCAAGCATTTCGCACGATGAGAGAAAATATAGATCTCCGTACGTTGCTAGACTGCCTCGAACAACGTCCTCGTATACCTGATTGATCGTCAACGTATAATCGGGCGTGATTCCAAGCGAGTTTTCCACGATACCCAGCAGGGTGTAAATCTTGTCCCTTGGATCTGAACAGTGCTGTGTTTTTGTGTAATTGATCAAGTCCACCAAGCCGCAGGTCACGGCTGGGTCGAAGGAACGTCGCACTACCTCGAGGCGGTCGAACATCTTTGGGGATGATTGTACAAATTTTAAGAAGATGCATAACAAAGCATCGCGCATCGAGGTCCAGAGAATCGTCTTCTCCCCGCACGCGATAACTGTGTCGATGTTCGCAAGTAGGACCTCTTGCACCACCCACAGGCGCTCGAACCAGTCTCTGAACACGAGATGACTCAACGCGTCGAGCTCTCGCTGCCGGTAAGGTAATGGTTCGTAGCGATCCGCCAAATGAGACTCATGTTCTCCCAGAGGGGTAGGTACCATACTCTGGGTCACCCAGTCGACATGAACCTTTGATGCCAGGTCCGCTAGCAAATCGATGGCAAGGCTGCTGTCGTCTGCTTCCGGTCCCAGCCAAACGACCACTCGCTTGGCCCGTCGATATACGTCGCCCATTCTTCCAACCTGCTGACCTCGTTCTTCTAGGCTGTTTTGATCAATGCAGATGGCGTCGATCCACATAACCCTGGGATTTGTGCGATGACGAAGGCACCCCAAGGCCTCATATAGGTTTCGAGTGATAGACAGAGAGCCATTATTGATCGTGATTCTCTTCTTATCGGCTTCTGAGCCCCAGACGTAGGACAGAGCCTCGTATACTAGCGGGTCGGGTTCGTCGAAGGGTCGTTCTTCTAGAGTCACCCTAATCTCATCTGCAGAACTACCCAGATGCAAGGTCGCGAGCCTGATGTGGTGTGAGTCGGTGGGCAGTGGCAAGTAACTGTACTCAGGCCCCCTTTCTGCGGCGGAGTCGAGTTCGGACATGTCGGCTTACGCGGCGGAGGATGTGTTGGTTGATGATATTGCGTCCGAAAAAAGGAGAAGACAATGGTGGAGTGATCATTCAAGTCCATGTGTAGTTGTATTAAATCTCTAGCGAGGCAGTGAAGCCCGGACGCCCAGAATCACACATCACCCCCTCATTGCCCTCGCCATATTGGACCAATCACGCGCGTAAGCCGGCTGTGCGATATTTTCATGCGGCTCTTAGCAAATCGCCTATCGGCAGGCAGAATAGTCAGCTGGGATAGTGCTGTATTGGAAGTGGAAAGATCGGGTCTTGCCATCATACAATCCCCCAGAGAGAGGCCTCCAGGTTGACCAGCCATGTTCTCAATCGACACGCCTTGCAATATAATTCGCTCTACCCCTTACACATCTACTTACTCCATAGGATGCAGGTAACCACATTGTGCAGAACGCAATTCGATGGCTAAATCACAGCACGCAGGCTGTTCCTCGCCCAGCCGCAGAGCCCCCTAGCCTCTTGGGTCAGTCGCACTACATTCAAACCTGGTGATCACCTCAGACGAGGACCCGAAAGCGCCTTAGGGTGTATATAGCCTGAGACTCAACTTCGCTATGCTTCAGATGGTCACATATTTCCTATGCACTTCCAACTCAACAAGGGCCCGGATTGCCGATGCTGGTCGCCACGGCGGATTTTGGAGAGGGTAAATCCGGTACCAACGATTTGCCCCTGAGGTCACGCAAGACAGTTGAGTTGACGATACCAGACTGACTCTCACGTATCTGTTTTTATCAGGTTGATTTGAGAGAATCTGATAACCCACAATGAGCTCATGATTCATCTTGGGTCTCGACATCGATGCCGCACATGTCAGTCTCACGCGCCAGCCTCGCGAATGCTTCTGTGGCCCAGCACGCAAATGCCAGTCTCGGCTATATAGACTCCAGTCTCGCGAGACCTAGATCTGCTGAAGCTGAACTTCAGCAACGCTCATTATTATTCCACGACTTCATATACCACTACTGCTGGGGAAGCTATTCTGCCTGGGCCCTGGGGAGATCCCCTGCCCCCTGCCCTATACGAACGCTCTTACCGAGGGGGCAACCATCCAAGCTGTGTGCCACAGCAACGCCGCATACTAGCTGAGAGCCGGCACAGGGCAACTCTTCTAGAATGCCAGATTCGCCACTTATCTCGTCCTGTGGCGTTACCAGCATTCTGGGAATCTGATCCGCTGACCATCTTTTTTTCATCCATCATCCTTCAACCACATATTAACTAGCTCTCCATCGGTCATCCCCGCGCACCCAGACTCGTGGCTCGGTTTACGTGGCCACAGAACGTTAGTAGATGGGATGACGGTAAGATTTGCTTTAGGGGGAAACCCACGTTTAGTGGCGGAAGGAGTCGACACCTCATGTTTGCTGGAGCTAGAGGTCTGGTATGGGCGGTAGGTATGATTGCTTACAATACGGGAAAATTTACTATAAATGTTAGAAGACCTTGATGGGTTCTATTGTTGGCACATATGACACGTGTACCGCTCACACCTACAGGTGTCCAAGATGGTAATGGTTAGCGGTTCCACATGATCGGGTTTTTTTTGGGTCCGTACTTTGCTTGCTAAAAATAGGCAAAGTTCTAATAATGCCATATATGGTATAATGTTACACGCTGAGAACTTCTCGGTGGGTATTGTAGCATGGCAGTTACCGTCATATATGTTGAACGAGGCAAAAGCGGATCGGGTAGCCCGAGGCTACTACCATATTTAACAGTATACGGACCCATGCCCCCCAGCATGTGGACATATATAGGGGCAATGACGCGTGTAGTCAAGCTCCTAGTATTCAAAACGAGTGACCGATAGATCTTTCTCTGAACGGGGCCTTTCTGGTGCCGTGATCTGTGGCGAGCAAAGTTCCGTGGAGACTCAGCTCATTCTTGGTATTTAAAGTTGATATTCTCCAACAGTTTTTTTTCAAATAAGTACATCGGCAGCGACTTGGACCCAAAGCACAAAACGCATAACTTAATATATTTGTCTCCAATCTAACAATTTTCTAAAATGTGGTATCACGGGAGTCAGCCAGGGCTCGCCATGTCCCTGTTTTCTTTGCTTCTGGTCGGTTGCTCAGCAAGCCCCGTGACACCGAACGGAGGACCCTTAGCCGGAACTACCCACAATGAGACCAACGAGGCTGTCCCAGGTAGAAGCTTCATTAACATCGATCGCCGGGACTAGACCGGCGATCCTGACCGCCCATCATGGGGCGATAGACAGGAAAAGGGAAAAGGGTAAGAAAAACCGGTCTCTAACCGCTTGGCTTCCATCTAGAACGGCGATCAGGGGGCACTTACTAACTGCATGGATTGTAGTAAAGAAATTCCGTATATCTTGCACCGAGACTCCCTGATCACCATCGCAGTGTGGCTTTTCGGATGGCCCGAGTCCTGACCTTGCTGACCCCGTGAATCTCCTAGATGTGTGGGCGCTCATGAACTCCAGATCGACCAAACAATCAACACTGATCCCGGATGACTTGGCCAAGTATGGATGGGTCGATGCAGACTTTAGTAGCAAGGAGCAACAGGAACGCCGCAAACATATAGACCCCGTTTACAAGAAACTCGGGATCAAGGAAGCCGACGAAGTTCCCGTGGGCTACCTGCACCAGGTACGTCGACGCGTGACACTATGTCTTCGCGTGCATGGAGCGGCTTACATTCTTCTAAGGCCACCAAGGGATCGTTCGAGAGCCTCTTCGACAAGGACCACATCGTGGCGTGCCACAGTGAATCGGCGGCCACAATGACAGGGCCGGGAGGGAAGAAGATCAAGACACCAGCGCTGAACAAATGGTCTGACCTCACGGCTCTTGTATGGCAAAAGAAGTATGGGCACGGGTCTGGGGAGAAGCTGAAGTACATCGCACGGTCCCTGGTCTGGAATTTGAACACCTGCGCGATGGTCGCCAAAGCCATGAAAGCTGCCGGCAAAAAAGAGCTTCCCATCTGGCCGGGTGTCGATTTCGAATACAGCACCGGAGGCTCGGACGACCTCCTCGCCCCTTTCTGGGGCCTTCTCGGCACGTACCATGCTGCGGGCCCTGCTTATATGTTGGCTCAGAATAGGAAGGTTTTTGGCCATAAAGTGATCCCTAAGATCAAGGTCTGGAACGAGGCTAAGAAAGGCTGGCCTGTGTCCGAGGAGTCCGAGGACCTGTACGCAATGTCAATGAGCATGCTCATTTACGTCGAGGATGCTTGATAGTTCTTGAAGGGGCCTGAACTGTGAGATGAGTTATCGAGCTTTGGAGTGCGGACGCAAGAACTCCGGCCGGCATTGGGATGTTTATTTGTTGCCATAGACTGAGCTACATAGCAATTCTGGATGGATTTCAAAACCCGCGTGTGATTATGGTATGAGTCTGGTCCAACGATTCTCTGTCGAGATATCCTTATGTTTTTACGGACTTCCCAGAGGATACTGCACCATGTGAAGTAGCCGCTAGGGAACTGGCGTCTAGGCGGCAACAGATACAAGCCCCCCATGTCCGCGACTCCCTAGAATGATGAGCCATGCCTGCGGAATACGGTCTTCAAGCAACGTTGGCCCTTTTCCGAGAGCCTAACTAGTCGGGCATTCCAGCAATAGAGCTCTATCACCAGGTCAGTTCAGCGAACATCTATAATGGTGACAGGCACGATCGCTATTCAACACAATGGTAGCTCAGAGAACGTCGACGCTCTGACTTGTGGCCCTAATTATCTTGCCTGGATGAACAAGGAAACCAGAAATCTATGCCAAAGAGTTCCTAGTCGCCTGTAATGCACAACGTTGCTCGCGTTGCCGCCATTCGCTTTGCTCGCCAGGAACACCTCCCAGAAGAGCGCCTCCATCTCCTTGCGCACGGCGGTAGCCTGCGACTTGCCACTGTACTCGATATCCTCCCAGTTCAGTCTCTGGTTCTTGTTGACGCCCCTCTTTAGCGGAATGTACCGCGTTAGCCCCTTCCCCAGACATATGGTCTTGAACGAGTCCCTCGCCGTCATCAGACACCCCACCGCAGGTAGTTGAAGACCCGCCGTCTGTCCTTCTCCATGCACGAGACGACTTCGACGGTGCCCTTGAGCTCCAGCTGGCCGCCGTCCGCATTGGGCTTGAGAACCTCGGGGGTGTCCCACGCACCGCATGACGAGAACTTAAGCCTGTCTAACGGCAATACCAGGCCGTAGCCGTTGGCTATCCGGCCATTTCCAATGCTGACTTGGTGCCGTCCAAAACGGGATCGAACACTTGCGGTCTGGATTAGAGTCAACGGAAGCGAGCTGCTCCTCGGTGAAGTCGTCGTAGTTCACGCCGTCTCGAGGCTGGGTAATGGTATTGAGGGAGAGTGTCGGGTCCTGTACTTCAGGTGCCCATGTAGGGCCTCAGAAACCCCTTTGGAAACACAGCAAGCACATACTAACATGATTGAGCATTCTTACACATGAAAAAATCGTACATGCCATATGAGGTGCTAGATCGGGGATAGACTATTCTCCAGGCTGTCATAAACAACATGCCCCTATTTACAGTCTTGATGATGACATACGCTATCACGCCCTTGGCCTATACCGCAAATATACAGGCCGCGCCGGTTTCTTCGCCGAGTGCAGTTTCTATTCACCGGCGCAGGGATTTCATTGGACGAGTTGCAATCCTTATTCGACAGTTCCAAGTCGAACATGGCAACGAAGTACGCCGTGATGAGCGCCATTTCCAGCTTCGCAAATCGCATGCCCACTGTGCTGTCGTCAGTATACTGCTCACATTCACACATACAAACACACACTCAAACAGGTATCCATAGAGGAGGAAACAACTCACAGCAAGGATGCCTCCCCGACCCCCAGCCCACATAACCATGCGGCACCTTCCTATCCTCCGCGCGGTCCTCGAAATACCGACCCGGTCGAACCTCCGCGGCTCCGAGTACCACTCCTCGTTCAAGAACACGTCGTCCATCAGGTACGCCGCGAAAGCGCCGTCGGGGATCACCTCGCCCGTGGTACCGATGGGCACGTCGTGGCCGGACGTGTTCTTGCGGAAGGCCGTGCCGGGCACGCACAGCCGGATCGTCTCGCGCAGGCACAGGTCGACGAGCGGGAAATCGGCCTCCCAGTCCGCGAGGGTGAGCGTGTCGAGCACGTCGGCGGCGGTCTGCGCGGGCGACTGCCGGTGCTTGGACACGGCGCTGTCGACTTCGTCGCGCACGCGCGCTATCCAGGAGGGGTCGGCGGCTAGGAAGGCGTGTAGGTAGGCTGCGTTGATGCCGCTGTTGAGCTGGCCGGCGAAGAGGGCGCCAATCTCGAACTGTGACCAACATTGTCAGCGGGCCACTCACATACTATTGGCAAGAAGGAGGGCTAGAATATGGGCTAGACAGGCGCGCCCACTCACCGCAACGATAACCCGAATCCCATACCCCTGATCGATCAAGAACTGCAGCGCATCATCGCGCCGCCACCCCGTCGTCCGCCTCCGCTCCACCAGCCGCTGGAACACCATGGCCAGCCGCGCGCCCGAGTACATCTTCTGCGGATGTCCGAGTGTCGGCAGCCAGGGGAACACGACGCGAGCCGTCGACTCGGAGCCCTCGAACCGCTCGAAGATGGCCAGCGTCTTCCGCAGCAGCGCCGGGTCCTCGGCGATGTTGTCGGCGCCCACCGTGCGCATCGTCAGCTGGTACACGACATCGTAGAAACTGTCGAACGGGTTCGTGACGCGCCAGCCGACGGCGCCTGAATCTTCGTCGGTGTCGGCGGTCTTGAGGAGGATGGGAGCGGCTGCCAGTCGCTTGCAGGCCGCGCGCGTGTCGCCCGTGAGGGCTTTGAGGTTCTTGACGAAGTTCTCCTTCTTCAGCAGCAGGACGAGGGTCTTCGTGAACAGCCTGTCGAAATTTTCGGTTTCGGCCTTGGCGGCTGGCTGGCCTGTGAGGAGCTCGGCGAACCTGGACGAGGTCGATATGTCACAATCAGAATGCCATCCAGTCAAGATTGCCATGTACGCAGCAAAACAGCATTGCTCTAAAGGGTGAGCTTCGCAAAACCACACGCGGCGTTTCCCGACGAGAACTAAAAGGGCATTACTCACCCAGCTCAAAAATTGAGATCCCGACTCTCGAAGAAGGTCTTCCGACCCTCGGGTCCCGAAAGCCCCACGACCTGCTTCTTGCCGACATAGAAGCTAAAGTTGCCCGTGGGCGAGCTACGCAGCGCATCGATGAACCAGTCGCCGCGCGTCTTATAGAAGCGCAGCGTGCCCATGACCGGCCAGTCGCCGTTCTTAAACCACTTCGGCGCATTACTCGGCAGGGTGGACCGCCGGAAGACCTGGAAGAAGACCGTCGCCAGGGTCGTGAGTAGAAGGATCCAGATACTGCTATGCCATCTCTGCGGATGTAGACCTGTGTCTAGTATGTAATCCGTCGTCATTTGCCTTTATGTGTCTTTCCGTCTGTTTATGGAAGGTTGTGAGAAATCATGTATGTTGGTAAAGCTCTTGCAGGTGATGGAGAATCCTGTCTCGAATATGTGTCTCAGGCTGTCTTTGTTGTGCGATCTCGATCAACCCAAAGGAGACAAGAACAGATGAGCCTCGCTGTACGACTGTGACTGGACGACGTGCCCTCGCCCAGTTCTTATCGGTGGTCGATCGCAGCGGTTGATTTCCTGTGTTACCCCTGATCCTCTTCCTCGAAGACTCAGTAGCTCAACCGACCTATAAGTATGACAGGAGAAGGATCGGCTCCCTTCCTCTGCCTGCACATGCTTAGTTCGAGCAGCACCGATGCGAATATGAAGCAATGGCTTCCCGGTTGAGTACCGTGACTAAGACAATAAGAGCAAACAACTGCCCGTCACGCGAAACACACTGGATGAGCGGCAGCAGTCAGTTTTGATTGTTTCCCCAAGCATCGAATGATCGCCACATACCGGACCTGTAGGTGACGTGGAAGACTGCGTTCGGGCTCGTCCCGCACCTCCGGGGCCAACGTCATCCGAGCGAGCTAGTCTCGTCAACGGTCGCCGGCTGCTAGAGCCCGACTACATGTAAGAAGACTAAACAATACTTTACCAATCAGCTAGCATAACTTCCGAGGTACTTCCAGTATAGAATATATGGACCCGTTGGACGATCCAGATTACCACCGGTTTGCAGTCTCACCCCCTTTTGGAACTTCATACTTATCTTCTCACCATCACAATGATACCCGAACGACAACAAGTTAACCAGATCAGCAAGGGATCGACCTATCTCAGGCTGTCTTTCAGTCGGTCCTAATAAGGCCCCCGCACAACAACGGGTAGGCCACTCCGACTGTGCGAAGATTGACGACCCTGTGGTGAGGGCGGTCAGATCTGGAGTTTCGTACCCCAGGAGATGGTGGGAATCGTAGGTATGTATGTGGAGGCCGTGAAACCGAACACGAAGGCAATGGAGAGTCGGCCCCTTATACGGACGCTGCTCCTTAACACACTCATTTGGTGGGTGGCATCTGATCAGGATCGGAACAATGAGTTACGTATAGCTGCCGGGCGTACCAATGGCCATAAAACTTGAAGTATCCTTCAAAAAATCTTCATTCCAGCGACAACACTATCTACTTGGATGAAACAAGGGAATGAGCCGGCTGGTCATCTACCAGGCGCAGCATCGGCGTCTCTTGCTTGGAAATCTCTATAAACACGAGCAACGGAGGGTATCTGATTGCAGCGATCGGTCGCCAAAAATGCAATATAAGTCAGTCAATCACCACTCCTTTCCGTCGTCTTCCACTGTCAACCTAGTGCTCTCCACGCCCGACCGGCTTCTCAAACATCCGAAGAACACCATGCTCTTGTTTCGACAGTTCATTCATGACGTGAACCCTTACAAAGGAAAATTAGCGCTTGAACTCCAGCTGTGATGATTGGACGCCTTCCTTCCAAGCTCCTTGCTTGGCTCATGATTATGTTCAGTTTCGATCCGAGAAGTATTCGAATCAGACAAGATGAGAACACGAAGGGTAGGTACAAGAAGAGAAGAAATAAAACAGCTAGCCCGGATGTGGCCAGCGTGGGTATGCTCAAAGCATTGTTGATAGAATGTGAAGTCTTGCTCCCACGTACAGCGAGTGTGTCGAAGTAATAGAGCGAATGCGTCGGAATATCGTGCGGGTTTTAGAGTGCCCAGGCCGAACTTTTGTGCTCGCGTCGGCCTAGCACTCGCAGTGCGGTTTCCATCGCAGGTGGTCGATGCTGTTGTAACATGGTATGCGAGTCTTTGTGAAACGTGTGCTCCTCTGGTACAGAAGTCTGGCGACAAGCCTGGTCACTCCAAGCTTTCGGAATGTCTTCGAATCTCGTCATCACTGAGTGCACCCATCCAAAGGCAACGCTCGGTGATACCCTCGATGGGTTGAAACTGATAGTGGGTACTGGCCTCTAGTAGTCTTAGCAGCGTCTTTACCACAGAAGCGGCGATGCGACAGCGCTCGAAGTTGACCAGGGGTGCTGTGGTTGGTGAGCTCGCAATCTCGGACGGTCGTTGCGAGTTGAATAGGAGGTCATGTGTGTAGATGCCGACGAACGGAATGCAGCCGGAGTCGGTCGTGATACCACCGCCTTCCATCTCCGCTCGAAGATTGTAGAAGTTCTTTGTTGGGGAGACCAGAGCTTCGAGATCATGCATAGTCTTCAGGTCAGAAGACGGGATCATGGCCCACGTCCTTGTCAATCGCGCTACCTCATTCGATGTCAGAGCAATGGCGATCTGGCTCATGGTGGCGAAATTTCGAAATCTCCTGCAATGTGCCGCAATGTGGAGGTATTTGATGATGCAGCGAGCACGCTCCTCTAGATTCTGGGTGAGCACGATTTCCGAGATGGCCCATTTGACCATGATGTTGAAACGTGCAATGACGACTTCGACACCGCGAGCATCGGTGTTGCGGAGAAAGTCAACCCACGAGCGGGAGTCGTTGTTCGAGTTCTTCCACCTCATATCAATCAGTTCTTTCCAGTCGACTTCGTTGAGAGCATCCTTCTCAATCAAAGTGAATTGCTGGGAGAGAATTTCTGAGTCAAATGCTAATATGAAGGGCAGATGCATGGCCGATTTGTGGTCTGCATCCTCCGAGAATTTGGGTGCACCTCGAAGTGCTTCCTGTGTACCAGTGGGATCTTCGGGGGACTCGAGAGCCTGGTGGTACATGGCGTTGACTGGTGCCGTATCCGGAGTCGGCGGCAGAGGCTTTTGCGACCAGAGCTGGTGTTCGTGCAACTCGGGGATGCTAATTGTGTCAGGCAACATCTGAAGAGCCTGCTCGAATGTTAATTGGGGAGACGGGTTGCCGCTCTCCGGCCTTTGCTGCACCCCGTTATGGGTATGAGATATGGATCCGGTACGGTCAGAGCTGGGACTGTTTGGCGAAAAAGGTCGTTGCGGCAGGTATTCGCCTTGCTCGATCACCTCCGCTGACATTTCAGACGACAGGTCAGAATCGTTGTCGCTTCCCACATCCAAAAATGAGTGGTCTCCGGTGGACTTTGCCATAGTGCGTCCTGACTCGAGTTTCTCCATGCTCTTCGTCTTGGTGACGAACTCAAAGGAAGGGTTCAGCGACGAGCTAGCGATTGCGCCCCCCATCTCTTCCAAGGGCGTATCTGGACCTTCGAGTATCGACTGGTTCGTCCATTCCCGAGCATCGACCCTGCTACGCCCCTCGTCCGTCAGCTCTCGATCGAGTAGCGGGATCGAATTGTAGGTTTCCCTCGACTCTTCTGACAAGTACGAGCTCACTTCCGAGTGCCGCGGAACCTGCAATTTGCCATCCGAATCCGTCTCCGCGTCCTCGTCCTCGTCAATGGGAGAGATGATTGGTAGTTCCTCACCGTCAACATGCTGCAGACGATGTTTGCGTTTCTCATCTTTAGCCCCTGGTGCCAGGCTGGCTTCCGCTCGAAGATCCTGGAGAGCCTTGGCAGGTATTTTCAGGGGCTCCATGGAGAGTTTTGCCATTTTCCTCTCGTATTTGCCCTCCAGTTTCAGTAGTGCGGACTCGACTCCCCCATCGTCATCGATGTCATCGGGAATTTGCGCGAGCTTCTGCGCCTCGGCCTCGAATGATGGTCGCATAATAGGCTTTGACGAATGGGTGCTGAAAAGGGAGACTTGCTGTTTCGGAGCCTGTTCTGCCATAGCTCCCAAAGAGAAAACCTCACCACGGTTTTGGGAGTAGTCGCTGCTAACGACGTCAACGTAGCCGCTCGAGTCTCGTACCGGACTGCGCAGATACGAACTACGCAGGGATTCCGAGTACGTTGTCAGTGAGCCAACAGACCGCGACCTGTGCAGCGGCAGAGCATCCAGATCAGTCACCTTCGTCGCGCCCTTCAAGTCCCCTCCTGGTCTTCTACGAAGAACTCTCAGCGGAGGAGGCATGACTTCTGACCTAATCGAGCCCTCTGAATATGTTGTAGCATCAAAGCTCCGGACTGTTGATCGCGGTGCCAGGCCACTATGGATAGATGCCCACCGGCGATGGGCCATTGAACCTCTGGACCGGTAGCTGCGACTTGACTGCTGTCTCTTGTGTCGTCTCATGTAACTGAGCGGCGGCCTGTTTGGTGATTGTCCGACTACGTCTACCGACGGACGAGGATCGGATTGGCTATACTCAGACAGATGATCGGCATCCAGCGTAGTCATATCGGGAACGAAAGGTGGGAGAGGATTTTCACTCAGGGAAGAATGGAACACATGCTGACTGAGGATGAACGAAGACCTCCTAGGGGTGTTGCCTCGGACGGCCTGACCCGGAGGCGTGATCGGAGGCGTTGGGTTCGCGCCAGTTGGGTCCATGCTCTCGGCAAACGCTTCGACGGAAGGATTCAATGCCGCTAGGCCGCCGCTCATAGCTGAGTTGTCAGCGGGCAAAGTTCCATCGACAATAACGATCGATTTGCTCCCAGTGGTAATCGCAGCGTCGCTGAGCGGTCGAAGTTCATAGGCTGAATCCAGATGGGCAGCTGAGTAATCAACGTCCCTAGTGGGACCCTTAGTAGCTGTAACATCCGATGTCTCCTCAGCCGCATCCTCTCGAACAGCCTTCTTGAAGTCCTCTGCGACTTTAGCTCCAAGTACGTCGACACGCAGAAGCTGCCTGGTGCCGTTGGGCCGGGGCGGGCGTGCCTGTGGCACAATCGCTGTGCCTGGAAGCCTATTTATCGTGGCACCTCGGGGTCCTATAGGTGCGATATCGATGAAGCTACCTTGGATTGGTGAGACGATTTGACCTCGGGTGCTCAGAGCTCTGCGAACACTGCCGATGAGTTTTCTCATGCCCTGGCCCGACATGGCCGATGCAGAGGCCTTCATCTTGGGCTGGATCGCAGGTGGTGGTTGGAAGATTGTGGTTTGCCGGCTAGCTCCCGTGCCCACTGAGCTGTCCATCTCGACGTAAGCTTGCCCAGGGGGTAGAAGATTGCCCCGTACTAAGCTGCCAGCATATGGGAGAGTCAGCAAGAACTCTGCATTCTTGTACAGCACCTTCTCTGTTGTCGTTCCATGTAGTGAATCCGTGAGGCTGTTGTTTCGCTTATGCGATGTATGTGGTCGCACCCTTTTCCCGGTCAAAGCACGCGGAGTTGAGGCGACAGGATCAGTATTTGTGTAAATGGAACTTGGATCGGCAGGATGCGCTCCCAGCGGCGTGCTTGCGTTCGGGTCGGCCATTCGTAGTCCCTTGATTGGAAATGAACACGACGCAACATCAAGACTGGCTATACTAATTGGTGAGGTCTGTTGCCTTTCTAGATGTGTGGGTTGTGCCTCCGGCGTTGCTGGGCGCACCCCGCCAAGCAGGATCGAGTCGATGTGGCCTGCTTTGGACACATCGGCGTAGAAACTTGCATCGGCTTGAAAGTCCCCGTCGGGCAGATGGACACCATAGAGCTGTGGCGGTTCTTCCGACTCCGTCTCCCAGAAACTGGGATCTAGGCTCGGGTCTCGGTGCCCAGCGATGCCACCTGGCGCGATGGGTATCTCGGGGCCCAATGACGATTCGAACTCGGGTCCATCCCAGAAATTTGCACATACACGCCTCCAACACTTCTTGAGCTCCCCTAGTATTTTGAGTTGAACCTTGCGTCCACGTTGCTCGGAAGAGAGTTCGTCGACGAAGTCGTTGAGGAGGTTGCAAAATGTGACGCGGAGATGATAGTCGACCACGAAATCATCCACGAAGTAATTCAGAATCCAATGCCTTATAGCCACAAACGTTCGAACTTTGACTATCATCCCTGTCTCGTCGCCCCGGGACAGGGCCCATCGAAGCCTGGCGATCAGCATGCGGAGCAGATCCGGCGTCTCGAGGAATGAGCGAAAGGTGAGGAAAAAGTCAGAGATCAGCTCGTAATCGAGAAAGCTGGGCGATGTGATCTCAGCAACCAGCCGAGGTGGTGTAGCCGCAGTCACTGCGTTCGTATTGGACGAATATCGGACGACCGATCTGTCGTCGCATGCAGGCTTGAAGGTGAGCGCATCGAACATGGCCGGCTCTATTACCAAGTGTGTTGACACGTACATCGAGCACATCTGCATAGGCAACAGTGGCGAGGAAATGGTCGCGGGACTGAGCAAGCTCGCTGAAGCAAGCTCCATATGAGGGGGACGCCGGCTTGTGATTTGCGGGCTCAATGAACCCGGGTGGAGCGAGTTTCTGTCGCGTTGAGGCCCCTGGGCAAAGGAGATTTTGCTTGATCGAATGTCCTCACTCGGGGCGTATGATGAGCCTCGAATGAGAGGCGTTCCTCCCAAGGTGAATCTTGGAGTACCCAGCTTCCACGAAGGGATCGAGACTTGCATGAGAGGATTCCCATCGGGGTCAATGTCTTCGGTCGTCCTCGATTTCGGTTCCTCCTGCGGCTTCGAAATAACCACTTTGAAACCCCCGGTGTCCTCCTCATGGGCTATGGTGGCATCCTGAATCGTCGAGTCTGACATGGCCCGTCGATGCCGCTTGAGAGATGTCTTGAGAGGTGTCCGTAGGTCGAAATAGGCCTTTTTCCTTATCATGCCCGGCGAAGAGGAGTCCGTAAGAGGTGTTGGGGTCCATAAACTGCCCTGTAGCTCGCTTGTATCGTCTCCTTTCCCACTATCGTGCCGTAAGGCATCTAATCCCGCAGTACTCGGCGGTGTGAGGGGAAATGCGAATTGCGGTTGCGGATATCTTTGGTTAGCTGGGCGCACAGTTGGCCTGTGTTGCGACAGTTAGCTATGGTACAGCAAGTTACGCGCCTCATTTGGACGTCACAGCACTCCCCAAAACGCATGGCGGCAGACAACCCAAAGCCACCTACACAAACTCTGTGGGAAGGGAACCTACCTCAAGAATATCTGACCATTGTTGCCTACGTTCGCAACAGTGAAATGCCTCCCCCCTCGACCCGCGGAACCCCCATCTGGCGTTATGTTCCATTTGTCGCTACGCGCATCCATCTTGGCCTTATGTACATTTTGCCCTGCAGGCCTTCTCTCGCTCGCGGGTAGCAATGGCTTCGAAGTATTGTTGATGGGCGACAAGCGCGCCTCGGTTGGCACGGGCTTGTCGGCATTTTTAGCGTATGGCGGCGACCGTCTCGACTTCGCGTCTCTCACTCCCACTCCTGTGCCAACCCGCGACCTCTGACTCCTCGTCGACAAGTCCCTCCTCGGAGGACCGCGGAGGCTCAGAGTCGAGTGCGACGGTATCGGCGGGTGCAATCCTAGCGGGTCCACGTCCATGTCTCTATGGCGCGGCAGAACAGTGTCTGCAGGCAATGATGGCGACTGAAGGATGCATTGAAGGCCGTATGAACAAGCGCGGCAAGCGACAGACGAGAGAAGAATGATTGATGATTCAGTTCGGCGGTCGGAGAGTGAGGTCGCAATAATAACACGCCGTCGTGCGGAACGAAGGCAGGTATGCTATGATTACGTGCCTGCTGATTATGTTGAATGCGCGTCAGCAGCTCCGCCCCATCTGGTTATTTCGGTATTTCGGTATTTCGTATGCTGTGCTCTCTCTGCGTGCACGAGTGTCACGATGCAGTGACCAGACCAGCGGGAAGGCCGTTGGAAAGGCCGTTGGAAGGCCGGACAGCACAGTGGCGCTGGAGCTGTCGATGCCACCAAAGTCAATTCCGGGAGGCTGCGAGAACCCAGAACAGGAGAGGTGGGCGGTATTGGGTGGAAGAGGGTTCGATGCTTCGACTGGGGTTTGGGGTTGGGGTTGGGAGACGGTGGGCCAGTGACAGTGGCAGGCAGTGGCAGACAGTGGTCAATGTGGTATCAATCAGTGGATCGGTCCAGTCTTGAGTGCCTTCTTGCCGAATGCGCGCCACTCTGGAACGAGAGATGGCCGAATACACTTGGAACACACTGGACTTCTGCCGCGCAGTGGCTTGCACTCACGGGCGAATGGAAAACTTGACATGAACAATGCGCACTGAGGCAATTGAGATGATGAATGACTGGTCGTCTGACTTGATTGACTTGATGCAGGCAGGAGTCGCAGGATGGACAGTTCAAAATGAGAGTGTCTCGACACGTCCAGACGTCCTTCCCTGGTCTGCCAGTCTGTTGGCGCCCGAGCACTGACCAGTGACCAGAACCGACAACACCAGCGGAGGCAGGCAGGCAGGTTCCATTGAAGGCACCTGGCAGGCTCGACTGTGAGTGGCTCAGTGGTCCCGCGCGTTGGAAAGAGCTCCACTAGGATGACTGACCGGGATATTGGGCACCTGCATCCAATGAGGTGGTCTCCTGGATGTACTGACCGACAAGACCGGAAGTCCCGTCAAAGTGGTGCAGGTGGGCACCTGCAACTTGGCGAGGACGAACAATCTGCCATTCGCCATGCGGTGCCTCTCGCAGATCACGCTCACAGGCTCACAGCTGTGGCCACTTCCTGCATGTCGAACATGAATGCATTCGATGCTGCAACCCTTCAACCCCCAACGCTATCTTCGACTCAAGACTGTTGTAAGTTAATATTTTCAGCCTTACGCTTTCGCTGCTGGAATGGCCTACCAAAGACACCGGCTGTGACCGGCCTTGATTACGATGGAGATGGGTAATACTCCATACCGTACAGGCAGATAGGCTCGAGAGTCGAGACTCGAGAGACCACAAGGGTCTTTTGGATGCAGAGGCGGAGACTGACATGACAAAGATGGGTCACTCCCCGAATCGCCTGTTCCGAGGCCGAATTCTATGTCACGATCCGCCTCTTCACTTCAGGTCCTCCCTCTCAAGCCTCGCATCGTCGTTGCATAATCACCATCATGTGAGATTCGATGAGAGTGACACCTGCCTCAGCAAAATAGGTGCCGTTCATATTGTCCAGTCGGTTTCAAATCCATACGTTGACCCTATGGTATCCACGCGATGCCTATAATTCCTTGTTCTATCTCTGTTATCTACCTTATGCTATCGCGATTCGCATCTCCGGAATACTCGTTAGCTCCAGCTTCTCTCGCTTATGACCGACCGACTACCTAATCTTCATCCAGTTACAGCAATCACAGTCCCAACTTGGATGACCCTGGCTAGCAAGACAAACAACAAGCCAAGTTTCCACAAACTAATACCGGTAAGGTACCACATGCATCTAACAAATGCCCGACACTAGCAGACTAGATCTAGAGTTCCAGCTCAAATGACGTTGACAGCCACGAGGCACGAGTAGCGACTCTAGCGAGCGAGAAAACCGACTCTATGGATGCACTGGAAGCAAGTCTTCCTGCGCCGTGCAAGCTGACATCACTGCCCCCGTCCTGGTAGAATCAGCACTGGAATAGGCTGTCTACCCTTCACGACAAGTATCATCATTGCAATATCAAAACGTCATTCACCCTCTTGCTCACAGGCTCGCCACATCGCGTATATTGTTAGAACTCGAGTTCTGCAGCCAGCCTCCCCTCGCGAAGGAACTCATGCATGGCAGGAGAGGATGTCTTGTGCGACTGCCGGAGCTGGGTCTGGATGGACGTTGCAGTTCGTTTATTACACAGGAACAGGAATAGCTGCCCAAGCCCTAATGAGCCCACCAGTCGACGATCCCATCAGGGGTTCCCCAGTCCGCCTGTACGGGTCTCGTAGGGTCTAGACTCTGGACTCTGGAGACGGCTTTGTCGTGATAAGCTGCATTGTTTCCATGCCAAACTTGCTGTTACATCCTCGTCGACTTTGATCATACCTTACGAACATATCTATCTCTTCTCCGAGATTCTAGCAAGAAGCAGGACTGAGTGGGTGAAGGATCATTTGGAGAGCATGCAGGACGCAATCGAGCTTGATTGCAACGGGTCCCCTGTCCGTATGCCCCCCAACCTGCTACCGAATCCAACGGCTGCACAGTCCTTTGACTCCTTTCTACGTACATCGCACAAATCTGGTGAGCCTACCCACCAAGGAGGGGAAATACCTTCCGAAATCATCACTTGATCAGGCTTCGGGCGCGCATACCTAGATCCCACCACGGAGCCGAACACATGACAGGCGCGTGGTCCGCAACATGCAAGTCAAGACGTTATTATCCAAGTGGTTGACAGACTTGAATCGTGTCGCAGGTCTAAATCCGTTAGTCCAGGGGCATGCCGTCCCCGCACGTGTCGAGCCCGCCATCGACCTGACTGTTCGGGCAACAGGTGTGGGTGATCACCGTTGGTCTCGGAGGTGGGTGTCAAGCCCTCGTGGCGCGCTTGCGCTGCAGGATGTCAACAGAGGACGACTAGTAGGTGAAGCCGTCAAATCCAGAAGGTGTTCCTGGTGCCCGCACGTTTTCGATCGATCTTCCTATTGCCCGAAGTGAGCAAGCCGTGGAACCAGTCTGAAGACGGATTCGCAGGCAGACTGGCAAAGACAGCGGATCAGCTCCTGCACGCACGTTCACTACTTATGCCCACCGCTTGGACGCTCCGTTTCGTTTTTCGAATCTTGCCGTCTGATAGACTGACGCAGAGATAAACAGGGCTCGGAAACGAAAAGCCCACCTGCGATATTACAGTACAACCGAGCGCTCAACTTGCGACAGAAGCAAACTGTATCTCCCCAGTCGCGAATCCTATTAATCCCGCTTGCCTCTTACCATCACTACTACATAGTAATTATAAGTAGACCAGGCAGTCCGCGACCTGAGGTTATCTCTCGGGCAACGAGCCGGGACTGAATCGGCTGTACCTCCCGACGGACCGTGTCATTCGAATGACTTCATCTCGAGAGTTAACACTGGATATCAGACCGACAAGAAGGCCAGCTACGTCAGCATATGACGATGGCTCATACCAACTAAGTAAGGTAGTAAACTAGGTAGCTAATGCCTCCCGAGTCCCGGGCCGGCTCCGAGACAGCCCGCCAAAGCCATGAGATCGTGAAGTCCCCCAACCAAGACTTGTCCAGCCGTATAGTTACCATACATGGATGCATTCAGCGATAGTCTCATACAGATTGCAGGCAGGTGAAGTCTTAGCACGTCAGATTCTCCTCGCTCTCGCCGAAGAGGTGGTGTGCAGCTACGTCGTAGTAGGGTTGCCAACTTTGGAGATCGTCAACCTGCTTCCATGTGTGAATGCCGTCGTGCAACTCCAAACCGCTCAACAGATAGCCAGGCTGCATGATGGCGCACCCTCCACGGAACCGCCACTAGGCAGGCTGAGGCATGTCAATTGCGCAATACTGCTGTAGGTGAGTGAGGTCTTTTAATATGGCTGACTGTCCGCCATGGATCGTCTAGTAGGAGGGAGCACCGCTTCATGCATGTTATTGCCATGCCACAGCGAGTATCGAGAAACGGAAGCCTCCAAACGGTTGAGCCCAACAGCTCCCCTCGTCCAGCCTCGTCACATCGGCCTGTCATGCAGCACAGGCCAGCGATCAGAAACGCATGACATAGCAACTTCATGGCAAAGCAATGTGGCAAGAATAGCAAACGAGAATTCGGAACGATCGTGTGCCTCCCTCTCACCATGGGTGCGGCACTCACTGCATTGCCGAAATAGACCATCACCATAGCAGTCATGGTCAACCTCCGAACCCGATGCGCAAAACTTGCCAAGCGGCATCCCCCCAACACAGTGCCCGACCACTGAGTCCCATTGACCTGTCACACGGCGCTCTGATGCGCGTGCCAGTCTAGATGCCGTCGCGTCGATAACGTTGCGAACGCGGCTCGCGAGGTATCAGGGATCCCGTTCCCCCGCGAAATCCCATTCCGCATTTTCGCGTTTAATTAGAAAGGAGGTCAGTGTGACAGGCTCAAAGCATAAACAACACTGCATGCCTGTGATAGCAGACAGCAGACAAGCCTGCGCTCCTTGGGATCTCTGTCATAAGGATCCAAATCTCGTTGCGCCGCTTGGCCACAGTCCATGCTCGGTGTCGCTCTCGAAACGGATCATCACACTTTCCTGCTGCTGGCAACGGGCGAGTGTTTGCGCGGACGTGAGGGGTTTGCGATACCTCCAACCGACTACGACAGCCTTGTCTTCGTTTGCCTTGCTTGCTTGTCTCGGCCCAACGTGGCTGGCAGGTTTCGATGTCTCATCAACTCCGCACTTGAGAACGTTTTTGCAGGCATGCTCTCCCACCGATCTCAGAGGATGCGGGACCTCCGTCTGAATCGCAGCACTTCTATGACGCGGGCACGGCCGGTACCTGACTAACGAAGGGTGGCCGGGACACCGTCCACTCGGGCTGCCTCCCGAGAGAACGGGCAAGTCTCCGACGAAAGCCCAGGACGTCGTCACAAGGTTGATGGTGCCCAGCAAGGCATGCCAAGCCAAGCCAAGCCAATCAACGGCGTTTTCATTGCACACCTCACCCTTTTCGAGACTTGGGTCTCCCAGATGTTGATCGTTGCAGAGCCGTGAGTCCGATTCAGGAAGCTGGAGAACCCCTTGTTGCATACCGCCTACATGTCCCACACACGCACGCAGTTGTCGCCAGTCGACCAATCCGATCCTTGGGACCCTACCAGTCCACACGACGACATTGAAAGAGTTGCAATTTATTTGCGGCTCTGGCGCTTGTTTGGGATTCCAGCCATGCACTTGCTCTTCACTGCAGTCTTAGAGACTTGAACTTCAGGTTGATCGGGAGTTGTTCTCTGATCAGTCGAAGGCTCAGGTGTCCATCTGCAATGCAAGGGGGCGGCTCTTCCATGTCGGGACTTCCACAGCCCCTTACACGAGATGACGAGTCTATGTTCGAAACAGTTGGCTCAAAGGCCTGGGATCTCCCCCAGCTCTGTGACGCGCATCTCTCATCCCAGATCCGCAGCCCATATCAATCACAAGTGAGAGAGCAATCACAACTGAGAGAACCCGCGTGCCGTGAAGGGAAATCCGGGTCAGATTCAATGACACCTCTCTTCTGTTTGGTGTCGGCTACGCCGGCTCGCGTGGCAGACGCTGTCACTTCCCGAGGCGTGCTTGGGTATGCACAGCAGCATGACCTGTCAGTCATGACTGTCCACGGGAATTGGCAGGACTGACATCTGTTTCGGCATCTCTTCTTTGGGTAGAGTTTGCGATCTGCTTCTCAATGTGACGTGTCTAGTCAGTCGTTCTGACTCAACGAGGCAAACGTGATGGCTCCATTGCATGGCTCCCTCCGTCAACTGCCGGTGAGTTGAGACTGCGGCTACGCTTCTGCCGCAGCTGGACCCGGCATATTGGTGACAATCAAGACTGTGTCGTGACAACGCTTTGCTATAATTGGACCTGTAGGAAGACTATGCGGGAGCCCCTGGTATCTACACCGCCATCGAGCTTTCTGTTTTCGTTGCTGCATTCACGCCGATACCCAGGAGGTCCATGGACTGCTGTGCTTACATGAAGCGGGATATACTGGCCAGTCTGAGGCAGGTCATAGGATACGATTGCTTGCTTGCAGTGTCACCAGAAGTGAGCCGTGAGCCTCCCCATTCGCGCGTGTCCGCAGCTACTGAGACTTCGGCCACCCGGAAAGTCAAGCCCCGCAGCCGCCTCCGTTTGCTACGGTTGCCGATGATTCGTACCCGACGTTGGCTCCGGTCTGCCGCTGGTCTCATCTATTCCACACAACGGGGTTCCGCGTGCTGCCTTGCCTTGTTTGTGAATCCATGCACGATACCCAACGCCTTTGCCGTATTTCCCCCATACTAGGTAGCCTTTGGCATGCCGGTACGGCACCGTGTTTGATATCCGAGGGGGTTTTGAGTCATTCTTAGTCAAATCTGCTGGTTTCCGGAAGCCAACCCAGAAGGACAGGGCGGAATGCAGAATATGTTTCTTCGCGTCTTCGTCAGGATAGCAGCTCCGGGTGCCAACTCATGTCACCGCCACGCCTCTGAGCACACATTGGTGAGCTGGCCCTGCTATTTTCCGGTCTCAACATGTTATTCTTCCCACACTGGCCAAGGCAGAGGCCAACTGACAGCCGGCACATGCGGCTTTCCCTCAGTCATGAATCACCCCGTACGCGGAGAGCCTTGTCTGATGATGTGGCCGGACCACCTTGATGTCCAACATCCGGCTGGCTTGGGAGCGAGTTGACCAGTTGCTGTGGTCAGAAGTTCGGGACTTGGTCGCTTTCGCCCGCTTCGTTGCTGGAGCTTGTCACCAAGCCAGCATGTCTGCGCCGAAGACCTGTGTGTATATATACGGCCTCCCCATCCCCTCGCGTTCTTCTTCCGATCTTACTCATTCAACTCCAGTCCTTCATCGACAGGAATATATATATACACCACACCAACCACCATGACAGATCTTTCCTTTTGACCATTCTTTCAGTACCAGGCGACACGACCACTGCTCTGCAGTGAGTTATGCCTTTGATTTGAAGTTTCTTGCTCCACCGAGCTACCACCGACAGGCTCAAAGCACTCGAGGCACAGGACAACGCGCCGACCAGGTTGTCCTTTGCTCCCACTGACGAAGGCGTCAGTCCGACGTCAGAAGCGTCCACGCGTACAGTGTCCTTGGTAGATTCCAACCAAGTAACACGGGTACGTTGGCCCTGTAACTGCGTGCTGATGCGTTATGGACTAATAAAGGACGCCATTCAGCCGCGCTGTTACACCGACGGGCTAGAAAACCACGGCCAAGTCTTTCGGGCGAGGAAGCCCGCGCAATGGTCAGTCGTCTAGGTTGGTCTCCATCAGCGACGAGTCCGACCCAACCAAGCGAGTATGAATGTCGCAAATGGCAGTGCCAGCGGCCGACGCACCACCTCGTCCAGCCAGCCGACCGCCTCCGCCAGCCGCGTTAAGGAGGCAACCCCACGGACGAACATCCACACGTGCGCTACACCGTTCGGGTAAGTCACCAGAAACCTTCCCCACTGCGCTCCCCCTCAGAGGCATCAACAGACCAGTTGCTTGCCCACCTGATGGTACGTAAGCTGACTATACCAAACGGCCAGCCAATCTTCCAGCAGCCACGACCGGGTCTCGCCTGGCGGCAAAGCGACAGTCCATTTCTGCACCTGGAGGGATCCACGAAGAAGAACTGCGAGGTTCCGAGACCGACAGGCTGCTCGGAAAGATCTGATCATGACCAGGCCGAAGTTCAACGTCATGAACACGGACTAAAGGACATCCATCATCTTACAAGCGATGGCAAAGTTCGAGGCAGAACAGCGCCAAACGGCGGGTCTTCTCGAGCAATCCCGTGCTGTGAGCACCCCAACTGGAGATAGTCCCTCGAGCCGGACGGGATCCCGAAATCCGGACTCTGGTATGAGGAAGACCACAATAAACCCCCCTGCCATGACTATGCTTACTGATTATTAACAGAGCACGTTAAGCCGCCTCGACCGCGCGGCACCGGCAGGGACGACCTCATCGCGAGAACTGAAGACTCTATCGAGCGTGTTGGCGATCTCGGGCGTGGCGCCGAGGAGCTTTTCAAGTTCGTGTACTTGAAAGGCGGTGCCGTCGTCAATGCCAGTGCCCGGGCGCTGGGGGTCGAACACTTCCAGCAAAGACCGGGTTTGATTGCCAAGGTCCTGGATCTGATCTTGCAATATCGGATGAGCAACGGACCTAGACCGATGTGTGTTCTGGCGCCAGTGCCCTTCATACGAGCTCGCCTTGAGGGCTACGGAAACAATCACCCGAGCCTTTTATATGGCGCCGCCGAACTTGGATCCTGACTATCTCACCGATGTCCTGGAAGAGATCACGCAGCGGATGCGATTACGGAAAGCAACACCGACCTTGAACACCTCAAGATGCGCAGCACACTCGGGAACCCCAAGACCAGGTTCCCCTTCGAAACTGAGATCTCTCGGGGAGAGTCGATATCCACAATCTATCGAAGTTTCGTCTCTCTTATGAGAGGTGCGCCTGGGCAAGAGCTAGCATCAGAGATTCACGCAGCAATGTCTCGAGAAAGGGACAAACCTCTGCAACCAAGTACCCTCGCCAAGTTCGTTTACAAACATTGGGGCGCAGCTACGAAGGGCGATGCCTCGAACATATCCAAGATGGCGCAGTACTTTCAGGCCCAAATCGCCAATGCAGAAAATCCAGGGATTCCGGGCATTGGTCCACGCAGGAAAATGAGAAGATACATACACAACATCGATTTACTCGACGACGCACTCGAGTTCTTTCACCGTCCCACTCTACCGAAAAATAGAAAAGCCGGGGTCACTTTGATGCGATCTCACAGAACTCTAGAACTTCACGACGATGGCAATCCCCATTCCTACGCATCCCCACCCACTGCTTCTGGGCCAACTCCAGGAAGGAAGACCGGGCTTCCAATACACGGAGACATGAGGCTGAGCTACACGCTGTCGCCGCTCCTGCTGCTGTCGCCGACGGTAACAATGCAGAGGAAGAGGCAGAGGACGTTGTTAACTCCGGTCTGGTGCCATCCCAGCGAACGCAGCTGATTGAAAAGCTCCGAGAGAAAAGCAAATACGGAAACGGAGGCAGAGCCCAACGAGGTACTTATCGACGAAGGAGAGGACGAAGAGGACGTGACTGATGAAAAGGAGGATCTTGACAACATTACAAAAAGTGACGACGTGGTATTGCGCCACCTGCTCAATATCTCCACCAACCATAATCCCCTACCATTCTTCCTGTTGTCGCCCAAATTTAAAGGCATCTACGCCAGATGGGTAGACGAGCTCCGAATCCTGAGCGTCGGGGTCGCCTACATCGAAGGCAAGAGAAACGAGGTTGCAGACGCCTTGTCACGCACCATCTTCGAGATTCCTTCGGGCCAGTTACCCATGACTGAGGCTGAATGGCTATCCGGGTTGCTCTCTTGTTGGGAGGCGTTCAAAAATACTTCATGAATACATTCGCAGCCCTATGTATATACCAAACCATTCATCATGACGTTTTTTCTTTCTTTTACGTTTTCTCCGACCGCGCTTCGGCTTGGATTTCCGCGACAATCCGGACGCATTTAATAATACCCGTCAGATGCAGATTGCCGATGTTACGCCTGAGCTTCTGGAGCGCCTCATCCAACAGTTCGAAGCCCTGCGGAAAACGAATAACACGCCTCAGGATCATCCTCCTGAGGACACGCTTGTGACGCAAAGTCTCCGACCCGAGCATCATGGAGTCTCTGGAGACGCACCACGGACTATTCACCGACGTCGTGGCCCTGTCGAGGATACGAGAGCACTTGCTGGCGCGGGGGTCCGCGCGCAGGATCAGCCTGCTCTACCGGGCGGAGGTGGCGCAGACTCGACAGCCGCCGGATCGCGAGAAATCTGCACCACATGCTTGAAGGAGATACTCGATGACAACCTGGACATCGTCCAATGTCGCTAGCCGTCAAGCATCGCCACGTCGGCCGCGACGACGCCCGAGAAGAAAGCGCTGGCCTCGAACAGGCCAGGGCACGGCGGCGCGTCGAGACACAGCCACCTCGAGCCGGACTTCGTGCGCGAGTGGGAGAATGGGTTGCAGAGCATCAGCACCGTAGCTCGCGTTCCCTCCAGAAAGCCACGCAACACCCCACAGACGTTTATCTCGGCAGAGATTGTCTGGCTGCTATAACAGGAAGATAGGGGGTTTGATGATGAAGAAGATGAGCTGTTCAGGCAAGAAAGAGAAGCCGAAAAAGGAGGCCCCATCTAACCTTGCTTCTTGCGTATCTTGGAACAGTGATACTGCGAGGGCAGCCCCTACGCAATTTTGTCTGGACCGGCCAAAGAATACGTATATGCTTTCAAGTTCCCTCTCGATAAGCGCAACCTATCGGGACCTCTGCCAGGTGGAAGGCACTATGTTCCAACCGGCATCGACACACTCTGCCGTACCAGCCGCAGCAGCGAAGCAGCATTATAGCAGCAGCTCACGGCATTGCAGAAGTCAGTTCAGAAGCGGCTTCGTCACCGCCACAGGAAGAATCGAAGGTACATCCGCACTCGAGATGACAACGTCGTCGAGAAGGATGTGACTCCAGATAAGGACGAGCGCCCCAAGAGAAGGCGCCTGAAGAGGAAGATTGCTAAGCACTTGGTGTGTGAGGCTCCGCCAGAACACCCTTTCGTCGCCAATTGCGACTTCTCGGATTTACCCATGCCGAAGTCATCAGAATGGAGGCCGCCTACTAGAAGGCATTCCGATACTCCATTTCTACGATGAGGATTACCGTCTTCCGGCAAGCCACGTGCGTGTTCGACTGATTGTTTGATTTTGTCGCCGGGAGAACGAAGCAAGCTATTATCACCAGCAACTCTTCTAGCATGAGGTTCTGTGGCTTGTGGAGAATCTCGCGAGCGGAGACGTCCCGCCCGGCGTAACAGCTTGTTCATGAATTGTAATAAGGGGGACCTCGCAAGGAGCAGAAGATCACGTGTGGAATGATCTCCAAGCGTGTCACTACTCCGGCGGATGCCCTATCCAGTACGTGACGGATTTCAGCAACCTGGTGGCGCGCAACGCGGATGTGGGCAACACCACGACGGAGTCTCAACAACGCGCGTTGTTCTTGGCAGGAGCTCGAGAGATAGCGAAGGACTGGGAGAAGCGCTCGCGCTCGTTCGTTCGTTATTCGACGAAGATGACGATCCGCGCACTTCAGGACGACTTCCTCAGTGAGCTCCTGAATGTATGGATAGCCTTCAACTACGCAAGGCTAGAGGCGGATGCAGGCCATATCGAGGCCATTTGGGTACCAACAGACGAAACCCCTGCTAACGGGCTCACCAAGCCCCTGGAGCAAGCAAAATTTGAGAAGTTCGTGAAGATGCTGGGATTGGAGTCCTTGACTTACAAGGCACCGATCGATACGACGAAACTAGCTGCCCTCGCCTGACGCCATGAGGGCGTGTGGAGATTTGGGCGTCTTTCAGATGCGGTGTCAGCTGACAGGCAGCCGGGATGGACCAGAAGTGTTGGTCAAAGGAAGAAAGGGGTGAAAGCACTAGAATGATGGCTTTCAGAGGTGACGGAGAAGAGATCTTTGTACAGAAGATCAACGGATGGGCCAACATTCGTGGTTTAGCCGGTAGTCACGATCACGCAATGAAATCACCGTATTGGCACCCCATACTTTGGTTCCACGGTTTCTACATGGTAGCACAGACCATCACATGTCATGACCCCTGTTTTCCACAGGGGGGCGACGCCTACCGTTAGGTCGTCGAACGAGCCAGGGCGTATGGAAGATCGTGTCTTTCATTTGTTTCTCTCCCTTCACAATCTTACCTAATGGATGTGACAAGCCACGGGCATGCAGTGAGCGATCGAACTCATCCATGGCCTAGTCTTCGGCGACTGGTCAGCAGTGCCAGGAGTCTTTTTACTATCAGTACCGGAGTCATTGCGGGCATCAGACTGCAAGACCTAGGAGCAGGCGCGAGGGTCTTTGCCCGATCACCTATGAGTGCAATCATGAGATCGGCTCTTCGACACTACAGCAAGATCTGTATTTCTCACTGGATGTGTTGTGTCCACTCTCGATGCACTGCGGGTCACGGGGAAGGTCCTCGGTGAGAGCACATCGGTTGGTGAAGGATGAGAGGGCAGCGACCTAACGACGACCTGACTTTTGGTGCCCTCGGCTTGGAGCGATGACATGGTGGATGAGAACTAGAGCGACTCAACAAGGGCAATTGATGTGCCCTGTACTCGACAGAGGTAGGGTGCGACTCGTGATGCCCTGATGAACGTGGGTCAAATACCAAGAAAAACAATAAATGATTGTGTGAACTATTACTACTATACATACGAAATATTACGAAATCACTGTTGCGCTGTGACCCGTATGCTATGCCCAGTTTTTCCCAATGCTGCTTCGAACTCCAGCGATCCGAGACTCAAACACCAAACCAATATCCTACAAACTCGTTGATGTCCCCCAATACCCATACCATAGAACAAACACCAGCCAACCAACCAGCCAACCTACCAATGGTTCCGCCCCCTTAAGCCTATTCATGTCATACACACCTCCGATTCTTACTGGCGCCCTGAAACCAAGCACTCTGCACATCAATATCCTCCGCGTCGTCCTTCCGCCACCACGCCCCCGGATTCGACGAGCTGCGTCGGTGGTCCCCGGCCTGCGGCTTCACCCCAACAGAGGCAGCAGACCCAGGCGCAATTGTATTGCTACGCAGCCTGCCCATATTCACCTGCTGTAACGCTCCCTGACCAGAAGACGCCGCACCCTGTTCCGGGTTGGGGTTGGGCTGCGGGACCGCATTGGCCTGTGTCCGGGGTACCGCCTGGGACTGGTTGCCGCCACTCTTGTTCAGGGCTTGGCTGTACAGCATCTTCCCGCCGTCATGCTTATGCTTCGGGGAAGTGACGGGCTGGTCGCGGCTGGGTGGTTGCGGGGCCCAGCCGACGTTCGTGAGGCGAGGGCGGTGCTTGCGGAAGGTGAGGCGGACGGGGGACGAGCCGCTTGCCAAGGATGCCTTTTGGGCCTGGGATAGCTTCGGTGTCGACCCGGGATCGTCGTGCGCTTGTGGCTTGTATTCGGCATCACCCTCAGCTACCCGACTATGGTCTGCATTAGGCTCCGCAGTGGGTCGGGGTGTAGCCTGTGTGGAAGTGTCCTCACGCTCATTTACTTGTCCCCTAGGAGTAGCAGATCGTGCTTCTTCCTCATCCACCTCGCTGCCCCACGACCGAAATCTGACAGTCGCGTCTGGTGTCTTCGGCCCAACCGCATCATGTGATGGGGTATCTTCCGCCATCGCTTGTGGAGGTACCTCATCAGTATCGGTAGGCTGATACATGCCCAAATTTGGCTCTTCCCCAGCTTGAGAAACCCCAGGTGTAGTGGAAGTGGAGGCAATCTCAAACAGGTCATCCTCGCCGTGAACGGTCTCGTTCTCTACCGGCAGAGGTGAGTGAGTTTCTTTCAGTGCCTGCTGTCCAGCAGGCAAGAAGTCCCCGAACTTGAAGTAGTCACCAGCCTGTTGCGCCGGCCGCGTCTGGGGCTTCGGAGTGGGATCGAGGGTCGACCCGCTTGGGAAACCGAAGACCAGGTCCCCCTTGAGAGGACTCGGGGGTGCTAAGATATCGCTGTCCCCACGTGGAAGTACTGGATGTCCCGGAGGATGTGCTAGCATGGCGCTCGTGACAGAGACACCACGCATCAACCGGTTCTGTCGTTTAGACGAAGACGGAATTGCTGCCTGTTCCCGGTCCATTTGATTGTCCGGCTCGTTTGGGTGCCCTGGTTGTCGCTGTTCAGATGGAGTTGCATGCGGCGTGTGCTCGCGGGTTGACTCTTGCTCTTCGCGACGCTCTGCTCCGCAGTCAGACTCGATGGGCAGGGTGACGCTGGAAGGGACAACGCTGGAAGGGGCAACGCTGGAAAGGGCATTGATTTACCATCAGTACTACTCTCTTCGTTGGAGGCTACCCCTGTGTCAGCGTCCTTTGGCGTGTGGCTGTGGTCAGGTCCGCTGCTACCATGACTGGCTGTGGCTTCTGACTGCTTCATGGGTGGCATACCAGTTGGGCTTGCATGTGCATCGGTACGCAGTGAAGGTTCCTCGGCCGGTGGAGAGCTTTGTGAGGTCCGGTCTACGCCCCGTTCGGTGCTGGTTGGCTCCTCAGTGGGTTGCTCAGCGGGTTGCTCAGCGGGTTGCTCAGATGGTTGCTCAGATAGTTGCTCCGACGGTTGCTCCGATGGTTTCTCAGAGGATTGCTCAAGGGGCGTTCCCTGGTAGTCAGATGCTGTGATAAGGTCATCACTGGCCGGCTGCTTCCCTTCAACATCTGTGGTTGCTGGATCGGGCTGGTCTAAAGCGGCTCGATCACCAGTCATGTCAGACTCAGGGACGAGATGATCGCCACCTTGTTCGTCCTGAGACTGGCCGGCCTCGGTTACACCACTACTCTCAGACGCGAGTGCTTCAGAAGGCTGTTGAGCAGCTTGTAGCTCCTGGTTGTGGCCAGCAGAAGGTGTTTGAGATGGTCCCTCATTCGCGGAACTGGGTAATTGCTTCTCAATTGGAGTTCTTGGTTCCTCGGATGAGCTTGGTTTCTCATCATTCAGCTTGGTGGTGGCGCTGGGATCGACATCGGTCTCGATGTTGGTAGGTGGTTGAGATGTGGACTTGTCTTTGTCGGAGGCTGGTGCTGCTGTAGCGGTGGGATCTTCAGCGGGTTTGTCCTCCTGGTTGGTATGCTCCGGCTGTTCGTAGGTAGGTTTGGTAGCGTTGTCTTGTTCTGGTTCCGTTTCGTGTCTTTCTTTCTCGACGTCTGGCTCCTCGACGTCTGGCGCCTCGACGTCTGGCTCCTCATGAGCCCGGTCTTTCCCCTCCTGAGGTGTACCTTCAAGGTCGCTCCTTGAAAGACCCTGTTCCCGACTTTCCTCATCGTCTTCCTTCTCTCGTATATTGTCATCTCCGCCACCGACTGCTCGCTCTGGTGGCCCATCATCAGCACCGGAATGCTGTGATACCGGAGGGGCTCAGTTGAGCACCCTCCGTCACCGCGGGGGTGGTTACGTACCGCCTTGATCGTCAGTGGCAGGCTCATCATCAGTGGAGCCCTCATCTGTACTTTTCTCGCCTGAGGGATCGTCCTGTGCTTTCGCAGAGGACTTGTCACCAGTCACTTTGGTCGCTGGCTTCTTCTGAGAGTCGCTCGACTTTTTCGATTGGGTCTGCTCGGCGTCTTCCTGCTCAGAGTCATCCTGCTCGGACTCATCCTGCTTGGTGTCTTCCTGCTCGGAGTCATCCTGCTCGGACTCATCCTGCTTGGTGTCTTCCTGCTCGGAGTCATCCTGCTTGGTGTCTCCCTGCTCGGAGTCATCCTGCTTGGTATCTTCCCGCTCAGTGTCTTCCTGCTTGGAGTCTTCCCGCTCAGTGATTTCCTGCTCGGAGTTTTCCGGCTTGGAGTCTTCCTGCTTGGAGTCTTCTTGCTCGGAGTCTCCTTTGGGCTCAGCACTTCCGTTGGCACCATCACTTGGCTGCGCTGAGGGGTCCTGTGGAATTCCCTCATTGTCGTCCTTGGCCTCAGCATTGCCGTTGATGCTATCACTTGGTTGTGTAGAAGTGTCCTGTTGACTCCCCTTGTCGTCTTGGGCTCCTATCTCGCCCGCCGGATGTGTGGTGGCTTCCTCAGCTAGTGTTTTAGTTGCCTCGGGAGTGTCGTCGCTGGCATCCAGTTCATCATCTCCTTTCTCAGTAGGAGAAACCTGTTCTGTGTTGGTATCAGCAGTGTTGTCGTCGGCAGTGTTGTCGTCGGCATCCACTGTGTCATCTCCTTTCTCCGTAGATGTGCCTTGGTTTGCATCGGTATCCGGAGTGTTGTCCTCGACATCCACTGTGTCATCTCCTTTCTCCGTAGATGTGCCTTGGTTTGCATCGGTATCCGGAGTGTTGTCCTCGACATCCAGTGCATCATCGCCTTTGTCCGTAGAAGAGCCTTGGTTTGCGTCGAGATCCGGAGTGTCGTCGTCAGCATCCAGTGCATCATCTGCTTTCGCCGTAGAAGGTTCCTGTTTTGTATTGGTATCAGGAGTGCTGTCGTCAGCATCCACTGCTTCATCTCCTTTCTCCGTAGAAGGTTCCTGCTTCACACTGGAATCCGGACTTGTTCCGTTGACGTTCGAAGTTGCATTCTCTTTCACGGTAGATGAGTCCTGTTTTATCGGTGTAGATGCTTGTTCGTTGGTCGAAGGAACAGAAGCGTTGGGGGTGTGACCTTTGACTGAGCCTTTTGTGGAAGCGCCTGTTGCCGCTCTGGCCCGTCTCCGTGTGGGAATAGCTGGAAGTGGTCGTTTGAGTTGCTCGTCGATTTGACGGTTGATTTCCTGTTAGAGCAGTGTTAGTAAAAGCTCCAAGACTACCAGTCGGATCTGGGACGTTACTCACCCGTCTCTTCTCTTCGAGATCCTGCAGCTTTTGCTTTCCGCTCTCGATCACCTTTCGTGCTTCCTCTTCGATCTCTTCCATCTGTTGATCCGTATCATTCTCGACGTTGCTCGTGTCGTCTTCGAACTTGCCCTCCTTCTCCCTATCCTCGTTGGAAGCCTTCTCCTGCAGTTCCTCATCCTCCTTCTGACGGCGAGCTTCGCGCTCTTCGTCTTCTTTCCTTCGCTTCTCCGCGATGTCCTCGACCTCGGCCTTGTGTTTGGCTTCGAGCTCCTCCTTCTCTTTCTCGAAGGTAGCACGCAGATCGGAGAGTAGCTGCTCTCGCTTCTGGTCTAGTTCATCGAGTCGCGCATCTTGTTCTTCGGTGGATAGCCCCTTGACAGTTGCATTGATTTCCGACAGGGTGTCCTGCATCTGCTGGACCAGCGAACCGACGTCCATCTTGGCCAATGAGCCTTGCTGAGGCGCTTCCTGGTGAGGCGCTTCCTTGGGTTCCTCGGGTTCCTTGGGTTCCTTGTTGGCACTCGAACGGAAGATCCCGAACATGATGATGTAAGGGTGACTGTAAGTGAATATAACAATACCTAATTGGTTCAGACTATACACTATACGCAGGCAGTCCAATGCACCCGAGGTAGTTGACTATACTCGTCACCGTGAGGCCAAAAGAAAGACACAGATAGGACGGAAGTGCAGATGGACGGAGAGATTCATCGAGTCGACGAGAGTTTGGGACACCTGGGGTTATGGTGGTCTTGGGTGTGGTGGCCACAGGCAGTGGTGATTTCACTACGCCCAATGACCACTTTGCAATGACGTCTGTAGGCTTGCTCTACTCGTCTAGGCCTGCCACATAACCTGGTTTTTCGTGCCTGCTGGTTACACCAATTGCGGTAGCTTGGGCATGTCCCCAACAATGAGAGAGATATATCATGGTTGTGGCCCCCTTGACGGTGCTAGCAGGGCGCGATCGAGTCGAAAATTGCCCCGATGATGCAGTAAGCTATCATCCGGACGTGGAGCTAAAAGCCACGCCGTCAGCGCGGCGCGTACTACTTAAGTTCGTGCGTCTCATCTTTTCAACGTCCATCGGTCGATTTGTTGGTTGTGTTGAGGGGAAAAGTTGGAGGAGGATTGCAGATGTAACAGGCCGGGCCCTAGCTAGCTCTGGAGCAGTGCCGAATCAGCGTCGTCCCTTGACCCGAAACACGGCATGCAGCAAGGCAGCTGGTGTGTATGGTGTCATCCTGGGGGGCTGGGCGGCAGGCTGGGATCGTCATCCCCATGCTGGACGGCCCGTAACACAGATGCAGCAGTCTCTCTGCTGTGGTTACCCTCGAAGCCGCGTGCAACCGCTCGACCGTTGGTGACATCGATTTGCGTGTTCATAGAATACAACGTCGAAAGTAACCCAAACATGCCTAAGCATAAAGGTCAGTGATTGAAGACCGCCAATGTCGCACGCCTTCACTATCGTTCCATTTCAGCACCTACCCCGTCACGATGTGGGTGAATATGTCGACCGAGGTACCTGCTCAGAGACCAACTTCAATGCAAAGCTCAAGGTTTGAGGTAGCCCGCAGATGGCTAATCTGCTAGTCGTGGGGTTTCAAACCACAACGGCTCAAGAATAATAACAAAAAATCACCTATGCCATCTCCATCCAGGTGCTCGCGGTAAGGGAAAATTGCGCATGCCTCGTGGTCGGGCGATTGCAGAGGTCAATGGTCGTTGTCCGTCGCTCGCTGGAGACGACGATACGGAGGAGGCGCGACAATGCCCGACGGCACGCTACTAAAGTCCAGTCAGCGCGACAGCTTTGTCCGCGGCGTGGCGAGATGATGATAAACCTCCTTCTTGGCGAACGACGTCACGTTGGCCCTGTATCTCTACATATCCAGGAGAGGAGCGACTTTTTTGCTAGGCCACCAGAACATCGCCCCTCCAGAAACGAATACGAAAGCAAGGTTACTGGTATACTTTCGGGTTGATGACTAGACTCGCGACATGTCCTTGATGCCGATGATAATGCCATGTCTGATCCTATTCCAATGACTGGCAGCACAAGTGACGCTGGCCGTATTGGCCCTGGACATTTCAGACTATAGTGGTTTGCGTAGGTTCGTGCCTCCCAACGAGACACGGCTCGCCGTCCGCTTTTCCGTCGCAACAGCTCCAGGTGAAGGCATACGGGTACGCTTCTACGCGCCAGTCGGTGCTTGTGTCAATGGCCCCGTCCAACTCGATAACCTCATCGTCGTCTACGAAGTGATCCATATCGATTTCCAGTTCGCCTTCATGACTTGGTCAGTAAGCGATACGATGACGGTGCTCGGGGCTCGGCGGCGGCTGTCCCAACGTACCCTCGTGCAGACAACACGCCTCGTCGTAGTTCTCCATCACATCGTAGACCTCCGAGCAATGCTCACACGTCTCATATCTGGGCTTGAGCGCCGGCACCGGCGGCTGCGCGGCTTCGTGACTGTCATCTTCGGCCTTCGCCCTCTTGTGCGCAGACTCCTGCGGTGGCGGGCCGCCGCTGGCTTTGCGTTTGAGGGCATATGTTACCTGTCCTTCGGGGTCGTGGACCAAGAGGTACTGCGCTGCTTGGAAGCTGCATTCATCCGACTCATCCCATATGGACTTCAGGACCCAGCGGACGGTAGCGTCGTCGGCTCCATCTATGGCCTGTGACAGGAACGTTTTGACGTGGTTGATGGTCGCCATGATTTGTATCGTAATTCGCCAGTGGGGCAATTGGGAATGACGCGTGCTGGACGCGTTGTGTCACGCAAAAACGAGGGCCCTATGTAGTCACGCAACGAGGTTATTCCGGGTCTTATAGTGGATATAACAAGTTGATTCGCGATCTTGTCTACGAGCCAAGCCAGGCAGGCATCAACCAGCCTCTCTCTTACCTCAGTTTCATCAGATGTATCCTGGCTGCCTAGGCACGGAGTGTTGGGAATTGAAGGACATAATGTTACGACGCATTGAATTCGGGTGGTCGTAGCCGTACTGAATTGAAGGGGTCCGTGTCATTGCGGCTGTGGTGTGGCGTGTCGCAAAGTGCCCAGCCCAGCCATCCCAAATATCCAGCCACCAGCCACAACCAGTTGGCTGGACCCAGGTGGTCTGTGCTGAACTACTCTCCTTCACCGCCTTTGAATCTATATAAATATCTGCCCTCCCTCCCTTCCTGTGTCTTCTGTTTCCTTTCCTACTTCATACTTACCTTGGAACGAGGGGGGGAGTTCAAAATTCCCTCCCCTCAGGGCAGGAAGCCTGCATTGCACATCGCGGCGCGGACTGCCCTGTATTATCCTTCGGGATCGTACGTTCCGCAATTTTTGCTCAATCAAACCTCTTTTTCGTTGTGAGCGGTGCCTTGAGCACCGCCATGAGGAAGAATAGCCAGCCCCTCGACTTCCGTACTCCCATCTCGAGTACGTTGACAGGCCCTGTTGTGGCTGCCATTGGCTGACGATGATCCACGATGCGATTGGGCTTCTTCGCGACGATGCATCATGGCCTGCAAGTATTTTCCGTTCCCCAGACTTCTCATGAGATCGATTTCAACGACACCAGCACGATATACCGAGAATCAATCATCTTCATGTCTACTTCCAAGTGACTCACGATTGGAGTCTGATCATTGCGCGCTCTGCAATACGAGCGATCAGAAGAAGCGGACAGCAGATGTCACTGAGTAGTCTGGGTAGTGATGCGTGCTCTGGTATCTTGTTGTTTACTCTACTCTGGTCCGCTGTGTCGCCGCCCCCTCCAAGGTGCGGAAATGTACCCGCTCAATGAACATTAGGGCACCTTGCTCCGACAGCCCACGGCTTTACCATATTCCCAGATAACCAAACCACATCAGAGTAGCTGTCAAGGCGAAAGAGCCGACGCTTGGAATATGCGAAGCAGCTCCTCCCTCCGAATCAAGTGTCTCCACCGTAGCCTGTCCAGCAACTTCATCATACGCCTTCTGCGGCTTCCCGTCCGACGCCTCAGAATCCTCCGCGAACCTCTCGTCGCCATCGTACAGCTGTTGGCCCAGACGCAGGGCGCTCTGCTTATCATCTTTCCATACGAGGCCGCAGGCCTCCACGGTCTTGTTTTCGATCGCGTCGCCATCCCCGCAATCGGACAGCACGCCGTCCCAGCAGGCCAGAAAGGGCGTAAAGCTATAATGCCCCGCCTTGCCCAGCGGCGCCTCGGTGTTGGTCGCTGTGTAGTTCATGACAATGGTAGAGTTGAAGTTGGTGGAAGCCGCCAGGGCGCCGGTAGCGCCCTCTCGCACGAGCGAGAAGATGTTCTTGCGCGTTTCGGCATCGGCGTCTACGAAAATGACGTCGGGGTGCACGACTAGACCCATTGCGTAGCGCTCGAAAGAGCAGCCGTCGGCGTTGCCGCCGTCGCTGCTGGCGAGGCTCTCGGTGCAGTTGACGAAGGATGAGACTGGGAAGGACCCGTTGTACGGGGCGGTCGCCCCGTCGGCGCCGTATTCGCCGGTGAAGTCGAACTTCTTGCACTTAGCTGCCGCCAACGGGAGCAGCAATGCCGCTGTTGCATATACGGGATCCCAGGTTTCCATGTTGGAAATGTTTGGTTGGTGAGTTGATAGTGGCAATGGTCAACCTTTCGTTGCAAGGAGTATGTAGGCTGGAATCCCTAGCTAACATGGAGACAATTGGAATCTGAGTCTATATAGTAGGGGGATATGGACATCATCTCCAAGCCTGATGGCGGCACAGCGCTGATAATATGAGGTCATGGCGATGATCTTTGGCTGACACGACTTCTCACAGCCTTGGCGATGCCTTGATCAGAGCTGATCACCATGCCCCCAAGGTCAGACCGCAAGGCCTATCAAGCGAGAACCGCAGGTTGGGGATAATCGCAACTTGCAAGCATCTTCAGAGGCCCGCGCAGTCATTGCCTTACACAGTCGTATTGCTTCTACGACATACCGTCTTTCCGACTTTTGAGAGTTGAGTTCCCATATGAACATACCAATGAAGTATCTGGATTTGAGGGTCATAGCAGCTGGTGCTCGATGGTGACATATGAGCTACACCCTTCCCCAGGTTCCCCCATCTTCAGCCATGTCAGCTTCAAGGTTACACGGAATCGTTTGGGTGCGCTTCAGCCCATTCGCCAAGGCCCGCTCACAGCCGATCACAGGCCACCCTGTCCTGACCGATGAGGCAGCACTACGTCAAGCTCTGATTATTCTGCGTCAGCCGGGTCAGGAGCCCGTCTCCAACGGTGTGCAGTCGTTACACCGCGTCTTGGCAAAAGCGCCAAACGGAACAGGATTTCTGACGTTCGTACGAGTAGTCCTCCACAATCCATTCGGTGTTGATACCACACAGGGCCGGCTGGTTACAGAATGGGTGGCCCTCGTGCCGGCATTGTCAGGTTTTCTATGACCGCGAGATCATTGTAAGTGGCGGCGTTGCAAAGGGCTGAGCTTAGATGGGTCGTTACTACGTACAAGCGACAGCTAATCTGACTTGGGCACATCTTCGTCCTGACCAGGCCACATGATCTGCCCCGCGAAGATGGACTTGAAATGCAGCACCAGATCCACGAGCCACGCAGCAAACAGCAATATCGTCATGACGGTAGCCACCCACCGAATGGCGTTGGACTGCAGTTCCTCCCCGATATACCCCGTCGCGAGGGCGAACCCGACATTGGGGAATATGATGCCCCACCACGACAGCGTGAAGCTCATGCGCGGCTGGCAACGGCCATGCTTGAACGGGAACATGACCGGGATGTTGGAGATGAAGGCGATGGCGAACAGCCAGAACGTGAAGAGCCAGAGGAAAATCGACACCCACAGCGCCACGAGCTGTAGGATCTCGACCGCGTTTGGAAACCGCGCGAAGAATCCGTAGCCCGGCGGTATGTAGCGCGCGCATCCGATTAGGGATACGATGGTATAACGCGCCGAGCCGACGGGCATGAAGAGGCCGGGCCTCAGATTGGGTGACCCTAGACCGTTCTCGAGCAGACTGCCGAGGAACCACGCGAGCAGCAGGACGCTCACGATCCAGCCGAGACCTTGGTACGCGATGCCGGCGACGAGGATGGGCAGCCGGTGGTAGGGCGGCTGTGAACCGGCGATGGAGGCCGCAATGGTGCCAGTGAGCATCGTGTTAAAGATTAGCAGGAATACGGCCGGGTTCATCTTTATCGGCTTGAACGGCGACGCGGCGAAAATGACGACCCATTCGATCGTGGCGTACAGCAGCGTGATGGCGGCGTAGATCCAGAAGAGGACGCGGATGGCGACCACAAGCCACACGCCGGTGTGCGAGACCCCGAAGCGCTCCATACAGATAATGGAAGTCGCCATCGACAGCATGAAGGAACCCACGAACAACGGCTCCGGCGGATTCGTGAAGGAATGCTTGATCATGTGCGGGTGAAGCACGAATCGCGTGATCATGGCTGCGCAGAAGATGAGGAAGAGCACCAGATTGAGGATGAAGACCACGACTCCAGTCGTCTGGAGCCCGTGGAATTGGTATGGTGTCTGCGAGAGGAGTATTGTTATGCCGCCTGTGGATTGCGTGCAGGCGAAGTTCGCCCAAGTGAAGTGGGCCATGCGCTCGCGAAACCCGACACCCTTCCCCCCATTATCCCCTTTGCCACTTTGGGGTGAGTGATCTTCATCTCGCATGATTGCGTCGCCGTCACTGGATTGGTTTTGCATGCCGTTCTATATGATTAGCAGCGTACGGTCGTCAGAATATGGGTAACGTTTGGCCCGAACGGAGTTCGCCTTCAATGAGGGAGAAGACAAAGCTGTAGGATATATCCAGAGTTTTGCGCTTCCCGACAGGAAACATCCTCATAAGCGGCCGGTAATCGTAATACATACGGAACATGGTGATGGAAGTCGATTACATGTACAGACTATTGCACCGCCCTGATGTCATGATGTTAGCCACGCCCGCATATCCGCATCGCGCCAGAGTTTACTTAGTAACTAACAGGTGTCGGACCGGCTCACCTTACCAACTCTCAACCTCGCAATTCCCGTGGAGATAGCTTCATGTGTTTTCAATCTGAATTGCGAGGGCTAAGAAGCTAAGGTGGGAGACCAGAGAATCTAAGAGGAGCCGTACTTCGTACTGGTCACAATTTTGTCAAAACTAGGTAACAATAACAATGGTCAATACAATATTTGAGTTGATACTGCATACACTGGGCATGTATCTTCTTTCGCATATAAGGGGAATGACAATAGCTTCCAGCCGCGTCAGATTGGATGCTGCTGTGTCGGCGGTCTTGATTCAAGGCACAAGGCGTAACTAGGGTCAATATACAAGATGGCCCGGACCAAGGGCACGATAATAGTCACCTGGAGCCGGCGATGTGCGAGCGCCGGGACGACCATGAGCTCGAAGTCGGACGTGAAGGCCATTGTCGTGACACTATCAGGCTTCTCTATCAACAGCAACCACGTCGCTAATCAACATCCTCTGGCTAAGGGCCTCCCGACACGCACTCTTTTGGCATAGTTAAAGCTATGCTAAACATCGTTGAGGGCGTCAGACCGTGAACCACCGGCGAATGCACACAACATCAAATAGCCCCAAGCCGAACCCGAACATGCTCAGTACTTCGCCCCCAACTTCTTGTCCTCCTCAATCTGCGCCGGATCAACCACAATGACCGCTTTCCCCTGAATCTTCCCCCCCTTAACCAGCTCCACCAGTTCCCCAATCTTCTCCAGCCCCTGAAACGGATTCGTCTTAACCACGACTCCATGGTTCGCCACCGCCTCCAGCATCCCCCTGCTTTCCTCCGGCGAGCACAGCAGACTGCCGCGGATCCGGATATCACGGAACACCAGCTCCTCAAAAGGGATATCCACCGTCGTCGGCTGCGCAATCTGCACCATCGTGCCGTGCATCTTCGTGACCGCCGCCCCCAGCGCCGCCGCGCTGTCCGCGTCCGAGATGACGATCGTTGCGTCCGCGCCCCGGCCGCCCGTGACGGCCTGCACGGCGCCCACGACGTCCGCTTTGCCCTTGCGCGCATCCACCACCGCATCCGCGCCGTATGTTCGTGATAATTCCAGTCCCTCATCGCGCGCATCGATACCCACCACTTGCAGGCCTCGCGCCTTGGCGAACTGCACGCCCAGGTGCCCCAACCCGCCGCCGGACCCGACGATGGCAACCCACTCGCCCGGCACGAGCGCCGTCTGCAGCACGCCGCGCCAGATGGTGCGCCCCGCGCACGCAACCGGCGCCGCGGACAGGAGGCTGACGGCGTCGGGCAACGGGGTCGTGCTACGCGCGTCGACGCGCACGTACTCAGCGAAGCAGCCGTCGACGTGGACGCCGACGTGGCCGGCGACATGGACGCAGTACTGGCGCTCATTCTCGTTCGGGCCGACGCAGTCAGCGCACGAACCGCACGGGTGCAGCGGCAGGCCGCACATGACGCGATCGCCAACTGCGAAAGTGGTGACTGACGACCCGGCCGCGACGACGGTGCCGGCGCCCTCGTGCGAGCCCGTTATGGGGAGCGCGGAGCGGAAGACGCCCGAGGCGACCATGGTGTCGGTGTGGCAGTGCGAGGCCACGGCGACTTTGACGAGGAGATCGTAGGGGTTGACGAGCTGCGGGACGGGGACGGTGCGCAGCTCGTAGGGGGTGTTGAGGGCGGTCAGTTGGAGGGCCTTCATCTCCTTGGGAATGGTTGGGGCTGCCATGTTGACGGTTTTGTGTGGTGGTGTATGATACGTTGTGGTTAGGGCGTCGAATTTGTCAACGAGGGTTTAGCTGGGATTAATGAGGGCTGGAGGATGCAGTTCGTTGCCCCTTCTGTCGGAGTTTTGAGTGAATTGTGTTTGTTGTAAAGATACAAGTTGGCGTTTGGTGACAAACTTGGAATGTGAGGGGCTGTCTCTGGGGCAAACGGCAGGCGATCTACAAACACGTCATCGTTAGGCTTTCCGCCCGCAACATGATCGGGGACGAAGCAAAAGTTCACCTTGCACTTCCATTCTACCTGCTACAACCCTGGCGTCGAATGAGCGAATGGGCTGACGAAAATGAGACGCAGCAGTCAATCAACAAACCTCGCATTGTTGAGCCTTCTGCCCAAGTTGCTGGAAGGTGTTTTCTCATATCTGGGATCAGTCCGTTACACTTGTTTTTGACCTGTTTGGATATTTGGATCGTATCCGACCGTACATGATTGGTATGTAGTTGAGGCATATCCAAATATTCACAAGTCGTGCTGCGCCGCAGTTGAGGACGTTAAGGAGCGAATGACGAGGGTTCCAAGATTTGGCCTTATCTCTCGTGCCCCTTATGCTATCCTAGCAAGAAGCCTCGTTGCGAGTTGCGTGCCTGCTCGGTACTGAAGGCATCCAGCTTGACGGCCACGAGTACGCACTCTATAGCACTCTTGCCGTTCTTTGACCCTTGTATCCGTAGCCTCCACTGTCCCGTGCGGACGATCCATTCCTCTGCCGTATGACCCGAGGCGTCTACTCTCCTTCTCTTCCGTGACCGGCCGAAGTATCCGCCTATGCTTGGTCTCGGAGAATCCTGATCGTCATTTCCGATTGAGGAAGAGGAGGACATGGCGGCAGCTAGATCATCGACACCGAAGTTCTTGGTGTATGGCTTCCCATCAAGCATGATATGTGTTTCGGAGTCAATGACTATTCGAACGAGATCATCACTCAACGGGTAATTTCCTGGTGTTGGCGGCTGGGTTGTTGGAGGGAGACTGAGTTTCGTGGCAACGACCTCGAAGAGCCTCGCAACGCGCGCTTTGACTTGGCCGAAGAACTCTGCACGCCCAGCGTCCAGATGGATTTTGGTATTTTCGCCGCCAATCTCAAGCACAAGTTCGTACTGCTTATCATCCTCAAAGGGTCTCATATAGTTGACCCATCCTGAAAATGTGTCTGCCCCGCCGCCACTCAAAGTCATCGACGAGGTGTCGGCAGCTATCAAGATGCCGGACTTGAGGATGTCCTCGAGTCTGAGGGCAATTTCTTGTCGTCGGCGAACCTGGTTATAGCTTATGTGGTGCGGGATCAGCTTCTGCTCCAGGCCCTTGAAGTTGAAATAGCGACAGTCACGTAAAAGAGACGCGCGATGATCTGCATCACGAATGTGAACCGGATAACCCCGCAAGAGGTGCAAAAGCTCGGCAAATATGTCAGCAGAGCGGTTGGGGACGGATGGCGGCATAATAGAGGGCGGACGGATCAGGTCTTCGCGATCGAGCCCAGGGAAGAGGTCCTCGGGCGAGGAGAAGAAAACGCCGAATCCGAGAGAGAAGAAGTTGGGCGTGTTTCCCGGCCCGTTGAACATGTCGCGAGGGATCTGGAACTCGCGATGCCCGATGGAAATGAAGATATGGTCTTCGTAGAGCTGGGACATCAGCTTGGGCAGAGTATAAAACTGGGCATCCGCGAAGAGGCGCACGAAGTGCGTTCCATCGCGGGGGGTGATATGGTAACCCTGTAGATGGAGGGAGATGTCTCTGAAAGTGCCGGGGTCTCTGTCAATGTAGAGGGTTCGAATGGCAGTGGACAAGTCCGCGCCAGACTCTTCGGCCTGCTTGATCTGACACTGAAAATACCGAGAAAAATAAGATGGAGCTGCACGCCAGGTTAGCGATTGGCTCTAGACGGTGATATGTTTCTTTGATCTGGGTTAACCACCATCAGACGAGAGTGAGGCGCCCGAGAGCTTGAACAGCTCCGACCCTATCTGGATGGGAAAGACGCGCTCGTGGGGCAAGATCTTAGGGATCTTGGAGATGAGCTGTGGATTTGATGGCGGAAGATGGAACTGCTGCATCTGCTCCCGACCTGCACGGCCGGCTTCACTCGAGTTGGAGTTGGAAAGGTTCATTGTCGGGGAAGCGGTCACGAAAATGAGACATGTTGCGACCTGACTAGACGCAACCAGGCTGGTCAAGTAGGCAGCTCACGAATATGCCAATCGTCAAAAAGCTGTTATAGGCGACGGAACTAAAGATTCCTACTTATAACCACATAAGTGAATGTCGTGTCCCGGTGCTGTCGAGTCCGAGTCCGAGGTGGTTGGTTGCACGGAAGACCGTGGTCGGATTTGAAATCAGTTGGAAATCACAGAATCACGGAAATCTAGCTGAGGCGGTGCTTGGCAGCGCTATGTTACAGAGGTGGTGACCCCCTGTAGCGGGCACCAAGGTGGCACCGGGCGGCAGGGGCAGGCAGGCATGCGCAGGACAGAATAAACCAGACAACGCCCCACTTGACCCTACGAGGCCTTCATTTCGCAAAGTAATAACACCACGATCAATCGAACAATACCGACGCCAACTAACTTACTTCAACTAGGATCTATGTAACGTGTTCGGTCAACATTTCCTAGATACGGCGATTATCTCGAACAGTATCATGAAACGACAAAGAACCAATGGCCACTGCCAGAGCCAAGGATTGCCCTCCCCCCGAAGGGCCACTCACATCAACAAGTACTTGGTACAGAATGAAATGGATGTTCTACCAACTAACAGACCGGCAACGCTACAGTCCAGGAAACGCTATTCACATAAGAGTGTCTTATCCAGCCTCTATCATCGCAACAACGCAGCAACACGCACCGATACGCGAGGCTTCATCCGCTGTTGGGCCGTAGCTCATTTCCCTCAAGGTTGAGCCATCCCATGCCGGAGTCGCAGTTCAAGGAAGGCTCTCTCGGGCAGCGGCGTAAAAGTGGCGCTGGCAGTGGAAGACAGGCTCGTGGCAGTGGAAGACGGGCTCGGCGGGCCGTTCGCAGCAGCATGTTCCTGCTCATGTTCCTGTTTGGCGGCAGCCTTGGCAGCTGCTTTTGCCCGACGTCGTTTCTGCTTCTTTCTGTTTACAGGCTGGGCTGGGGCACTAGTTTTTTCCTTATCATCCTTGTTCGCAGAAGTTTCCTGTTCGGCGGCAGCCTTGGCAGCGGCTTTTGCCCGACGGGCTTTTGCACGACGTTGGTTCTGCTCCTTTTGGTTTACAGGCTGAGCTGGGGCACTAGCCTTTCCCTTATCATCCTTATTTGCAGAAGTTTCCTCGTCGTCCTTGTCCGCGGCAACCCCCTCGTCGCTCTGATCCGCGGCAGCCCCCTCGGCGCCGACCACCGGGTTCGCCATGAGGACGAGGTTGCTCGCAGCCTCCCTTCTCTCGATTTCGTCCACGACCCCCTGTACCTTGCGTTTAAGCATGCTTTGATAGCACTGCCATGGTAGTATTAAATAGAACGTCTCAGCATGCGGTGTCAATGTGACTCACAGCTGTGAGCCGATTCATTTCTACCTCCGCTCGAGCCATATCCGCGTCATTCCCAGAGACTAACTTCTGGTAAAGGGGTTCGGCTTTCTGTTGGTCGGTCATTCTTTCCTCAAAATCCCGTGTTTTGGCTATGATCGTGTCTTCGAGTAAACGATAATGCTTGACGACGCCTTTGTACTTCCAAATCAATTCGGCGACTGTCAGTCCCTCCCATTCAGAAATATCGATGGGCTTATCCCATGCGTCATCCTGGGCAGGACGCGGGTTCGTGCTCCCGGAGGCCATGGCTGTTGAGGGTCGGAGGGGTTGCTGGTGTTGACGGTAAGTAGTGCTGCAAAGATAGTACCGCGACGAATAACAGTGTCAAAGGATGTGGTAGTGAAATGTTGTGCTCTGGTTCGTCGTCAAGGGATGTCTCGATAGGCCTGATGTAAGTACTGTAGTTCGATTACGGACTCCGTGTCGATGCAAAACATGTAAGGGTTTAGAGGGAACTCGACGCCATGAAATCCAAACGTGAAAGTAGGCAGTCTAGGGTTGTGACTACCTTGCCAGCACAACTTGGTAGCCAGGCAAGTGCATGGAGTGACGAGTGCATGCGCACCTGGACCAAGCGATCGTTCTTGAGTTGGTTCCACAGCATGCTCTGTGTATAATGGCTTCGTTTTCTGCAAGTGAGACCAGTCCAGGAAGTCATTGTGAGCGGTCGCTGTCCCAGGGCGGTTGTTCTTGCGGGCGTCCAGACTGAATTCAAGCCCTAAGAAGTTGCAGCGGCCCGACCCCGTAAGGAACGCACGCAGATTATAATACGTGACTTGAGGAAGTAACACGTCAATAACGTTGCAGGCATCGCGGCCTTCGCCTTTCCGAGCACGTTGCTGCGACAGAATCAGCTTGTCATATGAGAACAAATGTGTCCAAGCTTACATGAATGTTCGTCACCTCACAGGGATACCGTGTTGGCAACTGACAGGACATTCTAAGGACAGGGGAAACCGGCGTCATGATCAGATCACAAGTGGTGGACAACTTATGTACACATGCACAGGGGACATTTAGAAGCCAAGCGAGCGGAGCCAGTTTGATGGTATTGCCTTGCCGAGACCGCGTCCTCAAGAGTATGTGCAGATGAGAATGCCACCGCTTCTACCGAGGAGGCGGCAGAAGAAACCGATGCTATTCCACCACTGTGCTCTGTGGAAGGATAGTGGCTCTCTCAGTAGCGACCTGGTCTTCACTCTCCTAATGAGCGGACATTAGTGACACCATGACAAACGCCGCAACTTGTCTCATCCCGTTCATGACCAATCCAGCGCCCACTGCCTTGCCTGCATGTCCGATCACTAGTAGCAATGTCAGGCCTCGGTAGGTCTAGTAGGATGGGCAGGCGCTGGGGCGATGCCGCCAGTAGAGCCAGCCTCGTGACCTACTTGAGAAGCCGGTGCCGAGATCTTCGCATCTTGTCCCTCCTTCCACTCGGTGGCCGGGGCAGCATTGCCGTCCCCCTTCCCTGCCTGATTCAACTGATCCTCGCGCTTGTCCGCCAGCTTGTGGACTGCCGTCGCGCCTTCAGTCGGGTGGCCGCCCTCCTTCTCCTTGCTGTTCTTGTCCCATGCCTGGGCGGGGCTCTCCTCGCTGGACTGGTCCAGCTGCTGCTCGCGCTTCTCGGCTATCTCGTGAATGTGCGACGGCATTGTGGGAGTATGTTCGTGTATGATTGAGTATCTGTGGATGTCTGCGACGAAGGTAATTTCTAGTGTGAAAGAGTCGAAAGTGGTTGGATTGTCAGAGTTTGTAGATGAATATTTGTTTCGATTGCCAGAAGTTGATGCACATAAAGAGACAGATGGATGGACTGTTGACATGACGCAACCACTTTCCGTCTGATTGACGTCACATGCATCATGGCGCTCCCTCTCATAATAAATATCCAGGTTGGAGATTGACGCAACACAAATTGGAAGCTGAATGATCCGGAGCTAATGCGAACCGGACCGTGGCTGCGTGGTCCGTTTCCAACCTGAGTGAAACATTGTTGAACCCAGAGTCTGAGATGTGGCTGCATTCCATGTAGTAGGTAAAGTCCGGTAGGTAGGTACGGTATGTTCATCTCACTCGCAGACTTGGGATAGGAGGCAATCACGACAACGACAACAACGACAATGCATGCCATTGACTGCAGGTGTGGGAAAGGGGGCGCGACAGTCCAGTCCGGGTCGGACCTGCAGCTGCAGCAGCTGGTATAATGCGCGACGCGATTGCCGGCGGGCTTCTCTTCTTTTTTGCGTCCACAGGTCACAGGCTCTGACAGCTCGTTTCCCTTCCCCAATCATCAATGACTGGAATCAAGAGCACAGGCAAGACTGCAAGTGCCGACTCATAGTTTACACCCATCCTCATCCTCAGAACGCTTGATACTGCTATTAATATGGCGTTCCGACCTGAGGATTATGATCATCTCGACCTGCCCGACCCGAATTTCCTCGCCAAGGAACTCGACCCATCGCTACAGATCGCTTCGCTAGCCGACGTCCGTCAAGATGCTCAGGCCAGATCGAAAGACATCTTTGCCAGCTACCAAACCCTGCACGACATTCTTGATCGTCATGAAAAAACGATCCAGAAGCGATGGACCAAGAAGACGAGACAGCAGAGGCAAAAGATCCTGTTGGAAGCATAGCCAGGCATGGCCGCTGCACACCGCCCTGATCTCGAATCCGCTCTCCGGAGCAACAAGTCTCCAAACAGTGCATCAGCAAAGAGCCTGCGAGAATGCTACATGTGGCCGCATATCAGTCAGAATGACCTCCTCAAGCCGAAGACTCTTCTGCTCCTACTGAACGCCAGAGGGCGCCATTTGCCGCCCACTTTTGCTGGCGCCGACAAGGCGGCCATGCAATTGGGCTTGGTGACCAAGAAGCTACGTCAAGTGTTTCTATGTGGATACATGATGGTGCTGCATGGCGTTCAAAGCCCCCGGGAGTATGGCGAGCTCTTTTCGTGGGAGGAGCATCCGGATGCGTTCCAATGGACGTTAAATCGGAAGCAGTCCGTCCCTGGCGAGGGTTTATTGATTCTCGAGGTGCAAGAGAAGCTCATGCGTTTCCTGATCGATTGCTGCTAACGTATACTGCACGAAATCCCTCTCGAAAGCCTCACAGCCACCACCTTTCCAATTCGCCCCGAGCCAGATTTGACGACAGAAAGGGGGTCTAATGGCATCGATTCCTTGGCTATGATGGCGGCAGAGGCGCCATACCGTCTACCTGCGAAGCTAGATTTCAGCCGAATCGAGAGAGTCCTTGGTGCCCGGGCATCCGCGGCCGAAGATCATGTATGGGCGCTACGAGAAGATCCAGCGTACTTTGCCGAACAGCTTATTGAGGTCAGAGAACACCGGCCAGAGCTGTTGAAGGACACCAGTGGCCACGAACACCCGGTCATGAAGACGACACAACAAGATACCCTATGGGCTCGTGTCTGCCGTACTGTTTCTCTCGAAGCTCATCTTCACCTTGAGAGCTACACCGAGCTGTATCAGCAGGCTCAAACCCTTCGCACACTGCAGACCAAGCATGCGGCGGCAATCTCTCCCACCGGAGATCTGCCTGATGAACTCATGGATTGTCTGTTCAGGTTCCGACGTTACCTCAATCAGGCAGCCAAACATACTGTAGAACGGCTTCGGCATAATTTTGCCGCCTCACCTCCGTGGCGCCAAAATTTTGTGCGACAGCCCCCGGCGGACTCGACCACCATCACCATTCGAGGGTTAGACGCGAAAACGAGCGACATTGAACAACAAGTTCTCTGGTTTCTCTCGACGGTATGGGAGGACAGCAGCAATCTATTGGTCGCTCGCCTTCCGCTGATAGTCGACCAGCTTGGATGGCTTCTCGAAACCGAGACGCGCGCGAAGGAGCTTTTGTCCGCGCGCATCGCCGGCATTGTGGGTGACCTGGCCATCATAACCCATTGTATTGCACAGCTCGAATTGTATACGCCATGGGCGAGGGGTTTCGAGTTGGCTCATGTCGAACGACAGGGGGGTATCGAAGCCGAGTTCGCCCAGCGTACCGTGAAACGGGGCATGATTGTGGACGCTCTCCGAGGCGAGAATCTCACCCAGGTAGCCCGGCTCGGCAACCCATCTGACATGAGATTCGCCTACCCATTCGAGAAGTGGAGGACTCGACAGAATGTAGAGATTCTGCCGCGAGCTGAGCGGAACCTCGATGAGTACTGGGCCGCCATCGATCGCATTTTGTACTCGAATTGTGGGAATCTGGAAGGTACGGCCATTCGGCGCGTCCTCACTCGGCCGCGAGCTATGCAACGCACGCCGGACTTCGCACCACCTCTCGCGACTGACAAGCCGAGCAGGGAACCAGTCTTAGATCCAGGCGTGGCTGGTCTATACAGGCCCCTCTCCACGATCTACATCGCCGAGCCGGCAGGAGCTGCCAGCAGCTCTCCGCTCGCCCCAACTCCCAAAATGAAGGAAAAGACAAGGGATACAACATCGTCTGCGGCCGCGCCCCCAGAGCCAATCGCCGCTGACGCAACCCCTCAGACTGAACCACCTTCTATCCCCGTGGACGCCCGCTCGCTCAGGGTATTCCGGGCCCTCTTCTTCAACCCGGCGGTGACATCATCACCTGGTGAAATCTCGTGGACAGATTTCCTTCGCGCCACGATCTCCACGGGCTTGTTCACTGCCGAGAAGCTGTACGGGTCTGTGTGGCAGTTCCAGAAACGGGAGGGCGACCAGAGCCGCATTCAGTTCCACGAGCCGCACCTGCGAGCTAAGATACCGTTCACGACAGCGCGGAGACATGGAAGGAGACTGAACCGGGCGTTTGGATGGGTCGGGGATACGTTTTTGCTCAAATTGAAATAGGGGAGTTGCTCTGGCTCATGTTCCCTGTGGGGTCAGCCGCTCACATGAAGCTGCTCCTTGAGAAGGAGATCCAAACCCCAAGAAGCGCCTGGTGGCACGGCGTTGTCGTCCTAATTCGGTGGCCGCTCAGCGATGCTTATGAACAAACTATATGTTAGCGGTCTTTATAAAGCACTGCTCGGTGTCAAAGGACCGTCTACTGTCTACTCTATGTACAAGATATTAGACATACGTAAGTACCAACGCACTCATGATCGCGGCCACGGCCGTCACTAATTTCATTTCCCCCCATATCCCTTGTGAAGGGCTGAAAGTGTATGTTACACTGCCATCATGCAAAGGTGCATGCCACGTTTCCTAGCTGACGCTGCATAGCTGCAACGCTCACCTGCCTGAGTCACAGGTTCCTCGTCTCCTATACTATCGTGACTCATTTTCCACGCCTAATCTCATCGCTGTCTCAAGTCGAGTTCTCATCTCTCTTCGTCTCATATCAATATCATCACAGCCGCACTAATCAGCAGTGCAGCCAACAGTGATGGGCTCAGTGGCCCTGCTGACCCTGATGTAGGAGCGGGAGACACAGCGGCTGCGCTCTCCGGCGAGCCACTGGCGGAGCTGGTAGTGCTCCCAGTGCTACCAGCTGGAACTGAAGAGGATGTTGATCCGTCGATGGCTGTAGGTGTCGCTGTTTCCGTCGTTGAGGTCTCCATAAGGTTGGTAGTTTGGGCAGTCCCCGCCACCGACTCGGTCGTGGGGGTAGTCACCGATTCAAAATCCGAGGATGTTACCCACGGAGCCGTCCCTACCGAGTCCCCCGTCTCCGCCGGCGGCACAACCTCAACAGTCGTCGTAACCCCCGCGTCACTCGTCGCAGGCCACGCCGGACCAGGCGTGCCACCCTCACCATTCGGATAATAATACGTAAACCACTCATCACAATACTCATAACAAGTGTGCGTGCCCTGGAACACCGTGTACGTCATCTCGGCACCCTTCGCGAACATGGTGCCGTGCTCGTAGTCCCAGGCGATGGTCTGCAGCTGGCGCTTGCGCTTGTCCCAGGCCTGCGTGTTCGACCACGTCTGCGCTGGGAGCTCCTTGCCTGAGAGCGCTTGGACGGATGTTGCTGCGCACACGGGGAAGGCGTAGATGAACAGAGAGTAGGTTTGGCCGTCGTGGACGGTCTCTGTGTCTTGCCGTGGGTCGATGTCGCCTGTTACTGCTGGACCTAGCTCGAAGGGGTATTCTCTGTACGCCGTGTTCAGTTTTGAAACGATGTCAAGGCCACGCGTCGGGGTACTTACGTGGGACAGCAGACAATTGCGTAGGCTGTGGCGTCGAAGTGGCCCTCACTTCAGTTGGCGGGCGTCAGCATCTATCATGTGGCCGGGATCATGCAAGTCTCCGGAGGATGCAGAGATCACGGACGAAGAGCCTCGTCCAAACAGGGAGAAAACGACTCCAGAGATCACTCACTAATCATAGGTCTGCCACCCGGGATTCGAAAAAGTACTCAATGCCGCATGCCCACCGGACATCCCGCGTAGTAGCTCACCACGCCGTCCTGCGTGATCTTCGGCGCCTCAAGAGCGTATGTGGGCGACGGCACATCACACGACGGATCGGACGCCGACGGCGGGCCGAACTCCGACAGCGTGCACGTGAGCCAGTCCGGGTTATGCTCGTAGGCGGCTGTGCTCTCGATGTAGCAGCTCGTCGTCACGACCCAGTTGTTGGCCGGGTCGTAGCACTCGGGCGCCGGGGTGAACTGGATCGTCGGCGGGGCCGTGATGCTGGCCGGCAGCGTGGTGGGTGTTGGGACGGAACTCATCTTGTGCTTTGATTTTGCTGCTTACGATAATGTGACGAGGGGAGACGAAGAGCCGGAAACGCGCGTTACACGATGAGAGCAAGAGAAGGCTTGGCTTATATATACCTAGGCATTGCTGCGTCGCACAGAGTTCATCACTGTGCCAAGGCAATAAAAGCGTTCAGCTTGCCTAAAGGAGTCGGATAAGCTTGGCGACCTGACGATGTCGCATTGCATGGTTTAGTCTGACTGCATATTCTTATGCCGCCGGAAGCTAGGTAGTGGTTGTACTCAGTACACTGCGTTTTGGTTGCAACGCTTATACATACCAGTGCGTCTCATGTCTGCCTCACAAAGGACCAGAATCCCGGGTCTTAGGCTGACCAATATCGCTAGACTGGAAAGCCGTTATAGTCGCAGGTCGTGCGTCAAGACCAGCCAGATTAAGTAGCTCCGACATCCCCGCGAAGTGATTCCGACCACTGGGGCCGGTGCGGAGTCGACTATGAACGCCTTTTCCCCATACTTAAGGGTCCAATTCCCGGGTGGCGCTTTCGCTTCATGAGAGGTATGCCTCATACACTCCGTGTCAAGTGACTCTAGCCTCGCCTCGACGCCCCGACGCCCCGACGTCTTGACTGTGGTGGCAGACCATACTTGTCTTTCTTCATCTTTCTCCTTAGACCCCTAAACACTATGGCTCTTCTCATCCAAAGCCAACGCGTGTTGCTCAGTGCTCGGCCCATCCTGGGCAGGCGTCTCATCATACAATCCAGGCTGATTTCTTCGACCAACACGCCTCGAGTCGTTCGCCCGTCTTCCACAGAAGTCAGGAATCATCGACTGGATGAGCGAAACTTGGAATTTGCAGTGCGGAGTGTTCACTTAGATGGCCTCGTCGTCGTGGAAGACGTGATCCCACATGAACATCTCGACCTCCTCAACACCAAGATGGTTGAGGATGCTCGCGCCCTCCAAGCCCGTGGTGAAGATGGGCCCTTCAACTATAACCCAGGTAATCTGCAGCAGGATGCGCCGCCTTGGGCTGAGTATTTTCACCCATCGATCTTTACCAGTTGAGTAGGCCTCAGTCGATTTGACTTCAAAGTCTCCCATAGGATCGATCGCCTCTGACTGTTGCAACCAGATCGCATAGCAATTCAGATAACTACTTCAATTCTCGGTCCCAGGCCCAAGTGGACTTTCTGCTCCGGCAACTCTGCGATGCCCCCACTCCCGGGAGCATCGCCCTCACGTCAACCGGTGCACTCGGACGCGGACTTTGCGCATCCCTCCCATCCCTTCGCCCTTGTCGTCAACGTTCCGCTTGTAGACATGACGCCCAGGAACGGCTCAACTGAAGTGTGGCTCGGCACGCATAACCACCCGGACGGCCTCGACGCCCAGGAGGGCGCACACGGTCACCGAGCCAGCGGTCGGATCAAAGCAGATCGCCTCGCAGAATGGGAAGCAGCCCATGGGGGTCTATCGCAGCCGACTATCAAGAAGGGCAGTGTTATCATCCGCGACTTGCGACTGTGGCATGCGGGGATGCCAAATACGAGCGGAGGTGTCCGCGTGATGCTCGCCATGATCCATTTCGCAAATTGGTACAGAAATCCGATGAGGCTTGAGCTCGCTGAGGATGTCAGACCAGTGCTGGAGGGGTTGGATTCACGGGGTGAGCTGGGCTTGGATGTACCCGTTGATTGGGTGCCAAAGGAGGATGTGATGAAGGGTTACCTCAACAGGGCCTTTGGAAACGCCTATGACTTTGGTCAGGCTCCATGATTGTGACGACTTTGTTGGTATGTAGAAGAGTCTTGCAGCTTCCAGTGCTTTTGAACTGGTCTGCTAACGGCGGGGGCATGCAGATGGGACAGCCCCCCAGATGGGACAGTTCCCCCACCAAAACACAACATTTGCACCCACCCACATCTCTATCGGGATTGAAGCTGTAGATATCATAAATATATCGTCTGAATTGTCTTTTCTTGGTGTTTCTTCGAATGTGGAATTTATTAGGTGTCCTACAGCGGGATGTCCCGTGGCGGGGGTCGGAAGTTAGCACGTCCGGCCCTAATCTGAGGGGTAATGGGACCCGTGCCCCCTATCCCCTCCAACCAGGCAGAAGTTCAGTGGTTCTTTTTTTCCTTTTTTTCTGTAAGCATCATAAGCTTCAGTACGTCGAAATGGCGCCTTTATACACCAAAGAAGACCTTGCTGAGGCGATAGCCGCTGTGAACGGTAACGATCTGTCCCTCCGGAAGCCTGTCCAGCGCTATGGAATACCAAAAACCACCCTTTCTCGCAAAGTTAAAGACTCCACAATACCTACAACTGGCACCCAGCGTGAAGGACATGCTCATAGACAAAAAATAAGCCCTGTTCAAGAAAAGAAAATGATTTTATAGATTCTGTACCAAGAAAAGGCCGGCCATGCCCCTACTCACGCCAGTGTGAGGTACATCATCCAGAAGATCCTATAATCCCAGGGAAAACCGCCTCATCTTGGGGACCATTACATGCGAAATTTCATCCGCCAGAACCCAGAGATAAAGACCAAAATAGGCAGAAAACTTGACTACAAGCATATCAATGCTGTCATTCCCGACAATATCCATGGCTATCATGACCGCTATACAGATTTTGACTTCATTAAGTCTAAAAACCGCACAAATATCGATAAGTACAGCATCATACAGGGCCGGCAGTACGTACGTCCAATCCAAGTGTTTTTCAGACAGCTAACCAGGAGGTTATAAGTCTGATAGCCTTGTAATAGGCAGTTCTGTCTCAAAAGGGGCCAACGTCAAGTCCAATGATGACCGCACGTAGACTACCGTAATAGAATCGATCACCGCCACTGGGAAAAAGCTCCGGCCGCTGGTTATCTTTAAGGCGAAGTCAATACAGACATAGTAGTTCAAAGAGCAGCTTATTCTCAAGCATCCCAGGGTGGCAGACTGGATAGTGACTTACTCTGCTAATGACTGGTCCTTGAACGCAATCGCGCTCAAATGGCTTAAAAAGGTTATTTTTTTCTTATTTTTTAACGTTAATTATATGCTAAATAACCTCTTAGATCTATCTGCCAGATACTGCCCCTGAAGACCCTGATGAGTTCTGCCTGTTGATGCTCGACGGCTAAGGCAGCCACTGCTCAGATGATTTTATGTATCTATGCTATATAAATAACGTTTATTTAAGCTTTTTTCCTGCCCATATGGTAGGTTATATCCTTAATTAGTAATTATTCCGCTAATAGGGGTAGTCTCACATCTTCCAGCCCCTGGATCTGACCGTTTTCTTTGTGGTGAAGGCCGCCTATTGCCGCCTCATTAACCAGCTTGGTTAGTTGAACGATTCGGCCCCTATTGGCAAGATTAAGTTCCTTTCTTGCTTGGCGAAAGCCTGTGACAAAGCTACTCCTGTTATCGTGCGTTCAGGATGGCGTGCTGCTGGCCTTTGGCCCATAAATAGGAACAAGACACTGGCAAACGAGTATGTGATAAAGGCAGCAGAGATACAAGCAACAGCTACTGCTATAATGAACCCTGAAATCACCCCTGATGCCCTGAAAGCCCCTAGCCTTCTGAGGATTCCCTCTCCTCTGATTCAATAGATTTAGAAGATCTAGACAAAGGGGTGGTTATTGACAAAGAGGGCGAGGGGGTGTCTGACAAGCCGGATGATAAAGAGGAAGAGCCCATTGTGATACGATCTCAGCGCCGAGAAATCCGCCAACCCGCGCGCTACCGCTAAAAGCACTGGTATTGCTAAAAACACCAAGAAAAGGCGATTCTTTTGATACATATATACATTATCTACAGCCTCAATACCAATGGGGTTATATGTGGGTGCAAATGTTGTGTTTTGGTGGGGGAACTGTCCCATCTGGGGGCTGTCCCACCTGCATGCCCCCGCCGTTACCGTATGCTCAAGTGGGCCAGTCCGATGTCGGCTTCAGACGGCACCCAACAATAAGGGTCTTCCAAAGTACTAGCATGCATATTGAGAACGAGGCTACGAATAGTCTCCTACAATCTAGGGGTCAGAGTCTGATACGATTTCCACGATGCTCCAGTAACATGTTTCATATTCAGAAGATTACGAACACGAACACGACGACCGACCCCTGGCTCCGGCTGCTGGCACGATGACTCATTGCTACATACACTAGTTGCTGTGCCGCAGAGAGGACATACAGTTTCCCCCTTGTTTTTTTTAACACTGGGGCTGGTACTGGCAGAGACCTAATGAAGGTATCCATTTCCGAAGAAAATGGCATAAACCACCCCTTGAAGTGACTTCTGGCGCTTGTTTTGAGGCCTGTCTTTGACCAGGCCCACTGTTCAAAAAGCGACAGGGGGGAAACTGTATACAGACGAATATAAAGTACAGTCCGCTACTCAACTACTCTCACCTATTGTCATACATACCAACTCCATGGACCACAAACATGTCGCTCACATTCACCACCCTCGATGTCTTCACAAGCACCCGCTTCCGCGGTAACCCGCTGGCGATAGTGCAAGTCCCCACCGGCACCGACCTGTCGCAGGAACAGAAACAGCTCATCGCACGAGAGTTCAACTTCTCAGAGACCGTCTTCCTCCACGAACAGACAGACGCCGACGTCAAGGCTCGCAATGCCCGAATCGACATCTTCACCCCATATGCCGAGGTGCCCTTCGCCGGCCACCCCACCATCGGTACATCGACCTACCTGGCCCAGCATCTGAAGTTGGACTCTGCGAAGACACTGATCACCAAGGCCGGCCCTCTTCCCTTCAAGGCGCTGGGCGACGGCGCGCAGCTGGCCGTGGCGCACGACGTGCACATCCACAACCGGCCCTTCGCCGACACCGAGTTCGGCCACTACCCGGTGGTCGGCATCGTCAAGGGCATGACGTTCATCCTGGCGAACCAGCCCGACCTCGAGGCCCTCGCTAAGCCGACCGAGAATCTGCTCGGCAGCATAGCGGGCGTGTACACAAGCCACGGCGCGCTCGACGAGGGCTTCCGCGTCGGCATCGTCGTCAGCTATTTCTTCGTGGACCTCGGCACGGACGCCGACGGCACGCGGAAGCTGCGGACCCGAAGTCTGGGGTCGAGGGAGGATCCCGCCACCGGCAGTGCTGCGTCGGCTCTGTGCTCGTTCTTGAGCTTGACTGAAAGGGATGGGCCGTTGGTGCGCAGGTATGCGATCACGCAGGGGGTGGAGATGGGTCGGCAGAGCGAGATCAGCGTCCAGGTTACTGTCAATGGCGCGAGGACTGGTGTTGAGGAGGTGCTGCTGTCTGGCACGGCTGTCAAGGTTATGGAGGGGAAGGTCGATATACCACAGGTTTGATGACAATCTGCGAGGTGTGGTTAGCCTAGTTTCGTTTCGCTGAACAGGCGTGCCTGTGAACCTGTCTTGTAGCATTTTTACGCCTCACCTTTGGTTCGTGAGCGTCGGAAATATTGGGAGTATTCGCTACAGTCTGCTAGCAACTAATCTTCATACGTGATGTGACATAGCAATTGTCACTATTCCGGCCGACAGTATGGAAAATCAAATAAAATTAGGCAACTCAATCCTCCCCCTCAAATAACTCCTCGAGGCGAGCCTTAGCCTGCTCGCCATCGGGATTTCTTGCAAGAGAATTGCAAGCCCTATACCAGCGAAAGGCGGCTTCGTTGTCCGAGTTATGCGACCTCATGTGCTTGCACAGCATGTCTTTCCAGTCCCGATCCTCGTAGCCGAACCAAATAGCATTGCGAGTGTATTCCCACCAACTGGGGAAATAGGCACTATACTCTAAGTCGATCAAGCCCGCGAAGTTTCCGTCCTTGACCATGATGTTGACGATAGACAGATCTCCATGAGTAAAAGTGAAAGGTGCTGTTGGGGGCATCTTCTCCTTGAGCCTATCTCTCAGCGACTGGTCCACGTGAGAGAGCGATTTGTCCATGGCTCCCCATACTTCATCATCGCTGGACATCGGCTCCAATAACCCCACGTTCTTGGGGATGAGCCCATTGTTACGGCACCTATTGCCCTTGATGTTCTGCACCTTGTCCGATGTCAAGCTGCGCAGTTGTACGAGGGACTCAGCTGCTTGGCTCGCGATCCTGTCGTGATCTTCGGGACCGAGACTGTCCCAGACCCTTTCCAGTGACTCGCCGTCAATTCTGTCCTGGATCAAATGATAGCTTCCATCATCTTCCTTCCAATCGTGGATTACGCCAGGAACAGGCACCGTCGTGTTCTCTTTGAGGAACCTCATATTATCAGCTTCGATGTTGCTTTCGTCGTACGGGCGATCCTTCAGGATGACCTTGGACCCCAAAGACCAGAATGCAACATGCTGACAGACGTAGAACAGCTTGTGGCAGCTTTTGAACCTCTTCTGCCAGTACGCTTCGTAGGGAGTAAAGCCACGGCCCGCACACGGTTCGTAAGGATCACCTTCACGCCAGTCGTAGACTTGATGTTGCACTTCCTTTTTGAGTAATCCTGGAGGTCTCTGCTTCTCCTGAATTGAACAGTCCCGAATGGCGTCCGTGATACCGCCTTCGGCATTTGAGCTTACGGTGTCATGTCGCTTAGGACTAGGACTTGTGGACACAGGTGTAGTCATCGTGCCCGTGGATCCGACCTGCTTTGCGTGACGACGAGGCAGCTGATGGTATCTTGTGAGATTTCAAAGTGTTCTAGTATTAGAAGGGAAGAGAAGAAGATCTCTGGGAGAGAAGCCCCCAAATATATGTACAGGTGTGCCATCAGGGTGACCAGATAGTCGTACGATAATGGCGCCAGGATGACCAGATAATCATCTGATAGTGGCGCAAGGTGAATGCCATGAAGCTAAGCCTATCAGCGCATTCACCACCGAAAGCCTCAGCCTGGTACGATATCCAACATATCTGAAAATATAAGATCACGTTTGTACTTCACCAAAGCTGGCAGGTACTTGCCGGAAGTAGTGTCACAGAATCGGGCTCCTCGGGGCTAGAAGTAGTGTTGCTGCTTCATGTTCTTTGACTCTTCACACGCACAAAGACTTATGCAAAAAAGGACAAACAACTGATATGTCAGGCTCATTCGTCGTAAACTCCTTACATCACATCCACTATTCTAAAAGTTGATTACTCTTGGGCAGCATCGTCCGTGATAACTGCAATTGCCGCGACGAACGGATTAGGTAACGCCAGCGCATGGCTTTCGATAGGTTGTCTCTACTGCTCCTCATATCTCTTCCTCTTCTTGGACGCCTTTGGCGTCGACGGAGACGAATCCTCGTCGCTGTCGCTAGAACCACTGGCAGAGGAGCTAGAGGACGGATCTAAAGCCGGACCCCATTGCTCTTCTCTGTTCAACACTTCCGGGTCCGGTGAGGGGGGCGGCATCCCACAAGGGCTGTAACCCCCTGTCTTGGTTTCGGTGGTGGACGGCGGTACCAATGGCATATATATGCCCGCTTTCTCTGCCTTGATACGATCCGGATGCCACGGATCGTTTGGCTTCGGGGGCAGCTTGCCCATAATGCCGTGCGCGTAATCACGGACTTCGTGTTCCCAACCTAGCAGATTGAGATGATATCGATGTCGTGGAATCAATTCAGGCTCTGCCACAACCTTAAGTAAATAAACAATGGTTTTTTGGTGGCTCATGGCTGAACTCTGTTCGTCTTCTACCTTAACCTTAACGCCACTAGCGAAACCTTCGTCTGTTCCGGCACCGTGTTAGTCTGGCATAACGACGCACTCGCAGCGCAACCTACTCACACACCTTCGTCCGATAAGTCACGAGAGCCCTTTATGAAGACGGATCCTCGCAGGGGGATCTCGCGAAAATCTGTTGGATATTATGATAATAATAAGATTATAACAGGCTTAAACGAGGTTTAAGTGGCTTTAAGGGCTAAATGTATTAAAGCGCTAGCTTGAAGGCATTTATAATAAATTTATAGCATTATAAATATTGGCTTTTAATTGGTTTATATAATAGGTATTAATCATAGTTACTTAGTTACTTTAAGAGATTATATAAGATTATTTAGTTATGTAAAAGGTCTTTGTCTTTATTTTAAAAAACTTTTTAAAACATATGAAACATTTAATAATTTTATATAGTAAGATTTTACTTATAATTTTAAATCTTTTCTAAACATTTTATTATTATTTTTAACTAATTTAATTTTATTATTTAAATGATTCTATCTTTTTATAACCTTAAAAGTTAATTTTCTTTATGTCGCTATTTTAATCGTTTTTAAAACGAATCTTTTGTATATAAAGGCTTTATAAGCTATTTATTTATTTATTTATTTATTTATTATATTACTTGTTGATTATTTTTATTATTAATATTATCAAGCTTTTTTTAAAGCTATTATGAAGTTTTTAAATTATTAAAAGCTAACTAAAAAAAAGAACTAAGAGAATTAAACTTAACATATAAAGTAATTACTTAAAGTAATTAACTTTTTTTTTAATGGCATCTTTTGAAAGTAACGGTAACCTTTTAAAAAAATTAAAAAGGGGGTTTTTAACTAATATTAACATTAAGAAAGACTCGTAACAAGTCTTTTATAAACTCGTAAAAAGCAATTGTCACGGCGAGCATACTGAGGAACTGGGACATGGCCGGCAGCAAGCAGCTATTACTCTATTGACGAGAATATCAAGACTAGAGATGAAAGAAAGAGAGAGAGAGATAGGTCCAGCAGGAGGTTGCCCCTTTAAGGGGATCCTCTGGTCAGATCCTTCCCTTATTGGGAAGTATCGGCTTGTCATGTGGGAAGGTCCGTGCAGGCCGTCACAGCAATCGTATATTTTTTAGTTATTTAAAATAGAAAATTAAAGATTAATTTATAAATTGTTAATATTAACAATGATATTTTATTTTAAATTACTTTTTATCATATTTATTTAAACATTATAATCAATTAAATTGGTGCGGTTTAAAAAGCTTTATTTTCCTTTCGATATAAATATTATAACGAAACTTTTATAATTCAATACCGATTACTAATAAATCGTATATAGTATTAATTAATGGCTTATACTTTAATTTAAATTTTATACTTTTAAATAACTATATGTATTGCTTTTTTAATCTTTATCGTATATTTTCATACAGTCTTAACCTTAAATATATCCCGATTTTTAAAAGGCTTATATATTAACTTTTTAAAAAGATTTTAATCAATAAGGTTTAAGATCCAACATATAATTTATTTATTTAATGTATTAAACTGTTTGTTATTAAACTTTTTACAGATAATAAGAATAAGTATAATAAGAATCACAAAAGCGTTAAAAAACTATAAAAAGATTTTCAAAAAGCCGTAAAAGCGTTTAAAAAAGCGTTACTATTTTTTAAAATCGCTGTTTAAAACTTATTTAATGTTTTAGTTATAGGAAAATCAATTATAAACGAAGCTATTTTAAATATAATAAACAAAACGTGAAGTAACTAAAAATAACTACTACAATAAAAGTAATCAAAGGTTAAACTAGCTCTATTTTTAATGTTCAAAGTGTTAAATAAAAAACTAATAAATATTAAAATACCATTATAATTACGTTTTAAATTAATGAAACCCTTGATAAGGCTTTTAAATAAATAATAATCAACTTCAAGTTTTAGAACGATATTTATTATAAATTGAATTAAGTCGATATTGTTGGATCTATGTGATTCCACAGTCAAACCATCCATATAGAACCCACATGTATGATTAGATAAGAGATTAGATACCGGATTGTGAGGTCATTTAGCCAGACCTGCAGGTCCAGCTTGACTTCCCAATCCAACCATCAAGCAACATCATGACCTTGACCTAATACTCGAGTATTATAATTGATCGTCCAAGCCTGTTCTAACACTAACTACTATTTTAAAAAACTTAATAGTTTATGTAATTGATAAAACTGCTCTTTACGTTTGAACTAGTTTTAAAAGCTTGGGTTTTATCAAAAAGTATAGTTTATTTATTACTATCTTTTATTCTTTCTAATTTTAACTTCTGGTAAAGAAAGTAATAAAAGTTATTAATATAAGCCTAGAAAAAAGGCAGGTCTAGCTTATAAAAGTATTAATAAGTTTAAAAATAAGTTTTTTTAACTAATTTACTAAATTTAAATCTTTCTACTATTAAGCTTATTATAAACGGTGTTAATTTTTTTTGTGACGTAAAAACCAAATGTTAAATCCTTATTATAGAATTCTTCGTAATATTTTTAATAACCTTGATTTATAAGTCATTTTACGTTAAATTGCCTTTATTATTATTCCGCTTAAAAAATGCGTGCTATTAAAGATATTTGATACGCGTCATCAGGAGGAGTAGTCAATGTGGCTGGCACAGCCACAGTCATTAACACAGCCACTGGTATGTGTGTGGGTTACACATTGTGTGTGCGGACCTGGATAGCTAGGGCTAGACTAGTTAGATAAGGGTTGCACTAAGATAGGGATTGCAGTTACCTTAAGTAGCTGCAATCTTTCCCATCTTAGTCCTTGCAACCCAACCCCGCCTCACACATCAATTGACACCCATTGTACAACGCAATAATATTAATACTTAATAACTTTTAACGTTAAAAAATAGCGCCTTTTTTACTTAGGTCGATATTAAGTGTTTTAACTTTGTTAAAAGTTAAATAAAAGCAAGTGTTTTATTAATCTAGTAAAGTGCTAATCTTAATCTTAGTAGATATAAGTTTATAAAACAGTTTAAAAAGGTTATTTTTTTAATTATTAAAAAATGGGTTTAATTACTAGGTCGTAAATTGTTTTTAAGTCTTCTTTATTATTAATATTTTATTCAGCAGTGATAACTTCGTTTTTAACCTTAATTAAGCTAGTACATATTAAGGCTCGTGCTTTTGCTCGGTTAATTAAAAAAAAGGCAGTATCTTTTTAATTTAAATAATAACCTGTATGTGACGGTATATAACTGTATCCACCTGGTTGGATGCTGAGTCATCAGGTGACGTGTAAATTAGATAAGGAACGGGACCACCACATGAGATGGGTGTACGCACCACACCTTGGCTGGCTTCCCTTTCCTTCCTCACCTTGTTATTTTTGGAATATAACACCAGATTCCCACACAACGCCGCAGGCATCGTGACGCTATATAAAGTACTTTTATAGTTTAAAAGCTTAGACTAAGTCTTTAAAACCCCGATTTTGTATTTTTAACTTAAAATCGTTTGAAAAAAAGAAAATTGGTAAAAACTAAGATAAATTAAATATTTTAAAAGTCGAAATCCGAAGTTTGTCATGGTCTGGTATAGGTAGCCCATGTGGTGAGTCCTGGAGCCCGGACATGAGTACATGTACCACCATTGAATGTCAAGCTGCCACGCTTGATATTCGACATCCTTTTGGGAGGAACAGCCGTGGCATGGTGGTTATGGTGAGCGTTCTGTCACAAAGTTAATCTTAATAAAATCGGTCAAAGACGCGTTATAAATGTCAAAAAAAAAAAAAGTAGCAAAAATTAACAAGTATAAAAAAAGCAAACAGTTAAAATCTTTAAATCGCAAATTTTCGTTTTTTTAAAGGTATAAAAGGGTAGCTTTTTTAACGGAGCAGCTAGAACCCTTAAAATCGCAACGAGCAGCCTTTTACTTACGCGAAAAAGTACTGCGATAAAAAACCGAAGACGAAAAATCAGGATCTTACCAGATTCGGCATCAGACAAACAATGCGCAAAGCGCGAGGGGTTATAACATGTTGGCAGCGTGGAGGTGCCGTGAACAATGATGTTGTTCTTGTTATTGTACTGCTACAGCTGACAGCTACGCGGAAGGCCTGATCTAGCTACAGGGCACGGACCACGTGACCTCCAACAACATCAATCAACTGCCACAACTGGCACCTCCCCTTTTAATAGTTTCGACACTGATCGGACCACTGGCCGATAAACAGGAATCCCTAAAGTCAATTTGAGCATTAGAAACTTCCACGGTTGCTTAATTCATCTGTAACCTGCTGTATGACGGGAGAAATAACGCGATCTACCAACAACTAGCAATCTGTTACCAGCCAGTCCTCTACCTACACACACAGTAACTGCGCGGTCATGTTAGCCATAGTAACACTCAAGCTCTCTTGTATCTGCTTGCCCTTCGGGATGATTCGCGTTCGTGTTATCGCATTTCGGCTGGCCATTTCCACAGCCATCACCCAAGACGTCTCGGCACCGCTGGTCGCCACCCGGCCCGAAATGTCCACATTCGGTGTTGAAACAGGCGCATTCGCTGTCACAACTCGGTCAGCCTTCGCGCTGCAAGCTATAACAGCTCGACGCTGGTGACGTAAAGGGGCTTCCAACTTACTCCGCGTCCCACGCGCACCCAGCCTGCCAATTAACCGCACATGCCTTCAGGCCACAGTCGCCCAGGTGGCACTTCATGGGGATGCAACGACACAGGCCGTACGGATACGTGACCCGGTCGTAGCTGAGGTCGCAGCTTCGCATCGTCCGCCGGGTCTGGACAGGGCGTCGCGCACTCGCCCTGGTGGGGAGCGTCGAACTTGCAGCTGGGTGGGGAGCCAGCCACAGTGGCATTTTCTTGGGGGTCACCACGTCAGTATCCGGTTAAGCGAGGTGTGTCTACCTGTCTCTTAGAGAAGAATGCCGACACACTAGCAAAAGAGGGTGCCATGCTGGAAACAGACACAACAAATCTTCCTACAATCTCTTGGGTCAAGAGAGATCTCAAAAGACAGGGCAAGAAAGAGTTCAACCAATGGTGGAAAGACCAATCAGAATCTAGGTATCAAGAAGTATACTCACATGCAGTAACTGAAAGAGACCTTATATCTTTTAAGAGGAGTACTTTACACAGACTTCTAGCGGCCAGATCTGGACATGGCGACTTTGCCAGATACCATGAACGCTTTGGGCACACAGATTCAAATGATCACTGCAGCTGTGGTGAGAAGAAAACACCACAACACATTTTCTTTTGTAAGAGGCTGGGGAAAAATCGGCTACTGCCTAGGCATTCGCCTAGGGCAGCTTGTTTACAATACTTAGGGGAGAGGAGCACAGAATGGGCAAAATTCGTGGAGAAGAGCAAGTTCTTTTCAACAATCTGCCCCCGATAGATAGCCTTCCTTGAAGGACCAGATGGATGACCCCAAGGTCATACCGCCGCAACAACGGGGATGGGCCCGTGAGCGGGACTGACTGTACTTATTATCTTGAGACCTCCACAACCCTGCGATGCAGAGGCTCTGGGAGGCGTGGTTTGCACTACTGAGGAGCTACCCCCACGTTAAATACAAAACAAACAAACAAACTTAGAGAAGAAGGGGCGTGCGACTTACGATGGCCGCGCGTCGGAGAGCGGATATTCGGTGCATCGGAATTTAGAACCTGCTTTGCATGTCGTGCACGCGTCGTTTGCGCATCCATCTGCGCCTGTGTAGTAAATAGTCGGCTTCGCTGTCGGTGCACTTGATGTCGCCGTTGAAGGGACGAGGCTTATCGAGAAGGTAGATGAAGGGCTGGACGGATGATATCAGGCTAGATATCGACGACGGAGTAGGAGTAGGGGTTGAGGTCCAAGGTACCTCACAAGCACTTGGCTGATCACGCTTGACGACTACGCTCGAGTTTTGGCAGATCGAGCCATAAGCCATATTATACCCTACGTGGATTTTGCTCGGAATCGGGTAGGGATAGTTACCAGCAGCCGGATCTGTCTTGAGAGAATCTGGCACCCTCTGGAATGATTCAGCATGGATATAGTCTTTCACTCGCCTTCCCACTGTGTTGTTATTGGCATAGTCATTCGGCGACCATCGAAATTGCTCTTGGTTTTCGGGCAAGGCAAGGACGTACGCGGCTAAGCCAGCCTGTCCCTTCTTGTCAGTTTAAACGGCCTCGATGATTTCTGTCGCAACTTACGATAGCAGAGGCTGCGAAGCTGGTGCCGTTGACGGTACCCTTGCCCCCGCTTACCTGACAGCTATAAACAAGCTGAGCCATAGCGTAAACTGTGTATCTATTTTAGTATGCTGAATGAGTTCTCGGGCGTACTTTGGACTTGAACGTTGAGGGAAATTGACAAGAGATACCACGGTCTCGGGTTGTGATGATTTTGATGTGGTGGTTTTGCTGGTTTCTTCTCTTGAAATACTTCATAGGGGAGCAGAGCATGGGAATTAGCTTACCAGTAATACTTCCAGGTCCCTTCTTTGGGTGTGACGGTGCCTTATTGGATGCACTCTCGCCTTCCGGTGTAGTGCCCACGTAGAGCGACCCTCGCGGATTCACTCCACCAACCGTGATCAGGGAGTTACTCGATGTTCCATGACTCTGGGGCGCCAAGTCGCCGAGATATGCCTTGGGCACCTGTAGTCCCTGATCACGACCCTCATTGTCTGCCGCCATCACAAAGGTAACCCCACGCTTATCAAACTCTGTTAAATACTCATCAAACATGTCGTGACCAGCATCGCTGTCGGCCTGGGCTTCGCCACGCAGATCCACCTCTGGACACGTCCTGTTAGCTTGTATCTACCGCCACGTGGAAGTGGTTGTCCGCATACCCCATGTGAATAACACGACGCTCTTGCTTCCAGGAATACCTTCGAGGTCTATTGCCGCCAGAACCCTCTCGAACGCTCGCCGGTACGCCTCCGGGTGCGGATTCTGGTGTTGTTCTATAGAACCGGCAACCTTGATCAGAAACAGGTTCGCATGCGGACTTACCCCTACATCCCCCCAGTCGTCCGTGATATGGCTGACTTCACCGCCGACAACACATGCTACCGGTGTTCCATGGCCTCTTGTGATAGTCCAGATGTCATTCGTTCGCGTATCTGGAAATCGATCTACCATGTCATCGGGACCGTACGCAAATCCAAGATCAATCTTCATCTCCGAAAGGCTGCCAACGGAGTAGTCAGATGGTATCACGTATTTCCTGACTTCTCGCACGCCGTCAATGGGGGCCAGCTCCTGGTTCATGGTTAGCTACTGTTGGATATCATACCAGGCTGAGGCTTTCGGGGCTGAATGCACTAATGGGTTTAGCCTCAGGGCAGTCAGCCCACCCTCAGGCCACCAGGATCCTGGCGCCATTATCGTATGATTATCTGGTCACCCTGATGGCACACCTGTACATATGGGGGCTTCTCCCCCAGAGATCTTCTTCTCTTTCCTTTCAATACAGAACGGTTTTGAAATCTCACAGCTACCCATGCAACTGTTCACTATCTAGTCACAAGTATGAGATTGCCTTACAAGTATGTCCGCACATACAGTATCGAGTATGAATACCCATGAGCCCTGGCCCGTGGAGGGGTCGAACTTGTAGGGCTCACGAGCTGGATCGGTGTCAGGTCTCGAACTCAAGAGTTTGAGGTGGTTAGGTGCGCTTGGCTGCACGTCTTCCTCTACAGTATTCTTGAAAGACTAAAAGGGTCGCCCTTATCGGTCAGGTCGTTCTCGGGTTCGTAGAAGGGCCGCATTTGTATATTCGACACCATGGGCACGATCTCGATGATCCGTGCATGTGGCTCAGATAAGTGTGTGAAGTATGCTGGGGGCAATGTATCGCTCATAATCTCGATGACAGGGCGCTGACCCAGGCCAGCATCGATAGCAATGGTCAGGTCAACGAAGGCTCCCTTGGATGTTCCTTTTGCGACGTGTATGTACCAGTCTGGATCCTGGGGCTCTGACTTTGGTATGTCAGGCGAATCATTCCCTTCCCCTGAACCCAGGCTGTCCCACTTCACTACAGCTATAGTTGCTAATATGCTGAAAGCTGTAACCGCGCCTCCGAGAAAAAATTGGGCAGGTCCGATAGTCGCCAAAGGTGCTTCCTGCACGAGAACTTCGAGTAGTGGCTGGAATGTAGGGTCTGAGGGCAGTCCGCGAAGGATTATCTGTTGTCTTGATGCAGCGAGTATTAGCGATCTGTTTACTGAGCCTTGAGTTCTCGTCTGCTTCAAGTATCTTCTTTGACAAGAGCAAGAATAGCTTGGTCCTCGACAGACAGTAGGACAAGGGGTTTAAGTCAATAGGGACGGAACCGTAATAGTAAAACACCCACAACGGTTCCCTTACACCAAGCCATTGCCTCGAAGCATAACTGCACTTGTTCAGGATATCGATAAAAGTCCTGCTGGCAGGGGTGTTCGCAAGGGGCTCAAGATTGGTTATAGCGCTGTCAAGATCTTCCATGATGCTGTCAACTGGCTGGAGCCATTCGATGCTTGATCGGAATGCGTCCATGACTTGCATTTCGATGCTCTCGTAGTTTGCCACATCAGGATTCGACGCCATCACCTTGGCCCCGAACACGCTGCTGGCGAAGCTCCCGAAAAGTGAAAGAAGACCCGAGGCTGACCTAGATACTCCTGTTAGAATGCCTTTGACTTGGTCTAGTGATAGGCTTGTCTGCAAGTTTCTGGGTTTCCATGTAACCATGTGTCCGTTTTGGGTGCTCTCCGATCCCTCCGAGGTAAGTTCTGGCAGTGGGAAGACGATACCGTATATTTCCAGCCTATCGCAAGACAGACGGCTTAAAGAGCCGTCCAGTAGGAATACTGTCGCAGAATCGTCTCTACATACTGGCACGAGGTAACCCAATCCATCAAAGGATACCTGAATTCTTGGCACAGGTTTTGGGGTGATGTACGGGCCAACTGGCAGCGAAGAGCTTGCAGTTTGGCTCGATGAGCCTGTGGATCCAGTCTTGATCGATGTTCCTGTTGGGAGGCTGGTAGTGTCTGGCGGAGTATGGATACCATCCCCCCCATAGAAGTCGTACACCCCCACTAGTCGTACAGCCAAACCCCACCATCACCACCAAAACACCCCCTTATTGACTTATACACGAATGAAGCCATTTAGGTCAGAGAAATACAGCAAAATTATCATTCAAAAGCGCTGAAGCTGTTCATGCGTAATATCTAGCCGGCGCCCGAATGGCTCGCCCGGATCGCGATAGGCGAGGCTTCTGTATAGTCTCCAAAACGTCTTCATCAAGGGGGTCATCCTCATCTTCCTCTTCGTCCTCCGACTCAACAACTATCTCTTTTTGCACTTCTGTGTGTGCAGCAGGGCTAATGGTACCTCCATGAGATAGTGTTTCTGTCACTGTTTTGAACTTCCTATTAGGATTAGGGATCTTCTGTCGCTTCTTTGGCCGTAGCCGCTCTAACTCAGCCTCCAAAGCCTTGATCTTCTGATCTTTTATAACAACTTCGGTCTCCTTGGCTTCGAACGCGTTGGCTGTCTTTCTGTACTTCAGTCTGGTCCCTGGGGACTTATTTTTGCCGAAATTCATGATCTGGCGGCTCGTAGTAGGGGTCCGTTGGTCCTCTGGTTCAGAGCTTTCAGGGGTATCAGGCTCAGGGGTCTTTCTCTTCTCTTCTTGTATCTCTGAGTGCTGTAAGCACTTCCTGCGGCTGATAAGATAATATCCAGTGACCTTGAAGCCCGAGAGGATATTTTGCTTAATGAAAGCAGAAGTTCTGGCCTTGCTATAGCATCGGATGAAGTTGATCTTGTCAACAGGCGAGGCATCCGTCAAGGAATTCAACTCGGAGAGGAATTTCTGGTAGTAGGCCTTTAGGGCGTTATAAGGCCCGTTATCTAGAGGTTGCATGCCATGACTAGTATGCGCAGGAAAGAAATAGAGCAATATGTTATTAAAATAACATATGGTCATGAATTTGTCCTATTAACACGCGTCAAACCATGATAAATCGGGAAAAATCAAAGGAAGTCTAAATAAAATAAGGAAAAATCATATACGTACGGAGGTGTGGCTCTTATGGCCATCTAGTATTAAAAGGATCGCGTCGGACTGGTCTCCTCCTCGTATCTCGTCCGCCTGTGGGAGGAAAACATCTTCTAGCCACTTGCAGGCGATGTCATTCGAAGTCCAGCCATTTTCTGAGCATATATAATGCCAATCTGCGGTCTTTTGGAACTCCTTGATGAACCACTGGGCTTGGAGGTCCTTCCTCTTAAAGATAATGCCTGGTTTCAGGATTTTTCCAGTTACTGAGACAATCTCGATAAAGGAGGTCCAGCTACAGCCCTAAGGGCTCTTCAGGAAGGCCTTCTTTGTAGCAGAACTACCCAGAACAAGAGATTCGATGCCTGTGAATCTAATTAGATTTCTCCCGGAATTAAAGGGGTAAGTAGAGCTACCAAAATCCGACATGATGCCGCCCTTATCGACATTATAGGTGTTCTTTGGCTTCATCCAGCCGTAGTCTTCGAGAATTTCAAAGAACCAGTTAACTGACTTTGACATAAAGCCCTTAAAGCGTGCCGCTTCCTTCCTTTTGCCAATCTTGGTCTTGATCTGGGGGTTGCGGCACTTGAAGGCTGCCATGAAGGTGTCTCCTAGGGGGGCCTCATCCCCCTTTTCTTTCAACACCTTCTTAATGATCTCACGGACCAGGGAGTGTGAAGGGGCTAGGCCCAGCTTTTCTTGCAGTAAAACCCATTTGGTTATAGTCATTTCCTGCGCAGGAGAGAGTCTCTGTTACTGTATATGGGCTTCGGATCTCGTAGGCCTGCCGTTGAGTCGATTAGACAGCGTCATGGCCAGAATGCCGTGTTTTTGAGCGCTTTTTCGCAGCGAGAGGCCCTCATCTGCGATATCTAAGATGGCTTTCGCCATCTGATCCTCCGTATACGAATAGGGAGGCATTTTAGGCGGCTATACGATGCTGTGTTGCATACAGAACAAGGCTTCATGAGAGCCGCGCAAGACCGCAAATATGCCATTCGGGATAGGAAATGCGGGGTAATTAACAGCCAATCACGTAGGCGCCGCGGGGTAAATGTGGGAGTTTGGGTGGTGATGGTGGGGTTTGGCTGTACGACTAGTGGGGGTGTACGACTTCTATGGGGGGGATGGTAGTTTCCGTGGGAGGCGCGGTGTTGGGGTCCATGTTGCCTGACCGCTAGGAGTCGACATCGTCTGGCCACTGGGAGTCGATATTGGGGGCTCAGTACCCGAGTGCTCAGTCGCAGAGCTAGTATGAGGGAACATAGTTGGCGAACTACTATTTGGGTGCTGGTGCTTGTGAGAGAAAGTGTAGTCGGCGAGGGGATGGTCCGCGAAGGATTGGTCGTGGTGTCTTCAGTGGTAGGAGGGAGCTCAGTGGTAGAAGGACTATTAGTGGTAGGAGGACTACCAGTCGTACGAGGATTATCAGTGGTAGAAGGACTATCGGTGGTAGGGGAAACTCCAGAGGTCAAAGGACTGCTTGACGGGATCGTAGCCGTGGTACTGAGTGAAACAGGTCCCGTCGTATCTGTCCGACTCGATGTAACCGTGCTTATCTCGGTCGATGTTGGTGTAATCGCTACAATTGACGCAGTGTTACTGGGCTCAGTGGATAGAGACGTAGGTGGAACAATAGTCCTGTATATACTCGATTCAGGGGTGCCCAATGAAGAGATGCCTTGAGGACTGGTCGTTGAGAAAGACGAAGATGGAGGGACAAGCTCAGATGAGCTCGATATAAGGGTACCACCACCAGTGGATGGTGGAGAGTTAGTGGTGCTTATTGGTGACCCACTGATCACTTGACTGCTGCTCAGAGCCATGGTCGTGGTTGGCAGGGACACAACGGTACTGGCAAAACTGGATGCCGACGGAGATGTGATAGTATCGGTGGAAGGTGATGAGATAGGTTGTGAAGTGCCAGTATTTGCCAAAGACGTTGCAGTAGCCTGTGATGAAGGCAATACTATAGTAGTCGAGTGAGTACTGGCTGCAGAGCCCAATGTTGACATGGTAGTAACCGGGGTGCCATGGCTAATACCAGTACTTTCTATGGTAGAGATGGAGACTGAAGTGCTTGCTACAGTAAGAGTGCTTGCTGCAGTACTCCCGAAGCCTGTGGTACTCGTCTCCGGTGTCGGTGAAAAGGGCGTACCGTACGACGGGCTACGAGTATCATAAGAGTATCCTCCGGAATAGGCCGTGGTTGTGCTCGTCGGCAACTCGGTTTCTGGTATAGTCACGGTGACCGTAATATACGTAGTGCAAGTGCAATCGGGGACCCTGATGTGGTCAGTCGTCTGGGTCGAAAACACGGTTGAGCATTGCGAGGGGCCGGAGTTCGCGGCATCACAGTTGACGGCCACCGGCCGCAGGACGACGTGGGCCTCGTTACATGCTGGGGCAGCGGTTATAGGGAAGGCTATAGAAAAGAAAAGGAGTCAGTATTCGGGCAACTGGTGTCAAGGCCTCCATAGAGTCTCTGACTTTTATCTCGGTGTTAGGATAGGGGTAGGAGTTGGTTCTAGGACGAACCATGGACGCCGATCCCCACCGCTATTGCCGAACGGCACATGAGCAGTAAGCTCTGAAAAGCACGCCAAGGTCGCATTTATTATTTTCACTCCGTGGTAAGGTGAATTGGGTGCCTAGTCGAGCCGAAAACCGATATCGTGCGTTCTGTTAACGATTTGGGTCTGTGTCGGCTGTGGGTTTAGCTGGGTTGTTAAACATTGAAGGAACCGTCAAGTGAAGAATTTCCGTACGACCTTTTATAGCATTTTTGGTTGAAAAACTTATACGAAAGATATCAGGAGCAACATACGTAGAAACAAGCTGTGATGTTTCAAGAGGTTATGTGCAATCACGTCGCTGTGCTGGCGCTTGCCATGACTGGCGCAAGTGACTATCCATGACAGCAAATAACAGAGCAGACCGGTAGGGGTGAGACCGGCCAGAGGTTCCAATTGCAGCAAATCGACGGATATGCCGGGGAGATTGGGGTTATAAGGCGATGTGAGAGTCACGACATGGTAAACCCGCCTTTGATTTTACAGCCACATGTAGCAGCATGAGATACCGAATGGCAAACTCACAGTCTTACCGTTGTTGACTACGTTAACACTCACCTTCATAGAGGTGTCCATTGACGGACACACAAATCTCCGCCTCCGGTATCAAGTACATATCAGCGATCAGAAAATGCAGTAGCGATCACGAACTACACCAGAAGAGAAACCTCGGCGCATCTTGTAAAGCAAGTCGAAAATGGCCGGTCCACCTCTACACCGCGATCCCGAGCTCCTAGAGGAGGCGAATAGACTTATAGGAGAAGAACAGCATCGGGATTGATAAGCGCGGCCTGGCATCCATTAGGGAGTAATGCAGTCGCTGGCTATCTGTTTTCTAACAGCGCACGTAGTAGGCTGTGCATGATTACGTTTAGATAGAATTGATGTATTTTAATTAACCTTACTATCGTTTGGTTAATTGGACTGCATGTTGCCTGACCATGGTCGCACACCTCTTCGCAAATGCCGATTGTAATGATACTAAAGTAACTTACATATCAGCGAAATCCTAGCTGGGCAAGTAGTTACGGTGGGTGGTGCCATAGTGCCCAAGCAGCACAAATCCAAAAAGTCACAATCACAATCAACAATCACCAACACCACCGTCAAAGTCAAGCACCAAAAAGTCCAACAACGTAAAACAAGTTCATTAAACCATAAAAGCAGCACAATCCATCCTAAACTCCTAACATCGACATCGTCCAGGTCATAATGATACAAATAACCAACCAAGTAGAAGGTCGGCCTCACTTCAAGGGGGTGGAGCAGGGTCAGGCGGTGAAAGCAATCAAGCAACGCCTTGACGCTTCTGCCTTCCCTTTCCTTTCCTTTCATTCCCTGAACACCCCATGAAAATGCGACAAGCGATGAATCCAAAGCCGCAAGCTACCCATCCCAGCCCGGCCCCGAGGCATAATAGACACTGGGACAAAACACAAGCAAGACCCTACACCGAAAGTATGTACTGTAATCGCAGCATGATATATCAGTCCTCCTCGTGCTGCGTATGCCCTTCTCGCCGTTTCGTCACGCACAGGCCCCGGAGAGCATCCACCTAGGTCCGCCCCTTGGCGGCCCGGCCGGCGGGTGCGCTGACGTCCCTACGCTCAACGCCCACGCCGCCCATCATCTGCTTGCGCGGCGTCATGGCGCCCTGGGCCGCGCTCCTGGCTCTACCGCGCCGCTCCTTGATCTGGGCCAGCGCCTGCTCGCGGGTCATGGTCGGCGTCAGCGCTGGGTTGTTGACGTCGAACGAGGGGACGCGGGGGCCGTGGTGGTGTGCCGGTATGACCGCGATCGTGTGCGGGTCGATCTTAACGTCCCGGATGGGGATGCTGGTCGTCGTGGTCACCGTGTAGAAGGCTGCGGAGGTATGAGGACGTGTTTCAGCAGTTTCGGAGTCTGGACGTACGGACGAGGCGGGCGACTCTACTTCAGGCTCATCTGCCTCTTCACCCGCATCCGTGTCGGTATCACAGGATGGGTCATCGCCCGGTGTAGCAGTTGTGTCGATGACAGTGCAGTGAGAATCGCTTTCACGTGGGGCGTTGAGGAGGGATAGAAGGGATGTTCTTTCCTGTACCATCAAGGCAAACGTTGGAGGGTCGACAGAGGGTGTTCGAGAGTAATAGTCAGGGTTTGGGTGCGAACTGACGGGAGTGAGTGGTCCAGGAGCGGATTCTTCGATCTTCTCCATGGCTTCTAGTTCGTGTTGCGAGAGCGTTCGAAAGGTTCCCTCCGATGGCAGAAAGACGGTTCCTCGCCTTGGTCCTTTTTGCTCCTGGGCCTCCTCCTGTTTGCTCACTTCTTCGACAGCCGTCTCATTTGGCTCGGTCGGTTCGGGTGCTCCTAACCCCTCAACTGGCTCAACTAGCTCAGCAGACTCAGCTTGCGCGGTATCTGCTGGGGATTGCCGAGAGTCTTGCGCTGCTACCGGAGACGGCGCCGGTGACTCTGGTTTCTTGCCTAGAATTATCAGGTCTGCCGGGTCCACAATGGCAATGGGCCCAGGTCGCTCTTTGCGCACAGAAGCCACAGTACTTCGTCGTGGACGACGAGACCTGGAGCCTGCACAACAAGACATCTGGCATTCTGCCTGTACGAACTCCAGATGTTCTTGGGTTCGGTCCGCTCTCCGCCTCTCCCATTGCCACAGCCGTGTCAGCTCGTCGATCTCGTCTTCGCTAGCGGCGGATGATACAATGTCCATTGTCGAGAGCGACACTCTTGGCTTCTTCGGCGATGCGAACTCGGTATTGGGTTCCTCCGGGGGCAGTGGGAGACGGCCCTCGGCTGCTATTCTGGCAACCTCTTCGCTCTGAGCAGCAGCCTTGAAAGCATCACGCTCCTCTTCCACGAACTTGATGCGCTCGAGAGCCTTCTCTAGCTGCTCTTGGAGACCCACGAGCTGATACCTTGAAGCGAAGGCTTCCTGTTCTCTGGTTTTGCTAAGCTCTTTCTCGCGTTCGAGACGCTCTTCGATCGACTTGGATGAGGCTCGCGCTACTTTGACCTCCTCCTGTAGCTTGACGATGGACGATTGTGACTTGAAGGTCTCCTTGCGCGCTCGCCGGATCTCCTTCTCCCATATGGCTTGCGTATGCGAGTATGTTTCTTTCGCTCGTCCATAGCTCTCCTGCATCACATGCAGTTAGTAAGTGTCGAGGCACTTTCCACGGAAAGTCAGCGCAGCGTATGAACCCACCATTACGGTTTCCAGTCTTTCGCCAACTTTGCGCTCTCGTTCGCGACCATCGTCGACCTGTCTACGCAGCGCGCGGGCCTCGTCTCGATACCGGCGCATCTCGGACTCTGCCTCCTCGCGTCCTAGCATGGCGCGTTTGAGGGCGGCATCGGCTGTCTTGCGCTCGAGCTGCTTGGACATGGAGACTGATGACAGGTGGTTGAACTGGCGAATCTTATCGAGTACATCGCTGTCACGATGGCTGGTTCGGACGGAAGAAAGCATCGGGTTTTCGTTCTCGCGCTGGTGGTTGACGCGATCGGGGGATATTGGTTGGAGCGGCGCCGCGCCAGGCAAGCCAGGCTGGCTGGACGAGTGATCCATCTCGATTATTTGCTTGCGCGCAGTGAAGATAATCTTGCTGTTGAATCACTGGTGGCGGATACGTCTTCGTTGAATGACTGTTGAGTCTTGCGCGGCTGGGCATGGATGTGCAGTCGTGGAAAGTGTAGAGGTTGACGCACCGTGTGTGCCATTTACAAATTATGGTGAAGGTGCCAAGGCTGTTGTGTTTACCTGAGTTTGAAAGGCGCGTTGGCAGGTCAATATACCGTCACGTGATACTTACCCCCACCTATCCCTTCCCACCCTTTCTTTCACTTGTCGCGACGGATTCACCACCACCACCACCACCACCACGTCACAGGTATCTTAGCTCCGAGTCTATACCCGAACCTATATAATTCCGAATCGCACCACGAGCCTAACTTAGGCATAGCAAGAGCTTGCAACTTCTGCTATATCCAAGGTGGCAGGATCATCTCATGAGTAACACTGTGCTCAAATGATAGGTATGCACGTGCACTCATATACAGGAGTCGTACGAGAATAAGCACCGCCGTTGCAGTCCAGGTCTCACATGTGAGCCAAGTGGCGCTGAGTCGCATGCAAACAACTTCACTGAATCGGCGAACACGGAGCACCAACCACTTGTTGGTATGACTTACAGGCGGTGAACCCAGGGGCAGCAAATCGCGGCTCATTCGACTGTAAAGTGTCTTGTTTCCCAGCAGTCATCTTCACGCCGTCGCGTCGCGAGGGTGGCAGAGTGCTCGTCACTGCGAAATCACGTTGTATACAGTATCTCTCGACGGTTGCAGATGAACTGCTCAAGAACAATTGACCCGAATGTAGAACACCGAGGCAGAGCAGGATATATGTCTATTCACTTCTTATACAGGTCATCAACCACCCCGTGCTCACAGCAATTCAATTGCAACCAATTCAGACTCGACCATGCGGATATGCCGGCCTCTTCGCATGCCCGGACGTGCTCTGGATGGGCCAAGCCTCCAAAACTCCAATGAGTAGCCCCCAACAACGATCTATGGAGTCGGGAAGTGTGACACATATTGACTCCAATGAAACCAAACGCCTCTGTTTCTGTAAACGGGTGAAGGGAGTACAGATGTGTGCAGGCTCACAGCAACCAGGTGTTGTGTCGTAGAATATATCCGCTGCGAACTCGAGTGACATGCGGGAAAGCCAGTCACGCCCAGCAGTTCTAGTTTTTGGCCTTGTCGCCAGCCTCCTTGGTCTTTTCTCTCGCCTGGTTGCCGGTTTGCTTGGCCTTTTCTGACGCCTGATTGCCGGTTTCCTTGGTCTTCTCTGATGCTTGATTGCCGGATTGCTTGGCCTGTTCTGCCGCCTCGCTACCGGTTTCCTTGGCCTGTTCTGCCGCCTCATTGCCGAATTGCTTGGCTTGTTGTTTGCTGGCTCTTATCATATCGCCAATCCAGGTCAGGACCTCAGACGTGGCGACAAGCCCCGTAGAGACCCAAGCCTTGCCGTACGTCACCAGACCCTCACCGTTAAACTTCTTACGCTCTGAGGCGTAGACATCGAAAAGATGGTCCTTGGTCTGCATGGATTTGCGCAGAGGGAAGAAGATGATGTTCTGGCCATAGTCGAGAAGCTCGTCGGTTGACTTGGTCAGGATGGGGAGGCGCTGGTCGAACCTGCCGAGCGCGTTGTCGCCAATGTAGTCTGCCTTCTGAACATAGGGCGAGACATACTGATATGGCCTGGCTAAGTATGGCATGATGGGCTTGGCAAAGGTCTGGTAGGCCGAGTCGCTCAACTCGATCGATTTCTGGCCATAAGGGTTCTTCTTCAAGTAGCTAAGGCTGTCATTGACAACCGGGTACTCGGAAATGTGCTAGAACATATGAGTCAATTGGATGTTCGTACGGGTAACCGGACCGGCGTAAAGGGGCAGCCCTATGGACGACGTAGACTTACAGAGAGAGTCGCCGAAGCGGGGTGGGCGTCGCCATTAACCTGGGCAGGCATCTTGACAGTAGAGTAGAGATGCAGAACTTGTTAGGTGTGAAGGTGGTATATGGCTGGTAATTGAAATAGAGTGTCAGCTGTGGTACAGACAACCCAACCCGTCACGTCTGATTCGCAATAAGGTGAAGCAAGTTGAGCAGTCTGACTTACAGGGTGACCAATCGATCCCAAAGTGTAGCGCGGCTCAAAAGCGACTCCAAGGAGGCAAAGCTGAGAAGAGATGGACGTGCTGAATGTGCCGAATGTGCTGTAACCGGTGACGGCTGTGTGATGATGTTGCGTTGTTGGTTGAGGAGAGGAGGGGGAAGAAGGGAAGAAGCTCGAGCTCCTGGTGTAAGTTGTGTGAGTCGATGTGGGTGGACGGGTGGGTGGTACACAACCTCAGGCAGGCAGGCACGTTGGTGAGAGGCCGGATGGGAAAGTAGGTACCTAGAATTGGTAGGTCGGATGGGAAATGGGAAAGAGAAGGAAGATGAGGAGAGGAAGTCCGAGTCCGCGTCCGCGTCTACCTGCTTCCTTATCTACGGTACCGGTAGGTGAAACAAGGCAGGCAGCAGGAGCGGGCAATATCAGGGAATTAGCTGGAGAGGATACCTAAGGTCTGCTTGTCAACTGGTACATGCACATGTGTAGCACCGATAACGACATCATACGCGCCACGCCACAGCCCATAGGCACTACGCATCTGCATCTGACGGAAGCTGGGCAAACATATGGATTTGCATGTGCTTCCCTCTAGATGTCCTTGCCTTTACCTGTGATAGCGCGCGTACCTCCACACCAACAGCCAGACTGACAGCCCGCTATCTGACACCAGCAGGTGTCCAATACGGGCCCGTCGAAGCTATTGATTGCGGAATACCCTAGGTAAATGTTGATGGTGGCATCAGGTATCGCATTTCAAACACCACCGACACCAGAACCGCAGATATGTGATGCCGCGGCCAATGAAGGTATTCGTCTCTGTGCCCTGCAGGCCGCCATAGACCCCCTGTTAGCCATGCTGTAGTGGGCTTGCGCACGAGCTGGAGTGGATTCCAAGCCGCGGGCCCTGGTGGGCTGACAGGGACGCGCCCTGGAGCCAAGTCCCGACTCCTGGGACAGTGCCACAGGCCCACAGTGGGAAGAGCTCCGGCACCAGTTTTGACGCCACTTGAGATAGGGCATCCGGCATTGTGGTTGGCTAACGGTGGTCCCCAGCCACAACTTTGAACTGACAAACGGCCCACCCAACCCACCATCCCACGCGGCCTGGCTTCTTTCGTCCCGTCCCTCCCCGTCGCTGGCATGTGAAAGTGTTGCCGGGTGTTGTGTCATCGTGTCGTCGTATCGGGCTCGCCCACAATCGTAAGTCCAACCTGCAGCCAACCTGGAAAAACAGGCTCTGGGACACGACGGCAAAGAAGAGCATGTCGGAGCTCTGCCATCAAAATCCCTTTTTCCTATCCGCGCCTTCGAGCTTCGTCTACAGATATCGCCACCTGCATTGTACCGGGTGCGTCTCTGCCACGGAACCCGAGCGCTTCTACGACGGCTAGTGGCCATATTGACTTCTTATATGCGTCTGCCCAGAGTCTATCACATATATCGGACTGTGTCAGCACGATCGTAAGTTTCGATGGTCAGGTCCAGCACGGCTCCTGGCACGTGTATCACCGTCATGATGGCCGCCTAGTTCATCTCTTGTCCGTGTATGCCAATGCTGTCTATTTGTTGCATGAACCTTATCGTCACCATGTCCGGCCTGCATGATTGCAACCCTACAGCAGCACCAGCCGACAAATCAAGATGGAAATCAAGTGTTTGACTCTTGAGTACAGCGCAGCCGGCAAGTGGATGGGGTGTTTCTTCCACCTTGATAGGACACGACTAACCCCATGCGACTCTGCTGTACGCTGTGCACAAATGCTCGACATGAAGATACAGCTGTCTGGAAGTTGGCTTGGATCCATAAACACTAATTGTGCATTTTACTACCGGTACATCGAATTTTAGTATCACGCGGCTCAAAGTTTCGGAACATGGACGGACTTCGCCCAGTATTGCATGTCCTCCACCAGAGAAACGTTCCGACACAACCACATAATGAACTACCTCTCGGATAGATGGATCAGCAAACATTGAACCTCGGGTCATCGCCAGCCTGCCTGGGTTTCATCCGAGCCGAAGTATTTTTGGGCTCATGAGGCGAGGCCGTTCCTACGCCCCTGTCAGCCCCGCCTGCACGAATGCCAGTGAGCCCACCTTCACATGTCAGATTGATGGCAAACATCCCAAAATAGGGGACAAGATAGAGATGAAAGGAAAAGATCGCGGTTAAATTCTCCCATTTCGGCACCTCGAACGCTGCTAAGAACCTGCGGCTGGACAACCTTATAATTGGGACAGACTGGCCACCGCTGTCATTCGACCGACGATGGCTTGGATGGCAGCAGACTGATAGCCAAAAGGCCGATTCCTACCTATTCACCTCTAAAGACACAGCACCTGGTGAATTGTCCGATACCTGTGCCGTCCGACCTCGGATGTCACTCAAGCGTCTCCATCACGGGATGTGTTCGTCATCTACCGGCAACATACAATGTCGAAGCATGCAGTGAGCAAACATACATAGGTTGGACAACCCTCCACCATCCGCAACGTCGGCAACTTGCCTCGGCGAGCCCGGCGCAAGTATTCTCCTCGTACGCAAAGTGCATCTCGTCCTACTGGAATCCCGGAAGGGCAGATACGACGCTTCCGCCACCGCATTTGCATTGGTGTCAGTACCATCGCCGCACATGCGGGTGAGTGATAGCTGCAGGCGAGGTTTCGGAGTGATACGACCAAGACAGCATGATGCAATTTACAGGTTTGCGGTGCAGGCACAGCTTCTCTTGGACGAGATAGCTTGGTAAATTGAGGGAAAATGGCGACTAACTTCATCCCCGTTGGGTTGTCTCAGAGCGCTTTCGCCGCCTCGTAGCTATGGTGACATGATAAGTTTTGCATCTAGCGGTGACCACATGGGGAATTGACCTACTCAACAACCCCTCCCCTTTCCCTACTACCAAGCACAATGCCCACAATCGAACCTCAAGTCCGCCCCGGTCATGAAACTACTCCCATCCGCCGACAAGAACAGCACTGGTGCCCGGAACTCATCCACCGTGCTGAGCCGGTAGAGCTTGTTGTCCCCCACCCACTGCACCTCCATGCCGGGCTTCTCCAGCCCTCGGCCGTCGCCGCCGTGCGGATGTACGCCGGGGACAGCGAGTTGACGCGCACGAGCGGCATGCCGGCGCGGGACCCCCACTCGGCCGCCAGCGAGCGCGCCAGCTGGTGCACGGCTGCCTTGGACGCGTTGTAGCCCGCGGTGTTGAGGCCCTGGTCGGTTGATGAGTCTCGTACATCGTACGAGCCTTCTTTTTATTAGGTACTCACCCCTTGTTCGACACGTATCCGCTCATGCTCGCCGTCACGTTGGTTCTCAGCACCTCCCTTGTCACGGCCTGGGCCACGATGAACATACCCGTCACGTTGATGTCGAGAATGCGGCGGAAGGACTCCACGGGAAACAGGCGACGAGGCCTCTGATGGGGTGGCGGAGCGTAGGAGTGAACTTTTTGGACACAGGTGACACGCCCTCGGCGTCTCGGAGGTCGCACTGATTGTAGGACAGGATGCGCGAATGCTTCTTCGCGGACGCCACAGCGGCCTCTATGGAACCGTCAGTCGGATGCTCAGGGTTCATATGATATCGGAACCTACTCCAGTCTGATGATGTTGGGACGTCGACAGCATCGAGACATACAACATCACCACCGCTCTCGAGGATAGCCGCCGCCACCGTGATGCCGAGGAAGCTGTTGGCTCCGGTCACTTCGCTGCCAGGTCCAGCATGTGTCCAAGTAAAAGTGAGAAGAGAATTTACCTATGATTGTGCGTTTGTCAAGCCTGAATAGTTCGGCGACTGACGCTGACGGATTCCCCTGAGGCTTCTTGGCCTCTCGGTACTTTCGGTCGTGGACCTTGACGTTGTTCATAATGAATCCAGATATTGGGTCCAAATGATGAGAGGGTATTCCTGAATGGTAGTGATGATTGCAAAACGAAGTTGTCGCTTTTATTTCCCTCAGTACTTGCTTTATGTACGGTCCTGAGGCTTTGGTATGCCATCAACCAACAGCCAACATGATCCCGTCATTGGAATGTAGCCCCTCCCGGGTCGTTCTCTGCACGTAGGTTTGGGATATGTGGGTCAAGCAAGAGGCCGCAGAGTCCCCCCTATCTTCATTTAGGCCGTACAGGCGTCCAGACGTCCAAAACAAATGATTTAATTAGCATCCAATGAAAGGTCCCGGCCGCGAGAAGAAGCTATCTGATTGATGCCTGAGTATACGTCTTCGCTCCTTAGTCAACAGATTTAGATGCTGGGTAGTATGCTAAGATGATCGTCTGGAAATGTGCACCGAAGACCTCGTCGTCCTCCTCTCCATCTCAACCCTGCCAACCCGCAGCACCAACCACGAACGTGGGATTCCTCGCTTCGGTTCACCACCAGAAAACACCAGAAACGCCAGGGGCTCAAGACCCGACGCGGAAGCAGCGTCTCCATCCTCGAGGGGTGTCCTAGTCACGGGCCGGTGGAGATCATGGATGATAGACACCCTACAGTCCAAACAGTTCACTCGAAAGATACCTAGCGAGATGATTGGAAACCTTAACTTAAGGCAGTGAGTCCCGGCTTCTCTACGCCTCCTTCGGAGCGATGAAACGAGCTCAGCCTTGAAGAGCTGACCGGAGTCGGCATAACCCCGGAACAATTTGGCCACTACGATCCCCAAATCACTGAGCAGGCGACGGCCCATCGTATCCCTGGTCTAATCAAGTGAGTGCTGCAGTTAACCCGCGAGAAGAAGTCCACGTCAAGCGTCAGTCGCCCAAGCCGTTGAGACAGGTGATAACAGGTACGCCAAGCAGCAGAAGGCCAACGCAAGAATGCGCTGATGCCCTGTTGATGCCCTTGTCGATGCCCTTGTCGATGCCCCTATTGATGCTTTAGACTGACATGCCACTATCGAACCATTCTACCGGTGCTCGAGGTAGAATGCTGGATCAGCACAGTTGCATTTCTAACAAACGGTTTAAAGCTTGGATATGAAGCCAAAAAACCTCAATGAATGGAATTGAGAACTATTTCATTGTCGGCCACTGCCCTGACCCCCATCGGCCCTGAGGCTGTTTCTCCGTACCGCCTGTCACCCGCTTGGATCATCCCTCCATCCCATAAACCGATCTATACCATATTATGCTGTTCCCTACCCGCTGGCCTCTATCCTCTATAACGCAAACGCTGTTGAAAAGAATTACTCGCTCGCTCGGTGTATATTGTATATCTTGTGCTCGGAATGCAATTCCCAAATATCAGACGAAGTACCACGCCAAGCAGTCCTTTCCGAGAAAGCAGCCGAACGCCAGAGAGTGATTATGTGTTTATAGTGTCCACAAGCCACTCCGGCGCTTCCCAAAGGGGTAGACGATCAGAGCGCTCAAAAACAAGCCAAGCGTGATTCCAATAGCGATCTGGATCATCGACCCTGCGACGTTGTAGACAACGTCGTTGAGTGACTCGCCCGCGTCGACCGTGACCTGTTGTTTCGAGTGAATTAGCTTATGTTCGATATACAATAAATCCTCAAGTCTCAAAGGAATGAGCAACTGGTTTGACCAGTAGAAGCGATATGGAATGAGCATATGAAATGACTTCAAATTTGAATGCTCATTCCCTTGATTGGAAGGGCATACGGAATGATTTGAGGGGGTGTAGTGGTGGCAGCATTTTTAGTTCATGGGATAACTTACAGTACTGGTGGTCCCGTTCACAGGATGGGTCGAATTGTTCAGCTCATTGGCGGTGCTCAGTCCGCTCAGTAGACTTCCGGTCGCCGCCAGGCCACTGGGAACCTGCACGAAAATAGCAGGCAGCAGCGCAGTGACGGCTACGCCATGCCTCAGCCTCGAATACAGGTTGGCAAGCACTCCAATTGTGAAAGCTCCCAGCGTGTTCGCGATCTGTGGGCTGGCTTTGAATTTCGGACCGCTGAAGAAGTTTACGACGTAGCCGGCGAAGGCAATGAGTATCATAACTGGCATCTGTTTCCACTTGGCCTGGTTGACGAAAGCGAGGCAGATAGTGAAGATCGGTACAAATATGAAGCGATAATGGGTAGGCATGGTGTTTGTACAGGACGTGGCAGATGTCGCATTCGAATCTACGAGTCCGTACAGTGCAGTCCCGACGGTGATACCGAACCCGAGGAAGAGTGAGTAAATGATGGCATACACCATGCGGATTGACCCGGGAACCAAGGCACGAGACTGAAGTTCAAGGGCGGAGCATACTGTCAAGAAAGTATTAGTAGGGTCCAATAAGAGATATACTGAGTGCTCGGAATATTTCGTCCAGCCCCCCGACCAAAAGATAGTGAATCCAGGGGTGTTCATTGTCTTTGGGAAAAGTACCCTCGAATAAGCAGTCTTGAAACACCTTGTTCCACGGTGCTAGTTCCAAACACTGTAATTACTCGGGGATCTTGAACTCAAGGCGGGCGAATGGAGCGCATAAAGAGGTACGAAAGGTTGAGACTCACAGACAAACCAACCAGGCAGAATCAAGGCAATGGAACTCTGAGCCAAAGCTGAGAAGCAGAACAACTCCCCACCCCTGATGCTGCCAAAGGCCCGGGCCAGGAAGCTGGTCAGAACTGCGGCACTGATCTCGAAAACGTTATTGTATAAGTCGGACTTCGGGGCGTATATGATCTGTAATGCACCAACGAGGCAGCCCAAGAAGAAGCAAACGGGCAAGTCGATGAGTCGTCCCTCGAAACCGAAAGGCGCAACCGCCGCGCTGGCAAGGCCGAAGACGAGAACACGGAGCCAAGGACTAAACTTGTCTTTCATCTCCATTATAGCAGAAAGCTGCTCGATGGCTTCGTCGACGCTGTATAGATCATGCAGAACCGACTTGTATATCTCGTGGACGTCTTTAAGTTTCCCAAGGTCAATACCCTGGGTTGTCCTAACAATCTTGACCTCGGTGGTATGTGTCGACTTGTCGTCAAACGATATAATCATACAGCCAGGCAAGTAGAGAAACTGGCCGTCGATTTCCAAGACTCTGGCTGTCATCCTCAAATACTCCTCCAGGCGATGGGTTGGAGCACCGTATAACATGAGAGCCTTGCACATCTTGATGATGTACTTCTGACGACTCAAGGTCTCGGCGATGTGCATGGTAATCCGGATCTCGTCCTCCATACGGGGTCGGCCAAAGTTCATGATCTTGGCACTCGCGTTTCGCTTGTGTTTCGGTCGTTTCGACTGAGGTGACTTCTCTATCGGACTCGAGCTCTCCAGGCCACTACCAGCTTTCGCCAAGCGAGCGGAAGCCTCCACGAGATTTGCCAGAGTGTCTTGTGAGCGGTTCTTGTCGTACCACTTCTTCCGGTTGGGAGTGAGAGCACCGGAGGAGGTTGGTGTGTTGAACCCGCTGGTGCCATCTGACTTCCCCCGACTATGGGGGTAGCTTGGAGTCAGGCTGCCGCCATCTTGAGGCTTGTATAGCTTCAGGAGGTTCGAGAGGACACTACCACGGAATTGCGGAGGTGGTGGTACGTAAAGCTCGACATGTCTCTCATGGCTCGGTGCGATCTGAGCAGAACTTGTGGCGGTATTTGTGGAGGGCGCCTGGAACGCCTCCGTACGGTGCCGTTGTGTATGAGAGCGGACGAGATCGTAGGCCTCGGCTTTCAAGGCCTTCTGTTCCTCCGATTTGGTCTTCTGCACATCTTCATCATTGCCACTGGGCAGACCTTCTGCTGGTTTCAAATTGAAATCATCAAGAGGGATTCCGTCGTCGTCTGGGGGAAGGAGATCATGGTTGCTGTGTACTGTCTCCGCCTCGGAATCCAACGAGGTCCGCCTCGACCCGGGAGCTGAGTGGGAACCTAGAAGCCTGGCAGCAAATTGCTGGGCGCGTGCATGGGCGGCGTTGGCTGAGATAGCCTTCTCTGAACTGGGATCGTGCTTGTCCTCCTCCTCCTCGGGCTGGCTGGTGACCGAGTTGTACGAATTGCCACGCAGCACCGACGGTCGGATTTTCGGCTTCGGGGCGGAGGTTCCATCGGGTATCGGTGAAAGACTGGAAAGGTCCAGAACTGGTGGTGGGTTTTCTGCAGCAGAACTGTTGAAACGTACTCGACCTTTCTCTTTCTTGAGTGACGCTGCGCTCCGTGGGTCCAGCGCGGTGGGACTTGAAGATGGACCGGATGGGTTTGGAGGTGTCTCTGGTCTGTGTTCCATAGCGACTGAGAGGCTGCGCAGCCGGGAGGTAACTGCTGATGTGCCCAAAAGAGGATGAAATGTGAAATGGAAGATGGCAAATGCTTAGAGAAAAGCTCGCATCAGCGCCTGGACTCAAGCAATCGTGTCCAGAGGAATTCAGTGGGATATTCACCGGATGGTTGATTACACCACAGTACGAAAGAACTGTATGCTCAAGGTTTTCGGCACGCAGGGCGTTGTCGTGGACTAGGTACCTAAAGCTTAGCGAAACTCTGATGTCGATTGCATGCAGGTTTCTTCGGTAGCAACGAGATAGTGAATGACTCGCAGTAGGATAAATCGTAAAGTTGACTGTGGACAATCAATAGCAGTGGCAGAAAATGACAATGTGGCTCTGCGCTGAATGGACGAATGGAATGACGTTGGAGAAAGAAGCGAGGGAAGGGACAAAGAACGAGGTCGATTATGACTCTGAGTACGACCGAAGTCGTACTTGGGCTGGCGAAGTCGAAGTCAATAAAGAGAAGCAACGAGACGGCCGAGACGGCGACGCGCGAGAAGGCGACGCGGGCTACAGTAATAAGATGGAGACGAACTCTGAACTCTGAACTCAGATCTCCCTTCGGTCGGAGCTTACGTTCCATGGGAGCAAGCTCTAACATGAATGGAAGGACCTGGATGGAACTACAAACCACCTCATTACAGACTACACTCTCATCAGTCATCGTAGGTGGTGGCTATCATCGCAAGACCCAAGACGGTTGTGTGTGGGCCGGGAACCAGGAACCAAGACGCCGTTGATATGCCGAAAGCGCAGCGCTTGCTGCTGATAGTTGGCCGGGCGGGAGCTGGGCAATGATAGGTAGGCGTCGATTGGCCGACGGATGGTGGCATGGAAACATGAAAACGTGCTGCCACGGCGCTCGTGGGAGGTGCGACCGGCGCTGTGAATGGCGGCCAGAGGACAGGCGAAGACGGGAGGCCGGGACCCCTTATCTCGTGTTCTCCACCAACATGAAAATCCAAATGATCCAGGCCTTGATGAGCGCAGCATGGGCCATGGTCAGGACGCCAGGCAGTGGGCACTGTGCCTGTGATGGCCTGTGATGGCCTGTGATGACCTCAAGAAGTGCGTGTCCCATCCCGCTTGAGTGGGTTCTCGAGCTCGTGTGTGACTTCTCTGACGTATGGCGTTGGGAATGCTACCACGGTCTGATGCAGAAGTGCCATCTTCCGTCACGAGAGTAGTAGAGTACTTGCAGTGGACTCCGGGTGGGCACGCGGTGGATCTGCCAAACCAGGATGAGCTCTTCCGCGTAGACCGGGCCTGGCGACGGGCAACCCAAGCCTCCCACCATGTGGGTAGAGATCAGGAAGGACGAGGCGAGTTATGCAATGCAGGTCTGCCGTTGGCAATGGGCCATGGGCTATGAGCCATGGCATGCAGCAGCGGTACAGCACTGCACTAGCAGAGGCTGCAGAGCCGCAAGGGGGGAGAGCCAACAACTTATTAACGGATCGCGGAACGGAGGGCGGCAGCGTGGGCAGCGCAGCTCTTCACAGTCACATGCATTTGATGTGCCCAGACCCGCCAGGATTTGACATGTAATGAAAGAGTTGAATGTGAGTGGTCCGTGACTTGGCACACTGCAGTGACTGGCGCAGGAGGTGGCGAGAGGTTGAGAGGTTGCATGCTACTGTACATCTGAAAAACCTGTGACGGTGAAGGAATTGGATGCATTAATGAAGGTGTAGTGGGTGTGGGTGTGTGACTGTGTGACTGTGTTCTCTGTCAAATGTTAAACCGTCAGATACCGAGACACCGAAACGACGGGAGGGGAGAGATGCAGCCTCCAGCTGAGAAAGCGACCGACATCGGCTGCTTTACCTTTCTCTTATCTCTCGCCACCTGGCGGCCAGGGACAAATAGTTGGGTGCAGCCGCTGGGATCGACGGAAAGCAGATGCGCTGCAAAATATGACCAATCATTCTTTCGCAGTCCCTCCTCCTTTTCTCCATCCCACGATCCCCAATCCCCAATCCCTAACCCCCATCGTCAATGTGCCCCTTTCTGCTGTGCATCTGGAGTTTTGCTCGCGAGATTGCTCTAGATTGGAGAACCACTTGTCTATGAATATCACAAATGTCAAACACTCCTGTCGCCCATGCATCCGGAGCGGCAGCCACCCGCTCCCCACTTTCACTTTATAGGGGCTGCACTCGTTTCCCCCCTACTAGTGATACGGCTGTCTCCAGTCTGGTATCGTGAAGTCTCGAGCTCGTCGTGAAGTGGTGCACAGCCGGCCAGCCGGCTCCCAGCCGCTCTCACACTAGGGAACCCAAGCTTCCAGAAACTCAAGACAGACTATTGCGGAATCCGGCTTCCACTCACCAAGTCCGGCTTCAACAAGCCTCTCCACCAGCTCCACTGATCCAGGGCCTCGAAGTTCACAGCCACAGGATCCCCTGAGTTAGGCTGACTAGCGCCAGGCGCCAACGCGTTGGGCTCGCGATGGAGCTGCCATCCTGGCGGCCCCATCGACGGGGGGTTGCATGTCGAGATGAAATTCACTAAAAAATCACCTGAACCTCGGATCGTGTATCAGTGCCTTATCACGACAGATCATCGCGATCCCGACATAGAAACGGACCCTCAGTATAGACTTGCATGAGGTCGGGCACTACTGTACAGATGCAGGGGATGGTAAAGGTTAGTGGCTCCATATACCAGGGGGCTCTGGGTCCGTATATGATAGTATTTCGTACGCTATAACATAATGGGAAGTGACCATCTCTACAACACTCTGAAATCACCATGTATATCTTTGCGCACATCTAGCAGGCAAAGTACGGACCCATCATATGGAGACGCTAACCTTTACCATCCCCGACATGTATACGTGGTATCGTCTCTCGGTGGATAGCGGCCATGACTACTCCATACCGCATTGGGTATACCGAGGAGGATGTAGCTTGCTCCTTTTCTTCCTTTGCTTTTTCTGCTGACACTGGCGTGACTGGAACTTTCCTCTCACGATTGTTCCGTTGTTTCGCTCGGCGCCGACCTTCTTCACGATGCGGCCCTGTGAGCCCAGCCTCTTATCGGGAGGCACAGCATCTCATTTGTGGGGGGTGTCAGTTTTCTCGAGTCACGAGACACGATCACGTCTTCATATGCCGGTCCTCATATCGGAACCCGAAAAGACGCGCAAGGAGACGGCTGTTTTGCTTTGACCAGAGAGCATACTCAGTGAGCAGAGAGCATAACATCCTCTATGGCACAGCGCACCGTTTCGAGGCCAAACAGCATTTTCATCCTCATTAATGGTTATTAACCCTCCAGGGGTTCATGCTCGCTTCTGCCCTTACCCATCAGGATTGGCACCGGCACCGTAGCATACCGCGTCATTATCTCAGTCACCGCGTCCTTGTCCAGCCAGCGCCCGCCAGAGGCACACACAGTCGCCATCAGACTGAAGTAGTTGTAACGAGCAGGCGTAAAAGTGTTGAAGTTGGCTTCCCCGTCGCGCGGATTTGAGAACGTGTGCGGCGCCCGCATCGGCACGACCACACTCCGCCCGCCCTGGCATCAATATGCTGCCAATCCGGTGCATGGATTTGGATCATTTCGGCCGTGGCTAGGGACGTCTCGTCGTGCGCTGCCGCATCTCGGGTCGGTACTTAGCCGTTCACGATATGTTTGCGAGTGTTCGGCGTTTTACGTCCTGTCTTGGGCTTGGAAGCTCTCGTTGGCAATGGGATAATTCCTGAGACACGGCAGAAGGGGTACATGACAACTGGAGACTTGCCTATTTTCGTGCTTGCGCGCCAGCGGTCCTGTAGTCCTTGCTGGGATAGTGAACTCGGTGGAGTTGGGTTTGTCAGGCCTGTCTGGGTGGCTCATCGCTGACAATCGCCTGGTTTGCGGCAGAGCCTGATGATGGAAGTTTCGATGCCATCTTTGGAGCTGCTAGGTTGAGAACCAAGAAGTCAATGTAAAAAACCTCCTTGAAAAAAACACATGGAAAAAAAAGGAAGCCGCTATAGGAGCAACATTACGTCTCGTATACGGATTTGAATAATGGCATTTCCTGTAGAGGTTCTTAATACCGTATCACAGTCCATCTCAAATAGGTCAAATCCGGACTTCCTTTTATTTCTTTTATTTCTCATCTTTTTCTTGTTCTTTTCGTTTACGATTCTGCGTCTCTCGATCAGCGTCTTGTAACAAACCATAATCTGTGACCCTGCCCATCTCGAACAGATGTCTCAACTAAACCATCAGCGCATATATCTTCTCGCTAATGCATGCATACTTTCCAGCGAAGCGATACAAAAAGCACCAAGGCATTATATTCACCAGAACTGGCGGGCCGGATGGCTGTTCCGACACCATCAGTTGAACACCACTTTGACGGTTTCGTTAAGTACCAGCTTGAAGGGGGAACACTGATTATAGCCATCCGGGACTCTGATTCTCGCGGAAACACTTGGGTGTGGAATTCCGCAACCCGCTGTTGCCCTCGCTCGACTACCTCATATTCGACACGTGCTCTTGATGACAACAAGATTCATGCTCTCAGACATGTGGAGAATGCCTACGAAACCATCCCTTGTTAATCAATATCATTATAGGACTAGAATGACGCTGACTGCCAGTTTCAAATGGCTTCAGTGGATGTTCGAAGCGCTCAAGGGTCCCGGTGGGAAGACCCTGAGCAACCGCATGATGAGGTCAGCCGGCTGCCCTACTGAATTATATCTAGGACTTCACTCAGAGCCGCACTGAGCAAAGGACCTGTGAGAAGTGGCCAGAGGGACGCCTGACTGGCGTTTTAACCAGTGCTACTCCAATTTCTGACCATCTTTCTGCAGGCTGTGCTGCACCTGGACAGCCACCTGTACGGGTGATTCGTCCCGAAGCGAATACCACCTGTAAGGACTTCTATAATCAGGAGCCCCTCCTTCGGACGGAAGGAATATGCGAAGTAGCCAAGCATTTCCCACATATTTCCAGTGCATTGACACCTGTAAGCTTGCCTACTTTAAGAGCTGCAGACAGCAGGAAGTGCCGCTCTTATGACCGTGTAGGCTGAACATGTACGCGCCGAGTATGCAGGTCGGGGTAGCAGTCGGTGTTCGATTTGATATTGGGCTCAGCATTGCGTCTCATCCACCGATGGCAGTGATGACGAAACGTTTTGCTTCCGGTCTAATCATTCTCTCCTGACATATTACAAAGCTGGTTCCGCCCTTCTAGATTAGTTCCGCAGGTGCGCGCCAAAATTCCCGACCTATTTCATTGATTCTCTACGCACCAAGGCAGTACGACAGGCCCGCTACCCTTTTAAATGTACCAAGCACGTCACGGGCTGTTGATGTGCTTACATGGATAACACTCAGAGTCTACGTTCGGCTGACCCCATGGATTTGACTGGCTCCGATGAGGAGGCCATGCAGCCAGATCATACGTCCCGCAACGGGTTCGTGGTCCTCCCGGAAAGCTATATCGCGGAGCACACCGAGCACCTGGCAATCGAACAATCGCGATATCACCTCGAGAAGCTCTCATGCTTCGTGGATAAAGTGACGGAAGCTTGCAACTCCAGATGGGCTACGAGATCACAGCCTTACCAAGCTGTCGCAGTCCTGATGCTGCGATGGGAGGAAGACGACTTGGACCTGGACGAAGATATGTCGCGGCTGGAGAGCATCTTCCGCGAGTCATACGAACTATGAAGTCCATTCCTATCTCATGCCAGTTACTGGCAATGTCTTTATACCTGTGGTGAACTTCATCAACGCTTTTGTTGCAGATCACGACGGCGACGATCACTTGATGATACTGTACTATGGAGGGCACGCATTTCAACCAAGCGAGCAGGGAATCTCGGGGCCAGTGTGGATATCGTAGGTCAAACAAGCCGATAGTGTCTGCCCTACTTCACATGTTAACCTGGCCCAGGAAACGAAGCGGCGGCGCTACCTTTCGACCATCATCAATTGGTGACATCCTACAAGACAAAGAGGCGGACGTGCTCCTCCTGTTCGACTCCTGCCAGGCAATCCCAGAAAGAATCCAGAACAAGAGGAAAGACGTCGTATCTGCACTGGCAGCCTCCGGATTCGAACATGGCCCACCCGCAGCCGAGGCTGGTAGGGACTCATTCACTCACCACTTGATCACGAAGTTTTGCCTTATGTCCCATTGTCCACAACCTACATCTGATATAGAACTGCACTCTCGCTTACTCAGCCGTGTGTAGCAGCGGGAGGATAGCCTATGGGAGAGATCCGACCAGTCCCTTTTCCTTGGGGACAACGGCAAGCCGCTCTTGAGTATCAATCATCGGCGAACCCCTATTTACCGCTTCCTATCCGGCCCCCCCAAACGTCAGATTCATATTTGGCCATTGCAAACTTCCACGGATTCCCCAGTCCCAGCTAGCCATGAGGCACAAGGCAAGGAGAAAGCTGCGGAGGAGTGTATCGAGAGTCTAGATGTCCTGATCAGTGTCAGGCTTCAGAGCGGCTGCCTCGACGACTTGAATGTGGATTCTTGGGCGAGATGGTTACTGGAGCTTCCGCCCGGAGGGCGAGAAGCTGACATCCAGGCAAGGGTCAAGATCGAGGGCGCCTTCAATAGTCTTTCCACGCTCTTGCTTGTACGAGTCCCCGTCTCGATCTGGGATCTAGTATCATCCAACCCCTCGATGTCTTTCGTTCGTGGGGAAAATGTGGCATCTGACCTGCACGAGAAGATCGGGCTGAGCCAGCGAGCATCAAGCCGTCAACGCTACCACACGGAAATCCCTATGTCTGAGGATACTGATAAGCCGCCACTGGCACCCTCGGAGCGCAATCCTACTCCGGGGTGCTCACCGACGTCGACGAGCTTCCCCGTTATACGCGAAACCCTTTCGACTAGCCAATCAAGGACGACTATCCCCAGCATCCCACAGGCAAGCCAGACAGCTTATAACCCTACTAGCGACCTGGGCACCCCTAAGGGGAGTTCACAAGAGGAGTTGCCTATGACCGTCTCCAGCACACCTCCAGCGACCCAATCAGGAGATGGGCCTGTGACTGGCGCTATACCTCCCGGAAGCGTTTTCGATGACCGTGGCGAGGGTTTGGAGCTACCCTACTCAATAGCTGCTGCCTCGTCACCTTCTGCACCTCGTGGGGGGAGCCTGATGAGCGGTCCGCGAAGTCCAAGCACTACTTTCAACGCAGACGCACCATCACGACTAACGCAGCAGCGCAACTCATTTGTAATGGTTCCAGGGTAACGGAGCTCTAGACTCTACACAATCACCTATGTTTATCATTGCGTAAGGCAGGCACTCTACTATTGGAGGCCGAGGCTAACAGGAGCATAGTGTCAATGTGGCTCTGGGCCTCAGAATGTAGATACGAATCCCGCGTGTTACTCGTGTGGTCATAGACAAGACATATATTGCATGGTCGAGGAAGTCAAGGTCCCAAAACGTGGCCGATAGATTGGGAGTAGTCATCTGTGATGATTCACGCTTTCCCCTTTCCCCCCCTTAACATATACTGTATCTACCTTTCAACCTTAGTATGGACAGATACCTTAGTCTTCCCATGAGATACTGTTTCTTATCCTTTATGCTCACCACCATGTCAACAAACCCAAACGAGACCACACCTTCCTACCACCTACCTACCGAGGCGACGGGCTAAACCTCCACTGCGTCAACTCATCCACACTAACACCACCCTCCCGCGGCCTCGGCGATGCAGGCGACGGCCTGAGCGGCGACCTCGGGGGCGGCGTCGGCTGACTCTTGGCATACGCTGGGGCCGGGCTGTGTATCACATCGAGATCCGAATACCTGTTCGCCACAATGCTGCCCGGGTCGGACCGGGGCCGCGCCAGTTGCAGACGGTGCAATTCCATGCCGGCAAGCCGCTCGTCCTCGACCTGTTGTTTTCTTTTCTTCCGTTTCTGGATCAGGCAGAAGAAGATTACCGCCACAATGCACAGGACGAGGAACGGGATAGCGAGGCCGAGCTTGATGTCCAGGTCGCTCGGGGACGGCGGTGGCGTCGGCGTCGGCGTTGGCGTCGGTGTAGGTGTAGGTGTAGGTGCTGGTTGCGTGACGCCGGTCTCCTCGGGGTCGCCTGTGTCATTTGTCCCACCCGTCTCCCCTCCGCGGTCGACTAGTAACGGCGCGGCCTCGGTGGCATTGTCGGAGAGCCTCGCGGCGATGAGGTCGTCGTGCTCACAGCCGGCCGAGATGCAGGGGTTCGAGCCACAGCATCCGAGGAACGGTGGGAAGGTCGTAGCGCAGATCCACCACAGGGATGAGCCTACAGGCGTTACACAACTCTGCTTCGGGATCGCGTCGTAGGATTCCACGTTGAAGCTGGTGACCTGGAGAGCGTCTTGTGGACAGTGGCCGCTGCCGTCCTCGCAGGGGTCCGTCGCGCAGCAGCCCAGGAACTTGGTCTGGCTGTCGGCGCAGATGTAGAACTTCCCTGCCACGGGACACGAGAAGCCAAGGTCGGGGTTGGGTTCTTTCGGCATTATTGTCATGCCAGTACTGTGTCTGGTGGGGAAAAGGTAACGGGGATGGATGCTTGAAGGCGAAGCTGAAGATACCACTTAAGTATAATTTCATTTCGATTGGCAATTGTACAGCATAGGTCACGAGGATTGATTCGATTCACTGTTCGGTAGTCTGCCAGGTAAAGTCACAATGGATAGATCATTGTCCCGTGAATCCAAAGGCTGGCAACGAGACCACCAGGCAGGCAGGATGAGTCTCTTGCAGCCTGTACGATAGGTGCAACGGAAGCCCCATGGAAACCCTATGAATGCAGGTCAGCTCATGTGTCTGACCTGACGTGCTGCACGAGGTCCTGCATTGTTTGCTTCCGAGCGCAAGGCTCGTGATAGCATCTGCTGCCCCTTTCGCCTCTCTTCCTTCCGACCCCCTGTCATGGGACTCTTTGCGCAATACCCACGTCACGAGAGGCGAGCGTGCATAGCTTACCACCTGATCATAAGTACCACGATATATGTTTGCTATACTATGTTTGACAAAGGACTCATGTCCGTTCAGACAGGGAAGTGGAGATATCGATCGAGTCTGGGATATTCTCGCAGTCGAACTCAAATAATGATGCGTTGTCGTGATCCAGGAAGCAGCTTTCCAGACGACTCGAACCATGGCCTGTGAGGATGAACGTCCACGAAGAAGACACGGATCAGGATACCGAGCAATTGCCTACTCCAGCAAGAGCGACCGACCTCAAAGCTCGCTACGTCAGACCATTCTGATGCGCTTGGTAGATATTGGGACACTGGATGCGTCCTCCGTCGTCTCCAGACAGTGGCCTGGGTACCACCAAGCCGGCACGTTCTCCATACCCATCAACGTTAGCATGCCGACTCTTCTGAACGCACCATCTGGCTCTACACCGGCCAACACCAAACCATCGATGAAGATGCCGTCTGAGACACCATCCACGAAGTGACCCGAAGCAACATACAAAGCCAAGGGCATAAAGTGTACCCGCTCACCAATCACGAACGCTGCGTCGTATGTGTCATCGGCGTGGTAGGATCCGGTCATTGCTTCACCATCACCATTGACAGACCTTACAGTCGCCTTCACAATGTCGGGACAGTATCTTCTGTTGCGTTCAGGTTGACGCACAATGCTCAAAAAGTAGACTGGACACTTCACGTCGAGGTATGCGTTTGTGAGCGGTCCAAAGTGGCTTGCGTTGCTCGATTGAATCGAGGCTTGTTCGATAACGAAATGATCTTGCCAACGCGGTCCCTCCACCGTGTTGCTGTCGTCGTTCCACAGCTTTGCGCCCCATCCCAACCCCCCTCTCCGTCCCCATCTTTGGTTCATCCCGCGTTCGGTGTACCATTGGTCGTTCTCGACGGCGAGGTTCTTGCGTTCAAGGTTCGGGAGAGAAGCCCAAGACCAGGACGGCGCCACATACTGCTCCGGAGACAATCCGAGTTTTGCGGTGCGTATTGCAGGCTTTTGCAAGTGCCATAAGAGATGTCTACATATGTCTTGCCGCCATAAGCCAGCCAGGTAGTCGGTCTCGCCTTTTTGGTGGAAACGGGCGTAGGCTTGTGCAATTGCAGAGAACGCAACAAGTCTATCAGTATGGTATGTCAAGACTCTTTGCATGTAGCCTTGAACAAGTATTGGCCATCTCCCATCCTCGATCGCATGGTCCATAATGTCATATGATCGTATTCCTCCGGCAGAGTCCACGTCAAGGTCAGTTCCGGTCTCGGAGTGACTCTGCCATCTGATCTGATCACTAGGGAACTCCACAATCCTCGATGACAGTAGCCGCTCTTGCAGTACCCATGCGCGCTCGTCCAAGGGAGAAGGGGGCATCAAGTAGCTTCTGGCACTATCCGGGTCGGACGGGATGAAGGGACACAAAAGGTACCATACCCCATCGATTGCCGACCCTCTCCAGTGAACCTGAACATCCCGATCGGTGGTACTCTCCGCCTGCAAAAACAGACCTTGCTCGCTGTTCCGAGCACCCGTGGCAGCAATGTTGAGTACTGAATTTGCATATATCGATCCCATCTGTACAGATTCGCGAATCCAATCCTCCCTCGAGTCCTGGATAATACAGAGGGCGTCAATCCATATATACTGGAGTCCGAGGGCTGACGCGACCTCCAGGGCGTCTCGGAATGTCTTGGGAAGGTCAGTCCATGGTACTCCGGACTCCAGGCGACCATGCTGTGACCTCAGTAGCTTCTGGGATGGCCCGCTGCTTCCCCAGCAATGACTGAGGGTCGCATATGAGATGCTCTTGGCTTCAAAGTCGGCGTGGTCAATCTCTTTCAGCTGTACTCTCTGCTCGAATGGGTGGTTCAAAATGTGCAGTAGCCTCCTCGGTCTACCTGTAAAGATTCCACGGGACGACTCCGAGGCCTGAACGCTGTCCGCACGGTACTCTGGCGACTCGTCCTTCGATGCTGCTAACCACTTGACGAGTTTGTCCAGGGTTGGCTTCTGAAAGCTACCAATGCGTTCTGTATCTGGTGGTAGTCGGGGACCTTGCAGACCAATCCGTAACACTGGTCCATGCGCACCCGGCCAGCCGAATCGAATGGAGTCACCATCTCGCAGATACCACAGTCGAAGTTGCAGGTGTTGTTCTTTCGTTGTTGGGCCTCTCGTTTGTTGCGATAGCGAGTCCCGATCAACGATGACTGGTATGCCGCGAATGGTGCGTTTCTGGTCCGAGGAGAAGTCGTCCAGTACTCCCATGGGCTGCGAGACCAAGAGGCTGCATGATATGCAGCCACGCTCTGCCGACAATGATAACTCTTCCAGAGTATGGTGGAGATGGAACTTGGTCTCTGGCTTGAGAGGCTTCTCGTCAATCCGGTAGGAACTATGCGACCGTGACTCGAGACGCTGCGAAAGCCACTCCCACGTAACGTGCGGTTCAGAGCCGTGCTTGCTGCATTCGGGGTTCCGGCAAGGCCGCCATATTGCCCAGTGATGGGTGCTGTTGTTGTTCATGATCCTGATCTCGGCGAGTCCTCCATTGAAGATCTCGTGGCACTTGTCGCACAGCATGTCCACAGATGCCAGGCCGGCAGACTGGATGCAGATGATGGCCATACAGTACGAGAAGAAATGGTTGTTAGTCCGTCTACTTCACTGCCGCCTTCGCGACTTCGCAGGTGCCGTGGCATCGAGCCAGTGCTTGGTTGGATTGCTCCAGCCCATGTGCTAAAGGGCATCCAACAATTCAATCAACCAGATTAACACCCGTTTAGTTAAATTAAATTGCCTTGACTAAGCAACTTGATTCGATTAATTGGTATAGATTGTTATATCGCAATCAACTATCGGCACTCCTCGCATCCAACCAACCAGCCAATGCATCCCGCGTCCTATGCACGACCCAGCGCAGGTAAAGCAAGGCAACCAAGCCACCACCACCCAAAAAGGTCACCCATGTGATCGCCGACCAAGCAGTGCCTGCAAGTCTAGCAGCCTGGTCTTTGCGGCTGCCTCGCCGCGACTCATAGGATCGGATCCGGGTGGTGGCCGACCTTACACAGTAACCTCAAAGAGCCGACATGCAAACATGTAAGCTTCGAGCTGCGGGATAGGCGGGCATATATGCGTGGATGATGACTCAGACGTCTGCCTGCCTGCCTGCCTACATTGCACACTCACACTACACATCGCAGCCTGCCTGCAGCCCCCAAACCCGATGAAAATCGCACTACGCAATCCGATCTCTCATTTGCTGGGGTGCGTACAGGGTGAGGCTGTGGCCCGCGATCCGGGCGATCGGGTTGCAGTACCGGTGGGACGACAACAGAGCCGTATCAGTCATACCTTAATGAATGGACGAAGTCGGACCAGCGCGATGCAGTGAGATGCACAAGAGGATTACGGGCGAGGCTGCAGCAGGCTGTAGGTAGTGAGAGGTAGTGTGAGCGTACATGACGATGCGCTTACCTGGGTACAGTACGAGGGGAACGCGAAGTGGACAAACATATAAGGGGGAGGCTGTACCCTCCCTTTGGTTGACGTCGAATTTCTCTCTGGATCTGGACTACCCTCGTCATTCACAGGGCCGGCACTCCATACTGAAACTGCCTAATACTGAAGCCTCGTGTTACGAAGAGCTGCTCCAAGATGCCCGTCGACTACCCCCAGCAAAGGCGCAAGTCCAAATGGAGCTCGAGTTCGACATCGAGGTTACCCAGCCCATCATCACCTGCTGCGCCCGCTCCCCTCCCTCAAACTGCGCAACCATCCACCCCCGAGCGCAGACCAAGGCACTCGACCCAACCTCAGAGTCAGGCCAGCAGCAGCAGCAGCAGAGCAATCGCAGAATCCACCACGAAGCGCAATCGTCCCAGTCCCCGCAGGCGGGGCCCAGACGATACAGACGCCTACCGCGAGGGCACTGGGGGCAACGGCAAGGGTAAAGGCAAGCAGCAGCAGCAGTCCGCCCGCGCCCTTGACGCCAAAGAGATCCTGAGCAACCCGCGCCTGCAGCAGGTGACGGGCCTGCTGCCACGCAAGCTGGGATGGTGGAACGGCATGCAGCTGCCGTACGACGAGCTGGAGCGTCTCGAGCGCGCCATGAGGATACCCGACATGTATCCCGCCAGGCGGCCGAGGGGTAATCGCTAGCGGCGTCAATCTAGCACCGGAAAAGGAGAGAGAGAGAGAGAGAGAGAGAGGGAGGCTTTGAAGATGGAGAAACAATCGCAACTCATATTTCATTTTGGAACATCCGCCCGCTATCCTATACGCCGAACGATGATGGTGATGCTGTAGTAACATGAGGTATCAAAAAGGGGGGATGCAGGAGAACTTAGGTATATACAGGGGCAACACGCAAACCCAAAAAGAATACAGAACCAGAAGGGCTGGGCAGGGCGCAATCAATGCACCATCGACTTGCCGATCTCACTCGCCCAGTCCTTCGCCCTCTCAAAACCGTTCGTGTGGAACTGGTAATCGAACATTGCCTGCCGCACCTCCTCAGGGCTATTCAGCACGAAGGGGCCGTACTGCACCACTTTCTGATCGAGGATCTGGCCCGCAACAAGCACGAACCGCGCATTCCCGCTCGCAGTCTCCGGCACCTCGACATTGACGGCATCGCCCTCGGGCTCAAACACGCAGTTGTGGTACTGCTCGACAGTGCGCTTCGCGTCGCCGTGCCCAAACACGGCCGCGCCCTCGAGCTGATACGAAAACACGTTGAACCCCCTCGGCACCGGCTGCGCCAGCCGGCCGCCGGGCTTGATCTCAACGTCCAGGATCCAGACGGGCGTGTAGGCCAAGTCCTTGACGCTGTCGACGCCGGCGGCGCGGCCCGAGATGACCTTGATGTGGACCCTGCCGTCGTCGACGTCGGCCTGCGGGATCTCGGCCGCCTTGAGGTCGCGGTACCGCGGCTCGCAGGACTTGAGGTGCGCCGGCAGGTCGACCCACAGCTGCAGCCCGACGTTGGCGCTGCCGTCGGGGTTCTGCCGCGGCATCTCGGCGTGCATTATGCCCCGGCCCGCTGTCATGAACTGCAGGTCGCCCGCCTCGATCGTGCCGGCGTTGCCGGCGAAGTCCTCGTGGTCGACGCCGCCTGTCAGGAGATATGTTATGCTGGAGACGCATGGTTAGACAAGGTCATTGACACTGGAGGGTCGGGGGCGGTAATGTACGTCTCTTGCCCGCGGTGCGGGTGGTCTGGGAACCCGGCGCCGGGCTTGATGCTGAAGTGGTCGAGCATCAGGAAGGGCGAGAATTGGCGCAGTTGTGGTGTACCGATGGATCGACGGACGCGAGCGCCGGCGCCCTCGGCCTGCTCGACGGCCAGGAAGACCTTGCTGATTGCGCGCGGGACCGACATGTCGTCTGCGACGGGCTGTTCGCTTGGATTGTAGTAAGCCGAGTCGGATTCGACGGTCGAGTTCGTCGTGGAGTTGGCGCTCGAAGGATCGCTTGCCAGATTGTTTATGTGCTTGAGGATACTGTCAAAGCTAGCGATCGCAAAATCGAGGACTTGGTCGCGAAAGACAATGATGGATACGATGGCTACGGCGATCGATATGGACAGCGAGAGGAGCTTCATAGGGACCGATGGTGTCGCTGATGGGCGGGTGGAACGTGGTGACTTTATAGGAAAGCAACGATGAATCTAGATCACGTAGGAGCAGAGCAAGGATGTATCATGTTTCAAGGAATACGGGCAAGAAGAGAAACATCACGAAGATTCGGCCTTGTCCTGTCGCATGTATGGGAGATGTGGCTTACATCGTGGTTTGTGATCAAGGACAAATCATAACCCAAGGTTGTCCAATTGCCCCCGATGCAGGCATAAAGGGACCCCGCCAATGCCCGCTATCACACGCCGTCGCGGCCCCACCCTGTCCCTTACGAAGCCTTACATCAGCAGAACCGCGGTTTTGGTCACGATTTGTTAACTGAGCACTATGGGATAGGAAGATATGCTAGTACTATATCACATATAAACCACGATCAGATGTAGAACGCGTGGTAGCCGTCGCTAGAATGCTCAACCACTGTTGGTAGAGCTAAGAACATGAGTACCGGCATGATCATCGACACGATCATCGATACGAATACCGACATGAGTACCAATATGATTACCGATATGCGTTGGAGACGGTGAATATTGAAGGAAGTTCCCACCCAAATCTACCTTACTGATCAGGCAGACGACATCGAGCGTCTATGTGATGACTACAATCAGATTTCAGTACCTTTTCAATTGAGACATACAAGCTGATATGCAAAGTTTCGACCACATCTCCATCACATCCGAGCATACAATACAAAGCTCACTAAGGCCCCGACGACCTCCACTGCTGCACCTCCCCCTCCCCCAGCTCCCTCAACTTCTGCACCTGCGCCGCATCGCCCGTAAGCGCCCCCTTTGCGACCTCCGCCATCCTCCCCACCACCGTCTGGTTCGTGACCGCATACGTAACACTAGAAGTCTTCATGCGCAAAACCCCGATGCGCGGGTCGTTCTCGGACCCGTCATGTTTACCATCGCCCAGGTCGCCGAGCCAGGCTTTTAGGGCGGGGCTGTAGTACTGCTTGACGACGTCGCGGGACGTCTCGATGGAAGTGTTGCCCGCGAACGACGCCCACTGGCCTGATCCGTCGTAGAAGGACACGTTGGTGTGCTCGTCGGCTTTGACTTCGTCTGTTTTGTGCGATTCGGTGTTTGTCGTGAAGACTAGGTCGATGCCGCTGCCCTCCTGTAGATTCGGGGTGGGAGTGTTAGTCGTTGGTCGTTGGGTTATAGCATATGGAATGGCACATGCGGATGGACAGGAGGAAGGTTGTTGAGTGGGTTTGATGTTGGGGTCGGTCTGGGGGAGGACTACTGACCTTTCCGGCAATAGCCATGCACCGCGAGACGAGCTTACCCGACGACGGGTCGCGCGTGGTCATCATGCCGAACTTGCGCGACGACACGAACTTGGTCAGCGTCTCGACCTTCTCCTTCAGGGGCACGTCGTTGTCGACGTTCTTGTTGTAGTACGGGCCGGACGGCTTGTCGCCCGTGTCTGTGTTGGAGAAGGAGGCCATCTTGCGAGTTGTGTTTTGGCTGATTGGATAGCGACAAAATAGTCGATAGGGGGATGCTGTTGTCGAGATCTGGAATTGCGTTGCTACTTGACCTTGGTAGACGACACGATATGAATTTCTGAGAAGGACTCGAGAAGAGGCGGTTGGTCTGGCGAGCATTGTCGGTGTTGTTATAGGTTGCGATAGGTCCTGAATTACGTAAAAAGCATCGGACTCCTCCCCGGACATATAGTCAGTGCTACGTGAGCAGTACTTTATTGGATTGGCTAGCTGTAGGGAATGATTCATCGAGAGCGCAACATGGTGCTCCTTGCGGGTGGCTTTTCTATGTTGCGTGATGACGTCTATGAGAGACGCCGCGTCTCAACGCGTCATAATTCGGTGTAACCGTCTTCACTTGGCAAACGGAAACCTTCTTCTCCACGCAACAACTTGAGACTTGGGACAATGGATCTTCCATATTGGATGCTCTAAAGAGCTTCTCGGTGCTCGGGCCGTCAAGCTACCCCGAGCTTCATCGACATCCATGGATGAGCTATATCTTCCTAAGGTTAGCTCATTACCTATTGCTAGTGCACGTAAACGGTAGACACCAAGTTTGACGACATGCCATCCGGGATCTCGGAAGTGCTCCAGTATCATGATGGAGGGCCTTTAGAGGTGGTGAACTGGTGAAGCACCTGCACTATTTGATACATGATCTGGGCCTTTTTCCGTGGCGAGATCTAATCCCAACACATGATCGAGACTGTAAGGTTGTCTTCTATCTTTATTATAATACAATGCTTTCCAATGCACCCGGCGCCTACGTAGCATCCAGGGTTCGCTAGCTACGTTCGGCGGTGCTGGTATTTGCACACAAAATCGCTTAAAAAAAGTTATGAAATGGAATAGGTAATGTCGTGCATGCCTTGCAAGTACGTCCTCAGACTGCCGCTCTCTCATTCTCAAGCACCAACTAAAACCAAATGCATGCCTTAGGTCACCATCCGCAGGCGTCCATCCGCTCATCCATGAGTTCGTTCACGCAGGGTACTCAAGGGTACGCCACGCCTACGTACGTGAACTGCGAAGGATTCGAAGTGTCCAGCGAGTACTCCAGGACCTCGTCGTCGGAGATGCCGTAGAACATGGCGTCGGTCGTCATGGCGATAGCCGTGAAGCTGACGTCGGGCCCGCCGTTGAACGAGATGCCCGCCAGCGACTTCATGCTCGTCCCGTCGTAGTGCGTGCCCTCGAGCGTGCCGTCTGACAGAAGTGCGAGGTACAGCGCCTGGTTCCAGCTACCCCATTTAGTGACGGTGAATTGCTGGCGCGTCGCCGGCTGGGGAATGTCGGTGATGAGCTCGGTCACTGAGAGGGGTGGTCAGTTGGGCTGATTCCAGATTGAATGGGCAGAGAGAAAAGGGGGAAATGTCGGCCTACCTCTGTCTTCTGACGAATCCCACGTGTCGGCATAGGTGGTCACGCGCATCGTCCGCGTCGACGACGCCTTCTCCGACACGAGCTCGATGGCGTCGAGCCAGGGCCCGCTCAATTGCGGGATGATCGCCAGACTGGAATTGGCGGCCACATCGGTAGAATTCACTGCTACGGTGGCAGTGGCCCACATGCTCGAGTTGGCCGTCTTGATGGCGCCCTCGGGCCGCTGGTAGGCCACGACCCAGGTCCCGTCGCAGTCGGCGCCCTCGCAGCGCTGCCACATCGCGGCTAGCTGGCCACCGTCCCATGTCTGCAGGAATGCGTCGTCGAGCGTGTCGTTCGCCCAGCCTGACGGCGTCCCCACGGCATCCGTCGCTGCCATTGAGTGGATATAGTTGTTCGGGTCCAAGAACCACAGATGCGTCTCGTAATGCGGGTCGAGATCCATTGACGCGCTCGCCAGCGGCGTGCCGGCCGCCACGTCCAGCGGACGTGTTGTCGCTATAAGTTGATCTGTCAGGTTGTCCGTGGCCCAGGACTTGCTTTTTGAGTCCCATCGCCTCGCAATAATCGAGTTGTACTCGTCCTGGAAGAAGAGCGTGCGGTGGACGACACCATCGCCGTCCGTGAAGTTCGACGCCGTCAGCTTCGAAATGTCCAGGGGCTTCGGCCCGGAGTCGCTCGCGGTCGCATTGCCGCCGCCTGATGATGAGCCGTCTGCTGGGGATTTCGAATCTGCTGAGCTGGTTTTCGAGCTATTTTGTGCGGCCAGTCCGCCTGCGACGCCTCCTGCTACCGCGGCGACTATTATCAAGATGGCAACCGCTAATATTATGTAAAAAGTCCTCTTCTTCATTCCACATATTGTTGCGGCCGGCGCCTTCGCTTTCTCGCCGGCATCGCCGGCTAACGGCGGATACTGATCGCTGTATACTGCTGTCGTTCCACCACTCATCGGACTTCCTACGGGACCATACGGACCTGGAGGGCTATTCGCCGCGTGCGGGTCAACGTATGCCCCGGCATAGCCGGGATGCTGGTTATAGGTGTTTTCTTGTCCAGGCTTGTAGTATCCATACTCGGACGCGGAGGTGACGACTTCCTTGGTCGACTCGGGACTGGTGTACGTTGGGGAGGCGCCTGTCCGCTGCTCGAGGGGCATGGGCTGCGGTAGGCTGTGGTCCGGGTAGGAGACCACCTGCTTCTGGTACTGCTCGGGGTCCGGTTCGTGGACCTCAAGGGAACTGTAAGTCTGCGAGCCTTGCGACATGGTATCGATCTTTCTCGCACTCGGCCAGCGAACGGTGTGCAAGTGAGCCTTCGACTGTCGTCCGTCTCTAAGGAATGTGTGGGATAGCGAACCAGTGGCCTTGCATGATGTGTCCGAAAGGCAGCAAGACTTTCAAAGCAAGAGAGCAGAGATCGGCATCCGAAGCGAGGGCTTCGCTGGGTGGCTCATTATGAGTGCGGAGTGTCTCCTCACAGCAAGATCCACCGTCTCATCACCCATCGCTCTTCCGCAACTTGGCAAGGTTCGTGCTGACCGAGCCGTGGGCGTGCGCCGTGAACATGGGCGGTGAGACAGCGGGTGATCCTACCCATGGCCAGGAATCCTTCTCGCCTCCGCAGCTGCGCCGTAAGCCAGACAATCCGGCCATTCGCGTGTCGTCTTTGACGATCACCACCCCTCTGCTGAGTCTGCTCGCCCTTTCCGAGCACTGCATTGCTGGGACAGCAGATACCGAGGGTTTCAGGGTTGCGAGGGTCCTTGTCTTGGTATAGTGACTAGTAGCCGCTCTGCTGGGGGCCGGTCAGGGGGCCAGACAGGGTTGACTGGCACTTTGTCCAATGGGCGGCTGCTGGGGGCTAATTGCGCCTCAGCCCTGCCTGGGGCTAAGAGTTATAGTGCAATGCGTCTGTGTCCGCGCCTTCAGGCTTCAGGGGGAGGCACGTATTTCTCCAGCTCATGGGTTATGAGTCCGCAACATCCTCCCGTCAGCTTACTATTGTAGGTCAGTGCTGGGTGCACCTAATGAGAGAAGTTGGCCAGTTTGAGGGCCCTCCAGTTATGAGTTGTCAATGCTGCCCGAACTCAGCATTTGCTGCGAATGACGGGGACTGTATTGAGTGTGCATTCATTCGGCTTGAAGTACACAGGTTTCTCACAGCATATCTTCGAGTAATGAATGCCGTCTGTGAGGATGAATGTCCCACCTCAGTCTAGACGGGCGGGAGGGAGGAGCCAAGTGGCTTGTGGGTGACGTCAAGTTGTGTTCCAGGCACACACACGACGGCACGGGGACTGGAAGGAAGATGGGAAGGTCTTTGGAAGGTTCCTCCACCTGCTGAGGTCGTATGGTGAGGGTGCATCCAGCCACGTGATCGCTTCTCTCCGTTTTCTATTATGAATGTCGGTTTGTGGTTTTGTGTCACACCAAGGGGGCTATTATTATATTATGACAGTTTCATGGGAACGCCGGGCACGTGGTGTGCAGCTGTGGCAATTCTGATCGACACTCGAGAACCTTTAGTTCCTATCCAAGAATAGGCGATTAGGTATTACGTCCGTACTGTTAGCTGCCCTCTAGACCCCTACTTGTCGCGATGCGCTTCAGCGGTATCCGATACTGTATACATACTCCTGCCCGAAAAACGCACCGCAAGCGGCAAGAGGAATATGCACTTTATCTGTAGCCAATGTCAGCCATGAGCAAGATCAGCATTGTGTAATTGTAACTACCGTTTAACTGTGCCGCAAGCCAGTGAGCCGTTGTGAGCCTATCTCAAATTATAGTCCAGGGTCCTGGCTCGGGTGTGCTTTCAGAGTAACTTGAGATCGCCACCCCAAAAACCATAAACCGCCGCCCACTAAGCCCAATTCGCATAGCGTCCTAGATTACAGCGCTCAGCCCACTGTAATTACAACGCGTCGAAGAGCCTCAACACCACACCGCATCACCACCGCCATCACCACCACCATCACGGCGCACACAAGGACACATTCACAAATGGGGGCCTCGCACCGCCTCCCAAACCCCCGGCTAACCCTAACCACTAACCATGATCCTAAGCCTACCTCGTTACCCGGCGAGATCATGATCGGTACCTTTGGTTTGGTAAGAAACGCACCCAAGTGGATGTATTCACGATGTTAAAGAACGAGTGCAGCCAAGTGGGGGTAGGATGCTATCCAATTGGGCTTAGCGGGTGGCGGTCTAAAGTTAATGGTACTTTTAGGCCTTGGCAATTTTGGGTCTTGTCAGGTTGAAGTTCACCCGAAATTCCCAGCGTGCGGCGCATGATTCTGACATCCTTCCAGTCTGCCTGGGCACACAATTCCAAGGCCACGTGGGGTGGCCGGACACGGTCGCTTGAAGATGTGAGATGGGCGACTTCGGATATTCGCAACCATGCCGCTCGCTCTGAACTTGTACTATCATTCAGCGCTTAAAGGGGATCCATACACAGTGAGGCTACAAGTCGAGCGGGGACACTCGTAACAAGGTCTGAGGGTCATCAACCAGCCCGCGGCTAAAAGACTAAAGTCCGGGACCACCTGCTAAGCCCTGTCACTGACGGCCTAACCTGAGACAATTCCTACTGTCACGGGGTTACAGTGACGACCGTCGACCGCACCAGATTGCCACAAGGCTTCTTCGCATTCGTCCATAAGCCGCCGTGCTGTGTGGACTCTGCTGCAACCAGCAAGCGACAGGCGCAGACGCAGTCGCGTATAAGCGCCTAACATGGGAGGCGACCTACTGTCTGAACTCAGCTCTCGATCCTTCGCCATCAAGTACGTCTGTGCCTATTCGAAAGACGCCCCCTCTCAAGTCGATCCTCCAAGTAGTCAACTGGAAGCTGAAGATGCATAGGGTGGTACATAGGTTTCAGTCTCTTGGAAAGGCACCTGTGCGGCGAAATAAGGTAAGTCCAAAAGGGGCGATATGGAAGTATTCCATCTTAAGCTTCGCCATCTTGACCCGGCTAGAAACAATATGTGCTGACCATTGTCCAGTCTCCTGCTGCTGAAGCATCAAGGGTATTGACGTCTACACCGGCAACAAGAGTCTCGTTGCTCTTGGTAAGCCCAGAGGCATTGGTTCCGATAATGATGAAGATTACACCATGCCGGATGCTGCGAATAGCATATCTGGCTGGCAAGAAGCGAAAACCTCGGCTGCAGACATAGGTGCAGACATAGGGGCGGTCTCAGGCAATCCTGACAAGACGAATACCAAGCCCCTGGCCGACAGTGGTGCCGAGTTGCCATGAGCTCGATCCCACCATAGACCGCAATGCTGGATGTGGATGCCGCCACGACAGACGCCGGTATCATCATGTCCCGCCATCATGATAGATACGGCTCAGTCGTCGTCCTAAAGAGGGGAGCCAGACCGGTGGTGTTCAGAAAGCGATCATATTCGTGTGCAGGCGGAATGCCGCTCGAAGGGCGATCCATAACGTTAGGATGCACTTTGTGGCCAGTCTGGCCATGCACATGTGTGGTTGTGGTTGACATGGCACCTCCAGTGAAGGGCGATATAGCAGTGGTGAAGTCTGGTTACAAGAATAATCGGGAAACCCTCTGTAGAAAGGTCGCGGGTGTCGTTATCGAGCAACGGTCAAATCTCTTGGTGGAGCGCACACGGCTGAACTGCTGCACCTCAACTTCGCGCCAGGCATCTACACGATTTGAATTCTCGCTCCGGTTCGCTTCTAAGGTCACGCATCACGCCTTGGCGATTTGTTTCTGCTCAAGAATCACCTCCACAACGAGCATCTCGAAACTCGCCGCACTGCACCATCTCGTCGCGCACCGCACCGTTACACACACCTCTCTTACAACATCACTTGACACCCAGATCTTGCCGTCAAGATTTCCGTCACTTTACACACGTCCCACGCGCGTCCGATCCCGCTCTGCGAGTATTCTCCCCCGTCAGCCATCGATCCCTCCGACCATCGCTTTTACTGGGTCAACGGCCCCCATGGCCCTGGCAACCGCCCGCACTTTCACGTCACAGTGAATACGCTTGGTTCCGAGGAAGCTGGCAAGCACATGTCAGAAGTCAACTATATCGAGGCCGTCTCTTTCTCTAAGACCGAGCAAGAGATGGGCGTGCGACTAGCACAGCACCAGCGCGAGAGAAAGAAGCAAGCCAAGGAGTCCGCGAAGAAGGACAAGGCTGCCAAGAAGAAGGAACGTCAGTACCTTGGAAGACGATACCAGCTGCGCCAGAAGATGAAGAACATCGGCACACTCATCAAGGATACACTGAACATCGCTCCCTGCCAGCCCAAGCACCGCGAGAACAACAACTACGAGCCACTCGCTCTCGATTCGGACAATGAGGACCCTGCCATCTACTCGAACATTATCCCCAACGTACCATACATGGCTTGAGCTCTTCACCATCGACCGGCTTTGGGGTGCTTTGGAAGTTTGAAGGAACTCTGGTTGGAAGCACATGAGCTTGGGTCTGTGTGAGTGTTTGTTCTATTACTGTCTATTGCATCCTAAGGATTCTACTAACTATCGCTAGGCTTGTATTAGAACAATGCGAATTTGCCAAAGAAGACCAGAATGGGGACTGGAGGAGGTCTAGGTCTATAGATGCGTAATACACATGCATTCGGCTTTGCCCTGGTGACTTGACCCGTGAATACTGAAATGGTATAAGCATACAGGAATAAGCAGCTTTGGTTTGATACGCCACTTCCAACGCTTATTCCGTTGTGCTTATTCCGATTTGGTGAATATACCGTGCTTGCTGGACCGCGTGGTAACTTGAACTGTGAATACTAAAATGGTATAATCATATAGGAATAAGCAGCTGTGGTTTGATACGCCACTTTTAATGCTTATTCCAGTGTCCCTATTCGGATTCTATGAATAGGTATATCGTTGTTTGCTAGACGGGTGGTGTACGGAAGACTCATGAAGGTTCAGTGCAACAAATTCCGCCCATCCCAACGTGAGTCAGGTATTCTCCTCTGGACTGTTAATAACAAGCAGATAGATTCAACACACAAACCCGAAAGCTTTCGCCTGAACCGCTTGGGCTTAGTCAACTGGCAAGCAACCAAGCTTCACGATCAAGTTACAGCTCTTGGGATATATCAATGGTGTGGTGCTCCTCCTCCTTCATGCTACCATGAATGTATGAGTGCACATCAGATAGCCAGTCGACCCAGCTGTGTGTGACTCGGACCCAATCTTGCTGAGACCCCCTACACCTCAGAAGGCGGTCTATTTCGCATCATGGCCACAATCGCTACAGTGTACCCGTGCCTGTCTTGACACCATGGTTGCCAAGGCCACTTATGACTCAGCCCGCACGAGGAGACAGAGTAACTTGGCGGGCTGGAAAAGCCCAAGTACGGTCTTTGACGCAATATTATCCACGTTATTCTGTGCGGAACTGCCCCCCAGGCGCAAAGATTCCGGCAAAGAACCAAGGCACCACAAGATCAAGTTCCGTCGAAAGCATTCGCCTAAGGAAGAAAAGGGATGCCAAGCTGGCGACAATCAGCCCGCTAACGGGGTAACTCATCAGGAGAGAGGCACACTGCGCTGTAAAGAAAAGCCGTGTCTAAGAGAGGGCAATGACCTTGCAATTCGAAGCAGAGAGCATTGTCGTGAGCGCTCTACAGCTAAGAAGCCTGAAGTCGCCACATCCGGGAATGAAAATGGTAAGAAGACCCAAGGGCATGGTGATGGCTACTCTTCTTTGGACGGTCACAAAGACAAACAGTCACTGGACAAGGAGAGCGAGAAGTCGCGTGACAAGCTTTCCTTAGCCAAGGGCAAAGGCAACGGCATAGGCAGGAGTAAGGGCAAGGACAAGAACAACAACCTGGGCAAGGACAACAACAGGGACAAGTCATTTCTGAGCACCAAGCAAGAGCCTCGCGAGCACTGCAAACACCAGGAGGAGTCAAAGCCAGAGTCCACCACTGGCGACGACCCTGACTCCCTCAAAGGGTCTCACAACCCGATGCCAGGCGCTCCAACATCAGATACCAAGTGGAAGATAGAAAGGGTGAAGGACGGCTTCCACGCCCAGGCCCCGGGTCGCACTGGTCGCTATCGAGAACTGAGAGACACTGAATGGTTTCGGGTCCCAAAGCCGCCCGACGAGGCATCCAGCTGGAAGTACAAGAAGTTGGCGAGCGGGTGGCTTGCTGGGAGCCCGGGTCGTACTGATCGCGTACGGAACTTTGGAGATGACACCTGGTCCCGTGCTGCTCAATGCGGAGAGTCACAAGCTTGAGCTTCAAGGACGGTGGCAGCTGGAGGACATATGGCAAAGTGGAAGTGAATCGGTAGACCTCGGAACCACACGGGAGCCTAGTTGCTCCCGTGCTGCAAGCAGAGGCCACGAGGCACTGCAAAGGCACAGCGCAATCACATGCACTGCGTGTCATAAAACCGGGACAATCCACGGCATCAGGAGCTCCTTTGCAACGTGCCGTTGAGCTTCTCATCATCCCAGGCGGGATGGAGGTCTGGCAGAGGGGGAAGTGTTGGTATGCGAGCCGCCTTGTCATCACGACCACGTGAGAGCCTCTGGACGAATGCCGAATGGTGTAGCGACCGCGGGGACCAGCTGCCCGAGAGCAGTCTACAGTCTAGACTGCGGATAATCAGTGATCACATGCAGTGACGAGGCACGGAGATCTAAAATAGAAAGATCTCTGCAGAACATGGCATACGAGGGGTCTTTTTACAGTTGAGTTTATGGGAGGAAAAGGGGGGTGGATCATGATTGTGTGACGGATGCTCTGTGCCTCCATGCTGCAGCTGTCCAACTGCAGGATGCACCAATACAACGCTGTGACTGTACTGGGTGTGGGCGGGATTTATCGCTATAAGCGATCCTCATTCAGCCCGCCGACGGCCCCCAAACAAGGCATCCTAGTCTTACGTTGCCTCCATTAAATGCAGATACTCCCTTCATTACGTGCCCTTACAAAGCACGTTACAAGCCTAGAGCGGGGCTCTCGGGCTCTTGCCCTATAAAGTAATTTTTATATTATAAATACGTATAATAAGTATTTTAAGCGCGAGTAACGAAAGGAATGTTTGTAAAAAAAAGTAGCGTTTGAGAGGCGTTTAATAAATTAGTTGCTATATAAATTTAAAGTTACGTACTTTACGTTGTTATTAATTATGCAACTATTATAATAAAAATATAAAAGTAATTAAAAAAGTAACGTAGTAAATTAAATAACGGTTCTTTTAATACCGATATTTTAACATTTTAAGGCTTAATTTAATTACTTGTCGTTATTAAGGCGTTAACTACTTAATATAACGATTTTAATATATATATATATATATATATTACGCTATAAACGAATAACTACGTGTTAAACGATAGTTTTAGAACGTTTAACTAATTAGTTTAAGCCATATTAACTTTTAATAAATTATAAAAACTTTTTTTAACACGTAGTTATTAGTCAGCAGCGTTATTAATATACGTATATATAACGTACCAGCCTCGTAGTTATAAATTTAATAACAAATACGTAACCTTGACATATTAATGCTTTAGGCAGTGCCATATCTGCCCAGACCGTAAATCGGCTATTCGTGTAAAAGTGGGTCGATTTACGGGCTTGGTTTTCCGAGGCAAGTCGGCCAACTGCGATTCCCAATTTCCACTTCGTTAGGCAGCAAGGCGTGCAAGCCTCGAGGAGGGAGGCCACCTGCAATTGTCCGTCAGTCATGTTTAAGCTGAGGTGATCCATCTCCAGGAACCATAGGTTTCCAACGCGAGCGCCTCCAGATGTTATTATCACTCCTGCCTTTGCGCAGTTTCACATCAAACTCCGGCGTCAGCGAGCCGGTGTCAGACGGGCCCCACGGAAGTACCCCGAACCCCGGAGACAGTCACCAACGTCCGGATCGCAACAAGATGAGGAAGAGAGTCTCCCAAGCAAGCATGAAGGACCGCATCCCGAAAAGCACGAGCTTCGAGTTTCTCGACTACCACTCTCATGACGACCCCAAGCCCGGGCCCGAGATATCAGTCAAAAGCGATGCCTTCTGGAGCTACTGCGGCCCGCTCCTCTCGGGGCCGGAGGACATGCCATCCAACCTGGACGACTGGAGCGCCGCCTCACTCTCAAGCCCACTCCTTCCCCTCCTCCTCCCCTTCCTGGCCTTCGCCAACGCCTTCATCGCCCAGCAGGGCCTGGACCACTACTGGGTCACTATCCGCGCCACCAAGGCCACAGGCGAGTTCGACCAGCCGCGTTGGCACACCGACGACCTGTTCTTCAGCGCCGACGGCAGCGGCGGGCTGCGAGCACCAGCCGGGGAGAAGAAGAAGAAGACGCCGCTGCCGACCAAGCGGCGGAAGCTGGACCTGCAGACCGACTGGAAGCTCTGCACCACGCTGCTCGGGCCATCCACCATGTTCATCCCGTCGGCGCACCAGGCGCGCGCGCGGGAGACGCAGCGCACGACCAAGCGCGCCCTCGCCACCGACCACGCCTGCACCTCGATCCGCTGTCTGGGCTGTGCGGCCACGGCCGAGGCCGTGCGGTCGCGCCTCGCGGACGAACTGGCGCCGCTGGGACGGGCGCAGGCCGCGTCGGGCGCCTGTGCGTTTTTCCGCATCGGCGAGGACGGGGGCGCCGTGCACTCGGAGCCGGGTATGGGCCGCGGGGACCGCATCTTTGTCAATGTCGTGCCGGGAAGAAGGGACGAGCTGGGCAGGCTGATGACGACGTGGGGGATGGGCTTCCCGAGGGCGTGGTGGATCGCGCCGGCTGTGCCGAGTGGGAGGGAGGCGGGCTTGTGGAAGTATTGATGGGCGTATGATTATGATGCTTGGGTTAGATATGTGATGAGAGCATGGTGAGCGTTTTTGATACCAGGTGAATTTCAGCGTTGGAGAATAGGTAGGATAGCTATGTTGAGTTTCTTGTGTGTGTCTTCATAGGAATCACCTTCCTCGACTCGGCGTATCCCCCTTCCACGGCTCACGACCATTGAAGTTGACCTCAAGATCATGACCTATTATGTTCTTGCTTGTGGATTAATCGCCTTGGCCGGTATATCTGTCTCATCCGTCACGCTGTTGTTCGCAAACGCCTGTACAGCTCCCCCAATCGCAGCCAGGCCCGGATCCAAACCTCCCTCACCCCAGCCATCAGGCGCATCAAGCGGTGCCGCAACCCCCATCCTCACCAACCGCACAATCTCCCGGCCACCCTCACCGTCCGCGCTCCTTTCCCTCTCCCAGACCTCATAAGCCTCCCACCACCAGCGATGCGTCACCCCATCCCTGCCCTTATACCCGGCCACGCCATCCGCGCCCACGCGCCTCGTCCACGGCTTATCGACGATGTAATGCAGACACACGACCTCGTCGTCGCGCCAGAGGTTCTCGTGCCAGTACCGCATCGTCTTGAGCGCGTTGAACCGCCACCCCAGCGCGCGCCACCTTTCCCTAAAGAAGCGCGCCAGGAAGTCCTGGTCTGGGAACTTGAAGGTCGCCAGCAGCGGCGCCGACGATGAGAAGAACGCCATCATGTCCTCCCACAGCTGGGCCGAGGGATGGAACACGAACATGCCCCCGTTGAGTTGGTGGTGCGTTGCGGGACCCCCGGGCAGCGGCTGTGTCGGCGTGATTAGGGCCTCGGGGTGGGAGACGGGAGTGTAGGCGCAGTTCTCGCGTCGCCAGTCGGATGGCGCCCAGGGGTCGCCGTCGCGGTTGCACACGCAGGAGTGGTTGGCGGCCAGCCCGCCGGGCGGGAGTTCCGCCGCCGCCGCCGGCTGCGTGAAGATGATGTCCAAGTTCTGGAATATAGCCATGTCGGCATCGAGGTAGCAGACGGCGTTGAGCTTGTGTCCGAGCCCCGGGACGTCGTGCAGCTCGAACACGCGCAGTTTCGTCCACGTGTCCTCGAAGCGCTCGGCTATTAGCTGGGGCTTGAGGTCGCCGGGCGGGAGGAGGTAGGCGCAGGGCTGGAGGATGATATTGGTATTGCTGCGCGAGGCCTCGAGCTGGAGGGCGCGGAGGGCGTGGGGGGCTAAGTCCGGGGTGTATAGAACTATGAGAGGGTATTGGGAGTTGTGCTGCCGGAGGGTGCGCGCCAGGATTATGACGCCGGCGAGGTAGCTTGCCCGGGTGATGAGGGTTGCGTAGGCGAAGCGGCCGGGTTCCGGGTTCGGCTCCTGCTCCTGCTCCGGTGTCTTACCGGAAGGCGTGATTGAAGCCATTGCGTCCGACGACAGGATAGAGTAGCCTGATGAAGTCCTTGGTATCATGTACACGTGCTGTTAATGCGATTGGGTGTTCAAGTATCCGCGGCGAGATACACTTTTGCCAGTTGCCGAGTGCGTTGTGTTCGGAACTAAAATATTCAGAAAGTTTTGGTGGTGATTCATTACCTCGGGTGCAGGCCTAGTTTGCTAGTTGGTCGTCCAATGACGATACTGTGACACGTTGTTTTCCCTCTGGTTTGATGAGCTGGTCACACACAGCTGTCCTGCAACACATGATGGCGGATCATGTCGGCGGTCGCTTCTGGCATTTCACCATGGTACTGGGATTCATCGCCCCTTGAACGTGACTTGAGGGACTGAGATGACTATATCGTCTTTTTGCATGTCACTTTCTCATTTAAGTTGTCTCTACTGATGCTGTGCTACCTGTCTCGGAAAGCTCGCTATTTCAACATAGATGCCTGTATATCAACGCACCTAGTTATTTCGAGTGCATCCTGCTTCCTGTTAGCCATCAGCCTGGATGTGAGATCACCTCAGCTTACAGGTACACCACTGGGCTCCCAGCCTTTCACTAGCTTGCTTTCGTACACCAGATTGGGGTTTCCCTTCGGTCCCTCCTCAGTGGGCTTGCGGTACTGTTCTCGCTTCTGGTCGACAGTGCTCCTGACATACTCCAGATATGGAGGATTGCCTGGCTTTATGACTGATATGCTGGCGTCAGTATGGAGTAGTTGGTACCATTTTGTAGGTACTGTAGGCAGAAATTAGGCTTACCATTGTCCGCAGCATAAACGGAGCCTGGTCCAACCAATCCAAGCTCTTCGCACAGCTTCAAGTCTGCCGTATACGCGGGCTTATAATGGTCAAGAAACAGTAGGTCGATCTGCTGCAGTTTGCCCTGGGTGAACAGGTGGCGTATGGAATCCGAGCTGGGCCCAACGACCACCTTGACGATATCACTGAGTCCCGCGAGCACGACGAGCTTCTCAATGACACCCCCAAACTCGGGATTCTTCTCCAAACTGAAGTACTGCTTGCCGCCAGCTGCTCTCTGGGCGGCAGCAAAGGCGATAGCTGAGTACCCAACGTATCCTCCCAGCTCAACCATCACCTCGGGCTTCTCCTTCTTGATCAGATCGACGACGGTCTTGGACTTGTACTCGCCAATGTTCATGAGATATTTTTGCGTTCTCCCGAATTCGTCGATGGCGTCTAGCACCTTCTGCGGGTTACCGCGGATCTGATCGATTTTGTCATGGTTGGTGACAAAATGAAGGAGCTCTGTTTCTCTACCGTCGTCGAACTGTAGATCACCACATTTATGAGATTTAGGTACGGTTTTGGGGGCGATTCTGAGCCTACTCACAAATACCTCCTCTTGCGGTTGGTAGGCCTGGCCTTGAAAGTTTTCCTGTGCTGAGTCACCCATAGCGTGAATTGAGTGTTGAGTTGCTTGTGGTTGCTTGTGGTTGATTTCACGCGGTATTGAGCTGATCGTTGCCGACGAGATAGTACGCAAGAGTTGACACTCAAAGCCAGAACAGTGTCAACAGATGGTAGCGACTCACGGCTCGTACGAGCGGACGCGACACATGTGCTTTTACAATCTCATGTGTCACCACATGCATCTTCGATGTCATCGACTTTCTGGTCGCCTGTACAACACACGTTCTGCGCTGCGCTAATAATGTCTTGGCCCTACTACTCCCTGCAGCTAGCCGGCTAGAGGGACGATCTGGAATGCAAAAACATGGGATTCTCATGAAAGTCGATGTTGAAAACGTCCGCAAGGCCGAGGACTGAGACAGTCTCACAAGCCCACTGAAGGCCTATGATACTTCCACTATGCTAGCTCGCGCCAGTCTAACCGCCCGCCATATCAGCCGTCTCAGGACTAACAGGTACCGGATGCCCCCCGAACCGAGCATCAATGTTCCGATCCAGATCCGCTCGTCTCGGCACCTAAGCTGAGTGCCATTGGCCAATAGGGAACGGGGATCTTTGGGGTAGATCGTAGTCTAAACTAGGAGATCTCACTTCTCCGCTGCAAGCAGCTCCATGTAGATCAGGGACCACGCCATGGTCTGGTTGCCGGACAATACCATCCAACACGTAGTTGAGTTGAGCCAGCAAGACGAAGTGCGGAGCTTGCTCCGTAACTTTTACTCCAGGGCAATGGATGCTTTCAACACCCGACCAAGAATTCCAGGGCTAAGAGTGAAGTCAATGACGAATTGAGTTCTCGGAATGGGAAAGGGTCAGCATGTGACCCGGACTACTTGAACCTTGCTATGGCTTGTCGACATGAGCCGATTCTCTAGATACCATCAGTCAACCTTCTTCTCCCATTCCCAAACCATCCAACAACTACTCGGGTAGCCACTCCTTTTTCGCTACATTCTCATCATACACATATAGCCACCATGTCTGACCTCAAGGCCTCCGTGAAAGAGACCAAGAACGGCTTCCACGTCGAGGGCTACGAGAAGATCGAATATGACTTCGCCTTCGTGGATGGCGTCTTCGACGTTGCCAACTCGAACCTCGCGGACTGCTATAAGAAATGGGGCCGGTGTGTACACCTTCGAGTCTTTTATTTCCCCATATGGTCATGCCCTGAGCGCGAATTCCTACTTCTAGCCTGTGTCAAGAGCCTCTGCTCCCGAGACACGCATTACAACTCCATTTTTTCTCGGCAAACTACCTAAATGAAGCAATTACTGACTCAAATTTGCGAGGAGGGTTCTCGCCGTGACAGACAAGAATGTCTTCGCTCAGTACGGTCAGAAGATGGAGAAGTATTTCGAGCATTACAATCTTGAACTCAAGATTCATCAAACATCGATCGGAGAGAAGGCGAAGACCATCGACACATTCCTCAGCATTGCTGATTCGATGACTGAGTTTGGCATTATCCGAAAGGTGAGCTTGCCCCCCTTTTGGATACCCAGCAAAAGAGGCTTACGATTATACTAGGAACCTGTGCTCGTCGTTGGAGGAGGACTAGTAACAGATGTTGCTGGGTAGGATGACACTCGACCACTGTCTTTACAGTGAACCTGCTGACGGTGCAATAGCTTTGCGTGCGCCGCATACCGCCGCAACACCAATTTCATCCGCGTCCCAACGACCGTCATCGGTCTCATCGACGCCAGTGTGAGCATCAAGGTCGCCGTCAACTACGGACGGTACAAGAACCGCCTTGGAGCCTATCACGCACCCTTGCACACGTTCCTTGACTTCACCTTCCTCCGGACCCTGCCCATTGCGCAGGTTCGGAACGGGTTCGCGGAGCTGATCAAGATCTCCTCCTGTTCTCACCTGCAAGTCTTCGACCTGCTGGACAAGTTCTGCGAGCAGCTTATCGAGACCAAGTTTGGACGGGCTGATGAGGCTTCTATGGAGGTTCGACAAGCCGCTGATACAGTGAGTACCATCAGTCGAATCATGCTCATTTCGCCTTGCTAATCATATGGCAGATCAACCGTGAGGGTATCTACGAGATGCTCAAGTTAGAGACCCCCAATCTCCATGAGATCGGACTGGACCGCGTAATCGCATACGGCCACACGTAAGTCTCACCAGAGTTTCCGCAAAATCATGCGATCATTTACTCACGGATGGTACTATAGATGGTCGCCGCTGCACGAACTCATCCCCGAGACGCCCCTGCGACACGGCCACGCCATCTCCATTGACATGGCCTACTCAGCTACGCTGGCTAACCAGCGCAAGCTGCTCTCCGACGAGGAGCACCACCGCCTATTCAACCTATTCTCGAGAGCTGGACTCTCCATCGACCACCCCCAATTCGATGATGACGTCCTGGACAAGGGCACGGCAGCGATCCTCAAGACACGAGACGGTAAACTGCGGCTCGCCGTACCCAACCCCCTGGGATCATGCAGTTTTATCAACGACGTCACGGCGCAGGAGTTGAGAGACGCTCTGCGCAAGCACAAGGAGATGGCCAAGACGTACCCACGCGAGGGCGCTGGCGTTGAGGCCTACGTCGACAGCAGCGACACAGGCTACACGGACCTGGCGTCCGAGAACCTGAGCGTCGAGAAGGCGGCGAAGGAGGCGGGCGTCCTGTCCGAGAGCCAGAGCGTGGGCAACGGCTTGTCTGGCCAAACGAACGGGCATGCCAACGGCAAGACCAATGGCCATAGCAATGGTGACGGCCTGCTGGAGAAGGCAAAGGCGGCTGTCAATGGCATCAAGGCGCAAGCGTGAAGGGGGGTTCCTCTGGCCCGTCAACGTGATTTCCTGACACTTTGGATTATCTAGCGTATCATATTGGGGTCTACATTACCTAGTCTACATTACCTAGTATACATTCTTAGAACTTGCCCCTTGAGCAGAAGGAAATAAAAAAATTACCGAAATCGAGCCGAAATAAGACGTTCAGACCGCACGTGAAAATGTTCCCCTCACCGAGTACCTACCTGTGTCCCCTAGCGCCCAACTACCGCGCGTAAGGCTAAACCTAGATACCCCTGGACACCTTAAGCGTCGCCTTATATCAGGGGCTAGTATAGGCCGTGCCCCAGGCCGGATGAGATCTAAGATCTCGGATCTCACCTAGTGATGAATCACCTGCCGAGGCCAGCAAGGGGGCCGCGGAGACTAAGCAAGTCGTGACGTTTGTTTTCCGCGCCTACTCTAAGACACAACGTGTTCGGAACAGCCCGTTGCCAGGCATGTGGGATGTGGGATGCGGGTCGACGTGATTCATCAACTTTATCTTGACTCGGATGCCATGCCTCAACTATAGTACCCAATGACATCCGGAATACCTTACGACTGTGTTCCGCGGGCCGCGGCTGCATAGGTAGCTAGCTAGCTATTGCGAATTGCACTCCGGGCCGAAGCTTTCTCGTCGAGGCGTCATTTGCGTTCTGCTTAGGCTCCTGTGGCGTCAGCTCTGCATAACTCAGTCTGGTCTCACTTTCGGATCTACGATAGCTTCCGGCAAACCACACAACTGCGAAGTCACCTCAGGCGAGGAGGGAGGAAAGAGCAAGAGGAACCCCAGCCACGTTGGACGGATCAGTATCTCGCGAAACCCTCATACACCATTCAGTCAGTCAGTCAGACAGTGCCCGTCCAAGCGTTGCCCACTGTTCACCTGCGAGGGCCATGGAGGCTCTGCTGCGAGTTGAGACGCTGAGGTGCTTCAGCCTAGTCTTTCTCAGCCTGCTGTTGCTTCCGGTATCTATTGTGACGATATGGATCAACCGTTTCTTGTACGAGATCCAATCAATCTCCCGGCCGGCCTTTGAAAGGAAAACAATTTTAGTCACCGGTGTGGGCATGGCCAAGGGGCTGACGCTGGCGCGGGTATTCCATCGGTGTGGTCATCGTGCCATAGGCGCCGACTTCGAAAGCCGCTGGATCCCGTGTTCTGGGCGCTATTCGAAAAGTCTGTCACGGTTCTATCGGTTGCCCAAGCCCAACAGCGAATCCGGCGCTCAGGTGTACATCGAGCGCCTCCTCGAGATCATCGACGCCCACAAGGTCGATCTATGGGTATCCTGTTCAGGAGTCGCCAGCGCCTTCGAGGATGCCCAGGCCAAGGAGGCCATCGAGAAGGGTAGCCCGTGCAAGTGCATCCAGTTCGACGTCTCGACCACGTCGGCACTGCACGAGAAAGATGCCTTCATGCGGGCGTGCACGGACCGCGACCTGCCGGTCCCGGAGACCTACGACATCAAGTACCGCGACGAAGTCTTCGGCATCCTCGCCGAGGTCGTGGCCCGGCATCCCGATCGCAGATTCATCCTCAAGCCCGTGGGCATGGACGATTTGCACAGGGCCAATATGACACTGCTCCCGCTGTCGTCGGAGCGCAAGACGAACGAACACGTGTGCCGCCTGCCCATCTCGCCGGCGAACCCGTGGATCCTGCAGCAGTTCATCTCGGGCGGCGAGGAGTACTGCACGCACGCGCTCGTCGTCCGCGGCGTGGTGCATTGCTTCGTCGCGTGCCCCAGCGCCGAGCTGCTCATGCACTACGAGGCCCTGCCGCGCACCTCCGCGCTGTGGCAGGCCATGCTCGAGTTCACCGTACAGTTCATCGACCGCTCGCCGGACCCCGAGGCCATGACGGGCCATCTGAGTTTCGACTTCATGGTTGAGAACGGGGCCGTGCGCGCGGACGGGTTCGAGAGGAAGATCTATGCCATCGAGTGCAATCCCCGCGCGCACACTGCTGTGGTGCTGTTTGCGCAGGCGGGGCCGGAGGAAAGAGATATGGTGCGGGCTTACCTCTCTGCAACTGACCCGGTCACCGCTGTTCTCTCGGACGACGTCACGTATTCCATGGCCGTGTCGGGAGAGAAGCCGCGCGTGAGTCCGCATCTCGTCATGCCACCCCAGGATACCCAGGCGCGGTACTGGGTCGCGCACGACCTGATATCGCTACTGAACCTACCTCTGGTGCAGATGGACCGTAGACGGATGGACTTGAGGATGATGGCGGAAGCGTGTTTCGCTTTCTTGATTCGTCTTTTGACGTGGAAAGACGGGACGTTCGAGGCTTGGGATCCGTGGCCGGCTCTTGTTCTGTACCATGTGTACTGGCCGTTGACGATCCTGGATGCCTGTTGGCATGGGAGGGGGTGGAGCAGGGTCAACGTCAGCACGACGAAGATGTTCGCCTGCTGATCGTCTTGGGAGCGGAGAATATCCTAGTGCGTTACTTATCAGGGCCCGGGTTTCTGGGAGGTTGAGCAGTACATCAAGAGGCATCTTGAAAACTAAATAATAAGTATTCAGTACGAAGGGGGAGTCAAACTTGTACACTTCTTCCGACCCTTCCACCGTGTACCATAATCGTGATATGTCGATGACGCCGTGGGATTCTCGATGTATGTTTCTCAAAGTGACGCGAAGATACAAAGCCGTTTAGCAGGATATTTACTACGTTATATAGCAATCAAGTATCGATCGGGAGTAACTAGATACACTCAGAACTGAACAGACTTGTGTGCCAATATGCAGGGCAGCCCGCAAGCTTCATCTGCGGACACCGCTCGTACATCAGGTGGAAGGCAAGCTAGCCACATTCACGCCCCAGATTGAAAAGACCAAGGTGATCAAGAAAAGCCCAGCCTAGACATCGAAACAGCATGACGAAGCACGACAAAGCAGACGCCCTGGCCAACGGTTGCTTCGCTCAGACCACGACAGCATTGGCGTTCCCGCCGCCCAGCAGTGCCGCGAGGATATCAGCAAGCGAGCTGCCCGTCGCTGTGCCAGCGCCAGCACCAGCGCCAGCGCCAGCCGCGGCACCTGCGCCGGTGCTGGCGGCCGGGTCGGGCGTCAGGAGGGCGAACTCGCCGTTCATGAGCGCCGTGTTGGTCAGCGTGACGGCGAGCTCGTCCTCGACGGCCTCGAACTCGCGCTCGGCTAGCGTCGAGTCCAGGACCACGAAGCTGTTGGTCTCGGTGCACAGGCGGCCGATCTGGGCCTGCGTGATGTCGACGGCTTTTGGGGGGAATACTTAGCGCGGCGTTTCGAGGGTACGTTCCAAGTCATTAAATCCATGAAAGATGGGGAACAGTGAGAAGGGGGAAGGGGAAATAACGCACCACGGTTTGTTCCAATATAATCAATCTGGCCCCTGGTGATGGCGTCCACGCTGCCGGTGAACTGCACCTTGAAGGATGAGGGATCGGCCAAGACGAAGCCGGACGGGGCCGCGGCCGGAGTCTTGTTCTCGGTAACGGTGAAGCTGTTGGCGACTTTGTCTGCGAATTCAACCTCGATAGACCCGACAGTCTGTGCCACCCAATATCAGTGACACCGTACTTTGGGCACTTCCACGAGTCCGCGTCTCTTGCTGATGAGCTTACCGTCGGGGGCATGGCAATGGCCTGGAGCAGGTCTCCACCCTCGACGGGCGTGTCGGTGTCGAACGTGCCCGTGCTCTTGACCTTGTTCTTCTCGTCCTCTTCCTGGCGGGCCGAGAGAGAAGACCTCCGGGCGGCGGGACCCGTGGGGAGGGCCGAGACAGCGGCCGCGGCCAAGATGAGAAGCCGTAGCATATGCATGTTGGTCGGCGGCTTGGGAGTAAATGAAGGGCTGGAGTATGGAGTAAGTCGCCGGTAACGAGCGAAAATAATGGAGATTGGTAAAAGAGAGGGCCGGCCCCATGAGAACTGAAGTCGGAAGGAGAGAAAAGACGACAAGACAAGAAGCCAAGAGGTATGATAGAGCGCCACGGAGTATGAAGATCCAGACGATCCATACTGGCGTCCCACGACACCTCATATACGGGAGATGGCTACGGGCATGTCGACAGTAGGTAAGCCAAGGCTTTCAAGAATATAGGAGAGGCCGGCTCTACGAGCGATTTGGGATCACTTCAGCCGACAGACACGACGTCTGCTACATGGTTCCGTTTCGTGACAAGTTTGAGAAATGAGGCTATCTTGGCTATCCTCTTCCAGCCAGACTCTTTTCTTATCCGAGAACTCTGGGATCCCCACGCAGCCAGTCTCCCTTGTCTGGCAGTCTGGGGGCCGAGGAGAGTCGTGGAGAGGTGCCGTCCGAACCGTGGCAGCCGTGCGTAAGAGCCAAGTCAAACCCGATGCCCCCGTGCCCGCAATTCCAACGGCTCGGCGCACCCGATCCTCGTCGGGATCCATCGGCCTGCTCTTGACAAGGCGCCCACCAAGGAGGAAGTAGATATATGCAACGTGCCATGGGAAGCTGGGTGCGAATGATCGTACACTGATCTATTAATACTACGGGCCCCAGAGATGTTCGGACCACTACGCGTGCCGGGCTGCATCTTTTCTACCGACGACGTCCTCCGTTGCATTGTCGCGAACGACCTCACTGTCTCCACACAACCTTTGAGCGAAATGAAGGCGACTTCAACCTGGGTCGCCAAGCGGTCGCGAAACTGGTCGGCGAACTCCATTTCAGTCGCTGTGACCGGGAGACTGTTGCGGAGGACGTCGTGGGCATGAAGTCTTGACCCGGTGAAGTCAGTTGTGGTACCAGTATGGCCTCATGAGAAAGCGAATGTCTTGGTTTGGCCGCAGACGTTGCACACTTATCTGTCCCGGTCCCCGGCCTTCCACATGGTCAATCAGTTACTTGCTTCCTTGCATGAGACGGATAGCTGGATCAGGGCTTGTTCATGGCGGAATATTGATGTATCGACGACGGCGTGGGTGGGCTGTCCAGTGATGTTCTGACTATTTACGGTAATGGTGGATAGACAGTCTGTGGTTCAGATGCGCCGTCGCTCTCTTACCGATTACGAGATGCAATAACACCTCCGACGTGTTGAGGAAGCAGCTGCCTGCGTAAAGAAAGGTCTTACTGGAATGGAACTACCAAGTCAATGACCTCATGGTTCAACACCAGCGCGTCACCCACCAACGTCCCAATGAGTCGCACCAAAATACATCGCTTAGTCGCCAACAAATAATCTTGAACAATCTGCAACCACTTGTCGGATCCAGCCAAGCCTCCTATTACCAGTGTGATGTGCTAGGTACACACAAGTCTATCGCTTCACCTAGAGATACATAGACCAGCAGCCCTGCCTCTACCAGTCGAAGGACACACGAGACTAACCGCTCAACATCATACTCATGGGGGCCGCCGACCTCAACTACTTCACGTGCACCCTTGGCCAGGCTGCGCTACTGAAGAAAGAGGGTCGCCAACAGAAGGACTCATTCCAGACGGTCATTCAACTGATAGAAGAGCAGGCTGAAAGTCTACCTGATTCGCCTGCTCTTGGGTTCGCCAATCTGCGGAAGGGAGAATGCCGCAATCAGAGTTGTGTGTGCCAAGTCAATCCTAGAACACTCGCGTATGCTGACGGATGCGCAGTGCCCGACCAAGTCACCTTTTCGGAACTTTGCCGTCTATCAATATCTGCAGCTGTACTCCTGAAGGCGTCGTTGCCCTCGGCCGCTGATGGGCAATATTCAGAAACAGTCGGGCTGATCTGCAGCAGTAGCTTGGATTTCGTACTCACATGGCTTGGTCTCATGCAATTAGGTCGCAAGGCCTTTCTGCTGGCGTAAGGTTCCCCTGTCTACACTCCGTTTACGATCTTCAGTATCATGCTGATCCCCCAGTCCTCAATTGGATTCTCGATCGATAGACCACCTCTGTACTGGCTCTGACGTAAGAAGTATCCTGGTGGACAAGGTCCACGAGCAGAGAACGTCGCAATTTCGTGACAGCATCAACATCGTGAAGATCCCACAATACGAGGGAGACTCGCAGTCGAAAACAGACATCCCGGAGGGCAAGGGCCTCAGTGGCAAATCGTCCGATATTGCTTATCTTCGCCACACATCGGGCACGTCTTCGGGATTACCAAAGCCCATCCTACAGACACAATGGGGAGCTGTAGGCTGTCTACCAGTTCTACCTGACCAAGGCCAGGCCGCAACCTTCTCGACCACGCCACTCTACCATGGGGGTCTTGCCGACTGCTTCAGGGCATGGACCAGCGGGGCCGCAATCTGGTTCTTCGCCGAAGGGTTGATGCCCATTACCGGTGCCAATGTCCTGAAAGCAGTCGCTCATGTTCGCGAAGAAAGTCAGGCTTCTTCTGTCAAGTACTTTTCGTCTGTCCCGTACGTGCTTCAGATGCTCGCTGAGGAAGACGAGGGCATAAAACTTCTACAGACCATGGATATGGTGGGCGTTGGCGGAGCTGCGTTGCCCCCTTCGGTTGGTGACAGACTAGTCAAGCTGGACGTCAACCTCGTCTCGCGGATGGGGAGCGCCGAGTGCGGTTTCCTCATGTCATCACATCGCAACTATTCCGAGGACACGGAGTGGCAATATCTTCGGCCAATGGACGATCCAAGCTTCCTGTCATTTGAGCCTCGCGACGATGGTCTCTCGGAGCTCGTGGTGAAACCAGCTTGGCCTCTGAGGACAAAGGTGAACCGTGACGATGGGTCATATGCCACGGCAGACTTGTTTGAGCCGCATCCTTCGATGCCAAACGCATGGCGATACGATAGCCGTGCGGATGCTCAGATCACACTTGCCAATGGCAAGAAATTCGACCCGTCTCTACTCGAAGGCGCCATTCGAGCTTCAACCGACATGCTACAGGATGTACTCATATTCGGCGCTGGCAGAGATTATGCTGGGGCTCTCCTATTCAAAGCATCACCCGATGTCTCAACTAACGATGTACTTGATGCCGTATGGCCAGAAGTGCAGCAATTGAACACAAGAACGCAAAGCCATGCTCGGCTGACAAAGGCGATGCTGGTTATTATCGATGCTGAAGGCCACGATGCGCCCCTGCCGAAAAGTAGCAAAGGAACTATACTGCGTCATCAGGCTGAGGACCGCTATGCCGATGTCATCGACTCGGCCTACACTGGCCGAGGATCCAACATGGGCCAGGCTCGACACATGTCTGGCGATGACATCTTTTCAGTCGTCTCCAGCCTCTTCAGTGAGGTTTTGGGGAGAGAAATTGATGCCGAGCAAGACCTATATGAGCAGGGGGTCGACTCGATTGCTTGCATTCAGATACGGAAACTCGTTGAGATCAGTGTGCTGCCCCCGGGCTCCGCTCCATTACCGATGAACGTTATCTATGACAACGGCACCATCCGCTCACTAGCCAACACCCTGGTAGAGGTTCGTCGGGGGACCAGCGATCTGAATAACCCTGCCGATCATCGCGAAGGGAAGTTGATGAGAGAGCTAGCTGACAAGTACTGTCAATTCCCGCCAATGCAAGTGGACGTGATGAAGAAAGAGGGGATCGTCGTGGTTCTTACAGGGGCAACGGGGGTATTGGGGGTTCACGTACTATCACAGATGAGCAACGACCCCAAGGTGCGCAAGGTGTATTGCCTGCTGCGTGCATCGACACCCTTCGCCGCCCGAGAGCGTGTCGCCAAAGCACTTCTGAACAAGAAATTGATCGGCCTGCAAGAGGTCACAGAGGCGCATGCCTTGGACGACAGAATTACCTGCTTACCTTGCGACCTAACCGGGCCTCAGCTGGGCCTCTCGGATGAAAGTTGGAGATGCCTGGTCTCTGAGGCTACCGTCTTCATCCACTCCGCCTGGTCTGTCAACTTCAGTCTTCGGCTCACCTCATTCGAGAACCAGCTTGCGGGAACTCTAAACATGATCAATGCGGCTCTAGCAAGCGACTCGAAGTTCTTCTTCGTCAGTTCCACTGCGGCTGTGAGCAACACGTCTTCTGGTGACATTGCTGAGAAGCCCTCGCTGGACCCGAAAGACGCATCACCCTTGGGGTACTCAAGATCGAAGTGGGTAGCTGAACGAGTGTGCTCAGCAGCACATGAACACTTGCTTCATGATCGAACATCAATCGCAGACTCCCGGGGTATTTCGATCATCCGGGTAGGGCAGCTCTGTGGCAACCAAGCTGGGGCTTGGAATGCCTCTGAGGCATATCCACTGATGTTGTCGACCGCCAGCTTCGCGGGATGCCTCCCAGCTCTGCCCAGCGAGTGTCTCAACTGGTTACCAGTAGATACAGCTGCAAAGGCAGTCTTGGATATCGCCTTGCCTAGCCCGGCAACGCAGAACAGGGGAAGCTCAACGAGCGAGTCGCAGCCCCCAATCCCTGTGTACCATGTGCTCAACCCGCACAGAACACCATCCTGGCGTAAGATGCTCGACTGGATCGCAAAGGCCCCCGGCGGCTCGTCGTTCGATATAGTGCCAGCGGCTGAATGGCTTGATCGCCTTGAGAGAGCCTTGAAGGCGTCGGAAACGAAACACCCCTCGCAGGCGCTCTTGGGGTTATGGAAGCGGAAGTATTCCCTGGCAGAGACCATTTCTCAATCCGACGAGGTTGAAAAGTCCGCTGGGAATGGTCCTCCCAAATTCCAAGTGTTGTTTACCCAACGAACGTCGGAGACGATGCGAGATGTCGAGCCATTAGAGGAGGGGGATGTCATTCGGATGTGGGAATGGATACAGGGCAATTCTTAGAGGTGCTGGACTTGGCGAATTTTAATAAATATCCGTGAATATCACCATCACGGGTCGACCCTTACTAGGACAGTGGGTTTGCTCATACTGGAGAGTCGCGATGCCTTTAGCAGCCCCTCCAGGCTGGCCTGCGTCTGCTTGGCCAGTACCTAATGTCGTGGGAGCCGTCGGGTCAGCTTTCCTGACTTCTGAAGTACGTAGAGCAACGTCGACGTAGCCAATATAGGCATATAGTTAATCTCGGAATCATCATCTCTTGTGGATGGGTTCTGGGAAGTGGGCTGCAAAATTGTGTGCTTTGGTATTTCTTATCTACCTAGGTACCTACGAACACCCCTATCCAATCCGCATATCTCGGACTCTTGGGTTGTCCGAGATGCCCTAGCGCCCGGGCCGGACAAACTTCGGAACAAGCTGTCCGCCTACCGAATTACTTAGTAAGCACTTTATTTTCGGACACCTGGACTCCCAGTCTCATCGGGCTTTCGACCGCTCCGAATCTCGGTTGGTCGACGGGAGTGACATTCATTCACCGAAATCTCTCGACATTCTACCGCAACACGCCAGCATGTCCAATCTATGACTTAGGCTCCGAGTAAGGCTCCATCCTAGATTGAATGTGCCGGCGCCCCTGTTGTCCGACGAGGTGCAGCCATCCCGCGCAGCCGTGGTAGTGGTAGCTGGGTGACAGCGGGCATCATCTCCTGGCTTGCGTCCGCTTCATCGTCTCAGCGTTGGTGTCGGTCCTCCGCTTACGAGTATCGCAACCATGTCTACAGGGCAAGCGGCTCCGGCTCCCGGTGCATCGTCTCCGGCCATGCCACCCTCCTCTTCCCAGACTTCGAGGCCACAGCGGGTACTTGCCTGCGTGATTTGTCATGCACGCAAGGTTAAATGTGACCGCAAGTTTCCTTGCTCCAACTGTGTCAAAGGCAACGTACAGTGCGTGCCGGCGGCAGTGACCCGTCGTCGGCCGAGGCGTCCACAGCCCGAAAAGGCCCTCCTGGATCGCCTGCACCAATACGAGGAGCTGCTCCGCAACAACAGTATCAAGTTTGAACCGCTCCACAAGGCCCCGACTACCGAGACAGTGTCTCCAAATACGGAGCATGAGGCGGCGGGCTATGCTTCGGACGATGACCAGCCGCCGGATGCTACCGGTACTCCGACAGACGCGCCATCTCCTTCCACCACTGCCAAGTCCGATAAACCACTGCAATCTGTGGCCAAGTGCGTACACCTCCCCAAAGAGTTCTTTTGCGGTGAACTGACGATCACAGGAACTTCTGGCAGCTCGTAAACTCGGGGGTATGTCTACTTTACGCGTGCTCAGAGCTATACTAAACAATTTGAACTAGTTCCGGGACAGCACCGACAACGAAGCTGATCACATCGAGGAGGATGTGCGTGCGGTTATAGTCAGGAAGGCATGGGAGCAGGCGACGGGGGACTCGATATTCCTTGCGCTTGGCTCGCGAGGAACGCCCATCTCCCTCTCTTTCCTGCAGCCCGAAACCGTACAGATAATCAGGTTCTGGCAGATCTACCTAGACAACGTCAACCCCCTACTCAAAGTCACGCACGCGCCCAGCTTGCAAGGCCGCATCATAGAAGCTATCGGCAACTTGGGCAATGTCAGCCCCACCTTGGAGGCTCTCATGTTCGGCATATACTGTGTGTCCATCATAACCTTGTCCGCGGATGACTGTCGAGCCATGTTTGGCTCGCCGAAGGAAGAGCTCCTCACGAGCTATCAAACAGCATGTCAGCAAGCTCTAGTGAACTGCAAGTTCTTACAAACCAACGATCGAGACTGCTTAACCGCTCTTTTCCTTTACATGGTGAGTACGCATTTGAGCTGTGTGACTATCACAAGTTCGCTATTGCTGACTTGCATAGATTTCGGTCAGTCCCAGCACGGATCCAATGACCCTGTCGTCCATGCTTGGCAATGCCTATCGCATCGCATGTCGCATGGGCATTCACAGGGAGGCCAGTCTTGCGAAGTGCAGTCCCTTCGAGGCGGAAATGCGCCGAAGGCTGTGGTGGTCCTTCGTACTCTTCGACAACCGCATCGGTGAGCTGGCTGACAGCAAGTGCGGATCGCTGAACCCTACCTGGGACTGCAATATCCCCCTCAACGTGAATGATTCCGACCTCCGACCAGAAATGAAGGAGGCAGCGACACCCCAAGCCCAAGGGTACACCACTGACACCATCCACGTTGCCGTCCGCAGTGAGTTTGGGAACTTCCTCCGTCACTATGATGCCTATCTCGACTTCACCAATCCATCTCTAAAGCGCCTCACAAAAGACGCACGCGATAATGTCCCAGAGATTCGCGAGTTGGATGCCCTGGAGAAGATGATCGAGGATACATACCTCAAACTCTGTGACCCTGAAGTGCCACTCCACTTCTTCACTATATGGTTTATGCGCGGGCTCATTGCAAAGTGCCACCTTGTTACCGGTTACGCAAAATCCAACCTACTCCGCGACTCTACCGCAGAGCAGGTCATTGCACAGCTCGATTTGGCGACTAATTATGCGATGAGGGCGCTCGAGTGCGATACAAAAATATCCAGCTCGCCCCTCACCAAGAATTACCATTGGGTACTCCACTTCCACTTCCCGTTCCCCGCCTACATCCAGATCGTCGTAGACCTGAGAAAACGTCCCTTCAGCAAGCATGCCGATCGTGTATGGGATCTCATGAGCGACCATTGCGAAGCCCGTTTCTCCTCCAGTGAAGGTGAAGTCTCCGTCCTGAACGCACTCTTCCAGGTGTTTTCAAAGACGATACTTCCAGCCTGGGATGAGCGAGAGGCAGCGGCAAAGGAGTCGCAAAAGCCATTGGGCCCAACTCCCAGAATAGTGACATTTATCAGAGACAGGCTGGACCGAATAGCCCGGGATTCGCAGGGTGGACAGGATTCCAATACCGCAAGGCAACAGGCCAGCGATCTAATGAACCTGGACGACGTGGACTATTCCATGTCGGTGCCCATGACCATGAGTCCGAACAGCTTGAATACGCTGAACAATCTCATGTACGGTATGGGGATGGGGATGGGCGGGCAAGCCGGTTCCCCGGGCACGATGCCCGGGCTATTCCCTCCGACACCTGCACCGAACTCATTAGACATCAACCAGGTGGACTGGGCTCCTATGGGCTGGGGTCCGGGGGAGCGGCGCGGCTGGTGATGATTCGATAGCTACCCGCCACTTCGAGACTAGGTTATGTCCGCCGATGTTATCAAGAACATGATGTCTACTAGATACATACCCCGTGCGGGGTTCCAATGGCAGACCGCCTAAATCACGAATGAAGCAAATAGATATCCGCCTCAGCCAGGGCCACGGAAGCTGGGGTACTTGAAGATGGTGGATGGCGAGGCCCTAAGAGCTGACTGTATAGTAGGAGACACACTTGGAAGTGGTCATACCACTTATACTCCCAGCTCAGCGCATGATGTGTGGAGTATATAGGCACTCATCGATACCCAGAATCACTCACTTAACTTTGTTTCCATGGATTGATCTCATACCCCAACTGATACTGTTCATGCTCGGAGACGATGTTGATGATATATGTATATGAAAATTTTAATGCTGTCTTGGCTACATGGAGGGAAAGGAACGTCGGATTCAACAGCACTCGATATTGGTGGCCATGGAATATACTACACTGCGTCACTCTGTGACTACCGTGAGTCAGTGGTAGATTGAATAACGCACTGTCAAATCTCGCCCGCTATATCTGCACCTCACTAGCATTCAGGGATTACATCCTCACGGGCTTCGACTCAGCAATGTAACAGCCACTCTCCCTGCTGAGGAATATGGCCGCAACACAGGCATGTATGCTGCTTGGCAATGTCTTTGCGAAATGCGCACGCATGCTCCTGTAAGGAGTGCATAAGGTATAAGAGAAGTAGACAGGTCCGTCTTGCCATCTGATGCTTGTGTACTACGTAAGGAAGCCAGAGGTTACGCCTGCTCAGTCGGCTGTCGATGTAGATGCAGGACCCAATCAACTGCATTGAGATCAATGTTATATGCACCACCCGTGGCGCAGTACATACCGAGCCTGGTCGACGCTCAATCTGGAGCTACCATGCCCAACTGCACATGGACTGACGGCAGGGGGGATAACGAGGAGTGCATGCGGCACAGTGAAACCTCCCTGAAGTGTTGGCCTTCCTTCCCGTACTTGCCCACACAAAGACCTTGCTCGCCCACCCAGCCATCTGTCGTTGTTCTTCACTCTAGATTAAAACACAATAGCATCTCAAGACACTCCTATATAGCTTCACCAAGCTACGCCGTCCCATCGGTTCGCATTAAATCAAACAACCTCACAGAGCCCCAGCAGCACATCAATCCACCATGGCCGACCTCCGCACAGTCCTCCAAAACACCATCAACAGCTTCGTTTCGAACAACACCCTCGGCATCGCCACCAAAAACGCCGCGCTCTTCTCCGCCGTCTGACGCCCGACTGCGTGCGCCTGCACCGGCCCGTCTCCTTCGTGCGGCGGTACCCGCAGTTCTTCCGGGCGCAGGGGGAGACCAACGCCGACTACGAAACACAAAAACAACTCGAGTTCCACACCATGCAGGCCGTGGCGCAGAACGTCACGCGCACCGTTATTGATGTGTCGGCGCGCCGGGCGACTATCTGGACTGAGCAGACTATCACTACTACCACGGCGAATGGTGGAAATGGGTTGCAGGGCGGAGTCGTTGAGGTCATCTGGGATTTTGATTTTACCGAGGATGGGACCCGGATTAAGAGGATTATGGAGTTTGTGGATAGTTATGAGAGCACGCTGATGTTGGAGCAGATGTTGAGCAATGCGGCAGCGGCCGGGCGGCGAGGGGGCTTGAGAGCGAGCTCACTGCGTGTTCCGTGTTGTTGGTTCGGTTTGATACATCTACGTCGCTTGAGCAGGTCAGGCTTGTTCATTCTCTGTAGTCGGCTTTACTCCGTGAATCTGAGAACGGCGGTGATACCATCACGCGTATATCGATCGAACTGTCCCGAAGTGTCCCGCAGCATCGCGAGACAGACAAAATGGAGGCTCATCCTCACCGGGCCCTTTTGAGAAGCACCAGGCTTTATTAGCTGGTGGAGATGCGCCGATGGAACCGCACCGGGCAGGGTTGAGTCGCTGGACAGTCAAGCTGGCACATCTGAAGCAGAGATAGGCCTAGGATGTCGCGGCAGCCCCGAGCGTGAGGAAGGGATTAACCCTTTGTCGTTGTAGTGATGATATTGAAGTCTAAGACAAAATTTGCGATGCCAAACTAATATGATGGAGTTTCTCAGATGAAGCCGAGGCTGGAGACACTAGCTATATGGAAGCCACTGTACTGTAGTCTAGACGTGACATTATGGTGTGCTTCCCATGTCAGCACAATACGTTTATGCCGCTTTCATCCAGAGGAGCATCATCAAACTAGGCGTTCATGTGTACGCCAGAAATCGACCACTTGCTCCACAGCATAATGATGAATATTTTCGATGCTGACGACTCGCTGATATTGCAGTCTGGCTATGGAATGAATATTGAAAGGGGTGCTTGTGTAGGCATTGGACTATCAGGAGAGCACGTTGTACTACACAGTTGCCACCCAGCAACACGGTACTTGGATGATTGAGTGTTGGTCTGTGATCCCGGGAACTCCAGTTAGGAACTCTGAAAACTCTGGGCTGGGTAGGTAGGTCTCTCGAGCTCTCTTGGCCCGAGGTCGACCTTCAACATCAGAAGATTCAGCCCCTTTTTGACGTAACGACAAGGACCTAACTCCTAGTCGCTGAAAGAAAAGACAGCACTCCAGGTAACGCGGCCCACACCGAAAGCTAAGTAGTAATCCATAGACTTAGATAAGAAGAAGATCTCGTTCCACTCAGAGGGTATCAAATCGAATCGACGCCGTGAAGTGAGGCATCAGATGGATGGTGGTGGTACCGCGTCGACAAGCTGAGGATACCAACCGAACTCATCGTCAATTAAATTGGTTAAACCCCATATAGACTACTTGCAATTCCATCGCGCGCTCGGTGTTGTCGTGAAACTGATTTCAAGGGGCCCCGGGACAAGTAGGTGTCAAGTAACATACCTAGACAAAAGAGTGATGACCAAACTCTTCGTCACAGAAACTAGCAACGAGAACACCAAGGTAGCCAATTCCATCCGGGGCGCTTCAAGTGCTCGGGGTGATTAAGTGTTCACTCTTGGGAGATATTGTCAATAATAAGTAAGTAGGTAGGTTGGAGATTCCGTTCTCGTCTCGAGTGGGTAAGCCACCGTGATGGGCAGCTTTACGGGATTGAAAGACACTGCGGCTGCAGTATTGCGTGAACACAGGTGTAGCCATACCATACAACATGTCTATTGAAGAGGGCTTGAGCGCGTATCGGTTTGTACAACGTCTCGCATGTTGCGGTAAGACCACACGAGGGGCGCACGAGGAGGCAGAGGACGCGCGTTGGCGTCGTGTTTGCAGCATGCAGTCACGAATGAGGCTGCACGTGGCGGCCACACCGCCTTCAAAGCGATATGGTCTCGTGTCTTGTCGCCTCGGATCATGGCGAGGGCGGTCAGACTCGAGCGTGGCATCAAAGCTCCCTCGTGGTCAGCAGGTCGTGGGGAAGACCGAAGGGAGCTTCTGGTTGCAGGAGGGTTGGTCCTTGTAAGTTACGGGCACAATATCAGATGCTCATCTCACCATCCAAGGTCTGGTCTGATCTTTATCTTTGGCCGGCTTATTAACTCTAGATTGGGTCTGCACCTGAAAAGTGCCGGCGGTTTCGTATATCGGTAGTCCCAAGTTAGTAGTGCCGGTAAATGCGTCTCTTAGTGCCCGAGGAGCGCATCAGGTTGGGACCAGACGCCAAAGCTTCTTATCTACGGTTTGACGGTCTGACCGTTTGGACGAAGGGACGCGAGTTTTGCTCTTTTCATCCATCCCGTCCAGTTGTCAACATCGTGCACTTAAGGTATGTATGGTGGGGGCAGGGTGGAGGAGTCATCAGGTTTGAGCCATCCTTCTGTTCTCTCACCAGCTTCATCCCCGCATAGGAATCCGCCGAGCCCGCATACGGGCAGTGGACCCCGATCGAAGAGATCCGAGAGCTGTTCGTGCCTTGCATGTTCGCATGGGAATCCCGTGTTCGCATGGTGTCCACGGTTGAGCTGCGCTGAGTAGTCTGCATCTCCACCAGCTCGACCAATGGTAGCCATCACGTGAAGAGAGAAAACAGTCGAGACTCCCGGCTGCCTGCTGGAGCCCAGACCCCGCGCCGGCTGGGAAGCGAATGCAACCTTACAAAACGGCTGGGTCAAGGGTCAAAAGAGATCCCAGGCCGCTTGGTGATTAGCTGATGAGATATATAAGTTTAAGGGCCATACTTGTATATATGTGACGAAGCTGTTTTCATCGAGATACTGTAGCCATGGTGAAGATAGCGAGCTCACTGTTGTGGTATGTTCAATCCTTGCTTCTTTTCAACCCTTCCACTGCGTCGCTCAAACGCAGGAAGGTCGAAAATAGAATGAAACACGTGCAACAGAATAGTGATCATTATGCTCACTGCTGGTGATGTGCATGATTCGCAAGATGTGCCATTGTGGACGGTTTGCGGGGAATTGTGCGAGTGGATGCTGGAGGGGCAGGGGAGTTGATTCTGTGTCGGCCGAGAAAGAGAAAAAGAGAGATAAGGAGTCGTATGTATGGAAGCATCTTCACTACGTTTTTATTCTATAGGCGAATGGGCACCGAGATAGTACTGCAGTATAGTCGAGGTGCGTATTATGATTATACACTCGTTCAATTTCCTCTCGTTTATGGTGCGTAGTAAGATCATAATGACCCAATATATGCCATACCTCGGAGAGTTTCGTTGGCATTGGTGGTGTTGCACAACCGGGAAAGGCGTTTTAATAGTTGACGCGTTAATGATCCCTCGTTGCCAGGTTCTTTGATGACAGGTGTTCCCGTCATCCGTGAGTTTGTGGCGCAGACGCCGTGAGAGAGCAGCCATCGTGTGTTGATGTTCTGCGACGAAGGATGTATTCTGAAACATTGAATCGCGGTGCGACGAAGAATGCCCCGATTCAGACATGGCGGCGAAAGACATCTGACGGATCAAGGGATGGATACGGCGGTATGGATGGCGTCGGGCTGACAGCCTCAACATTGAAGCTGTCACGAAATTCGATAGACCTTGCCACGAGATGTCTTGGAATGTGAGACAGGTAAAATATACAATTCCACGCCGCCTCTGGGCGGAGGATTCCGAGCCTGGCATTGATGAGGTCAGAAAGCGTGGTTTGCGCTTCAAACGAGATCCCGCTCATCTCATCTCATCTCATCGCGTCCGTCCATTGTCCACGAGGCTCGAGAGCGATAAACAAGTCCAAGACGATGATAGGGTGGCCCAAGGAATAAGTCTGGGCGGGTTGGTGGATGTTTGTTTGCCTTTCCGTCGTCCCGTGTCGGCCGCAGATCCTCGACCCGATTGAAGTGATAATTATTGAAAATCGATAAAGGGAGCTGGGCTATCGAGCTTTTGATGATCACCTGTACATCTCAATAGCTACCAAACCTTGCAGGGCAGTATTCCCGCCGCCCGTTCACGCCGTTCTTTGATCCAATGGATCCCGGACCAATGCCGTTGAAAACCTGAGAGGATGGTAAATAAACCTAACCCTCCCCGAGATGGGGCAACACTATCATCTATGCTGAACCTTTGTACGTACGGTACCTAAAGTGTTTAAAGTGTCCAACTGACCGGTAGCCCGAGTCAAAGCTGGCGCGGCGTATTTTGATCCGGCATTGATATGTCCTAGTATCGTTGTCCAACGGGCTGGATGATGTATTCCATGACAGCGACATGCTCGACATGCTTATGCTCTGACATGCCATGGGAATTCTTTGAAGTTTGCAGTGCATTATTACCCCTTTCTTTTGCCACTCTGTACTAGTCCTATCTTATCCCGCGCTTCGGTATTCCACTCACACGAGCCCCACCCTGATTCCCACCTAGAACCGCCTTTGGGCCGTCAACCAATCTTACCATCGGCCGTTCTGGGGAATGCAGTGGGCCTTCCGAAATTTCCCAGTAGCAGGGCCTCGAACGGTGCAGTAGCGTAGCCCGGGGACGCACTCCAGATCCAAGACCTGGAAGTACTCTCTACCGCAGTGACGGCACCGTTTCAGCGGTCTCCGTTACTGCTGATAGTGCCAGCCGCAGTGACCAGACAGCTGCCAGATCGGTATCTAACAGTTCTGGCATCCTCTGCGATCGGCGCTGCAGTAGCGTGTACCTCTCCCATCTCGCTCTGTGAATGCACGGGCCATCGTGCAGCTGGGCAACCCACCACTTATTTCCCGTTGACCCTTGTCCAGTAGATTTCAATGTTGCAGTGTCATTGCGCCCGTACATGTACTTTTACCTCCCCTCCCGCCCTCTTGTCTACCTGCACCGGTTGTTGCTCTCAATGGAGAGTGAATGAAGCGAGAGTGAATGCTTTGCCGTCGTCACATCGTCACACCTTTGTGAGGTAGAGCAAGAGCAAGCATCCATTCACTGCAACACTGTCTCTGGCTTCTTCCAAAAAATGATATCTACGCGCGGCCGGGCCCTGCAGTTACCTCACCACCAGTAAACACACCTCACATCAGACTGTATCTTACCTGTCACTGTACCGGTACCTGTATCCGTGCCTGAACCCTGAACCTGGGCTCCGGGCACACAGCACCAGCACCAAGCACACACTCCATGTTCCTTCTCGAACCGCGCCTTTTTCTACTGCGCTAGGTCCTCCTCCTGCTTCACCTCCCGTCGCCTGTCGTCCAGTCCTTTCTTTTCCCCCCTTCTCTTCCCCGAGCGCCATCGTCCCTCCGCCTCTCTTCCCTTCTCGCCCTCTTCTCTTCATACCACCGGAACGGAGTAGCTGCAGCCAGTCTGTTTTTCTTCGAAAGGTTGGTTGGCAGCAACAGCAGCGTGCTGTTTACTCCGCTCGAAGCCGCTAGTCAGACCGGGCCCATCTCCGGCTTCGTTAGATTAGACAGAGCTGAGGCGTAGAATCGGGGGGTCCTCCAGCTCTTCTTCCTTGGAGTCAATTGTTTCGGTTCTTCTGCAGCTTGCTTGCCTCCAGCTGCTGCTGTCTCCGCCGAGAACAACAACCCAACCGAACCTTTCCAAGAAGCCCTGGGAAGACACAGCACCATGGGACCTTCACTCAACGCCCACTCCTCGTTCACGCGCCCGCGTACGAGCGAGCGCGATATGAGACCGAGCACTCGCGACCAAGGTGACACGAATCTGATCATCCCGAGCAGAACGTCGTCTCTGCACTCGCGAATTACCCAGCCCATCCCCGGTACCCTCAACAGCAAGCCTCAGCAGCGGACGCCGAAGACGTTGACCCATGCCTACATGGTCTGTGGAGTGGGTAGAGAACCTTCACAATGGGTGAAAGCGCCCGCTCCAGTACAGGGCAAGATTGGCCACATGAAGGGCGCTGTTGGTCAGTTCTGGCTGCCCGAGATTCTAGGGAGTAGTCCCCGTCTCGAGCAGGATAACGATATTGCCCGGGCTCTACACGCCGCTATGAGGGTATGTCAAGGCTAGAAAACTTCATTAGACAATACTGACACCTCCCAAGGCTTGTTTCCCTCACGATGTCGAGATATGCACTGGCCGAAGCCAGCCTCACTGCGTGCACCACGCTTTCGTTCTCCAGCAGGATTCCTCGCATACGCTGTACGGAATATGTCTACGTGTATGGTCGCGCGCCGACGAGAAGAGAGCCGAGACGATACGGGATCTGAGGAAGCGAACCGAGCCAGATTACTACGACAACCCTGACGAGACCTACTGGATTCCGTACTGCCTGTCGTTCCTTTCGCGATACCCTCTCTACAACTTGCTTGGAGACTACCTGCGAGGAATGTGGATTCACTGGAACAAGGCCACGAACCTCTTCCACGCCGAGGAGGTCTCGCGGATCCTTAGCTTTCCTGCGCCACGATTGAACGACCTGGTTCGAATTGACATGAAAGACTACGCTCTTTGCTACCAATTTCCTTCTTCGCCCACCGGCTTCCAAAATTTCCCCATGTGGCCTCTCTGGACCTGCCTCTCAGTTCCCAACATTGTTGGCGTCGTTGAGGCAGCCGTATCTCCTACGCGACGTATCATATTCGTCAGTCACTACCCTGCCATGCTAACAATGGCTGCCGAGACCGTTCGATACTGCGTTCGAGTGTACGAGTGGAGCGGTCTGTATGTTCCTGTGGTTCACGCACGGCATGCGAAGGAACTGGCCGAAGAACCTGGTCCTTACATCCTCGGTATCACCGCCGAATGCAGATCTCTCTTCACAGCACCGACCGACGCGCTCGTCGTTGATCTCGACCGCAACTTCGTCCTCACATCGAGCCCACCAACCGCCTTAAGCCCAGGCCAGCGCAATAAGCTTGTCACTCGCCTCACACAGGCCCTGAACGGCGATGTGACTCCTTCCGGTGTCCCTCAGCATCTGCGATCTGCTTACGGTGGTGGTAAGCTTGTCCCCGCCGGGCAGATTATTGTCATGCGTGGCGAGGTGGAATCGATTCAGGACCCTGAGTGGTGGAACCAGGATGCCGTCATGTCCGTCATGGACCATGTTTGCGAGAAGATGGTATGTTGATTTGTTTGGTCCAACAGAAGCGTGGCTCTAACGTGCATGGCAGGGACGTAACAGCGGAATCAAAGCCGTATTCGGTGGCGCAGTTAAGAAGCCTTTGATGACAAAGGTGTCTATGAGGCACCTGAACGAGATCGTCCGAGAGCGCAACCAGTACTCGCGTGATGCTATGGAGGCATGGCAAGATTTCATCAACCTAAAGGGTCGCATGGACACAGAATTGGCGAAGGTTACGAAGCGAAACAACTACCTGGTCGAAGAACTTGAGAGCTGGAAACAACAGGTAACGACGCTTTGCAAAGCAATGGCGAATGCGCTCAGGCTAATGATTATTGCAGTTCCTCAAATTCCAGGCGTTTGCTGAGCAGCTTACCAAAGAAACCCAAGATCTCAAGGTCAAGATCGAGAATCACAAGCGCGAGAACCGAAGACTTGGTAGTCTCATTGATCAGCAGAAGGACGACAACGCACGCCTCTCTGTCCGCCTCACCGGCACTGAAAAGCAGCGTGATGATGCTTTGGAGGCTCTCGTGCTTCAGCAAGAGATTGCCGAAGAGCTCGAGCGGGAACGCAAGCGAAACAAGAAGGAGCTGTCTGCGCTGCAGCACACCAATATCACCCTGGTCCGACAGCGTGACGAGGCACGCCGTGTCGTTCTACACCTACGCAGTCTGGTAGGAGGCCAGTCGCACCACATGGAACACCTGGTCCAATCCATGTCAAACCGAGACGACATTGCCAGTGAGCTTGGCGAGAGCTACGAGGATGAGGATGAGGATGGTGAAGAGACACGATCAGATGGTGAGCATCGATCCTCAGAAACAGTCCATGCTTTGAATTCTGGCGCTAATCATCTGATTGAAGACCGCCTGGTCAGCCCGAGTCAAGCAGGCAACAAGCGTCATTCTTCCGCCAGCTTCAACGATGTGGCTGATCGTCAGCTCAAGGATAAGACAGACGCCATTGCCCACATTATCAGAAACATTGCGGAGCAATGCCAGGCTGCTGTGGAAGGCCTGCAGCTCGCTCAAGACGCTGACAGCGAGCCAAGGTCATCTCGTCGGGCAAGCAACTATTCAAATGCCCAGAGTGACGATGGCCGCCACTCGGCTGCGGCGTCGGAAATCGGCGACGACAGCCTGTTGCACCCCTCGGGACGTGCATCGAGCATACCTCCCACTCCTGACTTGATCCCGAACCGAAGCAGCACTGCCATGTCCATGGCCTCAACCATGACCACGCCTGAGCGGTCAAGCCTGCAATACAATGTCCACCACGACATACCGACCAAGATTGTCGAGGGCAATGAGGACGAATACGCCGACCGAAGTGACAATGAGGGCATGGCCCAGGAACATGGTCTCGTTGGCAAGCATGCTGCAAGCCTCATGAACCGCCCCTCGGGTGCCCGAATCAGTGCCCTCGGTGGTACCCGCTAAAATCTCTTCGTCATTAACCGATTGCATGTTCCAGGAGTCGTGGAAGCCTTTTTCGAGTTTCTTGCCCCAGAAGGGGGGATTTTGCGACGAAGGGGCCTATTTCGACACTTTCTCTACCTTCTGTGTATAAGGGTTGTTTATAACTTTTCCCGCTGATACCTCATCAGCACATGGCGTTACATATGGAGTGACCTCCTGGATTTCATGCTTGTCTACTTCTACGCAATGCTCACGGCCTCAACTGCGCTTTAATTTTGTTCCTATTTCAAAGAGATGAGCGCAGGCAACCGTGATGGTCGGGCACCGAGCAAGTAGCCTGGAGCGGACTGGGTAGAAGGGCCGCCGCCGCTGGATGGGGAGAACGTTTGCAGGAGAATTGTGGTTCCATGTCGTCTGTGTTATTGCTGAAGACTCGCTATTTCTGTAGCTAAGAACCGCTTGCAGCCTACTGTTCTTGTCAGTCTAGATACTTAAGTCTGTGCCCTTTGCTCGACAGAGTTGGGCAAAATAAGATGTCTTGACTCCACGCTGCCACATTACCATATAAGGATGGTATTTCTCGCTAACCTGACAGTGACCTGCTATGAGCTGAACCTCGAAGCTTATTGATCTGGGATTTTACTTGCGCCGTTACCCTTTCCGACGACGGCAGTGCCCCTGACGCCAGCTTGGCGGAATGGGAGTAAGAATACTCGGCAAATACTTATGTTTCTTGCGCGTGGGACACGATAGGAGGGGGACGTGAATGTCGCGACGTCCCCCTCGAACGGCTTCAGTACGTGCACGGTATTTTCAGACCGATTAGGCAGGGGGGATTTGGTACCTAGGTTGGCTTTGGTTGCGAGCGTCCTGTGAGGCAACTATTGTGTGGTTGGGTGGTGGGCATTAGGTGCATAGAGCAGGATGGGGGTAGTTGATATGGCTGAATGCGTCTTGGTACCACCATATGGGCACTCTGATCTGGTTTGTACACTGAACAGTGCCAGGGGAATGAGTGAGTGATTGAGTTGCTTGTAGGTTTATGTTGTGGTATTGAGTATGTTGCGCCCCTTGAGAAAGGGGTACCCCTACTTGGCAGGTCGACTGGCCTTTAGCTCCATGTCGGAGACCGAAAAATAGTGAACATAGCTTTGTCTCTTACGCGTTTAGACCGACTCTTCGGGGGTATTAGATAGCCTCACTCGCAAGGAAACACTTTTGTACCCTTGAAATTGTCTTATTGATGTCTCTATATACGGCTTTCACATCTATCGTCTTCTTCCTTGCAGAAGCCCCACCACCATCAGCAACAATGTGGATATGACCGAAGATAGTCCTGAGAGCTCTGAAGCTGGTCACTACTACGGCGACACACCGAAACAGCTGGTCTTGCTCTGGTCAAAATATGAAGAAGCCTTGTCAAGGTCTACGTAGAAATACACTTATGGTGGTCACAAAGACCAGCTTCCATGTCGCTCAGTCTGCGTGCCTTATTCACCCACACCAGCCACATTCACATATGGCTGAGTATACGCAGTATCCTCAAACCTTTGTTCGCCAGTCAGGTGAGACCTGATCTTTCGCGATACACCACATGCAATGTGCCCTTGGCTCACTCATCAATCACCATGGGTATCGAATCACTACCAGTCGAAATATTGCACCAGATATTGGTGGCCGTGAAACGCAGCAGCGCGAGCAGCGGTGCTTTCGTCCCGTGTCTCTTGGTTAACAAGAGCTGGCAGCAGATCGGCGCGCCTGTCCTCCACAGAATCATCGCCCTGGATCGGCGCACTCTAGACCTATTTATTAACTCCTTCCGGGTGGAGCAATACGGCTTGCAGGTGCGGTCGCTGACCCTGAGGTGCGCTCCAGCAGGCACCAGTGGCCGCATCACAGACGACTGCTCTAAGCTAAACAAAATTGTTGCCGGTCTGGCCAACCTGTCTTCATTCTCCTTATATAACCGCGTACACTTTGGGACCGGGTTTCACCGCCGACCGCTGGTCTCTTTGATCGAATCGATTCCCGTCAGCTGCACAAGCCTAGAGATCGACACGTTCTGTCAAGACTCCTGTTACGGTGACAAGAAGACTCATATATGTGCTGCCCTTCGAGCTGTCCTCCCTCGGATGCGCCATGTGAGAATCCGTATGGCTGCTATGTGCGCTGCAATGTTTGGGACTGAGATCTTACGAGAGACTCATCCTTCTTCGCACGGAAGAGTCTCGTCTAACAGCCCACACCTCATCCCCACCAAGCTGCCTAACATGAACACCCTCGTGCTTAATTGCACGGCTCCCGACCGCGGGAACATGATGTGTTGCAATGACTCCGTAGGAGACTGGCTGCACCACGGTGCCCCGGAGCCTGGCTAGCTATCACCACAGCCTTGGAGAAAGTCACCGAGGCAGAAGGCGCCGTGCCTCATGATGCAACATTCGTTGTCGGTATGTCACATTCACCCTAGATCCCTATCTTCTTGACTATGATGCGAGCGCTGTTACTTTGGTGTGAAAAGTTCCCGTTCTTAGGTCTTCCAAGTTCCGAGCCAGTGCCCAAACTATCTGCAGAGTACTGCAGCTAACTGTAGATAGTGGGAAGTACAGAGCACAAACGGCCTCGAGAGGCGACGGACGCGCCACAGGCTTATTGGCCAGCCATCATTCGAGCCAATATAACCAGCAAAGAGTCGTGGGCTATCCCACACGGGGGCATGCGTCCCGGGGCCGTTCCCAGACCCTGCTTCGTGCGGTTACCGGACGGAAGAGATCTGATGGCAAAGCAGTATACTATTGGGACATTAATTGAAGGCGAAACTTGGTGTGATGTTGTGGGTGGCGCAAGACTATCCAGCCAACTCATTAAGGATGCGAGAAGAATGGAATGGTCGATGGTGGCACGTGATGCTCTGCCCATCACTTTGTTCCAGACCGCAGAGCAATGGCGGCTCAGAAACCCGGAGTGGCACAACTCCATTTGGCACAACATCCTTTGGCACAACGAACAGTACGCGGGTCAGAAGTTGCTCGAAGCCGAGAAGAGGGTCGGGTCGAGATATTTATCGATCGAGCCACTCTTGGAGAAAACACCCAACGGGTTTTGGCGAGCAGTCGGAGACGCGATTTACTTGCAAAGAGGTACACTATTGGTGTGAAACGGTCAAGACACGTTCTTTCCCGTCGTCGATAGGATCTGAATTAAAGTTTTAACATAACGAGGGCGTCGATGCCAAAAACCCGAGCTGTCCTGTCTGAGGGCCTGGAAGGACTTGCGAATGCGCCGCATCAAAATACGCCGAGGCTGACGGGAATGGGAACAGCGAACGAGAATGAGCCGAGATGTCGAGATAGCCTTCGGCGCAATTGGTCGGTCCCCATTCCGCAACCGGCTCCTAGGTGGTCCTAGCAAACACCTGCTATGAGGAAGTAGCTAACAAGCCCAGGCGGCGCGGTATTGCTTGTTATGATCGGCTTCATCACCGCACACACGCGGATCACATCTCGAGACTCTCTCCACCAACCGTCGGCGGAAGCCCAGCAGCAGCTGCCCAACCACCGACCTGGGCGAGAAGAACACGCAGGCCTCCTCTACCCGGACCCCCGATGCAGAGCTTGACGGGAGTCCAGCCCACGACGATGGCGGAGACGCGGATGCCGCCACCGTATATCAATCTCTCCAATACTTTCACAAACGAACTTGCGATTCACATAAGTTTAACTTCCGTAGCTTTGTACTTTTGGGTATTCCGTTGGGGGCACGGAGTTCGCCTTGCAAGTTTAGGCTCAGCCATATAGCGGGGTTTGCATTAGTGAAAAGGTTGGCTAGCTGAGAGTATTCATCGGACACACATATGAAGTCGACAGTTCTCACATTCGCAGGGTGGTGGTCCCCTTCTCCAAGCTAGCTCTCACAGAAATATCGTGCAAGCTCAATAGACCACCTACTCCCCAACAACTTTAACAATCATGGCTACAGCAGAGATGTTGCCACCTACTTGGTCATCTACGGATGACGATAGCCTCCGACTCATCCTTGATCTTCTGGCAGCAGATGTCAGCGCTATCACGTCTTCATCGAAGGGAAAACAACCAAAAGGGCAACTGTCCGATGAGGAGTTGGCTTTGCAGCTGTATGCGGAAGAGGTGGAGGGTGCCGCGGTATTTGCTTCGGATCGAAGAATGACCAGGAGCATTCAGAGTGCAGTTCAGACGGACGCCGATGCTCTCACTCAGTCCGAGCGCGAAGAACGCATGGCCCAGAATGACCACGACATCTCGGCCTCCCTTTCGAGAGGTATGCCCGAAACCGGCGTCGAACACGCTGCTGTTGAGAACCCCTCAGAGGCCGACATGGAAATATGGGAGAAGCTTTCGGCTCTATACATTACGGGTATCGATGACTGTACGGATGAGGAACCTGATACCGAAGAAGTTGATGCAGGACTACCTGGACAACCGGAATGCTCGTCCTGGGCGGCTACTCGCCAGTCGAAGAAGGTTGCCCAAAGGCGGCCTTGTCAAGCTTGCAGAGACCCTAAACACTTCACGGATCTTGCACGAGCTCCATGCAACCATGAGTACTGCCGTGCATGCCTGGCACATCTGTTTCAGGACTCCATGTTGGACGAGACGTTGTTCCCACCACGATGTTGCAAACAGCCGATTTACACTGGAGAGGAACAGACTATTTCTCACGGAGCATTTGGTACGCGAATTCAAGGCCAAGGAAATCGAGTTTTCAACACCCAACAGAACATATTGCCATCGCCCAACGTGTTCCGCATTCATACACCCATCGAAGGTCGAGGGGGGCGTCGCGCACTGTAGCCATTGTCACGATGCCACATGCTCCGTCTGCAAAGGACCTGCCCATGCAGGTGACTGTCCGCAGGATGGTGCTCTCCAAGCAGTTCTGGATGTGGCAAGAGAGGAGAGATGGCAACGGTGCTACAAATGTTTCACCATGATCGAGTTGAACATGGGCTGCTTCCATATGACGTAAGTTATCATATACAGACATAGGAACAGCACTGACCGCGACCTAAATGCAAATGCGGTGGCCAATTCTGTTACCTATGCGGTACCGAATGGAAGAACTGCGAATGCGCACATTGGGAGGAACACCGGCTGTTTGACCGAGCGGGAGAGATCTACAACCGAGACAACGACCCGGCGGCAGGTCTCTGGGGACCCCATGAAACCCTTGGACCTCAACCTGAGGTCAGGCAGGCAGGGATCGACCGAATTATGGAAAACCTGAGGGTCAATCACGAATGTGGCCATGAACGTTGGAAGAGTCGGCCGGGTCCCCGAGAGTGTGAAGAGTGCGGGAATGAGATGCCCATCTTCATCTATGAGTGTCGCCAATGCAACATCATGGCTTGTCGGAGGTGTAGGCTCAATCGACTACGATGAGCATAGAGTCGAATATGATCTGTCAAGTTCGTGCTCTTCTTTCGTCTCTTGGTTTGAGATAGTGCGCAACTTTGTCTAGCAGAATATCTACTCGATAATAGGTAGGTAGTTATTATGACGATGGTATTACATGGGTCACTACCAACGAAGCAGACGCTGTATGACTATATGACAACTTAGTGATCAGTACGAGTAGCGTTGAAGGGCTCGACGAATACACGGAACATCATTACATGGTCGGTAATCGAGTTCACCGTGAATCCCTTCATTTTTGTCACCATCGCTAAAGCTTCAGAGCATGGGAAAGGAGCATCAAGCAGACAAGCTAGGCATCGACGGCGCCGAGGTAAGTTCTGGGTACTTAGACCCAGCGCAAGACATTCACCACGGGACGAGAGACATCATCAAAGTAGCGCACGCTAAATGCAGCGATTGCGCCGTGGTCTTGTCGGAACACTCGACGGGCGGCGCCATCGCGCATATACTCATAGCCCGCCTAGCTGTGGAGAAAGATCTCAAAGATCTCGAACTGACATGAAGCTCGTCACCACGGCGAGCCCCAGGGTCGGAAACCAACGGCTTATCGGGGGGCTGATCCAGAGGATCCCGCACATCATCCGCGTCACCAGCGATACCGATATCGTCCCCGCGTCGCCCCCGGGTAAGGGGTGGGTTCACACGCCTGTCGAGGTCTCCACGAAGCGTAACGAAGACGTCAAGACGAAACTCGAGGCCGGCCTCTGCTCGGACTTCAGGGGGAACCCCCCACCCCCAAATCAGAGAGTGAAGGTCAAATGGTTGCTTAGTTGGGCGAGCCACCCGGAGTTAAAGTCTGACTGGGTTGGAGGAACGAGCTGTCGGACATCAGCTCATACCCCCCTTGGTCCGCTAATGTATTTACCAGGTGCATGGGAGGACATAATACCCTCGGAGCTCGTCTGCGAAGACGAAGCTCACAGGGCTCTGAAAATTGGCCTCCAAGTCGTCTTGCTATGTTCGTTGTCGCTATCTGCTATGATCTGGAATATTCTCCACGGGCGATTTTGAGGAGGCATGCCGGATACAGGATCACATGAAGGAGAAGACCCGAACATGCGTTCCATGATTACCAATGCAAGTCATGATTGGTTTCAGCTAGTATACACTATGAGCTGCAAGACATCAGTCTTTTGGACCACTAAGAATAGTTTTGCTGTAGGTCCGTAGAAGGAAGTGTAGTTGAGGCTTGAGTCTTTTGATCAGAGTTTCCTCCCAGAGGGACGCCCTCTCTCCAAAGATCACAACCTCAGTAAATATCGATATTCTATGAACAGGTGTACGTGATATGCAGAGTATATCGGCAGACTCGTGCTGAGGCACTGTCTCCACGTCAACGCGTGGGGGGGGGGGGGGGGGGGGGGGGGGGGGGGGGGGGGGAGGCGACGCACAACCAGCAACCGAGGACAATGAAATGTTATAAAGTGCAGTATACCAGAACGCTCTAATTTTCACTTCTGGCCGAACCCATCTAGACCTCACCTGAACACCAATTCCGGAATCATGGCATCAGATTCCACCTCCGAAACCCCCCAGGCACAGCGGCCTGCTTGCCACAAGTGCAAGAAGACGGACAACGAACTGACGCCCTGCGAGCGCTGCGACATCGCATACTGCTCGCGCAGCTGCCAGATCCGCGACTGGAAGGTCCACAAGGAGCGCTGCGCCCGCACTAAGCACAACGACACTACTCCCGGTGCCGGTTCCTCAGCCAAAGGCAATCCGGGTCCCCGTCCAGGGCCTCGAGAAAGCCGTCATCGCCGGCCCCTTTTCACACCTAGACCAGGGCACCTATCTGTACGACCGGCCCGAGCAGGACGTGTACAAGCTGCTCATCGACTGCTACCGCCTGCGCATGGACGACAACCTCAAGTTCGACCGTGTCCTGGAGCCCGACTCTATCTACCAGCAGCACGTCAGCTCCGGGCTTCCCGGCTTCCGACGATTCGTCCGGATGGCCCAGGCGATTCTGCCGCCTTGGTGGAGCGAGGAGAAGCAGAAGGAGTGCGAGGCATCGGCGACAGGATGGAGTGACTTGGATGTGAAGATCCAGAAGGCGGACATCATTCGATGTTATGGGGACGATCACTTTCCCATGCAGTTGCGGTTCTTGGCCGAGGCGGTCTACGGATCTGGACCAGGCGGGCAGGATGGGACGTTCATGAGAGAGCACATGATGGAGCGGGAAAGAGGCGAATTCGACGGAACGGTGGTGTATGTCGATACGAGCGCGCGCAGACCTGAGGAGTAAGTTCTACCCCCCGACTCCCCCTGAGAACTTGCCTCCTATCCATCAAACATTCTAATCATATACACAGTCAGATTACTTCCCGGCGAAAGGACATCTTCGTCTCTTGGCGGCCCGAGGATTTACGTTGTCAGAGAAAGGGGCGATGAGTGAACGACCTAGACTCTAGATTTAGTAAACGCCGAAAGCAGCCAATTCTCCAGCCAATGCACCAAAGAAATGTGTCGCCGAGATGTGTCACTACATTGGAGGCTAGGAGTCCGTTTCTTTATCTATGGGCCTAGGTAGGTCCATCTCGTTTTATGAACGGCTAACATTAATTGCGATGGTATTCCAGCTGCAGCAGGTTATACCCAGTTCCTAAAACACCAAATCACACGTACGAGTGCGCCTGGCTGATCTCAGAACGCACAACGATACGATCAACGTCTTGAATACCTTCCGAAGACCCCCCAGAAACGATGTTAGTTAGATTGATAGAATCATCTGGTTGATGTTGGCCGAGACCCCTGCGCATAGAGTCACGCCACCGGTCTGAGCCATGACTGACGCCTCGGGAATGTGATTGGCCCTTCGAAGCCGAGGAACCTTCCTTGGACCTCTTCAGAAAAGACCCCCCGCGCGAAGTAATCAAAAGGCCATCCCCATCGCGGGCCTTCACATACAACGGTCTAGGACTGGCAGACACCGCCACAATGGAAGCGATGCCTCTATGGACGACCAAGTGGCCGTCTCAGATCCATTGACGAGGCAGTCGACACTTAAATTGCAGCTATTCGACAACAACAGCCTCGAGGGCCGTTCTCGATCGTGGGCTACAGTCACGGGACCACGCTAGCCTCTGAAATGATCAAGAAGTTCGCAGCGGGTAACGGGCCTGGTGCGAAAGGGGACGACATACCCCCAGTGACTATGGGCTGACCACGATCATAAGTTGGGGAATTTTTACCGACTAAACTTATAATGGTCCTCTCATTTTCGATTTTATACTTCCCTCGTTACTCGTAGGCTAAATTGCTATTACTATGGCAGGGCCATGCTAGGTTCATGCTAAAACCTGAAAGAATCACCATCGGATGTGCCACCGCTGTATCCTGGGAAAGACAACGAACTGAAGTCGACATGATCCGTCGTAAACTTTCTGCCGGGATGAAACATACCGCTTTTCTTGTGCTCTACTTCGTGAGTTACGAAATGCCGTTACTCTCACGTGCACATGTATATCCACTATGTACTTGTACGCCTCTGTTGATACGGATGCATTTGTTGCCACTTAAAATCGCAATACTCTCTTTTAATTCGTCATACCACCTCTACTTGCCTCTTCCACCCAGAGATCTGACTTTCTTCTCAATCTCTTGTAACAGCAGTACCATGTGTTCGAGCTCCCCACCGGGCGACGTATCCATCTTCGGGTTGACTAAACCAACTACGTCACTAGTAGCAGGTGGTAGCTTAACAGCCTTCATCTCTTTCTCCAAGTGGACTGTCAGGCTTTTGAGAAGATTCGGGTTATGAATGTTGGCGAGGTATCCAAACAAGAGACAGGACAGATACGTCGTCATTACTATGACGATGTCCGGCCGCTTATCACTGGATGGCCGGAAAAGGCGCGCGGTCTTCTTCGCTCGGATGACTCTGTCTTCTATGTCTTTCGGTACGATCGGGTATGGGCTTCTCATCAATGATGTACCCACGAAATCTTCGCAGGGCACATAGTGGAACGCGGGGCCATTGATGGGGCCGTACGCCAAATACTCCTCCTTATAGGAAGCACCCGTGAGACCTGCTGACTTCAGTGATGGAGTATGGTATATCGACACGTGAGGAGCCAACAACGTGGTATCGAGTATAGCAATGTGCGCGCTGTGGTCGGAGCCAGCAAAGTTCATTGCTACTGTGATGCTTTGTGTCCAGGAGCTGAAAGGTGTGCTGACAGGTGTTCCATACAAATGATGGGTAACAAATTCCCCAAGGGCAAGGCGACGAACATGGTACATGGATGTTGGTTGTGTACCATCGAGGGAGTAATGGGGCACAATACCGTCTTTGCTGTTCAAGCGCGGGTCGCCACCGCTCGAGCGCGCGCTGAAGCCGCGGAACAGGAACCTCGGAATGTTGTCACGAGATGCTGAGTTTCACATTAGCAACATTTCTGTAATCTGGAGTTAGAGGCCTGTACCTTCTAGATTCCTCCATTGCTCCCGAGATAACCCGTTCCTGGCGAGCAATATCCTCGAGGGTTCCGTGGGAGGTTGGGAGGATTTCAGTTCTCCCTTGACCATCTTACCAGAGGACATTGCAGAGATGATAAGAAACAGTAAGTAGCCTAGTATGAAGCCGAGCAAGATCGAATTCACAATGAAGGCAAAGGCGTTCATGGTGTTGATGAGTTGGGTGGTTGGATGCTGAACATTTGTTGGTTCAATCGAAGAGGGTCTCGTTAAGTTATAGCCAGCTCCTATACTCACACCTGAGCCACTCGAGGCTTCTGAAACAACCCCTTGTATGGATATTAAAGGCATTGTCATCCCAGGGGCCGCTAGAGTACCTGATTGTTCAAAGCACATGCCTTGTAAACCTGAAACTCTCCCAAAGCTCACGGTCGAGACGATACTAGAAGACACGCAACAGATAGGGGTAACACAAAGCAGCACGCTTACGTACCTGAGCGAGTACGCCATTGGTCAGGAACTTACCACCATTATCGAGGCTCTTGTATCAAGGGACGTTTATGTTAAGCATGATTCGCAGACTCATTCAAGACGGGCAAAGTATTTCAAGACAACCCGCCATATGTTAGCACCGGGTGGTGCCTCTACCACAATATCTCTCAAGGCACGCCGTAAGTGCTCATAAGTCTGTACAGTCATCACATAGCGGTAATCCAGCTCATCCGTGATGATTACGTACTTTGCTTCATGTGATCCGATCGCATCACATCAAAACTCTACATCATTACGAGATCCGTCTCTATGTCGTGGTGCTTTACCGCCTTTCCCTAAGAACTTATCACTTCTTCCAAAACTCGAAGCAGAGCGACCATTCTGCCCAGGTAGGAGTAAGCGGAACAACCCCAGCTTTCGGCCAGTGGCAGGTATCCGTAGAGTAGCATCTCGGTAGACAGTTCCAAGTTGGCACAATTCAATCCTCAACCGATTTTTGTGTCCCCGCCCAGCTGATAACATGCTCTCAGAGCGCTTTTCTGTCTGCCTTGTGAGATAGCACCGCCGGGTCATTCAAATCTTATGTGACAGACATTCCGAGCCGGCTGACGTTAAGCTCGGTATATATTGCAGAGGGGAATAGAGCGATGTATGAAGCGTTCAGGGCGCGAAGAGGCTGAGCTGAGAGAGTCGGGGCTGCTCGGTTGGCTGATTGCGGCGCGAACAGGCGCTATCTAAGGCTCTAAGCTAGAGCTGACACTATCGTGGGATCAGCGGTGGCGGAGTTGAAACTACTCCTTCACGGGACCAATCTGACAGCTTGGCGGAACTTTACTAGCACGAGATGCGCATGATGGCAAGGCATTTTTGAGCGACAAATCAGATATTCGAGGACGTGATGCAGTCGGGGGCCGGTCCATCACCAGATTCACCACGAGGCGACATCAAGTCCCAAAGCGGAAATCTTTTAGAAGGCTTCTGCTATTAGCGGATGTTAGATCGGTCAATTCGCTACCATTCCGCATCGAGCGCGCGCCAGGTTCTCGGGTTCTTCTTTGACGAAAGACACGAGTCCTACGAGTGCCACCAACGCATCCGACTTTGCCGGGCGTTGTCAATGATTCATGGGCCAGCCGGAAGAGACAAACTTGAGAGTCCCGTGGGCTGGATGAAAAGGCCTCAGATGAGCATGTTCCGGTTCTTCGCGAGGGCGGTGCCCAAAGCAGCGGGGCGAAACTCATAGCTGATCTTGTTCGCCGCAGTAATCGGGCGACGCAGATCCAGAGAGTCGCGATATTTCCCGAGCATGTATTGAGGCTGTGTGGTGGTCACGGTCACCCCTCTGCAGCGGAAAGCCTGCAGAGTTCTGGAAATGGTCGCGGGTATATGGTCTGTTCTCCCGACGTGTGTCACGTAGCATCCTGCATCCTTATGGCAAGCCAATGAATTCCTCATCCCAAGTAATAGAGATAATATCCCTGTTGAATCGGTGATTGGACGGATACTGCAGTCACCTAGGTGAAGGTGTGCCGTGTCTGTCGTGTCTATCGTGTCTACGGTCTACCGCGCACTCGAGATGCATCTCATATCCCCAGATCGTGAACGACGGCCTCTGAGATGCAGAGTCGACCCCCCTTCGCCGCGCCTGGCCGCTGACAGGCACGGGAAAGCGGCACGTCTGGTTGGCATGGCGCCGCTCGAAACGGTGGATCAGATCGCCACCCAGCCTTCAAGGGTGAATCCATGACAGCGACATTCTCAGCGCTGATCCCGGCGCCGAACTGCTGACTGCTGACTGCTGCTGCGAGGCGCACAGGAGGAACTATCTGGTCAGATGATCTTGGTAGCAATGCCCCAATTGGGTTTTTCGTTCCATTAGGCGGGAGGTATAAAGAGAGGATCAATCATCTCGCCAATTGTTGTTGTTATCATTCCAGCTTTTGGCTTGGGCAGTTTTGGATTCGACAAGAGAGCCTGAAAACTGCCTCCCGATCCGCCTTGAAACCCTTTATATCCATATCGTATCTCTTACCCCAAACCCCTATCAGTTTTGGTTGCAGCTCGAGTACCCTGTACCTACCATTTCCCCTCATTGCCGTCCCATCTCCCCGCACGGACGAACAGACAGCCGGGTCCCCCCTGCTCCCTAGCACTGCTACATTAGCTTCCCACAGCTGTCTCAACTGTCTCAGCGTGACCTCCATTTGAGGTGCTGCTGCTACAAACAATACAAATACCCAAAATCCCACATTGGTGTCCCCAGTCATCATACGTCAACCACACCTTTACACATATACATCTCCCGCGAAAGAGTCATAATAAGACATTGACACGACACCGCAACCGGATATAATCGCGAGCTTCTCTCCTACTGCTCGCATACCGAGTACCTTCTTAGTATACTACCCTACCGACCCACCGACCCACCGACCCACCTCGCCCTCAATGGACAGCCAGACCGACGACAGCACCATGTCCACGACCGGCAAGCAGAAGGCCGTCGCAACCGTGAACGGCGGCTCCGCACACAAACCCGACGCCGCGGGCTTCCGGGCGCAGGCCGGCATGACCGTCGAGCCCCCCAAGAAGGAGGATCTGCAGCAGAGCTACGCGTCCATCGTCGGCACCGACGCCGATGCCAAGGGCTGGTATGGCAGCATGATCAACGCCTTTGGCTCCTGCATCGGCTCCATCGGCGCCATCCCCTGCTGCATACTCTGCCCCAACCCCTATAAGAACGTCCACCAGGGCAACGTCGGCCTCGTCACCAAGTTTGGCAAGTTCTACAAGGCCGTCGACCCGGGTCTGGTCAAGATCAACCCCCTCAGCGAGCGTCTGATCCAGATTGATGTCAAGATTCAGATCGTTGGTAAGGCTCCAAACTTCAGTTGTCAGCCTAGCCTATAGTTGCGAACAGTTGCTAATATGTGCGAATGACAGAGGTCCCCCGACAGGTCTGCATGACCAAGGACAATGTCACCGTGGACCTGACCTCCGTCATCTACTACCACATCACATCGCCGCACAAGGCGGCCTTCGGCATCGCGAACGTCCGCCAGGCCCTGATCGAGCGCACGCAGACGACACTGCGCCACGTGGTGGGCGCGCGCGTGCTGCAGGACGTGATCGAGCGACGCGAGGAGATCGCGCAGAGCATCGGCGAGATCATCGAGGACGTAGCGGGCGGCTGGGGTGTGCAGGTCGAGAGCATGCTGATCAAGGACATCGTCTTCAGCCAGGAGCTCCAGGGCTCGCTCTCGATGGCGGCGCAGAGCAAGCGCATCGGTGAGAGCAAGATCATCGCCGCCAAGGCCGAGGTCGAGAGCGCCAAGCTCATGCGCCAGGCCGCCGACATCCTGTCGTCAGCCCCGGCGATGCAGATCCGCTACCTCGAGGCCATGCAGGCCATGGCAAAGACAGCCAACTCCAAGGTCATCTTCCTCCCTGCCACGAACCAGACCATGCCCGGCTCGGCCGCCTTCAACGCCTCCATGGCTGAGGCTGACAAGGGCAACGGCAACGGCAGCGACTTTGGCAATAGTGACGGGGGCTTCCAGCAGGCCATGAACGCACACATCGTCGAAAACATCTAGACATGTTCAATCGAGTCGACAACAGCCGTCGGTCACGATTGATGGACAGACCTGGCCGTGGTGATTGCACAACGAAGGAGATGATGGCACCGCAGTTCTGATGACGAAAACGAAGAAGCAAAGAAAGAAAACAACAAATGATATACCCAATACCCCAATGACGATGACGGAACACGGCGACCCTGACTATCCAGGGAACCCCGAACCCTCCTCCGCGAATATAAACCCCGTGAATGGGCTACCCCATCTACCCCAATGCTGGTGGTCCCAACTCGGGAAGCGGCGAAGGTTCCTTCTTCTAGGCCGTCGTGACGCTTGTAATGGATGATACACGGAACTCGGACGATACACACCTTGATGACCTCTTAGCTCACTTATCGCTATCACCTTTCGGACAACGCAACTCTGGATTCTATCTACCTCGTGACTGATCCAGGAATGGCGGGACGGACTACTAGGCATTGGGATGGCGTGGCGTGGCTGGTGTGAAATAGGTTTCGGCTTTTATCGTTTTGGGTTGGTTAATTGGACTTACGAAATACCCCCCCCCCCCCCCCCCCCCCCCCCTTCATGGATACCCAATATCGTTCGCTTGAGAAGAGAAATGTCGTGTGCAAGGTCGTGGACACGGCCATGGCTTCTACTGTTTACATGATTCCGTTCATAGTGTGTTAGTCAGTAATGTTTGACTTCAGCATCACAACTTTACCCGCGTTAGACATGTGCTTCATGGATATGACAGTTATGGCATTCTCCTTTTGCCTTTCAAATCACCACGTTTAATCGCCTTCCCCTACCACCACGCCTGAATCACCGAGGCCTCACGCGTTGAAACACTGCTCAAACTTTCTGGGAGTCACCAACTAGTGAGATGTTCAAACTATCAGACATGAAGAACTTCAAACGTCCACGCACCATCATCTTTGCCTACGGGTATCAAACAAGACCTCTGCATGTCCACAGCCCCCTTCATGGAACTTATCCCCTAGTCAAAACCCTCAAACTCATCATTCCCTCCACCTCCCCCATCCGCTTTCGCCCCATACTTCTCCGCGTTCTTCCTTCTCACCTCGGCCAGCATGCGCTCAAGGTCCATCTCCTCGACCTTCTCCTCCTCCGTCAGCTTTCTGTGCCGCTCCGCCTCGCGCTTGCGCTGCTTCTTATCGCGGCGCGCCGAGCGCGTGTCCTCGTGCTCGTGCTTGGCGCTCCAGGCCTCGGCGTTGCGCTTGCGCTTCGCCCTGTGCGCCTCGACCTGCTCGCTCTGCGCGGCCGCCTTGTTGGGGTCAGGGTTGCGCGCCTCGGCCAGCGCGGCCTGGCGCTGCTTCTCGCGCGCCCGGTCCTTGTACGCGTACGCGTCCCAGTCCATCAGGGCGCCGTTGCCGAGGAGCCGGTCGCCGTCGAAGGTGCGCAGCTCGGGCATCTTGGGGAGCCGCAGGAGGCCCCAGGCGTTGCCTAGAGATGTCCAGTCTAGGTCGGACATCCGGAAGATGCTATGGTGGGTTAGTTGACATACAGGAGAAGGAGAAAGAGAAGGAGAAGGAGAAGGAGAAGTGAAAAGCAGGTGAAGACTTACGAGCTTGCCGTGTGTTTGCTGTAGCTTCGCACCCAGCTAACGAAGGCCCTCTGGCCCTTGTCGAATAAGGCTCGATCCTATTACTTGAGAGTAAGCGTTGTGAAAATCGGAATGTTTTGAAGCCTTTCACGGGACGTACGCTCTTCACGATGCTTCTTATTCTCCGCGTGACCTCGTCCGCTTCGGAATCTCCTACCGAGATCTCCGGATGAGTCAACGGCGTTATGGGTGTCTTTCTAACATCAAGGAAAGCTGCCAGATGTTAGTAAATGTTGCATTGTCAGATTTTAGATGGAGGGGGCGTTCTCCCGCATGAGGTAGAGGAGAACTGAGACAGCTTGGACCCCTTGCTCGCTGAACAGGCCAGAAAATGGGGGAGACTCGGATGCTACTCACGTATGTAGTCCTCCTCGCTTGGCTGGAGAAAAATGACGCTGAGCCCCTTCCGGCCCGCGCGTCCCGCACGTCCACATCTGTGTAGAAACGACTTGGGGTCCGACGGTGCGTCTATTTGCACCACCAAATCGACCTGGGGGAAGTCTACATCCGTTGTTAGTCAAAGACTGAAGCGTACAAGGTGACAGTAGAACATGTAACTGGCACATTGCTCCTCCATGATCTTGTATAGGAGTCTCAGGTGGGAAGCTGGGAAATGAAGGGTAACAAGGAGTTATGAGTTATGAGTTAGGGCTTACCGAGTCCTCTGGACGCCACGTCGGTCGTAAGAAGAATAGAAGGCTCCGTAGAGTTCATGAAGCGGGCGAAATTCTTCTCTCTGACTTTCCCGTCATGCTTCCCATGCAAAGGCACCATCTGGATCCCGTCGGGCAGTAGCGGAAGAAGGATGTTTGCAAAATAGTCGACGGCTGCACAGCAACTGAGAAAGACGATACTCCGCATTGGTCTCGGATCCAACTTGTCTAACAGCTGGACTAGGCTTGGTATCTTGTGATGAGCTGGCGTCATCAGATAGCTCATCTGAAGGCTGGCGGGTGTCCTCCTCTCTTCGACGATGCCCCCTGTCTTTAAGCTTTTGACCTTCACTTGGATTTTGACTGGGTTCCTCTACATGATCAGGTCAGTAAGTGTTTCACTGGGATCACATCGTGGAACCCCAAACACCGTATAAGGGCATTAAGTAGGGCTTGAATACATACCAGACCAACTCGTATGATCTCGCTCACAGCCTCGCTCACACTCGCACTGAATAGGCCCGTCCTTCTCTGCTTCGGCAGTCTAGACAGTATGCCCTGCAGCTCGCCCTTGAAACCCAAGTCCAGCAGCCTGTCAGCCTCGTCAAGAACGAGAACCTCGAAGCTCGACTGCGGACAGTGGACGTGCGGGGACGACAGCAGTTCCACGAGTCTGCCCGGGGTGGAAATAATCACATTCGGCGAGTGTCGCAGGAAAAAGCTCAGATCTTGCGCCGTCGTCGTCGTGCTGCCGCCTGAGAGCAACTGCGGCACGATCACGGGCGAGCTCGTCGCCGGCCGCTTCTCTTCTCCCGAGAGGTACTGAGCCACCTCGGCCGACGCAGGGTGGAATGCGATGAGCGAGGTGAGCGCGCCATGGATCTGAGTCGCGAGTTCACGCGTAGGCGCTACTATTATAGCTGCTATATGCCTAGCTTTCGTAGGTTCCTCCAGCCTGAGAAGGCGGTGGCAGATGGGTATGAGACTGATAGGACGATTAGCCTCTATTTCCGTGGACTATCCGAATAGTGGACTGACAAGCTGAGAGTCTTTCCGGAGCCGGTCACGGCTTCCACGACACAGTCCTTGTTGCCCGTTCCAAAGAGTGGCCATACGCCTGTGTTGCGTGTTAGTAATGACCCTTTCAACATTCGTCCTGTGATGCACGGGCGGCTCTTACTAGCTTGTACTGGGGTGGCGCGGGCGAAGCCCATGGAAGTCACGGCATCCTCTATCCAGGATGGCAAATCCACGAGTGCATCCCAGGCGCGGGGATCTTTCTTGGGTGTTTTCGCTTCGGGTGCCATTTCAGAATGCAGGAATGAGTGAGTGGGTGCGCCGGCGCATTCGTTCTTGACGGTCGTGAGTTTGGTGGGTGAAGAAAGCCACCGGGAAAACTTTGTCGGTCTGGAATGGCAGTTGGCTGGGCATGTGGGGTCTTGACTTTGCGGCTGTCAGCAGCCGCCCCACCATGCGTACGCCCAGTTGACCCCTTTTTTTTTGCAACACGCCTCAGAACAGATCAAGAAGATTGCTAATATATCGAACTCTGAGAGTACCGGGGAAAGGGGGCGCGATTAATCATTGGTTTCATTAAACACTAATGCGTACGGCTTGTGTGACCAGGTATACATGAAGCCAGTGCGACTATCTACGGAGTCATCTTTAGTTCAAAACCTTACAAAACTCGATCTGTATGAAGGAGCAGACACCTCATCTCATGAACCAGTGGCTTCAGCACAGAGACCTATCGTACAAGTTTTCTATTCTATACAATCCCTTTTTGGATCCGCAATTCGCTATGAAAACCAGTCTTAGGCCTCTACCTACTCACGGGATGTCGCTTACTCTCCGGTACCTTCCTCTGTTTCTTCAGTCTCTTTCTTCTCCGACTCCTTCTCCGTCCGGGTCTGTTTCTCCCACATGGAATGATAGCTGCCTCTGAGTTCCAGAAGCTCATGGTGCGTGCCACGCTCGACGATCTTGCCCTTCTGCAGCACCACAATCTGGTCTGAAGTTGTGATAGTGGAGAGACGATGCCTGTGGGCCCTGTTAGTATAATGATGCTGCGTCTAATCAGGTATACCCGGCGCCTGTGTACTTACGCAATTGTGATCGTGGTCCGCCCAGTCGTCACTGTCTCTAGCGCGTCCTGTATCTGTCTCTCTGTATGCGAATCTAGAGACGCAGTCGCCTCATCTAGTAACAAGATGCTTGCGTTCTTCAAGATGGCTCTTGCGATAGCAATCTAGAGTACTTGTGTCAGTAAGTGATGCCCAACTTATGCTATCATGAAGCTGTGGCTTACCCGTTGGCGTTCGCCGCCAGAGAGCTTCAGTCCCCTTTCGCCGACCTTCGTGTCGTATTGATCTGGAAAAGCCAAAATGCGTTCGTGGATATTCGCGGCCTTGGCGGCATCATATACATCGGCCTCTGATGCCTTCGGGTTGGCATAGAGCAGGTTGTACATGATGGAGGCATTGAATAAGACAGTGTCTTGCGGTACGACTCCGATGTGCTTTCGGAGGCCATCGAGTTTGAGGTCCCGAATATCATGGCCGTCGACAGTCACTGATCCACTATTCACATCGTAGAACCGGAACAAGAGCTTCAGACAGGTCGACTTCCCACTGCCAGAAGACCCCACAATGGCAGTCTTCGTCCCTGGGGCAACCTTGAAGCTAATACCATCGATGGCTGGCTCCTTTCCTTGGTAGGAGAACCTGACGTCCTTAAACTCGACCTCGCCTCGAGCGGATGGGAGATCCACGGCATCTGGCTTCTCGACAATACCAGATGTTTCATTGTACTAAACATCATTAGCTCCTCGTCGTTTTTGAGCAACAGCCGCGATTGACTAACCAGTTCAAGCATGCGCTCTGCCTCGATTAAGTTGTTCTGAAGCATCGTGTAGAACGTTCCGAAGAAGTTCAGTGGGGACTGCAGCTGTGTGAAGTAGGTAATGAGGCTGACGAAGTCTGCAACGCTCTGTTGTCCGATGGATATCTTATATGCGGAGAGAGCAACAATCAACGCTGTTCCAAAAGTGAACACAGAGCTCTGCGTCAGATTCAGCAAGTTCAAGGACCAGAGTACCATGCGCTCGGCTTTTTGATACGTCGTCACATGCCCTTTGAAACGTTCTGTCTCTGTGCCAACTGCACAATTATGTTGCACGGTTTCGTACGCCATGATGGCATCGGTCCTATAACACGGTCAGCGCGTGTTAATTCTGGAGTGGACTCTCGGCGTACTTGGCTGCATCCATATCGCGGCTTTTCGTCGTCATGTCCCTTCTTTGCCTGCCTCTGTACTTCGCCATGTACATGGTCAGGAAGATGTACGTCCACATGATGAACAAGACGATGAGAGTATAGAAGGCGTCGTATCGGATGAAGAAGTAGACGGCAGCCACGAAGATGTCGAAGATCATCGGAAACACCTGAAACAGGAAGTTCTCAAGGAAAGTGTTCATGGCGCTGCCGCGGCTGAGAGCGCTCGTCACTTCGCCGATACGCTTACTCAGGTGGAAGTCCATCGAAAGGCCGAGGACATGCTCAAACGCTGCGCAGGACAGGCGTCGGAACAGTGATTGCGACACGGGAATCCAGAGAACTGACCGGGCGGCACCGAGAGCGCCCTGGTTGCCTTGAAGACCACGATAGACAACATATAGGATTACTTCTTTGTAGGGAATACGATCATACCCTAGAGCTTCGACAAGCACACCAAGCTGGTAGGGAACCAAAATGTTGACAATACGCTGCGCCACCAGGATTACCAGACAGATGACAACTGTGGCTTGGTAGAGATGCGAGTCGGACGGCCTGGAGCATATTAGGTGCTTGCAGTATCCAGGTTGTCAACGACGTTGGTGACTTACCAGAGATATGGGAACAGGACACGGAAGCCAGCAATGTAGTCAAACCAACCTGACTTTTGCGGATCCCGCTTCTTGACTTCCGCCTTGGCTGCATTGGAGTGCGTGCCACCATAGCCATTCGTAGGCCCATCACCGTTCTCCAAAAGAGACTGCCGCTCGTCGTCAGAGCCTTGGATGGGCCGTCTCAACTCATACTGTCGGCGGATCAAAGCCGCGATCATGAGACCCAGCACAGCAACTCGGACCAGGGCCAACCCGAACAAGCTATCGAGGAGTTGAGGCGGGGTGGTGATGACTGGTTTCTGAGACTCGAAGACAGCTGCAATGACTATCTCCAGAAATACCCCGATGATCCAGGCGTGGCAATGCGGAACTGTTGGTGTCCATGGGCCATCTGGATCCGGCAACAAGCCAGCGAGGAAGTAGAATAGGACTCCGATGTGAGATGCCTGCCGATTAGTTTAATTCATTGACGTTACTGTCAAGGGACACGTACTAAATATGCGCTGTACGGGAAGTTGGAGGGCTCAAGGACGTCATCACGGCCGGCAAAAGCATTCCATATCACCAGTATGATGCTGGTCAGCTACGTGTTTAAAGGTCAGTTACATGTAGTAACAGGGCATCTAGTGTCCAAAGACATGCGTGACTTACCAGCAGGGGGGTCAAGAGCAGCTGCAGCCCCCTGATAAGCTTTGCATAGAAGCGTTGAATCCTCTCAGCCTTGTCCTTGTCCTCATCCAGCGCAGCAGCCCTGTCGTCGACGCGTGACGAGGAGCGGTAGCGGATCAATTGCGACACGAATAGGGTCGCAAACAGGCCGCACGGGTACAGATAGAAGGCGACTTCTAGTCCCCGCCTGACTCCGGCCATGACTGCTGCAAAGAACGGGGGATTTTGACGCGTTATCGAAGGTTGTTTGTTGAATGTCAATCGATGCAATGGATGAATTTCCGGGTGGCCCGACAAGTTTCAAGCCGCTCGCTGTCCGATGGGCCGATTGCTAAAAACGACAGGGGACGCCCGTAGACATCGTGCGCAGAGCGGCTCTGCACTGTACGCATACAGTACAGTCACATTAGTAAGCACGCAATTCCGTTATCTCCGAATAAACCCGAGGCTCCTGCTTATATCCGAATCAGGGATGTGTACGACAGTTGCAGTGTTTTACACCGTTGGTGACTAAAGAGGCAAGGACTTTGCTTATTATAATACCTACTAGTCAGACTGTCGTCTACAGCCAAATGACCAGGAACGTTCAGCGAAGCTACCCACGCCAGGTTTCTTCTTCTTTTGCACGCCTGCTGCGATGACCTCGAAACCAGGCGCTATGTTAATTGGTGGCGCCTTCGCCTTCCACGACCCGGAATGCTTCGACCAAGCATAATTTTGCTCGAAACCGCCGCTGGTTTCGACCCAGTCCTGGTCCCTGAACATGCGCCTTTTATCACTCAGGTCGGCCGACTCGTACAGATTCGTAGAGATCATTTCGGAGATTGGGGATGGTCGTGATTGAGCGCGTTGGTCAGACGTTTGCAGACAGAAGCGTGCGTGCTTCAACACCAGTCCGAAGGCTCATATATATGGACCGACTTGGATCTTGACAGTTACCAAGACAAGGAGAGTTGCGGCGATACTGCGACGTACAGCCATGGTGGATGCTGCGATCCAGGTTTGTTGATATCGGGCAGTGGTATGGGACTCTCCTGTTCTCCCTAGGAACTCCTCATCCTCTAGTCCAGCGTCATTCCCGGCTGCTTCCCTAGTTCGTGCGGGGCCCCAATCTATCACCTGAGTCCCATAACGGGCGCGTGTCGAGGCCCACCTCCACCGCTGCCTCGTGAGCACTCATGTCCCGGACGACGACACCGCGACACGCGAGGCAGATGTGGCTACAAAAGCCCGAATACTTAGCAGATTGGGTACTGGGTGCCATACCGTTGGTATCAGCATATCGAACACCCACGGCATACACATCACGGGACCTAACGTTAAGCTGGCCACCAACACCATGACAGCGCGCTTCGTGGCACATGATGAAGAAGCGTTCCGCAAGATCCTCGGCCCAGAGCCAACCCTGGAGCTCCTCCTAGAGGACAACAGCTACCCGTTCGCCCACGAAGCCGGAGTGTACCTTCAGTCCTCGGATGCGCTGTTCGTCACGAGCAATCGGTTCCGCGACCCCGATTCAGAGCAGCAGCGCGTGCAGATCTCCAAAGTCGTGATCGGTGGCGCATCAAGAGGACGCGGCACCGTGCGAGAGGAAGTCGACTCTTCTGCGGTCCCGATGGGGAACGGCGGTGTCAATTATGGCGAAGACAGTATCTTATTCTGTGCACAGGGTTCTCAGGAGCTGCCAAGCGGCCTATACGTTATGAAGACATGGGCGCCATACGAGACTAGCTTGTTGCTCTCTGGCTACCACGGTCGCCCTTTCAATTCAGTCAACGATGTCGTGATACATACGGATGGATCTATCTGGTTTACCGATCCTCCTTGTATGTGCATTTTCGAGTCTCTTATTGCCCCTTCTGGCCGTGTCTGAGGGGCGAATTACCTCTTTTAGCCTGTGTTAAAAGCCTTTGCTCCCGAGACACGCATTCCGACTCTTTGTTTCACGTCGAAAAGGAGTAAATATTGACTCTAATTTGCTACCAGATGGCTACGAACAGGGGTACCGACCAAGGCCAAAACTCCCTAGCCAGGTGTACCGGTATAACCCCAAGACCAAAAGCATTCGGGCGATGGTCGATGGCCTGGGTCACCCGAATGGTATCTGCTTCTCCCCAGATGAGAGGACGGTATATATCACGGATACCGATTGGTACCATGGTGGAGGGAGCACTGACGATGCGAAGGCTTCGACTATGTAAATCCCCCAAAAATCCAAGCTATCCCATGAGATGTCTACTGAACTGTAACACCAGCTACGCTTTTGATGTGATGTTTTATCACGAAGAGCCGTTTCTGACGAATCGAAGACTATTCGCAATGGCGGACAAGGGTATACCAGATGGCATCAAATGCGATATGGATGGCAATGTGTACAGTGGCTGCGGAGACGGAGTCAACGTCTGGTCCCCAGGCGGTGTGTTATTGGGGCGAGTTATAGTGGAGGGAGGTGCAGCGAACTTCTGCTTCGGAAAAAGGGGCGAGATGTTTATCCTGAACGAGACTCGACTGTGGCGAGCACAGCTCGGTATTCATGTGCGAGGGGCGCTACTGGGCATCTAGATTCCAAGGCCAACTGTTCGAGACCGTAGGTAGCAGGAAGACTGCGATCTCACCTCTTAATCCACGGGAACCCCAGATCAGCCGTCTTCCCCGCGTTATTTGATATGGGGCCCCTGATACCTGTTGTTCAGCTGGCCACTTAGTCTGGGGCCAATTATGCAAGAGTTGAGGTAGAACGCTCGAGACCCTACGCTCTGAATGCGCTCAAGGCCTCGAAGCGGTTGTCAACGATGGCATACCAACGCCGGGGGCCGGGGCATGACCGGATAGGGGTACATGAACTCACATGCTAGGGGTCACGAGACTGAGGTCCGCCTCGTTTACAGTTCCAAGACTGCCTAATGTACTTTTGTGGAGGCTGAGAGTTCCATGTCTCTGGTCACATAAGGAATCGTCCGGCAAGTTGTACCGAAGAGTGGTCAATGAATGGGTCAGTGTGGGCGGGGCTGGAACCCGGAAAAGCACTGGCTCAAAGCGACCATGTTATCGTAAGTAAAAACCAGGTCCCATGAAAAGAGGCTGACCTGATTGCTGCTAATGAGAGTGAGACTTGAAAGTCATACATGTCCATAGGGGCACGGCTGCTGTCATATACTCATAAGTCTCCGTACGCACCATGTTAAGAGGATTCCAGATCACACATCAAATGGAACTTTGGGGATACTGTAATAAGTAGACAGAAATAAGCAGCTTTGGTTTGATACGCCACTTCCAATGCTTATTCCATGGCGCTTATTCCGAATCGTTAAATGAACCATTTAAACGTTTGCTGGAAGGGTCGTGTACGGAAGACTTATGAGGGCTCAGTGCATCTTGGACGACCTACGGGCAGACCATCCTCACGACGGGAACAACTCCATCTCAGAACATGCACAGGAACCTTACATGGCTCTGCCAGCTGGGGCGCTGTTTGGAAATCTCGCTTCTCGTTACGTTCTCCAAAGCCTCACCTCACCACCTTGGGACACATGACGAGGACGCAGCCCCCCGGATACAATGAGCCATAAGGATGGGTGAGCGGCGCGAGTCGAGGTCAAAAGAACAGATCCACTCCTGACCTCGACGCGCGACATTGCACCCACAACCCCAGGCCTGTCATGAGCTAGCCCCCATAGCTCCAGAAAACTAACCTCGACGATCGAGGAAAGGGGGAAAGCCCGGCCGCCTGGGTCGCGTGAGCGGTGGTGGCACCACGCCCTACAGCATCCCCACACATCTGGGGAGACAAGTCTGGGGGGTGGGGAGACAAGTCTGGGGAGGACGAGGAGCGTTTAAAAAGCTTCAAGTTTCTCTTCCCTCCGACCACGTCCACATCGCGTGTCAATCACTTGGCACAGTTGAAGCTTCAGGTCTAGTTCTTGGCAGAGGACCCCGAGCATCGAGTAGATTAGTCGAGTCCACCGCGAACATGAAGCCCATCAGCGCCCCCTTCACCGTGTTCACGGACCGCATGCGCGGGCGAGGCGACAAGACGAAATGGATCGAGTACATGATTACGGCCGCATGTGCCATTGGCAACATGTTATTCGGATACGACCAGGGTAAGTGGCCGTCGCTGCGCTTTCAGAAGACCGGATAGCCAACTGATAATCGGCCCTTGATAGGTGTTATGGGCGGGTTCCTCACCAGTGCTCCATTCGAGAAGACCTTCCCCGAGATCTCGAACGGCAACGCCACACTCCAGGGCTTGACAGTCGCCATCTACGAGATCGGGTGCGCGGTCGGTGCCTTGAGTGTCATTCTCGGCGGCGACAGATTTGGTAGGCGGATCACGGTGATGCTGGGACAGACCATCCTCATCGTCGGGTCTATCCTGCAGGCATCGTCTTACAGTCTTGCCCAGCTTATCGTTGGTCGAATCGTCAGTAAGTTCATGACAAGTGTGGGATCTTGGCAGCACGGTGGTTTGGTGGCTGACATATGCGGCAGCTGGTGTTGGTAATGGTATGGCAGTAGCCGTGCTTCCGACTTGGAACGCCGAGTGCTCGCGTGCCGAGAATCGAGGCCGTGCCGTCCTTTGGCAGTTGAACGTCAACATTGTAGGTTAAGTCCTATTCAAAGACTCCAGCCGAGGGCATCACGTTGATTGTGCCTAGCTTGGCATTGCGATTGCCTACTGGGTCGATTACGGCGTCAATCAGTCCGCTGCGACGGCCAATACCGGTTGGGCTTGGAGATTTCCGCTGGCACTGCAGATCGTCTTTGCCCTGATCACGATCTTCCTCTCGTTCTTTCTACCTGGTGAGTTTCACGTCCAAGGCTACCTCTACGCGGGCTCTGTACTGACTGTGTCCTTCCAGAGTCACCCAGAGTCTTGGTCAGGCTACGCCGCCTGGATGATGCTCGTGACGTTATGGATATGCTATCCGTGGTCGAAGACCCCGATTTGCGCGCTGAAGAAACGGTCAGTTCCCTACAATACCGAATCGCTATCTTGGCCAAGGGCTAACTTGGAGTAAGAGTCTCGCCATGTCGTTCATCAAGCAGAACCTCGATGAAGAAGCAGAGACCGAGACGGGATGGGGCGACATCTTCACCCAAGGGCGGCCGCGATTCTTTCAACGTATGGTATTGGCTGTTGTCTCCCTCTGCATGCTTCAGATCAGTGGTATCAATTTGATCACGTATTACGCGTAAGTCCAGTCTGAAACCATCACCATATCGTTTCTCTGAGCATAACTAAGTCTCTGTCTCCGTACAGGCCCGTAATCTTCGAGAACACGCTTGGAATGTCTCGCAACACCAGTCTTCTTGTCACGGGTTTCAACGGCCTGGAGTACTGGCTCGCAACCTTCATCCCAATTCCCCTCGTCGATCGCATCGGCCGTCGACCCATTATGCTCGTGTGTGCTGTCGGACAGAGTTTGAGCATGGCTGTCCTGGCGATAACCATTTCGTACCCTGATAACAAAACTGCGGGTTATGTTGCGGCCGTTTTCCTATTGTAAGCCACGCTCCTCATTCCCAGACCCTTAGGCCATCAATCACATACTGACGAGACATCACCCGCTTAGCGTCTTCAACACATTCTTGGCGATCGGGTTCGATGGAATCCCGTTTCTGCTGCCCGTCGAACTCACGCCGCTGCAGACGCGTGGAAAGTCGGTTGCGATCGCCAATGGGTTCTTCTGGCTTTTCAGTAAGACCCCACTGCTATGCATCTTGACCCTGAGGATCACACTACTAACGAGATGAAGACTTCCTCATCGTGATGGTATCCCCCCTCATGATCTCTAACCTCAAATACGGCACCTACATCGTATGGACGGCGACCAACGCCTGCTTCCTCCCGATTGTCTATTTCCTCAGTAAGTCCAAGCGACGGCCGCGCACCTCCTCTCCGATATCCCCTATCTGACCTTGGCTTCACAGTTCCCGAGACGGCAAAAGCAAGCCTTGAAGACATCGACATCTTCTTCGAGGAGAACCCCAAGTGGATCATCGGGCCGGGGTCCAGCAAGAAGCTCGCGGCCATCATGTCGAACCGGGAAGCAAACGAGAGATCGGCCAAGGAGAGCGATCTTGTGGCGAAGGACAAGGTGGAAGCTATCGAAGACATCAAAATGCAGTAGCTATCAAACTGGAATTGGGGTTAGGGACGTATTGAGAAGTCCGCGGGTACTTCATGGCTAAACCAATCACACCACTCTAGGACTCAAAAGCTCGCTCATCTAGTCGTGCGTGACAGCTCAAGGTCAAACCGAGATAACTGGTGTGGATTTGCGGGTGGCAAGGCGATGTGTGACTTGTTGATTAACCTCAATTCACATGAAATCCTCATTGTGTGTCCCGTTCCTCCGAGAGCCAGTCGCAAGAAGGGGGATGCATCGCTTGCGCAGTACTGGGCCTATCGGCGAAGCTCTGCGCAAGCTTTACCCCGTCTATTCAAGTGGCATCTCTGGCTCTTGACAGATCCAAAAGCGTTTGATCATGATGAATACTCAAAGCCAGACGCAGATTGGTGATGAGACATTCAATTCAGTGATGGCCAGTGTCAGCTAACCAAGCCCCTGGACCTATGTGCTATCTTCAGTTCTTGGCGTTTTAGATCCCATTTAGAGCTATTACTCTAGAACAGGACAGAAATGATGCAGTTGCAGTCTACCTTAATGCCAATGAATGCATGCACCTTGTAGGGGCTTTTAGACTAAATGTTCGACAGTTAGATGGAAGATTGAATATGACTAGGAGTATGGTCTCCGAGGCCGCCATGGAATCAGCGTGACGTGCCCCTAGACTCTAAGAGAGCTGCCTCTGTGACAACCTCAGTCTGATGGTGCTGTCTACAACTTAGAAGACTAGTCCTCGTCCTTCACACCACGCAGCCCAAGCCCCTGGAGGCTCTTCGGCACTGCAGGTTCGGTGGTCGGATCCCCGCGTGCCTGCGTCTCCTTATTGAAATCCGCCTGGAACTCCCCGACCGTTTCCAACACGTCTCGAACCTGATCGGCACCGAAGTTGCTCTTCTCGGCGAGAGCAAGAGCATATGCCGTGCGGACGGTGTTCTTGATCTGCCGTCCGTTGACGTTGAACGCTGCAAGCTCGCGCAGGACCTCTGGCGGCCAGTCTTTGGCCTCGAAATTTGGGGTCCGCTGGAGGAACAGCTTCCATAGCTGTTCACGAGCGCCGGCGTCGAGGGGGTTGTACTTCAAGGCGAGGTGAATTCGAGACTGGAAGGCGAGATCGAAAGAGTTGATGCGGTTGGTTGTGAGGAATAGGACTCCGGAGAAGTACTCTAGAGTGCGGAGGAAGACTAGTTCATTAATTAGCAGACGTGATCACATGTGGCCATTGAAGCATCGCAGTGGACTTACTCGAAACAAGACTGTTACGTGCGAGGTCATGTGAAGACCTCTTCTCCAAGAACACATCCGCCTCATCAATAAGAAGCACAGCATTCCAAGTCGTGACATGCTTCAAAACCTTCCTGAGACTCGAGTCGACAGTCTTGACATCTGATCCCAGCTCGCCCGACATCATGACATAGAGGGGGCGTTTGATATCGTCAGCGATGCTCTCGGCCGTAAATGTTTTTCCGATCCCAGGTTCACCATGCAGAAGGAAGATGCACCCTCTTCCTTTACCTTGAATAAGATCGTCGAAGCCATCTCCTCCACCCGATGTGTGTTTGGTGGTGAGCGCGCGAATGAGGCGCTTCTGCTTGCTGGGCAGCAAGAGCGCGTCAAAAGCGCCGTCATCGAACACAATGTCATCGAGGAGGTCGACGAAGAACCAGCACCAGCTCTTCTCGGTCAGCGAGAAACCACTCAAGGCGAAGTGGCACATCATGTAGTCGTCTTCGGTTATATCGGCTGGCTTGATGTTCTTCACCTCGCCAATTGTGATATCGCTGTCGGTGCGTTCGTCAATGAACGACTTGCAGTCGAGCATAACCCGACCGTGGAGCTATTCAGACGTAAGCTTCTTGTTCGGTAACGGGGTATTTGGAAGGATCTTACCTTGATAAACTCCTCGGGGTAAGAGGTGCTTGCTCTTCCAGCATAGTTGACAGTTTTTACCTTGTCCACCGCAATAGCGTCGCCAGAGTAAGCCCGGTATTGGATGCCTGTCAGACTACAATACTTTCGACCGCGGTAGACCAGATATTTCCGCAGTGCGTACTGATCTGAGTGGAACTTGAAGGGATAGCAGCGAAGCTTAGAGACTTCTCTGATCCCGTCGAACGCGGAGATATCAATTGGACGGTGAATGTAGCCGAACTTGGCTCCATCATGTGCGAACGCTTTGGTTGTGACGGTCCACCGTGGCGGGCAACCAGAGCCCCCAGCATTGAAGGTGACCTTGACAATCTTGTTGACGTACTGATCGTAGGATTTGCCGCCAAAGACGAAGTCATCAGGCTTGAAGAGCATCCATAAGTCCTTGAAATCGACGCAGAGAACATCGGCTTCCATACCGTCTTCAAAGCGATGAATATCTCGACGAAATTCCTTCTCCACGAGATTGTTAACGAGAGCGATGTGTCGCTTCGCCATAGGATCGTGTAGGCTATCCTTGTAGCTCTTCAGTTCCCTCCTGTAGTGGAAAAGACAGGCAAGGGCTGAGAATTCCGAGGAGCCCGTAAGGGTGACGCTTCCACTGAAATTCTGATCGGGGTAACTCCCGACGACCTCACGGAGAGCCTGACGAATGTGAGGGGACCGGATCTCCAGGTTGACCTTTTCGATCCTGCTGTCTCGTGTGTAGTACTTGTACAGCCTCATGGCGAACTTGCCGTCGTCTTTCAGATCGGCATCTTGGTCAAGCTCAACCTCCTTGACCGACCTCTTCCCTTCGGCGTCATATCGTGCTTCGTACTCTTTTACCTCACACTTCATCTCCTTAGGTTGGGCTGGAGGCTCCTCGGTAGTCTTCCCATCGTCGGCGTTGGAGGCTGATGAACTGGCGCCTTGTGCGGTGGCCGAGTCAGTCACGATCTCAAAGTCGTCACTTCGTGCCATCTTGCCGTGTGTGTATTGGTGACGAAGCTCAGGGAGATCTGACAGTCAAACAAAGTCAGCACCAACAGAAGAATGTTCAGCTAAATGGGATGTATCTATGCATGTAGAAGGAAGCTTTTTCATCTTTTGTAGTCATATGTGGACACTGGCAGGCTCATGGCGGTTGGCCGCGGACCGTCACCACGCATTGTGGCGATGTTGTTCGAGGTGTGGCTAAAGATGCACATCGAAGGCCCATCTGTCGATCGGGAAGTCATCAGAGCAGGGTTTCAAGATGATAGCGGCCAATCAGTCAGGCCGAAGGATGACACTATGGGGACGAAGGAACGGCTCTGCAAACCTCGCCTCCCTACGTATCCAGACAGCCAGAGTCGTCAACCAGTCACAGTCGTGGAACCAAGGTGCATCTGCTGTCATCGCTGCTGAGTCATCATTGCTGCCTTGACCGAGTTTCACTCGTCTGCTGCAGGATCGAAGAGTCAACGCTGGTGGATGCGTGTCGGCGTCGCACTGCATGCCGAACACCTCGTAGAGCTAGGCAGACAGGGAGAACCACCAATTAAGGACAAACGAGAAACTGGCGATTCTTTGCACCCATGGATCTGCGGATGCCTCGCCCAGGTAGCCTGCCTCTGCAGTACAGGCAGACAGCCAGACAGGCAGATAGGCAACCATCGGCACATCGTTACGGTGCCATCGACCATCATAGGTGATCGGCCCAGTGCAGCTTCATGTTGCGTCCAGCGGCATGCTCACCCCAAAGGCGTCTGTCGCAATCATGCAGCGGTCCGGCGAGGCGTATCGACTGCGGGCTCTCTGTACGACAAGGTTGAAACCACTGAGCTGGACGATGGACATAAGAGATGAAACGATATTTGTTCAGAGAAGCAAACCGTTGAATGGCACAAGACACCCACCTACAACCCGTCGGTGTTGGGCGATTGGGTCTTGGGGAGAAAGTCAATTCCTATGGCAATCGAATGGTAGGCGGACTCAAGTGGCTTATTGGAGACTTGGATGTGAGGCAACGTTTCAGTATTCGCATCATACCACTCGTGGAATCATCCTCGAGTCGATCGTGGGTGAGGAAGTAAAGGCATCAAGAGGGATGTTTTGGAATGCTCACAAGAAGCAGTTGCCGATAGGAGTATTGACGCCTGGCAAGCCTGGCACCCCGTGACAAGAATTAGTCGCTGATACAACGTTAGATGAGCATGCTTCATCCGGATTGCCACATAAGTTATAAGGCATTTCAACAATTACCCGACAAACCAGAATATCCAACTAACAGCCCTGACAGTGTGATCTCCATTGCACGGCCCTTGTCAAGACCACACACGCAGACACGATCATATGTCACCGACCGCCAGCTTCCAAGTTCCGCGCCGATGTTGGTTGGGGTCTGCGCCTGTGCCTGTGAAAATCTCATGCCAACTTTTCAGCTTCCCCTACGAAATACCACGCGATCTAAGACAAGTTGGCAACCTATCAGGCCAGCCTAACACCTCCGGTATTGTTCAGCCATTCTAATATTACCTCATCATCCTCATCACCTGCCGCCGTCGGGTGCCTGTCCAAGACCACCACCACCACCACCACCATCAGCACAATGCGGCAGAGCTTGTCTCTGCTGCATCACCAACATCCTTCAATCTGGATTCAATAGCACTTCTCTCCTCTGTTTTCACCAACCCTCTTTTGAGTACACGAGAGTCCAGAAAGGACAAGCACCTCAGCCGTCCGAGCCATATCAACTCCGCCTTTTGGCCCTTGAGATTCTACCATTTACGTCAGGTACTCGCCGGCACTATCATCCCCCCGATACTGCCACCGTTTCCATATACCTATAACATGTCTGCTCGCGGCCAGCCTGCGATTCCTGCTACACCTCGCGTCATCTCGCCGAGTCCAACACCGTCCGAAGCCCAAGAGCGAGAGGACTATCTTGGTTCCGTAACCCGATCCGCAGCGAAGCGGCGACAGGCTGGCGACACCGCACCCCAGCTTCCGATCCACGAGAGCATAGACGAAGACTCGAACTCGGACCCGGAGCTCCGGAGAGCTCGGACGCGATCGCGAAGTCCCATAACGACGCGCAGGGCCGCGAACCTCACGTCAACCAAGTCCGGCCGGGCTTCGAAGTCGAAACAGAAGCAAGAGACGGAGCACGCGAACGGTGCGGTCGAACCGTCCGACGGCCACCTAGCACCACCGTCCCCTACCGTGGGAGGCTGGAGCTGGCAAGATTTCAGCCGCAGCCCGAGCCCTCTTGGCCTCATTCCAATACATCGGCATTTCAGGAACCTGATCCACAAACACGAAGTGCCCAGGAAGGTCTTGCATGTGTCCATCGGCTTCTTCGTCTACTGGCTCTACGTGAGTGGAACTCAACCCTCTTCCGTGGCGCCGGTGCTATTAGCAGCCCTCATTCCCATCGCAACTACCGACTTCCTTCGTCATAAGTACCCCTCGTTGAACCGCTTCTACGTCAACTGTCTCGGTGCCTTGATGCGTGAAAGCGAGTATGCCGGTTGGAATGGTGTGGTTTTCTACCTCCTTGGGGCCTGGCTAGTCCTACAGTTTCTGCCCAAGGACGTCTCTGTGGTCGCAGTTATGCTGCTGAGCTGGTGCGACACTGCTGCTAGCACCTTTGGGAGGCTCTATGGGATATACACTCCACGGCTTCGCCGAGGCAAGTCTCTCGCCGGGTCTCTTGCTGCATTCCTGGTTGGTGTAGTGACTGCTGGCTGGTTCTGGGGTTGGCTAGCCCCCAAGACCGGTCCATTCCCAGGAGATGAGCAGAATCCCTTCATGTTCCGAGGTCTTCTGAGATTGCCTGCCTTTGCCTCGGGTGCTCTTGGACTTACCGAGTCCCAAGCGACCATCGGAGGCACCGTCGCTCTGGCTCTGGTGAGTTTATGGTCGGGGCTTGCTGCAGCCAGCAGTGAGGTCGTCGACATTTTCGGATTGGACGATAACCTTACCATTCCGGTTTTGAGCGGTATCGGTATCTGGGGCTTCCTAAAGGTTTTTGGCTAGGAAACAGAATGGACTGGGTTGTGGCCCCTCTCACGAGGCATTAGACGTATTGGATGCATGATTGGCGTTCAGGGTGGGAAACGCATAGGCTCGGACTAACTTCCGATAGATGCGTCTGGCTTAGACATGGCCACTGGGCTGGCCACAATGCGGATTGAAATCTCATCTTGAAGTTCACATCAGGTCGTCACCTCTGACGAAAGGTATTCCGAGCAACCGTCGCGAGGCAGTAACGTGTCGTGTTTCTGATGTCAGTGGGAATACCTTGCGTCTTCGTCGACAGTTTGTGGATGGAGACTCAACATGGGAGACTCAAAGAGATGAATCAACCACACTGTTGCGCTATGCAGGCTCGCCACCAGTGTGGCCAGGACCTAGCGACCGGGTTCGCGTATGTCGTGCATCTGGAGGGACGCCGACTCCCATGTTGTCGGAGGCCTGCAACACAGCCACATGTTTATTTACTTCCGACTTACACAACATGAGCCTAGAAGAACCGTTCGATACTGATCTACCCGATCGACTTCAACGGCCGGAAGGGATGCATTTACGAACAGACAGGTCCTCAACGCCGTTTTGCCTGCAACTCCCCCAGTATAGGGCCAAGAGAAGCCGGCACACCACGGCGCAATTGGCCTCTCAGGTCCCGTCAAGGCATCTCCGTTTGCTACTTCTGCGTCCCCTGAGAAGATGCCCCATCATTAAGTCCTGTCTGCATGCGAAGCCAGTCAAGTCCTACGGCACTGATGACACCTGCGGCCGTGATGCCCTGCTTATTACTGCTGCCATTCCCAAACAGACAGTGCCCACCTCCGCGCCACCGCTCCACATCAAGCATGTTTCCCTTCGCATCATAGTCCGCCCTCCTCGTCTGCGTATCACACGATACACACCCGTGACTCTTTTGCTGAGATCGACCCGGTGGGGTTTGATTCATGTAGTCGACGGCCTTAGACAGCTAGATGGCGTATCTTGTGGATGGGGTAGTATCTTGCCCAGAGCCTGCTTGAGCGCGCTTTAGGCCCTTGAGCTTAGCTATGATTTGTTCTGCAGCCGCAGTTCCCACCGATATTATGTCTATTGGGAGGGCCGTCATTGTATTTGTGCCCATTGCACCTCATGGATTATTAGCCTACAGCTATGGTCTTACGATCAGCTGGGCCCATCACTTTGGGATGTGTTTTCCCACTGATCTTTACCGGAGCCTAGTCGCATGCTGCGCAGGTCATGCCCCTCCACTCCCCCGGTTGTGCAACCATCTATCATATACACATCAGCCAGGGCAGGAACCCGGGTTGACACCGCGTCTTCGTACCGAGCATGACAGATCAAATCAAGCGTCCGATCAGATAAAGCCTTGAGCTGTGCTGTTAGTTCTCGGCGCTGGCGATATGCCGGCCAGATATCCGACCTGCGCTTCCCCTTACCTGGCAATACACACACCGTCAACGCGCACATTGAACCATGCGCCGCGGTCCAGTGAGGTCAGCGCTGCTCGCACAAACTATCAACACGCCAGCGCATCCATCTCTAATTATACCTGCACATCCAACGCGCCAGCAGAGACATCATCCACACTTGTCGCTTACACGCATCCAAACCTTACAAAGCACCTACCGTGTCAGTGGATGTCTGCTACGTGCCATGTTGGTAGGGTTGCAGCAGACTGAATCCAAGGCTATGGGTCCTTCGCAGATGGAAAACACGCGTGCAACCCATCCGCCCTCCAAGAACCTATCAAGAAATAATCGTCAACATCGTGGCGGGGCAGGCTTATCACCCTTGACGATTATTTTTTGGAGGTGCACAGGCAAGCAGGCAAGCCCGAGCGGGGGTCAGACGGTTCGTGAACCCGTTTGATGTGACTTATTATTAGTGATTCGTAGGTTCTCCCCTAGAGATCCCTTTTTCCACTTGGGCTTCCCTTTGCGGATTTCTTGAATTTTCGGCCAATCAGAAAATTCCATTTCTGCATTCCAGAATCCATGCCCAAGCAGCCCGAACCAAGAGACGACCCCCCATGCACGAATGACGAGTGCCTCTGAGGCTGTTCTCGCATTGGACGACCAGCCCTAGCAATTGGGTCGAAGATGTCGATTTTGGGGTAAGTGCCTGTGTTAAGGGGGGCCGAATTTAAAGGAATAAACCCCGAATCAAGAATCAAATAATATTCGGCTGGCCCTGGGACTTGACAACACATCATCACACAAAATGCCCGACCTGCTGCACTTCTGCCTGACTGACCAGTAGCCGGCAGCTTTGACATATCCAATGTCTGCTCTGGCCGTTCATGGTTCATTGCCTCCCTCCGTCTCGCACTCTTTTCCCGGAATGGCCACCAACGAGTCGTCAACTTGCGCTGCACCGTGGCATATGCAGCATGCTCCGTCCTCCCCCTCGAAGCGTGGCATGGGAAATCCATCGCTGCTTTTGCCTCCGCCTGTAGGCCCGTAGCGTCAGCGCGCTTTTTGGAATTCGCCTGTCACCCCTACTGTCGAGAAGACACCCGACTGGGCGAGGTTGAGGTGGGATGGGTCCAGACGGCGTGGAATGCCAACCGTCTATCTGTCTATACCCACCCCTAGGACGTCTTGGGACATCTACATGCAACTTCGAATTCCGAGCATGACATACAAACACGCCCCCGAGTGTCTCGAAACGGCCGTGACTTTCTGGTACCTTCGGAAATACAGCTGCATCTGAAGGAAAGTCTTCCTTTGTACAGGCTCTCGGCCCAACTCCTGCCTAGGGTGCCCTCCATGTGGGTAGACCTTTGGCTCTCCGTTCCCTCTTACGGATGCTTGGATGCTTGTCTAGATGGACGACTCGTCGTGTCATGTGTACTTCATCTGTCTACTCCATTCATCCAGACATCCGGCCACACATGCCGGGCCTGCTGCCCCGTCGTTCGACAAACGCCTTGCCGATGCCTTCACCCTTGAGACTACGTACCATCCTTCCACACGCATATCACCACCCACCTCAGATGTAGCCCCGTGACAAACTGTACCCCCAATATATCCTTGCCATACCTCGAAGACTCTGCGACTGAAGGCCTCACGCCCCTCCAGCACATACGAAGCCTTTCGATCTCCACGGCGTATCTGCACCATCCTGGATGGCAGTGACAATTCGCCCCTCGGCATATGCAGGGAAGAAGTCTTTCCTGATGAGCATGCACTAATCAACCTGCCATATTCCGCAAGGTCATTCTGCCGTGCTCGTTTAGACCATGTGCAGCCACATGGGGAGGTGAGGATTTGCCCACCGAATTATGGCCAGACTACCCCGTCACGTCTACGTGATATGACTTCTCCACATACGGACTCACCCGTCACCTAGAACGAAACGATATACATGTATTATTCAATGGACCTATCTCTATGTCCGGGTAGTAATTACGGGTCAGCAAGTCCAAAGTGAGAGCTAGCAAGCACACTTCCACATACACGCACCGGCGCAACTATGCATATGCGCAAACGCAGCTCGGCCAGACCGGTAGGTCAACAGAGACACACATCCAGCTAGATTCCAGGGCTCGACCGCAGGCCAACCGGACGCAGACCGCATATCATCGACTTGGACGTCCATGCTCCTTCCTATCCAAGGCCAGCTGATGCAGAGCCGGCGGTACAAGCTCGCTTGTTTGCACGCAAGCAAGTACGCACGTACACGCCTTTCTGCTACGTCGTCCTCGCTTGCAGCTGAGATATAGCCCATGGTGATTCTTCACCGTCTCACGCCCTTGCCTCCGGCCCCTGGCCCCTTTGCCCCTGGGACCCATGCTGCCGGCCCCAGTCTATCCATCTCCCCGTCCCATCTGTTCGTACTGACCAACACCCATTATCACGGGTGAAGCAAGCGAGCGAGCGGGGTCGATGTCAAGGTCAAGGTCAGGGGCCCCGTCCTTCCTTGTCACGTCCTGTCTCGACTCGTATCCCAGCCGTTCGTAGGATCGGACGAATAGAGCGAAGGGGACTTATCCCAATCCCTCTGGCACGATGACGGGGGACTCTTCGAAGCCCTCCTCGTCGTGCCCTCTGAACGGGTATAAAAGGGGGCGTTGTTGACGGTTTGGACTCTTCTCTTTCTTCTTCCTTCTCTATCACTTTCTTCATCTTCTCCAGAGCTCCCGACAACTTTACACGAAGGCTATCGTGAAGTCTTCAAAGACTTTGGCCCTTCAGACTCAGTCAAGTCGCTTCGTCTTTGACCATACGTACATCCATACAACACTCCAAGACAACCTCGAGACATCCACACACATCCACACAAAGACTCCTAGTCTTACACCTACACACCATCATACAACACAATACCCTGCTGTGTCTAGTACCTTTCTACCGGCATCCACACAACCTCAACCACCAACGATCTATCTGCAATATCTACCTGCGCCATCACCGCATACCACACACCACAACGCCCACACACACATCCACACCCAGGACCACCATACCGACCAACCCACCACCACAATGGCCTCCTACTCAGCCCAATACTACGCGTCCGCCGTGCCCATCCCGTCCAAGGACAGCACATACGAATACCCATCCTACGCCGCATACGGCGACAGCAGCAGCAGCTACTACAACGACGCCATCCCCTCCCACACCACCTCTTCGTCCAACTACCACCACCACCACGCGCACCACCCATCCAGCTCCTCCTACTCCGTCTCGCCCCCGGACCACCTCGACCAGTCCGTCGTGTCGTCGGCCAGCGGCCCCACATACAGCAATGCCGGGCTGACAACCGGCTACGCCGACGACTACTGCGACTCGTCGGCCGCGTCGTCAGCCGCCGGCGTCGACTTCAACGAGTACATGCAGGACCGGTTCGCCGAGACGTTCGACCCGCTGCCTTTGGACCGGAGTCTGGCTGTGCAGGCGCAGACGTGAGTTTTCTCTCCTACCGCCTTCTCCCTCCTCGTTCTTCCGCCACCGAACCTTGGCTTGCTCCCGTTCCCCCCTTTCCTCGCACGATGCCACACAGAAGGGAAGATGATATGACTGACATCCAAATGCGAAATTACAGATCCGGCACCCTCAACGCCAAGCACCGCGAGCTCATGGACCTGCAGGCGAAGGCGCAGGCGCGTCTGGTCAAGGCGCGCGGCCGCTTCGCCGAGGGCCTGCAGGACGCGCAAGAGGTGCGGTCGAACCTCGAGTGGACGTCCAAGAAGGTCTCGTGAGTAGTCATCCCTACCCCAACCTAAATCCCAATTCCATGGCACGTATATCACAGAAAGACAGGGGACGAGTGGAGACTGCAGCAGAGCCGCAGAATGCGGAGAGCAGATGGCAGCAGATGAGTTATATTTGAACCACAAGCTAACCAGATCCGCGCGCATACAGATCTATGAAGAAGAAGGCCGAGAAGAAGCACTCGAAAGAGTACCAGAAGGCCCGCCAACGCTACCCGTCGCCCGAGTACTAGATTGGGTGGTACTCACTCTGCGGCCTTTTCCCCGAGCCGCAGAAGCCGCAGGGCTGCAGGGAGTGCAGTACGAGAGCAAAAGAGCCTCAAACCCCCGATTCGCTCCCCGCGCTCATCATTTCTACCCTTGTCGTTTGTTTAAACTCTTTTAGCGGTCATTGGTTTTCATTCCCGGGGACGAACCCTGGTGCGAGCGTGGGTGGCGCGTGGGTGGTGTGGATGGGGCAGCCCTATGCGAGATGCGGCGATGCGAGATCTATCGGCTCGTCCCTCCTCTCTGGGATCTCCAAATGCACACGCCCCCTCCTTCTTCTGTCTATTTTTTTTTCTCGGGTGTGGTTCAGATCTGCACATACATACCTGGACCTCACGTGGTGTATGGGGCCAGCCCAAAAAGCACGGGGGCGGGCTGTCGTTGGTTCGACAGCTTCACGTTGGGCGGCAGCGCGGCAAAATAGACGCCCGTCTACGTCGCTGCTTTATGGGCAGCGGCGTGGTACGTAGCAGCGGCCTGTGTGTGTGTGTGGACAGGGTAACAGAACCGATCTTTAGTTCCTGCATCCTGCTCCCCACGCAAACGCACGGGCTGATGCACTGCGAGCGGGCGGGCCGGCTGGCTAGCGAGGGTGTTTCTGACGAGGTTGTGAGTTATGATTGGACGACACTGGCGGGATCTGGGAGACGCCACGAGCTAAAAGTACATGATCTGGTGTTTGGCAGGGGCGTCGGTACGTATGCGAGACAGCATGACGTGCGTGCGACCGGTGTGGTGGCGTACAGGGCTGGTACATCTGCAGCTGCGTGAACCAGAGGGAAGTCTTGCCGGACTCGTGGGGAGTCTCCAGGTGGTGGGATTCGTGTCATAGAGACACACTCGGGGGGGAGGACGAGAGAGTACCGTTAGATAGACCACGCCCTCACTCCCACCACACCTGGTGGGAGGACGACACCTTTCCGCTTCGGGGGCAGTGGATATTGCCTTTTTCGTACTGGGCGGCCGGTAGCATGGACTGTAGCTGACCCTTCTGGTCGACAGGCTTTCCTTTGGTGTTCTGATTGGGTCGGTACGGCGGTGCCCCGGACATAGTAATACACTGATTCCCCCTTCTGATGACCCGACCCATGTATCTGCCATGTACCAGTGTCTTAGACACGGTGTGCTGGAGCCGTGACCATCCGCGAACACCTTGGTACTCCATTGGTCCAGGGGAAGCACGGCAGGACGTCCAGTCGCTATGTGAGGGGGCCAGGTTGGCCAGCCACAGGTAGGAAGAAAGACGCCAACGTGTATGCTGAGGGCTGTCACGTGATCTAGTGCCGCTCCAAGGGGCTGTCCCGTGTTTTGAGTGCCTCCCAGGCATGTCATGGCTTCTTGGGTGCTGACATATATATATGCTTAGGAAGGTCCAGCGATGCGGTCTGGTTTTCCCCTTCTTCTCCACCGTCCGCCCGCCGATGTAGGCGTGCAATCGCCATTGCCACCCCATAGCATCACATCCACACAGGAGTAGGTGACCGGGGCTCGATACGCCTTCGGGAAGAATCGCTTCAACCTTTTGTGGCCTTCGATTCTTCCCAGGACATCCACGAACCCCGGGATTCAAGACCCTTGGTACGCTCCAGATGCTCCCAAGGGTTGACATTGAAGTTTGGGTCGTAATAGTCCTCCCACCACTTCTTCCCCTGCTCCCGATCTTGACCTCGGTTGGCTCGATGTCCCCCGCGACCGCCCCGACCTCCAATTCCACCTCGCGTGGGAAGCAACGAAGATAGACTGGAATATTCTTGGGTAGGTGTAAATCCTAGTATGGAGTCGATCTTGGATTGAACCTCGTTCTCGATATCGGTGGCAATGGGGGCAGATGGGCGCGACGTGTCGAGGTATTGTGGCTCCGGGTCGTCGCCATTGGGATCCTGACCTTCTCCATCTGCTGGCCCATCGTCAGCAGCTGACTCTGGTCGCTGCTCGTCGAGACCTAGATCGATCTCATCGTTGTTGGGGTTTCGGACACCCAGTGGCGTCATATTGGACCCTGAGGTCGCTTCTTGGGGGTGAAGGGGAAGTGTGGACGTGGCGGACGAGACTACCACAGCGTCGGCGCCAGGGTTGAACTTGCGGCGCTTGTTTGACTTTGGGCCGCCGAAGCTCGAGAAGCCCATGGCGGCCGCCATCTCTGCATTCATTTCCTCGTCGTCGTCCATGGCGATGGGCAAAGTCCTCCCCCTTCTACGACGTCGGGCGCAGTACCGACGGGTGAACCCGGAGGTGGGAGTGGATAGTATCGGCTGATGTGGTGCGGCGCAAGACTTGCGCAATGCGATTTGTGGAAAGAAGGGAACTGTTGGACGTTGGTGGAGGGACGTGGCAGCAAGCGAAAGGCTCGATGGCTTTATTGCGGCATACTGTCGAAGTTTGATCGGCACGTCGCGAAGGGCAGATGAAGAAAACGGGAAGAAATCAGAGCTGCACTTGAAAGTTGATCAGCCTTGTGTGGGCGCTGTGGCTGTGGTGGATTTGGAAGGAGCGCTAGAACAAGCGCCGAAGAAGACAGCCGTGACTGCCTCGTACAGTCTTCAATGTCAACTGCCCTTTCGCTTACAACCAAATAGTTCTGCTGTGTCTGTTTCGTCCTGGAAGAGAGTAACCCGACCGGATGTTCAGTTCAGGTCAAATCATATATGCAATGAGGTATCAACCGCAGCTGGCCGGCGACGTGAATGACAAGAGCCACAAGTCATTCCCAATCGAGCCGATGTCGTTCAAGACAAGCTTGAATCGTGTCAATTGGGTCGAGAATGCGATTGGAAGATTCGCTACGTCTGGCGTGACATCATTGGTCCGATACCCTGAAACTAAGGTTCCCTTCAGGGCACACCTGGCTGCAACGGCTAGGAGCTCCAAATGCCGGATAGCCAATTGCCGAGCTCGGACCCAAACCGACATTTGAAGGGAAGCTCAGGAGCTCTCTCCTATCCAATGTATCCATAAAAACAACAAAGCTCGGGAACTTCAATTTTCACCACCTTGTTTCCTAGCTGTACAAGTTTACACATAATTTCACCCGACCATATTTCTCTTACTGTTCGTACCGATTGAATAACTTCTCGCCACAGGCGTCACAAGAGCAATTAGCTCCATCCAGCAGCCACAATGGCCAACCAAACCACCCAATCCGAACCCCCGGCCCCCAACACCATCAGCCTACGCGCGCCCTCCAAATACTCATCCGACGCGTCCAAGGCCCCAACGACAACCAGCGGCGAGCCCTTCGTGACGCCGCCGCTCGCCTGGCTCTGGCGCACGTGGTCGGTGACGCACTCGACGCTGTCCATGTGGCGGTCAGCCAAGAACGTGCGCATAACCTACAAGCCTTTATCCTCGCCACCCGACGCGGCGACCGCGACGACCGCCAACGACAACCTGGTCGAGTACGAGAAGAGCAGCGGCAAGGGCGGCGTCAAGAGCGTCGCCGGCGTCGAGAAGCCCGACGCCAACATACCGGGCGCCTGGAACTGGCGCGGCAAGGGCCTGCTGGCCATCGCGAGCTCCCACTGGGAGGTCCTGGGCTGGGGCGAGCGCGAGATCCTGGACGGCGTCGGCGAGGAGCGCGAGAGGTGGGCCGTCACGTGGTTCGCGCCCACGCTGTTCACGCAGGAGGGCGTCGACATCTACAGCGATCGCAAGGAGGGGCTCAGCAAGGAGACGGTCGACGGCATCATGAAGGCCCTCAGGGAGCTGAAGGACGCGCCCAAGGTTGTTGAGATGGTCGAGAAGAGCATGCAAGAGGTCGAGATCACCTTACCGTGGCAGGAGAAATAGGGGGTGAGAGAGGAGGACATGAGGAGCTAGCTAGGATGGGCTCGGATGACGGTTTTACGGGGGAGTGGTAATTAATACAAGGAGTGGTAGTGCAATATGATACCCAAGACGAGTAGATCGTCAGAAAATGTACTAATAAGATGCTTTCCATTCACAACAGACATGGCATGCGAGGCCATGATTGGGGGTATCTAATGCTAACGAGTCCGTAACGCCATGATCCAATGTGTATGCATGCGGTTCTAGTAATTATCAGTCTTTGCCGATCTCCTGCGGTCAGATCGCGACAGGTCGCTGTGTCCAGCTTCGCTGTCCCGTTTGGAGCTCTGTTGCTTGCTATCGCTGCGATGCCGCGACTTGTGTTCGGACTTCTCCTTGTGGCTGGAATGGCGTTCGTTGTCTCGTCGACGATCCCGCGAGCGCGACTTGTCCTCCTTACCACCGCGGTCGGAATCCGGTGGTGGTCCGTCCAGACGGAACCCCTCGAGTTCATTGACGTGGTCTGCTCTGCCGTCCCGTCTCCGCCTCTTCTCGCGCCGTTTCTCTTCCTTGCGCAAGAGTTTCAGCTCCCGCTCTCGTTCCGCATTCAAGACCTTCCTCTCCTTCTCGACCTCGCGCACCTTCGCGGCACCCCTTTTCATCATAGCTAGGGGATCTTTCGAGACGACGCGCTTCGCCTCTCTCTCCTTGCGCCTGGGATCCTCGTTGCCCCAGACGTCCTTGGCAGGAACTAGAGCCGCGGCATTCCCGTCCACGAGCGCTTGTATATCGCCGCCCTTTTCGTACCACGCCGGTCCCGTGAGGCTGCTACTGCTATCCCGGCCGGCGGCGTTGCTGAAGCGCATCCTGTACTGGTCCTCGTACTCGCGCCGCTTCTTCTCATTATCTTTCTCCGCCTCCTCGTTCTTCTGGGCATGTTTGTGGGATAGCGGTGGAGCTTGCTCTTCGGGGAACAGCGAGAAGTGGCCCGCGTGGTCTATGAGCGGCGCGTTTCTGCTGCTCTCCTTCTTGGCCAAGGCGTTCCTATCGTTTTCAGAGGGCGCAGCACCCGCGACCGCGCGCTCCCTCGCAAGCCGGAGCTCGAAGTCCGTGTCGTCCTCGCCCGTGCGCTTGCGCTTCCTACGCTCTCGGCCGCGGTCCCAGTCCCGAGCGGACCCGTCGCGGTCTCGTTGTCGGTTTTCGGTGTCTGATTTGGCTTCGTTCGCGGCCGCGGGCAGGGGCGGCGGGACTTCACCCCGTAGGAGCGCGAGGCGGCGCTCGGCATCGACTTCTTGCTGGCGCTGCTCCTCGGCTTCTTCCCGAGCTGCGGCGGCAGCCTCGTCGCGCTGCACGCGCACGATGTTGTCGGCGTTGTATACGTTCCATGATTTCTTGCCTAGGAGGTGCCTGTTGTTCGCGAGGGTTAGTGGGGGAGCGGAGGGGGGACAGCCGTATCGCACGGTGGCAAGGAACTTACAACGGCATGATTGTTGTATAGCGCGTGCTGACTATGACATGTTATTGGTGAGGTTGTAGGGAGTGTAGTAGTTGTTCCCAAAGACAGGTGTTTGTAGAGGAAGAAGAACTGAAGCTCTCGGGACCTTATGTCGTGAAGCAGTTCAGGTGGGATGTCAGGACAGTACACGAGTCTCGCAAGCACTGTCCTTCTTACTGTAGAGCCCAATTGCACAGTAGCGCCTTTTCGGGCTCACCCACATCCTCGCGGCTCGACTCCCATGATCCATCATATCTGCACCTTCAATGACGATGCTGGAGGTTCGTTCTTCCAAGTTCCAAGTTCGTCTGGGGAAAACATCATGCTTTTCACCGATGCCTACCTATTTTACCTCGCCCTGCAGTTTCCCCTCTGTTCTTGACACTCCCAAGCTCCAGTCCCGCCGGTGATGTTCACACTTCTGAGCCAAAAAGCGATCCATACCAATATATTCATTAGCCAAGTGCGCTTGGAGCAAAGTCGTGGATCGCAGACCCTGTGTTGAATGACCAAAGCTTCAGTACTACAGAGTGCCTTTACCAGTATACCTCTTTTCCAAGACAACATACCCCAAATCCGCTCATCGTAAGGCTTCTGAACTGAAAGATCCCCTCTTCGAACTTCCCAGTCCGAAAAAAAAAAAAAAAACCCCTTTTCCGTCACACGCTCACACATGCCGTCAAAGTCCTTACAAAGTCCTTACAAAAACACATCAAGAAGCTTCACCCATCGCTTCCTTTGACATAAAACACTTAGGACGCGAACAAACGCACAGAACAAACGCACAGAACAACCTTAAATGCATCCCGTGGTCTGTAACAGACGCTGCCGACGGCGTAGAAGGGGTACGAGATGGCTAATGGTTAAAGAGACCATCAAGGTCGCGCCACGCCGACACCTCACAAACTCTAAAGCCGCCGCAAGACTCATCGAAGCCACGCCGAGGGACTCCCAAACTCTAAGCCCAACCCTCCCAGTCCTTTGAATCTATATCACCCATATGTATATCCAAACTCTCCGACCAGTAGAAGAGCGGTTTGGAGATCCGAACAAGATCGTTCCGACTAAGGCCGAGGAAATTGTCCTGAAAATCCGCGCATGCTTCCGCGGTATTTCTGGCAGCGTTCATGACACCATCGCGAGCGCGATTCAATTCAGTGTGGAATATCGTCTGCGGCACAGGGTCGACGCAGTCGAAGGATATCGAGCCTCGATGCATACGGACTCGTAGCGTCGACTCCTCGACGAGGCTCCTCCGCCGCATCGCGCGCACCACCTCGTCCGGCGTGTCGTGCGGCATATCAATGAGCGCAATGCGCTCATTGAAGATACGGATCTCGACATCGCCGAACACCCGCTGCCCGTGCTGCGCCGCCCAGAGGTTCGTCTCGAGCTTTACTTTTATCGACGGCCGACAGCGAAGGGCCCTCCGGCCAAGCCTACTCAAGCGCTCTATGGCCGCGTTGTCGCGGCCGGGCCTCAGCTGGCCCATTGCGGCCAGCGCGTCGATCCGGGCGATGTCGGTGTAGTTAGATCGCGCTTCGCAATAGAATGTGCACCGCGCGAAGAAGACTGGCACGGCCTCGGCCCGGGCGTGCCGGCTGACGAGCGAGAGCGCGGGCTCGCGCAGCCCGTGCAGGTTCCGCGGCTCTCCTCCGCCGTGCTCGGCGGACATGGCAAGGTGGTAGATCTGCAACCGCAACTCGGGTGGCAGGTCCATGAAGCGGTGGAATGTGGGTGGGGGGGCCGTACTTTGCCTCGTGGTCGCGTCGCCGGAACTCTGCCTCAAGCGCGGCTATTGCGTTGTCCAGTGGGCTCATCTTCGCCTTGTCGCAATTCGGGATGATGCTGCTGCTGTTGACTTGCAGGCGTGCAACTGCCAGGTTCGATTGGAGTAACTTGCTGGGTCTTGAATAAGGTACGTGGGTGTCGACTGTGTTTGTTGTCTGGTTTGACGTGACCGTCCCGCCCGTTGGAACTCTAGCTGCCCCTGCCCGTGTATACGTGAGCTGGGATGGAAGACGTACGACGACAATCTCTTCATAGATGGGAAAAGGTTCAAATCCTGGCAGGGCTTGCTTTTGCTTGAAGCTCCCATCCGTTTGCTACCCCTCTCTTCTACGTGGGTGCGGAAGTCGGTACAACTTCAATGCAAGGCCTATTCCATTGGGCAGGCTCACGGTGTAACGAAGGCGCCCAATAACATCGCGGGGCAGAAGCCAAGAAGCATGCCTGCATTGAAGCTATGACTGTTGACGGATGATAGGTCGTCCTCGTATACTGCAAAGTTGATCATCAACAGGGTGGCGATTGCATCCAGCTTTCATGACGCCGCGGCAAGACCATAAAAAGTTCCCCTATATTTGGTCCCGAATAGCTCCGCTGGAAGGATGAAGGTCATGGTGTTTGGCCCAAGGTTGAAGATGACCTGCGCCAGGACGTATAATAATATCGTGAATGCGTGCTTGTCGGTTTCGAAAGTGACGAAGAAAGTACCCCCGTTGATGGCGAATAGTCCAGCGAGCGCCACGAACATCCAGCCCATCCAGGTCGCCCGAGGGACGTAGTTAATGGCAAGCAGGATGATCACGCTTCCAGGCAAAGCCCCACTGGAATTGGTGACGATGTTCCGAATGCTGTCTTGTCTCAACATCTCGTATACCGTAAAGTCGGGCTGGGCTGGGTCCGCTTGCCACGTGGCACAGCTCACATCGGAACCAGACCAGAAGAGGTCGAGTTGACAGAAAGTGGTACTTCTTTCAACAGCCACATCGTGGATATGGTCTTCGGGTTGTCGAACCCGAGGCCGTAATATGCTAGGCCCAAAAGCCACCAAGTCACCATTACGCCGAGCAGAGCACGCCAGTGACCCCTGTGGATGAGATGATTTCTAATTTCAGTGACATACTCCGTCGTATTGCTCCACCAGCCCCGTCTGCCCTTACTCAGCTTACCCAGGGACGCATTCGAGAAGCTTGGCGTTGGTGTTCGGTTATCCTGCGGCGATGGCTGGATGTTGGCTGCTGGTGCGTATACGCGTCCAGCAGCTTCAACCGCGTCTGCGATCCGCCCTTTCTCCGCCAGGTATGAGGCGTCTCTGGTATTATCCGCCTCAACACTAAAGAGATGAGAGCAGGAATAGCACCGATACCTATAATCAACCTCCAAACACGATCACGACAATATGGAACCTGGTACGATATTAGCGGTAGTTCAACTTGTATCTTCTGTCATCAAACTCAGTCGTCATATCACCTTCGAGTTCTTCGGACCGGATACCGCGCCCGGGAAGCTCAGGGCTCTCAACGAGCGCCTCCAAAGTTTCAACACTTTGCTTGGAGACATCCTGAAGGATCCCAGAGCACCTGACAAGCTATCGAGAGCAGCATACCCCGACAGCATCTCCGTCCTCAAGACCCTCAAGGAATTTTAAGCCTTTCTCGAGGATTATCAGACCACTTTCTCCGCGACAATACAGTTCGGAGCATTCTCCCAGCGTGTCGCCTTACTTGCTGGTCCTAACGGCTTCAGAACGGAAGAGTTTCACAAGAAGATCGACCGGCATTGCCATGAGCTAGAGCTTTGGCATGTTCGCAACGTATATAAAAGCGTTGACAACTAAAGGAGCTGCAAATTATTAACTAAGTTATTACTGCCCTCGATGATTCTAAAGCGCGAGACAGGATGACTCGAAAGCCTTCGACTCCAGATGCCTCGAATAGCAACCCGCAAGCCTTCCTGTGTACGAACTCAGCCAACACGACTCCTATGATAGAAGCCCAAGGAAGGACCCAGTCTAGAGAGATAGCGACAGAGTCACCCATGGGGCCTCCACGATTCTCACGTTCCAGAGCGCCACATCGGCCGCTGTCAGTCAATCTCAAGCCCGACTTGCCCTGGTCCAGTTGGCTACAGGCAGCCTTGTCACGTTCCTGTTATTGAGCCCGTTTCTGGCTGGATATGGGCACGGAGTCAGGATAGTGATATCAGTCCTGGCGGAGTAACACCAATAAGCCTGATGTTCCAGGAGCTCACTTATCTCTTTCTTCTCTCTTACTGTGAGATTTCAAAGTGTTCTATTAAGGAGAGGAATTCCAGCTACTCTGGAGCGGCCAGAGTGGCCCTATATATATCCAAGATACTAAAGGAAAGGATACGTGGCCTTATATTGGCCACGTATGTGACAGAGTCACGAATGGGGATGGTGATCCTGAAGGATGACTATGGATGGGCTAACATAGCCCAGAATCCAACACTTACTTGAATCGAGTCCAAAGCACTATGTATCGTTGTGAGTCCGGTGTGTGCCTCTCGCTGATGCAGTCTGACGCTAACGCCAAGCCAGGATCATTGGCACACGACTCACCTACAAGTTTGCGTCTGATTGCTATCGTGTGTGTGGTCACGAAGCCACGCGGGTACTTGACTGGTCCAATGATAACGTCCGAATCAGGCATTTCGGCAAGAGCTCCTTGCGCGGGTTGAGGAATGCAAAGCTGACCGGCTTCCGGTCCCGGCGGGTATGATGCGTACCCCACATACTAGGTAGACCTATGGATCCGAAGATGAAAGTGTCATTCTTGCCCCGAGGGTCGATGAACGTTGAGTTCAGTGATCACTTCGGGGTTTCGAAGTATGTGACGCACGCCCAAGTCAACGCTCCAGACGAGGCACACAGGTTCGTGACAAAGAGACCCATGACCGACTGGAACTCTAGCGCCAGAGTGGTGCCAGCATCGAATGCGAGCCACGAGCCCCAAATGATGATCATTGCGATTAATACGGACAGCGTGCCTTGCTCTGCTCGTCGCTTCCCTGCGAGGCTTGGCGAGGAAGAGAAAGGAGTGAGAGTCGAAAATCGAAAAGGGAAAGTTGAAAGTTGTAAGTCGGAAGCAGCAGGCAGGTACAGCTACCTCAGGTACGAAAATGAGGTGTCGAAGCTTCCTCCATTGCAAACATATGCTGGAGATCACAACAAGCCAACGTACCGAGTTTGTTGAAGAGACAGTGACGTATCAGTTCTCCCACAAGGCGAACCGCGAAACCTTGTAGAAGAGGATCCGTGCACGAGAATCCCTGGCGATGATACAAGCGTTGAAGGTACACAGATCCGCAGAGCATTATATTGCCACGGGGGTGCACCTGAAAATCTGGCGGCGGGACGAGCACGAGGAGGAACCGACCTTCCCTTTCGCGCATCATGGGAAGAGCGAGGCAAACCACCAAGCGGAACCAAGCGGAATTCGTCATCCGCTGGTTTAAGCGGACACCGGAACTCAGGGGAGACTGTCGGGCAAGGCTGCGAGTCTACTCCGTTGCGCAACTTGATATTATCGTAGAGGGTAATGCTAGGGTCTCCTTTTGCCTGGCATGTTGAATCAGGGCTTTGACTGCCTGCCACACGGCATCACTCCCGCTCAGATCGGGTACGGCTGCCGCCGCCGGCGTCAGAAAGGTGTTGATAGGAATGAATAGCTCGAGGACCAAGGTCTCGGGTTGCGCGATTGCAAGGTATTGCAGCTCCATGCTGGCCAGCTCGGTGTCGAGGCATTGTTTCCTGGTTTTCAAGGCTTCCGATAGCGTTGCAGATGCCACTCCTTTCTTCGTATTCTTTGTCTTGTGTCCCTTCTTTTTGGTCTGGGCCTTCGCAGAATCGAGTCCAGCTGCCGCTCCATTCAGATAGGTCGAGATTTCAGAGAAGCAATTCGTAGCAGTGCAGCCGTCTCTTATGGCCTTGCCCAGACCAGACTGCTTAAGAATAGGGGCTGCCGTCTGTCCCTTTTTTGATCTTCCGCTTGGAGGCATCCTTACTTTGAGCACTTTCCTAGAGTGCCTCAGCAGTATCTGGAGACTCATCCCCGAATATCCTGTCAGAATGAATTCATATTGCGGAGTTCAGGATGGGGTAGTCCTTTTCCGCGATGACCTTCAGAATGCAACCGAGTCTATGCAGGTATGCCAATGCCACGAATGGCATGCAGTTGAAGTCCTGTGTCGGCAAGTCACCGGGTGTTCTTATCAGGGGTTATACGGCAATAAGGGGTTATAGCCGAGATGCGGGGTAATACAGGTGTGTATAAGGGGGTCTCGCTCCCTAGAGAACTTTAGGACCAGGTTTCAACTGTATACAACTGTCTCTTTCGGAATGGAACATATGTCACGCTACCAGCCTAATTTTTGTTTGACAGTTCCGCCCCCTGTCTTCTGCCCCATGAAGGCAGCAAAATTCTGAACCATCTCCGCTAGGATAGTTCCATCCTTAAAGGGCTCCCGGAACCTGTGGCGTGCATGAGTTCTGGGAACTTCTGGGTAGCTCTTGTTTCCTTTTATCACATCAGCCTTGACTGCCGATGGTGCGAAATCGTCTGGAGTTAGGATAAGATCGGCACGTGGCTCATCGACTGGATCCAATCCGAGCTTTTCCACGATATCCTTTGCATTCCCTGGAAGAGCTTGAACTTGTCCCATGTTGTTGGCGATATCCATGCTCTCGCTATCATGTAGGTCCACCAATATTTGACCTGCTAGCACGGCAACGGTGCTGACCTTCCCAGTCGTCCAGACGCAACTTAAAGCTTTGTGTATTGGATTGGCCGCCAAGATACGTCCCGAGGCAGGAGCTTTGCGATCCTTGCGGCCGGGAGGGTAATGCGGCTGCTCGCTTCTGATTGTATCAAGCAGCGCCATATCCAAGATGATTTGGGCGATGAAAGTGTCCTGAGCCTCGAACTTCGTGAAGTTGGGCGTGGCGAGATACTGAGGCCGTGCGCCATAGTAGAATGTCATCGGCAGCACCGGCGCCGGCCAGCCGAAGTTGGCTTGAAGTTTGGGCATGATACGTAGTCGAGCAGGCTTTCTGCAACGGGCAACAGACTGAATTTGTCGAAATCTGTGAATCTCTCACCCTCATGCGCCTTCTTCAGCCCACTTTGAGGGTTACGACTCGCGTACAAGAGGCCCACAAGGTCATCATAGACGTTGCCGGAGGATTTGTGAAATTTGTGGAAAGTCGCGTAAATGCGGCTCTCGCAGGCCTCCTGCCACGTCGAAGCAGTGTATTGTTAGCAACGACGCTGTCGTGAGAGCAATTTCGCCGGCCATATGGGTTCTCCAAATGCGAACAATCTCTTTTCTGAAATCGTGCAAGTCTTCGAACTATGAAAATGACATCAATGCTATTTCTTTTTCTGGGTTCATATCCAATATATAATCCATCGTGGTTTGCATAGCAGGAAGGGAGATGACCGGCCACTCGGCATCCGCTGGTAGTAACGCGTAAGTGCGGCGCGGAGGTTGATCGTTGTGATTCTTCTCGCATCAGAGTCTTCCGAGCGACAGACGCTGCAAGAGAAAGCAAAGTCCTAGCTTGCTAGCTAATGCTTCCGGTCGCCCGCGGTGGCGTAGACCATCTCCGGGCGGTAGTTGATGGTTACCTCCTCTGGCACTGGCGACTGGGGAAGGTCTTCACAACTAAAAACATCTTCGACACGAAGGACTGAAAACGTACTGCCACGCTTCATTCTAGTTAGTGTTGGAGCGCATATCACTGGGGTTAGGACTGGAATTACCTCATGACTGGGCCCAGTCTCGTGCCAGTAGCATTCACGGCGTGATCGGTAACTTTAGGGCTTCGCGGATTGGCTGAGACGGCAGCAAGTGAAAACAGAACCAGACGCCAAGACCACGAACGGACGACTTAGATTGAGCAAAGTTGCTCTGCAGCTATGTGGCCGGGGGCAGGTACGGACGGAGGAGAGGCAACGTGCGACGAGAATGGCGAACTGCGCTGGGCCGACGAAAGAAAGGCGAGCTGTCCCTGCGGCATCGACTGCGGCGTCGTATCAACGGCGTCGGAGCGGGAGTGGGAGCCGTGATTCCCATGGCAATTTCCATAGTCGTCTCCGTTCTGAAACCGCCTATGTCTGTGTCGATGTCGACATCCATAGGCTCGTAGAAAGCGACCGAGTCACCTACCACTGGATCGACAGAATCATCTAGATACTCCATTAGGAACATGATGAAGTGTTCGGGCTTTTCAGTGCTTCGTCATAAATCGCCTCATTTTGGCGTTACCAAGCACCGCATCATCCTCTGAGACGGATGGCATTTTGCAGTGCCGGGAAGATGTATGTTGGCAGGAAAATTCTATACTCAGTAAATATCCTTGCTTGAGCAACATTATATATAGTCGTGAGCTCTTCACGGCACTTGCGCTTCCAGCCATGAATAACCGCGGTCGGTTCCATTCACGGCAAAATCAATCCAGTGTTCTCTTTTTAGTAATCGTATGTGGTACGTAAGAGGAAACCGTCCACATTTCAGTTCGACCCAGTGATCGTGAGGCTGCACAGTGGTTCGTGTGAAGTAATGCTGCTATGAAAGGCCGACAACATCCCCTTCGACGCTGGCTCGCTCGAATTCCATGTCCTCTGCATAGTCGTCTGCCTGCACGTGGTGATCTGCCTGGTCGTCTTCGTTAAATGCTTCTGGTAGTACTCCGTGCAGCTCTGCCGGTATCAGAGGCCTGTCTATGTTGGACTAAGGCCACTATGCTGTTAATATTGACGTCTGTAGGTGAGGAAGTGAATGTTTTGTGTTCTGCGTATGCGTGAGGTCAGGTTGGTGTCTACTGACAGCAGTGTACAGGTTCTAAGGAGAGCCCACATCTTTAGAAAATTGTTGCTAGACAGAACAGGAAGTTACTGCATTATCGGAGTATATACAAATATGCAGTTTACAATTGCTGGGTTGCAGCGAAATACCATACTTGCTCCCTTTATGTACCGCTTCAACAATGATACAGGTCGGCCTAAGTGACTCTTGAAATTTTGGAAACATTGGTCCATCGGACTGAAATACCTCAGTAATTTCAAAACTTCCAGTGGCCAATTAACAAATGCCTATAGTTGAAGTTTGCATGGTAGCATAGAGGTTTGATGGCCCTACCTTGAAGAGAGGCGGCCACCGCAGAAAAAAAAACCAAACAAAAACAACTATTTTTCTTGGCGCCCCGCTGTTAGGGTGCAACCTTAATATTTGTATTAAAGTAGGCACTTCTCTCAGTAACTGACTATCTCTGCCAAGGCACAAGAGAATTTTTCTCACAAGGCGGATGGCACCCTCCCACGATGGGCCCCCAAACACGCCCGTGGCCGTCCCAAAGACGACTACCGGCGGCATGCTCAAATCCCCGGCCCCTAGAAAGACATACAGCCCGGCAACTCCGAGCAGGCTCCGCCAGGCGCTGCTTGACGACATCAGCAGCAGCCCGTTACAGGTCTCTGAGGCTGACTTCACCATTATTTCCCCTCTGAAAGGAAAATCCTGAAATATTAATGACAGCAGCACCACTGGAATGAAATGACCTCAATTGAACAAAATCTCAACAGATCAAGTTATTACACGCGATATAGGGAATAAAGCCTCCTCCTCAGAGTGCCAGGATCAAGTTGCCAGAATACTGATTAAAGACAAATACCTCTATAAAGCCAGGATGACAATGTTTCAAGAGTGTGCTGCAGTGGTTGATAAGACACTTAAGAAAGCTGGAACCGAACTATACTCTCATGCCAAGGAATTCAGCGCTTTCTTCTCTAAATGTCTGAGCGAGTGGCTGGAAACCTGAGATCCGCCCAAAAAGAAGACTATCCCTGGGGGGATAGGGATGGTAAAGCCCACCATGACCTTCGCCCAAGCTGTCTCTTCTAGCCAATAATAACATCCACGGACAGTCAACACTACCATAAAAAAAACAGAGCCTGGCGCCCTTATCACTGCTAATCAACTGAAGAAGAAACAGGATGATCTCCTGGTCTTTGTCCGCATGGATAATAACTACCTAGAGCCTTACAAAATAAAGTCTACACTAAACAGAAGACTTAAGCTCCACCCTTAAGAGCTTAGAAAAGTGACCCGGTGCCCCTCCGGATTTACCTTACACCCAAGGGACAAGCCAACTCAGGCTAAGCTCCTGGCCTTCCAAGAAGAAATCACTGATATTCTTAAGGCAGAAAAGATCAAGACCTACACAGTCTGGTATCACTACAAGGTCGATAAATGCCCAAGAAAGGTCATCAGTGCAGAAGGGTTGACGATCAACATTACCAATATTGCTGTTGCTAATGAAGTTAAAGCCTAAACAGGTGACAGACCTTTGAGTGCATACTCTCAAAGAACACAGTTGATTCTGATCTGGAGACCACATGGGTGATCTCTCTGCCCTGTGCAGCAAAGAAACCATTCACGCTTTTTGCTCACTCAATGACCTCGAGGCACATTTAATACTTCCCTAAGGTTCACCAGTGTGCAAGCTGCTTCAGATACCATAGTAGGAACTACCAATATGAAAAGTAAGTATGCGCACGTTGCGCCAGCGCAGTACACCAGAGGGATTGCGAAAAACCAATCCCAAAGTGTGTCAACTGCAAAGGACCTCATACTGCCAACTTCGACAAATGCCCTGCACGCCCCAAGGTCGTGAAAGGTATCATCCATAAGCACACATAGGAGCAAATCCAGGAAATAAGGCTGGCCGGAGAAAGAGCCAGATCCAAGGCCTTCAATGAAACAGGCAAAAACCAAGCTGGGTCAACACCCAGCAATAATAACAAAGACATCACAATGTAAATCGACACAACAGATACAACTCATCCCAGAGATGCCGATACCATTGTTGTCAGTCAATGTTAGGTACATCAAACGAAACACATCGACACGGGCATCTAGTCATCCATTCTGTGAATACAACAGGAGGACAAAAGAGTGCAGGCCCTACAGAGTTAGCCATCAACCTGGCTGACTACAAAGGAGAAGAAGCAGACATCATTCTGATGCAAGAGCCCTGGGTTGACATACCACCAGGCAAGAGAATGGGAGTAAAGACACACCCTAATTATGATATATACTCCCCAGTGGATTCCTGGGACAGCGACAGTACACGGCCCAGATCTCTTATCTATGTAAGAAAACACCTTTAAGCGGATCAATTTCGGCCCTATGCTACACGAGACATCACCTAGGTCAAGGTACAAGGCATTACATTTGCTAGTGTCTACCGGCCATGTGACAACCCACAGGAAATGGATGACATTTTGGAAGTATGGACTCCACCTTTTGGCTGCGTTATAGCTGGAGATTTCAATACTGGCGACACATCCTGGGACTCGAGCAATCCAGGATATCATGGTGGTGTCATACTTGCACAGACTATGGCAGACCACAGACTGGATCTGATTTCTGAACCAGATATCCCAACACATGATGACAGAAATGTACTAGATCTGGTGTTCTCAGATGTCCCTAGGGCTGAAGCCTCAGTCAATGATACACTTCAGTGCACCTCAGATCATAAGACATTACGAATAGTCATTCCAATTCAGGGAGATCTAGACCAAGTCCCCAAGGCCAATTATTGGATAGTACCAGACGATAAACTACAAGAGCTGGCAAATAATGTCCAAACCAGGATTCATGAACTCCCCTGGCTGGGTGTATCCCCTGGCCAGGTGGATGCCTTTACACAAAGCTTGATCAACATGATCCAAGGCTGTATCAGGACAGTGGGCAAGAAGCCCCGTCAATCTAGGCCCACTGCTTGGTGGAATAATGACTGCAAAGCAGCTGTTCAGACATACAGGGCCCTTTCTAAATAGACTACAAGCCAAGAAGGGCGGAATTCAGCCCGATGGGAATTTCGCTGCGTGGTTCGGAAAGCTAGGAGAGAGTACTGACAGACTTTAATCAATTCAGCAACTGAGCCAAAGGACCTATACAGAATCGTCTCTTGGCACAAGCTATCAGCAGGATTGCGTTCCTCTCTAATCATCATAAGAGACCAAGTATTCGAGTCACAAGAGAGCAAGGCAAATACACTACGCTCAGCCACGCTTGAACGAAGTACCTCAAATAACCATATCATCAACCCCTGGTCCGCTCAGATCATACAACCCAAGCCATACATCCCCCTTGAATACCATGTCGGACTGGAAGAGGCTGAAGGGTGCATTTTAGGGACCAAGAGCAACTCCCCGGGAGTAGATACCCTCACAGTACGGATTCTGAAAGCTTGTTGGCCATTCATTGGGGAACATATCAGAGCCCTTTTCCAGACCTGCCTACAGATTGGACACCACCCTAAACTATTCAAAGTAGCTAAGGTGGTAATGATCCCAAAACCAAGAAAGAAATACTACTCTAATCCCAGGGCTTATAGACCAATATCGCTATTGTCATGTCTTGGCAAAGGCCTAGAACGACTCATCACAAAAAGAATTACCTGGTTTATTGTCAAACTTAGAATTCTAGCTCCATAACATTTTGGAGCTCTACCAAAGCGCTCTGCCACTGACCTGGTAGCTGCATTCATATACGATATTGAGCAGGCCCTCGACCAAGGCCTCGTTACAACGGTAGTCACGTCAGATATGAAAGGGGCCTTTGATGCTGCCCTAATGGGACGGCTGGTGGTTCGCATGAGAGAACAGAGCTGGCCGGGCTTTCTCATAAGATGGGTCCAGTCATTCATGTCCGAGCGGTCTGCAAGGGTTTGGTTTGAAGGTATTATGACCGATATTAAAGCTCTCACTTGTGGGCTATCACAAGGCTCACCAGCCTCTCCAATCTTTTACATGCTGTATACAGAGCCAATCTGTGTCTAATTGGGTATGAAAAAGAGACGCTTTAGATATGCAGATGACCTAGCAACTCTCTGTATTAAAAAAAACCTTAAGGAAAAAGTTATAGAGGCTTCTAAAAATCTTCACTTGCTCAATCAATAGGGACATAACAACGCTATTGAATTTGACCCTAACAAAACTGAGATCATGCACTTCTTAAGGAAAAAGAACTCAGACAACCCTCCAGTCCGCCACAGAACAATAAACAAAATAGCAAAGGACTTTATGCGATGACTGGGTGTCTTCCTAGATAGAAAACTAAACTTCAAAGATCATGTTTCCTATTGGGCCAAGAAAGCTAATAAGATAACAAATCACCTTTAAGGACTATGCAACACAGTCAAAGGACTTCTAATAAACTCAACCAAAAGGGCTGTGAAAGCTTGTGTTATTCCTATTCTTACACACGGCCTGGAGGCCTGGTACCCAGGAATCAAGAAAGTTGAGAGCTTAGGTGGGACATCAGTATATTGTATTAAAGGGCTTCTTAGAATAATAGATGCCATACTATGAACGGCGATCAGGGCTATCTTGCCAGTCTGGAAAACACACCCTGGACATATCCTATACTTTGAATCGCAGATTCCCCCAGCAGGAGTTCTTACAGAGTCAATAAGACGACGTTACGGCCTCTGACTAGAACGAATAGACCAGAGACACCCTCTTGTTAGCAGGCTCTAAATATAAGCTCGCAAGAATCCAATAAGGCTACAAAGGAGCTTCCAACTAGTCCCTGATTTTCAGAGACCAATACTTACCAGGCTATCATGGAAGAAGCCCCCAGTCCATAAAGACAAAAACAAAGAAATAGAGCTCTTCAAGCAATGGTTACAGGAGAGAAACGTGAATACTGACCTTGTCATCTATTCAGATGGATCATAATTGGACGACCAAGGCACAACCCGCACTGGATGGGGTTATACCATCAGGAAAGGCGGCACTACACAAGAAGTATACCGGGGAAAGGGCAGACTTCTCCAAACAGAAGTAATAGATACTAAAGTCCATGATGCTCTCCAAGGTTTTGCAGCAGCCAGGGCAATTAGACTCGGAAAACAGCTATATGTCTGCCTGGACAACACGTCAGTAGTAGATGGGCTCAATGGGACTCCACCCGAGACATCACAGAACATTTTTCTACGATCTCAAGAACTTGCCACAGCACACACTCCTGGAGTGACCGTCAAGTGGATTCCTGGACACAGAGATATTAATGGCAACAAAGCTGTCAACACACTAGCAAAAGAGGATGCCATGCTAGAAACAGACACGACAAACCTTCCTATAATCTCTTGGGTCAAGAGAGATCTCAAAAAAAAGGGCAAGAAAGAGTTCAACCAATGGTGGAAAGACTAATCAGAACCTAGGTATCAGAAAGTATACTTATATACAGTAACTAAAAGAGACCTTATATCTTTTAAGAGGAGTATTTTATACAGACTTCTAACGACCAGATTTAGACATGGTGACTTTGCCAGATACCATGAACGCTTTGGGCATACAGACTTGAATAATCACTGCAGCTGTGGTGAAAAGAAAACACCACAACACATTTTCTTTTGTAAGAGGCTGGGGAAAAACCGGCTGCTGCCTAGGTACTCGCCTAGGACAGCTTGTTTACAATACTTAGGGGAGAGGAGCACAGAATGGGCAAAATTCGTGGAGAAGAGCAAGTTCTTGTTGGATTCTGGGCTACGTTAGCCCATCCATAGTCATCCTTCAGGATCACCATCCCCATTTGTGACTCTGTCACATACGTGGCCAATATAAGGCCACGTATCCTTTCCTTTAGTATCTTGGATATATATAGGGCCATTCTGGCCGCTCCAGAGTAGCTGGAATTCCTCTCCTTAATAGAACACTTTGAAATCTAACAGTTCTTCTCATCAATCTGTCCCCAATAAATAGCTGTTCTTGAAGGACCAGATAGATGATCCCAAAGTCATACCGCCGCAACAACGGGGATGGGCTCGTGAGCGGGACTGACTGCACTTATTATCTTGATACCTCCACAACCCTGCGATGCAGAGGCTCTGGGAGGCGTGGTTTGCACTACTGAGGAGCTACGCCCCACGTTAAATACAAAACAAACAAACATTGAAGAGAGGCGGCCTATAGCTACTTTGCAAGCTTCAAAATGAGCTACAAACTCTATAACGGATGATAATACGGCACCAAAGCATAGCATCGGGTTTGACTATGTGACAAGACGCCACCTGAAGGATGTAACGTCCCTTGACTTGATGAGTCTGTCCATAATCCGAATAACTGTTGGGTGGAATGGGAGTACGGAAGCAACGCAGCACTCGGAACGATACGTCCATACGCTGGGGCTTCTTGACAATCTCTTGAAATTCTGTCGAGCGATGCTCCGCGGACATTCGTCAACTTATAAGTCCATACAAATCCCCGTATGAAACAAATGCTTCAGGCCAGCGTTCAGAAGTGACCGACTTACCAGGAGTCAGCCAGAGAAACGAGTAAGCGAAAAGTCAATCGACACAACATAAATACTGGAAAGCTCCTGGTACCAGGTGATTCAAATCATTAAGTTTGTCCGAGAGTGACTCCGGAGACTATGGTCATTGGTGGGTGATAAGCCCAAGACTTCTAGGTAGTCTTACACCCGCCCTCGTCTCAGCCCCTGAAGTCATGGATTGACGTATGAAATCTACATCCATCTCATATCCATAACAAATCCAGGAAAGGAGAGTCTCATTGTAAATCACGAATGTGTGAACTTGGTGCGATGACACTCGGGGGGGGGGGGAAGGGGTTGTCTACTAAAGCCACAAAGTACCCCAGTCACCAGCCACAAGGATAGCTTCAGCCACACCCCCACCAGTACCTGGCTGGAGCCTCAATCTGACATCCATGATACGTCACAGCTTGGGACATTGGAATTCCCTCAAGCATGCCTTTCCAGCTTCACAACCCTGATGCTAGAAGGCTGCCTTTCTATTAGGCTACAGCTCGAGCTGAAGCACATGCAGCCTTCCCAAATGCCCTAGACCTAGACTCTACGTTGACCGCAAAATCTCGAAGCGCACACCCGTCGTCCAACCTCCCCACGCGATGAACACCTAACCAACCCAACGAGCAGACAGTCGTAGTCCTACACACGCATCCAGTAATCCACCAGCCAAATCAACCACCTACGCACCTCGCACGCGCCGCCTAAGTCCAACAAGACGTCAGAACCGCTTTCCCTCCTCTTCTCCTCCCTCCCCAGTACCAGTACCAACAAACCAGCCAAGAATGGACCTCAAAACCGCAACCACGCGCCTCCGCCGCACCTTCGCCTACCCAACCGACACCACCACGCCCTCGTCCTCGCCCTCCCCCTCCATCGCCGACGTCGCGCTCGACGAGCAAGAGCAAGAAGAGCTGATCCACGCGCTAGCTCAACAAAACGCCTCGCGCAACGCTCAGTTCCGCCTCATACTCCTCGCACTCCCCGTACTATCAGCCCTACCCTACATAATCACCCTGTCCAGTCTCGTTTTCTCTCCTCGTCGAAGTAGTGGGAGTGGCGGCGGCGGAGATGCTCCAAAGAGAACGGCACTGAATTTTTACATCGCCCTCCTCGCCCTGTCCAGTTTAGGTGTTACGGCCTGGACGCTGTGGTCGCTGCCGCCGGGCGTGACGGGTATCCGGGCGCTGGACGCGTGGGTCGCTGGTAGTAAGAGGGGGAGCAACGGCAACGGCGATATACACGGCGGCAATGGTGATACAAGCAGCGACAGCTATGGCTACAACAGCATCAGTAGCGGTAGCGGTAGTGCGGTAGGAGGAGGAAGAAACGACACCACAACAACAGCTGCCCTGGGCCCACTAGGCGCCAACGCCCAGCGCCGCCGGCGCAGCAGCTTCTCGTTCTGGGCGCAGCACCGGTCGCCGCTGGAGCAGTACCTGCCGTTCCTGAACATGGGCCTGTGCGCCGTGCTGGTCGTGACGGGCGTGCTGTCATCGGGTGCTTCGTCCGTGGCGGCGGACCACTGGGGACACGTCGGGCTGGGGAACCTGCCGGCGATCGTCTATGTCGTTGTGCTGGTGGCCAAGATGGTCATGGGCAGTGTGGACCCGGAAAGGGAGCTCGTGGCTCTGCGTTACGAGTTTAAAGGGGCTTGAGGAGGTGTATAGTTGAACGACAGTTCTTATGAGTCTACGATACCCTTGTCTATCATTCTACCGGATAGGCCCAATAATGAAGACACGAGTCCAATTCCGTGGCAGCTGAATGCGTCAGGTCGTGCAAAGACATCTATCAGACCCGCTCACATGCCCCCAGTGAACAAGCTCTAACACTGGAAAGTTTGATTCCTATGGGCTCTGAAGCCATGTTCCCGTGACTCAGATAGATACCGGATGCAACATCTTGGTGAATTATGAATCTACCTATACACCTATAGACTCATTAAAGCGCAGGACACCATTACTCTTAAGCAGTCCATCGACGCCTTTAGGCATGCGTGGGAAGGGATCCGCGAGCCGCGGCTCTTCCACTCGCTCGGCTGACTTGTCAATGACGAGTGCCAGTCCATTCGACTTGATCGCGTCCACGAGGGCTGGAACCATTTCCTGCGCATGATCTGTTAGCCATTGCACCACTATGACTTATCATAGGTAAAAGGAAACCTGAGGTCGCCACTTACCAGAAGCCGAGAACAACATATCAGGCCCATGAAGTTATTGTTCTGTGCTATCCTCACAACCTCCTTGACGGAGAACGTCCTCCGGCCACTACTCTGAATGACATTCGGTGCAGGCATGACCTCTGCTCGTCCAAGGTCATTGCACAGGAAGACGGGGAAGTTGGGTTGTTTCCAGTTCAGCGTAGTGCAAAGCGTGGGGTTGTAGGAGCTGAAGACAACCGATCGGACCGTGTCAGGAGCCGACATCCTCCGAGCCCGCTGCTCTCTTGCGTGGTCAAACACGACTGTCAGCATAGCATCAAGGAAGCTGTTGACATTCACCGTTGGTCCTAGCCCGAGCATCCTTTCTTCGTCTTCAGACGGGTAGATGATCTGTAGGTTGACATGCATCGAAGAGGGCAAGATAGACAGGGCCTGTTCTAGAGAGATGCCTGCTGTGGACAAAACTCGATGGACCTCGGCGATGTTCTCCAGACCCTGTTGGGGCACTGACGCAAGCTGTACACGACTTGGGCTGGCGGCCGTGACAGTTGTGAACTGGTCATAAGACAATCGCGAGACCGGTATGTCGACACCACCACACTGTATCATCCACCGTGGCCATAGGACGGGAATACCGTCGCTGGTGTGTTGGACGTACACCTGCACGAAGTCACCAGACAAACTCGAGCCGGTGACAAACATGTTTGGATTTTGGTCAAGTTGGCTGGTCGCCTTCCAGTAGGTCTCAAAGTCTGTAATTTCCAGTGGTGCCCCCTGGAATGGCTTGATGACTTGAGTATTGAAGGTGATTTGGCCTATCGCCCGGAGCCGAGGATCAAATAACGGGAGGCAGCATCGCCCCGAGCTACTCAGCGAAGCTCGGAAAGTATTTGGAAGAGCAACCGTTTTCGCGATAATCTTCGCGCCGTATGTCGGGAAGACATCAAAATCGAGGGTGAATGTGTCGAGATTATCGATCTGGAAAGACACGAGTCGTGTATCCTCTTGGAAGGGCAGCATTATGTTTTTAGGTATGAGGTCGGAAAGCTTGGAGGAAATGGTAAGCCGCGAGGCAGGGTATTTGCTGTCGTGGAAGAATACCAGAGGCTGGTTTCCGTCTCCCTCAAAGCTGATCTGGACAACAGTCTTCGTATCCAGAAAGTTATGACCATACCGCCGCAGAGGTATGATAGGTGGAGGTAGTTCGAGTACTGGAATGGCGTCGGCATCCAGTGACATGGGATCAGGCGCGCTTCCACTGCCCAGTGGCGTCAAGAGAGACCCAGAGGGTTGCGGCACGAAGGGGCTTGCAGTCTTGTCTCGTTGACATGGCGTAAGTAACTGCATACATGCTAGATGCCCTTCCCAAGCAGCATAGTACATGGCAGGGAGATCTTTCTCGTCGACGATGGTCGGGTCGACACCCACGTTGAGCAGTTCTTGCAGGCAAGGCACGTTGCCCTCGCTTGCAGCATGAACCAGGGGTGTCCATCCATACAGCTTATCTACTTGGTCCAAGTCGGCACCATATTGCTGCAGTAGACGAAGTAACCGTGGTGTCTGGCCCGAACGGGCTACGAGATGCTGTGGGTACAGTCCTTCGGCATCGGGGAGTATCTGCGCGCCATGCTGCAGCAAGAGCTCCACGATCTCAACTGATCCGTGTTCGCAGGCCAGATTAAGGGGTATATGGTCTGTTTCCGACACGGGATCCGACCGAGATGACGTCGCTAGAAGCCGCTTTACGCACGCGAGGTGACCATGTATGATTGCGTGGATCAGGGGGGTGAAGTTGTCGTGGTCGATCAGGTCGATCGTAGTAGGATTAGCTGCACACCTACTTAGCGAGAACAGCAACAGTTGCGACCGGAACACGCACCTTGAAGTAGAGCCTCGAGCATGTCTAGCCGCCCATGCATGCTTGCATAATGCAGCGGCACCCGGCCGTAGACGTCTGTTCTGTTGACAGCGACCCCTCCAGAAAGGCCGACGCCCAGGACGAAGGAATTGCCGTAGATAGTCGCCTGGTGGAGACAATTTCGCTCGTTAATGTCATCTTCAGACCGGATGTCAACGAGCCCCGTCGCCAACAAGACCTCGAGGGATGCTTGGGGCGCCTCGTGGATTGCAGCTAGAAAGGTGCGGGTCACTCTTTCCATCAGTGAGATGTTCATTGTTGCCGGTGAGCTCGACGCAGCTTGCATTCTTGCGAGAAGGTCCCGTAGGGAGTCCAGGTTGCCGGTGATGGCGATATCCAGCAACAGACTATCTGCATCGCCTTCGTCGGTTCCGAGCAAGTGTTGACTGCTGACCATATGTTCTGTCCGGGTTTCAAACGTGACATGGTCGCCATCAGCCCAGGCACCTAGCTCTTGCAGACTCGTCGTAGCCTGATCAGAGAGCTCGCTGATGACTGGGGCATTAAAGAATGGCTGGACCTCTACAGCCCGTGAGAGGTATAGTTCTTTCGTCTTGGACTTGGACGTTTTATCCCATTTCTTCAGAATTTTGGAGAAGGCAGTTCCGTTGATCTCGATGAATTGTTGGAGTTTGTTCAGGTCGTTGGCGAATTGTTGAAACCCCTCCTCCAGGGTGGTGAACTTGGCAGATCGTCTGGAAACACCCTGGCGCGATTGCAGGACCTTCTTCTTGTCCAGCAATGTTTTGAGCCGAATTTTGAGCTAGAATGGGTGTCAACAACGTGTCGCAGGTAGTTGAGCTTGCAAATCAGTGTGTCCACCTACCTCGGCCTCCTTTTGCAGGTAGAAGGCATTGACCTTCTCAAGCTCCCGCTCCTGTAGTGTGTCAGCAACACTCCGAGCGCTAATCGGCATTGCACTCTAATCGTAGAAGAGGGTAGTCAGGTACTATCGTACCAATTGGAAGAAGAACTTTGCTTTGTTTGCCTGCAGAGCAACCTGGGTGTCTACCGGTGTAGGAGGATATTGATGGTCATTCAGGGCGCTCAATGTCGGGGTAGCAGAGAGTTTCTTGATGAGCTATTGGCTGCGTGTTAGTGGTACGAATCCGATCTCTACCGTGAAAAGAACCCCGTTGGCAGCGCAGGAACCAAATGCTAGCCCTTTTGTTGAGTATTGACTTTGCTATTTATTCAGGCCTGTAGGGCAAGGATACGTCCGGGGCACGTGGGCCGGAGAACGGATGGGATACGCACCTTTTTGAGCGCCTTGTAATTCACAAAACTGGCGGCATATTCAGGAACCTCAAGCTGGCGCTTCTGTATCTGTTTGCCGAACTTCCTGGGCGGGCATCAGCGAGTCCTCCAGCGAAGTCACTAAACAAGTAACAGTCCATGGGATGGTGATGGTTCCTGGCAGACGTTCTAAACTTACATTATGCAACGTAGGGGCCAGCAGCGGGCCTTTAAGACTGCTCACTTTATGGGCGGGCTCGAAGGTTGAGAAGAGGTCTTTCGAAAGAGGCTTTCGGGACTGCTGTCTGCCGTGTGCGACCAGATGCAGGGAAGCGGTGATACGAAGAAAAGGGGAGGGAGGACCAGGCGTGTACAGACGGTACGGAGGGGTCTCTCTATAATTAAGGGCTTAGGACGCTCTCGGTATCTATTCTGGGTCATATGGTCATCTATGAGACTGCGGGAGCCTGGAAGGGCACAGGGAAGAGGAGAGTTCTGTGAAGACCAAGGCACGCAGCATCTGCTCTCGGTCAGCCAAGCTCAGTGGCGATCAATGTTGCAGGAGTTGGTGAGGCGGATTACCTGAAGAGGGGTTCCGAAAGGCTCGAGCTGGCTGCACATGAGTTCGGCCAGAATGCGGCGTTCTAGGAAATGACAGCGCGAACGGCTGGGTTGCAGAATGTTCGTGTTGGCACAACCGGTGAGAATGTCGTGTACCGTACCTCTCTCAGTGCAAGTGACGATGGAAGGTCACGTTCACAACGCCTCGGTCTTGGTGTCTCTCGCTGTGCGAAGCTGGCGCAGTTAGGTAATATGCTGCATCAAAAAGCCGAAGTATTGGGCGGAAAGACGGGCTGCAACTGAAGCATTACGGCAGCGGTGGGGGTCAATGGGGGTGAGATGGTGACAAGGGCTCGGATTGGTATGTATGTAAGGTAGCTCGAGATGCATGCAGCGGCTGATGAACCCGATCAAATAGCAGGACGTGCAGATCCTGACAAGTTTGGGAAGTGAGCTGGACGCTGAAGGATGTGAATGTTAGAGGGAAGAATGGGGATGAGGATGAGAACGAGGATGAGGATCAAGTTGTGTTCACGGCTACCATTCTGGGATAGGAGTGTGGTGGTTCATCAAGGACCCAGACCCAGACGATCGAGGCACGCGAGGCCAGGAGGGGTCGATGAAAGTGCATGTGGGATGTGAGCTGTGGTCAAAGCTGCAAAGTACCTTACAGGATAAAACTGGGGACGAGACCCAGTCGAGCTTCCACCCCAATTGTCTCCTGTCCACATGCAGTCGGCACAACTTCACCCCTTTGCAGGTCCGGACCGGGACACCAGGCGATGTTGGGATGGGACAGATGGAAACTAGAGGATGTCATATGACAGGCTTGTCTGACAACACAAATGCCTCTTCAGAGACTGTGAATTTGGGAGGTCGAAAAGCTTTTGAGTCTTTTGACCATGTTCATTGTTCAACGTTGTTGGATCGCCCAGGATATGTCGGGTTGTGGGGTTGGGCTAGCGCCAAGGCAAAGCCATTCCCGCTATCACATATCAGGAATGGGCATGTCTGGTTGACATGTGTTGTTTACTTATCATTTTCAAGCAACATATCTCTCCTGTCAATGAGAGTCATCCATTCAAGACGATATACGACATCTTGTATTTAGAAATGCTTCAAGTATACACACATGTGTACAGGTAGGAGGAGCAGCTGTTGGTCGTGGAGGGGCAGGCGGGGGGACTATTGTCTATTACTTCCTTTTCCCCAAGCATTTACAACAGTGAATGGCCAATGAGCGTTCAGCTACTTACCTCGTGGCCTTACAAATTCGAATTTCGACCCGCATTTGATGCACGAGGCTGAATGGATCTGGTAGTGGGGTACATGTATCAAGACAGGTTCAGACTCCAGTAACATCAATTACCACCTGCATGAATCAGATCCTTCAAGGGTTTCTGGAATTCACTACGTAGTACGTAATGATTTATCGGGTTCCCACCCATCTTTTAGTGGTCCTCGAGACGGGCTGTCTGGGGTCGGTGACTACCGGTCTTCATCCCCGATCTTCCTACCGGTGAATCCCCGATGTTCTGCCCGATGGTAAAGTTTCACAACCTCTTCCACAACTACTTCTTGACTTCAGGTATGCGGTGGTGATCTGGTACTCATCTATTGTCTCTAGGTGGTATCGTTTACAAGACTTTCCGATTGGAAGTCAGAGAATGGTGTTCTACACCGCGAGCCTCGTCTGATACCCTCTCGCTTCATTACAACTTCGTCCCTATCCGTGCGTGGAATTGCAAGTCGTGAAGGCCTCATGGTCCTATCCGTGGCAGGCACCACCTTAGTCTCTCCTTCAGTGGCGCGTTCGAGGCTACATGAGATCGTGGCTTTACAGTCCACCTGCCACACCCCTGAACCCCCATTTGCCCAACGTCATATTGCTCGAACACTCCCTCCTGTGGTCAGTTCTGCTGACGAACCCTGCTATGAAGACATACGGGTTGGAGTATTGCTCCTGCAAAGACACGTCAATCTATCATGCGCGTCCACAGCAAGACTGCGAAGTAGCCGGTAAGCCCAACGCCAGTCTCGGTACCAATCCCGACACCGAAGACCTTGATCAAGATATTCGCGGTGTACTTACCTGCTGCTTCAGCGTCGTTCGCCATAAGGAGGGGCTCATCCGAACAGGCAAATCGCCAAGAAGCACGCCCTCGAATATTCAGAAATTTGGTTGAGGGGAGTGTGGAGACTTCTAAGGGTTCACAATGTCAAGCAGGAAACAGGCTGCATCGCGAACGTCGCCTGAACAGGCGCGACCACCCCGCTGAAAAAATGCCGCCTGAAGGCCTGGAAGTCAAAGGTTTTCGTCACGTCGCGGCCGGGGAACTCGCAGCGCAAGCACCGCTGCACGGCATATCCGTATGAATTACCGGCATCGAGGTAGATCCTGTCTAACTGGCGGTCTGCGATCTCGAAGTCGTCAACGATCGAGGATGGAAGGTCAGTCGACGACGAATGGCTGGCGGCCTGGCTCTCACGACGTATCTCTTCGAAGGTCTTATTCAGGCACAGCTCGATGAGGAAGATCCCCAGGGCGAAGAGGATCTTGTTGCGGATTTGGCTACTTTGGTATCTCTCCGACTCCGAAGCTGCGGCCAACTTGGGTGGATCATTCCGTTGCAGTTGATGGTCTGTAGTAGCGGTCACTGCTGCTGCTTTGAAGATGTATGAAACAGTTGGATGTTTGTCGGCGAGGATCTTGGTTGGCCCCTTTTCTTCGATGAGAAGCTGAGCTGGTCTTTCCCGCCCCAGTTCGAGTCGCTGATCCATGGTGATCCGCACAGGCAGAGGAGCCCCCATGCTGTTGCTGCTGTGAGCGAAAACCGTTGCCGCCTTGACAATGCCAAAGTCTTCTGGTCTGCCAGGATTGATGCAACAGTCATTGACTGAACAGGTCCTCGCCCCAGGCGCTTAGAGTCCAGTGCGAATTGGATATCTTTATCCTCGACGCTCGGTAAGGTACCCCTCTGCTCTGCCTGGATGTTGTTGACGTGTGAGCATAAACAAGATATCTGTTGAGAAACGTCGACGGGAACGTCGACAGGATCAAGGCTTGGAGGAGCTGTACGAGTCACGGGTAGTCAGCACGCGCTTGCAGTCTTCGGAGTCCAAACAGCTCGCAAAGGCTTCTGGCTTACCTGATTTCCCGTTCAACGTCAGGTTGAGAAGCTCTAAGTCGAGAGACCTCAAGTTGTCTTTCCACTCCTCCTTCCACTTTGTGATTCGAGAGTGAAGTCCGCTGAGCCAAAGGAGGTGGGGCCAGCGTTTTCACTCCTGCAGCAGATTTCTGTGACGTTTCCTCCATTTTCACGGAGATGTGACACCATCTGCTGTGAGGGCCCGACGTCGGCAGAAGCAGTCCGAAAGAGTCTGACGTTGGGACCTTCTCATCATGCCAGTTCAGCTGGAGTCGCCCATCATGGCCCTCCTTGCATGTACACTCCCATGATTTGGCGAGTGCATCGTGGAAGATCCTGGCATTGCGTCGTACTGTGTCACAGTGCTTTGGGTTGGATCTTGCTTGGATCTCTTCGACGAGCGGATCAGACTCGTCTGAAACTACCTCCGCCTTCTCGAAGACATTCTTCAGCGAGGTATTCCAGTACTGCAACTCATCCACGAGCTGCTGTCGTTCCCGTCGTCCGAAGCTGCGTTTGACTCGTCGCCACTCCCAGTTGGCCCGCTCGGGCGAGCTGGCCGCCCAATACGGTTTGCCGCTGGAATCGACGTCTAGCTTCACGATTAGCTTCGTGACAACCTGTTCCATGCGGCCAATGATTTCCAGGAAGTCGCTAGACTTCTGAGGGAACAACTCTTTCAAGTGTTCTTCGAGTTCTCTCGCAGATGGTTTGACGAGCCCGATATTCCGGAGAGTCATGTCGAGCTGCTCCTGCTGTATGGATACATTCATGCGAATGGTGGTCAGGGTCGATTTGTATTTTCAGTAGTCTTTCGCTGGATCCAGACACCTTTTGTAGTTGTCAAGGGCATAAAGCACCAAAGGGATACCCCCAAGGACGACGCCCGCTACCTCCATGGTCAAGGTGGTCGTACGGATTGAGAACTCGAAACGGCCTGGTGATGAGAACGGAGCATGGTCGGTACTGATTATCAGGCTCTCGCGTCTCACAGCTCGTTAGCTGTCCGCCACATGCACAAGGTGCCCGCTCTGCAGCGTGGAAGACTTGTTCCGCCCCCAGGTTACATCGGATATGCAAGCCAGTCCAGTCCACATCGTATATCCAATGAAGTACTTAAGCGCCGAATGACTGCTTGTTTCACTGCAAGTGGGTATTTGCCCACATAGCGGCCTTGACAGGCTACAGTTTTCGACCTTCCCAACCTCGATCCGCAGACACCTCCGCATAGGAGCCATGGATTATTCAGGGAACGAAGTACAGCCTTTTGAAATTTGGCACACCTTTGACCAGTGCATTCGACTCTACAGATCTCTGCTACTGGCGTTGGGAAGGGATGACAGCCAAGTCGTGGCGCTGGAACAAGTCGACGTCAATCGAGCCCTCGAAGAATATGGTCGCCTCAAAATTTGGGGCCAGCAGACAAAGGCTTCAGGGCCTCTGGCGGACTCGACACTTGATATGACCTTAGACTACACGCTGCGCCATGAACCGCAAGTCAAGGCCGGATTGCTTGAGATATTAGGCCAACTTGCTTATCATTTAGAGCTGGGTAAGTTAGTCGCCGTTCATAAGCATGCCTGCAGGGAGTCATTGTTACTGAATTCGCCGCGCTGACTGAACAAAGCATTGCCTCTGGCTCGCAAAACATACGATGCTACGGTTGACACTTCGGACCAAGACTCAGCGAGCAGTCTGAGTTCCATCAGTGAATACTCGTCGCCCAGCGGCTCTGAAGATGACGAAGTAGCACCATCCAGGGTTTCCAAGATTCCGGTCTTGATGTCTCACATATTCGAGCAAATCCAGCTTCTCTATCATCTAGGGGCACTGCTTCGCCGTCCTGGGTTATCTGGTAGGTATCTGCGGTCGTCCACGTACAGCGCAAATACCGTCTTCAGGTTTTGGGATCTCCGTTATGTTGAGGAAAAGATTCGCAAATGGAGAAAACAACCTCAGACTAGTGAGACCTTCACGTCGGAGGAAGAGACTGAGGTCACGGAAGACGTCCTACGTGTGAGACTGACCCAAGCTGACTCGATGGACGACATCGCGGTCCTTGGCCGTCGGTTTGCCAGCGCCAATTCACAGAGGCGGGATCAATTCCGATATTGGGCGAAACATCCGCAGCAAGGACTGCTAGCTGAAGATTCTACACATATACTCTCTAGTGACCTCAGAGAAGGACAGCAGAAAACAGCAGTGATGCCAATTATCGAAGACACGGCTTCTACCATGAAGAAAGAAGAAATCAGGAATGTACAGTCACTGAAGTCAACACCAACAGCACACAGCTTCTCGACGGTCGCCAGGTCGGCCATTTTTGAAAGCGAGACTCAGGCAGGCCGCCCACGCACGATCTACGCAGAATCCATCGTGGACCGAAGCTCAACATCAAGAGTCCCATCGGTACCTGTCTGTTTGGAGGTTGATTTTGAGTGTCCTTATTGTTATATGAGCTTGAACAGCGCCTTGATGCATGATAGGACCACTTGGAAGTAAGCCACTCCCACAACACGCAAAGGGCATCACTTTCATGCGAGACGGGCTGGCTGGAAGTCGGCGCAGTACTGGTGCTGAGCTAACAGCACATCAGGCGTCATGTATTCTGCGATTTGCGCCCCTATTCTTGCACGTTTCCGCAGTGCTCGAATCCGGACAAGCTCTAAGCAACTCGTCACGACTGGGTATACCACGAGATGCAAATGCATCGGAGGAGCTGGATATGCGATGACTGCAATTCGGACTTCCCAACGAGACAGCTGATGGCCACGCACCTGGACGAGGCTCACCCCGATACTTGGACGGGTCCCCAGAGGCTTGTACTTCTCGACATGAGCGAGCGTCCCATAGACGAACAAAACATAGTCGCCTGCCCCCTCTGCCCTGCTGAGCTCTATCTCGGTAGAATGATGGTCCATCTAGCAGAGCACATGGAAGAGCTCTCCTTGTTTGCCATCCCACAGCCGTCGCCTGATGAGGTCGAAGGTTTTAGATCAGACGACTCTGCCAATTCTATGTCAGCAAAAGCCGTACTATCACAAGCAGTCTCGCCCATCAGCAGCCTTGGAATGCCCGAGGGCGATACTGGGGAACATCGTGATGTCGATACGTCAAGCTTTGCTATACTTTCGAATGCTGCAGTGCCTGATAACGTGGAGAAGATCACGAGCTGGCACGTGGAATCTACCCAAGGTGATCAAGAGACTCAGACACCCACGAGTAACCAGGCCTTGAAAGATTCCTCATTATTTCCTCGGGACGTACGATTGCGATCACTGCGTCCGATCATCGTCCCTGAGAGCCAATCTATATGCAAGGACTTTATGAAGGTACGAACCGAACAACACCCTACCTAGCAACGTTGTGTCTGTCCAGTTACACATAGCATTGATTCACAGTATGTCCTGACATTTTGGAACTGAAATGCAGGGCAATTGTAGACGGGGACCTAATTGCGCTGCACGGCACGTTCCCGCAAACGGAGAACGAGTCTTCTATCATGCGAATCATATCACTACTATTGGACCTTCTGGCCGTGTCACCAACCCCTATACGGTAGCCGGTGCGGTCAAATATGCCGACCAGATTAAAGCTGAAGCTGAGACTACGTGGGATTATAGTATAGCACCACAACACAGAGCCCGACAAAAAGTTGTTCGGGACCTCATTGACCAGAGAGATGAGAGCGGTGTGCCTGTATTCTGGTTATTCTTCTCCCCGCCTAACGTTGCATCAAATGACTACGAAATCGATTACTGGTTCGACAGCACTTCACTGACGGACCTCTGGGCCAGACTGAGTCACGAGGGTTTGTCTTCCAACGAAGGCTCCAAATGGAGCTGGTCGGAGTTCACCCAACGCACAAGTGTCATCTGGAACAACGAGTATCGTACGAACAAAAACCGGAATAGTGAAAGACGTCTGCTAGCACCAGAGTTGGAAAGGCGGTTTTACGAGCTGGTAGAGGAGGCCAAGCGCCATATGAGCGCAACCAAGGACCCAAGCACAGACTCCAAGGTGCGTCCAAGGGATACTGCTTCTAGCTCAGCAGACAAGGTCTTCGAATTCGTGGGACCGAGTAACTTAGCACGTCACGGACACCAACTTGAGCCGCAGGAATCTGAGCGCGGACCCGAAACCACCCGCCAGGATATGTTCATCTTCTCAAAGGGCGCAACAAGTTTCGAGAGCGAGACCCCCATTCCCAAGCAGCCTCGACCGTCACGAGCTTCTCGTCGCAGCCGCCGCGTGCCTGCTGCGTCCAGCCACTTCGACGAGCGACGCGCTCGAGAGCTCGAGCACGAAGAAGGCCAAGTTCTGGTGGCAAGACGGCGGCGGTACAGCTCACCACGAGAAGATGAAGAAAGGCCTGTGGAGTCAATTCGAACGCGCAATGTTTCTTCGACGCGCGATGACTCCGAGCCGAACCCATCCAAGGGCACATCGGACCAGCCCATAACACGGGATCCAGATGAGGAGGAGGGGCGTATCGATCGCGAAGGTGTCGTACCTCATGCCCAATACTATGAATCAGCGAACAATCCATACTCGATCGGAGGTGACTCTGAGCGACAGTACTGGGGATGGAACCGAAGATAGGGTCTTGCAAGGACTGCCAACCCTGCCGACTACGGACCTCCGGGTACTCGATCGACCAGGATTCAGGAGAAGACTGATCCACTATAGAGCAACGAACGTGAATCTGGAGTACATTGCGGAAGGAAAGAGTCCGTTGCCGAGAGCTTATACCAGGGGAGAACCCCAAGAAAAAGGGCAAGCTTTGCGTGCGTCAGAGCCCCTTGGGGATAACTAAAATCTTAAATCATTGCACTCAAGGCACTGAGAATAACAGCGACATCAAGGTACGGTTCGGCAGAGGATAGGGTGATGCAAGTCATGTGGTAGGAGTATGCGGGGTTTTGTAGGAGTATAGAGGTATAGGGGGTGGAACGTCCAACTTCGAGCAGGGGTAGTTGTGCTCTTAACAGTACTATCTTCAGTTCTAATTGCTCATCGTCCAATTAAAGAAGTCACACTTGCTGTAAGGGATATGCTTCAACAGGTCTATACCATTGAGTGGAGTAAAGACACTGCACGGGTCGTGTTGTGGATCCAGTTGATTCCAGCTGTCAGGTGTCTTGTCGGTTGGGCCGGATTGTTGCCCAAGGGACAAGGTACCGTTTGCACTGTATCTAGACTAAAGAGACCTTTGGATGGGACAAGCTCCCATCCTTCTAGACAGCAAGCAGAACATCCAGAATACTAGTCATCGTAACATGGTATTCTGGGCCCCTGCCAGAAGGCACAGTGTTGCTTGAGGCACTGTCTCCGCTAAGTGCATGTGGACAATGTGTTCTGGTTATTGTATCAGGACGACACTGATTTGAATATGCACAGTTGCAGTGGATCAACTACCTAATCGACCAATGCAGAGCGAATCCAGTGATATAACGCGCAACCCTGTCTTGAAGACATACCTATGCAAAACGACACTGCTGACTTGGGAGAGACAAACTTGAAAGATCACCAAGTCAATAAGAGAGGCTAGAGTAAAAGTTCCTGCCTCGCCGGTCCAGAAATCGTCCCATATACAACCCATCAGACCACGAGCGCCACAGGAGAAGCCCCGAGACTGATGGTACGTTACCTTGATTGACATGGGCATGCCATGCAGCGTGTTACCGGTACGCTATGCCTTAGAACCACCTTGGGCCGGAGTCAAGTAGACATTAAGAGGGATCCTGTCCCAGAGGGCATACGTCTTCTGCCTCTCGATCCAGTCCTTGCTGTCGTCGGCGAGCGTGAGATCAAAGTCATACACGATGCGGGCGAGGATGAGACGCATCTCGGCATAGGCCAGGCTGCAACACTACAATTAGCGCACAACAACCAAACAGTGAGCTCAGGGGTGGTGTCCATACTTGCGTCCGATACAGTTCCTAGGCCCAATACTAAACGCCTGAAGAGCATCCAGCTTATCGCCGGCCAGTCGCGCTTCTTCGGTCGAGGCCAGGAACCGCTCTGGTCGGAAAGCCCACGGGTCTGCCCAGTTGTCTTTGCTGTGGTTCGTGGACCAGTGCTGGACTTCCACATATGTCTGCCGGTACGATGATTAGAGATGTTTCTCATACAGGGACTATCGAGTGTGTTCAGAACTTACACCACCAGGGACAAAACTGTCAGCGATCAGCGCGCCTCCGGAGGGGACTACTCGGACCAGGTTGGAGGTGACGGGAGGATATAGCCGCAGCGACTCGCTGAGAGTCGATAGCATGTACGAGAGGCTGTTGACCGTGTTCATGGTGATTTCGCCCGCATTGCTGAAAGTTGAGCGGACTTCCTGCTTGAGCTTCTCGTGGATATCTGGATGAGACAGTAGCAGATACGTCGCCCCGGACACTGCGTCATCCGGGTTAGCAAGTGCTCTTTGAGGATACGCGGTGAATTTCCGGCAGTTCTGACTCGTGTCTCGGGAGATGAAGTGGTACTCACAGGTCGTTGCCGTGGTCTCGGATCCGGCGAGGACGAGCACGAAGGCATTGGCCGTGAGTTTGTCAAACGACAAGTTCTGCATAGTGCTTCGTCAGAAACTGACATCATACGCCTGAGCATCCTCAAGGTCTAGCAAGCCAAGGAAGGAGAATAGACTTACCCAATCCTCACGTCTCTTGACAAGCCCCTCGAACAGATCATCGCGCGGCTTCCCCATCTCCAGCCGCGAGCGCAGCATATCGTCGATATACCGACGCATCTTCTCAACGGCCAGGTTCCCAAACCGGAACATCAGCTGCACGACCTCGCCCAGGCCGACGTAGCCCAGCGAGATCATGACGGCGCCCGTGCGCACCATGCCGATGATGAACCGGATCCAGGGGTGGTAGCTGGTGTGCTCAAGGCAGCCGAACGACTGGCCGAAGACGAGGTCGCCGACGACGTCGAACGTCGTCCAGTTGTACCAGGCCTCCATGTTGAGCTCGTGCGCGCCGTTGCCGCACTCCCGGTGCAGCCGGTCCAGCAGCAGGTCGACGTACTTGACGATGGTGGGCTCCTGCTGCCTCATAGAGCTGTCTGAGAATCCGTGCGAGAGCGCGCGCCGGAGGCGCGAGTGCTCCTCGCGCTCGGCGCTGATGATGGATGATGGGAAGGCCCTGAGGGTGTTGAGGAAGACCTTGGCCTTGGGCATCTCCGTTGCTGCGAGTAGGTACCGTCAGCGAGTGCAGTGTTCAGAACTCTCCTCAAGTGTGACATGGCGCGCGTAAAGTCATATCACGTATGTATACCACGCAATGGACTTGATCCCAACGGCTGACTTGAAGTGTATATGATACCAACGAGACGTCAAAAAGGGGCAAACCCTGAACTAGAAAACATATGTCTTACACTGGCTTTCGCTGCCAACGCGATGGCCATATATATCCTTCCAAGCCTTCGGATCCGTGAACGACAGGTGGTTCGGGCCTATACGGACGACGGGTCCGTACGCATCGTGGAGTTTCTGCGTGTGAAAGGCCTGGACGCCGGCGCTGTGTCGAAGAGCCCATGGAAGCCCAGAAGCTCTCTGGAGCAGGGGTCCAGGATACTTTCGCAGCGGGTGGAAGTAGACGTTGTAGACTAGTGTCGACAGTAGCCAGACCAAGAGCTGTTCACGCAGTATTAGAAACCATCTTCCGGGAGACTTGGCTGGTGGTAGCTATACCGAACCGAGGGCAACTCCGGCATACAGCTTGCCGTTGGAACTTCCGGGCCACGCAATACCGGTGTTTGTCGTCATGCTGAAGAAAACTGTGCTAGCGTACTGGTAAGGCATATGAAGACGATGAGGGGCTTCGGAGGACGTTGAGTTCGACTGGTTTATATCCAAGACTTGCCGTCATACAACTCGGGCACGCGGACAGTTCACCCATCCGCCTGCGGATACAGGCATGCCGTACGTACTACTTGACGCGAGAAGCAGATGATGTCGTGCCTCTATGGGATATCCGCAGAATAAGCTCTGCATATGAAGCTTCATGCTACCGTGAACCTTCGAAAGTCCTTGTCCCGCTTCCCTGGACATAGGGGTCAATATAAGCCCTGTACAGAATCGGCAGATGAGCACCGAGAGTGGCTATCAAAGTCGAACTCGTCATCTCGACGATAGAAATACTCAAGTATCTCGGAACCGAGATACTCGGATGGGGATCTTGCTACCACTCCGTGTTTCCCTTCATCACACCAGATTGTCAAGTTGTCAAGTCACACATGCCAGCGGAAAAGACACGTGCCGGCGAGACAGACGGGTGTAGGCAGTAAACGGCGCGGGGCTGTACGAACACGTTGGACAAGGTGATACATATACTAAAGTCTGGCAGGTAGCTTGACGGTATTAGTTCGCATCATGAGTGACGTCGAGTCGAGCTGCGAGGTGGGACGAGACGTGGATAATAAACTGCGGGAAGGTTTGAATCCGGCTCGCCTGTTATGTAACCTCGCCGCTAGTTCTTCAAGCAGCACGAGCAAATGATATCTTGTGCATGGGATATGCTTGCTTCGGAGCCTCAGCATTGGGAATACATGTATCTCAGAGCTCTGGGAATCTCACGAATACCACAAACTCCCGTTGGGATATGTTTGACCCGCGGGTACAGAAAGCCTTTGAAGGACAATCAGTTTCACCACAAGTTACCTTCAAAGGGGAACAAGTGCACCATCGTAAGGGAACGGGAGAAAACCTCCTCTTAGGAAGAGACCTACATTTCATAACGCTGAAAACACAGATCTGCCTGAACCACCAAAGCCAGGGTCTTCAACTACTTCTTGCCGCCAGCTGAATCATCGCCAGATTTCCCGGAAGAGCCCACTAAGCTATCGGCCATAGCATCAGCTGTAGCCTGCTTGAGCCTTTCGCTATCCTCCATCTTGGTATCCTTGTGACCGGCCTTGGAATCCTTCTCATCCTCGCTATCTCCAAGACTGAAGGGATCATTATCGGTAATGGGACTTGGCTCGACTGCCGACAACGGCTGCCACTTGCTCTGCTTTCCTGGAGGTGGAGTTGCGCTGCTATCGTTCGGGGTGATCCGAGGCGAGGCCTCATAAGGGTCAATACCCTCCACTCCCTCCTTGAAAGCGACCTTACGGCTGTCAGGCCTAGGGGAACTTGAAGACGGGGGTGGTCTGTAGAGATTGGGATTGCTGGTCTGTCGCCCTTGAGCTGGCCCTGTGCATTGATTAGTCCTAACTCGACATCGGCTGACTCGATCTAACGTACTGCCATCGGGGTTCAACTTCATTCCCGCAAAATCGTCGCCGAGGACTTGCGGGTCCGCATCGTAGCGGTCGTAGTCTGTGCTTCTTCGGCTACCCTCCCCACTCCGTCTACCCAGACCGCCGGGGTGCTGATGGTGCTGATGTTTGGAGGGTTGCGACTCGTCCTCTTCTGAATCATATTCCCCGTCAATCTTCTTCTTGAGTTGGGTAAACCAGGTGTTGACTTTGGACTGGGTTTCGACGAATCCCTTCCGAAGATTCTCTCGGATGACAGGGAGGTCGTCATCTATGAAGCTATGTTCTCGGTCGTACTGCTCGTTGGGTTTCAAACCCGTAGTTTGTTGTCGATACTGGCCACCTGGGCCCCGGTTTGTCGTCCGCGCTTCGTAGGCACCAGCATTGTCGTAGTGCTCAGCAAGTTGACGGGCGTAGAGCTCGTCGGCCTCCAGCTGAGACATGGCGCTCCGGCCGGTTGGGCGCGGGGGTTGAGGGGGAGGAGCAGGCTCGCTTGCAGGTTCCTGCTGAACGGCATCGGGGTCACTCATGCCTTTTTATGGTCAGTAGAGCGCATCATTGTCTGAAGGGAATCCTCCTTACCAAGGAGAGCGTTGAAGGCGGGATCGATCTGGCCACGACTCGCGGCCAGCACAGCTTTGATGACCGAGGCATCGATGCTGGGAAATGCTTCTTTCAGTATGATCTCGTTCTTTTGCTGCTCTGTGACAGGTCTGGGGGGTTTCGCGGGAGCAGGCTCGTCGGTAGCGGGAGCCGTGTTGGCTGTGTTGGAAGGAGGAGCGATCGTGGCGGTGGAACGGGCGCCGTCGTCACCAAGGACGCCCGTCTCAGGAACATCGTCGTCGTCCATCTCAAATGGGCGCACCGTGGTTGGTGATTCGGGTACTGCAGCTGCAGTAGGAGGAGTGTAACTGGTATTGGTCTTGCTCTAGGAGATAATATGCACAATCAGTCAAGAGGGCCATAGAAGAAAGACAGGATACCAAGCTTGAGCGGCTTAATCTCCTAGTCTTCCAATGTCCAGCCGCTAGTCTGTCACATACCGGGTCTGTAGGAGCCGACATCTTGCTCGAGTTGACAGGTAGTTGCTGTCTGGAAGAATAGTGCAGGTGGGCGTAGGTTCAGAGCAGATTACAAGTTAAAAAGGAGAAGCATGAATAAGGTGAGGCGATTGTGATACTGCCACCAAAGGTTGTTTCGGCGCTGAGGGGCAAATCAGGCCGCCGGCCGCTTGACTGGAGGTCCGGGCGGGCGGGCAGCGGGCGACGACGCCGATGACGTTCCCCGCCACGATTTATTTTAGGCACAGAGTTGAGATGACAGCCTGCGCCACGAATGCCACCGCTGTGGGGAGGACCTAAAATGGGACTGCTAGTCTGTGTGGCTGAACACCTCACCTGCATTGAACATTCACCTTCACATCTCGGACTTATTCAATTCAACATTGCCGGCCACTTGCGAGCGACAGGACCTACCTTAGAAATAACATTCTACGGCCCTGATCCGAATCCGCTGTCGTCACATCTTACGTCCACATACATACTCGACTCTGACGTCTCTCGGCTGCTGGATGAGCCTTGAAAGGGTAAAGTCAAGAGATGAGACCGGAACCACGGTCCAACAGCATCCTCAATTGAAATGGCCGAGTTTGACCTGGGATCGAGCTTTATACCGGCCCTCCACAAACCCTCAACACTTTTGCCTATAGCCAAACACCACGACAACCTGCTATATCTCATCGAGACGTACCCGGTCACCATTGTTGTGGGCCAGACGGGGTCGGGCAAGACCACACAGATACCACAGTTCCTCGAGCATGCAGGCTGGTGTTCTGATGGCAAGATCATAGGAGTCACTCAGGTATGTTTCTTCTTCTTCACTCTTCAAAACTCTCCACTGACATCATGAAGCCGCGGCGTGTAGCTGCTACCACTGTTGCTATTCGAGTTGCCGAAGAGTTCGGCTGCGAATTGGGCAAGGAGGTGGGCTATTCAATTAGATTTGAAGATGTTACATCTGCCTCGACTCGTATCAAATTCTTGACAGATGGGTTGCTCATTCGAGAGGCTTTGGTAGACCCGCTACTGTCGCGCTACTCCGTAATCATGGTCGACGAAGCACACGAAAGATCTACAAGCACAGATATACTCCTTGGTCTTCTCAAGAAGATACGGCGGCGGCGGCCAGAACTACGCATCATCATAAGCAGCGCCACTCTTCAGGCAGAAGATTTCTTGAGCTTCTTTTCTGAGCATTCCGACGGTTCGGAGCCTGCACAAGACGGTGAAGACAAGGTCGGCAGAATAATCAGTCTCGAAGGTAGAACATACCCTATCGATGTTCTCTACTTGGACTCACCGACGGAGGACTACGTGGAGAAAGCAGTGTCGACCGTTTTCGATATTCACACCAAAGAGCCGGATGGAGATGTCCTTGTTTTCCTAACGGGTCGTGACGAAATCGACACTGCTATTCAAGCTATCGCTGATCGATCGGCACAGCTTCATCCCAAGTCCCAGTCCATCATGGCTTTGCCGCTCTACGCAGGGCTGTCAACAGAGCAACATATGTATGTTTTCGATGCCCCTCCCGAGAACACGAGAAAAGTCATACTATCAACCAACATCGCCGAAGCGTCTGTGACAATCGACGGCATCGTGTATGTCATTGACTCGGGTTTCGTGAAACTACGGGCTTTTGACCCGAGAACTGGTATAGAGTCGCTAACGGCGACACCTGTCTCGAAAGCATCAGCAGCTCAACGAGCGGGTAGGGCTGGCCGCACCAAGTCCGGAAAATGCTTCCGACTTTTCACAGAAGATGCTTTCCAGGGATTGCCTGACGCAAATACCCCTGAGATTCAAAGATCGAATCTTGCGCCATTCATCCTGCAGCTCAAGGCACTAGGAATCGACAATGTTATCCGCTTCGACTATTTGACACCACCTCCCGCGGAGCTCATGATCAAGGCGACGGAGCTGCTGTACTCGCTAGGTGCTTTGGATGAATACGCGAAGCTCACCAAACCAATGGGTTTACGGATGGCCGAACTCGCAGTGGAGCCGATGATGGCGAAGACGTTGTTGTCGGCTGCCTCTTTCGGCTGTCTCGGTGAGATGCTGACCATAGCAGCGATGACCAGTCTAGGTGGTTCTGTATGGGTCCAGCGGGACGGCGAAAAGAGGCAGACGGAGTCAGCGAGACGCAAGTTCGCTGCCGAGGAGGGCGATCATCTGACTCTTCTCAATGTCTACCAGACCTTCGTGACTAAGGGGAAGAAAGAGTCAAGGTTTTGCCACGAGAATCATCTCAACTTCAAGTCCATGACTCGTGCGGTGAGTATTCGTGCACAGTTGAAGCGGTACCTGGAACGATTTGGCATTGCAGAAGACGAGAGTCTCAAGACATCTTCGGCAGGCAGAGGAGAGCAGGTTCGAAGATGTCTGACCACGGGCTATTTCGCGCATGCCGCCAAGATGCAGTCCGATGGAAGCTTCCGCAATGTCGAGGGTGGAACAGTGCTCTACGCTCATCCGACTTCCTTGATGTTCAATCGGAAGGCAGATTGGGTCATCTTCCATGAGGTGATGGAAACAGGCAGCAAGACCTTCATCCGTGACATCACCAAGATCGAGAAGAAATGGCTGCTGGAATATGCATCCGGGTTTTACCAGGCAAAGTCTTGAAGAGGAGGAAGACAACCAGGACTCAACAGTGAACACCATACGAAGGTAAATAATATTGATACCAACCTCACGGAGGATTTGGAGGCTTGAGAAGCAGCCAACCAATCACAACACTGGCTGATACAAGTGATCTGGATTCTGGAATCATGGAAACATTGAAACATTCGACCCATTCAAGTTATTCAAGTTTGGCTGACTGGTATACATCCCTACATCGATCAAGATCAGCGAGCAACTGGATGTACTTCTGCGCTCAGAAGGTCCACCTGGTCCGAGGATCTTCTAGTAATCGTAATCGACCTACAAGAACGGATTCCTGCGTGTTCTCTCTTTTCTACAGCACCAGGCCGAACTCGAAAAGTGCCTATTCTGACGTCAACTCATTGCCGAGTGTACCGGGCTGACCGGTTGAAGATAATAAGTCAACAAACGGCTGCAATTTGAAATTCGACTTGTTCGTCCCGGTCCAGATCCAACGCGTCTTAATTTTAGCGGCGGAGCGGGTCGAGCAAGCCAGATCATTGTTAGCCGTGCTAGCAGAGACGGGCCTTTAAAAAGAAACAGCCGTCAGCTTGGCTGCGCCCCGTTAGTGGATCGAGGAACTCGCGCTGCCCGCCCGCCGAATGCTCCTTTATTACTATTGCAGGCAGTCTTTTGTTTATTTACCAATGACGAGGAGCACTGGCCGACTTGGTTGACACTCACGAGACACAACGTTATGCTGTGTCTCGCGGGATATTACCTACGGGATGGTAGCTCCCCAATGGTGTCTTCTGGGCCACGTTATGCCCGGGCGTACAGGGACAGCCTCACGCGTGAGAGACATGCACAGACGCTGTGGCCCGTCACCTGTGTAAAGCTGAGGTGAACAAGCTCAGCAGCCAGCACCCGACCGGCGGAAAAAGTGCGGGAAGCCCCTGATGAGACGCATGGTTGCGGCTTGTTGGTTCTGATCTGGAAACTTGGCAGAGCCAGTGCTCTGTTCCGACTGCTCGATGTCTTCATCTCGGCAAATCTGGAGGCTCAGATCGAGAGGGGAAAGTATCCTCACATACAAGGTCAGACGAGGAGATACTTGTTCGTCTGATGATCTACTTCTCCGCCCACGAATGGCAGAAAAGGGGCAGGTGGCCTAGGCGTGCTCAAGGCTACAGTAGCGCGAGCGTGCCCCGGCCCGATCGCATGGGTATGGCCTCTGTTGACCTTGTTCCTGCATTAGATCCCTCGCTAAGCTGCGAGTATTCCAAGGTTCAAGTCCTCACCGTCCAGCGTTGAAATTCGATACACGGTGTCGGCGGATGCCCGTTGTAAGCCATGCAGGCAGGTGCTGGTTAAGCGATGTTTGTGATGAGATTATGAACCAATGTTGGGACTGCTCGCGACCGTCGGCGGGCGAGTCGCAGGCGAGGACAGTGGTCGAACAGTGCTCCTCCTCAGCTCTTCATTCCTGGTGGATTTGGCGGTATCTGCCCCGTGCGAGGCCTCAGGGCCTGCAGGGCCACCGAGCTGGAGCCTCCACACCCCCTTCTTTCATTTCCGCGATATTAACTATCATTCGTCCGTTATCCCTGCAGAGATAGGTACATGGCGCTTGTACTTTTGCTTGGCAATCCTCCTTCTCTGATCTCTTGCTCTCGCCGTTCCTTTCTCTCCCTCATCCCATTCTTCCACCGCCTCATTCGGGAGTTCTTCGACAACTGGTCACTCGACCCAACTACCTGCCAGCGGGCGTGCCATTCTTTCAAATCCAACTCACAGTCATTCTTTTCGAGGCCTGACCTCCAGTCACTCTTTTAGCCCGTTATCACTCGGGTGTTGTCGTCGAGACTTACCGACACGAAGAACAAAGTCTTCTCCCAGTTATACCTTGATTGCTAGAACCAGTCCCTTTTTAGCTTCAGCCGCCTCCTACGACGATCACGGCTCCTGTCAACCCAAACTCGAATCATCCTTTGATCCTATCTCTGTTACAAGTTCCATTTCCAATCGCATTTATCGATCAACCGCGTCATGTTGGCGGCATAGAACTTGCTTACACGAACGCCCTCTGCACAGCGAGGGAAGGAGAGGGTTATAAACTGGTTTAGGCGAAACGATGAGATTCAGGACACCACTATTAGAAACCGGAGAGTTGGGTCAACTAGGAGATCGGACGGTGGACACGGCTGGCGGCGCTGAATCTCTCGATTCTTTCACGACGCGAATCGTTGCTAGGGAAAACGATATTTCCGAGAAGCCTGCGACTGGTAGCTCGAACACACTTCCCATAGTACTAGGGATCGTGTAAGGAAGCTCCAAAAGCATCTTTGAACGTGCTCGACTAACACATCCGCAGGATCCCCCTAGCTCTCGCGATGTGTGTCTTGTTCTACCTACACCGTAGGACGACGAAGAAGCAGAAGCAGGAAGATGAGACCGACAAGTATAAGTCCATGGACTTTGGATTAGATGTCAACCACATGCCCGACGCAGGTAACAAGAGACGGAGTGCATTCTTCGGAAAGGAGAAGGATGCAGGCCATAACAAGGGACAGCTCTCCATGGATATGAACTTGTCCAGCCCCTACCTACTTCCACCTACTCTCCAGCAATCTCGAGAATCCCTGAATTCCCTGACCAAGACCCTACACCAACATGAGGATCCTTATCGACCAATCGCGAGTTACGCCGGCAGCGATGTTGGTTCCCTGCGATCATTCCAGCCGGGAGGTCAAAGAGATTCATCACTCTACAACAAGAAGCGCTTCAGTGGCGATCGTGATTCCAAGGCTCGATCTTTCACTACCGAAACCAGTCCTCTGCGTTCGGGAGCGAACACACCGTCTCCCCTGTCTCCGCTACCGCCTGCCGCTCAGCCTCCTCAGCGCCAGCCAGTCGATGATGTCCCTGCCCCTGTGCTCCCGGCGAAGAACGAGTTCCGATTTGTGGACGAAGAACTTCCCGTGATCCAAGAGCCAGCAGCGGTTGCTTCACAAACGCCCCGTCGGGCAGCCTCTCAGGAATCTCCCTTGTTAAACGAGTCGCACGGCCCTATTCACGGGAGGGACTCGATGTCTTCGGCAAATGTTGCAGTTGGCGGCCTGGGTATCACGGACTCCCGTTTCTCGCACGGCTCCTCTGGCACGCGAACCACTGGAACCAACTCTGTGCCACCTCGAAAAGATTCCATGCCTGTCATTGACCCGATTGCCATTCACGACTACCAGGCGATCGCGCACCAACTCCGAATCGACGTGCCTTCGCCTAGCTACGATGAACATGATGAATTGCACATGGGCATCCCTCGAGAGGATGAATATCCCCACTCTGCTGGACTAGCTGTGCCTGCACAGAACGGCAAACGGTTATCAGTTGGACTCCGCCCGCTGCCTCCGGATGATTTCCTCGAGTCTGAGGACCCCGAGTTCAGAGCGAACCGAATCCGTTCATTCTACAAGGAGTACTTCGATGACTCCAAGGTCGACCACAGCAACGCCCCGCCAATGCCGCAGCGGGCACAATATCACGAGGACTACGATGCGAACTACCTGGGTGAAGCAGCTTACTTCGATCCCGAGTCAAATGCTTTCGTCATGCCCTATGCTCAACCCGTCACTCGCCGTGCCATGACGCCGCCGCCCAAGAACCGACGCCCGATGCCAGGATCCAGGCCACGTGGGCCGCAGGGACCCCCGGGTTCCCGTGGGGACATGAGCATGGCGCCACCGCAAAGACCCAGAGCCGGATCGACCATGTCGGCCGGCGGGTATGGACCCAGAAGCCCACGCCCTGGCTCTTCAGCTTCCAGCCCGCGCTTCGGCGGCAAGCCAAAGAAGGCCCTGCCACCGCCCAGTGCTCTCAGCACCCTGCCCACCCCATCCAAGCTGAGGGACGACTCGTTCGCTCTTTTGGGCGCCATTGACTTTGCGCCCCCTCCCACCTTTGCCGACCAGGCAGCCGGCCGGTCACAGAGCCCCGTCGGTGAACGCCGCCCCTACGCAGTGAACACGCCCGTCCACTCACCGTTGGTCAGCGCCTTCGACGAGACCGCGGCGCTACCTAGCCCGTAAGTTTGAACCCTGCCATCCACATTCTGCTACTTCCCGTACTGACCCCTATCATAGACATCACCTGCGGAAATCAGGAACCTTCACCGGTCTGGACTTCGCGCCCCCGCGTCGGTTCAAGGACGCCGACTCGATGAGCGAGACCGGCAGCATCCGCAGTAACCGCAGCGGCATCTCGACAGTCAACCTGAACGCCATCCGCAACGGCGCCGGCCGCGTCAGCCGCCTGCCGGGCGACACCATCTTCACACAGGCGGCTATGAGCAAAGAGCTGAAGCCAGAATGGGGCATGCGCAACTAGGCCCGTCTATCACCCGGTCTGGGTTTCGTGACGACTTGGAATTCAAATATTTGGGGCATTGTTCGGGAGTTAATTAGAAAGCGGAAGAATAAGCAAGCAACAGCACCACCATCTACCAGCAACAGCAGCAGAAGCGGCACTTCTGCAGCACCCAAATTACTTGTAACTTGTTAATGTCTTTACACAAAATTTTTGCTTTCCTCTTTTCGATTCAGGGCCGTCAATCCTGTCTGTTGGGTGACCGAAAACCCCCAGGCAATCATGTCATGAACCGGCGAAACCATATTTCAGATGTGTGTGTGTGCATATATAGAAGGAAATCGGTGTTACAAAGAGAGAGAGAGAGATGAAATCTGCCGATGGGTATCTACGTATGTACATAGTGAGTGTTGTTGCTAGGGTACTGTCATGGGTTTGACAATACAACTGTTGGTTTCGAGTGACATCGACCCTTCTCCTATGCGTTCTGAAGGTTGTGGTTTGTCCTACCCTTCCATGGCAGCGTTATTCAGGACTGGCAGTGCAGATGCGATGCTCAGAGAGTGACTCCCTCCACCTGCCGCCGAATGTACTACGGACCTCGACTGCGTTTCTTACCCAGGCCCGTCCCCCTTTTATTCTTCCGAGGTTGCTCGTTGAGGGACAAGGTTCGTCACACTTAGACTGTTTAGAAAAGCTTCCGCAAGCTCCGGGACGTGGCACGGCGTCAACCGGCAGCCCTATTCGTTGACCCTCTTGGTTGATCAAAGTGTTCCATGAAGGCAGATCTGATTCTGACATGTCAAAGATTATCGGCCTTACTTGCACAGTGATTACCATCATTATCGTACCCACCGATTACGGCAGACACAGTAAGTGAGGTTCGATAGGTGACTGCTGACGTCCAGTACACTCATGTTGAGAGCATAACTTCGAGGTCTTACCGTATTCGAGAGACGGCGTCTGTCGTTTGGAACTGGCACAAACCCCCGATGCACAATGACCATTTCAGGAGGCAAGCACCAGCGGCGTGCACAATCAACCGACGAGATAATTGAAAGAACAACTGTTTACAAGTCGCCGCAAGTCCGGACTGTACATATTCATGATTACCTGGTATTCGTCGATCCGAACAAATGGACAGGTAACGGACCAAGGGCTTGGAGGAGCTAATTACCACGGCTGGTGACCGGGCCGGAACTATCTCTCCACATCCATGGATTGGATGTCCGTGGGTTCAGAGCCGAGAGGCCCGCACTTGGTTGGGCAAAGACGAGCACAACACAAAAGCAATCGGGGTCGCGGGACAGATCCCAAGAGTCAAGACAGCAGCAGCTGGGGTGGATCGGTTCGTATTTGTGGGAAGCAAAAGCCCATATTTATTACTTCTCGGCGCTCGTTTCTTGCTGTGTATTTGTTTTGGCCCCTGACCCAAATCGTAGATCTCTCAAGTTTTGTAGAAATAGATTGGGACACGGGCCAATTACGTATCTTGGAGAAGGCCAGCGAGATCTCGGAAAGGATGACGTGAAGGAGTCCCTCACAGACCACAGAGAGATCTGATCGCAGCGTTGTTTGTTCCTGGGTCCGGACTGAATTCCCAACTTGGTCCTGTCAGCGGCTGTTCGATCCTGGTCGACCTTCCAAGGAAAGCTTCAAGCATTGACAACAATTAAAACACGCTTGGTAGGGGAGCTGGAGACGTCGTCCCGAGGCGTTCAAGATTGATGATGGCCCTCGCTGGTTGTGTTGTTTTATGTAAAGACTGCCGCTGAGGGAGGGTTGCAGCGGACAAGAGGCGATACTCCGCAGAGCGCGGCAATGATCGGTGCTCTTTCCCAATGGAGGCAGCGAATGGTAGGTAGCCCGAGCCTCCTTTCGCGCAGAGCTTACATACATGTAGGCAGGCTGTGCTTTGCCTAGTGGACGCACGCCTCCTAGTCTTCGAGAAGCTCGGAAAACGAGGCGTATTGGCGTGGAGTGTGTCGTCTGTCTTGACATAACTCGAGAGCTGGTTCGCTCGATTGGACTTACGTCAGAACCGTCGCCAGCTAAATTCTCATATGTAGCTTGACCATGTACTATGGCTTTCGTGCTCGTGAACCGAGGGATAGCGTCCAGGACTCCCAATAGACGAGCACTGCGATGACTCGAGAGACCCAGCGGACTGAATAGCTCGACTTGGCGGTGGTGTAGACGCCTCGGAAGACAGAGCATCTCCCGTGCTATTATCAAGCAGTAGGTAGCATTCGGCAGAAGTTGGAATTTGGCCAAGATGGGACTGCTCCAGGGACCAGAGATACATCATCATAGCCTGCAAAGGCGATCAGTAGTCGGGGTGAGACTCGGAGCAGCTGTACGAGATAGAGATAACCCGTGTGCGGTGTGCCTTTTATCCACCGATGAGCCAATTCAATCCGAGCGGCACAATACTCTCTCTGATCTTTCTTGCTCACATCGCTTCAAAAGGTTGATTCGAAGCTCAAAGTTGAAGCCAGTGCGCGTGTGTCCCCTCCAAGGTTGCAATCACACTTGGCTGACTGCAGTTGTAGTGTTTCACACCGAGTCTCGTACCTGGATTGTGCCCCCAACCACGTCAGACTCTGACCGACTCGACTGATAAACACACACAGACAGAAGGCCATATCTGGGCTACCTTTCTCCGACACTTGTCAGATTGTGAAGCGCAGTCAACCCAACTACGTCGGCCTGTTGGCGAATTCCGCCTGTTGACATCGACCCGGACGACCGAAGATAAGCTTTGGGCGAGGAAGCACGCCTTCGTAACAGCACCACGAGCTAGGACACCACTTCAGAACTGAAACCACGTTTCTGAATAACCAAGGGGGTCAATCGGACGACTCGAAGCTTAAAACCAAATCATCAGGTTGATCGTCAGGGATAGCAGGAGAGTGGAAGGAGATATTGGCCTCGGGCGGACGCTGAAGCCATCAGGTGCTCACGAAGACGCCGAACATATCATCGGCTACCGGCCCTTCTGCACGAGGTTGTCGCTGGGACTTGTTGGCTCACGTTAGGATACTCGGGGTCGTCAAGAAGCAACTTTGGTCGAAGACTCGCCTGCGGTTGTTGGAGATATCGCGACACAACGAGCGCACCAAAAAAAGAGTTGAGGCCGGCAAGCCCATTATTACGACTGGAAGTGGGACCGGACTCCGATAAGACAGCCCGAGCACTGGCGCTTGTGGAGGCCCGTGTAGGTACCTCCAGGGCATCCCGTTCATTATTAGGGCCGTCCTTGCCGCCCTGACCCCGCTGCAGGTGCTCGCTCGCTGGAAAACGCCCGCTGGCCTCAGTAGTTCTCAGTGGCTCTCAGTGGCTGCCCGTACTAGCCCCTACCTCTAGGCCGAGCTTGGAAGGGCCCGAAGGGGAAGCCCAGGAAGGGGAAAAACGGAGAATACGGCACAGCCAGCGAACCAGACCCCGTCCAGCAAATCACAATTTCCGCTCTCACAGTCTCACTGGCTTCACCTCAACCATCAGATCTTCATCCTTCCCGATATGGTCGGCCGCAGTGTTTTCCCTCCATCTTGGCTATCCCTCTCGTTTTTCACGCAAAAAGCATCGCCTGTTCTCAGCAATATCGTGGCGGCCTGATACCTTCACCAGTTATTATTCTTCGATTGGTGTATCTCACATGCTCACCTCTCGACCCTCGTTTCCATTACGGGTCTACTACTCCAAACCGGACGGCGTGCTCATTTGAGACCCTGCTTGTTCTGATCCTTCCCTCGCAGGCTTCCTGTCCTATCATTCTCGTGGGCCATACGAGCCGAGAGACACAGCAGAGACACAGCAGAGACATTGACCAGAGGGCGCTCAGCCACGCCTCTCTCTTGCAGGAGCTCACCCGCTCCCTCAATTGCAACCTTCACCCCCAATACCCCCAACTGGCCCAATAGGCGCGACTTTGCCCATCTGCAACCCTGAAGGGCCAACGGCCGTCGAGCCCTTTCTTTCTTTGCACCCGTCCTGCCGTCTGGCTTGTTCGCGTCTCACCATTGCACCAACTCGAAACAACTGCCCAAGTCCAGTCGTCATTCCTTCTCGAGTTGCGATACTCTCATCCTCTCATCCACCCTCAACAGGGCAACAGGGCCTCTAACCGCCATCTTGGCCGCCAAGTCTACTGAACCAAAGGTATGCACCCAGTCTTTCCATCTTCCCATTGTGCGCTGTTTATCATCGCAACAACGCTGTGGGCCCATGCACATTCACCGTGTCCCCCGACTCCTCATATCTCGTCATTCACTGTCACTTCAACCAACCATCCGTGACGGCCTTCCACTGCTTGTGACTGCCCTAATGCATTACTCAATATACATTTCCGACATCTTCTCTGATTGCTCCCCATGCCTCTGCATTTCATGCCCTCATTACTGTTACGCTGGCTAACATGGCACCGTCTTCCAGACATCTTGCAAGGTTGAAAGTCGCAAAGCGTCTCTCCACCATGTCTTCTTCTGCCAACGCTACAAGTACGGACACCACCGTCGCTGCGGACCCGACGACGTCGAGCCCAGCCGGCGATACTTCTACTACTAGTCCTACTAGTGCTGAGAGTCCCTCCACTGACACTGCTTCCACAACAGCTCCCGAGTCCACAGCGACTACGGATACTACGGAAGCCACTACAAGTCCGACAGATACTTCAGTTCCGTCAACAACAACTCCCACATCTACGCCGGACACAACATCCACGGAGGACCCCACGACTACCCCTGAGACCACGTCTACTCCCACCACGACTACTCCAACTACCACCAGCCAGACGACTCCGACGACAGAGCCGACGACAGCCCCGACGACGACAACGCCGACGCCCACAGAGGCAACCACGGATCCCACCACGAGTCCCACCTCGAGTCCTACGACAGACCCTACGACAGACGCTACTACCACACCTACGACAACAGCGCCCGCCACGACACATACAACTGCGCCGAGCTCCTTTATTACCACAACACAATCGACCACCTTGCAGAATGGAAGCACCGCATTTGTGACCATCACGTCGTTCGTACAGTCCGACACGACTGGGACAGCGACAGGTCAGCCAAGCTCGACTTCATCCACTGGATCAGGCCTCAACACAGGAACCGGTGCGGATTCACAATCTGGCTTGAGTCAGTCCTCCAAGATAGCCGTTGCCGTCGTAGCCCCGATCGCCGGCGTGGCCTTGCTCGTCGCGGCTGGCATCTTCTTCTGGAGAAAGCGCAAGCAGCGAAAGGACGCCGAGGAGGAGAGGCGCAAAGAGGTGGAGGATTACAGCTACAACCCGAACAATGACCCTACCCTACCAGAGGTCGGCAGCGTCGGTGGCTCCGGCGTTTACGAGATGAAAGAGGATGGGTCTTCCGGTTACCGTGGCTGGGGTTCGACCACGATCGCTGGTTCTACGGGACGAAAGGCCTCAACCACCATGTCGGGTGGTGCAGCAGGTGTGGCCTACTCAGATGCATCGCCAACGAAAGGAAATCATTCTGACGCACGATCAGGAGAAGCACTAATCAGCGATGGTTCACCTTCGCCCGAGGGAGAGATTCTCGGTGCCATGGGACCGTCGGCTTCAGACACCCGCGCTGGCAATGGCAACGTGCATCGTGGACCTTCAAACGCATCATCGTCGTACAGTGCCGCCGGCCGATCCGACGGTTCGGCTGACAACGGTGTCGCCTATGGTGGTCCCTTTGACCAGTACAGCGGCAACACTCCCTACAGCGATAACGCGAATGGGCCACAACAGCCTGTAATACGTGACAACCCGGCTCGACGCAACACCCGCATCGAGAATCCATCCCATTATCCACAACAGAGTGCGGGCATAGCACAGAACTTCTAGAGATGAGGAGAAGTCGACCTCCATCTTGGCCCTAGGACCATTAGAAGTCGCCGGTACAAGTCCGCCTTACTAATTCCCGACCCAAGTCGTCTCACTCGACACCCACACTTGGACACACTTTACACCATCACATATCTTTTTACCATGTCTACGGCGCAACATAGCCTTTCCTTGGGTTTCAAAACGGCGTACCGGCGGTTATTGCACACACCTACCTACGGGATCTTTTGTGCGGTAATCTTTGTTTATAAGTAGTCCTATCTACGTCCCCCACCAATCTTCAAGCATTTACGTCACGGATCAACGGTACACGAATAAGGGGGGTGGGTTACGAGTATATATTCCCACCCATCCGCAACAACATAAACATGGGGATGCTCCTTGTGTCCCGAGGCCGACCTGGTCTATTGTAATGATCTGCCGCTTTCTCAGTGTCTGATTTCGACACGGGCAGATGTTGCAGGTTGTTGTCTCGAGCGGCGGCAGCCTGCCTGACTTTGGCGCGGCGGGTACAGGAAGGGCAACGTGAGGTAATGTGGCCAGGGATGTTGCAGGTACCGGTGGCTCGCGAGCCTGATGCGGTATCTCTGGCTCGTGAAGTAAATGTTGGAAAGTGAGGTAACCCTTTGGTTGATACTGGGAACAGATGTGGCTGAGGGATCAGCCTTGACATACTATGTACAGCTTTATCCATAGACTTTATAATGAACGAATCTTCTAGCATTCAAGAGCTGGGATATATATCAAGTGACTAAGGGGGTTTGGAGAAACCCCCTAGCTGACGTAGCCACTGATACTACTGATCTGTGTATCTCTTGCGTAGCAAGAAACACTTACTATCACGTCTCAGAGCCTCCCATCGTATCAGCGCTATCATAGGTAGGTGCGATTCCCTGCAGCCTTTCATACGAAAGGCTCCTACAATTTGTAGCAAGGCGAGATAACTCTGGGACATGTGTGCATGCATACATTCACCATGATGCCTCTAGGTTCGTAAATGTATATCTACACTAGAAGCGGGACGTTGTGGTTATATTCGTGACAAACAGTATCTCTCGGCCTGTTGCCGTGGTCGGTAGTCCATCCGTCCATGCCTCAGAGAAAAACGCCCAAAACGCCTTGCTTTCATGCTTGCCTGCTTCGATCCGGCTATGACCTTATGACCATATGACTCCTCTATATAAAGAAGTCCTCCCAAACAAACATCACCCCGTTCCAATGCCAATTCCACTCCCAGCCCCAAGAGGCGGCGGTGCATTCCAATTGTTCAGCCTTCCACCGAGGAACCGTCTTGATGAGTGCCTTTCCACCCATAGCCTTTGATTCGTAGCTGTGTCCTGCCTTTGAAGTTTGTGTGTGGTGTGTGCAGCCGTACTTCCAGCATTTGAAGTTTGACCTGCAGGGCAGCCGCCCTTCCCGGAGTGCGTGGGCAAGTCCATCAACCGGCGATCTCATACCAAGCTTGGGCTCAAATTTGCTTTCCAGCTGCGTCTTTCCTGTATTGCCCTAAACAACACAGAGACCCAGCCATGGCAAAGCTCATAAATTCGCCTTGACCACCTTGCCGTCGGATAGAGTGACCGTTGCCGTGCCATTGGCGTAGCCTTCGCTCAGGACAACCCGATCCCACCAGAAGCGGCACTCCTCCTTCTCGCGTTCTGTCAGCGCCACGAGTTGAGCTGGGACGCCCTGGCTCTGTCGCCCACGTGCGCCCATGCGCTCGTCGTTACCACTGCCAAAAAGTGCCACCTTGCCCGCATCGCCGGAGGCACTGGTGGTGAACGGACTGACGAACTTGGGCCACGAGAGCTTAGTCTTGTCGTCACTGCTACGCGCGGGACTTGGGTCGCCGGTGGCTGCGAAACGGGTCCAGGCGCCGGTCATCGCTTCGGCTGTCCTGACCAGACCAGGATATTTCCCAATAACGTCCATGTCATGTGCCACAATGGGGGCCTCATCACCATGGTCGGCGCCACCGTAGGGTTTGGATCGAGCAGCATAGTGGTACGTATAGACTGGGGATGCGTTTTTCGCGGTTGAAGCCAGGTGAGCAGTCTGAAGCACTGGGCAGATGTATGCATAGTGTGCGTACGCATCATCGAGCCGCCAGAACTGGGAGCCGATGCCACTAGGTGGTTGGTAGCTGTACAGCTTCTTTCCTTCGGAAGTGGTGGGATCTGGGTACATCTTGTTGAGCGTATCAAGGTCCGTCTGATTAAGAGCTGGAATGATCGACGACATGAGGCGCCGTAACGCCGAGGAGTCGCTAGCTTTTGTCGGTACGAAGACAGAACCTTCATTGGTGTTGAAGCCTGTCAGGATAGGTATACGCAGCACATTGCCTTTCGCCCACGACTTAATGGGAAGATCTGGTATTATACCGCCTGGACCGTCAATGACGGGCTGGAACGGCCAACGCAATGAGGACGACCAGCGATTCCACGTATAGCCTGATGCGCTGGAGATGGTGCCAAGAGGCAGAGCCCGTAGTTGCTCGAAGAGCTTGTCATCTGGAACGGAATCCAGTCCACAATGCATCAAGAATTCTTGAAACTGTTGCTCGTAGAGAGGGACGCTGGGCGCGAAGACAGAGCGCGCAGTCGCAGCACCAGACTCCATGATTGCCTTCTGGAATGGAGGAGGTCCAGATGTGAGCTTGTTCGCGGGAGCGTACGATATCAACTGGTGTCCAATCGAATGGGAACCAGCACTCAATCCCATGATGGTCACATTGTCCGGATCTCCCCCCAAGTCAGCCACGTTATTGCGCACCCACTCGAACAAGCACTGTTGATCCTTCAATCCCAAGTTGAGAAGGCCCTCCTTCTCAGTCATGGCGCTTGGCAAGAAGCCGAAGGCACCCACGCGGTAGTTGAAGCTGATGGCAATAATGGGTGTCTCTGACCACGAGACGAAGCTGCCCATGTTGCGCTCCTTGCCACTCCCCGTGTTGAAGCCTCCGCCATGGACATAGACAACCACGGGGATTTTCTTGCCGTCCAGCCCCAATTTCGCCATCTCGGCAAGGCTGGACTCGGGATCATCGCCAAAGTGCGGGCGGTAGATGTTCAGGTTCAAACAGTCCTCGCCCTGACCGCTCCCGCCGCCTCCAGGCTGGGGGCAGATGTTGCCAAAAGCCAGAGCATGCTGGGCTTTGTCCGACTGTGCTTGGGCGGCGGTCAAATTTAGAGGCTGTGGAGGTCTGAATCGGTTCGCGCCGGCAGTTGTCTGGGCGTAGGGGATGCCTCGGAACATTTGAATGGCACGCAGGTACTTGTCGCTCTTCTGGGTGACCTCACCCAGGTATGTGCCCTGGGTGAGTTTGACGCTGGTTGTTTTCTGCGGCATTGGTCAGTCTCTGCTGTCTCACCCTGCTCAGAGGCTCCAAGTGGCTCAAAGACGGTGGTGTTCCTGTCAAGTCCGAGTACGATGTGCAAAGTAGCTTCCTTGGCATCCATTATCCCCGGCCGAAGTTGTTCGATGAGGGGAGATGCAGCGGGACAAGGATCGGTACTCGGTAGTTTGGGGATGTGCATGCAGAAGCATATTAAATACATAATAATAAGTAACCGTTGCAGGATACATACAGTAGAGGTATGCGACCGAGCCAATAGGTTTGAACCATGCGTAGATAGCTTTGCATTTGTGATCTGGGCGTGCTGGTGCGGGTGCGGGTGCTGGGATCTTAAGACTTGCCGTACCTTGAAGAGGCCATCAAATGGACCAAGCTGGTCGCGATACAGCCACGAGAAGAGCACAATGAGGGTAATGGCGGTGATGATCGCAACGAACAAAATGCCGCGACGGATGCGGCTGGCTGGCTGGAGGAAGCGTGGGCGGCGTGATCGTCGCGCGGCCATGTTCACGGTCGCATGCCCGTCTGGCGTTATGTCACGATCGGGGCTGTCGAGGTTGGCTCCCTCCTCGAGCTCGTCTTTCGCATTGTGATGGCGGCGGCGGATCTTAGTGATGTCGCGCACTCGCTGCGGCCACGACGGGAGTGGCGGTGGGAGTTTGGGTTCACCTGCACTGTCAGCTGGAGGTCGAGGTCGAGGTGAATTGAGTGAATTGGGTGAATTGAGTGAATGTTGCTGCAGGTGATCAAAGGCGCTGCTTCCATTTGTGCTGCTGACTGGAAGCTCCTGCCATGATTGCCGTGACTGCCTCCTGGCCTTCATCTGTGACGGTGAGGTGAGCCAAGGCCAGCTCCTGGTCCCTGATATCTTGGCGTCGCGTGGGTTCTGCTGTTACCTCCAGTAATAACCTTGGAATGTGGGTGAACGGTGAACGGTGAACGGTGAACGGCGGGCGGATGTTGGGGGTTGCAATTTGAAATCGAAAGCCAAGGCGGCCAGAGCTTCAGATGGCAGATAATAAAGCTTGGCATTCCTTTGTGTTGAATGTTGACCACCATAGGGCTGTGAATGGATGTGGGCAAGTGGTCAAGTGGTCAAATGGTCAAGGAACAAGAACTTCAATATTCTTTGACCCCTTGCTTGGGCTTTGAACTCGGTCAGCTCGAATGGGCAGCCCAGTGAATACATACCTCATGTCTACATATCTGCCATCCTAATAACTAGTAGAGCTGGAGGCACACAGCGTCGCTAGATTACACAAATAGACGTCAGCCCAGGGATACTACATACCACATGTACCTACATGTAGTACCTGACGAGGCCACTGCCATTTAATCTGTCAAAGGTACAGACAGGTACTCAGGATTACATCTAGACGCATGCCTAAAAAGCGGACGGATCCTTCCAAATACCTGCTCCTCGCTACCATGGCCTAGGTCTGGCTGCATATCCACCTTTAGGTAGACCTCACCTGCTGCATTCATTAATTCAGCTTTGTACCGCCTCCATGCCCCTTTACCCAACGTGTATCCCTTCAGCCCTGACTGTGCCACAAGCCCGCAGCACTTCCAATACCAGCTTTATTACACGCTCCAAGGTCCTCGATCAGGGCAGTGCCTCGCAGGGTCTGAGACAAGACTGAGAGTCAAGGACCGGTGTCTTTTGTCTGTCTCTCCTCTTAGCTCATGTCTTAGTTTCCAACGGCCAGGTCACGCTAGTGAGCTAGATACGTTAGCTAGCTTTTAAGTTCGATGATGCCAACGGCCGCGGAGATCGCGTACTATCGATCATACAGCCAAACGGTTGCGCTACTAATAAGCACTTGTCTACCGTCGCCGCTTCTTTGTCACCCATTCTTCGGAAGGCAGCCGAGGCTCACTGTCTTGAGCCGTTCGACTACAGTAGGTAAATAATTAGGGGCATGGCATACGTATGGTGCTTCATTGTCCTCCAATGACTTCGGGTGCTGGCTACTAAACAATTTATGTCTATGATGTGAATGGTCACATAACACGCTGGGGTGGACAGAGTGTATTGATGGAGTATATGCCTTACCTCAACTTATTTCACTCCTTAATAATCATAGCTGGAGACGGGCCCGACCTAATGAACAGCTCTAGGGATTCTGTACAGATCGGCACCACGCCCTATCTGCCGTCATTGCACGGAAATAAGCCGAGTATGAGAAGGACTGGTTCGCAACCGTGAAGGACCACTTCTGGCTTAGATGTAGATTGGACTCATCATGGTCAGCTTTGCGATTGAACTAAATCAATTGATACAAAACATATTGCTGGGTGTCTCGAGCGTTGATAACCATGGGAGAGGAACCGCTTCTGTTCCAACCTGACTGAGCCAGTTATGTACGACACTAACAAATAGCACCATGATCTTGGTAAGAAGCTGTAGCTTTTTCCAGCAGTAAGAGAGGCCAGTGGACTCGGGAATATCCCAGAGTGTCGGTGTTATAAGATACGGTTGCATGGCTCTCCATTAGTTGTACGAGAGCACCCAAACTCACCTTGTAGGGAGATGTCGTGTATTGCGAAAGCCGGGCACCGAGACTTTCAACGTTCATCGTAACCCTGGGTCAATCTCTTAGCATTGATTAATCAAGAGTTGTGGATGTCATGTTTGCTCGGGACAGTGTTAGATAGAGGCTTGAGAGGGCGGCCTTTATACCTTGCCACCCCCTGATATAACTCATCACAACCGCTGCCCGGGTGCCATGGCCATGTAATCCATGCCGACGACGTATGCATACGGACAACCAAGCTGCCTATGTATAAGTATTGATGTGACCGTATAACTCACTATAACGAGGTCCATCCTCAAGCCAAGCGTGCTGCCTTTATGCTGTTATCTACCTACCAACCTTCTCATCCAAGGGATTTTCCCCAGTTTCATGGCTCCCCTGTACTTGTCTGGGTTCAATGTTAACTCCCTTTTAGTCTGATGGTGGCCACCACACCCAGACGACGGGAGTACGTACCCAAGTGAGCAACATCACAGCGTAAGAACCGCAACAAAAACCACCTCATACCATTCGAACTGACAAACATGACTCTATCATACCACCCCATCCACACATGAACTTGCAAGCTAAGATTACATTGGGAAGAGGCAACTAGACAAAGTTTTCCCAACAGCCACACTGCAAAGCTTATATATAGCCCAGCCCCCTCCTATTTCCGTGCGCACCAACAACGGTACAGGACATACATACGAGTGTAATGTGTAGATCTGGTAGCCGGGTTGGTGGCCTAGCGGAGTATTCTTATCCAATATCCTTAGGCACAGCGGTTCGATTCCTCCAGCGGTTGAAACATTATCTTTTTTCTCTTTCTTTTTCTTTTGGGCCCTTCAGCTTGCCAGACGGCCCAGACAGCCCGCCGGATAGCACAACTCACATCATCACACACCACCCACCGCCCTCCCCCTCCTCCGCACCAGCAACCTCAACCTCCACCCCCTTACTCCAAACCCGCCTCACCCTCCTCGTAACCGTAATATCCTCCACAGGATTCTCGTCCACGAGCACCAAATCCGCCCTCAACCACTCCCGCACCCTCCCCCGATCCCCGAGCCCCGGAAACCACCTCGCCGGCCCCGCCGTCGCCGCCGTCAGCGCCTCCAGCTCACTCAAACCCGCCCTCACCAGCAACTCCAGCTCCCCATGCAGCGCCGAGCCGGCCATGACCGTCACAACCCCACTATCATTCGCGTCCGTCCCCGCCAGGATCGGCACGCCGGCCTCCCGCATAGCCTTCACGCTCGCCAGCGCGTGCGCAAAGTCTTTATTATAAAACAGCGGCCACATCAGCCACGACTTCTTAAACGCGCCCATCATGCTCAGCGTCGGCACGGCCACGGTGCCCTGCTCGACCATCCGGTCCGTGATCTTCCCGTCGAGTGGCCTGTCCATGGGGACATGCGTCAGGACGTCAAAACCCGCGTGCAACCCGCGGGCGAAGGCGCCGTACTGCGCCGTGTGCGCGATGGTCATGACGCCCTGCTTCTTCGCCGCGACCTGTACCGCATCGAGCGCCTCCTGCGCGATGCCCGGCTCGTCGGCAATGATCTTGACGTAATCGACGCCCTCGTCCACACGAGCCCGGACAAACCCGTCCGCCTGCTCCGCCTGCTCCAAAGCGTGCTCGGGCCCGACGCCCGCGAAGTATCGGAAGAGCTTCCCGTGCCGCGAGTCCGCGGCGTACGCCGGCAGGCTGGTGCCGAGCCAAGTCGTCGGCCCCGAGGCGGCGCGGAGTTGTGCGTATTTGGACGGTGGCATGCAGGCCATGTCGCAGACGGTCGTGACGCCGTACCGCGTGCACGAGGCGAGCTGCGCCGTGTCGCGGATGTGGACGTGTGTGTCGATGAGGCCGGGGAGGATGGTGCAGCCCGTGCCGTCGATGTCGATGTCGATGTCGATCTCAGCTTCAGGGGCCGCCGCGCCATCACTCCTGCTGATGCTGCTGATTTGCGCCCCGTCCAGCACGACGGTCCGGGGCCCGCTGAGGAGGGCCTCGCCGTCGAAGACGAGCACGTTCCTGATGGCCGTCCTGGTCATTGCTTCCGATATTCCCGACTACTGGATGGTACCGTTTTTGATATGTCGGTAGTGTAGTGAACGGGTTGGTTGGTTGGTTGGTCGGTGATGCGTTCAAAATATCCACGCCTCACGGTAACTGTAGGTAGGTCAATGGAAGCAGCCAGGAGCGGCTCGAGGTTCTGCAGCGGCTTCACATCTTATAAACCCGTTCAAATCACCTCTGAGCTTGGGCGAAGGATCGAGGCTGAATGTCACCGGCCGATGGACGCTCCGAGTGAACCATGTTGCCGATGGTACCCCCTTTTCCAGGCAATTTTGTGCATTGTTGCCTAGGAATGGCGGGTTAATCGGGGTCATCTTGGTGCCGAGCCTCAGCTTTAATCGGCGCCCACGGGACTGGTCCACACCGCAGAGTTTAGAGGACGATTGGAACACCGAGCTCCGCGATCACTGATTCTTGACTCCTACCCCTTTATGTAAGGTATCTTTGTGCATGCCTGCTAAATTTGAAGGTACGTAAAGCGTGGGGCAAAAACTGCCTGACCATGGGGTTTTACATTTGCGTGACACCGCAGTAAAGACCGACGAAATCAAGATCAGGCTTTTTTTACTGGTCTCAAGTAACTTGCTTGGCTCTTGCACCGCAAGCCAAGACATGTCCAATCGACAGGTCAAAGAAAAGGAATCAAATTCGGCAATACCAATTCCAATTTCAATTCACCTGCTCTTGCGAGCTTTTGATGTGTTGTGATGTACAATACTGATACACATCAGCGAAAGCAATAAGCCTATGCAATCTCAGTTTACCCGAACAAAAGCAGTCATCCATCCGGTAGGCCATAAAGACAGGCTGACCACGGTCGTATCAGCAAACGCCAGACTCGGTGCTCTCAAGGACTCCCAACGAAAATGCAGCTATTCCCACAATCAATACACATTTAGACGCCATCCCATCCCCATCAGGCCTGTAGCCTATCCAGTGTTCCACACTCAAGTCATGACGTCTCGCAGTGAGCTGACAGTCATTCTCTTCTTTGCTTGCTTCGCCGCCCATTCTCGGCTCTGCTGACGAGATCTCTCGGCCGCTTCCTCCCTGGCAAGTCTAGCAAGAGCTTCGTGTTCTCGCTTCTCACGCTCCCGATTGCCCGTCAACGAGTTGTCTCGTTGGTATACCTCCTGGCCTCGTTGTCTCTGCTGGTGTGCCTTCTCTGTTGATAGCGTGCTGCGCTTGCCGCTGGTGCTACCCGCTGAGCTTGAAATTGCACGCCTGGCCTGAGCTGCCGAAGTCTCAGGCTGGGAGTCTCGGCCGCGTGTTTGCGGCTGGTTTTTAGAATCAGATAGTGGTGATCGGCCATTGGACCATGTGGCTGTAGACAAGCGTTTGTTTGGACTAGGCGCAGCTTGCCGAGCGGGATTCTCTGCCAAGGTTGCCATGTTTTGTCGAGCACGGCTGGAAAGTGTGCCGCGAGGAGCTGAGGCCTGCACGACACCAGAGCCTATGGGTCTGGCTTTGAATTCGCGTCGCTTCTTCTCCTCCTCCTCCTGCGCTTTCAGTCGGGACTCATGCTCCTCCCGCTTGCGACGAGAAATGGCTTCACCCGGAAGCTCAAATGTTGGGCGTTCAAGTTGTCTTGCAGACTTGGTCCTTCGCAGACTCGACGCAGTTGGTTTGGATAAGCGCTCAACGGCTGCTTGCGAGGTCATGCGTGCGTCCCGCTGCTCTTTCAGCCTACGAGCCACTGCTTCTCCAGGTAGCTCAAAGGTTGGCTTCGTAGCTAGCTTCGTCGACTTGGGCGGCTGCTTCGGCGGAAGTAGACTGGCAGGCAGTTTGACTGCAGCCTTCTTGGGTGGGGCCTGGGCAATGGACTTGTCCTGGGTCTTCATTTTGGGTGAATCCAGGAAGATCATAGAGTTTGATCTGCGAAGTGATCCTCGACGGGGCTCAGAGGCGGGCTTGACCCTGACGGAAGCGGAACCTGGCTTCATCGAATTCCGTTTCGGCTGCGGGGTGGCAAATCTGACGGTCCCAGCGCTCTTCGGCGAGTCCTTATGTTTACGGGCCGACTTGGGCTTTTCCGGAGACACGACTTCTTCAATGTGAGCAGCTTCATCGAAAGCCTCCAACTGTTCTTCCAACTGATCGAGTGCTTCAAGGGAGTCCTCGATTCTCGCGACAGGCTTGGCTGGCGACCTGGACGTGATCACCTCGGCGAAGCTGTCGTCTTCTCTGGTCGGAGTCGCAGATTGTGAGGTACCCTTTCCAGGCCGCTTGTCTGCGTAAATGTCCTGCTGCTTAATTGGTGTGGAATGCTGGTCACCGGATCCAGGGGGAACCATCTCTTCCCCAGACGAATTTTCCTCCAACATCTTTATCAGCTCGTCGGTAACTTTCAACGGGGTAGTCAAGAGCGTATAAGCTGGTGCTGAGCGGTCTTGGGTTTGACCGTCACTACCTGCCTGGGCCGGCGTTGGCAGGAGATTGCAACCGAGATACACCGGCTGGTATATTGTGAGAGCCTTGGGCCCAGAGGCGAACTCGCCCTTGGAGTTAGAAAGAATGGGGATTTTGGTTTCAAGAACACATTCAAAATCGCCTCTGCGATGCTTCGCGAGCTGCTCTTCGGCTGATTTTATTTCACGGGCCGCTGTAGACAGGATATGTCGCGATACCTCTTCGACTGCAGATATGAGATTAGTAAAAGCGTGTCATTACGGAATGTGCAACATATGAAGTGCCAGAGGATGTGGCAAGTCATACCTGACAGCTGGGGGTAGTCCTGCAAGAAAGCGTCCGAAACACTTGAAGGCGGGGCTTCGGATGGGCCGTGTTGCGACTCGTCCTCAGGAACAGTGTCGAGAACTTCAAAAGTGTTGGCTGTAATGCGCGGTCGACTCAGGCGACCTCCTCCGCTGTTCTTCTGTTTATCTGCCCAATTGGCGTGTCCTACCGGTTGGTGGGATTCCGACGTTGGCACGCCTACTTGTTGTTGGAACTGCTTGAGATCGGTGGTGATGCAGACGATGGCCGAGCTCGCAATGGCGCTAGACTGGCGGTTCTGAGCCTGGGGGATGGAGAGGTCACGAAAGACGGTAGATTGGGTGGTGTTCAGAGGCAACTTGGTGTGTGAAGAAGGGTGGTGGTGGTCTTCATCGCTAGAGCTCGAATCGCTGTGAATGTCGATTCTCGCTCGAGTCGGGGTGACCCGCGGCATGTCGACTCTTGAGGGGCCGCGAAGACGCGGACCGGTCTGGACTCTGGGCCTGTGCCTAACGAACTGGAGATCGAGGAGGGAGCCCAATCTCGGAGGGCCAGCACGGGGATGCGCGTGAGCCGTGTGTTTACCAGAAAGGTCAATGGTGGTGGGGTGCCTGTGGTCCTCGATCCCTGGCCGTTTCGAATCGACAGGGGGAGTAGTTAATGTGACGTTGGGCTGGTTGGACACTTCTTATCGAAACCCCCTTCGAGTGTATGTACTGGGATTGAAGGATGTCGTAGCAATTGGCTGATGATTTCGAATCTGTGATGTTTTCTGACGAATGCAGTGTTGTGTCTGGAGAGGAAGAAACCATGGGACGACTCGGGCTTATTGGAATGGGGATGGCAACACAGTTACACAGGGGCATGGACTGCAGCTGTCTGTGTAAGCGGGTTCAATGGTGGTGGTTGCCCAGACTACGCAGGTGGGTGGTGCCTGTACCTCCAGCTGTATCTGCAGGTGTGCCCGTCTGATTCTATCCCCGAGCTTGATTTCTCGTAACAGTTGCCCGCAACGGCAAGAGTGCACACAGCCTATCTACCAGGTACCTAAGATGTAGTATCCCCCGGTGCAACTGGTAACTGGCAACTGGCAACTGCCCAGTCCTTGAATGTAAATACAGCTGACTAAGACACGCGCTACGCGTAGCAGTGTAGCAGAACGCGGAGGAATCTCCCCGCCTTTGAACATTATCGACAGGGATCAGGCTTGTAATGGGATACAAGTACTTGATCGGGTCTTGACCTGAGTACAACGACCTCGTCCTTGCCCCTTCGACAATTGCTGCTGCTATCACAACTGGCGCGGCCATCTTCACTAATTCTGCATGTGCCAAATGTCTGGGTCATTGTGCCATCGAGCTACATTAATCCATCAGGCACGGTGGTGAGTGACAGTCGACGCGATGGCATCTATCGGGAAGCCCAACCGCGGAGTATATAGACAGCGATGTGCAATGCCTGAATGACGCATGTCTGAGCGCCTTCGAGCTACAGGTTGCCTGTCCCCTGAGATCTGTATCGAGTATTAGCAGCTGTAGGTCAGAAAGGGGTGTTTTATGCATGCTTAAAACTTCACCAGGTACATCGTGAAGGAGCTTCGGCGTATTAATAACTCGGGCGCAGCTTACCTGTGGGAGAATGTCTAAGACTTAATCCCTTACAGCTTATCCAGGGAGCTCAGGATACCTATATGGTCGAAGTATTCTGCTCGCTCTCCAGAGCTCCCTCGGCTTGCACCTGGAGTGCCGGCGCATGTTCTGTTGGTATTCGGATCAGAGTCTGTGGAAGGGGCACCGTGTCCTCTGGCGTAGACTCTTCGTCATCTGCAATGCGCGGTGTCGGAATTTTGGCTGTCGCAGGTAAGCACCATCCACGGAAAATTGGAGATATCGCTTCAACATGGTCGCACCTGATGCCATATTTATAGCTCGTAAGACGTTGTGCCAGTTTCCCATGACCGTGGCGATTGCTGTCAAGACGAGAAGCTATTAGTTGATGAACGATGCGACTGCCGGCCAGCTGGCTTCCGGGTACCACCGCACCTTCTGTTCCATCGGAAAGGGTCGACAGCTTCAGCTCCAAGGCTTCCATCTGGTCGGCTACTGCCGCGCTGAGATCGCGAAGCTCCTGGAGGTTGTCAAGCTCTGCCTTCTTCTCACTGATTCGAGCGAGTAGAGCCGCGGACTGCCCTGTGGACTGGGCATTGGGGTTGCCGGAGGCAGAGCCCTGCCGCAAATGGCCAGGCAGTGAACGCGAAGAGAAGGCCATGGCGACGTCCAGTGTTGATTTCTGTGTAGAAGTGACGTTCGGTCGTGCTCTAGGGTGTTGTTGACATAAGGTATGTCCGTGCCCAACCCCAACGTCCCGGAGTGAGATGCAACCTAATCGACGTCCCAGCTCTCGGGATCAACTGTTGTGGTCCGAGTTGAGGGACTAGCTTCCTCGGCAACAACAAACAGGGTCCAAACAGGTGCGTATCATCCAGCAACGAACGGTTCCTCGAAAATGCCGTCTCTGTCTTATCAGGTTGTCTTCAATCGAGTTTGGGCTCTGACGTGCGGCCATTGAATGCATGTCACATGTGTCAGTAGCAGTGCCCGTGCGCAGTCGACCCCTGGTCAAAGCTCTGCCCGCACTAGACCACTTGGGGGTGGGGGGGGGGAGGGGGGGTCCCAAGTAGTCTACCCGTTGTTGTCGTGCCAACAGCCCTTGTTGAATTCGAGTGGGAACATGACAGTATCCTTGCGACTCATTTCTTTGACCGTCAAAAAACCAGCCAGCCATTGCGTCCACACATCTACATACAGCACGCGTTGCCCTACCTGAGACCTCACTGCTTTACGTTGCCCTTCGAATCCCTTCGAATCAGCTTTGCAGAGTCCATTCACATACAACAAGATCCAATCGACAACTACACCGTCTCCAGATAGTTGCCCTCACCTACAAGACAGGAGCGCGAGCTCATGACTCTGTATCATGGCACGCCTCAACGAACCCATGGTCTCCACGGATAACCTAGATACGCGTATGTTACACCGTAAGAGAGTAGGTGAATCTCCACAGGAAGCTGACACCTATTCTTTCTGCAGTCCGTCGCAAGTTCCTACGTCAAAATCGAGACATCGCACGAGTCAATTCAACCCAGTCACTCAAGATACGTGCTTTGGAGAATGAATGCGCGCGCATGCTATCCGAGAACCTCGAGCTTCGAGGCCAGATCCTGCGTCTCGACACAGAACTACGAGAGAGCCAAGCACACCGAATTGCCGATCACGCGCTCGAGATCAAGGAGAAGATGGAGGCCCAATTGCTAGAATGGGGAGCTATGCTTGCCGGCTTGGGCAACGAACCAATACCAAAGAACCGCTCTCCAAGAGCAACCAAGAAGGCTAGGATCTCAACAAGTTTGGACCGCCCCAGCTTTCCCGAATGGAGGCGGAGGGATACCATGAGCTCTATGAAGGATCTTGAAGCGGCCGCACAGCAAGAGGGCAGATTGCCACCGCTATGGGAGAACAAGCAATACCCTCGCGAAACATTAAAGTGAGTCATGTCTCATGGAATTGTTAGTCACCCCAGGCTAACCAATATAGTCGAGAGGAGATATTGGCTTTGTGCTCCGAAGCCGACGAGAATACCGACTCGCCAGACCTGGGGCCGCCCCCAGTATCACGTTTTGTCGACGAGGATCCAGTCAAGTGTGACCTGCCAACAAGACCTACGAAGACAGCTCCAGCTGTACCGGAACCCACTCCTGCGGAAGAACCGCCGTTCAAGGAGGTGTCAAACATATCATCACCGGTCGCTATCACAAAGCTTGAGATGTTTGTGAAGGAGGAGCCCGCGCCGAAGAAGGCAGAGAAGGAGGAACCAGCGCCGAAGAAGGCCGAGAGCGACAACGCCATCACAAAGTCTACTACCAAACCCCAGCCTCCCTTGATCGACCAAGTTGCTAAGGCCAACTTGAAGAGAAAGTCGAGGGAAGATGACGAAAAAGAGAACGCTCAGGTGCCGAACCCACTTGCACAAAGACCGATACACACGAAACCCAAGCAGGAGAAAGCAACCACGAAACACCGACCAGCTGTGAGACCAGTCAAGGAACCATCCTCGCACAGGAAAGAAGCACAAGATAAGACCTCTATTTCGAGTCAAAGGAAGCCACTAGGGGCAAAGAGCTCCAATGAGGTCATGAATTCTCCGAAGAAGTCCACAAAGCCCCCTGTCCTGGACGCAGTAGCGAAGGCCAAGGCAGATCTGAAGCGAGACGAGCGACCTAGGGAGAGTTCGAAGCCAAAGCAGGAGGTTCTCCCTGTCGAGATTGTTCCGCCGCCTTCGCCAGCACCCGTCGCTAGTATCGAGATCAAGAACGACTCTCTGTCAGCCGAGAGTCATCTCGTGATGCCTGAATCACCGGCGCCATCCGTTCCCAGGGAGGACCTGATCAGAGATACGCCACCCCCAACCGACATTTCTTCCAAGGGGGAAACGTCGCGGGGCAGTCGCAGGGCTAGGAGTGCTGTTAGTTATGCTGAGCCGAACCTCAGGGACAAGATGCGGCGGCCTACTAAGCAGCTATTCGATGCAGTTTCGGGGGAAGGCAAGCAGATTCGCCGGACTAGTCACTCGGCGAAGGACGAGCCTGCCTCTGGCCCTTCGTCCGTGGCGAGATCTGAAGGACGGTCAGAGTCGTCAAGGAAAGACCTACCGACGGCCTCTGAAGCGACCCAGGCTCTAGATGTCCTGGCCAGTCCACTCGTACAGAAAGCGACTAGAGCACCTCCGGTGGATGACCTGCCGGCTGCCGTTGTCACGGACCGAAAGCGCATATCGATCGCCGTCGGACAGAGCGACCATTCGGAGTCCTCGGCCGGAGCGTCCGTCAGGCCCACGTCAAAGGGAGGCAACAAGCGCCTCGAGGAGATCGCGGCCCGCGAAGCGGAGGTGGCCAAGATGTTCGACGACGCGGATATATATGAGTTCACCCCTTCTTCACCCAGCCACCACGGCTCAACAAGGGACGCCACCTCAGAGGAGACAGGCGGCAAGAAATCGAAAGGTGCCCGGACGTCGCGTGCCAGACGGCAATCGTCCATGGCGCAGGAAGGCCTCGTTGGATTGGGCGATCATGCCGACCGGAGGGTGAGAAATGCGGGCGGCCGGAAACGTGCTTCGATGATGCCCTCCAAAACTGCGAAGTTGGACGCTGAGGACGCACAACAGCAGGATGGCCCGGCGGTAGAGGGCGACAGCCTCACCAGCGTCTCGTCGGCGGATGCCCCGGACGCCTCGGCCTCGGCGCGGGACAGGGCGGCGACGCGGAGGAGGAGTATGATGCTATGATTGATTCAGGGGGTGGTGTTATGGTTTTATGAATGATAATGAATGATTGGCATGGTGTTTTGAAGCCCGGTGCTCGAGAGATAGATACCTGATGTTTGAATGGTCGCTCAATGGAAGGTTCATAGCGCAGGAGTACTTACTCTTTTTCAACTGGGATTACCTAACTGGGAATTCAGAATTCCGTTTATTTCTTAGCAGGGTGTTCTGATTACTTAGATTGTGTGAGACTTCGGTGTTTTTGTTCTTGTTTCTCGGCCGCGATATATGATGTTGGTGTATCCCCCGAGGAAAAGATTCGTCTCCAGCCTGTTCACCCCGTCAAGACTTCGCCTCAGAACACTCAGCCAGCGCTCGAGGTACACCGAACCCTCAGAAGTCTCCGTACACCCGGTAATCGAAGTTTAGAATATTCATGGATCAATTGCATCTCTTATAGAATAATCACACTAGAATAAGCTTAAACCGTGGCATATTAGAATATAAGTGGTTATTCCGGGGTGCTTATTCCTCTGTGTCTATGCTATCAATGGGGGCGCCCTCGAGGTTCGCGGACGACAGGGAGTCTCTCGAGAGAGACTTAAGTCTGTTCCAAGTAATCCACCACCCTCCTACAAACCCCCATACCCATCTCTGCCACGCACGCAACCCACGCCCACAGCAGCATGCAGTATATAGCCTCCAACCAAGCCCGATGCGTCTCGCCGCGGCCCGTCTCCAGGCTGCTGACCGAGTACGTGATCGCCGCGCAGAATCCCAGGATGGCGGCCACGGTGCAGCTGCCGCTATCCGTTCGCGTTGTGTACGCCAGGTGCGGGATGCCGACGCTCGTTGTGCCGATCCCGATCATCGTTGCGAACATGACGAGGAGAAACCAGCCGCTCTCGAAGTCCTGCTCCCGCACCGCGGCGGCGGTGGCTAGGATCTGCAGGCACGTGATGGAGCCGGCGGCGCAGCCGAGGAAGATGCATATGTCGTCTCTTCGGTCGGATTGTGACATTTTGGCGTTAATGGGTTGGATTTGTGTTGCGGATTTGTGTTGCGGATGTGTGTTGCGGATGTGTGTTGCGGATTTGTTTGCCGTATTTGAAAGTGGTGGTCTGGTTGGATGAGGGAGCGGATGGATGGATGGATGGTTTTGCAGTAAGTGAGTCGTGGAGTGGTGGGTGAGGTGGTTGTAATCTGTGTTCTTTAGTACAGGAACTTGTGGCACTGGAGAAACTTTGACTTTGAAGGAAGCCTCCTTTGGGAGGCCACGGGGCGTAGAGATATAGAGTTTCGCAAACCTAAGGAGGAAACATGCTCACTGTAGCGTCCCCGATGGGATCACAACATTTGAGCAACACTGGGTTCGAGAACACCAGCCGCTTGAGTCAGTGGTTGCTCGAAACTTTCAGGCAGTATGTTGATCTGCTGGTTGCATATATGTCTGAATATCCCCTACTCTGAATAATTTGAGGGTCTTGTGTTCTACCTACCTACTTCGGTGGCATTCACACGCTCAAGCCCTCAGGGTAGGTAGCGATGGCTTCTTCCGTTGGGGCCTGTGGCTGCTGTTAACTCTCATCTGGCAACTAGTGGAAGCCCTCTCCAGATGCCAATCAACCTGTCCCGTCAATTTCGCTTTCTTTTGGACCACAAATCATTGCGGGCTTGTTGCCGTAACCTATGCTTCTCTCAAGTTGCTACTCACGATCCAAGATCATGATGATGACCCTGTTGGTTCTACCGGTTTCGTATAAGTCACCTTCTCTACCGCCACGTTCTCTGCGCCGTTCGCATCTTTCCTCAGCTGGTAGACGTATAGTGTGAGCGATATACCCTGAACCTGTATCACATTGTCAGTGAACCAGCTAGGAACCTTTCGAACCAGCCTCTGGTGCGCAACTTCGCAGTGTGTGCACCCAAGGCTAGTCGGCACCAACACTCACATCCATCAAACAGAAACTCGGCACCATCTCCTCGCCCTCCTTAGTCCAACCGGTGGTGTAGGCACCAGTGGCGCTCCCCGGGTTGACGAAGAACTTGTCCATGTACTCAAAGGCGTCGAAGCGGTGGGTGCCGCCCCAGCAGAGGACGTCGACATCAAGCTTGTGGGCCTCGGCTAGGAGCAGGTCGGGCTCGGTGGAGACCAGTGTGAAGCCTTCGACGAAACCGATGCGCAGCGAGCCGTGGGTGACGACCTGCGACAGCGGCAGCGACGTCGCCTCGACGTCGAACCGCCCCTTTACGATCTTCAGACCCGGCGCGATCGACCGCAGATACTCGTACGTGTGCTTGTCTGTCAGGTTGCCCAGACACAGGGTCTGTCCGATCTTGCCTGGCGACAGCAGCTTCTTGAACTACAATCATGGTGGTGTTAGCGGGCTCGGGCTAAGGTTCGGCAGGGCATATCCCCGTGGTTGGGCGCGTGGTCACTACAGACCTTTTGTGGTATGTCGAGGGCGCGGTCGGGGATGTGCAGATCCCCGATGACGAGGATAAGGAAAGCCATTGCGTGTGTATAGGAATGACGGCTTATAAGCTGGATACTGTAGCCACCATGCGGCGATTCACAGGGGCTCGATGGGTTGCAGCGGCGGTGGGAAAGGAGGCTGAACTCGAGGGCGGACGGCTCGGCGGTGCGGTGTCGAAGGTTGCGAGAGTCTCGAGGCCTGTTAAGCTCCCAATTGAATACGGGTAGTTGGAGGACGTGGGGCTGTCGCTTGGTGGGCGTTCATATTCTTTGCAATCTGTTAGATGTTGAAGCTGTCGCAAAGCTCAAAGTCGTCGTTGATGTTACTTGTCAGAGCAGACCCAAGCTCACGAGCCAAGGCAGGCTAAGCCCCTCAATTGTGAGCTATGCCTGCTTGGGATCGTTGTCTGCCCCGCCCCTCTTACCCTCGACCCCTGCACAGGTCAGACAAGGGTCTCCCGTCATCACCCAGCCAGCCAGCCTCATTCGCAAAGCGGGACAGCATCTACAAAACATCATGTGGCCGAACACGGAGGATGAAGACATGAACAACAGGCATGCTTGGGCAGCTGCAAACTGGACCCAACAGACTGCAGGTGGTCTCTAGTAGCATTGCAGGGATACATGTGTACTTGTATACCTAACTCGAAGATCGGAGTCATGCAGCCTTTGAGATCAGTTGTAATACTGCATGTGTGTAGGCCGGAAGACTGGCATCGGCTTCCACAGTGGGGGTAGCGGCTTAGTCACTGTCGTCAATGCCGACGTCCTCCGGTCAGGTCTTAGGCTCTTATTACTGTAAAGGCAGAGTCTTTTTTATTAAAATCCTGCAGACCGCCGGCTTCAATTGACTCTCTGTATGGCAAAGGGGTTCGTTCGGGTTATACACCATCTGCAAGTGTAGGTATTGTCACTACCTCATTGAACAGACAGCAGCCTTTCAATTGGGACCGACAGTTCGATCTAGACGTCACAATAAGGTTCCCCTGACTCTGAGGCTCCCGTCGTCCGATCTGCCTATCATCGACCAATGCCCCCTCCCGGCTTCTCAGCTACTGTCCCGAGGTCCCTAGCAAACCTGGCCTGCCCAGCACTGCGGAGGAAACCCGGAGCGGTGCTCGGCGCCATGCCCCACCAAACGTCTATACTCAGAGCCAGCTCATCAGCATCCAACCCCGCGTCCCGGCTCTCTATTATATCAGGACATCTTACTGGAGCCCAACCTTCTTCCAACACCTCCAACAACCTTTCTACATCGCCCACACAGAGCCGCAACATCTCGTCGTCGCCGTCCTTCAACATGTCTTCTCAGCCAGAGCACCCCACCCTGCTCATCCCGGGCCCTATAGAGTTCGATGATGCTGTCTTGCAGTCTATGAGCCACTACAGGTTTGTCTAACTCCTCCAACCAATGCGCGCAGAGACATATCGTACCATTACATCTAACACGTACTGTAAGCGAATCGCATGTCGGCCCCGGATTCGTTGCCACCTTTGGCGAGACTCTGTCGATGCTTCGCAAGCTCTTCCAGACCACGGCTTCCGATTCGCAACCCTTCGTAATCTCCGGCTCGGGTACACTGGGCTGGGATATAGTAGCAGCGAACCTTGTTGAGCCCGGCGAGAATGTCTTGGTTCTCAGCACTGGTTACTTTAGCGACGCCTTTGCCGACTGCTTGAAGGTCTATGGTGCGAGTGTTGATACTCTGAAAGCTTCGGTCGGTTCCCGACCCCAACTGCCAGAGATCGAGAAGGCATTGAAGAGCAAGAAGTACAAGATGGTCACGGTAACGCACGTCGACACGTCGACGGGTGTGCTCAGCGAGCTCCAGAAGCTCTCCGAGATGGTCAAGAGCGTCTCGCCAGACACACTGCTCATCGTGGATGGTGTGTGCAGTGTCGCAAGTGAGAACATCGAGTTCGATGCGTGGGAGCTGGACGGTGTGGTAACCGCGAGCCAGAAGGCCATCGGTTGCCCGGCAGGCTTGTCCATATCCATGTTTAGCGGAAAGGCCATGGATGCCTTCAGGGCGCGAAAGAGCCCACCTGCCACTTACTTTGCTTCCATGAAGAACTGGACGGCTAGTACGTGATGCCTCCCCCAGAAGGCATGTTTTGGTATGATGAGAGCTGACATCGGACAGTTATGCAAAACTACGAGGCCAAGAAACCATCCTACTTCGCAACGCCCTCACCGCAACTGATCCACGCTTTGCACACGGCGCTCTCCCAGATCCTTGCCAAGCCCCTTTCCGAGCGGTTTGCAAAGCACAGAGAATTTTCGGATAAGGTCAAGAAGGCCGTGACCGAGTTGGGCCTCAAGCAGGTTGCCAGCAATCCGGATGACCAAGCCCACGGCATGACGGCTATGTACCTGCCTGATAGTGTCAAGGCAACGGACCTGCTGCCAAAGCTCTTCAAGAGCGGAGTTATCTTTGCTGGCGGTATCCACAGGGAGATCGCCGCCAAATATGTGCGGTTTGGACATATGGGTGTCAGTGTGGTATGTCAACATCTCCCACCTTTCCCAGACCGATGAATGGGAAGAAAATCTAACCGCAGTAGACCGATCCCGCCCGCAGCGATGTCGACAAGGCGATAAACGCCTTGAAGAACGGCCTCTCGGATTGCGGATACCAGAAAGCATGAAGTTGGACTTGAGGGTAATGGCCTCAAGCCCCGTTTGAGTAAAGACTGTCCCATCTTCATAGCAAATACTTGTAAAGAAATAGGCGATCCTGGAATGTCTGATCTTCCTACGGTGCAAAGGTTATTTACAGGCTTCCAATGTACCCTATCCTAGAAGAGCGTATAGATAAGTGCGGAATGGAAAGTTTCCAATCAAGTTTGGTCGAACCAACAGTGGTGTGACGGTTCGCCGCTGATTCCAGAAGGACTATTGCCCCTGAGCATTGGGCAAGAGCCCCTCAAGTGAACGAGTGGTTCGATGGCGAATTGCATATGAATTTGGACTAAACCACTCCTATTCAGCTTCCTGAGAACGGAAGAAACCCTATCAGGACTCAAGTGCTGAGGTTGGGATGCACAAAGTTACCAGCCTGTGACTCCTTTTTTACACATCTGCCCGAGGAATTGTCAGATATCAGATGTTTACTCTAGCAAGTAGTAAACTGGCCTCGCCAAAAGAGTCCAAGACTTTGGGGCGTAGTTGAATCCCGGTACCGGGAACTCGGGATGACTGACGGCAGTAATCCGGCAGTCTGGAGACAGATGGGTGGATATGCCGAGATGTCTATGGCAGGTTCGGATGACTGTCATGACCTTGGTGTTATTCAATTAATAATACACACAGTGCTGGGCTTTCAACACACGGTCTGGGATATTGCGTGCATTCCATTTGCACGACATCAGGCGCTTCCCGGCCCGCATCGAAGCAGCGGTCAACATCTCTCCACGATCTCGGCCCAAGCTTTACGTGCAGACTTGAACGTTTGTGTTATTGCATGCGCGTTTCGAGTCCAGAATTGATGGGACTGAGAGACTGCACTGCATTGCAGGAAGTACGTACACACATACAAATAGCATGTATCTCGCAGGTTGCCGCCGCATCACCAGCACCACCGCCGGCAGACTGAATGACACCTCTACAGCACAGTTGGAGCACAGTTGGAGCACAGTACAAGCATACCGTACCTCCATGACACTGGACTGACAGCAGCCTCGGCGACCTAAAATTGGAGGGGTAAATAAATTACTAAGTCGGAGCCTTGCACCCTTCGACGCGCGGGGGCGACCAGTGACATAATCCCCACCTGCCACAGCACTTTAGCAGCAGTTTCAGCCCACCAGCAGCCCTCCCGCCTGTCCGCCAGAGAGTGCCCGCCAACGCGCACAGCACTCCACTCTCGTACCCAGCCTGCTCTTGGTCCCCCCCACTACCAGGTACCTACCGCCAGACTGGACCCAGGCCCTGCGCATGAGGTGGTGCATTGGCTCTTGGTGCCCCAGCCGCCAGCATCTCTCTCCAAACTGTGTTCCCGCCTGGCATCATCTGGTCTCTGCAATTTGATAGCTTTTCCTCACCCTACCTCCACCACTCTTTCCACTTCACAACCAACTCTCCCAGCACATCGCCTCCCCTCGGTTTGGTTTCTTTCTTGCTGGTAGCGGACCCTTTGATCCTCAGCCTGCTCTCTGTCCCGCGAGCCGTACGCCTTTGATCGCCATCTCCTGCCACAGTTATTGCGAGTCCCCTGCGTGACCCAGGCGCGTAGCCTTCCCTCATCAACGGCCCCCCGCCATTCGATATCCTCCCATGGCGCCAACAATCCCGGAGCTGGACCTCATGGTCCAGTCCTTCTACGAAGGTCGCGGCGAGCAGGTGAGCATTCTTCTCGTGATCTGGGCCTATCTGCCAGCGCCTCTGCTGCCATGATGCCGTAGCTACTGACACTTCATCTTCCCCGCCTCTAGCAAAAGGCTGCCCAAACCGCCTTGAACCAGGTAAGTGATGCGCCAGCTCGCCCCCCAAGCTGCAACCTCTCGACTAACCAGCATGGCGCTCAGTTCAAGGAAGATCCCGATGCCTGGCTTCTCGTCGACGAGATTCTGCAGAATTCGAAACATCCCCAGACCAAGTGTACGCCTATACATATACATCCACGCACATTGAGAGAGTTCCGGGTGGAGGCTAACGCTATATAGACCTCGGTCTGCAAATACTAGACCATGTTATCATGACAAGATGGAAGGTCTTGCCCCGGGATCAGTGTCTAGGTTCGTTGCGCACGATGTGCTGCAAGCATCTTCCAGCCTGGCTGACCATCCCGCAGGCATTCGCAACTTCGTTGTGAACTTCATCATCCAGGCTTCGGGCACGGAGGAGTCCCTCAAGACCCATCGAACCCTGCTGAACAAGCTGAACCTTGTTCTCGTCTCGATCCTGAAGCAAGAATGGCCTCATAACTGGCCTACCTTCATCAACGAGATCATATCCGCTTGCCGATCGAATCTGTCTATCTGCGAAAACAACATGATCATCCTGCGTCTCCTATCCGAAGAAGTATTCGACTACTCTGCCGAGCAGATGACCTCGGCCAAGACCCGCAACCTCAAGACAACCATGTGCAACGAATTCTCCCAGATCTTCCAGCTTTGCCAGGAAATCTTGACGACTGCGAACCAGCCCAGCTTGGTCAAGGCCACGCTCGAGACGCTCCTCCGTTTCTGCAACTGGATTCCCCTAGGATACATATTCGAGACGCCACTGATCGAGACACTGCGAACGCGGTTCCTGGAAGTTCCAGAGTTCAGAAATGTTACTCTTCAGGTATTCACCGAGATTGGCGGCTTAGTGACTGGCGGGCCGGGACAACCCAACGCCTACAGTGAACAGCTGGTCAAGATGTTCGTCGACGTACTCACTACCATCTCGAACATCATTCCGCTGGATCTCGACCTCAAGAGCACGTATCCGCAGAGCAATTCGAGGGATCAGGAATTTCTCCAGGACCTCGCACTCTTCTTGTGCAATTTCTTCAGTCAACACGTCGATGTGAGACATGATTCCTGCTTATCAATCGAATTGAACTAACCCTGCTATTTAGCTTGTTGAGAAACTACCGAATCGAGATTTCCTCACACACGGCCACTTCTACTTGATCAGAATATCCCAGATTGACGACCGTGAGATCTTCAAGATCACCCTAGATTACTGGCTCAAGCTGGTTCAGGAGCTATACGAGGAGATGCAGGCTGTCCCTACAAATGAGATGAACCCGATGATGTTGACCGGTGGAGGATCAACTACCGGAGCGATGAACCCGGCCGTGCTGCAGAACTTGCCCCTTCGAATGCACAAGTACAAGGAAGTGCTATCGAATCTTCGGGTAGTCATGATCGAGAAGATGGTACGGCCCGAGGAGGTGCTCATCGTGGAGAATGACGAGGGTGAGATTGTCCGGGAGTTCGTCAAGGAGAGCGATACAGTACAGCTGTACAAGACGATTCGGGAATGTCTCGTCTATCTGACACATCTGGACGTCAACGACACCGAAACGATCATGACGGAGAAGCTTTCCAAGCAGGTCGACGGCACTGAGTGGTCGTGGCACAACTGCAATGTCCTGTGCTGGGCCATCGGATCCATCTCTCTGGCCATGAACGAAGAAACCGAGAAGCGTTTCTTGGTCACTGTTATTAAGGATCTATTGGGCCTGACCGAGATGAAGCGTGGAAAAGACAACAAGGCCGTTGTTGCCAGCAACATCATGTACATTGTTGGGCAATATCCTCGGTTCCTCAAGGCGCATTGGAAGTTCCTTAAGACGGTGGTCAATAAGCTCTTCGAGTTCATGCACGAGTCACACGAAGGTCAGTTGAGGGTTTGCACGTATGACGTGTAATGACTAACGGCATGGCAGGCGTCCAAGATATGGCATGTGACACATTCATCAAGATCGCACGACAATGCCGCCGACATTTTGTGGCTCTGCAACCTAGTGAGAGCGAGCCCTTTATCGAGGAGATTGTTAGGAACCTGCAGCGTATTACGTGCGATCTCACGCCGCAGCAAGTCCACACTTTCTACGAAGCTTGTGGCTACATGGTCGCGGCTCAAGGAAGCAAACACCAGCAGGAGAGGCTCCTTGCTGAACTGATGGGCGCGCCGAACGCTGCATGGGATGAGATCATCCGAGCAGCCACCATAGACCCCCAGATCTTGCAGGATGCCGACACAATCAAGATCATCGGTAACATAATGAAGACCAACGTATCGGCTTGCTCTTCAATTGGTTCCTACTTCGGCCCCCAGATCGGCAGGATATACCTGGACATGTTGCAGATGTACCGCGCGACCAGCCAGCTGATTTCTGAGGCTGTCGCCCGTGACGGTAAGCTACATGTTCACCCATATCGAAGTTGAAGTGACCGTGCTGACACTACCCCAGGCGAACTTGCTCCCAGAATGCCCAAGGTCCGCGGACTGCGAACGATCAAGAAGGAGATCTTGAAGTTGATCGAAGGTTATGTCGATAAGGCCGAAGACCTTCAAGCGGTACGCGGGCAGATGGTGCCACAACTGCTAGATTCCGTCTTGGTGGATTACAACCGCAACGTCCCGGGTGCCCGTGATGCTGAAGTTCTCAAGGCAATGTCAACCATCATCACCAAACTAACGGTAAGCACCTGCAACAGCTACAAAACAGCTGGAACAAAGAGTACGTCACTAATCACTTCAGCAGGGTCTTATGGAAGATCAAGTCCCCATCATCATGCAGAACATCTTTGAGTGCACCCTCGAGATGATCAACAAGGACTTCTCCGAGTTCCCGGAGCACCGTGTCGAGTTCTTCAACCTACTCCGAGCTATCAACCTGCACTGCTTCCCTGCGCTGCTCAAGCTTGACAACCGCCAGTTCAAGTTCGTCATTGATGCATGCATGTGGGCAAGCAAGCACGACAACCGCGATGTCGAGGGCGCAGGGCTTAACATGTGCCTGGAGCTCGTATCGAACATCGCTGAGAAGACTGACGGCCAGACAGCCAATGCTTTCTTCCAACAGTTCTTCATCACAATCTTGCAGGACGTGTTCTTTGTTCTGACGGACCCTGACCACAAGGCCGGGTTCAAGACTCAGTCTATGCTTCTGATGCGCATGTTCTACTTCGTTCTCCCTGCGGATGGGAAGCCACCGATGATACAAGGTCCAGTCTATGTCGACCAAGCTCCAGCCGGAACCAGCAACAAGGACTTCCTTGCTGATTTTGTCGGACGTCTCTTGCGAAATGCCTTCCCCAATCTCCAGGTGTAAGTGTCTTATGATCTCAAGTATAAGGCTAGTGGCTAACGATAGATCTACAGTGCGCAAATTAACGCCTTCATTGAGTGCCTGTTCACCTTGAACAACACGTACGAGAAGTTCCGTCTCCAAGTCCGTGACTTCCTCATTTCACTCAAGGAGTTTGCCGGAGACAATGCAGAGCTCTTCGTCGTCGAAAAGGAACAAGAGGCCCAGGACAAGCTCTCAGCTGAGCGCGAGCGGCGCGCGAAAGTCGGCGGCTTGCTGAAGCCGTCCGAGATCGAGGTCGAGGACGACGAGCTGTGACTGGACCAAGAGCTAAGGAATGAGTTTGCACCCCACCACAGCTCGGACAAAGCCGAGTCTACAACTCGGTCCAAGTCCGATCACTTCGATGGTTGGGATCTCTATGAGGTGTGAGTGTCATGGAAGATGCTCGAACAGCCTCATCAGAGTTTGATATCGTCGTCCGATCACATCTGCACCCATATCCTCTACTTTATGTACGTGATACCATGGATAGATCTACCGTGGGTGGCAACAGCACTTGCAGGTTGCTTGGGTGATTTGTTGAGCGCGGCCAGATGAAATGATATGGTCTGGCTGCTCTTTCTCATTTGTCTAGACACAAAATCCGATGATGACGGCACCTTGCGAGGGAGGGATCCGGACATGTCCCCTGGCCGTGGTCGCACAGAGCGGCGAAACGAGCAAAAAAGTTTGCCAACGACAGCAGAAGACAGGAAGCACGTATATTGGCCCTGCTGGTGATAAACAGCGGCTCGGGGGAACGCGGTTGCTACAGCTAGTCTAGGCAATGCCCTCGAGGCAGAATTCAAGACTGATAAATGATTCGTGATGTCCATGGTTTTGCACGCGTGACGGTACACCAAACCCTCATAAGTCTCCGTACACCCTTTATCTACCACGCGAAAAGTGTGTTTTTTAAACATGGAATAAGCATGCTGAAATAAGCATTGAAGGTGACTATATAGCCATGAGCTGCTTATGCCTGTCTGCTAATTCCAATATTTCCAAATATTCACGTGTGATCTAGAATCCTTCCAACATGGCGCGTACTTCCGGGAGACTCTTAAGGACCGAGTGTAGCATATAGTGAATCAAAGTCAGACGGATCGGTACCATTTGGACAAGGGCATATATCATCATATCCGCTGACAGGGTCTGTGGGCAGTGAGGATATTTTTCTGCGAAGCCGAGGCCCTCCGGCCGTAAAGTAGGGAGCTTGATGTCCTTCAACCAGCAATCAAATGAACTGACCCCGAGCCCGAGGGGTGGGGTTGGCTGTCGTCGGCAGGGCGGAAAGGCGTTGGCTGGGTTGGTAGAACCTCAAGGCCAGCTTGTTTCGTTGATTAGTTACTCTACTCTCGGGGTTATGGGATATTGAAGCCGTGTTGGAGCTGCGCGATGGGGCCTGAGCTGAGTAGGAGTACAGTATTCGGTGGTCTGGTGGGTCCCTCGCACGTGTAAAGGGGGGCTGGAAGGTGGTGGGTCGGTTTATTATACTGCGTCTTATGTATATCTGAGCCGAGGAAATACCCGCCACCCACTTCCCTTACCCTTTCCTTCTGCTTGTACAGATACATCGAATGCTTCGGCGATGCTTGAATCGGCGATGGGCGCGAAAGCGAGATGAACGTTGAAAGCAGCGTACTTATCTGGATGGGGTCGTATAGTCGCTGTGACCATGCAGCGATTCATTCGCAGCCTGGGCATGTCGAGAGTATAGTTACTTCCATACATTGGCCGGTTTGCAAGTTTGCTGGCCATCTCCCCCTGACTTTGCTCCGCCCTCGTCCAGTCTTCAACCGAGCGGAGACGTACCCAGGCTGTAGGTTTCCCCCACTTCGTCAACGTGACGCCGCAGACGAGGTAAAAGAATTGCGGCCCTCTCATCTCGACTGCGTACCCCAGGGCCCCAGGGAATACCATCAGGTAACCTTCGAAGCTCTCTGTGCCAGCGGTGATGAACCTGTGATTTGCGAAGTCCCACCGGTTTTGGGGGGTTGCAGATCGTAGAGCGTTTCTTTGATCATCGTGCGTGTGGCTTCGTTCGCAGCCGATCCAGACTGACCCTTCGTAAGAAGCATCGAGAAGTTTCCGAGTCGATGGCTTGACGTGGGTGATTATGTAAGCTTCTTCGGTGTGGTGATATTCGTGACTGCCGGGCGAACGGTCGCGACGGTAGGCCGTCCGCACAAAACGGGCAGGACCGATCTTTTGCAGAACCATGTGAAGAGGAAACCCCCTACCAGCCGTATCAACCACGGTACAGTTGAGAGAAAGAATGTACTTGTGGAACGTGACTGCGAAGTGGGCCTCTCTGAAATACAGACCATTGTTGGTCATCGTAAAGGACTGGTCTGAGTCGCCTGACACAAGTTCGCTACCATTGGCTCGTACTAGTCCACAGGAATCGAATGCCTTAGGTGATCTGGCAAACAAGTCACAGTAATTTTCTGCAGTCGTCGAGGTTCCACGGGAGCTTGCCTCCGGGGCGAAGATTGACAGATCATTCGAGCTTTTGATGATCTCCTCCTGTAAACGAATGAATGCTTTATTGCCCTCGCCGTAAAGCATAGGTATATTCACGTCGAAGATGCCTAGAAGGCAGTACGCGATATCCTCCTCTCTGGTCGTTATCCTGTTAGACGCCCAAGACATCCTCTGTGCCACTGGCGCCTCGTAGAGGCGATGGCTGTCTACCAACGTTTCTTCGTCGATCTGGGTGATCCGATTGATCAAGGTTTTCAGTTCAGTTTTAGATCCGACATACTTCCAGGTGGCATCGTAGAACCGCAGATTATGAGGTGCCAGGAGCTCTTGCAAGCACCAACCCCTGAAAAACCATCGACAGCTAGGCATTCGCGGGTGCTTATCCCGATAGGAAGGTAGATCCGCAAGGAAAGCGTAACAGGCTTCGGACTTCTGATACCACTTGAACATGGAGTTGACTGCTTCGGTCAGCTCGGCGCTGCTTGATTTGTCGATGCAGCATGTATCAACCCAGGCGTAGTCGAGGTCATGCCTTTTTGCTTTCCGACACGTCTCCAAGATCTTCCGGTACCCTGATTTTTCGATGGCGAGGTGGTCGGGATCGCTCGCTAGGCTGGTCATCTCTTGATAGCTGATCTCCTCGTCTTCGACCCAGGTGTGTGATAGAATCGCATACTTCGGCACTCTATCTCCCATGAAGCTTTTCATCCGAATGTAGTTGTGTTGATGAGTCTGATAGGCATGGTGATTGTCTAAGCTTGGTTCTGCAGTCAGCCGTTCGAGGAGGCTGGGGATACGACTGCTCATAAGACGGTCAGCTTCGCAATGAAAACCTTGTCAGCGTGATTTCCACGTCGCCACTCAGCGATGTAACCTAAAGCCTCAGCCTCACAAGACTGACAAATCAACTACACCGCTGGAACTTCCCCGCTTTCAAACCTCTGGAGTCACCTGATGCCCAGTACATAATACATGTCCTTCCTATATACCCTTTTAAGTATATGTTAAACGTTGTCCACCAATGCGTCCGCATGAGGGCAATGGTTGCCTGCAAAACCACTGCCATAGGACATACAAGGGTTGGTTGAACTGTCTGTAATGAACCGTGGAAGATATCGCTGTCACAAATATATAGATCAAGTCATCAGACTATACCCTGGAGTTCTTGGCTTGCTACCATGCCTGTGTATATCAGATAGCGGTACTAGACTGAAGTTCCGACCTCGAAGCTTTGCTGAGCACTAACATTGTGTAACTCCCGCATCCCTATATTTCAAGAAGCACTCGTACATTCCAAGCGTCCAAGCGTCCAAGCGTCCAAGCGTCCAAGCGTCCAATCGCCAGCTGACGTGCCCCCATCAGTGAGCCTGACGAGTTGCTGCATAAGCATGTCTTGAGCGGAGAGACAGTAAGGTCGATGCGAAAGTACCGGGGGGCATCAATACCAACTGATAAAGGTCGTGACGCTAACAATATTACAGGAACTGTAGGACCCAGTATTTGCTTGATGTTATCATACTCTTTCGCATGTTTCTGAACGTAACGAACTGGGGGAACCTCTACACTATATGTACCACAGGATCCTACGTAACGAGGAAGACCTGGTGGTGTTCCTCGTTACCCCGAGCGAGGTCCGCCATATCAGATGAGATCTTCGCTCTCGTCTGGGCATTGTTGTACTCTGCCCAGCCGCAGCGGGTGTATAACCCATTCCGCTCAGCCGCGACGAGGATGCCCTGAACAAGGAGCGTCTGTGACGGGTCGTGGAAGTTGGCGAACAAAGGCACTACATAAAACGACCTATCACCCCCTAATTCCCGGTGCACCTTTTCACCAACATCATCCAGGTACAGATGTGCCAAGCCGAGGCCTCTGATCATCACTTGACAGTTGTTAGATGCCGTTGTTTCGGACTTGCTCCCAAGGTCTACCGTGGCCTCGATCAGTCGCCCGCGTATGCGGATCTTCCTATCATCATGGCCGCCTTCCGATTCTTCCACGAACTCGGCACTCGCGATCGGGGCAACGCGATGGTCGTCCGGCCGCATCACTGATGTAGAAGCGCCGTGCAGAAAGGAGACGATGAAGCTAAATTGCACGGGTCTCGCTGCACTCAGCCATGACCACGTGGGTGGTCGGCCACCAGCCGTAGACGTTCGGCAAGGCAGTTGCGCTGACTCGTCATGGTCGGCCACTTTCCACGCCAGTTGCTCGACCAGCCGGGCGGACCAGGTCCCATGAGCGTATTTCACCGTCTCGGCGGTGCCATCAGGCCCTCTCGAGTTCTTTATCAAGTGCCGAGCCATTGCGTCTATGATGCCCACCCAGCGGTCGTAATCAGCCGACGTCATCGTCGTCTGGGAGTATGCGGACACGACGCTGGTCCAGAGTGCAGCCAGAGACCCGGCGAAAAAGTCGTACCTCGCGTCAGACGGGAGCGTGATATCCTGACCCAGTCCGATGCGCCGGTCGAAATTCGCGAACAGCTTCGGGTCGAGCACGTAGGCGGTCTCGATCAGGGGCGGCGCACCTTCGGGGTACGTCTCGCTGTGCAACCCGGCATGGCACTGCCACCACAGCTGCTCCGCCGTGCAGAACAGGGTCGCAGGCGAGGCGAGGAGGGACTGGTGGAAACACGGGTCTGCCCACAGAGATGACCTGATGATAGGCTCGCGGAGCGACGTGCAGTCGTGCATCACCGTTACCGGACGGGTCGGTGTCGGCGCGATGACCGGGACCAGATCGCCTGTCCTCGGCGGGGGGATGCAGCCTCCGGTCGAAGCCGCGGGAGCCAGACTGACGATGTTGAAAGCCGCTGTGCCGTAGATGTCGCAGAGGAGGTCTGGGTCGTGTTGAGCCAGTGCCCGGGAGGGCATGAGCTCTCGCAGCCAGAGCCTCCAAACGCCTGCGGCCGTGGCAAGTCTTGCGGCGTCTTGGATACAGGCCGGAAGTGCGCGTGAAGACGTCCACGAATCGGAAGAGCGGGGGAGTTGGGCGAGCCAGGTGGAATGCTCGTCTGCACAAGAGCAGGCAAAGGTACAGTACGGAAGGGAGGGGGTAGACTGCTGAAATCTGAACGAGATCAGGTCTTTGTCGTCGTCTCTTCGCAGATCTATCAGGGTATGGCTGGGGCTACGTTCCGATGCCATGACGCGGGAGGCCTTGCAGACTTTGTGGGAGCCGACGCCTGAGTCGCAATTGGAATAGAACCGACGGATCAGATCCCGTCTCCCATGGGCTGGGTGGTTGAAACTGACATTGGGGTTGACTACGGGACTTTCAGTGGTGAGCAATTTTCAAAGAGAAATCGTGTAGACTGCGAACCCGCATATCGTACCTTCAGTCAAGTCGGCTGCAACCGACGTATGCACCGACAGGGCGGTGTTGTTTGGGTTCAGAGCGAGCCTGACTCTGGATCGATCCCATTGCTTGCCCGTCGAGTATACCGTAGCTGGTCCAGTCCCAGTCCCAGTTCCGATCCCGACGGGTATCTGAGTCGAATGCCCGTGCCCTTCTTTGAACACTCTGTCGAGACGGCGGCACAGGAAGCAACCTCGAGCCACCGCTTCGTAAAAGGAGTCCACGGTGGCATGGTGCGGTAGCCCTTGTGCTGATGTGGCTTCCTCTGGGTCGTCAATCTCGAAAATAGCAACACATGCGTCGCAGAGCATCGTATCTGTATTGGGACGAGCCATGAGAGAAGGATGGTAATGAGTGAGTTGTCTTGTCGCACAAAAACAGGGGCCCACCCACTTGGTGTACGGAGATCTTCTGGGCCTTATACTAAATGCAACACACACCAGTCAGGGGAACTGTTAGGGTAGCGTCGGTGGCGAAAAGTTGTTTGGCTGGTCTTTGCATAAACGGTTCCTTGTCTCCGTTAACAACGTTCTCGGCCAACGACGTCTCCCACGGCGTCGCCACTTGCCGACCTCAAGTAGCTAGCCAACAGCTTAACTATAACAAACACCTATTATTTAAACTAATTAAAAGCTAATATTTACAGTGTTATAAGTATATTATAAATGCTTTAAAACTAACGTTTTAATATATTTTACCTTTAAAGCCACTTAAAATCTTATTTAAGCCTGTTATAATTTTATTATTATTATAATATTTAATACGCCCTTTTAAACTAAGGGTATAAGTATTAATTAATAACTTTATAATATTATAACACGTTTTTTTAAAATGCTGTTACACGCTTAAAATCTTGGAACGATCTTTAACGACCTGGTATATTGTAATAAAGTGTTATAATAGATTAAAAGTGTTGAGAAGACAGTAATAAAGTATAATCATACTTTTAAAAGGTTAACAAGTTGGTTTAATATATAATTATAACCCAGTTAAAATATTATAATACTTTAAAGCCATTATAAAAGGCCTTTTAACGTATAATTATATACTAGTTAAAGTATTATAACACTTTTAGCTATTTTAATCGACTTTAACAAGCTTTAAAATCTTTAGAAAGATACTAAATTTCGCCTTTAATATACCTTTAATAAAACTATTTACTAATATCTTATTCATATTAAAATGTTTTAATAAAATAAAACTGGTTTAATTTTTTTAGTAAATATAATACTCTCGCACTTATATATACTTTATTTTACAATAAATCTTCGCATTATAAGCTAAAGAAATAACTTTAACATTATTAAAACGTAATTAAAAAGCACTAAAGGTATAACTAAGCCTGTTTATTTATTTTTAAACTTAAGTAATTTGTTACGGCTTTATTAACAACGTAATACTTTAATTTGACTATTACCTAAATTATAAGAGTTTAAAACTTTAAAATATATAAGATAACGCCTTTAATAAAGGTAAATAAGTAATTAAAGGTCGATTTAACGCCTTTTTAACGCTATTGACGTAGCTAGTCTTATATCTTAAAAGAAAATAAGCTTATTAAACTTATTAATAGCTATTTTAACGTGTTTAAGGCGTTTATAACAAATACCTAAGTTTTTCATATTTAAAAAATAATAATAGAGTCTTTTATTTACTGTAAGTTATTGTCATGGTCTGGTACAGGTAGCCCATGTGGTGAGTCCTGGAGCCCGGACATGAGTACATGTACCACTATTGAATGTCAAGCTGTCACGCTTGATATTCGACATCCTTTTAGGAGGGACAGCCGTGGCATGGTGGTTATTGTGAGCGTTCTGTCACAGTTATGCGGTTTTAAAGTATTAAAAATACCGTAAAGGTACCTTTATAAATTAAATTTTTTAAAACGTATATAACGTGTAAAAAAGTTCTTCAATTTATTGAAAATTAATACTTATAAGTAACTCTTAGAGTATTATCACTTTCGGCTTAAATTTTTATCTTATTTTTAGTTATTTAAAGCGAAATACGCACGTTTAAGCGCTTTATATAAGCTTAATGAAAAGCTTTTACCGTATTTTATATATTTATACTTCAAGAAATCTAAAAAATCAATTTTTACGGGTTTTGACGATCTTAACGTTAAAAAAGTACAATGTAATATTTAAATATTATATTTTAAAGGCTTTAAAAAGATCTCTTTTAAACTAATTAACTTTAAAAGGATTTATTATAAAAAATATTTACATAACTAATTATAAAAATGTTACGCTTTATAAAATAATAAACGATATTATTAAAGAATAAAAGCTTAAAGCCGAGCTTTTAAAATGCCTTTTAGAAGCGCTTTTACTATTAATAAAGGCTTTATTTGAAGCTATATGAAGGTTTTTTAAGCTTAAAGATTATCTTTAGTTATTAATTGATAGTATTTTCGTTAAAATATATCGTAAAAGACTCCTTAAGGCCGTTAAAAATCTTTATATAAATATTTTTATCAAGTTCTTTTATTAAAAAGGTAGAAACGATGTTTATTTAATCGATCTTTTAGTTTCAAATAGCTACAATAACTAGTAAAATCTTTAAAAAAGCTACTTATATTCTAAAACTCAAGTCTGGAAATAATTGAGCTTATACTATTATATAAATTTCTTAATAGTAATATGATCTTTATAACGTTTAATTAAGCTGATAATCGGGTTCAATTACGCTTATATACGTAGCGCAACATTAAAAGCTTTTACTTATAAGGTAATTCAAGGCGTAAAAATGTTAAAAAAGTCTTATTTTAAAGCAGCGCGTAAATCTTAACGTTCGTACTTTTTAATTATTAAAGCGTTTTATTAAGCGTTGTTACTTTTTTTATTAAGTAAAAAGTTCGTATAATTTAAGGTTTGTTTTATTATTAAAATCAAGCAAAAATTAATTAATATATATATCACTTAAATCATTATGAATGTTGACATTTTAGAAGTAATAACTTTTAAAACGTAATAGTTGTAACGTATCTGACAAGCGAGTTAGCACTCGTCATGAACTCTCTAACTGCCATGTGAAATAACTTCACCACAACGCATTCAATTCAATTCAATTAATCATATTCCTCTTCTTCAGAGGTTTCTATCTCTATTGTACAAGTTCGCGCATTATGGCCAGTGTTGCCGCAAACGCGTCGTGATGGCATTCCTTTGATTATATTGCTCAAAGTGGAACAACGGATGTTAAATAGTTTCGCAAGCTGAAATATATAAATATGAGGGTCACGTCGTTTAGCTTGGACAGCTAGCTGTAAGTCTGATTCATTGTAACGCGGTGCCATTATTGTTGGTGGAGATATAATAGTTTGAATCGTGTTGGCTAGAAAGTTCATGACGAGTACCAACTCGCTTGTAATGCCAACTCGCTTGTAATGCCAACTCGCTTGTAATGCCAACTCGCTTGTCAGCTACGTTGAGCTTTTTAAATATGCTTTTTAAATAGCACGTTATTAAGATCTATTTTAATTTTTATACGCGGTATTAAAATATGCTTTCAAAGTAGATCTTAATAAAGCGGGTTTAATAAGCTGATTAATAAAAAGGTTTTTAAAATAACGATGAAATGGTCAATACAAATCTATTTTTAATCTTTATTATTTAAGGTTTTAACTTTATTTGATCAAATCTCGAAACTTTCCAATATATATTAAAAATCGTTTACGCTTTTTTAAAAAAAAAGATAACCTTTTTAGATTGTTTATAATATTAATAATTCTTTTATTATTATTAAGTATATTATAAAAATCGGAAAAATATAGATTGATTATTTAAGTATAACATAACTATCTAAAAGCTTGCAATAGATAATAATAATAATATGCTTTATTATAAGTAAATAAACTCAATGTTAATTTAAACTAATTAAGCGAAAAACTTGTCTTTTTTAAATATTTAAAATGGTTAGTGTAGGAACAGGCTTAAACAATCAATCATAATACTCGAGTATTGGGTCAAGGTTGTCACAAAGCGTAAATAAGATGAGGACATAAAAGTCCTGATTACACTACCTACGTATAAGAATCTCTTGGTGGGGAGGGAAAGAAGGATTCGACCCGCCAGCCAATTTTGTTGGGATTAATGATCCTTCCATCCGCCCTACTATTACCTAGCCTAGTACAGTTGTGGCCACACGTCTTGTGTGCCAGGTCATGTGATGCTGCGCACAGGCCACCCTGATGGGTTGACAGACTTCCAGGAGGTCAGACCGTCACAAAGGTCATGATGTTGCTGATGGTTGGATTGAAAAGTCTAGCTAGACCTGCAGGTCTGGCTAAGTAACCTCACAATCCGGTGACTAATCTCTTATCTAATCATACATGTGGGTTCTGTATGGATAGTTTGACTGTGGAATCACATGGATCCAACAGTCGGATTGTTTTAAGCGCATTTTTAATAATAAATAAACTATATAACATTACTTTATTAATAATAACCTGCTTAAATTAAGCTTTTTTTTCCCTCAAATAATATTGTCGTAAAAAACCTCATTTAAAACCTTATTTTTATATTTAAAAATATATATACTTGTTGCGTCCATGCGATTCCAGCCTGCAAACCATCTATACTAGGACCCATATATATGATTAGATAAGATATTAGATACTGGATTGCGAGGTCACTTAGCCAGACCTTCAGGTCCAGCTAGACCTCCCAATTCAACCCATCAGCAACATCATGAACTTTGACCCATACTCGAGTATTATGATTGATCGGTCAAGCCTGTTCCAACAATAGTTAAGATTTAGCCGATTATATATAACAAGGCTAATAATCGGTTAAGAAGGTTTTAAAGATTTTTTTTATAATAATATTTTGTGAGAATTCGTCGTGCGAAATATTCGGTTCATACGTGCGTGTTTGTTGGTTGTTCAAAGTCTATCTGGTACGGACGGATTTACACCTAAATACGGCTGCAGCGCGTTTATCCGCGGTGGTAACAGAGCTGAAGGACAACCATCCCACCCACAGCGCACAGACTATCTAAGGACACACCCTGAGCCACCACTATATCCGACATATTTTAAATAAACGAATAAATCACGTTAAAAGTGTTGAAACAGGCTTGACCAATCAATCATAATACTCGAGTATTAGTCAAAGTCATGATGTTGCTGATAGGGTTTTTTTAGGAGGTCTAGCTGGACTTGCAGGTCTGGCTAAGTGTCCTCGCAATCCGGTATCTAATATCTTATCTAATCATACATATGGATCTGGTATGGATGGTTTGAAGGTTGAAATCGCATGGATCTAATAAAAAGATTGTTTTACGATCTTGTTTTATTCGAAAGTATTTAAAGCGCTTAGATCTAATACGATGC